GAAAGGATATAGATATAAAGATAACTTATGGGAACCCGTTAAGAACCTCTAGAACTCCCAACAGACGCTTCAGGAGTACCACGCCTCCCAGCAGCCAGAGCCAAGTCCAGCAGGCCAAACTCAGCCAACAAAGAAGGGGATAAGGCCACATTAGGATAGACTATATCCCAATCCCCAATAAATTCCAAAGGAAGAGGGTTAGAACCAGCAGAAGGGGGACAAGCCTCCTCTCACTAATAGTGCTCCACCTCTAACTCTTCTTTTTCCACCCGTTCTAACTCCTCTACACTATTAATACCGTAATATACCACACATATTATCTTCTTAAACTATATCTTCTTTTATTTTTAAAGATATAGTACCTTCTCCTCTATAGCCTATAACTTATCCTCTAACTTCTAATGCTAAGTAGTAATATTCTAAAGCTCAGTAGCTCCTATACCTAAAACGTTATAGCGAGAACGGCCTAAACGGACACATTCAGCACAACGGGAAGAATTAGACAGCAAGACTTTATAGCTAGCATAGCCCTTCCCTTTGCAATAGGAACATATAGGCATAACAATTAAATTTTAGAGAATAGTAGAAAGTAAGGAATTATTTTTAACTATCTTCTTAGTAGGACGACTTTTAGGCGATAACGCAGCCTTTTGTTTCTCAATATGACCTAATATAATATGAGTATTATTGAAGGAAGCAAAACTAGACACCCTCCCACCTAAGGGTAGAAGACCTACTTATGCTAGTCTTAGGGATAAGACCTTGAGAGGGGAGACCTGATGTTACGACCCGTTGGGCTTAGCTACTAACACAACCCCACCAGGCTCTCAGCGGCTAATGTGGGATATATGTAACCTAGTGACATAAGGACGATTAGGGATCCTCGGAACGGAAGAACTATGATAAGTCACGTGACCATAGAAATAAGTATGGACTAGTGGATATATTGGATATGAGCTATCCTAGCTATCCATGGATATGTTGGATAGGAGCTATCCTACCTATCCAACACAGAGGAAGGGTTCAGAACTTGTATATAGGATGGACTTGAGCCCAGCTTAAGGACAGACTTCTATAGCTCTTCAGCAATCAACTTTATATTCATCCCTCAGATACTTTCAGTATATCTTATACTATAAATATCTTATTAGGCTTATAACTAATCACTATAACCCTTAAGACTCTAATCTATTTAGAACTACGCTAACAACCTTATAACGATATAATACTATTTATTAGTATCATCCCTCAGCTTCTATTAGTAGACCCTACTATTAGATTAGCTGACCGTAACATTAAGATATATATTCTATATTAAATAAAGTAAACTAACTAAATAGTAATAAGTATTACTTAATTAATTCTAAAGGAGTTTAAAAATAATACTAAGTTAATCTTAAAGCGCTTTATTAAGGACTATTTCTACCCTTAAGTATTAAGCTTATAAATAGAGATAATAAGTAAGTTAGTAATTATTCTATTTACTTATTATTTATATAGATATATTCTTTAGCTCTATATTATTATTTTATTTCTATATCTATTTAAGATTACTTTAAAATTACTCCTAAAAGGGTTTACTTATTATTTTATAATATAAATACTTTATATTATCTTATAATTAATATATCTTATTATAACAAATAGATATTAAGTATTATAAAAATAATATTTTATTTTAATATATATTAATTATAATTAATATAGCTAAAGGCTTTAATTAGTTTTTAATCTATTAAGAAGTATTTTAAGAGTACTTATATATAAATATTAGTTAATAATAATATATAGTACCTACTCTATTAATATAAAGCTTTATAGAGAACTTTAATTATATTTATATTTAGGATTAATTTATCTTAATCTTTAGAAATAATTTAAAAGTAGTTTTAATTTGTTTTATATACTATATAAGAGTAAGACTTATATTTAGCTTAATATAATATATTAAGCTTAACTAAATAAAATAAAAGTATAAATAAGAGCTTTAAGACTAATTTAAAACTATTTAGGAAGTATTTATTTATACTATAAGAGCTAATATAATTAAAAATACTTATTAAAGCTTTAGTAGAGTAAAAGGTTTTATATTTAATTTTAAAGTAAATTAGAACCATAATCTTTATTATAATATATATTAATTCTATATTAAAAGTAAATAATATAATAATAAGCTATCTACTTAATATATTACTCCTAGTTAAAGATATTATTATTTAACTTTAAAAGATATCTATTAAACCCTTTTAGAATTAATTTAAAACTACTCTCTAAGTATAATTAAAACTCTTACTTTATATATCTTAAGAATCTTAATTAATTATAATACTTATAAGCTTAGTTCTATAGAGATATTTCTATTAAATAGTATAGTTAAACTTATTTTAAAGTAATTTAAAAATAATTTTATATATCTTTTAGTATACTTCTATACCTTTATTATTTATAAAGACCTAAATAAGTAGAATAACTAAAATAATATTAATAAACTTATTATAAAGCGTTTTAAAACTAATTTAAAATATACCTTTTAATAAGATAGTATTAAACTAACTCTAAATTACTTTAATATCCTTTTAGTTAGTAATGTACTTATAGTTAGTATTAACTTAAAATATTTTTAAACTACTTTAATATTAAAAATAAGCTTACTCTAAATAGAAATAAATATATAAGTATTTCTCTCTATTAGTATTAAAGTACTAAATATACTATTTTAATAAGATTAGTTAGAAGCTATTCTAAACTAATTTAAAAGTAATTAGGGAATAACTTATTTATATTTACTATTATAATTATATATATTAATATTTATACTAAATAATAAGTTTATTACTATTAGCTAAGTATTTAATTGCTTTTTATTTTTAAATAATAGAAAGTAATTAATCTTAGTTAGAGAGGCTTATATATACTTTATATAGCGTTTTACTATTAAATTCCTTATAGAATACCTATAACCTATATAACTATAGAAATATATTTAAATCTATTTAAAAGTAGTTATAAAGTAGTTTAAAAGTAATAAGAACTTATTTAACTTAGTTTAGAGATACTTAATCTTTTATATAACTTTATATAGCCCCTTTATAATAATAGGAGGGATATTTATAGATAGTAATAGGGGGTATAAATACTACCTATAAGAAGTAATAAGGATAACTAAAGTTAATTTTAAATTAATTAGAATAAAGAAGTTCTATTTAATTTAGTAGTTTATTTTAATAATATTTAATAGGACTAAATATAATATATTTAAAATAGGTTTAAAAATAGTTATAAACTAGTTTAATACTTAATAAGTTTAAAACTTATTATATCTCTAAAGCTTATAGTAATTACTTATAAAGAGGAAATAAGTCTTTTATTTAAGATTAAGTTAATATTACTTATAAATAATATTCTAAATTAGTTTTAAATAGTTTTAAAACTTAATTAGAGAAAAGCTAATATAATATCCCTCTTAGTAATATCCCTTAATACCTTAATAAATATATTAGACTTAGAGGGCCTCTCTAATAATATTTTAAAGCAATTTAGAACTATTTTAAAAATAATATATAATAAAAGATCTCTTACCTTAATAACTTAAGTAATAGGCTTATAGCTCTTATAGTATATATTATATACTATTTTATTTTAAAACCTAATTAGTTATATTTATATTTAACTATATTATAAATAAGCTTAAAACTAATTTAAAAGCACTCTAAAATAAATTATTCTATTTTAAAGCTTTACGCTTTAGTAATAAATTAAGAGTTTACTTCTAAAGAGTAATAATCTCATAAACTATTTCTAAAGTAATTTAGAAATAGTTCTATTTTAATTAGCTTTAATTATAATACAAATAAGCCTTACTATTTATATATTTTTAAAACTACTAAATATAAATAGTATTTTAAAGAAATATTAAAATAGTTATTTTTAATAATAATTTATATTTATAATTATATTAAATCTTTTTAGAATTAGCTTTAAAGTAGTTTTAAATTAATTTAAAATAAGTTACTAAATCTTAAAGCTTTTCTTTTATCTCTTTATTTAATATATATATATTAATAATATATAATATACCCCTTATAATAAACTTTAAGTACTTTAAAATATAAAAGGTATATATTATTTCTTTTATAAAAAGGGTAATATCTTTATGGAGGATATATTTACTTTAAATAGCCTTAATTAATATTAAAGTTAAAGGAGTTAATTTTAAATTAGTTTTTAATAGGTTTTAAATTAATTTTAAATTAATTATTAATATATTATATTACTTCTTTTAAATTTTACTTTAATTATATTAAAAGTTACTTTTAAATAATATAAATATTAAAATAGTTTAATATTAATTAAGCTATTTTTATATTCTTTATTTCTCTTTTTAATAATTAAATAAGAAGCTTAAATTACTAAAAAGATATTATTAAAGCTATCTATTTTAAAAGTAATATAGAATTAATTAGAAATTAATCCTAAAGTAGTTTAAAAATAGAAGGATTTATTCTCTATTAGGATATCTTATAGGAGGGAAAGTTAAGGACTTAAGATAAATTACTCCTTATTATTTTTATATTAAGTAGTCTTTTAGACCTACTTTAGATAAGGTGACCAACCCTTTTATACTAGCCTAAAAGGGTTGGTTACCTTATCTAACCCCCCCCCCCCCCCCCTACCCCTTAGCTTACCTGCCGTCTCCACTTCTTGCTGAGACCCTAATTAACTTATCTATAAGGAGTGTGGGGATGTTTGCTGCACGACCGAGGCCAACATGTTAGAGTACCCAGCGTCGTCGTGGACTGCCGTCCGCCCACGCGCTTACAGTTAATCGGCATTAATGTCGGGTTCGCCCCTGACCGCCCTCGTGTATTTGTGGTATTTGACCGGGCATTTGCTATTAATTACGCACCAATTGCTCCCGACACCGGGTTAATGTCCATCGAATCAACATATCTCATCTGAGCCCGGCCGCTCCATCCCGCAAGACGACCTACACTCCAACAATGTCATCATCATCAGAGTTCTCCAGCGTTCATCTAGAACACGCGGTTCCCAACGTCGCCGGCGACTTCGACATCGCCTGCTCCCCCGGCACTGATATCTGGGATAAGGCCCCTGCCACCCACCAGTTCAACGCTCCCATCATCTACCGGACCACAACGAAGGATGCCTTCATCTCCGCCACAGTGGCGGTCTCCGCGGATTGGAAGGACAGGTACGACCAGGGCGGCCTCTGTTTCGTCATCAGGGCCGCGGACCGGACTCGCTGGATCAAAATTGGCATCGAACTGGACTTCGGCGTGCCCAACGCCGGCGTCGTCGTGAAGGACAATTTTGCGGACTGGAGCCTGCGGCCGCTGCCGTACGGGTCCACAAACAGCATCGCCGTCCAGGCAAGGATCCAAGAGGACGGCGATCTCTGGGTGTATGCCTTGGGCCCGAACGATGAGCGCATCGCCATGCGTCAGATTACCTGGTGGGATGCTCTTCCCGGAAACACGGAGATTTGGGTTGGGCCGTACGCTGCCAAACCCGCCTACGAAGGCGGAAAGGAACCTCTCAAGGTCCACTTCAACCGTCTGTCCGTCGACACTCGGTCAGATGTCGCGCAGTAAACGGCACGTATGGTGGCCTGGTCGCTGGTTGCAATTCCGTGAAGAGTACATGTACTCCGTAGCTAGAATTATGATTGCCATGCAGCTCCGCATGGACGCATGAAAAGAGCTTCGTCGCAGTACCAAGTCGTTTATTGGCCTGTCTTGTGGGACCATGATGCCACACCCGAGAATGCACGTCGGAGTTGCACGTTCGTTGATAACAAAACTCTGACATCGGGTAAGTGGAAGGAAGCATATGCCTCTGGAGGAAGATGAAGTCCCTTTGTTTCGCCGTCAAAGCAAAAGTAGGTCAATTCCAAGCTCAACCTGGACCTTTCGCCAGTCCACGACGACGTCTTGCGGACTAGTGCCTCTTAATACGGCTTCCTCCTCGCGCAGCTTCCAAACGTGTTCGATGATTCGGCGTGCTGCAAGGCGATTACTGATGCCCAGCTTACAGGAGTAATCCAGCCACTTTTGAACCATATCCTTCTCCCATTCCGTGCCTGTCTCCACCGCAGCGATGAAGACAGGCCATAGCGAGACGCTACCGCCTTGCAACTCGAAGAATTCCGTCGTGTCGCGCAGTACTTCGGATATGCGAACTCGGATGGCTTTGGGCGGTACGTCGTAGATGGTGCGATACAGATAAATCATGGCAGCATTGCGGAATATCCGTCGGTGCAAACTGCTCAGATACTCTTGACGATTGTCCGGCGTCTGAGTGATCGACGAGCCTGGTTTGGGGTCCGAAGATTCTATGGCGTCAATGATCTTCTTGGCTTGGAGGTGCCCTTGGACCGACGATTCGCCGCGCGAAAGGGCCAGGGAGAGCCGTCTGGTTTGCGAAATCATCTGTATGATGGCTCCGCTTGCGCCGATAGTGTAGCCGAATTGGTCCAAGACCGACACGGATCTGAGGAGGATTTCAGAGGTTTCAGTGATTCCAAGGTGGTCGAAAAAGCCTCCGGAGCCCGTATATCCTATTTCGAAAGTGATGGCGAGGCTCTGCGCGATCACCCAAGAGTCAGAGGACGCCATCCACGGATTGGATTGCGAAAACATGGTAACTAGCCCGGACATGCCGCTGAGATGCTTGCGCCAACCTTTCAGGTCGGGCGCGTAACATCCCTTTTCCACCCTGTTAGTGATTTCCCGCCCCCGGGGAAAGTCTGGCATACCTCGATTTGCGTGAGCGTGTAAAGGACAGCGGCACAAGCGGCGAAGTCTTGCACCTCGTGACCCAGACTGTCCAGCAGTAGTTTCAGAGCAGAATAGAAGTGATTCATAGCACGCAGCTTATACTTCTCGGCATTATCGTCCGCATGGAGCACGGAGAGGTGGAAAGCCGACTGAGAGAGAAGGGCGTGATATAAACTCTGACTTGCGCCAGAGGACTGTTGAACAGCTACCAGTGGATATACGCAACGCCAAGGATTAGCTTCCGAGTCCACTGGCATCAAAAGAAATGCTACCTGGTTCGTGTAGTGGTGCAGCAGCATGCGTTCCATTCTAGGCTGGGTTGGAGATGGTATACGCACAATCGACGTGAGTGGCAAGTCCAAGACACCGTCGTCGCTTGAGGCGGGTTGCGAATCCTCGTCCGCATCGTCGGTCTGTCGGCAGATACTGGACAGTCTGAGAATGCGGAAAGGGTTGGACGTAGCTCTGTGCAAGACACAATCACAGGATACCTCGTCATAGTCGACGTCGACTAGGTGTTGTAACTCGGCAGTGCTGTATGGCTTGTGCTGTGCCCACGTGGAGAGGGGATCCAGCGTACGCCGAGAGCGAGATGTGTACGTGCCCGTCTCGCCGTCAACCCAGACGAGATGGACCGCGTAGCCTTCACACGTTGCGGGGAGTTTCTGGCAAGGTGAGCACGCTGGAGACACCCCATCACATGCAACTCGCCGCCGCCGGCAGGTCCAGCACGCATTAAATGAGCGTCGGACTTGCTTAGGCATTCTGCTCGTCGTATAAGGGTCAAAGGTCAGGCCGGGGATGGCGATGATTATGATATGAATTGCTGGGTTTTATCTTTGGACAAGTGGCGACAACGTGCGGTGTCATTTCAGACGCGCCGTTATCGGTATGTGTATGTAAGCAAATCCAAAGCGACTAAGACAGGGGTAATGCCAATTAGAGCCGCTTAAGCGACGAGTACAGACGGGCGGGAAACGTTAGGCGCGAAAATGTTCCATTGTTGTCGGAAGACATCATGAAGCGGAACGCCGTCAACGGATTGTCAAAACAGTGCCTAGCTTCTTTACAGAAAACGAATCCATCTTCCGGGCCTCTCATTTGCTAAAGCCAATTTAACCGCCATTTGTCAACAGATGAAAGACTCTCCGCTTCACCTCCTCCAAGTCACGCCTGGAATCAAGGCACCTGGCCGCTACACATCCTGGAGGCACCTGTTACAGAGACCGGTTTAAACAAACTGATCCGTCGTGTCAACCTTATTCATTGAGCAAGTCCCAATCGATCTCAGGGCCTTGGAATTTGCTGCGGCGCTCAATCCACATGAGGCATACGATTGCGAACAAGCCAACGACGACAGGAGCGTTACTGCAGTGGGCATATCGAGGTCAACAGGCCGATCCCCGCCAGTTTGGAAGTGTGTGGTGTAACTCACTAATTCATCGATCCAACCGTTGTTGGGTAGGTTTGTGGCAGGCAGAACACGACGCCAATGACAATCAAGAAGATGACTGAATAGAGGTTGACCGCGTATCCCCATCTGCCTAGGTCGAAAGTCCGCCTTGGAAGCTTGTCACGGCCTTCAACTAGCAAGATTGCCTGGGGAACCACGTATGAGATGTTCAACATGAGACAAGTCGCGTTGATGATGGAGTTGAACGCGGCTGTACTTGCGACGTATAAGAGGCCATAGAAGGTGCAGAACACGGCAGAGAGAACGGTCGTTCTCCATGGGATGCCACGCTTGGGGTCGATGTGTTGCCAGTATTTCGAAAACGGAAGACCATGCTGTGTGCTTTGTCAGGAGGTTTGTATCTGCGTAACGAGGGAGGGTTCCTACTCACATCACGAGCCAAGGCCCAGGTGATTCGGCTGCACGTCACCCACTGGCTGGGGACGCATGCTTTGAATCCGTTTAGTAAAGGTGCAGATATCGGGAGGCTAAGGACTCACTGTAGTATAGAAACGTCAAGTACGCTTGCAGGGCGGTTGCGGCCGCCTTGCTCCCCGTAGCCTGGTAGAAGACCTCGATACTTGGCAGGAAAGAAGATTGGACGGCCTCGAGGTCACGAATGGAGAGGAGCATAGCAGCGATCCACGGGATCGAAACGAACAAACCCATTCCCATAGTCATGTTCCTGGGGAGTTTATCAGCAAGACATCATTAAAAGAGCGTGGCCTGTTAACACTTACAAGACCTGGGGGAGCTTGCGGCCTGGATCTGGCAATTCTTCCGCGATGTGGGTGACGGCGCCGTTGGCCGTGAAGCAGTAAAGCGCAGCGGCAATGGATAGAAGCCAGCCTACACCAGGATTCCATCCACTGACTCCGCGGTTTTCGAGGAGGATGGTGCCGGGAGCATAGTTTCCGTTAGACATGCCGAGACACACGGCGATGGTGAGAATCATGCCGGTAAGGGAGAATCCCATGGCCGCCTTGGTCATGTAGTCGATATGTCTTTGTTTGACCGTGTAGATGGGAATGACTGTGTTCACAACAACTGTCAGTTTTCAACAAGTGGTTTCCGCAGGTTTGGAGATACTGACGTGACAGAATGATGACGCCAAGGTAGCAGAGATAGACCTGCCATTGCTTTTGCGCGAAGTCCGGGAACCAGACTGCGGCGCAACCAAAGGCCGAAATAGCCGTGTATATCAAGCCGGAGCTCGTTGAAATCCACCAGCCGAGAATGTTGATGATTCCGGTCACGTACGCGGCGAAGTTCCTGGTCTTGTCCGGGGCGATAATGTAAACGAAGTGATACTGGCCACCGGACGAGGGGAACGCGGAGCACAACTCGCCCAAGCCCAGGAAGACGATCCATTGGACGGATGCCGCGATGATGAGACTGAACATGGTGGTTGCACCTCCTCCGTAGATAAGCACGAGGCCGAAGCAGGAGGCGTATGTCAACCATAAGTTGGATATGCTGAAGATTCAAGTCAGCTCGTCTCCCCCCCTCGAGAGGAGCCTGCGCTGTGTGTAAGACTAACCTGTAGGCAAGAGCAATCGCTCCCAGCCAGGAGAAAGATCTCTCGAGCTCTGAGTTGTGTCCTTGGGCGCGAAGATGACGCTCGTCGAGATCAATAATCTTACCCTGCTCGACCGACTCGAACCGGGCGAGATTTTCCCCTCCAGCTACGCCAATATCTTCTTTAGATTTATGGCTCATTGTGGTTTTTGGCTTGGTATCTACCGTTTCGAGGGTCTCATTAAAGAGAGAACTGTAGAAAGAAGTCTCTAGGATTTCAATACTGAGAACCAAGACCGTAGAGGTAATGCCAACATTAAGAAGTCTTACCTTATCCGCCTTAATAGTCTATTTCAGTTACATCGCCTTTAGCTTATAGTTGAAGAGACATAAGATAATTAAGTATAAGGCGCGTTTCTAGAGTATAAGAAAGAAGTGTAGTATAGTATAATATTAAGTAATAATTAGATTAACTTTAATAAAAAATACTTAGAATAGCTCTATATTCTTTATAGATTTATACCTTATTTTCTCATAAAGTATAGATAAAATATTTTAGCAATTTATAAGTTTTAGATAGATTATATATAAATATTCTTCTAAATAGTAATATACTTAAACTTTCTATAACATTATAGTACTATATAGTAAGTATAGTAAGTATACTATATAGAGTATAAACTACCTCAGTCTAGATAATAACGTTATAATCCTATTAGTATAATAAGGTAAACTAGCTGTAAGTTCGATTAGACTCGATATCCCCGGATTCCCCATACTAGCTATCTAGATTCCCCTCACTTCCTATCGAGATTCCCCTCCCGCTCTATCTAGATAAGGTGTTTGGCTGAGACTTAGAAGGGAAGTCTAGGACGAAGGCCCGCATGCAGCCCCACGATGGTCAGTGCCGCCAGTCCGGATACGCTCACGAGTCAGAAGCCGAGCTCGTTGTTGGCAGCGGCGATCTCTAAAGACTTCGTTTTCGTTAAGACAAATTGCTTCGTGTGCAGAACTAGCTGTGCAGTTTACCCCGCGGCTCTGTGATGCCGCTCACCAGTCCCAATCACACCTTTTCATGCAGGCTACTGCGTAAGCCAGGCCGTTATCTTGTTACCGCATTTCATCGCATAACGAACGTCGTACACCTAAACCGGCATCTAGAAGGCTTACTCGCCTGGCCCCCACAGTTTAAGGGCGTGACCGGTGACAACAGTACGGTCACGGTACGGTACAGAAGTGACTTCTATAGTCATCCAATGCAATAAAGTGCTGCCGTGTTATCTTTAGCACTCCTTAAGAAAAGGCTACAGTACAGTAGAATTGATATACCTCAAAATTGACAGAGGCGTCGGGGCGGCTGACAGAGGGTTATCATCGACGTGGAACCAGGGTAGCTTCTGCATGCGAAGCTACTGCTTATCGTCACCCCGACCAGGTTCCGACACACCGCACCGCCTCCAAAACAGGCTAGTGTGGTCGTCCTGGACTTCCCTCGGGCCTCAATTGACTTTCATGTGGCTCCAACCCTGCATGCCCACCGTCTCGTACACTTGAGATGAGAACGAGGACGTAACGAATGAAGACCAACCCTTTGGAGGGGTTTCGGGGCACTGGCATTCACAGCGCGGGACTCATCCCGCTTCTCTGGATCTGCCCATGCCCGCATTACCAGATAGATGCCTTGGGCGAATGCCCGCTGGGATTAGACATCGTTCCATTTCTCCTGAAAGGAACTCCCTTAGGCCCGGGTCGCCTCCCCCATTCTCGGGGTAAAAACATTACCAAGTATATCAATGGCTCGGCTCCAACTCGGTTGTCAATAGTTCTCCAACGACAGCTCTCCAGCGACACCTCCCCAACGCAACGTCGACTTCCCACCTGTCAGAAGCCAAAGTATGGATTCAACTACCGACGGATATGTCTGGACTCCGGCCCAGGGCACTCGGAAGGGTGGTCTGAAGTGCAGGGGCGTCGTGTCTCCCCCGGAAAAGCGAAACTTGAACAGAAAGGCTTACGACGTGGTGGTTGTCGGTGCCGGCTACGCAGGGCTATCTGCGGCTCGTGATCTTGCCACTAGCGGTTAGTTTCTCGTTGATGGTGCTGGAGTTCAACGCTGAGATCAAGCAGGTCGATCGGTCCTCCTCCTCGAAGCACGTGACCGAGTCGGCGGTCGCACATACACTGTTGAAGAGAATGGTGAGCTCATCTGTTTGGTTTGGTGAATTGACTCGTCAGCTCATGTTCAACGTCAGGATATCTGTACGAGATGGGTGGCACCTGGGTCACACATCACTTTGCCTATCTCCTCAAAGAGATGACCAGATATGGTATGGATCGGGACTTGATCCTCACTCCTCACTCTGGATTCGATAACAATTACTACACTCTCAACATTCCTGGTACGTACCCGGTGCATGATGACTGCTGCCCGTTTTCCAGGACATCGAGCTGACGTCCTTGGCAGGATCAAGCCCTCGAAACATTAGTCATGAAGAGGCCGGCCAGATCACTCGCCATGCTTGGGACATTTTTATCAACGTTGACGGAGATATGTGCCGCAAGATATGCCCGCTCCCACACGCACAGCTCGATAATATCAAAGTCGATCGGAAAATCGTTGAAGAAGTCGACAAACGATCCTGCAAAGACCGTCTCGAAGAGGTCAAGCACCTACAAACTCCGCCAGGGCCAATCCGAGCTCGCCCGTCGCATGTTCGAGGAGGCGGTAGAGTTCGGTCTAGAATATGCCTTCAACACCCACGTCTATTCCATCTCCGACGAGGCCAAAGACACTTACGGATGCGTCAAGGTCACCACCAGCAAGAACAACACCTACATCGCCCGTAGGGTCGTATGCACGATCCCGCTGAATGTTCTCAAGACGATTCAGTCCAGCCCGCCCCTCTCCGCCAAGCGTCAGGAGGCCATCACCACTGGCCATATCAACTTCATGTCCAAGGTCCACGCGGTTGTTGAAGGTTCTGGTCTGGCCTCCTGGAACGGAGTCCGATCTACCGGCAACTTCGTCATCGCCTACAGCGACGGAGTTACCCCCCAGGGCGAGGCGCACTTGGTCGCTTTTGGAGGCGACGAGCACAAGACCTTCGTCCCCGAGCGCGAGCCCGAGAAGGTCATCGCAGCTCTCAATGACCTGCACCCCATGAAGGTCAACAAGACGGTATGCATCCCAGCGTCAAGCCTCTCGCACTCTGGTTTCAAAATCTAATCAAAAGCTTCTCACAGGTCTTCCATAACTGGTGCACCGATCTTTACTCCAACGGCGGTCCCGCCTGGTGGCCCCCGTCGTATATGAGCAAGTACCAAGACGAGTTGCAGTCTCCTCACGGCGCGATATTCTTCGCCTCTGGCGACTGGGCACACGGTTGGAGGGCCTCCATCGACGGAGCGCTGGAGCAGGGCTCGCTCTGCGGTATCCAAGCTCTTAGAGAGCTTCACAGCTCGGACAAAATCCGCACCAGGCGGGAGCAATTATGATTCGGCCAGTCGTCAGGACGTTCATGTAGCGCTCCGTTTTTTGAAAAAGAGTTTGTCAGGGGAACAAGTGTAACTCGGCTAGTTGTCAGATCTACACATACCCAATCAAAACACACCGCTTCGTCGTCCCTGTCAGTGACCGTTGCGCCCTTGATGATCCGTGGGCGAGAGGTTGTGTGGACGTAGAATCCCTAGATGTCAAGAAGCAACCGAGGTGGAATCTAGAGGACACGTTGAAACCATTGCTAACTGGTTGACAGAGATACATTGTAAGCTCTGTGTCTTTTGCAAATGTGATTTAGTTTCAGCGGGAATGCCTGGCCGTAGGGAACGTGAAATATCCTTACCTCAATTCATTGCTTGCCTCCGAAGCTGACATGAGCCTCGAACTCACGCACTTACTATACTCCAGCAACGCGATTGATCACATGCAGTCAATTTTGAGAGAATACGTTTCTTTATTTTGTGTTCTCTTCATCGGATGATTGATTTACTTTACCAGGTAGACAGAAAAATGTCTTGGCTGGGGTGAAGCCCCCATCTTGACCCATTTACCCTAGATATCCATGTCCATCTCAAAAGCTATACCGTCATTGTCCAGCTATTTGCACCCGTTGGAGCAAACCTGCGTCGCCATTGTAGTCCTAAATGCCCAAGAGCGAACGATACTTGGTCACGAAGGCTTCAAACGCAACGAAATAGCCTGCCGCGTTTTCGTCCGTCAGCTCGAGGTTCAACGGCGTGTAGCCGCGAGGAGCCATGTAAATGTTGTTCTCAAGCATGTGGAAGTAGTACAAGGCCTGCAAGTCCTTGCCTTGCGGGCCGCTGAATCGGACGTTGACCATACTGCCGCGGCCGGTGATGAACATGACTGGCAAGCTTTCGTGCGGAGCTGATGATGCATCGTCGGCCTGGATCAGGGTCTCTTCCTTGAAACTATCGATCTCGATAATGTCCCGCGACGCGCCTGCGGCGTGCGGGGGGTAGACTCCGTGCTTGATGAGCACCTCCTGGAGCTTTGTCTTGAAGTTGACACCAAAGGCATTGAGTCTCTCGACCGCCGCGGCGTCATAAATTTCCATCGCGACGATGCCGGCCGACATGGTGACCACGTTGTTGTTGTAGGTGCCGGGGTGCTGGAGGCCGGACTTCTCGGGGTCGAAAAGCTCCATGATGTCTCGTCTTCCGCCAAAGGCGCCGAAGGTCATGCCGCCTCCGACGTACTTACCGAGTGACATGATGTCGGCCTTGATGCCCATGGTAGCGGAGCAACCGTTGGGGCCGAGTCTGGATGCCATGACCTCGTCGACGAGGAGCAGACACTGCTCGGCATCGGCGGTGCGGCGCAGGTATTGCAGGAACTCCTTTGTTGCCGGACGGCAGCCACCGGAGCCCTGGAGAGGCTCGACGAGAATTGCGGCCAGACTTTGCGGAGGCAGCGCCTTGATGATGTCTCCGGTCTCTTTGATGTTGTTGTAAGGGGCGAACACGAAGTCGTGGGGGAGGTTGACATTGCGTGTGGCAGGGTTCCTCATCAGGTCCATCGGGAAAATGAGGGTTCCGCCGTGGTATCCGCTGCTGAAGACGAGGATCTTACGGCGCCCAGTGACGTTGAGGGCGGCAGCGATAGCTACTGTGTTGGACTCGGTGCCGGAGTTTGTGAATCGGACCAAGTCCATACCGCTGGGCTTGAAGCGAGTGACGACCTGTTTGGCAAACACCTTCTCCATGGTCGTCTGACCGCCGTAGTTCCATCCACGCGAAAGACCATCGCGAACGGCCTCTGCGATGCGCTCGTTGGAATGCCCAAAGATACCGGCGCTGTACTCTCCAAGGAAGTCGGTGTAGGTTACGTTGTCGACCGAGGTCAAAGTCGCGTCCTTGCCAGAGGCGAAGGTGACTGGGAACGGCGAAACATGAAGGATGGTTCTGGTGTTTCCTCCGGGCATGTAGTCCTGTGACTCCTCGTGAAGTTTGCGCGAAACGGGATTGCGCTCGACGTAGCGGCTCCTGGCCTCCTCGAGGATTGGCTTGATGGAGTTGACAGACATGATGGGGGTTATTAGAGGATGTTAAGACCTGTAGTTTGGTAAATCAAGAACAAGGTGAGGTTCATTATCGCGAACCTAAATTCTGCCAGACGGGTTATGGATTATAAGTGCAACAGAGGGGACCCCGCGAAAGTGGAGCGTCAAATGAACATTGAACTCGAGGCACATGAGTTGTTACAACCAGTCCAGTATGAGGCAGCGCTCTTTCCCAGGCATTGTTGCATCAAGGTATGACACGTCTTTGTTAGTGTTCTGGGACTCACGGGGAGGGACGACGAGGGCGGGGCGAAGGCCGGGGACACTGATAACAAGGAGGAAGCCCACGACGAGAGGAGAATTGCCGAATTGAGCTATGTGCGCACAAACCAGTAGAAAAAGACATACATAATAGGGGTCCCACCTCTTTTACTACGTGAATCTAAACTATAGTAGTAAAAGTAGTATTTATAACTTTAATTTTAAGTGACTTATTAAATACTTTAACACTTTATGCCTTCTATTAAGAAGGTTAATTCTTTTTCTCTACAAAGCTATAAAGTCCCTCTTTCTTAAATCTTTATCTTTTAAAAGGTCTTATTTTACTAATCTTTTAAAAGCTATTATTTAACCTTAGATAATTAAACTAGTAGAGACCGCTACTAGGTCCGTGGGATCTCCTATTATATAGATAGCTGGAATAAATATGTACTACGTTAGACCGACTGAAACGATTTCGTTGACAGGCGGACCAGAGAGAGGGGTGTCCTTCACACATAAAACTCCTCCTGCTGCACCGACCACAACGACCGTATGCTACCCTAACCGCCTCGCGACTCTTTTTGCCTCAGTACACTCGAGCAGTAACTCATACTGTGTCCTCACCTCTCCGTCAGGCAAAAAACGACGACATCAGCATGGCCGCGACACAGAAGGCGCCGCAGGAGCTGAAGAAGGCTGCCAGCCTCGCCCACGTACCCTGCGGTGACGAATACGAGAAGATGATCTCAGGCATGCTGTACTTCTCCCAGTTGATGAGGTTTCCCAAGTATTTCTTCTAACCATGTTGTAGATACGACAGTCTGCAGCCGGGCCTCGATAAAGCACGCTTTAAAGCCAGGGCCTGGGCACACAAGTATAACAACTACTTTCCCAGCGAACCGAACGCAAACGCCGAATCCCTGGCAAAGGAGCGACTGGAGTTGCTTAAGACGTGCATCGGTAGAGTCGGCAACAACGTCTTCATTGAGCCCCCCTTCCGAATCGATTACGGCTGCAATATCAGCCTAGGCAACCGTGTCTACGCCAACTTCAACCTCACAATCCTCGACTGCGCTATTGTCACTATTGGCGATCGCGTTATGTTTGGACCTAACGTCTCTCTCCTCGCGGCAACGCATGAGACTGACGTACAAAGCCGGCGAGACTACGTTGAATATGCTAAGCCTATTACGATTGGTGATGACTGCTGGATTGGCGGTCATGTTCTCATCCTCCCTGGCGTCACAGTTGGTGAGGGATGCACTATTGCTGCTAGTTCCGTTGTGACGAAGGATATTCCGGCCTGGAGTGTAGCAATGGGGACGCCAGCGCGCGTTGTGAAAAAGGTGACGCCCTTGGACAAGATGCCCGAGGAAGAATAGTTCAACAAGTCCCAAATGGTTAGAAAGAGTCCATAGTCTCAGGGATTAAATAAACCAGATGATTGCATATAGAGAAGGGCATAAACCTAATTCACTGCTGTCATCACGGCCCTTGCCGTTCTGTCAACCTTCGCCACCGCTGCACCTGCAGTGGCAGGCGGCGCTGTTGAGATGCGCCAGACTCGTGATGGCTTCTATTGCCAGGAATGTATCAATGGCAAGAAGGACTGCGTTGCCTGTACAGATGGTACATGTCTAGGATGGACCTACGACTGTTGAAATATGGGTACGGATTCTTTCTTTTCTTTCTACGTCTGTGATCAGATACCACAGCTTCGCAGCTCTGTGCAGCTTCACAGTGCCTCCCTTTGCTGATGCTTCTGTTGCGGTAGGCCAAGATGAGAACCAGGTCTATTGATGGTTTTGACATCCTTTGAGTGGCATCGAACACTTGCTGAGAGCATATTCAAACACGATGATGTTTCGAAACACGTTATCTGGGTATCTCACTGTCGTACGGCTTTTGTGATACCAATAAACGAGTAAATTGTCTCTATATATGTCTGTTTGTCCATCTCAACTTTCTCATCAAAGTGAGGACGAATCTCACCGTAGTGGTACCAGACCACGTAGAGCAGATGGTAACTGCGTGGCAACTCTTTTCTGGTAGATGCAGACGTACGATATGTAGATAGTCGAACAACATGAGACATCTTCTTGGGATCGTGGCTTGGTGTAACTCATCGCTGTTCTGCATTTTGAGTCCACATTACGTGTGCAACACTCCCGCGTAAGCTCCAGCCCAGGTTGTTAATGTTGGTCATTAGTGAAACGTTTCTCTTCGTTCCACCGACTCTGGCCAAGACGAGCCATCATCCAGCTGCAGCGAGCCAGGCCAATCAAAAGTAGAGTCATATGCATCGGTCTCCCTCAGCTGAAGATTTGTCTCAGGCAGATAGTCTAGAGAAATGGAGTTGTACATGGTGGCGTGTGAGCCATGCGAAGACATCGGTGTCGCCCGGCTTAAGTTGCTAATAATAGCAATGATTATCATTAATAAATAAAGCAGGGTACCCTGCCAAATGTTGGCCAAGCATTATGCCTTCTTCCTAAGTATCAAAATGAAGGCTCACTTCTGGCATAGACGGCCTGCAGAGCAGAAGGCTCAAGGCACTGGGTCAAGACACGGAAATGACACCTCGGTAATGAGGTAAGGAATATTCAGCATTTAAGTACAGAGTCTGGTATATGCACACATGACTGACAATAGGCTTAGTACTCCGTTCCCTGCAGAAATTGCTCAAACCAGCAGTGCGTCTATCCGGCAAATGATCGAGCAAATTCCAGATGAGGAGAACGCACACCTGCTCGAGGAGACTACGCATGCAGAAATAGCTTCTTCCACGGCTGGATGCCAAATCCCTCTGGCGATGTTGAAGAGCCGTCGACTATCGAATAGTTCCAGTAGCATCGTACCCGTCCCACAGCCTTCCATTCATAGATCCATCGAAGCTCCCAGCAACTGTACAGCATCAAAGCCTCCTGTCTTCCGATTCTGGATCTGGGAGATGCTGGCTTTCCTTCTGGCTACGGTGATCCTGGGTTGCATCTTCGTCATCCTGACCTTCCAACATGGCAAGCTACAACGGGACTGGCAATTTGCGCTGACCCTCAACTCGCTCATGAACATTTTATCAACCATTTTTCGAGGCTTGGTTGCGACTGTGGCGGCAGAACTCATTTGCCAGGCTAAATGGACCTGGTTTTGGTCATACACATCAAAGACTTCAGCTCGGACCTTGATTGACCTGCAACATTTCGATACTGGCAGCCGAGGAGCTCTAGGAGCTATCAGGCTCATCCGGTTGGTCAAGTTATACAGCTTACCAACAACCATCGCTATTCTCATCATCACATCTTCGTTCGCCATTAGCACTTTCGTACAACAAGCAATCAACATTGAAGAGAGGTCTCTTAGGGGCTCTAGTGGTTCTGCGTCTCTTCCCATTGCACAGAACGTCAGCATTACAGAAGATTATTTTGGAAACAATCCCGTACTTCATTGGATCAAAAGCGATGCTCAAGGTCCCTTCTACGCAGCTGCGTTCGGCACCAACGAAAGTCTAGCTTCAGCAATAAGATGTCCCGGCGGAACATGTGAATTCACGCCATTCAATGCAGACACGCCACCTGGACTCCAATCGACAGGTGGTAATGCCACACATGCGACAGCCGGCATTTGCAGCTTCTGCACGGATCTGAGCCGTTACGTTTCCCAACAAAACGAATTCTGGCGCTTGCCAGGTATTAATACAACAGTTTATGCGACCAGGTTCCAACTTCACACGCCGGCCATGGACCTGCAGACGGGTAGTCTTCTGTGGGCCGAAAGTTTCCTTTCCTCTGAAGCCCTGGGGTTGGCTCGTCTTGCCCTGGCAAACGTCACCATTCTATCTTCGAATTTCTACAAAGCTAGCGGCGTTGAGTACATTGGGATGACTTTATCCAGCCCCAATGCGTTATCGTGTTCCCTCTATCTTTGCCTGCAGAGCTACTCGGCGACCATATTGGAAGGATCCCTTAGAGAAGCACCGGTCAGTCGAACTCCAATGTATCCAGAAATCCACCCAGAATCGGAATCACCGTTTGACGCCCTGCCGTTTAAAGGCGATCATTACGGCATAAATAAGGGTGCTAGCTTCTCGGCCGTGCAAACCCCGTGTCGTGTCGATGGGAGAGTCATCACAGCTGACAGCATGGCTGAAGGGCCCAACTCAACGATGATTTGGTACGGACACACTAGGGGTTTACAAGAACAGCCCGCCAGAGTTCCCAAGGGATGCCTCTACAGCGTCGAAGCTGATGTCGCGAACGCATTGCACATGGTCATGCATAACTTGTTAAATGCGAGCTGCGTTTTTAGGTCAAACGATATACCAAAGACAATCAACTGCGACGATAAGGAGTGGGTTTCCGGCTACTGGATGCAAGGGAATGCGACTACAGGCAAAATCATTGCCAGGTTTGATGAGTTTGCCGCCGCGATTACAAATTACTTCCGACTTGGTTTCGTCAGGGCTGAAGGCTCCGTATTTGAAGTTGAAGGCCGGGAGGTTCAACGAGTGTCGTATTTTGTCATCCGTCGAGGCTGACTGGTTTTCCCTGCCGTGCTTCTTCTTCTGGAGGGAATCATTCTGACGTGGATGATCGCTCGAAGCTGGAGGCGGCAAGAGACAGAAGCGACATGGAAGAGTAGCGTGTTACCGATGATCTACTACCAGCATCACTTTCGCGGAGTTGATGCCGACATCGGGACCACACATGAAGGCAGACTCATGACAACAAAGGAGATGGAGGCTGACGCAAAAGGTGTCAAGGTAGAATTTGGTAGAAGGCGTTCCAGCGAAGAGTCAACGTGATATTGGAACCTGGAAGCTGCTTCAATTGAAAAGCCTAGGCTCTACAAATGAAAAACTTGATGTGTTCCATATAAGCAACGCGCAGAGTAGGTCATTAGAAGCATGGGGCATACTAAACCCGTGCATGGAGATATTTGAGGTCGGCACCGCCCCATGAGAAGAAACGTACGAATAAACTATCTATATACAAGTGTTTTTCTATCTCAATTACGCGTCATGATTGTTTCACTGCTTCTTTATATGCATGCGTGTATACTTACAGCCGGCAGAGGCGCCCATTCTGAGTAGGAAGCCCTTCGAGTTGCCGCGTGACGTACCAGCTGTCGCTCCCGACGCCCATGTTCGCGTAGAACACACCAGTAGGATCGATCTTATTCTTCAGAGAAAGAAGACGATCGTACTTTTCCGTTCCGTAGAAAGATTGTTTGAAGTTGGGCTCAGTGACATCACCCTCGCTGGCGTAGCCACCACCACCGGGAGTTACATCCCGCCATGGCTGCATCCAGTCGTTGGTCAACGTCTTAGATCTTTCCGCGGCGACCTCCATAGAAGAACCGACAGGCCATCCAATTACCGAGATGGCAAACATGGCGGCTCCACGCCACGCCGGGTTTACGGCGTTATCTGGGTAGGGTCCGGGGCCACCAGTGATTCCGAACCCGATGATCTCGCCGCCCTTGTCACTCAGGCCCTTGAGTGCCTCGAAAGTGGCGTTAAACTTGGTGGCATCGACGAAGTTCTCAGTAGGGAAGAGACGGCAGGCTGTCTTAGCGGCAGTACCGCCGACAGCCTCCTTCGGGAAACCTGCTTTCCATGCGGGCAGGAAGCTCTTGTGCTCAGAGTAGACGGGAGCGACATTGACTCCGAGCTCCGCCCACTTTGTGAAGAGAGGGGCAGTAAGGTCCTTCAGCTCTTGGAGGGTCATGTTGGGGGCAAACCAGGGGAGCATGGTGAAAGTGAGGGTTTCCGGCCCGGTGTGGAAGATATTCCAGTATTCGTAGTTACCGGCCTCGTTGTAAGTTGGCAATCCCTCCCAGTACGCCTTCACAGCAGCCCAAAAAGCATCATGGGTGACGTTCTCGCTGGTGCTGAAGGAAAAGGTCATGACAGCAACGTTGTCAAGCTTAGGATAAGCTTTGACCACATACGATGTCACAACACCAAATGTGCCTATGTGCAAGTCAGATATTACGCTCGAGGAAGAGCTGGGTCGGGGAAAACTCACTGCCACCACCACCCCGTAGAGCCCAGAAGAGCTCAGTGTTTTGGTTTTCGTTGGCGGTTACGAAACGGCCATCAGGAGTCACAACATCAATGCTGAGGACCTACAAAGGGAATCAGAAGCTGTATCGGGAGTAGCCCAATGAGTGACGTTGCTTACCGAGTCAGCGGCAATACCATACTTGGGTGACAACGGAGAATGTCCACCGCCAGCAAGGTAGCCTCCGGCATAGCCAACAGTCATGCCCTCTCCTCCAACAGCCGTAACTCCGTACTTCTCAGCTGCTTCATAGAGTTCAAAACCCTGCACGCCGGCACCGACCTTGAGTGCTGGCCCTGAGTATGAGCTGGTCTTGTAGCTGTTGTAAAAGTTGATGCTCTTCAGTTTGTGGGTCCATACTGAAAGAGCACCCGATCCGGATGATCGGCCGTTGAAGTCGTGGCCAGTGTTCTTCACGACGAGACGAAGGTTGAGGTTCCGAGCGAAGTTGACGGCCAACTGTATCTGGGCGATGTTCGTGGCCTTGACAACATAGGACGGGAAGCCACCGACCGTGCAAGCTCCGGCAGAAATGTTGTTAACGGACGGAGGCATGCACGTCAGGCCTTGATATAAGGGACTCATGACCGATGTTGGGTCTTCGGTGCTGATGAGAGTTAGAGATGCATGGGATTCTCATGGATTCTCTGGGTAGATCACTCACTGGATAGTGGAATTCGCCCACTCCTGGCTGATGTATGCGCAACGAGCAGCGTCATAGTTGCCAAACTCATCAAAGCAAGAAGCACCAATAGGGACAGTCTCGCTGACGGCAAGACCAGTGAGCAGATTGAAGACATCCCACACGGCTTTGCTAGGCCACAGCAGGTCACCAGGATAGGTCTTGCACTTGTTGAAGGCTCGGGCCGAGCCAGAGCGCTTCTCTCCGGATGAAGTGGTGTCGAATTCAAACAGAGAAATGTTCGTCAGCGAGAGGTCCGTGAGGTTTGCCAGGATAGTGTCAGTCAGCTGGAAGCTCTCCTCTTTCAGAAGATCGCCAGCCAGTGCTTCAGCAGCTGGGGCAACAGTCGACTCGTTGGCGTCTGCATAACAACATGTTAGTCCAAGTACTTTTTTCCCGCCAGGGGTTCATGCAAAGTGAAGAGCAAAACAGCATACCAATCACTGCATCATCGACAGTTATCGTCTGAGCGCCAGCCAACTTGGTCAAGGGCAGGGCAGCAGCCACGAGGAGGGCCTGGCTGAAGCGAGACATTTTGTGTGCCAAGGAGTTGGGGGGTGACTGAGACGTCAAAAGAATGGACAGAGAATTCGGCGAGATGAGCGAGCACGCGCTGCTTGTCACGAATCTCCAATGATGATCGCCGGTTGAAGGCTGACGGTGCGGGAGAAAAGAGAGCAGACAAGACGAGCAGCATGTATGGGTTTTTAACGTCCACGTGGGAGCGTTGCATCTAACTATCGCAGCTCGCATATTCCTCAGAATTGATAATATTAACGAAAAGAAATCACCGCAGTGGGATCAGTCGATAGCATCTCGTCGGCAAGCCGCCGAGTCTACGGCATCCTGGTCGCGGCATGCGGAGGCCGCGTTCGATAGCGGATGGCCACGACATCAGCCAAATTACTAGGACGCGGAAGAAGTGCATCTTTGGACAAGAATGGAGCTTGAACCCGCCCCCGGAGAATGCGCCGGGGGCTGCGCAAGCCTTTCTTACATGCATCTAGTGTCGTCTACTACGACAAACCAAGAGCTGCGTCGAAAGCGTAGTAATAACGGTAGCGAGTTGGAAACCCCGCGTCAGGGTTGCAGCGGCACAACATTGCCAACATCGGCAGTACAGAATCGTACAGGGTTTGGTGCTCCGAGATCGTGGACGCAAGTTCTTCTAGATTTTCTTTCCCTCCCCCGCTGCGGAAGAATTGTGAACTGTAGGCGAGCAAGACTGAAGTCTGTGGGCAAAGCTACAACATCCGCGTCGGCACGCAGTTTGTCTTTCGAAGTTCGTATCCCGTGTGTCTTGTCGTCTTCAGCGGCTGTGGCGTTTAAACACTTCCGCATGAGCGAAGACATGATGTTGCGCTCCGCAGCGCTGAGAGTGTCGGGTAAGCAGATCAATCATCTCGGACAGGGCCCCCGGCGAACCTTCAGCACGCTCTGTCCCCCTTTTGGCACCGCCGCTCCGCTAGCTTCCCCGTCTCTGGTGTCCTTCCGGCCGTCCGCGTCAGTGAATCTCCACTGCAGAAATCAGGGGATCCCGTGGAAAGGAATGGGATTTCAGGCACGAGAATGAGGGATCTCATGTTCATTGAGGCTATCCACATAATAAGGGATGTGGGCTACCCGGGGAAGCATAATACGAGCTTATTTGCAGGATCTGCCTTCGTCAAGGAAGTTGTCCCGCAACCTCAGATCAAATTGTCCTTGGGATGAGAAATGGGAGACCTGTCATCTACAAGCTTCTCAACTGGTAGATTCCACTGTAGCAATGAACGTTTCCTCAAAACAAGCTTCAGTCAAACACATAGTGATGTACTCCGGTAGGCTAAGAGCTAGAATATTCTGAGAATTACTTACCGGCTTCGAGGTAGACATGTGCATGATTGACTGCAATTTCAACTGCAGCTGAGCGGCGTAGCAAACTTTCTTTCCCTAGACCCTGTCACCGCGGCGGAGAACAGAGGTAATATTCGGAAATCACCAACGCCGCCAAGACGATGAGGACGTGATCCGAGTCGTCGACTTCTTGTTACGATTCAGGTCCAGAGCCTCGGCCAGAGGCCAGCCCGTAAGCGGAGAGGGGCGAGATGTCGTATTGCTCACTTGGAATCAGGAAATGCCTTCACGAAGTTGGATTCCGGATCTTGACCCGGCCCCGTTTCCCGCCTTGCTCAAATTGTGCGGAGCTGCGAAGCAAGCTCATCCACTTATCAGGCCATCGCTAAGTAGCCGTAATCCAGAATATTAGCCATGAGGGTTTTTAGGCTGGACGTTGTATTCCTCCATATCATCTGATGCTATCTAGTTCGTGGGGGTTCGATATCCTGGGGTTCAATGTCACAGTTTCAGCTGCAAGCCACCACACATCGTTGAGGTCAAGGAAGATTTTCTAAGCGTCTGAAGGCTCATAAACTACTCCATCATCTACTGAATTCTTCTCTCCATCTTCTGAAATATCTCCTTATTTCATATACATCACGCCTAGTAACCTATGATACTTTAGCTCGCTCTGGTTGAAGATAACAGCCATGGCCTAACCGATGAACACGAGACCTTCGGTCTAAGCCATGGCATGAATGATTAAACTTTGGCGTTATCTGAAATAGTGTCATATACCCTGTCTAGAGGCGTTTTTGACTGCAGGAACCTGATGTATGAGAGGCTGCGATGTTCCGGAATACACCATCCCTGAGCAGTCCCTGGTATCTCCTTGGCCGCTATCCCGCAATCATCTTACAAAAGACTCACATAATTGGTTGCTTAAAGCTAAGTCCCGAATTTGACCAATCCATGTTCTCCCGACCAGACTCTCCTTGATGCCCTGGTAGCACAGGTCCCTTCTAGTGACGGCGAAGAAGCCATGAATCAGTTCACCAACGCCTTGTGTTCCGACCAGGGATACAGCGATACCACCCAAGAGGCGGAGATTTGAGTATCTTCAGCAAGCCTCTGCTGTGTCGAAGTCTCCTCGTACCCTGCGTTCATGAAAACCAGGAACTTGCGAGACTAGTCTGTGGCATCCCAGCTCTGCCATGAAACTGGGTCGCATTCTCAGGATGGAGGCAGCAAGATGCAGAACCAAAGCCCGGTCTCACCATCTCTGGAGAAAGGGACTCGACCTTTTGCAGTGTAGTATTGGGGAATCTCACTGAGTGCCCTCCTCTTCAGACAGAAGCTATCATGAATGATCATGCTCACTCTCACTAAGGTAGGATTGCACAAATACACAGATTGAAGCCCAACAAGGAGCCTTCGGTGACAGATACTACGAGTGCCAGCCTTGAAATCGTCCAAAGAGGAGGTCTTCAAATACAAGAGATCTGTATATATCATCCGAACCACCCACGGGCCCCATCGTGCCAACCCGGCCCCAAGCTTTGCGTTCCTACTTCCCCTGCCTGCATGCCCGCGGATCTCAACATTTAACTTCAGTGCCCAGGCTCCAGGAGTCGAAAGTTTATTCTTATTCTTCTCACGAGTGCCTTCTTTCTTTTATGCCCGCACCCCAAGCCATGGTTCTGGAGTCTCTGTGGCAGCGCGGCATCGAAGCTCGATGGAAAGATGTTCGAGATATTCCGTCAACGCCCCTTCAACAGGCGGCTATGGCTATCCTATTCCTCTTCACGTTGACTGCATTTTTGACGTACGTTTTGCGGATGTACAGCAAGTTCACCACCAAGCAAGTTGGACTTGGTGAGTATTCCTAGTTCACGACGACTGGATAAGATGCGCTGATCAAAGACTAACTCGACTCTTCAGATGACTACTTCATGACGGGGGCAATGGTAAGCCATCACCAATCGGCGGTGTGCCGATCTTGAGTGAGGTGTCCCATCTAACGCGCCGGTGATAGTTCTTCTCTCTCGCACTCCTGGTTCCGACCTACATGTTCTTCAAGTACTACTACGTCGGTTTCCCGACAGCCTCTCTGCCCGACGACTGGGACCCGGCGCCGATGCTGTTCTGGAACTGGATCATGCAGGTCCTTTACAACCCGATTCTCGCCCTCGTCAAATCGTCTGTTCTGGTCTTCCTCCTGAGGCTCGGTGGTCACAAGCGGGGAGTGAGATGGACCATCTACGGCCTCAACACCCTCAACTTGCTCACTATGGTTGCCATCTTCTTGACCGTCCTATTTCAAACAATACCCATCAATGCTTTCTGGGACACGAGTGTGCCAAAGGAGAGAGAGATTGACGGTCCTCTGTTTTACATCGTCAGTGCCATCGTCACCATCATCACCGATTTCTTCGTACTCGCCATTCCTTTTTGGATCTTTCTTGGACTTAAGATGCGGATGGCTGTCAAGATCGGTCTGATTGTGGTATTTCTCGCTGGCGGCGTGTAAGTTGTTCGCAATGCCTCGCTGTGACGCGGAACTATTGCTCATTCTCTCTAGGTCTATCGTCGTTGCCATCCTGCGCGTTCACGAACTCCGCAAGAAGTTTTACAATCTTGACCCAGGCTACGACGCGCGAAACGGGGTCGGTGACACCTACAGCGCCATCGAGGTTAACCTATCGATCATCGCCGCCTGCGTACCAGCCCTTCGTCCACTCTTCCGAAAGTGGATGCCAGGGATGTTCTCCAACAAAAGCAGCAACGACAACGGCGTCTACAACAACGGCCAGTATGCTCGATACGGCACCGGTACAGGCACGGGCACGACGTCAAAACACAACATGCACCGAAACACCGTCGGAAACGGGTTCCCCTTGAAAGATATGCGCAGCACCCACACCGAAATCAGAGGCCACTCGCCTGATGGCAGCGAGGAGGAGATTATGACGTACAATGGGATTATGAGAACGACGAATGTAAGACAAAATGCGACGAAAGATTTGATGGTTTGAGGATACTGAGGTTTTTAAGGTTCAGGTTACGTATAATGATTCGCAGTCGGTCATGACGGATAAGGAGTCTGGGCACGCGGTTATGAACTCTGATAAGCCAGTCAGGAGTAACAGTAAGTTCGGTCTGGCACCTAAGGAGTAGACGTGTGTATCGGTGTATCGGAGTGGACTGTAACCCCATGAGTTGCCCTGTTCTTTGTGCGAAAGGATGGTGCACTATACGGATGACGATTCTTAAGAGCTACGCTCGTCCACCACCTGATTCTCAGCAATGATCTATTCTATACCTACTTGGCCTTGTAGTGAATATAAGTGAAGGCTCATTGGGTATTTCTACTGTTATGCATGAAGCCAAAGTTAGAGCTTAGGATATATCCCTTAAACTCTGAGCAATTTGGTCGTTGTCTTCTCTTATTTGACTCCCATTTAGCACAGTGACTACAACAATAACGAGAGAAATAGCATACACAACTAGACTGTAGAATCTTTTATATCAGTCGTAATATCGAAGCACATTTGGCAAAGGAAACCCGTGGGGCTGTAATGCTGCGGAGGAAACGTTCCAACATAAGCTCAGGCTCAACGTCATAAGCCTACACGCCAAGTGGATTCATCTTTGTATATGTAGGATCATTCGAGTACAGATCCAAAATCATCTATGAACTGTAAATGCTTTCATCATGTTGATAACATGCATGAAATCACATGTGACAGAGAGAGTGGGCAATTCACGTCGGTGAGGAGGGTCTTGTCACCGACTCACCGAGGTGACTGGTAAGCCATGCTTTCTTATTCCATACCCGATCGCTGCCCTTGGCTGGCTGCATCAAAAGTCCTGCAATCTCCTGGCTCTAAACCACTCAATTTGAGTTCTTGCGTCAATTGAGGTCATCCCATTTCTCATCGCCTGGGAACCCTAAGTTCCGGAATTAAAGCCTACAAAATCAACCCAAGTCGTGCTTTCTTTCCAACAGTCGGTCTCTCAATCTCTGCAGGGCTCCCGCGATCGATGGCATGCTTCGCAAGTTGCACGTCCGCTTCATTTCGGCCCCTATGAACATTTGCATCTTGTCGTTAAGCTTTGCCAACACACAGGATCATCCTTGGCCCCAAAGCTTAGAGCCACCTTGAGACGTTGCATTGGGAAAATCGCACCAATCAAGGGGCGCCGTCGTCGGGTGAGGCGGCGTGTTCATCTGATGCCCAACCCATGGCACGTTTCCAAGCAACCTTTCTCAACGACTCCAGGTTATGCGAGGGTCTTTCAATTGCCGGCAGCCGGCTAGGCAATCTGTCGTTCATTACCCTTCTGCACGAGCTGACGGGAAAAGACAGACGGCGGGAAAGGGTCCGTCTTCGTAGCTCAGATGAGCCATCCCGTCGGCCGATCATTTCAACTGAGAATACGGATACCCGCGTTGAGGGACGCTGTCAACTCGGGCCAGACGACGGACCTCGCTCTCATTTCTCACAGATCACCCAATGCCTTCTCCTTGCCTCTCTCCGGCACTCGTGTTGCATTGCAGTCCAGAAAAGGTAAAACGTTGCTGGGGATCCCGGCCAACACTTTCCCAATCCCGAGCTCCAGCTCCATGAGACCGCCCCGACAAAATCGCACGATTGGCGGAGATTCCTGTTCGCCGCAGGCCAGAAAACATCCAGACTCCAGGGTCCGGTAGCGCGATTGTCTTACCTTAAGAAGTGGGAATTAGAAGGGATCGCTGTTGGTGCTCAGCAGATGTCTCCCATTCGAGGAGGGCCGGCCGTCTCGACAACTAACGGACGGAGATTCAAGGCACGCCATGTGCCTGGTTCTTACGTTCGAAACGAGAAACGCTCCGTGTGGGGTTTTTTCGGTTCCTCTTCGAAGCGACCGAGGCGACGCCTCGATGCGACATCAGTGCTCTCACCTGATTGCTGGTTCTCTTTCAGCCGTCACTCTCGCGACCATTTCACTTTATATGGCACATAGCCAAATGCGGCCCCCCTTCCCGCTCTCACGATCGGCCTCGCCCAATGATGGACCGAGAGCAATTCGGACGAGTGGAAACAAACGGCACTCTGTGCCTTTCTCGATATTGAGGAGGCTGCTAGGGAGAGTCAAGCGACGAGCCCATGACTGGGATAAGGTTGCAGCGATGATAGTTCTGGAAGAATGGGATTTCCCACAAATCCCGGCTCAGGCGGGAGTTTATTAAGAAGCCTCGACATCCCGTCTTGGACAAGGAAGCTTGTTTCGTTCCTTTTGAGGCTTTCATTCGTTTCTCACGACATCATTTCGCTCGGCCGAACCGTCACTCTTTTTTTCACTTCCAACTCATCAGTCTTGCAGCCCTCATAAACACACAAAAATGCGTGCGAACATCCCCATCGTCGCCGGCCTCATCGGCCTGGCCTCCGCCCTTCCCACCGACTCCGCCCTCGAGAAGCGCGCCGTCCCCACCGTCTGGACCTGCGGCGACAGCACCATGGCCAAGGCCGGCGGCGGCGCCGGCACCGAGGGCTGGGGACAGTACCTGCAGTACTCCTTCGACACCAGCAAGGCCAAGGTCGACAACCGGGCCATCGGAGGACGCAGCGCCCGCTCCTACACCCGCGAGGGCCGCTTCGACACCGTCGCCGGCCTCGTGCAGTCCGGCGACTGGGTCATCATGGAGTTCGGACACAACGACGGCGGATCGCTGAGCACCACCGACAACGGCCGCACCGACTGCTTCGGTGACGGCACCCAGACCTGCCAGACTACCTACAAGTGAGTGAGGCCCGACACTGTGGAGTATGAGTCTATGCGTGGAATGGCACTGACATGAGATGCAGCGGTGTTGCTGAGACCGTCCTTACCTTCCCTGCTTATCTCAAGAACGCCGCGAAGAAGATGAACGCAAAGGGCGCCAAGGTCATCATCTCGGCCGCCACTCCCAACAACGTCTGGGAAACCGGCAGCTTCAAGTGGGGAGCCGACCGCTTCTACTACTACAGCTGGTGAGTCAAGATGAAGTCCTTCTCAATGCTCAGCACATGAACTCACAACCGCGACCCAGGCTCGCTGTTGAGCAGCTCGGTGGCCCCTCCAAGGGCTTCTACTTCGTCCCTCACGGCGAGTACGCCGCGCAGGCGATGAAGAACCTCGGCGCCTCCACGATCAACGCGAACTACCCCAACGACCACACCCACACGTCTCCCTACCTCGCCGACGTCATGCACAAGGCCTTCGTCCTGGGTCTGGAGTGCGGCACCAGCGCCCTCGCGAAGCTGGCCAAGAACACGACCGCTTCGCTCACGTCGACCTACCTCGGCGGCTGCATCGACAACTACAACTCCACCGTCCACGCCCTCCTCCGATAAAGATCTATCATATGACTGTCTATATTTATAGCGTACATAAGCTTGGATTCATGCACATACTTGAAGTTTCCGGGGTGCCACGGTGCTCAATCAGTCCCGTCGCCCTGAGAGTATATACAATACAAAGCACATCTTCACCGTCATCAGATTGCCCATGCTTTGCAGTGTTACTTGCCAGACTTGTTCACGTCCCGAGATGGAACCAATGTCATCGAATTTTGAGAACACCGGCACATCGACTGACATTTCTCCATCAGCCAGGCAGCCTCATTATAGTTGCCTCCCTGCAGAACAATCCTTCATCAGGCCAGAGTCCGAGGTCTGGGACCACAGTTAACCGGGATTGGGGGCGGAGTGCCGGTAGCTAAGCTAGCTATTATAAGCAGGACGCGAGACAAGCTGGCCTCATTATTGGCTGAGATACGCGATGCATTCCCACGATGCACTCGGCCTCGGGTTCCTGTAGGCAACCGCATAGTCTCAAAACCGATGAAAAGGCGGCCCTATTCATGATTGTTTCTCGCCGTCGTCAATGGCTCATCAGCAGCTTCGAATATCATTCTGCTCACACCCGCAATTGACCAATTGAGACCCCGGTAATCATAGCCCAGCATGGGGTCTGACGATAAGATCTCCCTCGAGTTCATCCCGACCGGGACGTGCTGGATGCGCGAGCCGATGAGCGGCCAGCCCGTCACCAACAGCTTCGTCCCGTTCCGCATGCTCCGCTCCTTCACCGGCCCGTGGCTCGGCCCCCTCCCGATGGGCGCGTTCCTCATCCGGCACCCGAACGGCCCCATCCTCTACGACACGGGCATCTCGACCAAGTGCAATGAGCCCGGCTACTTCCCCTGCTGGAACCCGATCCCGGGTTTCCTTAACAAGTTCGACGTCTCGCCGGAAGACGCCATCGTCAACCGGCTCGCCGAGCGCGGCGTCAAGCCGACGGATCTCCAGGCCATCATCGTCAGCCATCTGCACCACGACCACGCCGGCGGCCTGAAGGACCTGGCGCTCGCAGCGCCGGACGTCCCCATCTACGTCGGGGCGGAGCACTGGGAGGCGTTCGGGAAGCACCAGATCTACGCCGCTATCCAGGGCGCCATCCCCTCGGACTGGCCGCCGAACTTTGAGCCCAGGATATTGGATTTCGACGAGAAGCGACAGGTTGGTCCGTGGAGTCGGTCGTGTCAGATCACTGCCAATGGAACAGTGGTCGCAGTGGATACACCGGGGCATGTGCCAGGCCATATCTCGCTGGTCGTCACTGGAGACAACGACGATGGGACGAAGACGACGTATTTCCTGGCCGGCGACGCGACGTATGGTATTCATCTCCTGGAGAGCGAGGCTCCGGATGGTGCAAATAGCGACCCGTTTACAGCTTTCGAGAGCCTGAAAAAGATCAAGGAGTATGCCAGACATCACGAGGTTGTTGTCTTACCTACGCATGACCCAGATACCCCTCGCCTGCTGAAAGATAGGGTAGTCTATCGTCCGCAAGACGAGGTCGAGGAGGAAGTTAAAACATGAGGGATTCAAGTTGTTTACCAGGAGTTCTGTAAGAAAGGATTTACCATAGACACGGGTAGTAATAAGCCATTGAAGGAAACTTTTATCAGCACTCGGTACATCAGTGAACTCATTGGTTTTCACATGGTCATTACCGACCTACTCCGGACTTTGGAGATAAGGATGAATGATCTGGAAACTGTGAACACAGGCCCCCGACCAAGGTGAGCTGGTTTCAATGATTGGGGGAAACTGTCGACAGCTTCCGAAGGCCCAGGTACATCACACCTCCAATCTCGGCATGTCAGCTTACATGGATTACACGCAGTAGCGAGCCGACATCTGATCGATAATGCTGACTGAATGAATGAGTTGTAAGATAACTGCCAAGTCAAGCCCACGCGGTCTTCATCATCCTGTCAGCGCCATGTTTTCTGGCGGGATCACCCCTCTACACCATCCTCAAAATCGCCAGCTTGACCCCGTTTTTCCACACAGCGTCGACCGACTCACGAAACGCCAGGCAACATTCGCAAACCAACAAACCGCAACCATGATCCCAACAGACATCCCAAAGACAATGAGGGCCATCCAGGTCGTCGAGTTCAACAAGCCCTACCAAATCACCACCGTCCCCGTCCCGACCGACCCCGGCCCCCACGACATCCTCGTCAAAGTCGCCGTCGCCTCGTACTGCCACACCGACAGCCTCTTCCACGCCGGCGCCCTGCCGCTCCCTCTCCCCATCACCGCCTCGCACGAGGGCTCCGGCACGGTCGTCGCGATCGGCTCCGCGGTCGACAACTTCAGGCAGGGGGACCGCGTCATGTGCGGGGTGCCGCTGGGCTTCTGCGGCGAGTGCGCCGAGTGCACCGGCCCGGAGAACTTCACGCACTACTGCACCAACCAGAAGGGCATCCTCGGGATGCAGGTGGACGGGTGTTTTGCCGAGTACGTGAGGGCCGACGCGCGGAGTAGCGTGAGAATACCCGATTCCATCACGCTGCTCAGTGCCGCGCCTTTGGCGTGTGCCGGGCGGACGGCCTGGAGAGGCGTGCAGCAGGCCGGGCTGGAGGAGGGGCAGTGGCTCGCGATTGTCGGGTCGGGAGGCGGGCTGGGGCATTTGGGCATTCAAATGGCCAAGGCCCTAGGCTTGCGTGTTATCGGCATCGAGGCGCGTGATGAAGGTCTGCAGCTTTCGAGGAAGTACGGAGCAGATGTTGTGCTTGATGCGAGGAAGGGCAACGCTGGTGTTGTTGCCGAGCTACAGGAGGCGACGGGCGGGGTTCTCGCGGATGCGACGATCAACTTGGCCGACTCGGCTGCCGGTTTGGCCTGCGCGGTGACGAAGATGCACGGCACGATGCACCAGCTCGCTCAGCCGGCTGAGGTCAAGATCCCGTTCATGGAGCTGATGCTCCGGGACATTACGGTCAGGGGCAGCTTGACCTGTTCTAAGGGAGAGACTGAAGCGATGGCTGAGCACATTGCAAAGCACGGTATCAGGTTGGAGAATAACGTCTATCGTGGACTAGACGAGATCTTTAACGCGGTCGAGCTCGTTCACAGCGGGACGATTAGCGGCAAGGCTGTCATCATTATAGATGAAGAGCAATTGAAACGGGACGAGGAAATTGGGGCAACGTATTAATCTTTTGTATATGCAAATGCATTGTCTATGAATACAACAGTTCATCTCAGAATTCATGACTTTTGAGGTGACCCCTTCTCGGCCGTCGCCGTGACATCTCGGCGGTGTTTGTCCCACGGGCTTCCTCCACGATTCGTGGGAGTATCGCCATGATGACTGGCGACCTTGGTGTCCATCATAGGTGTGGAAGGCCTGTCGCCCTCCTTATGTCCTCCCGTCCCGAAGAAGCCCTGCAGCCTGTGAGATATGCCGCCCTCCGTGTTGCCGGTACTTCCACTCGTACCTGAAGGCTTGGAAGGACCGTGAGTCTCAATGGCTCTGCTGTTCGCGTTTCCACGACCATGTCCTCCGCCAACTGCGCCCGCATCAGAGGGGAACTTCTCGGTCGGTCCCTTGGCGGTGTCGCGGTTCGGGTTCTGCGTGTTGCCGCTCTTGAGGCCGGAGCCAATGTCGGTGCCGCCGGTCGCGTGGTTCATGCCTACGCCGGCACCGCCCATGCCGAGGTCGCGCTTCGCGTTCGCCTGTTCTTTCTTGATCGCGACTTCGTCGGCCGTGGGACGAGGCTTGTCGGTGTCGTGAACATGTTGAGCAGGGTCGCCGAAGGTGTTCGGCTTGCGGAAGTAGTAGACACCGCCGCCTAGGACGGCCGTGGCGCCGAGGATGGGTGTTACGAGGCCTCTTTTCGACATTGTGGGATGTGGTATCAAGTCGAGTAGAATCTAACGTCTATAACGATGCAAATAATCTGGTAAACAGATGCTGTAGGTTCCTTTGGTGGTAATGAAGAGTCGCGTTGGCAACACCCAGGCAAACAGCTTTCCGCAAAGCTGGTTTTAATCGACATCCCTTGTGACGAACCCATGGCATCATCCGCGGCGTAGGTTGCCCCTACCCAACGCGCTCATGCCTCATCCGATGCGAGGGGGCGCATATCGATGACAGCTTGTGGTATGGGCGATGACATCAGGATGCGATCTAGCGGAGCGCCCTCTCGTTCGATTGCGATTTTTTGTCTGGGGCCCGATCGGCAGGAACCGCGCATCGATGACGACTTTGTTTGATTCGCCAATTGGGGGCGGGCTTTCAGCCGCTCTCGCGAGCTAGTGAAACAGTCCACCGGATCTGGGATCTGAGCTTTTCGAGGATCGATCGTGGGAAGTGTTTTACTAAATGCTGCGTCTCATCTGGATGCATCTCTTTCGCAGGGTCCCCGAGCGGGTCCATCACCGACCGGGCCTCGGCCTCGATGTGGGGTCTGAGCGGGTCTCACGGGGCCGGGGAGAGGGGGGCTTCCGGTTCGGCGTCGGAGTACTCTTTCTCCCGGAGAGCTTCTTGTGCCAGAAGTGCTTCGATGGCGACGGCGCCCTGCTGCTCCATCCAGCTCGATCTTTGGCCCAGCAGCCGCCTCGCGTACAAGCAAAGAACCGCCATCAGCGCGGCTGCGACCGATGTCGACTGCAGCACGATGAACCCCGTCCCGAATTGCGCGTTCACATTGCCGGCGCTGGGTCTGTTGACGTAGTTCCTCAGAAGCATCCCGTTCAGCAACAGACAGAATGCCGGGAGGAACACGGCGACCGGCAGCATGGGCCACATCCACATGCGATACCGGTCCCAGAAGGTCGACGGGAGGGCCTCGATCTCGGCCCGTGAGCCGCGCGGGCAGGGACACACGCGCTTGAAGAACGGGAAGTAACACTGGCACTGCAGTGAACTTGGTCGAAGATGGATGAGAGCCTCGATGGTGAGCAGGAGAATGAGGAAAATGATGGAGTACAAGTGTGTAAAATACGGAAGTGCCGGGGGCATGTCGTAGTTGCTGAAGCGGAACGAGTCGAAGAAGGGCGAGGTGCATTGCCCCGTGCTGCGGAAGCAATCCCAGGAGGTCGACGGCGCGCCGAGCTTTTCGCCGATTTCGATAAAATGCCGTGGCAGGTCGGGTTGGGAGGAGACCAAGGCCGCCGTCGAGTCCGCGTGGTATTCGTAGCCAAAGCTCGACAGAAAGAAGTGCATCGTGACGAGGTACGAGCCGGGTTTGGAGGGAGAGGGCACGATCCCGTCAAACTACAGTGAGGATTCAATCAGTCACCCGACGTGCATGAGCATCGAGCAGTAAAACCAACCTTCACGATTGACAGACTCGACAGACCGAGCCGCTGGGTTCCGTCGGCGTTGCGCGTAATCCATGTGCCGGCGACAAGATTCAATAATTGCACGATGCCAGTGTAGGCGCTGAGAGCATACGCGAGAGCCAGTAAAGCCGTCCTCGTGCGTTGGCGCATGCCGGGCTTCTTCGTCGTCGTCAATTTCTCCATTCTGCTCGGTCTCAATCCTCCGCGAAAGAGGTCGTTCTAGACTTTGAAGATGCCGGTGCCGTCCCAAGACAATCAATCGGTTGATCTTATGCGCAAGCTGCTTCAGATGAACGCGGGGTTTTGAACGGGAGATGAACGGCTTTAAAGCCTACTGAGGGTGTGTGTTGGTTGGGGTCCGGGGTCGCCGGGGCTGTGCCGCCGAGGAGTTTACTCGTGTTCTAGAAAAAGCTTCGCCTTCGCTTTCGCAAAAACGCCACGGCTTGGCGGGAACGGAAAAGTTGAACCAGATCGTGGCCGATTGCGAAACAGTAGCATCTTCTATATACGCGAAACCGATCCCAATCATTCGGCCTGACAGGATATGACAGCTGCCATCAGTCATCCTGTCCCGCCCTTTACGTACAGTCGGGGTTGTCGTTCAGCTGCGGAACTCCGTCTTTCTTCGTATCCGATATCCCTGGCATACGCGTATTTCGCATGATTTGACCTAAACTTCACAGCCTCCATCTCTTCAACGTCGCGATCGCCCCCTTTCCATCTTCAGCCCCAATCACTGTTTGATCTCTTGCTTATGGAAAACACCTGGACTCAAGTTAGTGGCTTCGAGCCTACGCGTACGCCGTTGAAGTAGGGCCATACCTTCAATCTGCGGCATCCAGCCCTCGCGCTGCGAGCAGAAGAACTCGCCCCTCGGCGGCACCTTGTCCGGCTCGTCGAACGTCCCCCACACGACGTACCGGAACTTGTCGGCCGCGGCCTCTCCGTATTCGCAAGTGAAGGCGCCGCAGTCGCCGCAGAACTCACGGATCACGCCGTTGTCCTGTTGAACTTGCGCGGCTCGCCCTCGGTGTAGGAGAAGCCCTCCAGTGGCACCTGCGACGGTCGGTTTCGCTTCTGTGAGAGGGAGGAGAGATGTGCGACGTACCTTGGTGGTCAGGCCGTAGTTGGTCCCGAAGGCCCGTTTGCAGCTTGAGCAGTGGCACAGCGATGTTCTCGCGTCGTCTGGGGAGTCGAGTTCGACGGAGTACTGCAGCTTGCTGCAGACGCAACGGCCGTCTAGCGTAGTAGGCATTCTTGTGATGTGGCTAGGAAGACACTTATGGAATTTGATTATAAGCTGTCGAAGGTAGGTGGTGTGCTAACGTTTTCACGTTTCATTTCATTCTGTTTCGAATCAAAATGTCCCGAGCACTCTTTATGAATCCTCAGCAGTGGTTCTGATGCTCGATGCCATCATGATGTTACCGCAGGCACGCCTCGGCTGAGATGACTGCTTTCTGACGTCACGATCTTCACCCGCAAATGCACTCGCTGAGAGAATGCGCAGTCTTCTAGGGTTGGTAAACATTATCCGATATTCACAAACTAGATTGTATGTTTATCTGCACATTGTCAAGTTCGATTAGAGACACTCGATCGATACTGCATCGGCATTTTCAACTATGCGAGTTATGAGTTGACGTCGCATCTATGTGAGCTTAAGGTGTACTAAGAAGGACGGGATGACAGAATACGGATTGCCAGCTCGGGGATAGGGAGTACTATTGTTACTGCCGTAACTGTCTATCATATGCTGTGCATCCGATGGCTATCGAACCGGCCATAGTAAGTTGCGGTGAGACCAGCCGGCCCAGGGAGAAACACTCATCGAATCTTCTGTTTTGCTGCAACAAACAATAAGAGAGCATACAAGCACTTCATTGTTCTATTCAGACATCAGACATTACGCTACATACGTCGACTTCAGGGACGCGCTCATCAACACCAGGCAGTCTCAACTTCCTCGCCACTTCTCGAAAGACTTCAACACCGTCAGAGCCCACGTTCCCGAGTCGCGCCAGCCTTCTCTTTCCATCGGCACGCTGGGCCCGACGTAGACCTGCCGCGGGTGAACCTTTGCCATCCTCGCGAGCTCCTGCAGCCGGACCGCATGGCGTGTCTGCAGCGCAAAGAAGTCGTCAAACAACACCGAGCCGAGGACTCTGAGAGTGCCGTCAAACTCATCCTGGCCATCTTGCCCACCCCTTCTCTGGCCTCTTACGTCGTCTTCTGGGAAGGGTGCTCTCGCGGTCAATATGAAGCTCCCGAGGTCACCGCGAGGGATCACCGGCTCGGCGTTGTCCTCGACAGGGTTGATGTGCGACTCGATAGACGCCTTGTCGGCGACCAAGAAGATCTGCTCTGCCATGGGGACGAAACCCTCGCATGCCGGCGTCTTGATGTAATCCTTGTAATGCCTGTGAACGTCAGCAAGCACTCATGACAAGATTGGGACGGGTAACTCACTGCTTCGCCGCCTCGACGTCGCCCTCCGGGATGCCATGCTCCCGGCCATCGAGCCACCGCACCTTGCACATCGGCTTCAAGCTCTGCGCACCATCCACCCCCTCGCCCCAAACCGTAACGCTCTTCCTGAACTTATCCAAGAAGCTCTTCCACTCCTCGTCAGAATGCTCATAGCAGATCCTGTACCCGACGAATCCCCAAATCCTCACCGGACGATTCGCCATCGTCAACATGAGCCTGACCTGCGCGACCCACGGCTCGTCCCCAAGTTGAGGCGGCGGCCCCCGCAGTTCCGATCTCGCCTGCTTGTACTGGCTAACCTGCGACCGGCACTGTTCCCCCAGGCTCGCCGGATCCGAAGGCTCCCCGGGTCGCGTGCCGCTGCGGAGCCGGTTCATGATGTGCTGGTGGCTGAGGAACTTGCATCGCATGCCGTAGATCTTGGACCGGAGGCGCATGTCGGACGGGAAACTCGTCATCGGCTGCTCGCCGGCATACCCGTTCCAGTCCTCCTTTATCCTCGCAACCGCCGAGGTGAGGGTCTGCAGACGAAAACCGGACGTGTGCAGCATGATCTTGGTGTCGGCCTGGTTCGTGAGCCCCGTGAGATCGTGTATCCGGTCCAGAATCTCCATCTGCTCCGGCGAGGGCAGCGATCCGTCCGTGGCGCCCGTCGTCCTGCTCAACCGCTCAAGCTGCACCTCTCTCAACTCGTCTATCCGCGCAAGCGTCCACGAATGCGCCCTGGCGGCGACCGTCTGCAGGTAGTCCACCATGTACTCCTCCCACAGCGCCGTGACCGACACGGGACCGCGGAAACGCCTCCTGCGGTACTCGTTCAGCGCGTTCTGGAAGTTGCTGCACGCCTCCCAGACCTCGTTGTGCGTCTTCAGCCGGCGGTAGTGGCTGTGCGGGAGGTTGAGGTACTCGAAGGCGTCGACGACCTGGCACAGGTGCTGACACGCGCGCTCGAAGTTGGCGGGCTCGTCGAGGCCCCTTTGGCGCCATCGCGTCATCGACATGGGAGGCAGGCCGTTCAGCAGCCGGGTCTTCGTGTGGTGCAGGTCGCGGTCGCACTTGGTCCCCGGGGAGCTGAAGTCGTTGAACAGGTTGCCCATGCCGCCGACGGAGCTGATGATTCGGAACATGGCGTTGTCGAAGCGGCTCTGCGAGTTGTTGTACGGCTCGGGCGCCCACTCCGTGTACGGCGAGAAGAAGAGGCCCTTTTCGTCATCTTCGAAGCTGCGTGGTTGCGTGAAGTCCTTGCCGCTGAACAGCTTGCCCCCGATGAAGAGCAGAGAGAAACCAGTGGCGGTGTAGCTGGGCAAGGGGCTATCATCGTCTGGAAGAGGCGTGAGAAATGGTACGTGGTAAGAGGAGGTCGTCGTCGCCGCCTTTGGCTCACTTACTCACTAACACGAGCTGCGGGTGATTGTAGTTGGGGTTGACCATGTCAACCCCTTCAGGGTTGTTAGTCGTAGCACGCCACGGCATATTGACCTAAGGTATTCAATTGCGAATGTCACGGCTGGCTGGCAAAACGGTGAAAAGATCCAGATGAAAAAAGGGATGAAGAAAAAATTGAGACTATTTTATAACGGCTCATTTCCCAAAGTCCAAGACACTTGTTGGTGCCGTTGGTTCAAAAAGGAACCATGGGCTCATTTCTGCCTGCGCAGCCCTGTAGAACATGTCCAATAGGGGGTGCTGGTTGGAGCAGGGGATGTCGGAACGAGGAAGTCTAGTGGTCTTGGAGCCTGGATGGCGGGCCCATGGCGCTCAAAACGGCAACGTTGCCTGGACAGAGTGTTTTTGAGTCTGGCGCGATGGATTCAGACGCAAGCCGCTTATCGGATAAAGCTGACACGAAAAGCTGAAGAGAGAAAATAGAGCTGAGATGGCTTCAATATCCACTTTCACGAACAATAGCCGTTATGTTGAGCTGACTACTGCAACGGCATCGCCATCAATGGTCTTGAATATATCGGATAGTGATCGTTCAGCATCCTTCCAAGGTTGATGGTAGATTGCGTACCCTAAGAACTGCTCATCAGAAAACGGTCTGTCCGACTTTTTGACTTCAAAATCATCACTTTCAGCTTGTCATGCCGACTAAAAGCATGGGTTAATGAGTTTGAGAGCAATTTACTTTAATGAGATGTTGAACTGCTATATGAAGAGTTGAGCGTCCGTTTTCTTCCACAGGCTTCCTTGTCATGAAGGTCACCTTCAGCAATTCTCAAGTCGCCATGGTTAGTGCCACTGCCTTCATGTCTCTTAACTACTTAACGAGCAATTTCATCTCGCAAGGAATGTTCAGGTCTGAAATAGTCGCATTGTTTGATTCAGCTTCAGTTGAGTACGGCATTCCATGGAAGTATGAAAGCCTATTGCGCAGAACAATCAATATACGTTCGATTGACGGACTTTCGAAGTGTTCTCATTTCCTGTCGGCAAGTACAGCTTGAGCCTCTCATAGACGTGTTGCCTCGGTGTCATCATGGTTCTAGATGCATGAGATGAAGGAAGTCAGGGAAAACGCACGACATATACGTATGAAGTATTTGACGAGAGCATGCATCCTGTTAAGTAGATAATCATGATGAAGAACGAAGAATTGAGAGCTGATATTTAAGCATTTTCATTAGAAGTGCAACTTGGAGTATGCCATAACATCGACGACGATTGAAGATGGCCAGTAGTTGTATGAGCAGGAGTATTGAAAGTGCCTAGTGGAATCGGATGGGACTACCAAGTAGTCAGCCTTGGTCGTGGACGGATCGTACACCATTGAGAATACGTCTTCTTTTCTCTTCCATTCTTCCTCGTCAACGAAGTGCCCCAACCCAAGATCGTGGAGTGCTTGATGGGGCAACTACGTCCGTGTTATTTGAGACGCTTGATAGTAACGGCACTCTGGATTACGACCTCTGCTTAACGGGCATTCTATTGTGATGCTTTGGCTCTACCATTGGTTCTCTCCTGTGGTTGAATTTCCATGGCACTCGGGTAGAAGTAGCTTGAAGTTGAAACAACGATCGCAGGAGTGAGCCTGGCGATACTGGAAGCGACGACTCCTGTGACGATGAAGAGGGTACGTCATCAGCAATGGCAAAAAAACGATGGTGATACCTGTCGCTTGAGCTTCGATAAGCTGCATGCTTAATGAAATCACGTTCTTAGCCTTTGTAAGATGGAAGCTGTTGGGAATAACCAGCACCTAGTCTAGGACTCTAGGTGTTGGAAATTGCTAGCTTGAATAACCATCGATTCGACAACAGGGCAAGCAATGTGAAATTAAGACAATTATTTCCTTCAAGACTACGGGTACTCATGATGCTGATATGTTCGGTACCCGGCACCACGACTCAGGCCGCTCGGAAGCCGGCTAGATAACTGCATGGAAGCGGTTACCTCGGATGCAGGCAGTCAATCTATCCGGGCCAGAAACCGCCCAATACCCCTGACGGATGGAACCACGGGCGCAAGGACCCGTCGATCGATAAACAATTTCCCACCATTCACTGTCGGCAAGGGGGTTCTCGAAGCTGATTCTCGGAGGGCATTAGAGTTCGAGTCGGCTCTCCTCGCAATAGACCAGTTGCTCACGGGCGGTTCTCGATTGGACGGGAAAACAACTACACGGCGTTTCTCGAAATTGAAATCTTCCGTCGAGAAACACACATCATGAGATGAACTGTCCAGGCCTTGCGGGCTTTGTCTGGGCTGGTAAACGATTTGTATAAAATGATAGACGTCGACATGTCTTGGCATCCGGGGTAAGCAACGTGGGCACTAGGGCGGTTCGAGCTGAGATCCTACTCCAGATCTTCACAATGGCTGCCAAGACTCTGATCTCCGTCATCTCCGTGCTCTCCCTCGTCAGCTCCGCTGCAGGTCTGACCTGTCAAGTTGCCGGTTGGTAACCTTAAAAATCTTCTTGTTTTCTATTGGAAATATCAGACTGACCATCGAACAGGAGGGGCTTCGGACGACTCTCCTGCGATCCTGGCTGCCTTGAAGCAGTGCAACAACGGCGGGACTGTGCGTGGCATCACGGACATCTGACATTTAACGGACATGAGTGGCTGACGTCATATTCACTTTGCAGGTCGTTCTTGACAATACTTACACGATCGGATCCGTCCTCAAGACGGACGCGCTGTCCAACATCGCCATACAGCTTTCCGGGACGATCAGCCTGAGCACGGATCTCAACTACTGGCAGAAGAACTCCATCCAGCTTGGCTACCAAGATGCTTACACGGCCTGGGCCATTGGCGGCAGCAACATTCACGTAGGTCCAGAGATATACACAGTTGACGCGATGGTCACTGACAGCTGTTCCAGATCTACGGCGGTGGTAGCTACAACGGTGGCGGCGACGGTAAGTCGTCCTTTTTCACTGTCAATCAATGATGGGTGCATGCTAAAGGAGTCCAGCGTGGTACTCGGCCGGCAAGACTGGCCCGATCATGTTGACTCTTCTGAATGCGAAGAATGTCCTCATCGAGCACATCAACATGAACAAGAGCCCGTTCTGGCATAACCTGGTTGATGGCTGCACCAACGTGACGTACAGCCACGTCAACATGAACTCGGTCCAGACCAGCGGGAAGCAAGCACAGAATACCGGTACGTCTCGTCCATGCCATCATGTGAGAACCTCAGCTAACACCCGACCAGACGGGTAAGTTTGGATGTTCGCCCGGGAGATGTGAGACTAACCCGATCAGCTGGGACACCTACCGCAGCTCGCAGGTCACCATCACAGACTGCACCATCATCAACGGCGACGACTGCGTCTCCTTCAAGCCCAACTCCACCGACATTCTCGTCCAGAACCTGTAAGTCGACACCTCGACCACCCCCCCGTCCGAACCGCGGCATCCTGACTCGTCCGTCCCGCAGCTACTGCCAAGGCTCCCACGGCATCTCGGTCGGCTCCCTGGGCCAGTACGCCGGCCAGGTCGACATCGTCAAGAACGTCCACACCAAGAACGTGACGATGGTCAACGCCTCCAACGGCGCCCGCATCAAGGCCTGGGGCGGCAGCGCCTCGGCGACGTCCACCAAGGGCGGCGGCACCGGCCTGGTGCAGAACATCACCTTCGAGGACTTCGTCATGAAGAACGTCGACCTCCCCGTCGTCATCGACCAGTGCTACATGACCAGCGCCGACGCCTGCGCCCAGCACCCGTCCGGCGTCCGCATCGCCGACGTCCACTACGTCAACGTGGCCGGCACGGGGGGCAAGGCCTCCGAGGTGGTCTCGATGGTCTGCAGCGACGTCTGCGAGGACATCACCGCCACGGGCACCAGGCTCGTGGGGACCAAGGGCACGTCCGAGTACATATGCAAGAACATCGCCTCGGTCGACAAGCTCGACTTCCCGTGCAGCGCGACGGGTGTCACGGTCGGCGGGACATCCAAGACTTCAAAGTCCGCCAAGCCCACCTCCACTAAACACTAGAGGCAGTTGACGACGCAGAATCTGGGGGACGTTGAAGATTCATGAAGAGGGAAACATTATGCGGCACTTTGACACGTTCGACTCAGCAGATAGTTCTAAAGATAGCCTGACAAGTTTCACGAAACCAGACGGCAATGCGATTCGAATCGGCAATTCATGCTGTGTCCTTAGTCGCGTGCGTTTCAAACGACCCCAATTTTCACGAGTAAAGCCTAGGGCCACAAGTTTGCTTCATGTGATGATCCGGCAAGGCGCTGATCATCAATAATAAGTTTTCTCTGAGGGTCCCCATCCTCTCCAAAGTGCTTCCATCTCAAGGCTTCAATGTTGATCACGAGGCTGCGCTGTTCCATGGATTTCATTCCTCGAATCCTACGGTGTCCACCTCCGCGCCAAGCTGGGAATTCTTAGCTTCCGCCCGACACCGCCGTTGACAGCCGCGGAACGCGCGATGGATCTAGTCGCCGTGCTCCTGCGCCCAGCGTGTCGGTTCAGATGAAAATGGGCGGAGGGGGCACGCGACCGCGAGATCAGCCCAACTGATTCAGACGATCGGGGTGTTGGCATCTCAAGTATGATTCCTCCAAGGCGCCTTTTGGACGAGACGAGACGCAAGCAGCCATCGTGCGACTCCAAGGCGACCGGTCTGTAGCTGTAACACAAACAAATTCATGGAAGCGACTGGGTCCCCCCCGTTGATGATTGAAGGGGGGCATGGCGGCATTTGGGGCGGCGGGGGCTTACATTAAGAATGACATACATAATTGGGGAATTGGCCGTTTGACTTGGTCTGATTCGTCGCCCGGGCACATAGAAGTGATGGAGAAGCGAGAATGCCTCGAGAGGGAATCGGTCAAGTGACATGGGACGGACGGCTCAGCCGCGTAGTATTTCGACATTCCTGTCCTGCAGACAGTGAGCTGAGCTGAACCCGAGCTGAGCTGAGCGAGGCAGTACAGTAATACGCGGTATTCCCTTTTCCGATTATCTTTCTTTCTCTGCCCGCCGGCTCCCACGCGTTCGACGATTTCAACATGGAAAACAGACCGCTCCGGCGCCGTTCTCCGCATTCCGCGGGCTCCAATCTCTCAGAGCGTGTCCAAAACCGGGCCTCTTACACACAAAATTGGACACCGACATGGATGAACATGGGGTCGTTTTTCTGGATCCCAGTCGAGAAGCTTGTTTCGGGCGGGTTTCCTAACAAGGAGACAGCCACAACTTGATACACACCACGGCGAAATTTCTCCAGCTGTTCATCTACGACGCGCCGTTACGTTACTCGGAGACGTGATTGGTCCCCTATCCCCTCTTCTGGGTCTGTAGGCAGCTTTCTTCCCTTCAGCTGCGCCCCGATTCTGCGGTTTTTCTGCCCTCTCCTACGCGGTACAGAGTATGTAGCACGCACATCGCGCATCCAAACGGCTACCCGTCATTGGCCTGGGTTGCCGTCTGACATAGGGATAATCCTGGGAATCCCTGGCACCGCGCCGCTTGAGTCGTCTGCTCGTATTCCTAACTCGGTGCCTGCGGTGGGCTTCTTCCAGGACGAACAACCAACTTCGCTTACCAGGCAAACGCTAAGACGGCAAAGTTGCCAGGTCCATGGCCCGCCTTTGCAGACAATGCAACGAGAAGTTGTATGTACCACACACATTGGAATCGTGGCTACGGGGTGGGGGAAGGATCGTTTTGCTCTTTCGGATTCTGCTATTGTTCTGCCCATCCCTTTTGCCAATTCGCAGATTGCGCGACCGCTTTCTCACTGGCTGTGTCCGTTACACGGCTGCCCGCGAAGTCGGGCAATTCTTCCAAGGCTTCCCACAGCCGAGATTTGACCATGGGGTCCATGTCAGCCGGGAAACCTCCCCGATGGGAACGCAGGCAGGCAAACGGGCAGCTCCATGGGTCGGGCACATAAGCATAAGCTTGCCTTGCCTCGACCGGGGCTCCTCGATCTCCTTTTTTCCCTACCTCTTGCTTGGTTTTGGCCTTGCGTTTTTCCACGTTTCTTCTTTGCGTCACGTCCCGCCCGCGATCTCGAATCTTGTTTCCTCGCTTCACATCAATAATCCCCTCCTCCAAACCGTCCGGGAAAGGGAAGACATGAACAGGACTCGCCGCGACTTCGCTCTCTGATCTACCACCTCCTCTCCTCTCCCCTCCCTCTCACCCTCCTTTGTTACGGTTACATGCGCGAGAGGCCCCCCGGACGACCAATACTACCGCCTTCCACTTCCAGCATGCACAATGACCTCCGACTTGGCCATTCCTCGCTTCGCCATGGGCAGGGAAATCTCACATCGGCCCTCGCCTCGCCGCTGCTGGGATTCAAACGGTTGTTGATGGGCGCGGCCTCTCGCTTCTCCAACCAACGCTTCGTCTTCAGCCTGGCGGCGCTCGCCGTCCTGGGCGCCAAATTCATCCACATCAAGAGCCACATGTCCGCTCTGCCGACGGTCCACCTTGTGAACTGGGGCTACTCGTTCTTCGCACAAGACTTTGTCTTGTTGATCATCCTGCGACTGCTGCTCGGAGGATGGCTCTCTCCCGGCCGTAGCAGCGAGGGCCTGGGGTTCTGGCGCCGCGTGGCGGGCATCGCCAGTTGGTGCTTCATCGGCTTCGTGATCGGCCTGAACATCGTCGGCATCTGCTTCTTCGCGACCTCCGGCTCGGAGATCCACTGGTCCAACATCGGCCTCGCGGGTGACGCCGCCGGGCGTGCTCTGTTGCTGACGGGGCTCTTCACGTTGGCCGTCGTCTTTGGGGTTATGAGCCTCGTGGCCTGGGCTCTGAAGGATTTCTTGTTCGTCGCCGTTGGCTTGGCGGCGGATATAGTTTCTTGGCCGTTCCTTTTTGCGGCACGTCGCCGCGCTTGCGGCCCCCAACCCCATTGGGCGACGTATGCCGAGGTTCCTCAACATGACGTCGAGCAGGGCACCAAGGAGGGAGGATCTCGAACGCCGAGAGGCTTCGACTTTTCCAACGGCCTAGAGGGCGTCAAGAGGTGGCCTTGGATGTGGATGTTTTGGCTGGCGGCTTATACGGCGGCCGGGGTCGGACTCGGTGCGCAAGTTGTTATGTGCAGCCTTCGACCCCACGACGGCTCGTTGACGTTCATGTCGTGGACCACGACTCTGCTCCCCTTCATCGACTTTAAGAACTCGTCACCAAACTTGTCGGGACTTCTCCCTGTTTTCGGCTCCGGGATCGGCCGCGAATGGGACAACCGAACCGCGCTCGCAGACCCGATGCCGTTCTCTTGGTTGCCCAAGGACCCGATCCAGGGCTTTGAGGACTGGTACACTAACAAGCCACACTACAACGCGAGCGCCGACCCCTTAAAGATCTCCAACTTGGAGGCCCAGTTGCTTCCCGAGCTTCGGAAGAAGCTCAAGGATGTGCCCATCCGACACGTCGTGACCATCGTGCTCGAAAGCACACGAAAAGACGTCTTCCCGCTCAAACACAACCAGATCAACGAGGAACGTCTGAAGGAAAGCTGGGGCCACGAAGGTCTGCCCGAGGAGGTCTTGGAGCGGCTCAGGACACTAACCCCGGTCGCCAAGTTCCTCACAGGTGATCACGACGACGGTTTCGGCCCCAAGAACAAGAAGGAGAAGAGCCGGGGCGGTCTCAACTTCAACGACGCCTACACGACTTCCACTTACACTCTCAAGAGCATGACGGGCACTCTGTGCGGCGTCACGCCACTCATCGCCGACTTCAACCTCGAGTACCTGCACCACATCTACCAGCCGTGTCTCCCGCACATCTTTGGCGCCCTCAACACCCTCAAGAAGGAGGAGAAGGAGAAGGACGAGCGCGCGTTCGGGTCGTACGACTGGAAATCCTCGTTCATGCAGTCGGTGATCATGGACTTTGACAACGCCGGCCCTCTGATGAAGAAGATCGGGTTCCCCAAGGACAGGGTGATCGACAGCGCGTACCTGCGAAGCGATGAGGCCAAGTTCGGCAAGGTCGACCTGCCCAACGTCAACTACTTCGGCATGCAGGAGACGCCCCTGCTGGACTACATCCGGGACGAGTTCGAGTCGGCCAAGAAGTCCAACGAGCGCGTCTTCCTCACCCACCTCACCAGCACCAGCCACCACCCGTACAACATGCCCAAGAACGAGACCTACGTGCCCCTCGGCCGCGGCCTGGACGACCTCTCGCACTACCTGAACGCCATCGGCTACGACGACCGCTGGCTCGGCAAGGTCCTGGACGTGCTCGACGAGACGGGCGTCGCCGACGAGACCCTCGTCGTGCTGGTCGGCGACCACGGCCTCTCGATCCCGGAGAACGGCATCCTCGCCTCCTACTACAACCCCAACACCGCGAGCAATCACGTGCCGCTCGTCCTCTCCCACCCGAAGCTGCCGCCGCTGACCGTCGACGACGCCGTCTCGACGCAGCAGATCGTGCCGACGATCCTCGACCTGCTCGTCGAGACGGGCTCGCTCTCGGCGCCCCGCTCCGCCGCCGCCGCCGACCTCGCGCGCAACTACGAGGGCCAGTCCCTCCTCCGGCCCGTCTACAAGTCCCTCGACACGGGCACCGGCGCCGCGTGGGACCCGGCGGACCCGCGCTCGCGCGAGGTCGCCAACTGGCAGTTCACCGTGATCAACCCGGGCCGGGCGATGGTGGGCGTGCGGGACGCGCGGCACCGCGGGTGGCGGATGGTCGTGCCCGTCGTGGACAACATCGAGTGGCGGTTCACGGACGTGGACGCGGACCCGGCGGAGAAGACGCCGGTGCTCGGGTTCGACTTTGGCGGGTTCATGATGAAGACGGCCGAGGTCCACGGCGAGGAGGCCGCGCGGTGGGCCGAGGAGGCGGCGTTCATGGCGAGGTGGTTTGTCGAGGAGAACAGCAAGCGATGGCGTTACGGACCTTACGCGGCGTATTGAAGCCGCATGGCATGACATTCCGGCATTTTGGCGTTTCTTCTTTGTTTCTGGGGGTTTTGGGTTAGAAAAGAGTAATTAGAGTAAAGAATTATAATCGTACATACCCAACTCATTTTTTGTGTCTGTTAGTGATCGTGAGATTCGCTAACGAATATCATATTCGCAAGTAACAGACTGAAGCCCAAAATCAGCACCGGAATAATCGTCAATAGAAAGAACAAGAGAACAACCGAATCAGCCAGGTCATCAGACGAGAGAGCAGACGACGTTAAAACATAGTTACCAACGCCCTGGGCCTGTCTTTAAAGTCGCCGCGTCATGCTCCCGAGTCCGCGGTCCCGCCCCCACACGCCCGGCCGGTCGACGCCGCTTATCAAGGCCCCCTCACCAACACTGACTCCGGGCAATCCGTATGGCCTTACAATGAGGACCCCCCCTTGAACGAATGAATGTTAGCGTTGTGCAGATACTTTGCCCTTGCCAGCACCTGATCAGTTGGCCTGCTAGAGCCATGTGTGCGTTCCTGTACCCGAACGCGAGAAACTGGAGTATCGCGGCCTAACTCAGAAGAGTGCGGACCTCTCGCAAAGATAGAGTGGTTACAATCATGTAGAGGGGCTCTTCCGAGCACACTAGCGTGTGTTCTGGTGGCTGACTGAGATCTTTCTCTGTCGCTTGTGAGCAAGGGGGGTGACTCGCGGGGACTGGCGTTCCCCAAGCGTCAGCTACTTGAACTATCAAATTGTCTTCCTCGATATCGCCTTGTTGGCTAAGTGGTATAGCGCCTCACTAGTAATGAGGAGATCATGTGTTCGATTCACATACGAGGCAACTCACCAGCCCTAGGGGGTTCCTTTTTGACATTTTTTGATATTTCGACCGACAATCACCCTGCCACGCCGCTCACCTCTCTCACTACCAACTCCTCATCATCATACAGCCTCCTGCGCTTCGCCAGACCATCATCCCTTTTGCTCCAAACCCCCAAATCCCCAAGCGACGAGTTCATCACATCCCCCAAAAGTCTCAGGAACCGCCTTGCCCGATAGGGCTGTCCCCTCGCCTCCGAAATCCCTCCAATTGGCGCGTCAAAGACAAGGTGACCCCTCTCGTCCCGGGTTGCCTTTCGTCGCGAACACCAGGGATGCCCCGAACCCGCCGTCTCGGTCGGAGCCCGGGGGGGCTGTGTGAACTGTGAAGGGAAGAGGGAAAAAACATCACCAGGGATTCCTCGCTGCGCCACCGCGAAATGCTCTCTGTCAAAGGCTCGAGTTCTGGAGCTCTCGTCTCAATCGCAGTCGAGAACTGTTATTTTTGAGCTGTCAAGCGTCAAAAAACATGAGATGATATGGGGTATCCTAAATCCTATAGTAACCGTGGTGCTTGGTGTGCTACACACTTTAACCTTTCATGTCACGTCGCCAAACCTGACGATGCGATGCGACAGACGCCTGTCACACGGATATCATATAAGAAACCTCACTAATACTCCCCCCTTAAAACCCAACATATCGACCTTCGCTACCAGCGTCGTGGGAACGCACGCAAGATGCATGCCTAGGTCATGAGAGAAAGGATATCCGGCACCTTTATAGCCCCCGGTGAAACCTCAAGACGATGTCAAAACACACGGGCCTGAATATGAACATAGGAAACCCTTAAGTTGCCTCATAGCAGGCTCAGCAGGCTCAGCTGTTGGTTTTGCAACTCGTTTCCGAATGGAGAAACTCAGCCCATTTCAACCTCCCACGTAACGAATTTCCGCGTCGGTCACGCCGGGAAACTTTCAACGTGGCAGAGATGAAGAATTTCAACACCATTGAATCTCATTCAAACTTGAGTCTTGACAACAGGCCGCTGCGGTCACGGTGAGTCCGGCCGCGGTGCCTGATTTGCCGGGATGAGGGGAGGGGGGCCATCGTTGCGAAAAAATGCAATTTGTTAGCGTTCGATTAACGTTACATTGGACCCTGCGAGCGAAGGTATCCTGATGATGAGTGATCCAGTCCGTTACAGGTAGTAGGCGAAGTCTTCCTTTCCTCTCTGTCTCAAGAGGAGCAGCGGTTTCTCACCGCCGCCCCGTTCGAGCTCATCTCCCGCGCCGTCATCAGAACATGACATCGCCCATCTGACGTAGGAGGGTCCCATCATTCCGGAGCCGTTGAAGAATGCCGTCGCGCGTCATTAGTTGTGCAAACGGCGCTGAAAACGCTCTCGTATTCAACGATCGCCAGCACAACTTTTGCATACTAATACAGAATGGCTGGCTAGCAAGCGCGGCCGAAGCTAGCGGCTAGCGGCACCGACGACTCTTTATCTCGGCTAGGACCATTTCGCCTCTGCGAACACTGGGAATCCAGTGCATTATTACGACAGTTATGACGGCCCTTTTGGTGGAGCATTCCCCTGATCGCCCGATACTGACTCGTGCTCGCGTCGCTCGCGCTGCCGAGATCGAGTCCGCGGGCAACACAGTGGTTTTTTGGCGGCGGGATGGAGAAGCCCCCCGGGCAACTGGAAGAGAGAAGATGGCATGGCATGGTCACAGCCCAGCCAGCAGGCCTCCAAAGGGAAGGTGGATGAAGTTCCCACCATCACGCGTGGCCAAAAAAGACTCCGTCCGTCAAACCAAACCCTTGGTGTCCCCTGTCAGAAGAAGATTGGTAAACCTTCCAGACCTCTTCCTCGCCTCCCTCTTCTGGACAGGACAGTTGGACTGTGCATTTCTTATTACTGTTTTCTGCCGGTTGCCCATATTTTGGCAAATCCGCTCTTGCTTCCAAGTTCCTCTTCCGGCCGGAAGCTCTGAATCTTCAATTGTTGATCGAAATTTCACGAAATACCGACTGGAAGATCTCCCGCGAAAGAACTCCCACCGGCGGCCCACCACAGCTTCTTTCATCAACGGTCTGGACGGAGCGAAAAAGTCGAGCGGATCTCGGGGTATTGTGTTGGGGAGAAAGGACCAGAGCAAATAACCAGATATCGAAAGGCCAAGAAACTGACCAACGTCCCACCGAATCGATCGCCGGGCAGATTTGGACATGGACTGAGTGGGCTTGTCGCCAGAGAGTCCTGTCGCGAGAAGACCGAAACGTATCGACGTTGCCTTGGAGGCTCGACGACTGATTGTCTACTTTTACTTTTTTGCCATTGGCCCAGCCGTCGGTCCTGCAACTGTTATTACTCACCGCGCACAATTGCCCACGGCGGGCACGATATAATAAAACGAACCCATCATGGCGACGACGGCGACGCCAACGAATAATCCGCTGACGACGCAACGGGGCGCCGCGCCCTTGACGACCGTATTCACAACTCCAGACTTCTGCAAGGAGCTGTACTGGACCGACACTGTCACGCCGCCGCTCTCGAGTGTCGTGTGCATGCCGACGTCGTGGAAGCAGGTATTCGACTACCAGTGGGGTTATTACTCCCCGGGCATCTGTCCGTCGGGGTACACGGAAGGGTGCTCGTTCCCAACTTCATTGGCGTCTTCGAAGGACGGTAATGTCAGACTGGGAGGGTCTGTTATCGCGGGCGAGACGGCGAGACTGTGCTGTCCGACCGGCCATGTGTGTTATACCGGCACCGACTATCCGTATAGCAAGTGCATCTCGACAATCCCGACGACGTCTTACTACGACATCGACAACAAGCCTACGTCGGCCCTGGCAACAGTGTTTGCGGTGCAGGTCAGGTGGCAGGCTTCGGATTTGAGTAATCTGGAAACGGATCCGACGGTTCCGGGCGCCACATACACAGGACCGAGATCGACAGGAGGAGGAGGTATTAGCGGCGCAACGGCGACCGCGACGGGGACTGTGGTTACGGGTACGGACGGATCGGTATCTACCGTCTCGCCATCTATCGCAACGGCGACCGCAACATCAGAAGGGTCCGGTAGCGGCGACTCGGATGGCGGCGGAGGCGGGTTTTCCCTCGGTACGACGATTGCTATCGCCGTGGGGTCCGTGGCCGGGACGTTAGCGCTGGTGTTGATCGCATTCATGATCTTTTGGCGAAGGAGAAAGAGGAGGGAGCGGAGCAACAGCGTCGACAAGCCAGACTCGTTGTCGCCCCCGATGTTGGCGGCGCACAAGGCAGGCGGCTCTGGGAAAACGTCGCTGGATATTGTGTCTCCGGGCACAGCGACGTCGGGCAGCGCGACAATGGTAGCGCCACACTCTCCCAACCCGAACGCTTCGCAGCTGGATTCGACGAATGTGGTGGAGATGGAAACCATGGAAAGGCCGCAAGAGCTGCCGGAGGATTACGTCGTCGAGCTGGAGGGCGACATGCCGGGCCCGCCATTATACAGGGAGAAGGAGGGTTGGCCCCTGAGATGACCTGAGTTGCATCTCCCGAGCAGGTTCCTTTTGTCGATATCATTGTGCGGCACATACCGTGTCTTTTGTTATGCAGCGCCGGAGTTTCATATGGATGGGTAACAAGCAGTCAAGCTGCTGAGTCGGCATCTCGTTGAACGGGCCGAGGCCTCGGAGCAACAGACGCAACAGTAGGAATAAACCTAATGGAATGATTGTAAAACCGACATTGAGATGCATAATTGTTGCACTGAGATTGAGAAACGAAAGAGACAAAGATGAACAAGCCCATGTTTATAGGATCGTCATGTCGAGTCTGATGCGAAGTCGTAATGCCTGGGTCTTCGTGTGTCCAGATGGGCCCGGCATGTCGTTCAAAGAAGATGTTTCTAGTGCTTAGCCAAGGGCCTCACCCGAGATAAGCGAATCGATCCCGACTTGTTTCCCGCAGCTAAATGCCGCTGCCGTCGAGAGCTAGGTAGCTGACTACCTCTGGCAGCTGCTGGCCAGGGTCACTGACTGGTCTGGCGTGTCTTCTGCACGTGCTGCTGTTAGAATCCTGCCTTTGATATTAGTCCATCTCGCAACGAAGGAGTGATCCAGGGCAGTGTGGCGATCGAAGGCAAACGTAGGAGTAAAACTCGTTGTCCTGCTTGGTGTATGATTGGTGTTGAGAAATTCTCGCCCATCATGCTCTGTGCAGAATGCCAAACCATTACAATGGGCTTTGATGTAGGCGTGTAGAATACCTCACGGATGAACAACAGTTCGTCTGCCTTCTTGCAATCTTTCTCCAGGCCAGGATTTCAAGGCTGGTAACCTTGTCAGCAGTTGTAGCAACAGCCATTGCGTCAACTCAGAAAGTGGCGTGTCCCTGAAAAAGAATATAGCTGTATCAAAGACAGACACGAGGCTGGCAAAACTAGTCGCAAATTGAAGTCAAGTATCGGGTCATGAGGGGCTTGCTCTTCCGGTCGACCGGTTTCGATGATGTTCGCAGGCCAGAGACAGCTGGGTGTCCAAACATGACAGAATTCCAGGCTTGACTGAAACTGAAGACTTGGGAGTAAAATCGACTTATAATAATCTTCGGGTTTTATGTTAAAAACATGATCGGACGTGAGATCATGCCCCATTACCGCAACCTACGTCGCGCTTCTCGGAAGTCATCTTCTGGGACAACGTTCAGCTCCTTTAGCGCGAGATCCCGGTTCCACATTGTGTGACCATGATGACTGCCGAAGAATGAGATTGAGTAGGTCGAGTGGTTGCTTTCGACGGCTGATCTGTGAAGAAGAGCGGTTCTCGTCTGGCGAACTGAGCAATGAGAACCCGGGAGTCGCGACCACGGCCCTGGCCCAATATGAGCGCAAGGCGCTGGGTCAAAAAGGTTCATCGCCAACAATACCCTCTGGCTAACACAAGCGCTGAGGTGAGGATGACCCCGTCGTCATCTGACTTGCGAAAACGGCCGAAGGTTGTCGGACCCTGAAGGCTGATTGTGGAGGCGGAGGCGCGTCCGGCCACCTCTCCGCGTCTTTCATGTGGAGCTCCGGACATGAGCCTTACGGGGCAGAGATAGTAGATATCAAAAGACGCCCGTGTTGATCAGGCTGAACATGGCTAAACCTTTATGGGCGAATAAGTCAAGCCGTTGGACGTCCACGATGGCCACTAACTGGGCCGTGATCCTTGGGGCTGCTTATTCCTCCCTTGTCAGCAGTAAGCCGTAAGAAGTGCACTAAAGCCTCGGTGTGGAGCTATCCCTCGACAACCCAAATCGGGGTGACTCAGTTATTGGAGCTTTGGCTCGAATGATTGACTTCTTTTGGTAGGCTCTTTGGCGTCGAATTGGACGTGCTTGTTTGTCTCTTGTCTCCAATGACAGATTGGAGTGAGTCGGAGGTCGGCCGGTGGGCCACCGACCAGGGATCACCATGGCCAAGGGCGGGATCTTGCGAGTGTTGCATGCGGCACAGTCGTTGGTCCTCTGCAACAGCAACAGGGTGCAAACAAGAAAAGCAATGAGACAAGCCATTGGTCGGAAAGGCGTCTGTACCGTTTGATTTCATGTTTGTCGATCTGCTGGTGAGTGGTGGTGTACCGTAGTGGCTGGACACCGGTCATTCAGCCAAGAATCAGCTTCGGCACCTTGATGGATCCCTCTTCGGAACGCGTGTTGCACCAATTCGGAAGGAAGCTTGCCAGGGGAAGATGCATTAAGACCAGCTGACGGCGCCCGGTCAGCATTTCCCGGTCTCCCTCGTCCTCTGTTCGTCTTCAAATTGCCTCTCAAGTGCCTTCTTGTTGGTGGTGTCTCGTTTCCGCGAAAGTTTCCGATTGCTCTGCCAAATCGAAGGGCACCTGAGCTTATTCGAACACCCCGACCCGATCATCACCACCTCGACATGGACGAAGAGCAGTCCCCGTTGATGCGGATTCCCGCTGAAATCCGCTTGCTCATTTACGGGTACCTTCTTGACGACGGGGGACAGAAGAGACTTGCGATCCGGAACAAGGCGTTGCACCAGCTCTCTGGCATCTCTTTGAGCGCATACAGGCGTTCGCCATACCGGGTGATCGAGAGGTCCTTTCATCGACAGTGTTTCGAGACCACGTACCACATGGCGACGAAGACGAAGCTGCACCCGGCGATCATGGCCGTCAACCGCCAGATCCATCGCGAAACGAGCCATGTGCTGTATGGCACGCACAGCTTCGATTTCAACGGCGACATCGAAGCAGTCGTGCCCTTCCTCCGGGATCTGACCCCGGCGTCCAGGGCTCTGATACAAGAGATCACGATCCGGAAAGACGGACCCATGTACTACTGCGAGAGCGACCGTTTGGATTGGGTCAATATGTGCAAATACTTGCGAGGGCTGGACAAGATGATACCGAATTTGCGGGTTATTGTCGAGGGCGGGAAGCCTTCAGAGGCGTGGGAAGGTGCGCAACGGCTCGAGGCGTCGGATTTCCGGCTGCTTAGCCTCATCAAGCACGAGAGCATGGAATGGATTTCGGAGCTGCAGAAGATCCAAGGTCTCGAGCAGCTGGAAATCGTGCCGCACATGCGCTACCTGCGGCGGCCGAGCACGACGACAACGCTGCTGTTCGCGGCCTTCTCCGCGTCCATCGACACAGCGCTGGTCGACTATCTGCGAGAAGACTGCCAGCTGCCCGCAAGGGCTGGACTCTTGGCTTAGATGGCCAGACGGCTAAGCAATTCGGTTCTCAGATTGCTTGTTGGTGTCGGAACAAGGGATCGAGGGGTCGCTTTCTGGCTGTGCTTTGGCCACTTCGGGGGCTCGGTGGAAACCAGCCCATTGACTGCGGGGAGGACTGGGGATAATAATTGGAGAGAATGCGGAGAAATGGCGAATCTGGTTGGCGGTTTGGAGTCTGGCCGTTTGGGTGTGAATGGGTAACGATTGGCGTTTGATTCCGAGGATTTTCGGAATTTGGTGGTGTATACCTTGCATGTTAGTTCTCAATGACTCTCTTCCACCGAATATGAAGACACCTTGGACCCTGAAAGATGTGATAAAGGCGTTCCATTTCCTGGCGAGATCCTTGGACCCTGGGAAGCCGTGTTGCTGAATGTGCAAGCAGACGAAACTGGAGCTGCTGGGAAGAGATGCGACAAGGATGTACGGTTGGGGATTTTCTCGTGTGGACCTTGATAGCGCAGCTCCTACTTCCGGTGCGAGCCCCGCCTTGGCAGCAGGAGCATCACGTGCACCGGAAAAAGGACACCGCCTTCCAATTCATCACACTGTCTTATGTAATGCGGCAGTATTACATAAGTGACGTCCACCAGCTGCCATCTGTCAAAGCCAGCCGGCCACTGGCAACAGCTCAGACTGGCAGTCACAGGCTTGAGGTCCACTCCTTTCTGCGCCAGCCAGTGTCTGAGGTGCTTTCCAGGTTGCAGCTACGGCACCGGGCGACACCGAGCTCGCATTGTACCTGTACCACCACTGAACGACTGCACAGCCCGGCCTTACCTCATCTGCCTTCCACCAGCCAAGCCAACCAGTAGTCAACAGCCAACCGCCAATCTTCACGACACGATATAGCTTACGTCGTCAGCCTTTCTCAACACTCCACGTCTTCCCATCCGCAGTCGCGCCGAGCAACGCTCCGATCACGCCGCGCGATTGCTCCGATACCCCCATTGTCCAACTCCGAGCCGTCCTTGCTTCTTCCTCCCATGAACCAATTCTGAACCCCCTACGTCGCCTCGATCGATAGCTACCCCGCCGGTTCGACCTCGACATGTCTGCGACTCCCGTGCCGCCTGAGGACCAGGCACGCCTCCTCGAGGATGCTCTGGTCGCGGTGCGCCAGCAGACGGCTCTCATGCGGAAATGCCTAGACACTCCGGGCAAGCTGATGGATGCGCTCAAGTGCTGGTACGTCATCATCGTCCTCCGGATTCCCGGGAGCTCCCCCTGAGCTCTGCTCGCCCTCGCCGTCGCGATAAGCTCCAATCGACCGGACTGACCATTTGATTCTCTTTGCGCAGCTCTACTCTGGTTTCCGAATTGCGTACGAGCAGCCTGGGTCCGAAGCAGTACTACGAGCTCTACATGGCAGTCTTCGATGCCTTGCGATACCTCTCAGTCCACCTCCGCGAGAACCACCCCGTCAACCACCTGGCCGACCTGTACGAGCTCGTCCAATACGCCGGCAACATCATCCCGCGCATGTACCTCATGATCACCGTCGGCACTGCGTACATGTCCATCCCCGACGCACCGGTCAAGGAGCTGATGAAGGATATGATGGACATGAGCAGAGGTGTACAACATCCCATCCGCGGTCTCTTCCTTCGCTACTATCTGTCTGGCCAAGCCAGAGACTACCTACCTTTGGGAGAAGGCGATGGGCCCGAGGGAAACCTGTCCGACTCGATCAACTTCGTCCTCACCAATTTCGTCGAGATGAACAAGCTCTGGGTTCGTCTGCAGCACCAGGGCCATTCCCGCGAACGCGAACAGCGGACAAGAGAAAGAAAAGAACTGCAGCTGCTGGTGGGAAGCAACATTGTGCGACTCAGTCAGCTGGTGGACCTGGAGACATACAAGTCTGGCATCCTGGCCCCTCTCCTGGAGCAGGTTGTCCAGTGTCGCGATGTCTTAGCCCAAGAGTATCTCCTCGAGGTCATCACACAGGTCTTCCCCGACGACTTCCACCTCCACACTCTCGACCAATTCCTCGGCGCCGTGTCACGTCTCAACCCTCATGTCAACGTCAAGGCAATCGTCATTGGCTTGATGGACCGCCTCTCAGATTATGCCGAGCGTGAATCCAAGGACGGCACGGAGGATGACAGAGCCAAGGTGGAGGAAGAGGCGCTGGCGAAACTGCTCGAGAAGACAAGCCTCAAGAACGACACCCAATCTGTCGCCGCTAGCACAGCGCTTCCATCCGAATCTGGCGACGAGCCCCGAAAGCTTGAGGAGCTCGACACGAATGGCGCAGCCAATCCCCAAACAAGCGAAAACGAGGCTCGAGCTGCCGAAGATCTTCCACCACCGGAGCCGGCCCCGTCCGTCGCGGATACCGAAGCTACAGCTGTCAACGGAGAAGGAGCATCAGCAGAGAAGGGCATCCCGGATCATGTTCAGCTCTACGAAATCTTCTTCAGCCAAGTCAAGAACCTCGTCGAGGCACAGCATTTGCCTGTTCAAGACACAATAGCTCTGCTTTGTTCTCTGACAAATCTGGCTCTCAACATCTACCCCGGGAGGCTAGACTTTGTGAACCAGATCCTCGAGTACGCAACACACAAAGTCAGGGAGAATGCCAACAACGCCGACCTGCACTCTCCACAGGCGCAGCAGAGCCTTCTGGCCTTGCTTCAGGCTCCCCTCAACCGTTACCTTTCCATCTTCACCGCTCTCTCCCTTCCCACTTACGTTCCTCTTTTCCAATCACAGTCATATCCCACTCGCAGAGCCGTCGCTGGTGAGGTGGCTAGGACCCTGCTCCGCGACCAGACGAGGATCTCGACTCCCAACCAGTTGGAGAATGTTTTGGAGGTGTTGAAGGTGCTCATTAAGGAGGGCTCCCAGCCACCATCGAACTACCCAGGTGTCGCGCAGCGACGTAATGTCGAGACCGACGAGACGATGGAGGAGCAGGGCTGGCTGGCCAGAATTGTCCATCTCATCGACGGCGAGGATAACGACACGCAGTTCCGCCTGCTGCAGATGACCCGGAAGGCCTACTCCGAAGGCAACGACAGAATCCGCACAACGACGCCTCCGCTCATCACAGCCTGCATGAAGTTGGCGCGACGCTTCAAACTGCGCGAGCACTACGAGGACAACTGGGAGACCCAAAGCAATGCACTGTTTAAGTTCATGCATTCTGCTCTGAGCACTCTCTACACCCGTGTCAACGGCGCCGGCGCGGCAGAGCTGGCCCTTCGCCTCTTCTGCGCTTCCGGCCAGACAGCCGACATGACCGGCTTCGAAGAGGTCGCATACGAGTTCTTCGCTCAGGCGTTTACGGTATACGAGGAGGCCATCACCGATTCTAAGGCGCAGTTCCAGGCGGTTTGCGTCATCGCCACAGCGTTGCACCAGACACGGAACTTTGGCAAGGAGAACTACGACACGCTCATCACCAAGTGTGCTCAGCACGGCAGCAAGCTCCTGCGGAAGCCTGATCAGTGCCGCGCGGTTTACCTGGCTAGTCACCTGTGGTGGGCTACTCCCATGGCCGCCAACGGCGAAACAGACGAGACTGGCGTAAGTGACCCATGACCCCATACCTCCCGACAAGGACTGACATGTCGCAGCTATACCGAGACGGTAAGAGAGTCCTCGAATGCCTCCAGAGGGCCCTCCGCGTCGCCGACTCCTGCATGGAAACCGCCACCTCCATTGAGCTCTTCGTCGAGATCCTTGACCGATACATCTACTACTTTGACCAGCAAAACGAGTCGGTAAGTCAACCCTCCGCTGCTAACCCGATTGCCCGCCGTGACCTGACACCCGCCCAGGTCACCACCAAATACCTCAACGGTCTCATCGAGCTCATCCACTCCAACCTGGCCGGCAACCAGCAGGACTCGGCCTCCGTCGAGAACAGCAAGCGCCACTTCTACCACATCCTCGAGAGCATGAAGAGCCGGCAATACGAGGGTCTCGTCCTTTACCCGAAATGAGACGGCCCCACCTACTGACCCGTCAGCCCTACGCAAGGCAACCTCATTTCTAACATTTGAAAGCCGCGAGGCATGAGGAGGAGGGAAATTGTTATCGGAGTCAGGAGGAGGAGGAGAGGTGGTGGTGGTGGTGGTAATCAGCAACGGCAGTAGCAGAAGCAGGAGAGGGACATGATGATGAATCTTGGAGTAAAACAGCGTCCAGAAGAAAGAACGTGTTCATACGATAAGCGCATGCAATCAAGTTCCAAGGTGAGCAGGAAGTGTTTGTTGTTGGACCGCAACCGTGGTGGGGGGAAAAGCAAAAGCCGTAGCCTTTAGTTGTACATATCTCGTGTGTTGCCCCATTGAAGCGATCGATCCGTGTCTTCGTTGCCCATACAGTCAGTGCCTTGAAGCTTTCTGTCGTGACTCTTCGGTGAACCCACCTTCAGCCGCCTGTCTCCCAGACGGTCGCCTCCCCACCGCACATCCGACGAAACACATCATACACACTCAATCCGCAGTCGCGTCAAGTATGGAAGTTCACATCGACCAGATCTTATATCTCACCTATCTTCAAGTCACAGAATCAACCCAATCAGTCATGGACAGCCACGTCAACGTTTCAACGCGCAGTTCGCGGCAGTAGATATTTCAACTACCTAACACACTCAACGAAACTCCCAAACCACGTCGGAAGAAAAAAAAGAAGAAGAAAACAAGACGCGCAATGGATCTTCAAAAAAGTCCCTCCGAAACTCCTTGCAATGCCAACAAAAAAAGCCAGGACGTTAAGCTTCGTCCGGCCTTTTTTTTTCGTACCTTATAAAAAAACACAAGAAAAAAAGCAGTGACTCTTCCCTCTTCTGACGAGGTTCGGTAGTGGTGGTGGTGAGGAGGATTCCGTTCGAGGAACGTCCTCCCTTTTTCTTTACACAAAACGAAAAAAATGCGTAGGGAGAGAGGAAGTGGGTTAAGTAAGACAAGTACTTGAGAAAGACGAAATCGGTACGGGAAAGGGAAAACAGGGGAAGGGGAAGAGGATCAGCTGTCCTTCTCCTTGGACTCCTTCTCCCACGCCTGGAGCATCGTCGTCGCGTTGGACATGACGCGGGCCGTCTTCTCGACGAGCCTGTTGGCGAGGTCCCAGTCGCCGGCGTCGACGGCGTCGCGGATGGCGGGGAAGGTGACGGGGCTGTTGCCGGACCAGGCCTGGGGGCCGTAGATGACGTGTTTGAACTGGGAGCGGTTGGGGATCTGTTGCAGGTTTGTCAGTGTGTGTACGTTAATGTGATTTTGCAAAAAAAAAAAAAGGAGGACAACTTACGCCGCCGCCTTGGTCGAGGTCTAGTAGCGCCGTCTCGAAGTCGGCCATGTGCGAGTTGAACTCGACGCGGAGGTCGCCCATGTGGCTCGACTCCCAGCCGCCGCCGCCCATGACGATGGTCTCCCAGGACATCTCCCACATGGCGAAGGCCTTGAGGCCGATCTTGATGGGGTCGACGATCTTCTTGAGCGGGTCGATGGAGAACTTGGACTTGTCGACCTTTTTGCGGTCGCAGAAGTTGGCGAGGTCGTTGACGTAGCGCTCGATGCGGTCGCCGTAGCCGACCATGTCAAACGGCAGAACGGGCTTGTCGGCGAGCTCGAGGATGAGGAGGCCGACGACCTGGCCCATCATGGCGTGGTAGGAGAACTCCGGGTCGCCGATGCGCTGGACCCATTCGTAGTTGTCGTAGCTCGAAGACTTGGGGAAGCGGGCGCCCCTGAATCCGAGGTCGAGGGAGCTCGTGCCGACGATGTTTTGGAAGGGGACGTAGTCGCTGTCCATGCCGAGCTCTTCGAGGTCCGCCTCGCGCTGCTCCCAGAGGTTGCGGAGGGTGTTATTCAGGTTTGCGTCGAAGACGCGGTCCAAGACGCGGAGAACGGACTGCTTGAAAACGGGGGATCCTGCGGCGTGGAAATCGGTGCCTGCGACGGCGGCGTCGAGATTGACGTAGGCAAAAGCGTTCTTCCGGAGGCTTTCGTCGTTGTGCTCGACGAACTCGGTGGAGCCAACCATGTTGTACTCTTCCGCGTCCCAAGACATGAACTCGATGCTTCGCAGGGGGCGCCAGCCCTTTGCGACGAGGGACCCGAAAATGCGCGCCATCTCGATGAGGACCGCCGTACCGGAGTGAGGCTCGGTTGCGCCAAACGCCCACGCATCGCGGTGGTTTCCGATGATGATGGACTTGGAGTCCTGCTCGATACCCTCGATCTTTCCGTAGACGTTCCAGATCTTCTGCTGCTCGACGACGTCGTTGTCGTTCTTGAGGCGGACAATGGGGGAAGAGAGGTTTCCGGTCCACCACTCAGCAATATCAGGAACACCTCCGGCCCAGTCCTTCGGCACCTGTTCGCCAAAACCCTTGATGTGCTGCAGAAGAATCTGGGCGTCGCGCCATGCCAGTGGCAAACTCGGAATCTTATTTAGACCGGCGCTCTCTTCGGGCTTCATGCGCGGAAGGTTCTTCTTGCTCTCCCACCCTGGCGTCAGGGGGTCGCCGATAATCCAGTTGGACAAAGCGACGGATCCTCTCTGGACACCGTCAGCAGGCATGAAGCGACCGTTCGGCGCAACATCTCCCAGCCTGAAGCCGTCATCCGCCGGGTCGCTGTAGACGATGCACCCCGCAAACCCGGCTTCCTCTGCCGCCTTGACCTTCAACGCCAGGTTCGCCTGCGGGCCGTAGTATCGGACTAGCGCAATCGCGCCCTTGGTGTCGATTCCGCTGTCGGCCAGCTTCTTGAAGTCCGATCTCGCGCCGTAGTTGGCGTAGATGAGGGGCCCCTTGACGTCTCCCGACTTGGACAGGCCGTGGAAGACCAGCGTCTGGTGGCCGGCGGCCTCTCCTCCGACTTCCTCCTCCTCCAGCTTTGCGGTCCATTTCGCCTTGCCGTCGTCGCCCAGTATCTCGACCGCTCGCCCGCCGGCCTTGGGGTAGTTCATGTATACGTAGTACTCGTCAATGTTGACGTAATCCAGCCCAGCCCTAGTGAACATGGACTCGACATCCATAGCCAACGCGTAGTCGCCCTCGGTTCCTGCCATGTGGGCGTATTTGGTGTAGTGGCTGACGGAAGCGTGTAGCCTCCGGGCCTCGACGTTTTGTTGGACGTACATGCGCACGTCTTCGGGGTTGAAGCGCAAGCCGCCGTTCATGCGCCTCGCCATGCTCGTAAAGAGATCGCTCATGAAAAGGGCATACAGAATGCCCATGACGAGAAAGATTGCAGAGACTCGTATGAATACTATCAGGGCCGCCCGCGCCTTGTCCTTATCCCAGTTCGGCAATGCGTCCCGTAATCTCCTCGATGACGTCGTCGCGTTCGCATCGTTACCGTCGTTGTTATCGTTGGAAGCAGAGGGTAGTCGGATCGTCGGACGTGGTATACTTGGCAGCCTCCATCGCCAAGACCATTTCCAGCGTGACAGGGAGAGAGAAAACGGTATCCTCTTCCCCCATATTGAGGAGCGCGATCTGTCGTCCGGGTCGCCCATCTCCAACTCCTGCATCTCCCTGCGCACGTAGGCCGTCTCGTCGCCATCGTCGTCACTCCACGAGCTATCCTCGTCGTCCGTCTCGACCGTGGGCGGCCTGTAGCCTCCCGGGCGGCGGGAGGATGTTGCGACACCATTCCTGTGCAACAGGGACTGCGATTCGGTTTCTGTTTGCGAGCGGCCGTCTAGCGGAGAGCGCGGAGGGTTCCAGTCGTCTGGGTTGGCAGGGCCGCCCACAGCGAGGGCTTCATCGTAGGACGGGATTGGTGGTACGGACTCGTACCGGTGGTCGCGATCCGACGGCATCGTTGGTGGCGTGGCCTCGGTGACGCCGGGAATCAGGGGGTTTGCGATAACGGGCGAGTAATTAGGAAGACCGGCTGGCGGCAATCATCAAGAAATGTCGGGTCAAACGAGCGCAGCGGGAGTTTTCTTTGTCGAAGTCGAGACGGTAAATGAGAGTCTTGAGTGAAAGGATGGTCGAGGCTGCAGCAATGCAGGACGCCAACGCAATGCAGTCGAATACTATTGAAGAACAGGCGCGCCCATGGAAGCCGCTGCTGTACAAGCAGACATTGACGGGGGAATGGACAGGCGGAGGGAAGGCTGTTTGTTTGTCGGATCTGTTACGATACCATTTCCCGCGGGCGGACAGCAGGGTTCGATGAAGTCCAAAAAAACGTGGCTAATCGAAACACGAAGTTCGTGATTTGGTAAGATGATTTGTTGGAGGTGTTGGTCTTGCTGCTGCTGCTTCGTTCCAAGTCGTCCCGGGTACCCGTGCGGCAGCGGCAGCCGCTGATAGCACTCCCGAATCTCCCGTGCGCTGCTGCTGCCGCCCGCTAATTGTGCTGCCCACCCGCTATTACTGCACACTGTCCGCTGCCCCCTTCTGTCTGATTGTTGAGGTGCAGGCTGGCTATTTGGTGGATCCATTTAAACGAGCCAATGAAACGTCGCATAGGCTGAGGCGATTACGCGGGCTCGACACCTTCAAAAGAGGGAGCCATCTGGATTACATAATACGGATCTCTGCTGTAATTATGTCATCAGCACCGCCACGCTTGGCCCCCTTGGCCTTTTCCCCTCCTTGCCTTTTCTTTCCGACGCTTCCAACGATCCAGACTCGACATCCCTGACTTCCCCTTTTCTGGTGACGACTGGCGAATCTCGTCTCTCCGCTGCGTCCCCCCCTGTCTGCCACCTGTAACGAAAGGGCCTCCCTGCTTCAGCTCTCAAACATGTTCCTCGGAGCCTTTCGCACGGGTTTCAGGTCTACCCGGCTCCGGATCGGCGCGTGGAAATCCGGAGTCCTCCGGTCCACGGTTTCCGAGTGCGGTGTCGTCGACTGAGAATATCAACAGCTTCGCCGTCACAACGGATATTCGAATGGATTGAAAATGCCAATGTCTTTACCAAGATGTCCCGAACAACGCCACACTCCTGCGAATCCCAGATCCTCTACATATCCGCCCTGAATTCGAGTCCGATGTTTCCGCCGCCGCGCCATTCCAAAGTGCGCCCAGATAAATACAAACGCCAAAACCCTCGACCGAGTCGACGAAAATCATACACGAAGACCCTTCACGATGGCCATCTGGATCGTGTCGTTGCTCATGAGACAAGCCAGCTCCAGGGTGATGGCGTGGTGGAAGTACGCCGCCATCGTCCCCGGACTGCAACCCGCCTCGTTCTGCGCCGCCTCTGCCACGAGCTCTCCCATCGTGTGCCCTTCCGATAACCGTCCGATGATCAGCTGGTTCGCTTGAATCACCAGAGGAACATCGGGATACCAGTCTGTCGTGCTGCCGTTAGCTGTGTCCCTTTGTCGGCTTGGCCGCCGTGGGTCTCCACGAACCTCTGTCGAAGATGAAATGTCTCCTGCGATCAATCAGCCACCACTCCTCGGTATCTCCCGGCTCGTAGTAATTGCTTACTGTTCTGTCTTTCCTGCTGCCGTTGTTGACGCGCTTGAGCGGCTGGAGTCGCTGCTGCTGCTGCTTTGTGTCCGTCCGCGCATATTTGTTTCGTTTCTTTGTTCCGTGACGAGCGGGCGATGCGTTCCACTCTCGACTTTTCCGAAGTAAAATTTGAACGCAACAACAGGAATTGATCGAGAAAAACGTCTTCAACAAATATATGCCCATCTGCTCCTATTATGCTCGTATTATAGGCGTAGCGTCGCACACAACGTCGCCCATGAGCGTGTTTGAGCAGGTAATCACCTAATCGGGCATGGATCCCTTCACGCCGCAGCCCTCCAACGCGCACTTATTTGCTCAGACCAAACAACTTCTGGCCGCAACTCCCTCATTCCAGAGTTATTCCATTGAATGCGACTTTACTTGGTATCAATGCGATTGAGCTTGCTCAGCCAACGTATTGTATCCATTCGGTTCGGACCTTGCAGTTCATTCAAGAACCCTGCATTCCATCGAAATCCGCGCACAAAACACCCTCTCTTGTCAACTCCCAGCCAGTTCCAAAGTCACACGTATTGAATCGAAGTTGTCTCACGCAAAATTCAATTGAATATGCACAACTGGTTATCACATCGGTTCGGTGCGGGCTCGGCGCCCTCCGTTCGAAAAACCCAGAAATCAGAATTGGGTCTAGACCGCGGTCGACGGGAGGAAACGTTCTTTCGTCGTCGTCGAATCAACACAACCGTTGATTTCTTTTCTGGGTAGAATTTCGCATTTCCGCGGGGCGCACGTGTTTCTGGCCTAAATATTCTGGAAATCAAGAAATTAGCCAACCGTCAACCGCCTATCGTCTGAACACGAACTCGTGGGGAGGCGCTTGTTGGACCTGTCAGAGTCTGAGTCCTGCGGTTTCGACTAGTTCTGAAACTCGTTTGTATAGTTGACAACTCTGCGGTTCATAGTCTTCCGTTCTTTCTTTTTGTCGTATTCGGCTCGAGTAGGTCGTCATTTCAATGTGAGACTTGCATGCCAATGCCAAGTTGGCAACGCCGAGCTTCTGGCATAGCTCTTGTACTTTGAATATCGTAATTGATTCCTGCCTTTGGGAACTAGTTAAACCTCCTATACTAATGAGACACGCAATTGTCAGTTAAAACCACTAATTTCCCAGCTATCATTCAAAGACTCACATTGGTGTGGTATTACCGTTTTTGCCAACTCTCCCTCCAGTGAACCCTACCACACGCTTCCTGGCATTCTGCGAGGTCCCCTTGAAGTTTCCTTTCAATTTGGATGGTTTCCAGGAATATCAGAAGGGACGTCTCAGGTAAGCCGAACGACAAATTTGGGACCCGGCTGTACCCATTTATCTTCGTGTTATCCGGTCTTCAGGTTGAGCATTGTCTGAACGCAGCAAACCGACGGAGCGAAGAAAACCAGCATTGAACCAAAGAGGAACAAAATCAACGAATCGATTTCTTCAAGAGATCAACACTCATTGAAAGTCGTGCTAACATCGCCTTTCTCGTCCCGATCCTGCTCCAAGTTAGCATTTCCAATCCACGCAAGCTTTTCTCGTTGAATTTGTCTTTGGCAATCCCCGAAGACAAACAGCTCACTCACCTTGCAGTTTCCATTTCGATTTCGAACACCGTCACAACACGATTGTTCAATTTCGCTTCGATAAGTCGTGATTTCCGATACTCCGTCCGCAGCCACCGCGAAAAGCTGTACCGTTTTTTTTTTGGAGAAGTATCTGCAGTCGCCATGTGGTTTCAGGGGGACTTTGCACTGCGAACTGCTTATTAACATCGGCTTCAGTCCTTGGTTGCAAATTGCGTTTGGCCTGCTCTTTGCGCATACAACGGGTAAATAGAGACTTACCGAAGTTCTTGGGTTGGCATTCTTCTGTCTGCTGGGTAGATTCTGGCAAGTTGGCGAATTGGGCGCGAGTTGTCTGCCGTGGTTCGATACATCGTAGTAAGCTTGAAGGTATTCAAATCTGGTTCGGGGAACAGCAAAGTCTCTTCACGCAGCAACTTGTTGCGTTCTAGCGGCTGTATCGAAAAGTTGTTCCGTGCTGTATTCAAGTCTCCCAGAAAAGAGATTAGGGAGTATCACTTCGATGTCGGTGGATTTTGCTTCTCGAATGTCAGGATCGTTGTAAAACCAGCCTCCAGTCTTGGTCGACCTGCAGGTCTCGTGTTAGCATGGACTCCCAACTCCCAGAACTACAGATTTGTATCTGCCTACCTTTTTCGACGAGTTGCATAATGGCGTACTTGACACTAGTACTTCTCTGGTGATCTGACCTTGATCCAAGTCCTATTAGTCACATCTTCCGTGACAACGACTCGGAAGTTTCGGAACGTGAACAATGGCAATCGAGTTTCGAAAGAATCTCGCAGTTGGTAGACTCTAGAACGCAGAAATATTGTTTCTTTTCTACATGTATTCTCGTACTATTGATCCTGTGCGACTTGGTGTAAGTAGTCTCGTCTTGAATCTTCTTGTCTCAGGATTGATCTCCGGATTGCTCACCTTTTCTGCCAAACTGTCGTCGACAGTGAATCCTTTCCCACGTTGTACAGCTTCTTGGCCTTTAGCCTGTTGAGCTGCCCTGCCTCTAGGGCTTCGTTCCTTGATCAAAGGCTTTTGCATCTAAAACCCCGAAAATTGAGAGTTCCTCAAACCGATGGCTCCTTTTCCGGCCAATTCTGTACACACCAACTTTCTGTCTCAACTATCTCTGCTGTCTCTTAGCACGATCGTCCTTCTCGGCGTCGCGGGCTGACAAACTCGCGCCGGCCTGCCTTCTCGGGTCGGCTGTGCCCCTTCCAGGCGTCCAGACCACTCAGGAAGCAGACTAAACTGGACTATCACCGCGTTACCCGCAACAGTTCTGCAAGCGTGTGTGCCGCTCCTACATTCACTGTAGTTCCGGTTTTCTGTCGCTGGTCAACTCGCTGTATCCCGGCACAGACTGCACGCTTTCTTCTTGCGCCCCGGTCGGTTGAGGGGGGACGGCAAGTAACGTAACATTCGCATCCCGGTGGTTTCTGTTGATACCGGGCGTCTTGGCGAGATACGATGGTGTTGTTTGTTGGGGCCGTGGTTGGGTTCGTGGCTTCCGTGTCATTTTTCTGCTGCGATCGATTTCTCCGTCTCACGGCACTTTCACCGAGATATTCCTAGTGATCAATAATGCACTTGTTTCATCAGACTACACACCTACAGATCTGGATGTGGATAGACGATGCTTTTGTCGTGTTTTCTTTAACCAATGATGCTGTCGAGTATTGGTGTTTTGCTGCTGCTAATCGCTGCGGAAAACGCGGTTACATCCCTGAATAGGTTGTCTAGGCCGGGACGGGCTCAACGTAGACAAATTCTAACAGTGTTAATGTAACGCGGTGGAGGACGTACTCCATCGCTCGGCTAGGTGCTGGACAATCTCGTGTGCTCTGCTGCAAGCTTTGCAGGTCGTAGATGCGTACATGACTTAGTAGATTGTGGGTTGAAAGACGTATGCTCTCCTAGGTATAATTAGCTCAGGGCAACGGGCAGATTTGACAGTTGCAAGCCCAAGCGTTTTCCCTTGGTTCCATGGGGTTGTCATCCGAAGGGCCTGCAACACCAAACGACGTCCGGCTGCTCCAAGATGCTCGGAAAAGACTGGCACAACGTGTAACACATAATGATGACGAAGACAATAACATTGTGATCCGGGAACGAATAACACCACGACGGCATAGCGAAGGTTGGGTGCTCCAATAGTGAACGACCTCGGGGGGCTCAGACAGGTTGAAGAACCTTTCTGAAAGTGTAAGTGCCCAAAGGGCCGTCTCCGCTGAGATCGACCCTCAGCACCACTATCCGCCTACGAGAGAGTCGTGTGCAGCCCACACGAGCACCGAGACTCCTAATACAGGCAATTCTTCCCGGTTTCTTCGCAAACCATCCGAGAACATCACAAATCAAACGCGCTAGACGACGGGCTTCTCTTCGAACGAGCGCCTCCGTCCCTGTCCAAGCGTTGGCGAGCGAGCACGGGAGCGAGGCGGCATCCACCTTCTGGAAAATGGAAGCATGTCAAGAACCCGAGCCAAAAAAGCCCCAAAGTCAAGACACGGGCGAGCACACACATGGGACGCCAAGGGCACGGTGAGTTCGGCGGGCCAGTTCGGTACGGTTCGAGCTGCCCAACGTGATGTCAAATTTTGCAGTAAAAGGAATGGAAAGAAAAAAAGCTACTGCCCAGCCCCGTCTCTGCAGTAGTCTGAGACGAAGTCGCTAGACCGTTGAGGAGAACGACCGGTCGGCGCAAACCGTAGTGCGTCTGACACCGCCAGCCCACGCCCGTGAGCGTCCTGTACTATGTATGCGTGTTGATGGAAAGTAGGTAGTACCTACATACATTTCTCCCACAATCCGTTGAACTGTCAACTTTCGGGATGGATGAGGTCTGCGTCCTAGCGTAGCCCTTTCGGTCGAACTACATAGTACCTCGAGCATCGCTTAAGTGAACACGAACCGCCGCGTAGGTCCGAGATGTGACCGTTAGCTCGTCGACTACGCACTTTGACTCTATCCGACAGACGCAGAGAACCCTCGGTTGTGTGTGTTCCTGGCCTACATTCGTTACTCTTGGGGGGGCTATCAGCGCCCCCTGACCGGCCCCTGAGCGCCGAGATGAGGCCACCGGTGCGGAGATTGGTCGCAGAGTAACAGCATTTTACAAATAACAGACTCTGCGGAAGAATACAAATCACGAACATCACGAACTCTTGCTCCTCCCAGCCAACATTGCGCCTCACTTGGACAGAGCTCAGGAGACCCGTGCTCGTAGTGCCCTAGATTCCAGAGCAAGAAGGCCAAAAGCAAGACCAGCCGACGGGAGAACGGCCGGCTCGAACCTATGTCCCACACACATTTCGCTATCGCAAACGCCCACTAAGGTTTCCGGCTCGAGGCGACGTGCTTCGGGGAATGCTCCCTACAGAGTGAATACTGCGAACGCGTCTATGCCCCCGAGACCCAAATCTCGCCTGACGTCAAGACCGCACCGCGCCCAAGAGTTCAGTCCAGCTGCTGAAAAGCTTATCAATGAACGGCGGGGAACATATGGCGACATTCATCTCCCACGTCACGGCGTAGTTGAATCAGCAGCTCCTCGTCGCCTAAGTATAGTCAAGACAGGGCTTTCAGACCCTGAACCCGAGACACCGGCTAAGATCACGCTGGGCAGACACGCACAACAACGGTACATACACAACGCAGCGCCGTGGCACCTTCGAGAAGGGGGATCCTCCGTGAGGATGGGCAGAAATAAGAACAGACCAAGAAGCCGCCACGATGGGCTGAGCTCTAGCAAAAGTGTAAATGGGTTGAGGAAGACCACATCACTTACCTACTAGTTTAGATACAGCAGCAGCACCAGAACGGGTCGGGGATGGCGGGCCGAGCTAAGATAGTGTAGTGAGTGTACCTACTTCGTAGTTCGAAGCAGTTCAAGGGGGGCAGGATTAGCCGCTCTAGCGGTTACGTGTTGACACGAACGTGGAACCCGCTAAATGACACGAACACCGCGATACAGCTGACACGGGCTGGCGCAGGATAGATGCCAGCAAAAGTTTTCTCCATCTACCGACAGGCGTACTGCTGGGCTGACCCTCGTAACAGACGCCGCGTTTCTGTGCGACGACCAAGGGGAACTTCGGGTAAGGCGGCGACATCGGACGGTTTAGCCGCAGACACTCAAGACAGGAAAGGAAAGCTTGCGGTCAAACCACCTGGAGCGGAGGCCGTCTGTTCGCCTTTTTTCCTGTCCCGTTGTGGTGATTGCTAAGATCATTAGTCCGCGTCTTTTCGTCTTTGTCAGTGTGTCCGTGACAATGAATGTTCAGCTCAGAAGAAGACTAGTTTAGTCTCGAGAGGCGCAAAACGTCGGCAGTTGAGAGAGTCAGATGTCATGTTTTCTTATTTTTCGTGGAATCCCTTTTCTTATCGTACCTGCAATCCCGGCGCTTCTGCCCTCGCTATGTCTGATGGGGAAAAAAGAATAAAAACTGTGGTGACCTCATCTCAACTCGCGGTTGTTCCTATATCGGCAACACGACTCGCCGCAAAGACACTCCTTGTCCAGACCGCGCCAGTAGCTCCCAGAATAGTCCACCGTGACCTCCTGTCCCGCCTCGATGCCCTTGCTCACCAGGATGATGCGCTGCGTGCTCATCCACACGAACTGCTGGAACTGCGCGTTGGACTTGCAGCTGTGGTTGACGAACCTCGTGAAGTTGCCCTGGCGGCCCTGCCAGATCTGATACGCCCGCACGCCCGTCGAGCTGTCCATGACGTCCATGTCCCGCAGATCCTTCGTGACCAGCCCGACGAACTCGCCTATCGCCGCGCCGCGCTCGAACGGGCAGAGCGCCGTCAGCCCGTTGTTGCGCCCGTCCGGCGTGCGGAACACTTGCACCGGGCAGGGGCTCCGCCGGCCGGATCCGAAGAGCGTCGGGAAGCAGTAGCACGAGTTGATCTTGGGGTCCTCCGACTGCTCCTGGCCGCACGAGTGACACGTGTGCATGCCCTGGACGCAGGCCACGGCGTTGATCGGGGGCACCCACCGCGGGTCGTCCGTCGCCCACGCGCTCATGTCCATGACGGAGTGCTCGATCTGTTCGAAGCTGAAGTACGGGTCGTACTCGAGATATGTCGAACGCAGGGGCACCGGATCCGAACCGTCGTACCGGACCACCCAGTCGTGCGGGTGCCCGCAAAACCGCCTCTGCGCCGTCTCGCCCACGATCATAAGAAGCTGCCGCCACGTCGGGTGCAGCGTATCCGCGGCGACCTCGATCCGCGGCCGCAGGGAACGCAGCCTCGACATGCTATCCGGGTTGAAGCCGACGCGGTACTTGCAGAAGCGGTAGAGGCCCATGCCGGCGAAGACGAGCGCGGCCCAGCCACCGGCGTCCTTGATCTCCTTGTAACCGCGCCAGATGGCCATCTTGTTGCGCAGCTCCTTCTCGGACCACCCGAAATCGTTGCAGGCCTCGATGAGAGCGGCCTTGCGGCGCTTCGTCGGCGACATGCCCGGGTTTGTGATGGCGAGCAGTTCGACGTACGAGTCGAAGTGCTCGATCCACCGCGCTTGGACAATGACCTCGATGGAGCGGCACGCGCGGCTCGCCTGCGTGACCTTCCGGCAGAAGATGTTGCTGCGGTTGAAGGTCCCCTCCACGTCCACCTCGGCTATCGTGCCGTCTATCACGGTGGGCGGTTGGAGCAGGCCGAGCTCGAGCTGCTCGGGGACGTGGATCTTGCCCGCGTTGTTGATGGTTGCGGTGGCCGCCGTCGCCGTCAACTGCCACTGTTCGAGGAGACTCTGCGGATCGAGGCTGATGCCGCCATGGATCTGCTCCCAGATGCTGACCACGAACTTCTCGATGGAGGATTGCTGAGGGATAAACACCACGTCCTGCTGGGTCTTTGCGCGCTTCGGAAAGTTGCTGGCAACCTGCATTTGTCGTTGGGTCTCCGGCTCCTCCTCCACAACTCGACCAGTCCCCCTAATAGGTCGCAGGGCGCCTGTTCCTTTCCTCCGGGAACTTGAAGGTCCGGCTACCGTCTCCTCGGGGGTTGGAATTTGCGATGGTGGTCGTTGTGGCGGTAGATGCACCAACGCTTGATTGCTGCTCGATGGACCGGCGTTATCCATAAGCACCTGCCCGGCGACGACAGAGGCCGTTGGCACTTCGGTTGATTCTCTCCCAAGATTACTCGTATTCGGGCTCTGTGTTGCGCTCTGTGATATGATGTTGGATATATCGACCATTTTCTGTTGGTGGCTGGTTAGCTGCCAAAACCTCTCGCAATCAACCAACTCCGACTATGGCTGATCCGAGAACCCGGTAAACACCTCCCAAAAATTCCAAGTAACAAGTTGATTTTCCGTGACTTTTGCTATTTCTTTGGAAAATTTGATTTGCATCTTGAGTCTCTCCGTGCAAGTGCAACGTCGTCAACCGGAACCGGGGTTCTCGCAAAACCACGTCTATTGCGGCCCAACGCGCCAGATCCGAGGATTCGCAACTTACCGAGACGACTGGAGAGCGGGGTGATCGCCCCTGAGCCTCCGTTTGGCCATCTTGGATGAAGGCCTCAAATCGGAGGACCGGGTTCGATAAGCTGCCGGACGGATAATCCCGCAGGGTTTCCGCAAGTTGGTCTAGAATTACGCGGCTTAGGCTCTCACGAAGAGAGTCCATCTGCTGTTCTGGGGAAGCCATGATCTGTTGCTTGGCGGTGTGAACTGATTTTTTTTGTTTGCAGAGAGGAAGAAAAAAGAGTCTTGGTTCGGACGGATAACAGACAACTACTAGTCGACAGACAACAGCAGCAGTATCATGTCAGACCGGCCGCGGAAAACCGGAATGGACGACGGCGAGGTTAAAAAAAGAAGAAGAAAAAAGGGTAAAAGACTGTGTGTGCCCAAGAAGAGACGGATTGAAGCTTGTCCCTTTGGTTATCAAACGGTCTCGTTACTGGGTATCATGACTGGACTGCTACAGACGGGCAGCAGCAGCAACCAGGCATCAACTTTCCAGTGTCACCGTCAAGTGTGGGAGGAGTCCAGAACAGATTTAATGGCGGAGAAAGAGAATAGGACTGCAAGATATTCAGGGTCCACTTCTCTTGTTCTGTCTGTTCTTAACTACCCGACTCTTGAGAGGTGGGGTCGATTCCGCCAGCCAAAGCAAGGCAAGCCGAGCCTGAGCCTGTCTTAGTCTTCTCTCTCTCTGTGTGTTTCCTACGGGTTGAGCCTGTGTGAGAGAGAGGGAGAGAAAGTGGTGTGTGTGTGTGTGTGTGGCCATCCGTCGAGCGAGTGAGCGAAGCAGCCGTCGCCCGGAGTCTAGCCCATCAAACGCCAGTCTAGCCTAGTTCGAGCAGGGATCGTCGATGGGCAGACAAACCATTTTGCTGCGTGGGCAGAATTTCCGACGGGCGGAAGAGGTGGGACTGGGCAGAACGATCCGCCTCGGCATCACGCACTTTGCCGTTTGTAGGAAGCTGTTAGGGACGCCGTCGCCGCCACACTCGCAAACGGCTCTACAATGTCTCTTTCTTCACGTGTTTTGAGGCTTTACAAAACGTGTCGGCGCCCGTACGTCCTACGCCAACGTCCCCATGAGTCTTAGGAGTTGGGTATCAACAGCGTTGAACCCCATGTCCGGTCACATATGACTGAAGCTGGGGGCCATACACAAACAGGGGCTTAGCCAGAGAAATTCAACCGAGGAAAAAAAAAGATCAATAGAGTTTCCGTGGCGCCAGTTAGCCGACGTCATTCGTGACCCAGTAAGGTTCCATGGAAACAGCCAGTCTGAGCCACAGCAAATCTCTCGTCGTGTTGTTAGGGTTGTTCCTTTATCCGTCCATCTGTTCTCTCGAGTCTTTCCCCCCTCAACCCGACTCGAACCTCGAAGGTCGAAGGATTCGGCCGGGAACCGTCCGCCCCCTGTCCTCGTTTGCACAGAGGAACATCCCGAGAAAACCGCCGGTGGGACACGTCTTTCGAAAGGGTTATCTGTACGTAGTACAATTACCGTCAAACGCCCTCGGGGAAAGCCTCAAACCTAATTAACCACTTGAGCCGCTTCTCGTTCGGTCCTCCCCGACCTCTTCTCGCTATGCTTCATGCCCTTTTCCGGGCCAGTCCTCGTTTCACACGTCTCTTTTGGGGTGTTCGGGATTCAGGCTTGGACTACTTCATGAGCTTGGCAAAGCAGCTTCGTGCCTGACCTCTGAGCGCACCCCGCGGCTGACCGTCTGACGACCTTCCAGAGCTGACCTCGACATTGCAGAACCCATCGGACGGCTCCGCGACGACAACGACGCTTTTTTAAAGTTCAAACCGTCGATGAACCAGCCGATTTTCACGGCACGTACCAGACTCTAGAAGGAAACTGAAGGACATTTGCATGCCCTAATCTCAGACCCGTTCAACCGTTCGTAGCGTACCTGCATCGCCGGAACCTGCCGTGAGTACGAAGCTTTCAGGGATGTGGGAGGGAGACCGAAGTCTGCGAAATCAATGACCCAACTCAACCTTCAAACGAGTTGTCGAGTCTATCTGACAGCTTCTGTGTTCTGTCCTTCCTTGATCCTTGACAACAACACAACCCCGAGATTCCCCCTCGCCCTCCTATGCACTAAACGGATCAGCTTGCGGTCCCTGTTTCAACATCCAATCCTTTAGACTTTGCGCCTGCCTCCAGGTTCGTTACGAGTCTCTGTGCGCTGACTGAATCTTAACATCCCAGTGGCCCCGATGCCGCGTTCGAGAAACTCAACCCATCGGCAGTCGGTTGATAGGGCTAAGGTGGCGTATTACAGACAGACTGTCACGAGAAGAGGATCCGAGAGACTGGTTCTGAAGGCGGTTCATGCAACGTCGAAGACTCCACCAGCCGAGGTGTTACTTGCGAGGACATGGAGCTCTAGAACTCGCCGCCTCGTTTTGGACAAGATCTTCTCTGCAGTTCGATTGAAAAATTGTTTACAACACGTCCAGTTTGATCGGCAACACCATGCGAGTCAACGGTCGAGATTAACCCTCCAGCTCATGACTCTCTTAAAGAAGACTAACGCCAACGCCGTTGCCGTTCGTTCCAGGACCGTAATGCTGCGTAAAGTCATAGCCAAGCGTTTGAGCGCCCTATCCCAAGATCAGTAACTCGGCGGAAATTTTCAGATACACGGCCAATGTGTGAGGCCTGCCATCCAAAGTCTCACCTTAGTCATTTCCACCGCCTTCTCGTGATCCGATTCGGCCTCCTTGCAGAGCTTGAGGAACTCGTCGGTCTCGAGCACGTTGTCAGGATGGACCGAAAAAATTCGTCGGAAGTTCTCGCTGGACACGGGGTCGACGATCTCCCTGTACTTCCTTCGACGGACCTCGTCGTAGACGTCGAGTATGCTTTCGTCCGCCTTGCCGAGGAAGATTCCTGACAGACACTCGTAGAGCCCTCCGACATCGACGATGCCCCCCGTGAGGCCGAGCCCTCCGCTACCGAGGCCGGTCCCGCGTCAGTATCAGTGCGCCGTGGCGCGATGAATCGATTACTTAGTTAGGAAAGGGGACGTACAAAGGGTTGCAGAGGTGCGCTGCGTCTGCAGCAAGCAGGAACCGGCCGACGCGCATTTTCTCGGCGCAGCGCTGGTGGATCTTGTACGGGCTGATGCCGACGAGCTTGTATTGCTCTGGCCGAGGCCGCCCTGGCAGCATGGTTCTGAACCTCTCGGGGTACCGGGCGATGATTTCGTCCGTCGTCAGTCCGGTGTCTTCTCCGTACGTGACGCGCCAGAGGCCGTCTTTGGTTATTTTTGCCGCCATGAACCAGTCCTTCGCATCTAGTATGAAGTTTGAGTCAGTATATCCGAACTGTTCAAAGTCGTAGTAGACCTGCACCGCCCCCCGATGGTCAGTTTCGATGATGCTTTGAGGCCAGCGAAGATTGTGTCAGGGGGAAGTTACGTTTGTTGCCACAATCTGCTCGTCCCATGTTCGACCCGGGAAGTTCGTATCTCCAAAGAGACATCGCCGAACGATGCTATTGGCCCCGTCGCAACCGACGATGTAATCGGCTGAGAGTTGCGACTTCTGTCCGGTGCGGCTGTTCTCCACGTCGACCCAAGCCTTCTTGTCATCTTGTCCGATCCCCGTCACACGATATTCAAAGTGGTAAGTGACCGTGGGCAGGTCTTTAGACTGATCGTGGATGAGGCGGGCTAAATCGCCTAGGGGTAACGCGACCAGCCGATCTGGGTCGTCTCCATGGACTTCATTGCTAAGGCTCGCGATGTGCGTGCCGTCCGGCTTCCGCCATGTCACCTTGTCAGGCAAGTAGCCGAGCTTGCGCACGCTGTCGCCCAAACCGGCACGGTTCAGAACTTTCATCGCTGGCGGAGCGTAGTGTGTGGCCCGAGGCCTGTCATCTAGCTGAGAAGTCTGTTCGATGATGGTCACGGAAATGCCATCTCTCCCGAGCATCAGCCCCAAGAGCTGACCTGCAGGGCCAGCCCCGACAATGATGACCTGTCTTCATGTCAGTTGAAGCTTAACTACCAGAAGATGGATGAACTGACATCTTTCAAGCCTGAGCGCATGATGAACGTAAATGCTGTGTTGAATCCAACAACCTTGAGACAGAAAGAATTGTGGCTTCAGCGATTGTTCGAGAGTAGATAGTGGGATATTGTTCAAGACAATCATTGTATGATTTTGAATGGTTCGCTCGTGGCATCCTGATGATGCATTACTCTCTCGTCCAATGTCTCAAGCATACCCACATGATCCCCGTCTTCACCAAGCTCAATGCCCCTCCACATCGAGGGCCGTTCGGATTTAACCTCCACACCCCACAAACTGCGTGTTACCTTGGTTCCCCCACATAATGCAACATTAAATTGAAGGGACCATTCAGTCTGTCACTAGAACTAGCCTTCGAGTTTGCCAGTCGGTGGCTTTTTCGTTGTGGCGTCAGCATAGTTGCAGGTGGATGTGCTTGACTCTAGAGCAACTCAGGAATCGAGTTCATTGTAGCGCTGAGTCTATGTGGGGTGACTATGATGTGAGCAAATGCCAGGCTCTCTGAACTGCGTAAAACGGCCGGTGGGAGCGCATCCACCTCTGTCCAACACCAAAATAATCTGCCCGGAGAAGCAGCGAGATGTCCGAGCAACTTTCAATCTTGGAAATCGATGTGATCTTGGCAGATGCCTTAGTTCAGAAGGCTGATTCTGCCTCTGGCTAGGCTGAATGCGACGCGGTCCACCGCCTCCGACCCAACGCTCTGTAGATACTTCACCCGATCCGCTGGCCGTCTGGATCTCAGTTCTGCGTCATTGAGCTCCTGAAACATACCGTAAGGCCCGAAGGCAGCGCAGGATCCTGAAGACCAAGGCTCCTGCAAGTTAATGAACCGAATCCACGCCCTTCGCATCTGCTCGCCAGTTCTCTCCGCAGCCGGAGAGAATGACAAGTCAAACCCACCGAAGAGCAAGACCAGATCAATCGCATGGTGTGCCCCATTAGATGGCTGCCAAGGGTTTGCTTCGTCGATGATGCATTGGTATACGGGAGTTTTGGCGTCCTTGCCCAGTTGCACCAGTTCTTGGACGGGGAGCAGGAACTTGCTGTCGTTGATGAAGTCGAGAGCTCCGAGCTTACAAGAAGATTCCCGATCAGGATAGATGTTGTAGCATCGCTTGAGAGCCTCGCTGTGTTCCCCTGCAAGGTCAAAGATGCCAACGATTTCGGCAGCCGTCATCGACCAGATGCCGTCGCGGAATAACACGGCCTTGTGAGAAAGTCAGCATTCCATCATGATATCCCCCGGAATCACACTCACCTCATTTTGCACGTCGCTGACAAGTACTCTCTCTGCTCCGCCTGGCACTTCCTGCCATCCCTCAAGTGACGGCTCCATCTGAAGAAACCAAGATTGGATCCCGGACATTTCCAAAGCCTGCACCATGATTTCCGCTGGGGCTGTGCTTATATCAAAATCTCCCAGAGTTTCCAAGCAATTATTCAAAGTACTGCGCATGAAAGCAGCCCTATCCCTCGGCTGAGGGGGCGACAGCTGCAGTGATCCAGACGACAAGATCACTTGACGAGCCGGTGCCCCAGTTACGAGATGCGCATGGCAATAAACCGCTCCCGCACTCTCACCAAAAAGTGTCACGGCTTCCTGTGAGTATTGGTTAGCTTGCGCATGTCTTCATTCGCCAATAGACTCACCGGATCACCGCCGAAGCCAGCTATGTGAGCCTGAACCCAATTCAAGGCCAAGGCTTGATCCTGCAAGGCAAGGTTTGCCGAGGTGTTCTCATCGCCAAAGGCGAAGATGTTCAGTCGGTACTGAATCGCGACGGCAATAATGGGCTGTCCCATGTTCGAAGAGTCACTCACGATTTGCGACATATCTGTGCATTTTTAGAATGGCATGGGATGAGGCTTCGATGCGAGACCGAGTCACCGAGGCAGCAGCAAGCACCTACCACAAAGTCCAGAGGCAGCGCTGCCAAACGTCACAGACTGGGAGCCGCCTCGAAGGGTGTTAGAAACAGGTCCAAGCAGAGCGGGTTTGGGTTATCCCTTAAACCTACCATGTATCCAGACAAGAACAGGCAACTTCTGCCCGGCGTGCTCCTTCGGCGCCGTCACATCTAGGTTGAGGCATTTAAACTCATCCTCCGGCTCCACGGGCAGTGTGATGTCAGGCGGTATGCGTAGAAGGTGACGAATGTCTACGGGTATTTGAGGGCATCGAGGGCTGAAACGGGGAATCACCATGTCAGAATGCGGGAGCAAGCCGAAGAGGGTGGATAGGAGGAGTGGTTTCACCCAAATGCTGTACAATCCAACTCTGCCGGCAGACTACTCACGGCCTCGGGGCTTGCGAATCTTTTGGAGAGTCTTCCGTATGGAATACCGCGGAACTGGACAACTGATGGGAGCTCAACCCCAACAAGGGTCGAACCCAGGGCGGTGTGTCTGTAAGTCAAGACCATGACTCTCCGTAGGCTTCGTGGAAAAGAGGCGTGAAAGGCTGTTGTGCAGGAAGGTGACTCGCATCAGTCTCATTTCATGTTGCGTTGAAGATGCGGGATTCCAAATATCCATGTTCAGACACCGCCAGTGGGTGTTGACCGGGCTTGATGAATAATCTGCCGGGGTTGCGGGGTTTAGAGGCCCGGGTCACGGTTGCCGTTCCCACATAGCCGGCCCGGTAAGTGGAGGCCCCCACCCAGTACTGTGCCGGAGATGATGTAGCGGGATGTGGTTGTTTATGCGCGGCATCCGAACGCGATGATCATTGTAAAAAGAAGAGTCGCGATTGGAATTGTCTACCAAATTCTATCGTAGCTATCGTAATGACGATGTGTTGAATCTCTATGAGGGAAGAAAGAACTTCATCCAGGCCTCCAGCAGAGAGTCCAACCCCACCGTTTCGCTGATTTCCAGCAACGCTCGATACTGATCCGAGGTTGCCGCCGAACCTTCCTTGTAAGTCCTCTTTCCACCCTGGTAGACGGTAAATCCTTCTGCGTCTCTGAACCTCTTCCATGGAGCTTCGCCTCGCACGAAGCTTATGATATCAGCAGCAAACGCCTCCGCAGACGCCCGCTGACTAGGGTCCAAATGGTCATTGTAATTCTGGAACAGGAATGCTACATCAAGAACGTGAGTGGAGTGGCCTTTGAACGGCCCGTCCCAAGGGTTAGGCTCTGCGAATTCCAGCAGAAAAGTGTCAGCGGGGAAGCTCTCGACCCAAGACCGCGCTGGCGCCTGGAACCCAATGTCTGAGGCGAATCTGAGAATCTGGATGAGAGCATCCTCGTCTTTGGTTCCCTCATTGATGCCGTACGTAGACAGAAGTTTTGAAGCTTCATCGGAATGGCTTGCCAATGATGATTTGATAGACGTGATGAATGAGGCAGCAATTCCTGCTTGTCTCTGAAGAAGCCCAGCTAACCCAAAGATGCTCGCCTAATCATGATCTGTTAGCCCAATATCTCGGTTCATTTTGGCGAGGAACTCACATCAAGTGGAAGATAGCCGACCATGATAGCTTTGCAGGGAGAATCCTGAGAGATGCCCCTGTTGGATAACACCGTCTTGAAACTCGGCACGAACGGGACGGTATCTTCATCCACAACCGGCAACAACCGAAGACTCTGGTCCAGTTTCCCAAGGTCTTCCGGAGATAATCTCGACAGACTTTCGATTTTCTGGCTTGGAGAACCGCCGTTGAGATTCAGAGCTTTCAAAGCACTCTGGTAGGTTTGCTCAGCAGCCGAAATGTCCATGGGTGGCAGTGACGGAGTTGACCCGCCGAGTACAACAATCTGAGATGGAGCGTGCTCATTCGAGTATAGAAAGCGATTGGCAGAAACTAAAGGCGAATGAAGTCAGGCTACTTCGGTCTCGTTTCTTTACTTAGGGAATGATATCGTTGAGTAACTTACTGCCTCCAGCGCTCTCGCCAGCAAGAGTGATCTTGTCAGGATCACCACCAAAACCTGCAATGTAGCGTTTCACCCACTGCAGGGCGACTCGCTGGTCATGATGTCCTTGGTTACTCTTGAAACCTGCTTTACGGAGCTCTTCTGATGTCAGAAACCCAGGAGCCCCTAGGCGATAACTATGAAATAGAGAATATCAGCATCGACGCCTCGACACCAGTGCCTCGCAACCAGAAGTATTTGCTCGTACTTTATGTTGACAGCAATGATGGGTTTGTTCTGCTTCACAGAAAGTTGAACGAAACGCTTCAAGTCGTACTGCGGCCACCAGTTCGAGCCTGTTATGAAGGCTCCGCCGTGAATGAAGACGAATACGGGGAGTGATTGGGCAGCTCCAGATGTTTGAGGTACAGCGATATTCAGGTTGAGGCATTCTGTGCCTGAGATGCCGGGATGCTCAGCTGTTGGAAGCGCTCTCTGAATGATGAAGTGTTCATTGTGGACTCCGGATGGATCAGAAATTGCTTGAGGACTAGCATCAACCGTTAGTCAGGGATCTGAAAGTTGTGGAATTCCTCACCCATGGCGCCTGGCATCCAAGCCCTTTCCGTCGTACTCGACCAATTTGGCATTGTCGAACCAGTGGCCCAGGCTGGCATATTTGATACCCAAGAACTGAGTCACATCTTGTGCGGGTAGTCCCTTTACATTCCCAATGATTGGATGCTGGAAGTCCATTTCTGCTGAAGTCATCACTGACAACTCGACTGTGACGTGTTTGAGAGGTGCACGAAGATTTCAGGTGTCGGATTCAATCTCCCAAATGGTGGTTTTGAGTGATAATAGAACGAACCTAGCTCCAGTTAGCCGAGCAGCTTCTGAAGCAATGAGTCCGGGATGTCCGCATCGATCTGCCGAGTAAACTCCCGATCAGGTTACCGAAGCTACCCCACATTACCCCACGCTGTCAACGGACGGAACCCGCATCACCCCACATCACCCCGGGGACAGCTCCGGCCTATGGTTTCCCATTCTGGTCCCTACTACCCCCACGTTAGTGACAATGACCTTTCAATCGAGTCAAAGAAATGCAATCCATGCAATTACTTACAGGGCACCTTCCTATTCAAGGTCAAAATGAGGCCCACGTTGGGATGGCTTACGATTTCAGCCATTATTATGGGACACGAGTCTGCTAACTATCACCACATATAGCAGACAACTACTGACGTGCTCTTGTAAAGAAAATGGTGAAATAGTGAGGGGCATTGACAGTCATTTGTTCAAGATACCTCAAAGTTGGGCTTCGTTGACCATGGGAAATGTATATGTTGCATTTCGATGGATTCATGGATGTTATCCTCGATATTCTCCGTCCTGCCCCGATAAACCTTTCTCTATGCTGACCCATAAGCCTTCAAATTCCCATAAGACGCCTTTCTTCATGATGCTGATCGTAAGCCTGTGCTAATTGCTCCAAGACCTTCCCCATGCGGGCGGTGATACCCCAAACCCATACCTGCAGGAGACAAAGTTAGCTCAAGCTAGTTCGCGGAAGGGGTCGAGTGAGGCTTTGACATACGTCTCCAAGAAATAAACTCCAAGTTCGGGCCAATTCGGCAGCAAATGATCTGTCCTCGTGAGGGTCATAATCGGCCTCCTCAAGAACCTCCTTCATTGCCAGAAGAAGCTCGTTCTCCGCCGCGGTTGGCTGAAGACCGCTCAAAGCATCCATCTCGACAGAATGAACCCATTTCGTGACGAACAAACCTGCCAAGACATTTGGTGTTAACGAAGGCTGGCCAAAAACGAAAGGACCTCCTCAAACCAGCATACCTGCGTCCCAAGCTGCGACTGCATGCTCGATACTCCACCGAAACGCAGCGGTTTTCCGTATCAGCATATGCCCTAGTCTGAATGGCATATGGAATCCCTCCAGTGTTTTTTCAACCACGTCCAACAGCAAGTGATCCCTCTTCAGGGGCGCTCTCGCAAAAACGTCGACCGAGGCCGCAATCTCAGCTGGATCTTTCGCCATGAGGCTGAGCCGATCGAAAGGCTTCGTGATATCGAAGAGCCGGATGAACGCAGCTCGAAGAACCGCATGCGAGCTGAACTGTATGGATAAAACCTCTCTTTCGTCCGCGTCCTCAAGTCGTTCTTTTTGGGCGTGGAGGAGCTTGCAACATGTTGAGAGGGACGCCAGAGCAGTTTGCAAAAGCGATTGGCTCAGAGGGGTCTGGTGTGAGAAAGAGTATGAGGGAGATGCCTGCGAGATCTGGTTGAGGTGCCACATGTGAACCAAGATGGCATGCGTAACCGTGAGCATGCATAGGGGGGAAGAGTGCGCCAACGAGACTCTGCTCGAATCTCTCGCCCCTGTAAGGATGTCTTCCAAAATACCCCTTATGGTGCAGCGATCTTGGTTTTGATACATGGGCCGTAACTCAACCCATTCGTCGGAGGAGCGAGCGTTCCAAAGACTTTCGTCATGAAGGCATTCGACATCGAGGTCGGTGGACGCATTGAAGATGGGATTGACGCCGTATATTACCGTCCTGATTGTGCCCGCCACATATATGCTGCTCAAGAGTCTCTTCCATGATTCACGCTCCACCCAGTCTGACCAGGTCATGTTACCGCGTTTTGCCGCGGTTTTACTTACGGTGTTCCGAATGCGCCCGTAAACCTTGAGATTATGTTAGCTTGATGTCTCTCCAATTAAGTAAAGTTCATTTTGATGACTTACGAGAGTGTAAAAACCACTTTCATCGATTGAAGTAGTAACCAAGTCTTGGTCGCCGCTGAAGGTGGCGTAGAAAGTCAACAGGAACTTGGTCTGCACCACCCACAGTGAAAGGTCATAGGTTGATACCTGGAACTTGACGAAAGTCAGTGTTGAACCCCTTACACGCAGAGACTTTGAAACGTACAGGCATTATTAGCAAATTTGCCAAGTCGTACAATTGCCTTGCTCGGCGGCGGTCAAGGCGGTATAATGCTCCAATGCTGCATATCGCCAGTAACAGAGCTCCTGGTGACTTTTCTTGACGAAGAGCCCCTGGATGTAGAATGGGTAAGTGGCAATGAAAGCTTCTCTCGTAGCTCGATAGTAAAATCCGGCACATCTTCAGACTCGGCACATGCTTCATGCCCTTCTCCATACCGAGACGTCGAGAGACCTCCTCACAGACTGAAGCATGACGGGCTTGGTCTAAGTCTGCGAAACCTTCTGACTCTCTCTGACCCCGCTTCCGCTGAGTAGAATGTAGACGGCAAGCAAACCCAGCTTCTGAGATTTCGGAGTCGCAGGCTGTAGAATTTGGTGATGCTTCTGTGAAGGCAGTCTGTTGAGCATGGCCAAGACGCGTGGCATGTTTAGCTCCTTGTTCAAGACTGGGATCCAGGGGAAAGGTGAGGTTGAACCAGTTGGGAGAGTACAGAAACTCAAAATTCGGGTTCTCGTCAGGCAAAGGTAGCACTGATGGAGTTATCGAAGCAAGGAGGGAAGGGTCAAGGAAGCTAGAGACCAGGTCTTGATTATCGAAGATGGAAGCTTCGAGCAAATCTGAATTCACTTGATGTGAATTCGCAGGTTGCTCAGACGACGAGCCAGGCGCAAACGAGAGATCCTGGCCTTGACCTGTGTCCTCAGGGACCGTTGGCTCCAATGCGATGGCATCTTCTAAGTCTGTAGCGACGACAATGCTATTCAAGGATGTTTTCGATGCGGCGGAAATTCTTCTTGAGCGTTTCTTTCTAGTTGGCCGCGGGCCACCGACTCGAGGAGGATTAACCTCCGTCTCACTTGAAGTTCCTTCAGATGACGATTCATCTTCTAAGCGATCTCCAGTCACGTCTTTGACAACATCTGCGTGGAGTGTCCGCTCGTGCCTGGTGACCAGATCTCTGCAAGACTCGCTTCATATCAGTAAATGAGCGACACGTAATAGAAACATGGCATCTGTGTTGGCATACTTGCGAGCGTACGACTTATGACAATACTGGCAGGAATAAGGCTTCTCGTTCGTGTGGCTGCGCTCGTGACGGATGCAATGCTCGCTACGTTTGAAAAGCTTCGAGCAGTGGGCACACTTGTACTGCCGGTGTTCTTGTCGACGTTTGACTCCGGCGCTGGGGCGGGGCGGCGTCCGGACGGTCACCGTTCCCCTGGCGGATTGCAGGGGTTCCGAGGAGGTCATGAAGACGTTGGTATTACCGGCAAAGACCCGAGTCTAACTCTCATAAAATTTTATACTCGATAAGATGTTTTCGTCTTGCGAAGAATGAGATTATGGTAGACGGTCGACGATAGCACGTTGAAGAGCTCAGGACACCGCATCTTCTCATCGCCCGAGATCGTCACTGCGCCAAGACGGACGCGGGGAGTGTGTGCGGGCCGTGTACCAGCTGCGGATGATCAATAAGATATTATTAACCGTTGCAATGACGGATATTGCGGGGAAACGGGTGGAGTAGATGGCCGCCGACGGCTGCGGCTTTTCGGCAATGGGAATGTTCGCTTTTGACTGGATTCTAATTGGCCTGACTATGAACATGATCCATGGAACTATGCGGCGCTTGACGATGCAGGTGCTTGGACGAAACGCAACCAATGACTCGAAGGGAACGGAGAGCTGAGAGATCGTTCTCCGTCCCGCCGCGAGTCCGTTTACAACGTCATCCGACTACCATTCCCATCGTGTCGACCTTCACTTGTCCCAAGTAGAATCCCTCTTCTTGAGCTTGAGCCCATTCCGCTTTCAGGACCTCTGCTCGTCTTGCATTTCGCGGAATGAAGCGGACTTTGAAAGGTTTGGGCAGAGTGTTGACTCCGGGCTCGTACGCATCGTCGGATAAATCCATGGGCTGCTCCTTACCGTTGGGATCAAGCGGTGGCTCGATCTTGAAGGCCCACAGAATCTTGGCGATTGTCACGAAGACACTGTTCTCAGCCAGATGCATTCCGGGGCAAATACGACGACCAGCGCCAAAGTCGAAGTGGTCTCGACCTTTTGCATCTCCCTGAGTGGCGTAGAAGCCTGCTTTCTCTGGATAGTCCAAGTATCGTGACGGGTCGAAGGCTTCTGGATTACTCCATCTTTGCGAGTCGAAGTGGAGAACATACTGCGGAATGGCGACCACTGTATTCTTGGGGATATGATAGTCCTTATAGAAGACGTCTGAGGTCGTGTAATGCGGGCTCCCTATAGTCGTCACGGGTCGGATGCGGAGGACCTCTTTGCCAATACCTCTGATGTACGGTAGGTCTGCCTCGTCCGAGAACGTGGGGGATCTATCGTCACCAACCACTCGTGTTAGTTCGCTGTTCGCAGATTCTTGGATATCAGAATTGGCCGCCAGATAGAGAATGGCGCTATTGAGAGCAGACGACGTAGTTTCTGATCCGGCTTCGATCATGGCTTTGAGTTTGATTAGTATGACTTCAAATGTCGAAGTAACAGGGAGATGACCACTCACATCCTGCTGCAAAACCAGCCTGTACGTCCGTGATTCCCAGCTTCTCGAAGTCCGTCTCAAGAAAGTGTTTAACAAAGCATTCTGGAGCTCGTTTCTCCAGGACCGCCGACTTCAAGTCGTCCCAGTAGTGCATCCAAGTCTTCTTCTGTCTATGGTAGGCCTGAAGTGCTCCTGAGCGCCACCATTGGAAACATGATGGGATATTGGCAAGCGGTGGAAACAGATCTGCAAGGTAAGCACCTGGCTCTGCTGCTTCTGAAAAGTCCTTGAGAAGCTGATAAATCTCCCGCATGTTCTCGGAGCCCTGGCGTTCTATTAGTCTTCAACCACAGCATATCCCGGAGACAGATGCACTCTTACCAAGGTCGGAACTCGTTGTCCGTAGGTACTGGTCAATACCACAGATGTTGTGTATCTACGAACGTGCTGGTAAAATCTCTCCTGGCCATCATTGTCTGTTGCGATGTCGTATATCAACTGCTTCGCCTCGAACTCTTGTGACGGCTTGTATGTCTCTGATGCTTTCGGTGTCAACAACTTGTGAACGATTGCTCTCAACTGTCGCCATTTTGTGCCGTAAGTCAATAACAGAAGCCGGTTGCCGCCCGAAAGAAGATCGGATATGACTGGCATTGGCATTCTTCCTGATGTCTTGGCCGATTGCTTGTCGAAAATTTCCCGGACGGCCTCAGGGCTGTTGACAAACACCCAGTTCTCCCATCCGAGTTTGATCTGGAAAAGCTCGCCATGTTCAGCGGCCCAACGTTGAAGTTGACGTTGTGGTGTTTTCCCCAATTGATGAGTGTTTCCGAGCAGAGGTAGTCCTTTTGGCCCGGGAACTGGTCTGTAACCGGCGGGAGTTGCTGACTTTCTGTGGGTGAAGACGGCGTATAAGAGGAAAAGTCCAACACATGAACCAACAATCTTGAGGAGCGTCATGGCAACAGACTTCGGCCTTTCTGCACACAGAAATCTTGGTGAAACCTAATCTTCGTCAAGATCCTTTCTTCTGATAGCTCGCGGGCATGTGCTTTAGATAACATGAGCATTACGAGCGCCCACATTCAGTGGGTTTGCCTCCAAAAGTCCCCGCATGAACAGGCGAAAACACCACTTGAACATGCTGTATCAGAGCCTCCGCTGCGCTGCGAGTAGACCCCACACAGCACAGAGAATTGAATTGCCGGTGCTGTCGTGGTTCATGTGGAGTAATTGCCGTAACACTCCACGTGGGGTGCGGTTTTGCTGCGGCGGTACGCAATGAAACGGTTTCTGGAGCTCTGTTGCGCTATTTAGCTGAGGGGAACACGCCGTCCAAACATTCATCTTGTCGAGGATTCATCCGTCAACAATCATCATGGCAGCTCAAGCTCTCACGCCGAAAGACTTCCAGAACGCCTTTCACTGGGCTGCGTCGCAAAAAGACGGTACCATCCCGTCCTTTGCTACGCGCCCCAATGATCCATACAAGTACCAGCCGGGCCTCGGCAACAGCTTTGAATCTGAAGCTATCCCCGGTACGATCCCGAGAGGACAAAACAGCCCCCGAAGCATCCGCTACGGCCTCTACGCAGAACAGATCACCGCGTCTGCCTTTGTTGCCCCTCGACACGCGAACAAGAAGGCATGGCTTTACCGGTCCCGACCGGCCGTAGCTCATCAGGGATTTGTGAGTTTAGTTGTTCTTGCGATGAGGAAATTGTGAGATCGGGGATTGACTTGGGTGCTTAGACCAATCTTCCTGATAACAAGGACACCGAGTCCACGTTTATTCCCATTAATCCCAGAGTGCACATCTCACCCACCCAACTGGCTTGGAAGCCTTTCCCAATTCCTGAGTCCGGGGAAGTCGACTTTGTGGATGGATTGAAGACTGTGGCTGGTTCCGGAGACCCTACTTTGAGAGAAGGACTCGCCACGCACGTTTATCTCTGCAACAAGAGCATGTCGAAGAAGGCTTTCGTGAACTCAGATGGCGACTGGCTCATTGTTCCCCAGCAAGGCGCGCTCGACATTCAGACCGAGTTCGGTCATCTGTACGTGCAGCCGGGAGAGATCTGCGTAATTCAACGCGGCCTGCGATTCAAGGTCAAGGTCGAGGGACTCACACGTGGATACATCCTGGAGATCTGGGGTTCGAACTGGGAACTGCCTGAGCTGGGCCCTCTGGGAGCCAACGGTTTGGCCAACGCCCGCGACTTCCTTCACCCTATCGCGGCATACGAAGTCACCAAGGATGACCCGTGGGAGACTGTCTACAAACTTGGAGGCAAGTTCTTCAAGAGCACACAGCGTCATTGCCCCTTCGACGTTGTCGCTTGGCACGGAAACTACGTCCCGTTCAAGTACGACCTCACCAAGTTTGTCAATGTCGGGTCCATCTCCGTCGATCATATCGACCCTTCCATTTTCTGCGTCTTGACAGCCAAGTCACGGGACCCCGTTGCTCCGCTGGCAGACTTTTTGATCTTCTCTCCTCGATGGGACGTCGCATCTCACACCTACCGCCCTCCTTACTACCACCGAAACTGTGCCTCGGAGTTGATGGGCCTCATCTACGGAGACTACGGCGGACGGTCTGACGAGTTCCAACCCGGTAGCATTTCGTTCGAGTGTGGCTTCGTTCCTCACGGAGTTGCTTATGAGCAGTTCGCTGCGGCCTCTAAGGAAGACCCGCCCGTCATGCAGATTTCTCATGGCTCTATTGCGTTTATGTTTGAGACTAGCAGAGCTCTTACCATTACTGACTGGGCTTGGAATAGCAAGGAGAAGCACGAGCATGACCCTAAGATGTGGGATGACTTGGTGGACAACTTTTCCAATCACCACATCGAACTCCCTGCTCAAAGCGGAAGCGACAAGAGTTGAGGGGGTGACAACTGTAGTCTCAGGTAGTAAATGTTTTGGCCCTTTGAACAGAAACAGCGTTCTACGTAAGCAAATAACTATTCACATTATGTATAACATCAGCGTTCAATGTTCGTTATGATATCTATATCCTGACTGGAGAGGAACTACTGCCTACGAACGACAGCTGTGCTTCTATGATCAAGTATAACATGGATGCAATAACTATTCAACTACTCAATTGTGGATATGATTTGAGCATCTGAATGAAACCGGAGAACTTCAGACACAGGAGGCATCATAGCAGATAATGAAAGTATTCCGGGCGAACTTGTTGAACCCGGACCTTGAAACGGAAAATAAGAAAGGTCAAGTTCTATAACCAGTAATAGACACATGGTGATTTATGCTTTTTGAAGAGAACATCGCTATATTTCCATTGAACATACATCCAGATGCAGCTCCCACGGATAAAAGTAAACAAGAATGCTCGCTGTAATACAGTATAACAAATACAAGTCAGGAATCCCCCTGCTTGCCCCAAATTTAGCCAGTGCAGCACTGGTGGTCGCAGCGGACAGCCTGGATTCATGTTAGTCACAAATGAGCAGCATGACATTGGAGAGTTCTTGGAAGTACTTACATCGCCAACGGTGGTCTTGGAAGGCCCAAGTGAGCGTTCAAAGCCCATTCTTTTGCAGATTTCGTTGAGTTCCTGAGCAACGCCATCGGCAAAGCATAGACAGGCACCGCCAGAACAGTATGTCAAGGTCGAAGAGCATCTTTGGCCTACGACGCCAGATGCAACAAGCAGAGTAGAGTAAAGGATTGCCGACAACTTCATCGTGAAGAGTGTTGTTTTATTTGAGTAGTTGAGGGTTGCGAGAGTGAAGCTGACTTGGAGTGTGATGATGAGAACAACAGGCCGAAGATATCAGGCAATATGAGACCTTTTATAGATCTATGAACTACTCATCATATCCAGCAAGCATCGTGTTGCAGCACCACATCTGCTGAATTCATCTAGACTCTCAAGTTTGGGCCGGGCGGTTGTTCCGCCGGAAGTACAGGCAATCCCTGACTCGGCGAACAACATGCATATGAAGCAACTGCGGCAGGATCCTGTGGGGTCGTCTGGAGTCTATCTAAGGCGTGATCTGAGACACCAGGCGACTCGTGCAGTAGATCGGGTTCGTCTGGACTAGATGTTCTCTTGCCAAGGGCTTTTGAGTTGGTGGGCGTCACTTCGGCTGACCATCCGATGATTGGGTTCTTCAGCCAAGCTGCCAAAGCGTGCAAACTCCTACATGAATACGGTATTCTCATCAGGGTATTCATGTCTTTGGCGGCCACCACGACATGTTGCTCAATGTTTTCATGGCAAAAGACTTGAAGACAGCTTGATTCGACCCAACGCAATCAAGTCTCAACAACCCATCTACTCAACCAAGCCCGTTTGGCATCAAACTGACCACGTATACACGGGAATCTAAACCGTCACAGTCCCCAGGTAGCATGGTGGAGTTATCACAGCAATCATTGATCCCGAAATAAGGTTTGCCAAGGTTATGATCTTCAGACAAGTCAACTCGCCCTGCCTCAAATTTAGTCGCCGGTCCATGGACGCCAAGCCCGCCAGCTCCGCCAGTGAACCCAAGGCTTCGGAACCCGCCGGCCAGACGACCTCTACCGAGTCAGGAACTCTGGCACGCTGGCATGGTTCAGACGACAATCACTGAGATCAACACGAAAACGTGGCCCAGGACAGTGTTGTGAGGGCAGGAGCCGGTGGTTCGGGAATCCTGCGACCGAGCCTGGATCATCTGAAGGCCCTCTTCAGCGTGAGCCACGGAGGATTACGAAAGACTGAACTTCATGTAGCAAGGTTGTCGCTGAATCAGATATTTATGAGAACAGTCCAGGGCTACGCCGACCGAAAATGGCAATCCATCAATACAAAATACGATGGAGGCCGCCATCATGAACGGGAATCGGACATAGACTGTAGAATCAATAAATGAGAAACGATGTCTTTCAACTAGCACACGGTAACAATGTCTACTGCATACCTCTGTGTTTATCGACTTATTGACCTCCGTGAACCAACACACTGCGGTTCTTCTCTTGCGTGGAAATCGGGACATCCAGTGCAGGGTTGCCCTTGAAGAAGTTAACCGGCTTCAGCCCTACAACCATCTTTTCACAGGGCATCACGGGCCAATCTTCGATGCGCGGGTTATGCGTTGACCCGAATGTGTGCCATACGACAATGTCCTCGTTGCGAACGGAGGACTTGCTTCCCTTCTCTCGCTGCTGGATCCAAGAAGCGATACCCTCTCCGCCGGAGGATTGCATGGTGAATGTGCCGGCAGGGAATAGCTCGTCATCGTGATGACGAGTCACCCAAACAGCGTGGGAAGTGTACTCGGCGCGCTTGCCATGCCACGAGTTCGGATGTGCCAAGAGGAGCTGGCTGTAGTGAGGCAGCAGCTTGAAGCCGACGGGTGTAACCGTGGTTGCATTTATGACACCCTCGTTGACAATCTTGAAGGTTCGATTCGTGTTGAAATCCAAATCCAGTCCGGCCTCATTCTGAACGTATTCAGACTTGGTGGTGTAGCCCACTCCGAAAGGATTGTACTCGTCGCCTTCTCCAGTGAACGGGATGGGATGAGACTCCTCTACCACCAGAGAGTTCTGAACACCATCTATGGCGGGATCAATTCTCAAGCAGAAAATGTGCTGATGATAAGGGGCCAGGACACCAGGCGCAACAATCGTGCCCCAAGGAACCTTAGTATCGATATCGATCGGTGCTGTTGACATGATTCCCGTGGCTCGGACTTCATAGAATATCGAACCGTCTTGCTGGAAGTAGAACAGGAAGATGTACTCGTAGTTGCTGACGGTGATAATGGTCTGCAACACGAGGACGCGAGACCTGGTGACAACAGCGTTGCCTGTTCGGAAGTTGGTATGCTTCCACAAGATACCGTCGTCGATTTCATGGCAGCAAATGACGTTGGGCATCTTGAGAGGTTCACCGGAAGATGTGCTCAACCAGCCGTCGAAGTACTTGATGTGCCCGAGACAGTCACACCCGAGTTTCAGATTATTGGCATTGATGCCCGCACCGTCGTTGCCCAGATCAAACGCTGCCTTCCGTGGATACGGGCATCGGGGATCACCGTACGGGACGAACATCTCCGCTAGAGATAGGCGGTAGAATAGGCTTCGGCCTTCGAAGCGGACATCGTGAAGTGTCATGCCTTCACGGTAGTTGAAGCCAACTCTCATGGTCCACTTCTCCCACGAAATGTGGTTCCCGTCAATGCCGAAAGAAGGTCCCTCAGGTTGAGAGACATGGTACGGCTTCGTTGTTGTCCTTCGCTCCTGGATAAGATCGGGATGGTACTCGCTGTTGGAATGAATCTTGCGGCGGTCGAATTCCAGCTTCTCGTCATGAATCTTGTCGTGTTCCCCGGACGGCAGCCGGTAGATCTTGACGACTTCAAGAGAGTTTCAGACTTCGGCGCAAATGTCGAGAGGATATGCGTAGTAGTTCGAGTCGGGATTGTCGGAAAGACGCATATAGAACCAAGCCTTGATTGATAAGTTTTGATGGATCGGGAAGGCTTGTAGCGGGACTTACCATGGTCCATCGATCCTGCATGTCTTTCATGCCATCAGTCGCATATGCCCATGGTTCAACTACCACAGTGGCACCCTCCGGCAGCTTCAGGGTTTCAATTTCTCGCTGGATTCGGGAGTCGGCAAGGCAAGCGGCGGCAACTTGAGCCATGTACTCCGTATCAATGTAGGAGTGCCGACCCTCAAGAGGTGCCTTGGACGAGATCGAGGCGGTGTCCAAGTTGACGATGAGCTCATGCAACGTCTTGTTGATATAAGCTTGAACCCTCGCCCGCCTCGGAGGGTAACTGAGATCCTGGCTGCCGGAATGCTCGCCATCGAGAAATTCTACCATCTCATTCTTAGGCGGCTCAGCAAGCGAGATAGCCCTGAAGAAGATTTGCTCATTCTCGCTTGACTTGCGGGTGATTTCGGCGGCCTATGAGGAGGATCGTAGTGTTAGCATACTTCAACTAGCCGAGCGACACTTGCAACAGAAAGAAAACTCACATAGCTGATCTCTACCGGGGTAAGAGGGTCAAAAGGATGAGGTTTCCGGCCAGATCCTGGCGAACCATCGTGCACGTCGCCCATGTTCGGCAACGAGTTAGTGCTGATAATACAGATTGTTCAGGTACTGGAAGGATGAAGAAGAGAGTGAAATAGAACTTAGGCTCGCATGCATGCTCGGCTTTTAAGCATCCCACGGGCAGCCGAGAGCGGCACAAGTGACTAAGATTTCGGTGCGATAAGCCCGAGAATTCGGAGAGATAGGACGTCTCCGCATGCCCGGCCGCCGCGATCGTCCCCGAAGGGTAGTTGGAGCCTTGAAAGTGGAGAAGCCCTGCCGGCGCCGTTCCGCTAAGGTAAGGAATTGTCGAGGACGCGCACCGGAGCTCCGATAGTCGGGTTCACGTTCCCGCTGACTCGTGGGTCTTGTGCGACCGAAACACACATTTTCGTCATAGAGCTCCAAAGGGCGCGAATGACAGCCAGCTCCACAGAGTAATTCTTTGCCAAGTTCATGAGGGGTAAAGGGGTTGGATATGAACGGACGCCCTTGAGGACTAGAAATTCAACTATAATACATTTAAAAAGTCTGAAGCTTGAACGGCCCCGAAGAAGATGACCCTGGTTGTAAAATCAAGAACTCAATGCGGTTGTTTGTCTACTTAGTAATAGTAGACTGAACCGGGTGATCAACCTGTTCAAATTCCTGGTCATTGATCTTGGTCTTGATGTCTTTGGCGGCGTCGGCAACCTCTTCCTCCTCCATGACGATAAATCGGCGGGGGCGTTCGACTTGCGTAGCTTCCTTGTCAAGAAACACCCATGTTCTCAAGCCCTCCTCAAACACAATGTCGATGTCTTCAAGCCTTCTGTTCGCAGTCTCCGGATAGAAGACGTACAGAATGGGCAGGGAGAAGAACTGCATGAAAACCCAAATCAGGTAGAACCTCCAGCCCAGTGTTTCAATGCCGATGGGGGTAATCTGGACGACCATGTAGTTGACTGCCCATTGAGCGGCAACACTGGCTGAAGCACCCTTCATTCGCATAGCCAATGAGTTAATTTCAGTGTTGTAAAGCCATGCAGTGCCTTGCCACCCAGCACCGAATATGGCGTAGAACAGGAAGATCATTGACACAGCTGCTGCGCCAACCCTATACTTCAGTCCCTCGTCTGTCGCGTATTGGCCGGTCCTAATGAGGACTGTAAGGATGATGTAGCAAACCAAGCAGCCTGAGGTCCCTGTTTCGCGCCTCAAGGTTAGAAATGACGTTATTCTGAATCGCATTCGGAGGTGATTAACTACTGACCATAGATCATAGCACCACGGCGACCCCACTTGTCAATCAGCATCATTCCCAGATATGAGAAGAAGATGTAGTGGACAGAGTTGGCGGCGGTTAGGAGACGAGCAAGCTTCTCCTCAAGCCCAACAGACTCTATCAAGACCGTCGGGAGATAGTACGAAGTGGCGTTGATACCAGACAACTGAACGATGAGCTGAGTACCTAGCCCAAGCATGAAACGGCGCAGAGCTCCAGAACCCCCCTTTTCCGACGCTCCTCGGAAGAGTTGAGACCAAGTCATCGCGTTTTCGGTTTCTTGTTTGTACGCGCGGACAATCTCGTTACGCTCAGCCAGAACAGCGGGACTCGCCACGTCGCTGTCTCCCTTCAGATCGGCGAGGATGATATCAGCCTCCTCGATACGGTTCTTGGAGATAAGCCATCTCGGAGACTCGGGCAGCCAGGGTGCGGTGCCGAGAATGACCAGGCAGAAGATCAGCTTGAGTGCGAGAGGCAAACGCCAAGATATGCTGCCCTCCAGGTAGGAAAAGCCAAAGGTGACCCAGTTAGCCAGGGAGAAACCGGCAACGTTGACCACCAGACCCAGCACCACAAGCTTGCCTCGCCATTTGGCCTGGGTAGTCTCACTCTGCCAAACGGGAGCCGTTGCAGTATTCAGACCGTTTCCGAGGCCGGCAACCAGACGCCCGACAATCATATGGGGCACGCTGAAAGCCGACATCTGCAGGACAGCCCCAATGACCAGGACTGTAGTACCCAGGATGACAGATCGCTTGCGTCCCAAGTACGAGCCAATCCATGAACCTGAGATCGCGCCGAAGAAACATCCAACGTTGTACAAGGATGTGATTGTTCCTTGCATGTTGGCATCGGGGTTGTCCATCGTCTTCAAGAAGTCTCTCGATACGATGATACCACCTGAAGACAGAAAGAAGATTACATGTCAATCGACAAGATTCGGGGGGGGGGGGGGGGGGGGGGTGTTGCCGGGAGAAAAGCATTGGGGCAAAAAAAAAAACCCCCCCCCCCCCCCCCCCCCCCCCCCCCCCCCCCCCCCCCCCCCCCCCCCCCCCCCCCCCCACATGCCGAGAGAACAGCATTGAGGCCAAACGTACTAAAAACGGCTTGATCATAGCCGAATAGAGCCATGGATGCCGTGTAGCACACGGTCAGCCAGACCAGGAGAGGAGTTCCCCTACACCCAAAGTAGCGGTTTTCCATGTTGTCGGCGATGGTCGGGAACGCCTGTTTGCTAGTTCCGAATGTGGCTAGAGACTGCCTCCGTTGGCATTCAAGTTTCGTAAACAAGAATGAATCGCATGATACCAAGTTGAGGGGAGAAACTGGTACATATAAACATGCTGTTGAGGCACCCGGAAAATACCCCAGATCTGCGACTCTGGGGTGAACGTGGGGAAAGAATTCCTGGTTCAGTTGGCCCTTGACTGGACGCTACCCTCCGGTCTTGACACGGCCCGGAATGTGTGGGTTCATCGTCCGTAATTGTCCAATGCGCGTCGATGTATCATGAAATGAGTGGGTTGTGCTTCTTAGCGACGTGCTGAACATCCCCGCAACTCGGGTTGACATCGGAGTCAGACGGCCCTTTGCGATGTTCACCTGCTTGTAGAACAGATAGACTGCTTGTTGGAAATCATGCCATCCGTGCACAAACCCATAAGCAAGCATGGTGCCGGAATATGGAACGTGTGTTGGTACGGCTTTCTTCAGAGTGGTGACTCGAGAGCCAGAGATGAAGCCGGTGGGAGCGTCCCTGATCGCGTGACCGATGAAAGGAAAGGAGCAATCATCACGTGATGTTGCAACCGATCGGGTTGAAAGAACTTCGGTATATAACTCAAGATTAGCCCATCGGCCCGGACACGGCCCAGGTCTGCGGTCCACGCTTCAGCCATCGCGATATGGCCTCGACGTCACAAAGAGAACCTCGGCTTGCGTATGCTATGCTGAACTGTCCCCTGTCCTAATTGGCACCCATTACTGACTCGGGTTTTCTCGGCATTTCACAGATGCCTAGTGTGTCGTCAACGCAAGGTCGCATGCGATCGACAGCGTCCGCGGTGCGGACTTTGTTCGAAGCATGATTTTGAGTGCGTCTATAAGTCGAGGCAGCAACGACCTGGACTTCGAGCAGGCTACGTGTCGCAACTGGAACGACAACTCGGTGAGTTCTAACATACTTCGTATGACCATGCTCTACATCCGATAGTCAACATAGTAACATGAAATCAACTCTGTGGCAGAGGCTATGCAGGAGAGACTAGGACGAGTTGAAAATTATCTAGCGCAGGACAGTCGAAACACGCCCTTCAACGTCGAACGTTCTCATGCCTCGTTACGTTTGGTAGATAACGGACGATTTGAATCTGATCCATCTGATCCAGGTCTGGCCGAAGTCACGGACGATCTCGGGGAGGACATGCTGGAAGCTGTTCCCCAAACCCCTGTCGCTCTCAACAATGAGTCTTCGATACCGTCGAATCTCACGCCTACTCTACAAGACATACTCACGACATGGTTTCGAAGCTATCACCCCTGGTTTCCAATCTTAAATCAAGGTTCCTTCAGAGAACCATCAGCCTTTGAGAGCCCCGATCAGGAACTGATCTGCAAAGCTGTTACTGCTGTGGTGACTTTTGATCAGGCCGATAGATTACCATGGCTTCAGGGACGAGCCGCAGAGCTTCGAGATCAAGTTTTGCTTCAGGGTTGCGCCACCCCGTCGCTCCAGTCTGTACAGGCCCTTCTGATCCTGTCTAACCACTTCTATGCAAGGGGGAGACTAACAGAATTCTGGAATATTTTGGCAATGTCCAAACGGTGCGGATATACCTGTTCACCAGCTGCAAAGAAGAGTTTCCCTTCATTGCTGACTTTACGGTAGAATCCTCGCTCATCCCGACATTCAACGAGATGGGGGAAGCCTGATTTGCACCTACACCTCCCGGACACAGCTGGCGCAACGCTCTAGTAATGGTAGTAGCATAGTTAAAGAGGGAGCAAGGCGAGCCTTCTGGATGGTAGAGATGTTGGATGCTATCTCGACCTTAGGACTTCCTCATTCCATGCCATACTCGCCGTCCTCTTTGGGCACTCGCCTCCCATGCCTTGAGTCTCAATGGTCATCTACGCCGACGATCATAGAACGTTCCGATTCAGAACCGCGGTATGCGTCGGGATTCGCACTTTGCATCATGCTGTCAGTAGAGGAGCTCAAGGTTGTCCGCGAGTTCCTGAGGAGACCTTATGACCTGGATAAACTAGATCAAAGACTTGATTGGCAGTCTGAGGCACAGAGGATCGATGAAAGACTCACGAACTGGCGCGAAGAATTTGTCGCTTCTGTGTTCCAGCTCATCAACTATGAAAAGGATCATTTGCCTCGAGGGGAGATGGAATGTTTCTTTACGCTCACGAACTGCGTCCTAAACACGTATGCCTACCATTCTTCCCACTCTCATGCTGTACCTGACTTCGACCAATAGGGCAATCATTATTTTGCTACAGCAGATGGCGCCCATCCCCAAAGGGATAGATACGTCTTTTGAACCTGTAGGTATTGATCATTTTGGTTTCTCTTCAGATGACTAACTCTCGTTCCTCAAGTGGGCGTATGCTACAACCAGATGTACATATGCTTGTGAAAACCTGACCGCCAAGGTGAGGCGCATTGGAGTAGACCAACTTCAAAGCGAGTCGCCCTATTTGATATCACCACTCTTCGTGGCCGCACGCTTCTACATCGGTAGGCTTTTGTTGTTTCTGCCATCCATTTTGTCAAAGGCTAACGCAACAGGGGAAATCCAGTATACTCTAAAGCACTCGATGCTGATGTTCCCGCAAATCTCCATACCCTAGCCTTTATACTCCATGCATGTGGCAAGCGCTGGCCATTGGCGCAGCTTTACGAAAGCATCATTCGCACTGCTGTAGCCGAGCACCGAAGTCCAATTTCTGAGTGCGTCTTGCCCATAGAGTTCTACGACTTCCGCTATACTACTCTAGAGATCGCAGAGCTACTTCAACGGGCCGGGACAAAGGGGGCGTAGGAGAATGATTTGTTGTGGTCGGGGGAAGTCTCCAAAGGGTAACATTGAATAGACATCCTTTGCTACCACCAAATTCAGCGCGGAGAAGCTGCCTCTAGAGATTATGTATGAGTGGAACATCAGACGCCGGGCTTCAGTTCATAGTGGGGGAAGAAACACAGCATCGTTTTTACGTGCTTTGATGAGCAGAGTGATAATTAGCGAATTATTGGAATCGGAGTGGACACGGCCCAGGAAGAGTAGATGGGACATCGGCAGTCGATAGCAATGCGTCATTCAGGAACCCCATTTGCACGATTTCCCGCCGTCTTCCTTGTTTGTAAACGGGCCTCTCGCGGGCTCGACTCGGCCCGGCGGCGGTCTTGATAGAGTGGGGACCCGAAAACCGAACGGAACCCCGAGTTACATCGGTCAGTGAAGCACCGCACTCGCTATCCAGCATGTCTTCCCAAGCATCGTTGAGCGGCGCAATTGTTGTGGAGCATACCAGAGTAGTTAGGAGGAAATAGCTTGTATTTGAGTGTCTAAAAAGGTGCATTTTGGGGATTCGTGAGCAGTCTCTGGTGTCTCACCCTTTCTGGACTTCGTAATTTTGAATCCCACGAGACACCGAAGCAACGAAGCTACCATGACACTGAAGGTCGCTCAGCCGGATGGCTATGCCACCCAGCTCGACCGATTGGCTGCAAAAGTGCTGCGTGAGTTGCCCCGGCATAGACCGAAGGCCATCCGGGAAAGATCACTCACCAATGGGTAGGCCTCCATGCGCTGCATGCTCCTAGTGACCGTGTAATGGTTGCGATATCTGGTGTCCCAGGGTCCGGCAAAACGACTCTGGCAAAAGATCTAGCAGCAAAGCTCCAGGACGCGCAAGACAAAAGGAACTTTGTCGCCATGATCCCCATGGACGGCTTTCACTTGTATAGATCCCAGCTGGCAGCAATGCCCAACTCAGCCGAAGCAATTCACCGTCGGGGCGCTGCATTCACGTTCGACTCGGCGCAGTTCTATCGACTCGTTCAAGCACTTCGAGAATCAGTAACCGGCAACACACCCGACATCTTTGCACCGAGCTTCGACCACGCGGTGAAGGACCCTGTCGAGGACGACATTTGCGTACCGAAAGAGGCACGCATCATAATCTTCGAAGGACTCTACTTGAGTCTTGACCGGGAGCCTTGGCGCTCCGCTGCGAACCTCATGGATGAGTTATGGTTCCTGAATATTGATCGCGAAGTTGCTTGGACCAGACTGGTCGAGCGTCATGTTGCTTCTGGCATTGTTCCGGATCGAGCGGCGGCGGAGCACCGTGTATCCAGCACAGATATGTTGAACGCTGATGATATCATCAATAATCGTCTACCTGCGCATGAATACATTGAGTTCTAACACAAAATCGGGCTTCATTCAGGATTCATCGAGCAATGTACTGTAAGTGGAAAGTACGATGGCAAAAGCGACAAGAAGGACGACGACAACGCATGCTATCTTCATGCTTTTCTAGTAGATAAACAATTCCACAGAGGTAGAACCTAGTTAAATAGAAGCATCCTTGGGAATTGAAGCACCCTTGGTGTAGTATTTGTCTACGCTACGTCCAAGTACGCACGCTTTGTCTCAAGCTCTACTCAATCAAGCACACTGGTAGTAGTAGGGAGGGGAAACTCCTTGACATGTTGAACCAGACTGTAGAGCTGTTAGCTGAAAGTCATCGCGACCGGAAAGTCCAAGCACAGAATAACTTACAACACAGGTTGTGCATCCGGTGTAATCCTGACCACCGCATTGCCCGAACTTAGCAACAGTACATCCGGGGAGACCACCTCCACTGCCTCCTGTGGTGGTCGGCTGAGGAACGGCGGATGCAGTTCCCGTGGGACCCGATCCAGCCGTGCAAGTCGACTCACAGCCAACACAAGCTGCTCCTGCGCTCTTCGTTGTGCCTCCGCTGTAGACCGTAGGGCCCGGAACGACGTAAGTTGCAAGAGCGCGGTGGATGTCGACCAGCAGACCAGGGTCGCTGGCTTTGTAGGCGCCCGGGAATGACACAGTTCCTGGGGAAGCACTTCCTCCTCCGGTAACGGTAAGCTGGAAGCAAGTCATGTACAGCTGGGCACCTCCGCTCGAACCAGCCGCGTGCAAGGCAATAGATTCGGCACGAAGGAGGTAGTCTCCGGCGGGGATGTCGGAGGGGATCTTGACTTGGACCTTGCCACAGCAGGTGTTCATGTCCTTTGAGCCCCAGTTGTCGCCATCTCCGTTGGCGCTTCCAGCCTTCGCAGCCCAGCCGTCTTGGTAGACCTTGAACCAGCCAGTAGACCCGTCGGCCGACGACGAGTCGGAGACCTTGGTCATGTACGCCATCACTGGGCCGTAGTGTGCGCCGCCAATGGCCTCTTGAGCGCAGGATCGATCATTGGGTTGCTGAAACAACGATGTCAGCTTAGAACAACACTCATCGATTCAATGTGTCTTCTGGAATAGTCCGACTTACCTGGTGCATCTCAACAACCACTGAGGATCCAGCTTTGACGACACACTTCCGAGCTACAGGGCCACTGTTCGCGTTGCAACGGACATCGTTAGAAGCGACATTTGTGACGGGTGAGTTCGACAGTGGCAATCTCGCGCATTGCCCTCCAAACTACGGGCGGTCAGCGTTCAATACTGCACGTGGAGATGAGGCGTTGAGGGGGGTTTATACATCGACTCCATCGACCCAAAGAGCTTGGAAGGTTGCATGGGAAGCAACTTTCTGAGCGGCAATAGCCAACAGGGAAAGAACGGCGGCTTTCATGGCGATCAAAGCTTGGTTTGCGGGAGACAAATTGCGCACAAGGAACAGCAACCGGAACCAAGCGATGATCAGTCCTGGTCGACCAATATATACACCACAGCAAACCCGGACTCAATACCGTTTCTCATCAATGAGTCAAATGATGGCAAATTAAATCATATTGAACATGTCTCTTGGCGAAGATATCACGCAGTCTTGGGACGAGAGCCGACGAGTTAGCTGTCTTGCTGTAAATGAAAGTAAGAACCCCGTGGACACAGAGAGCACCCACCACAAACGAGCCCATGGCAGGTGTAACGTATCAACCCCAGGTTTTCCCCAGGTTTAAATGATGTGGTGGTAAGCGGCAGTGTGCTAGTTTCGGTAATTGGTGGATTTCGGCTGTTCGCCAGGATCACGGAGGGCGATGTCCGTGGGTGTTTCTGCCCGTATGGGAACTAGAGCACTTCCTCCGCCTCGAGTAAATAAATGAGCCCTATTGATAACATAAGCGTAGAAGCCTGCGAATGATGATAAATCCTACCGGAACCAACTCAGATGGCAGAGTCTGTGGTCAACATAGCAGTGTGATGTCGTACGATGTGACGGCGTAATCTTCCTGTCCTGAGTCCTGACGGGAGGACCTTTTTGCAGACCGGTAGACATGATGTTCCAAGCTACCAGCTGAGCTTGAAAGGATAGTCTAGAAGTCAATCATTGGAATTCAACAGGCTCAATACCTCGGCCAGAGCACGTCTCATGTGATGTTGCTTGCTGGTGGTCACACTAACTGGAAAGCAACTATCCAGCGACGCGATCTATAAGACACTTGTTTATGAATCTTGCAAAACAAACATAGAACTTGCAGTGTCTAACTTTGCTTGCTCCATGGAGCACTTGAAGCTTGAGTTTACAAGGTGAAGCCAACGGCGCCGCAAGTATTGGTCTACAATCGCAACACATGCTTCCTCCCAAACACCTGCAGACCCACTCCGACGAGTTGGTGATCTTGAGAATTCCCATTGCTACTGGCTCTCTAGTGTTTTAACCTGGGCTAGCCCGGCCATCGTGTTGATTCATAGGTATACATAATTGAGGTATGCGTGACAAACCTCCTGCGTCTGAATTCGTCGGAATCAAGCCGAAGCGGCGTCCCCAGTCGGCCCCACTGGTCCCGTTCATGAGGTTCGTTCACCATGTCGTCGCCAGTGCGCCTTGATGGCTCAGTGGTAAAGCGCCTCACTAGTAATGAGGAGATCGAGAGTTCGATTCTCTCTCGAGGCACATGTTGATAGTCGCATCACACCTTATCTTTTGCTTCTGTCAGCGACGAACCGCGACACGCCGAGATTGTGTTTTGAGTGTCAGAGTCAGTGCGAACAAGTGCCGAAGCAGCATTTTTGTGACTCTTACTTAGTCTTGTGATACTGAGGGTTTAGTTCTACGTATATAGATAGCGTTGTTTGTTTCTCGGTGAGGCGTACCCACTGTGTGTGACGTTGGTAAACTAAGTATTGTTAAACACGGTCAAAGATGCAATGGACTTGAGCAAGATTGATTAATTATGCTGTAACATGATAATGTCGAAACATTCCCAGCGACTTATACAGTACATGTAAACTCAGCACAAAGAGCGGACGCCATGTCAATTGCACCCAAATTCCAATGACCCCTCATAAAGGGCCCAAGTACCTAAGGCAGCCTGACAACCATCACCTTAATGAATACATCATTCAAGACCACTTTGTCACTGAATTAAGGATTCCTAAAGTAAGTGTTTGACTTGTTGAACTTTTTCTCAGCCGCACAGTTGTATCTACGTCCGTGAGAGCGGCTAAGCTAATGTGATTGTCCAACGTATCAATTGAACATGTTGAGATGACGAGATGGTGACCCTGCATGAACCTGCGTTATTCTGACTTACGTGCATTCGATTCGGCGTTCATACACTCGGTGGTTGAAACGTGTTGTCATAGGCATGATTCGAAGGCCATCTCTGCATTGAGAGCTTCATACATAAGCCACTAACTTTCTCGACAGGGATCTACCCCGCGATAGATGTCGCCGTAGTACAGGCTCGCCGGCAAATCTTCCGGTTTCTGGCTTACATACAGCAACCAACCTTCGTCGACAGCCAGCGATGTAAGCGGCAGCATCAGTAGGTATGGCACTCACGTCGCTATGATCAGCACTTCGGCTGGCATCCCATCTGCCTGTGACGCAAGAGTGCCCACGGTTTCGGGCTTGAGCAAGGCCACCGTACCCTCGGATCACTCGTGTTGTGGTCCGATAGACACAGCTACCCCGCGCAAATCCAAAGAGCCGACCAGGGCCAGAGCGGTGACATGTTGGAGCATAAGTCCCTCTCGTTGCGGAATGGCGGTCTCTGAGTGGCCACAGACCTTTTGAATGGACAAGGGTTTGACTGTTGGTGACAAGATGGTAGACTTGCATATTTACATGTATTCGTATGGAGGGGAGATTTACGATTGACTGTGCTTGGCCATCGGATGAGCAGGGAGCCCTTTCCGTCGGATATTAGACCAATTGGTGTCAACTTGATATTTCTTCCTGGCTTAGCTCGGTGGACCGCAAAGAGGGTGAAGCTGAACAGGAAGTAATCGGATAGATGCCCTCTGTAACATGATTTTGCAATCTCTGAGACTCACTATTGCTCTCTAGCGACGAGAGAAGATGGAATTCTATGCAAGTAAAGCCAAATTTCACAAACTCGCTTCAATCTCAAGACGTGGCAATTGCATCCTGCGGATGCAACTACGGATCAGGTACGATCGGCCCAGTAAATGTTTGTTGATGTCCCTGATTGACCAACGACTCTTCTAATTGGTTTGACTCCAACTTCGGACGACGTTGCTCCGCGATCAAACAGGCAAAGCGCCTCCGCCCACCCTCTTGGCATCTCCAACTTCTTGGAGAAGAGCTCGTGGCACGCGGCCCAACGGTCTCCGTGATGAATCTGGACAGGTTTCGGCCCAGGACTCCGGGGAACCGAGATGTGTTGACATTTGCAATAAATATGACGGGTCGCCGCGGCCACTCGCGGCAAAATTGCAGGTCGTGTTGGTTTGGAAAGCTGAAGCATTCGCCTTTTCGTCAAAGATGCTGCCCAATCTCTCCGGTCTGGTGTCAATTGGCCTCCTGGCCAGCGGAGTCACCGCCGCCCCATGCGTCAGGAAGGGTTTCGTGACCGTGGAAGGCACAAAGTTCAAGCTTGACGGCGAGGACTTCAACTTTGCGGGAAGCAACGCCTACTACTTCCCCTTCGACAACGTAGGTTGAGCCAATTGAGCCTGGTAAATAACTAAGAACCCTGCCCGGCTGACTATGACACCAGAACCAAGCTGATGTCGAAGCTGGCTTGACCGCCGCCAAGGACGCTGGTCTGAAGGTTTTCCGCACCTGGGGCTTCAACGACAAGAACGCCACATACAACCCCGATGGCCTTCCGCAGTACGGCGGCGAGGGTGCCGGTGCAACCGAGATCGTCTTCCAGAGATGGTACGACAACGGGACTTCCGTCATCAACATCGAGGCTTTCGACAAGGTCGTCGATGCTGCTGAGAACGTCGGCATGAAATTGATCGTTGCCCTGACTAACAATTGGGCCGACTATGGTGGCATGGATGTCTACACGGTCAACCTAGGAGGAAAGTACCACGATGACGTAAGTCTCAATGGTGACTTGGAAGCATATTAGATACTGACCGATCGTGTTCATAGTTCTACCACGTCCCAAAGATCAAGGACGCATTCAAGCGATACGTCAAGGAGATGGTCACACGCTACAAGGACTCCCCCGCCATCATGGCGTGGGAGCTCGGCAACGAGCCTCGCTGCGGCGCCGACGGAGTTCGCAACCTGCCCAGAAGCGATGACTGTACCCCGGAGCGACTTGGCGCCTGGATCGAGGAGATGAGCGCGTACGTCAAGAGCCTCGACAAGCACCACCTCGTGACATGGGGCGGAGAGGGCGGCTTCAACATTGAGTCGGACGACTGGGCCTACAACGGAGCCGACGGTAGCGACTTTGATCACGAGCTCGCTCTGCCCAACATCGACTTCGGCACGTTCCACTCCTACCCTGACTGGTGGAGCAAGACGGTCGAATGGACAGAGCAATGGATCCGTGACCACGCTGCCTCGGGCCGCAAGGTCGGCAAGCCCGTTGTGCACGAGGAGTACGGGTGGTTGACGCCCGACAAGCGCCTCGAGTTCCTCGGCATCGTCAATGACACCCCACGCACGGAGGTGTTGGGCAAGTGGCAGGCTATCTCGCTGGAGGAGGAGATGCCCGATATGTACTGGCAGTATGGCTACTCCAACTACTCCTACGGTCGTAACCACAACGATGGTTTCACGATCTACCTGGACGACGCGGAAGCCAAACCCCTGGTATACGAACATGCCGCGAAGGTCAATGCATTGTAGAAGACGGGACTTATCGTAGAATAGAAATCTATGTCGTTGCGCGTTACGTTATTCAATAACTCGTCGCAAAGAAACGAGTTGAATCATATGGTACAATGTTATCCGAGATCCTAGTGTCTTCCATACATGTCCTCTTGACCATTCTGAACCTGTTGATAGGCCGTCATAGGGAATCCCTTCTGCGCATTCTTCTGCCTCCTTTGCTCTGCCTTCATGTGCAGACCGAACCTGATAGCCTCCACAATCTCCATGGGGTTCCAAAGCTCGATCAATGCCCAGAAACCCAGAGGACCGCCGGAGTAGGTTTGAGGCTCGTATGCCTCGAGGTCGCCGGCGATAGGACGACGGCTGCGTCCGCTTCCAATGACATAAGGGCGGTAAGAGTAGGCGTAGTGGAAGAAGATCGACAACGGGAACATCTCAATGCAGATGAGCATTGACGGAATACCGATGTTGAGGTCCGCCCATGTCAGCATAGGGGTTGGGTTCAGAACGTTGACGTCTCTCAGGATCCAGAAAATGATCTATGTTAATGCTGTTAGAATGATGTTCAGTTGCCAGGTTCGTGATATTACTTACGTTCTCAAGGAAGGTCAAAGACACAACCAACTTGAACGAGAGGAACTTGGCCAGTGGCTGGTGGTGGGCGAGGTCGGACTTCAACCGCACATAGAAACGAATAACCGTCATAATGGCAATTGTGAGAGAAACACTGCCGATGATGGAGAGCTGTCATTCAGTCAGGATCAGGTTGCTCGAAGGTCATCTTCAGCTAGTGTTGTACTTACCCAAATCTTGGCGAAGTGCGCCTTGCTTGCAAATTCACAGTAAACTCCCGCAGCTTGGGTAATGGCTGTGAGGATGGCAACCAGGAGTGCGACGACCGGGTATTGGAAGATCGAAAACCACATCCGCTGGGAGTAGGTCAGATTCGAATCGCTCTTTGAGTTTTGGGTTTCGCCATTTACTGACCTGGAACCATTGAAGTCCATCCTGAGTCCCGGTCTCTGATTTCTTGTCCTTCACCGTCAGAGCAGCGAAGAAGACATCTCGGTGCTGCTCGCTGGGCGAGACGAATTCGCACATCAGAAGAAAGAAGGTGCCTAAGCAGACAGCTTGAACGACTTCCAGCCACGGTTCAAGGTACACCTGAGCTGCCGGGAAGCAAATCGATAGGAAAGAAATGATTGACCAAAATGGTATGATCAAGGAGATCCGGAGAATTCTGCTCTGGTTAAAAAATGTTAGAGTTTAGATAGAACTCAAACTTACTTGATTTGTTCGTTCTTTTTGCTGAGATGCGTTGCGTGAAGGAACATGTGAACAAAGATGATGAGACATGATGCTGCAGCAAAGCTTCCCGATAAAATCATGTTGAACTTGTAAAAGGACATGCCGCCAATGAACATTTGGGTGGCATCTGAAAACATTGTGAGCTTTTAATGGCCGAAGCTGTTGCGGGTTGCTGTTGACTTACTCTCATCAAGGGATTGGATAGGGCAATCGTTTTTGCCCGTATCATTTTTCGAAGCTCTGATATGGATAATGGAGTCCATGGCGGTGTTTGTTGGAACAGGACTCTAATATTTGATGTGGTGTAAGTCCTTGAAATTGAGATAATGAGTAGGCAAGATATCACACCATGTTGCGAGAGCCAAGCCAAAATATTTATCTCTCAGCATGGTTTACTAGCGGCGTCCTCCCGCATCTTAATTCTGCAGGTAAAACGCCTCGCAAGCCCAATCTACCAGCCAAATCGTCGTCGTCTCCAACGTCGCTCATGTCGCTCGAATCGCATTCGGAGCCATGTAGCACCGCCCCTGTATGCCACCTGGTCAAAGGCTTGCAGGAGGAGCAGAATGCCTGAAAGGCCTGCGCTGTGCTAGTGGCTGAGCGATGACGGCCCGGAACTCGGCTCTTAGAATCGAATGAGATTCCCTAAGAGGAAAGGTAAGCTGACTCGGCACAGACTTGCCGCGTTGATGAAGGGGCATTTCGTTATCTAAACTGCCATTTAAACGCACTCCGCTAGCGCGCTAACAAGAAACAAGCTTCGCTTTCTCCGATCTTGGGGCGTTGGTGGCTGGCTGCCTGCCCGGACCCTTGCTGTCGTTCATCCCAAACTACAAACTGACAGGACAACGCGGTGAGGTGAACTATGCGATCCGTGTCATCGATTACTGCTATCCACTGCAAGGCAACTACCTAAGTTCTTTTCCACTTCTCCATTCACTTCGCCATGATCGGCGTTGGGGACTGGGTACACCGATCCTCCTCCGCTCCCGCTCCGGTGCCGATTGAACCCGATGTCCGTCCGTTGGCCGAGATGCAGGTGAAAGCTCATTGAAACGCCCGATTTCTCATTCAAGAGTTTGGACTTTGGGGGTAAGATCTTGTAGCGCTTCCAGGTCATCAGCTGGCACACCAGCCAAGGCTTCTGGTGGAAATTTGACCGTTCCAGGCCGTGGTTTAAGAGCTGTCAGTATGCCTCTTTCCCTCCCAATACGTCGCAGCGCATCTCTTGCTATGATCCGGAGATGTCTAGGAACGGTTGGGATAACGTAAATATGCGAAAGCGGCCAGATTAACCGTATAGCTTCGAAGTAAGCAGACGGTGCATGAGAATCCAAACCCGGCATGGTACCCCCAAGCTCTTCGGGCAGACTATTCACGACTTCCTCGGCTGATGTCGTGATGATATCGAGGCAAAGCTGGCGACGCGCCCGCAGTGCATCCGGGTCAAAGGGGCAGTCTGGAGCATGTTCGACGACATTCGAAACCAAGATCACCATGTGATGTAGCTTAATCCGAGTGGCTCTCCAGGCATTCCAGAAGTATGAACGAACTGGTCCTGTCTGGACCGGATCATCAGGGTCTGACTGAATCCATTCCAGCATGTCGAGTTCTGCTTTGTCGCACTCGGCGAGGAGCTCCTCGTATTGTGTGCATGCAGCTCCTTTGTCGCCCGCATGGGCTATGGGAACCAATCTCGACAGTAAAGAGCATGCTGATGCAATGAAGCGTCCGGTTCTAAGGAGTAGAGCTTCGCCCGGTTGTAAAGAGTTTTCGATGATCCTCGACCAGTGTTCAAAGTCTGGAGGACATGGTGAATTTGTCGTTTCGCACTGGATTTGCTGGCCTATCCGTTAATAAGTGATACGGAAGAAGCGCATTCAGGAGAAAACAAACTCACAATGATGTTGTGCATGACCCAGAAAATTTGGCGACCAGGCCTCGAATAGAATTGTTTGTCTCCTCGGGCTCTTAGTAAACTCAACAAGCCGTTGGTGTGAATGTACCAGCTTGACGATGTTGAAGTTGGGTTCTCTTTCTGAGCCATGAAGAAACGTCTCTCAAGACTGCCCATTAAAACCTGCTTCCAGTTAGTAAAAGAAATCACACGCGTTACTGACTGCATAGGCATCTTCTACTCACTTCATAGTTGCCTAGCAGCCACACGGCAGTAATAGTTGAATCCGAAGTGTAGTATTTGGGGTCTTTGATGGCCGCTGACACAGAGGCCAAGGCTTTTCCCAGACTTGCGGACAACTCATTGCAATCAGTGTCAGGTCTGAAGCGGTTGATGACATATGCCCGCGCGAAAACTTGCCCGGCGAGGACAAGGCAATGGTCTTGCGGGACCCCTTTAAACAATTTGGGGAGGAAGTCGATGTTTGAGTAGCAGCCAAGAACAAGGGGAATGGATTCTTCAGTCCAATGTTGACGAACGGTTCTAAACAATGGCGGCGTTGAGTCGCGACTGAACGTCCCTTGTGATGGTGGCGATGCAGTCGACTCTGGGGTGAAAGCAATAACCTGGAGCGCATCCCAATGTTGGTCCGGGTGCCTCACTTGCTTCTTCCGCTTCCGCTTCTCAAATGTGGTAGAGTTGGAATGTTGGAAGCGCAGGGCCTCGTCATCTCTATAACCTGGACAAGCAACGCCGTATTTGACACATCGTTGACATTGGGGTCGACCCAAATCACACTTGGCTCAGGTGTTAGCTGCAGTGCCAAGCGGGACAAGACCCCTGGAGGTATGAAGTTATCGCAACTCACTTTGACCCTCCTCTGCCGGCAAAGGTGGCAATTGGGACTCGGTTTACCGGTATTCGGCATCGCGTGATTGGTTTCCCTATCTCATAAAGCAAGTCCTGCCGGGCCTTTCGCTGGCGATTCGAATACCGCAAACAGGGACCGCAGAATTGGTGATGGCTGAAGGGATGGGTGTCCGGGCTTGGCGAACTGTGCGAAAGAGACAGGGAGAAATTGCGGAGAGACGGAGACGCAGTCGTCACCTCGAATGAAGTTCTGAAAAAGGTTTAGGGCGCCTCGACGGCCGGATCCTTCGCTCGTCGAAAATGCGTAAGCCCTACGACTGCCTAGTGGACACCACATGAGACTTTGGCCTGGAGTCTGCATTCTCGCGAAATTGGAAGTGCCAAAATCATTGCTGTGCATATGCATGGATATGCAAAAGTACTTCCTGCCTCACCTTCAACCTCTTATTGGGTTACACTCCGGCGGCAATCTATGCCCGGCCACGATGAAAGAAGACACGGGATGAGCAGTTCCCGGACCGTAAGAATAGACATGTCAGGGATGTCACGAATGATATGAGTATCAGGCCGTACAATGATTGAACTGGACATCCAGTCTCTCTTTTCTACCAAGCAGCGATATCAAACAACGCAGAACTCAGGAGGCATCACCTCAGCGGCCTGACGTGGCAGTAAACCCACTAAGTTGAAGTAAAAGCAAAGCCTTCTACACCTCTTCGGAAACCTCCTGGCATATGAGTTCTGTCTACCTATACACCCATTTGAATTGAATTACCAAGCTAGAGTGGAGCCCGCCTCAACGTGCAGTATTTTCTCCGTCAATAGTGAGATCCTCGTACTTATTCAGGAGGTGTTCCAAAGACGCCTCCCGGATGTCCTTCTTGATTTCGATGGCTGGGAGAGGCCAGGCTGACAACAGCTTCTGTGCCAAAACTGCTTGGTCGGAGGCATCCAAGTCCTTCATGTTCGCATGGGTTCCAAGGAGGTCCACATCTTCCTTGCGCATGCGGTCCCTTAGTACACGACACACGACGGAAGCTATATGACAACTGCGACCCTGGTCGTGAAGTCCTTTGGCGCAGAGAATAAGCGTTGAGCGGAGAGCGTTGAACCTCGCCGGGTCAGTTCCTTCGAGCGCGGCCTCTTGCTTTATTCTCTCACAAGTTGTGTTGCCAAGAAGAGTCAAAAAGTATATGCCCCAATGGTCTGCCCCATCAAAACTGTGCCGCAGGTAGTAAAGCCGTAATAACGTCTCGAACCGAATATCGAAATTGTCGATCAAGCGCTGGAGAGTCTCGCGGGTACTTGAGAGAGCAGGTTGGGTTACCAACAAGTTCTTGAACAACTGGGACACGGTGGTGTAGTATTCCATGCTGTGCCGGGTCAGTTACTGTTGGCCTGTTCATCGATATTATGACACGCCGAATATGTGCAGAACTCACTGTAGTTTGATGTGATTGGGTAGAGCGATGTTGTTGGTTGAGACACACTCAGGGAGTGAAGAGAACCAATCGTCTAATTTCTGTTTGAAAACGAATGTTTCTTCCATCGTGAACGGCCTTAACTGCCCTTCCTCTACACCCGAAGTCCTGCTGATAACCATTTCGTTCAGCATGGCAGAGAATTGCGCCGTGGATCTCAACCAGCTGGGAAAGTGAAGTGGAAATACTGTCTCCGTCCCAGGGTATCTCAAGTATATCTCTCCATACCATGCAGGCTGAAGCTCTGGGTCTGGAAGGGGATAGTCTGGGGGCTTCTCCATCAGTGGCCTGTGGGCGAAGTAATAGCAATGACGACTATCCTTTTAGTATTTTCCGGAAACATTAGTTTTGGGGTGCACTTACGCTTGCCACCCAAAAAGAGCCCATGCTGTGAAAGTCTTTGCATCCTGTGCTTTTCGATCCGTTATATTGGCAGATGGAGCGAAGAGATTCATATCATGCGCCATACGAATTCCTTCTATCGTGTACTTGATCCCAACTTTGTCTAGTCCATACGCATTGTACAGCGAGTTCAGCAACACTGAAGCCTGAATGGTAGTCAAGCGAGGTGTTGAAGAGTAGGATTCGAGCTCCCAGAGGTGTTTGGCTTCCGCCGTAAAGCGATATGCTAGGTTTTCTGGCATCCAAAAACGGGATCGTTCCTCAAGATCAAGGCAGCTTGTCTAAGAAAAAGTGAGTTTCTATCTCTATTAATTTGTTTGGGTTCCTGCTGCTTACTGCGCCTAACGCAAGAACAGAATTCACCAATAGGGATGAGCACATCTCATGTTTCATTGCGACCATATCATCGAGAAAGTAGTCCTTTTGAAACATCGTATGTACTGAATAGCCGTGGAGAAAGAAGGCGTTGAGTAGTTTTCGGACAAGCTTATCGTCTGGCACAATGCTGGTCCAATAGCTTGCGTTAATCTTCGAAAGGCGCGGGTCAACGATTTCAGCCGCATTAAATGGCTTCAGGTAGATGTCCTGAACCTCAAGCGTTCCTCCTCTAGTCTCAGAGTCGCAGGAGCCTCCTGAGATGCTGTTGCTAATGGTGGCAGTGTACAGCTTTGAATCAACGATCAGGTTCTCGGGTGTCATGAGAAAGCTTGGCATGCTGGAAAGGAACGGGAACGTGTATCGCTGTAGTCTGGTCTCAGGACTCAGTGATAGCTGGAGAAGGAGGTTGCCGTCGCGTATTTGGCTCATCAATTCTTCCGGAGACTTTCCTTGTCTGATTCTCTGGAACACGCCCATAGCCTGTTCCTCGGGCATAGATTGAAGGGCGGAATAGAGCTCCTGAAGGGCACCAAAGCCAACCTGTACTTCAGAAAACTTCCGCTTCAACGCTTTGCCCCGGGTCTCCTCGGGGTCGCCTTCGTAAACACACTCGAGACCCTTTTCGGTGCATAGAGAGCACCGGGGGCGTTCTGCACTACACTATAAAGAGGTCAGCCTTTTAAACGTCATATGAGAAGGGCTGCGGTAGATGAAGCGCACTTTTCTCTTCTTCTTTCTGCATTCTAAACACGCGGCGACGACAACGTTGCGTCGGGTCGTTCGAGATCGTGGAGGTAATGTCCAGCCGGGTCGTTGAGCTGGAGCATGAGCCTGCGATGAACTTGCCGGCGGCACCCAAGGACGCAGTTCGCGGAACTGCGTGTTCTTATCCATGTCGGTCAAAGCATTGCCTTGTCGTGGACTGTTGAGATTTACGTGGCACCGCGATTGCGGAGGGAGGCTGGTATGGAGGCCGGCGGGGACATGAACATAAGCATCATTGTGACGGAGCGATGTCCCTTCCAATGAGACATGGCCAATTAGTTCCACTTGGATGGCATGCTAGCTGGCTTTCACTCGTAAATTTACGGATGCATGCGCCCGTTTTGTGCACATGCATGTACGTATGCGGCGAATAGGTCAGCATGCCAAGATAAGGCTCTCAGGTACAGATACAAAGCTTTTTTCGACCTTCTTGAGGCTCAAATTGTGGCTTGAAAATATCTCGTGGCTGCGCTGGAATCGGATACTTGTTGAGACCAACATAAAAGACTCCTCTGCAGCTCGGTTATGTTGCTGTGTTGGGTATGTAAAACACTTGTTGGCGCCAACATATGAAGCAATCTCTGCAAATTCCACTTTTGTTTCCGCATGCGACATCAGATTCGCCAGGGACATTTATCAAGAGAAGCATCTCTAGTCAAGACGTGCAGAAGCCGAAAGATTGTGTCATAAACAAGAACTTCAAATCATCTGCCCGATTAATGGACGGGCACTGTGTAGCGATATGAATGATGTGACGAGAACATCTTCTTACGAAAAGAATGCGTCCTCGAAATTAAACCATCTTCCTACTTTCCAGGTCATAAGAAACAAGTCTTCAAGTGTAGAAATTGTACTCTGAGAATGACAAAATATTGATGCATTCAAGCTCCGTGCCTCGCCGGAGAGACACCTGTTTCTAAATACAGCAAGATCACAAACTCTCCAATATATGCCAGTAGTTGTTTCAAACGACAAAAAGAGAAAAGCAAATATCCAGATGTTAAGCTACGCTCCAAAGGAAAAAGAAGCATGAAAGGAGCAGGGCATCGCATACATGGTGATTAGCAGTTAGATTTTGCCACTACCTGCACCTGCCTGAACTAGGCTTCTTACATTGCTTGCTTGAACTGGCTTGATAAGAGAGCTTCTTAAAGAGGCCTATCCAATCGAACTCGGTGTTGGAGACGGTGATGCGGCCCAGGCTGTAGTTATAGATATCTATTGTAAGTATATTTCCAATGCCAGTATGGTTTCGCCAGGGGCAACATACTAAGAAGTCATAAACATGCGATCGACGATTATGTGCTCTTGTTGCTTCCGACTTCAAGGGGCTTCGTCCCAGCTTTATCGTATTTGATCTGAGCAGAGACGACATTGCTTCAGTACAACTGAGCGAGCCGATATAGCTCTGATCCCCAGATGAAGCAGGACAAGTAACGTAAGCAATCCGTTTCTGCTAACTCAAAGTGAGAACTTTCTCTCAAGGCCGATACCGAGGTCGTTTTAGTCTTGATGAAAAGCCCCTGAGGTCTTGGAAGCTGCATCCGCAGCAGCCCCTGCATCTCCGGCACCCGCTCCCGACGTCAGAGGAAATTTCGGTGACCCACAAACAGGATGTACTAGTACAACGAAATAGACGCAAAGTACAGACATGATGAGATTTCGAGGCAGCATGGGGAAAGCCTTCAGATTATTGTAAGCAGCTCACTACACTCATCCTCCTCACTTCGGAGTTGGCCACACTATGCGGCTAGTGTCGTCTTCGCTCCAATATCCCCACCCTCCTTTCTGCCAAATCTTTGACCGTTGGTCCCAAGACCGTTGCATCTCATCATGCTCATCTTGAGAAGCAATAGGCCTGGACTTTCCCGAGGCACCCATACTTTTCTCGAATTTATCCATCAAACAGTAAGTTTCCACCCGTTCCTGATCCCAGAAGACGTAAGCACGGTCTCGCAGCCAGTCGTTTTCGAGGAGCATCAGGGTTGATACTATGGGCAAGCCTTTATGACCGTAACGCCAGCATTGATATGGGCCCTCGTCGGTATCCTCATTGTTCTGTTGATGTGGAATTGCCGAAAGTAACTCCTCTTTCGTTGCGTCTCCCACATAAACATCGTCGCGGGCGTACTCTTGAAGCACGTTTTCCAAGGCATAAGGGAGATTCGAACTACCCCTTGCCACGTTGGGGTCCAGCATCTCTCTCTTGACATCGTAGGAGGCTTCGGAAATCAATTTATGGATGAACTCTAGGCCCCCGGAAAGCTAGTGCTCAGTATTAGCGATAACATGAGGCTGTTTGAGTCGACGAAGATACTAACCCAGCTCTGCCTGTAATCATTATCCATACCAGCATCAAGATAGCTGATCGTAAGCTCGCCGAAATACACGTCATGCGCCACAACGTCCATTGATGCTGTGGAAATCTGTAAGTCAGAAGCTTCAACTGGGGTTACTTTCAAGTCGTACCTTTCTCAACTCGGGTTTCCAAAAAGTCCTGTACACAGCCAATCTGCTCATTCTCCCATGGCGTATGTTTCGCGAAGAAATAAGGATACATGTCATCCTCGAACGCGCCACTTGGGCTAATGCTTTCAGCCCTGAATAGGCTGTAGAAGATATCTGTGCGGTAAAAGGCACGACAGAAGCGTAGGTGCTCAGAAGGTGACAAAGCAACGGCTAGGGGCATGCTATCGTCACCCTCGCGGAGCAGAGCCCACGCACCGGTGGCGAATTCGGCTGCAAAAGCTTGCACCAGATCGTGTCTCCGTTCCATCTTGAATAGAAGATTGAATGGCATTGAAGAAATGCGGTCTTCGAGTTTCGAGGGCTCGTTGTATAGCTTGCTCAGCAGGTTCCGGACCGAGCTACGGTCGTGGTCGAGGGGGAGAAGAGACGCTTCCAATGCGACGACCGCGTACGGTAGAAGCGCAGGCATCACATACCGACGAAGGACAACAGCTGTGATATCTGGGCTTTGTTTGAAGGACGAGTAAATGTGGCGGCAGGCGAGCAAAGCCGAGGCGAGGGATCGTAGGTCCCCGAGGTTTCGTAGTATCGAAGCCACCAGCTCGGACGGCATCTCCGTCAATGAGGGCATGGTGATTGTTTGCGATGATTTGTATCGTGAGTTAATCGGTGCGAAATTTCAGGGAGACGCGGATTTACGATAGATAAATCCAAGGTGAAGGCTGGGTGGGATGGGACGTCCTGGAAAATCGAACCCCGCGTTGGTCAGCCCCTCACCTTTGGTCCACGGCGCTTCAGCATGGGCAGCGCTAACGACCAACATGACCGCCGCCGCGATTCCTTCAACGTCCGTTACCATGATGTTTTGGAAGCAAAAGACGAACTGAAGGGCCACAAGTATTAGGTGGCTTCGGTGAGGTCAAGTGCAGCCAGATGGGTTAGGTTTCAACGAGAACATCAGCGTGGCTCTCAACCTTAGGGGCCTTGCATGAAAAGTGGAAGAGCATGGAATTATCACATTCTTTCTGGTTACTAGAGACGAATCATGAGTTATTTGTGCCTCCTGGTGACGCAGAGAACACTTCATAACTACGCGTCATCCGTATAAGAAGAGCTTGCAACTACATATTGGACACTTCAACGTTCCTGTATCATAGCCCCGCTGTGTGATAGTTCTTCGTCTCATTAAGATATCCCGTTGAGTTTTATCTCTCTACGGCCACCCCGCGTGGGTATCGAAGCCCCTAATCTTCGATTAACTGTACATACTAACTCAAATTTACTTACATTTTTATATCACTTGCAGGATCTTCCACTACTGAGATTGATGTTGAGCCCAAACTTACGTCCGATGGTTGGCCAGGCAAGAATCGACGGCAACTCCAGACGCACCGCTTTTATGTCAAGTGTCGTGCAACGAAGCTTCAAGACGGCCTAACCCTTCACCGATCTTACGTTCCAGAACCAAAGCATCGGTGTAGTGAATGTCACTCAATTGAGGCTGTGCCAATGAGACATGCGAGAGCTTAATCTTTCCTGGTCACACTGCATGCGCTAAAAGCGCCACCTCGTTCCCATGTCGTGATAGCATCCTGGGTACACTTTCCGCCATCGAAACTCATCCAACGGGAGCAGCCGGTACGAGTTGTTACCAGCAACTACAAGTATGGATGTATATATCATCCAATATGAATAGCAAATACAAGTGCTTCTTTCATATCACACAGATTGTTTGACGCAGAGATTATTTGTGGCCTTTGGGGATGTAAGGACGCGAGCGAAACTTGGTGTAGTTGGAGCAGGGGACCCCTCACCAAATTGTTCAGCTCCGTCTGCAAGTCCTTTGCTGCTCGTCCTACCGGTCCAGCATTGGTAGGGATCACGACATGGATTGCATATAGATCCTTCAAGCTGTCATTGGGCAACAATGAAGCCAAACACGACGCTCCGCTGTCAGGGCTGCACCGGCTGCCTGGTATCTAGCTTGTTCGTTCCATACACACTGTCCTCGCGTGCGGCACACTATTTCAACTCAGAGACAGAAATGAGGCAGCCACCAGTCAGACCTTTTCGATCTTCCACTACTCATTGGTGTTGACAGTGAGACATATGCAGCTCTAAGCCTTGAAGGGCAAGATAGCCAGTACCACACCTCGTAGCTGAGAGCCTACGCCAGATGAACTATGTGACTCTCTGTTCAAGGCAGACTGGCAAGCCTATAACATAGTAACCATCCACCCACAAATTATGGCTTCTCATGGCTTTCTCTAGTCGCGGCTGTGGCTTCATGGCGCCTTTGTACGGTTAACACTGAACGCCCGGCCTCTGTTGGCCTCGATCATTAGAGTCTTGGATCACCTACCAAGAGGTGTCCCCACATGATGGCAATCAGCGACTCTCAATCCGAATCGAAGAGATATCTTTCATATTTGACCCCGGTCGCAAGATATCTTTGGATCTGCGGTATCCATCCGACGCGCCAGGTCCCGCCAGCCCCGACTTCAGAGCAGATGGGAGCCCCAACGAGCCAGCATCGACGACATCGACGGAGAGGAGCATTAAACAGAATTGTAGACCAATCGCCCTGGCCCTCACCGCGTGGGCCGTAAGTGTCTTGTTCACGATCGTGTACTCGCTCTTTATCTACCATGTTCTCTTCGAGGGAAACCCGGTTATCGGTTCGTGGACCTTCGACGCATCTTTGACCAATTTGCTTCTTTCAATCTTCTCTCAGCTGTACGCCATGCTCTTGGCGTACGTAGCCTTGAGTCTTTCAGATGCCCTGCGATGGTCCTTGGCGTCAAGATCAAGGGGGAAGGGAGGTGCGACGGCCTCGAGCTTCTTCCAACTAAGCCCTGCGACGGATTGGTTTTCTGTTCTCAAATTCATCTTCAGAGGGAAATTTCGAAGCAACTGGGGTCTTATCAGGTAAGATGTCGGTCATTTTGAGCAAGAGCCTTGCTAATGCCAGCAGGCTGGCCTTGCCATTCATGGGATTGGGTTTCGGCTCTGTTCTGAAATGTATTTGACCCAGTAGGATGACTCTCAAACAGATTGCTAATATCTCCCAGTTCAGAATAGCTTTGAAGACTACTTCATCAAGCAAGGTGTTGCGATCGACGTGTATGCTGGTAACATGCCGCCCGATGTGTCCATTCTTGGACTTATTTCGACGTCTTACTTGGACGGTTTCTTCGATACTTGGAGTCAACAACTCCTCAACTATCCCCGATACGCAACGAAATGGAAGATGGACGGTTGCACCAAAGACTGTTCCGTTTCCTTCCTCCCGGGAGGCATGGAGATCGCCCGCAAAGTCGGACCCTTGTTGAACAGCACCATTCTCAAGGGAGGGCTCTTCAACAACACCGAATCGATCATGATAGAGAGCGCCCCTGGTTTAGTGGCAAAGTTCGATCACTTGGCCAGCGACTTCGAGTTCGTCATGTATGAGGACTGCAGGACGTATCAAACACCACTCGGAGATGCTTTGCAACTGTGCAAGAAGCAAATGGGCGATTCAGTTGCGGCAGGTAAACAATCCCAAGACTGCTGAAATATGCCGTGGCTGACGTAGCTCTCAGGATGGAAAGCCTGTCCGAGCTTCCTCCAGTTCACACGAGCATGCGCGTCGCAACTATCGTGGACTCAGACGCCAATAACCTCGAAAACGCTCTTCACGGCGTACCGACAAAATGCAACAACTGTTTACAGCCAGAAAGACCTCTCCATCCAACACGTCGCGCCACGTTCTGACCCAGTGCGTGTCAAAATGTCGGAGGAGGATATGGACTTGATCTGGAACCGGATCTTTCTACCGAGGCCACTTTCGAGTGAACTCGATCTCGAATCGATCAACGTCACAATCTCGAGAATGGCGTGGAAGTACCGAACCTACACCGAGTTCTTTCCAGATAATGACCTGCACGTGGAGTTGCTGCAGAATTTCCTCGCTGTGCCTTTGCAGTTCGCGGTCACGGCGATGCAGTACGCGAACTATACACTGGCGTTGCCAAAGGACAAGTGGACGTTTCCCCCGGAGCTCATCACGACGGCGACCGGAGGGCGTTCGATCAAGCGGTTCGTCAGCCAGCCCTGGACTGTGTTGGTGTTCATCGGCGCCGGAGCGTCCGTGGTATTGCTCACGGGAATTGGGTTTTGGTCAATATTGACGCAACCGCACCCCTTACCTAAATCATCGGGCATCGTTGAGCTGGACTTCATAAGCAGACTGAGCGATCTTCAGCAACGTCGGCATGATGAGAACGACGCCGAGAGATTTTCGGAATTGGTTCATGAGATTAGGTCAGGGAGTAAGCCGTCTGCGTGGCAAATCATCAAGGCACTTCGGAGGAGAAGATTGGAGTTGACACCTACCTCGGTGGAGGAAGGCTCGAGGGAAACGTCAAGGGTTCTTCCCGTTCTCCATCTCGCATCCGATGGCAGGGACCGCCGTCCGGTTGCGGATTCATCAGGCACATGTAGTGACAGCGAGAAGACGGCAAGGCCAGATACACGAGAGACAGTATGAGCCGATCTTTTACATACATCTAAACGTCAAACCTCATGCAAATAAACTACCGCACTGCTATTGATACCACCACCAAGCCACACCTGCAACGGCCAAAGCACCGGCAACCACAGCCAATTTTCGACCAATCGACTTCAGGCCGTTCACTGCTATGATCCTGACCTTCTCGTCCAGCCATGCCTGCTCATTTAGATGCGGGAAAGGCTCTTCGGGGATCGGCTTCCCCAGGAACTCACAAAGAGGACCCCAACCATCGGCCAAGTCAAATTCCAACAGCCTTTCCTTTGGCGTAACGCGTCTGATAAGATCGTAATGCTGGCTGTATTTCGCACGCGCCTTCTCAGCCCCATCCTTCTTGTTCCAGATATCCAGCCATCCCGCCGTAACACTCGTGTGGATCTTCCCGATGGGATGGACGTAGAATCGATCGAGATGGTACACCAGGAGGACGAAGGGGTCAAACATGTTTCCAATGATACCGCGCATGTAGCTCTTATACCAGCTCTCGATCTCCCTCTCAACAAGCACAACCTTGGCCTCGGGATACGCCGCGATCAGCTCCTCAGCGAAAGCGACCGCCGGTGTGTCCGAAGACACGGCGCCGTAGGAGTGGAGCAGCTGGTCGAACTCTTCTCGCCCGACAGGCTTCCCCTTGCCGCCGCTGAAGAACTTCCGGTCGACCATCTCTTGCCACATTTCAATGTCGGCAAAGTTGGTCGACATGAAGCAGGTTGAATGCCAGCAGGTGATGCCAAGCTTCTCTAATGCGGCGCACATTGCTGGGTTGCATTAGTGTCTGTTGCTCATGTCCAGGGCCTCCTCTCTAGGGCTGATAGCTCACTTACAAGATGTGCCTGTTCGGGGGAAGCCTAAGCATAGGACCTGCATCGGCACGGTTCTCTTCTTCCCGCGTGGTGACTCGGTGCTCACGGGCCGGAAGAGCTCCGGATGCCTTTCCTCTACCGTAGCCATGACCGCGTGGCTTTTTCTTTGTGTTGGTGTATGAATTGGTGATCAGAAATGTCCCCAATCGAAAACGATTGGCCACAAAGACAATAAGAATTTATTGGAAATTTGGATATTCGACTCCAAAGACCTTTAAATGTTTTATATAACTCTTCATCCGTACGCGGTACCTAGGATGGAAGCTGGTGATCTTAAGTGTCGCCCTTGTCGTCACAGGTCTTACGTGAGAAGACTGTGGACGCCCTTAGGCGGAAAAGGGTTAGACGGCGATGTATCGATTGGATCTCAATGCTTAAATTTACGCGTTACTGCTCCTGTTCTCTCACTCGGTCCTACTAAAAATGAGACACGGGTCCACGAAATCACCAAAATTCTCATGGCTGCTGGCAGTGACGGGAGGTGCCGCTCACGACCAGCTCGGGCCATGAATATGTCATCCCTACCGCGAGTGAGTGACGCATTGTTTACATAACCGATTAAAATGAGCACCGCATCGTATCTGGTAGACCGGTGCGTTGGCGTTCTGGGTTTTAAGAGCGCAGTCTGAAGACCTGTCTTACAAACGTCCTGATGGAATGGTAATCATGGTGCTGGAAGGATCGGGTTGTGGGAAGACTGGGAAGTTCCAGCAGTTCGGACCGCGATCCTCGCAGTGGCTGCATCCCGACCGTGAACCACTAAGCCCAACAGCAAGAGGGCACAAGAGACGACTTAAGTACAGATGAACTCCTTCGCGACCAAGTTCTCAGAGCGAAGACCGAGCTTCCGCCAAGGCATGGAAGGATCCCGCAATGCCGCCCAAACCCCCGACGGAAGTTAAGACACGCGGGAAGGGGTTCACTTTGTCAGCTCATCTGTAATTCGGCCGACCGTAAGAACAAGATTCTGTCTCATCCATTCGGTGCTTTAGTCCCCTAAGGATTTCATGCCCAGCGAATGCGGTAACACATCACTGCTCAACACACCAAGACCACAAGCGTAAATATAGATGAATAGCTGCATTGACATCCTCGGTCACCACAGAACAAAAGATTCAAGATGAAAATAGCTGCTCCCTGAGTATGACATAATTCCACGACCTACCTGAACGCCGCTCAACGCTATCGTCGGCGCGGGGACCGACCATCGGCATCTCCCCACCAAGAGTCCGAAGAATAATTAGGGGTTCGCTCGCCCGGACATGCACCCACGTTCCTTGCAGCGCGCATGCGGGGGACGATGCTCTAGGGCGTTGGGGGCACTGAGGGCGACAATGCAGACGCAACGTCCGGGCCTCCGTTCCTGGTGCCCGGGCGTCTGGCGGCAGTCCGGCGCCACGAACTAGCTGAACACCGATGGGCTTACGTGAAGACCCTTCGATCCCTTGATATGGGATGGAAATTGGAAGTATAAACATCAAAAGTCCCTCCTTCGATTTCCCTTTTCTGACCTCTCTGTTTGGTACATCCCAGCTTCATACCCAAGACGTACTTCTTTCAATCTTTTTCCCCGGTAATAAATTACATACACTATAGACATAATGGCGTCCCTGGCTGGCAACATCACTTTCGATGGTAAGTACTTTTTCGAGGTTCAACAAAACATGAGACTGATCATTTTTTTGCAGACTACCTTGGTCTGACGACCTGCCTCTTCGAGTGGGCTGATAGCTACGACTCCAAGGACTGGGATCGCCTTCGCAGGTGCATCGCCCCGGAGCTCCGCGTAAGTGACGATCCACCGCCTCCGTCCCGTCCCGGGTACCCGGGTCTCGGCTCTCAACCCTGGCAACAAACTACTAACACATCTCGCAGATCGACTACCGTTCTTTCCTTGACAAGATCTGGGAAGCCATGCCCGCGGAAGAGTTCATCGCCATGATTTCCGATAAGTCGGTCCTCGGCAACCCCCTCCTCAAGACCCAGCACTTCATCGGCGGCACCCGCTGGGAGAAGGTCTCGGACACCGAGGTCATCGGCCACCACCAGCTCCGCGTGCCGCACCAGAAGTACACCGACGCCTCCCGCACCCAGGTCGCCGTCAAGGGCCACGCCCACAGCTACAACATGCACTGGTACAAGAAGGTCAACGGGGTGTGGAAGTTCGCCGGCCTGAACCCCGAGATCAGGTGGTCCGAGTACGACTTCGAGGCCGTCTTCGCCGACGGTCGTGACTCCTACGGTGCGGAGGAGAAGACTGACGCCCAGGTCACTGAGAAGGAGCTCAAGTTCGCTGCTGCTCACTAAGCGGGAAGCGGTAATATGAGGACAATTCCTATGCATTATGGGAAATTTTGGCGTCACGGCGGTAAGGCAGGAGTAATAGAGGTTTAATTCCATGTGTGTATAAAGCAGCATGCTCAGACAGAATTAGAAGCTACCTCAATCCCCCCATCGTTGACCGCAAATGACTATGTGACAACTTGGCATTACTTTTGGCTATCACCATTCCGGGGGGCATGCCGCTGTCTCAAGCGTTCCGCCTCGCTGCTAAAGCTGTCCTGAGTTTTGCCTGGAATTTAGTGGACTCGCGCCCACGGCCCTTCTCAAGTTCAAGCATCTCCTCAATCTTTTCTGGGGGGCCATTTTTCAGCAGCTTGGCGATGGAGCAATTACTGTCATCGCCGCAATCTGCACAGGTAAGGCCGACTGTAGTAGCAGTTTTGCGGCAGAGGCACGGATGGACGAGGTCGTGGATGCAACGTTTGGAGATGTCAGGGCGGTCATCCGGCACATCGGGCGGGTTAGCTTGAATGGCACCGCGGCGTCCAGTCGTTCGATCAACGGGAGGGGTGCTTAAGAAGCCGATAACGGCTGCGCCGTCACCGGGGCTGTCTGGATATGTGTCAGGGTACTGAGTCGTGGGAGGAGTTTCCGGGCTGGAGCCCCATTGATCCTCGAATGGAAATCCTCCGTCTCCGTTCTCGGGAGTTTCGGGACGGATTGGGCTAGCATTCAGCCCAGGGCTAGCATCTCTAGGCATTATGGCTAATGTGGTTGAGATATCCGACGTTGGAGAGGCGGTTGAGAAGTTGGGACTGAGAAGAGTCTGAGCAGCTCTTCTGTTCCTATGGTCAAGTTGATGGTGAGGATGAGTCGAGAGGTTGAGCATCTCTGAAGCTTTTCTATTCCGGAGTGTCAGTTGCTGCTCTGATTAGCACGACCTTTGCCCGAGAACAGTGTTGCTGATCAAGAACATTAAGCAGTGAGGACAACAGGTGGAGTTGATCTCTTCGATGGATGTTCACGAACAAGGGGTCAAAACTTTGCCTGGCTGTGTTGGAAAAAGAGCAGTGATTTGATCAACAAAGAAACTGAGAACGATGGCACACTGAGACGGTAACGTCAAGGACAAGAGTTGAACAACACAGCAAAGAGTTGAGTCAAATTTTAATACTGGTGGTAAGGTGAGTCGAAGGGCCTCGGTCAAGGCCTCACATAGTAAGTCTATCAACAAGCACACCCATCGAAGACGGGCCGGGCAGAATGTCAGGCGAATCCCAGATTTGTGATGCCGAGCCGGAGCAGATGGGTAGTGCATCCTCTCTAAATCCATGGTTGGAACTTATACTCGGTATGACTGGTAAATAAAGATGTCAGTGGCCACCACAGTCATGAACCGAGTACATCGGGTGTAGATGGCCGGAAATGTGGAGCACGGGCTCGGAGGTTACTCCACACCTTGCCGGACTCACCGGGCTTGGGATGGGGCCGATGGCAGCGAAGAAACACGTGATCAACGGCCCTCTTTTATGTGCTTTTGACCAGTTGTAAGAACCCAATGATGACACTGGTGGAGGGGTGGCTTGGTGGGGCACAGCTCGTCAGCGCACGGAGCATCCAGGGTCCCCGAAACATTGACGGGGACTTGGAGAGCTCCGTGAAGTCGTTCTTACCTCTTGGACTCGAACAACCACATCATCCCACAGACTTTCGATCCCAGAGACCTACTGAATCACGATCGTTCGAGCAATTTTGCAATAATCTTCCTTTCGGGAACTTCGATCTTCCTGCAAGTCTCGACCATCGACTAAGCCCCTGGCAGATCGCTGCCGGCAGCACCCGTCCGTCGCATCCGAAGCCATCACGATGGACTACACAAACAAGCGTCTCCAAGAGGAGGCCGTCAAGCTTCAAGCCCAGGGGTACGGATACGACATTTTCTTATCCCTACAGCGTATAAATGGCAACCCGCTAACAGGAAGAATAGAAGCGACGCCTTCTTCACCCCCCTCAACATCATCCTCCTCCTCGTCCTCGGCTACACAATCTACTCCATGCTGAGCCCGACCCCTCCCCCGATCCTCCCGAAAGAGCCGCCCGCGACCGTCTTCCGCGTCTTCAACCCGCGCACACTCCTCCCCTTCGACGGAGAGGGCGACAGGCCCATCTACTTCGCCGTCCGGGGTCGCGTGTTCGACGTCACGGCAGGCCGCAACTTCTACGGCCCCGGGGGCCCTTACTCCAACTTCGCCGGCCGGGATGCGTCGCGAGGTCTTGCTATGGGCAGCTTCGACGAGGACGTGTTGACGAAGGATCTCGACGGGCCGCTGGATAAGCTCGAGGGCCTCGGACCGGACGAATGGGAGGCTCTGCAGGGCTGGGAGGAGCAGTTTGAGAGCAAGTACTTGGTTGTTGGCAAGCTTGTCCCAGTTGGCGAGGAAGAGGAGGAAGACAAATAGAGAGCTCGTGTTATTTTGGAGGATATGGTGGGAAGAGACGAACTGTGGCGGAGAACATAGAGTGGCTGCCGTCAAAGATTCATGATGGCGGTCGACAATACAGTTGGTGCCACATGGGCGCCAGGATCAAGTCTGAAGACACTGAAATCCCTGCCTTCTCCTGATATGATGCAGCAGTGCTGTGACAGTATCTCTGCAAAGAGACTCTGCGGAACCTACGCTAACTCCGGGCAGGCGGAACACACATCCCAGATTTATTGCGGAATGTTTCTGGTGTCTTTGATGTGGGCATAACCAAATGAAAAGACGAGATTACCTGGTGTCGCGAGATTTGGGCGAGTTACTCGTGGCAGAGGGCGCCATTCAAACGGTGTCTATGCCACATGGTCCGTCACCACCCAACTCTTGACAATTTGGACGCTCAATGGCTTTCAATGACAGGCCCTTTGCATTGAGCTTCTTGATGGCACCTGCAACGTTACCGAGATTCCATTCCATTGGAGGCGCATTGTTGACACTGGCAGAATGGCCCGACTCCAAGGCGCCGGAGGCTTGGTGAGGCAGCAGCCAATAACCCCCTTCAGGTTAGTCAGATTATAGCGTCAGACCCTCCGATGAGTGCGAGTGAGACGAGATGGGACCGCTGACAGACGTGGCTGGAGGAACAGGCAGCGAAATTCGGGGACTGGCACTCGCGATGGCTTGACGGTTTATTTCGAGCCGTCGTCGCAGCCTTCGTCAAGAACATCAACGGTCCTTTGGGACGATCCTTCGCGCAGTTGGCCTCCGGGTACGGCGGCATCCGGAGTGCCGGGACGGGCGCAGCCACGGGGACAGATGAGACGAATTGCAGCCGGCGGAGATGGATAAGGTGCTAATTTTTTCGGATTATCATTCAGATGATCGCCTATGGTGCGATTATCTGAGAAAGCCTACCGTTGCGCCTACCCCGGAACCGGATTGAGGCCACATTCTCAACTCTCACTCACTCACTCACCCGCTCATTCATTCCGCTGAACGACATATCTCGGTACCCCCGCGACGTCCGCTGGAGAGCCCCTTACCTGACCTCAAAACTGCAGTGACACGTCAAGGAGAAAGCAGAAAGTATTCTCGAGCCTCCCAAACCGAGAGAACTGCAATGGCTGCATGAGAAACCAACGCTCTTGCACAGCACAGCATACCAGGCACAGGCACAAGTTCAATGAGTTGGGGCTTGAGCCTCTAAAATTAGCGACGCTCAACGCTTTCGAGCTTAGCGGCAGATCCTGTGGCACCCTAGCACCAGGTGCTCTTTTCCCGATTCTGCCTTTATTTTCTGCATATGTATCACCGCGGAGAGATTCCCCTGCGCCTGGTACCTGCACAGCATCATGAGCAACACAGCCACTCAGCAAGTGGTTGCTCTCTGCCTCGGACCCTCGCTGCCTCTCATTGGATGGCTTCCTCAATTGAATGTTCGTCGCCGTCATTCTTCGGCGAGAGCGCAAGGGTGGAGCAGACCATCCCATCCTTACTCCGCCTTCAGAAGAAAGATGTCCAAGACAAAGTAGGTAATCACTTCCTTCACCCTTACAGTGGGAGAAGAGATAAACATGGCAGCATGGGGATGTCAGGCACCCGCTTATCCTCAGAAACAAGCTTCCCTTCCCCCCCGTCTCATCTGCACCTCCTCATCTCATCATCCCCTTGTCTTTCTGCTCATCCTCAGCTTCAGCCTCTTTCATGTCAGGTCCAAACTTGTCCGTGGACGCTACTGCAGAACCCAGCCATCCCGTTCTCTCCTAGCTCATCCGTCCACATTGTCAGGCCTGTTAGGTTATTAAAACGCCCTCGGCGCCTCTTCTATCAGTCGCAGCGCCGAACACCTGTTCCTCTTTTGCAGCTCACCCCTGCACGACGATCCATCGATATCCTTGTCTCGAGATTCGAATCTTGTGAGATATCACAGCTGAAGTATACCTCATTGTCCAATCCATCCTCATCAAATTCGTAAATCGCATGGCAAACCTGGGTGGAAACCTTTATTACTATCTTACCAGTCCTCTCGGCGACGGCTACTCTACTCTCAACAATCCTTCCGCGACGTCATAACCTGACATCACCGCCATCATGGCTCCCTCAAGGAGCAAGGCCTCGAGCCTTTTGAGCCTCCTACTTCTCGCAACACCAATCGTCGCCAAATATTCAAACGACTTCAGCTACTACCCCAGCGCGGCACAACCATGCTTATACTCTGCTTCCGATAGCAGTCAATGCGATGGCGACAACGTCTCCGATATGAACAAGTGCCTCTGCAGCGACTCGAAGGGCAAGTTCGTCACCAACGCAGCAAAGTGCCTGGGAAAGGATGCGAAGAGCACAGCATCGGAGGTCTACAGCGATCTGAAAACATCCTGCGCCAACTCCAACACACCCTTGTCCGTGAGCGAGGATGACTTCAACAAGCTCGTCGCCGCCGGCGCCTCGGCCACCTCCCTCTCAGTAACACCAACCGCAACATCCAAGACCGCGAAGCCCACGACCCTGGTCACCACCACAACCGGCGGCGCGACCGTCACCATGACCTCGACCCCAGCCCCGACACAATCCAACACCGACGAAGCGACTTCGGGTCTGTCTACGACCGCCAAGATCGGCATCGGTGTGGGCGGGGGCGTGGCAGCGGTCGCCATCATCGGCATCATCGCCTTCATCTGGCGCCTCAAGAAAAGCCGCGCCGCGCACGAAGAGTCGCGCCCCATGCTGGACGGCGGCATCGGCGCGACCGGCTACAACCCGCACCACCACAGCCCGCCCACGACCGCCGCCGCTTTCGGCGTGTACAACCCGCACGAGTACAAGACGGAAAACAAGACCCCGGGCTGGCGGCCGACGACGGATATCACGCCCAGCCCGAGCCCCGGCGCGCAGACATGGGCGACGAACTCTCCCCAACCGCCATATGCGCCGTACGCTCCGCCGCCGCAACAGCAGCAGCAGCAGTTACACGCTTGGGGGCACCACCCTCAAGCTTCTTACCCTCCGCCGGCGCCGGCACCGCAGCCTGGGGTGTTTGAGCTTGCGTCTATCCCCGTGCAGGCATCAAGTCTGCAGCCCCCGCCCCCTCCGCCTGGTGTGGTAGAGATGCCGGCGACGGAGGTCCAGCCAGCAAACCCGCGATTCCACTACCCTAAACCACGATGAAGCGAGAGTCTGGGGAAGCGTGCGAGATAATCTTATTAGGATGTAGACTATATGTGATACCTTGGGCTGCATATTGCATGGGTTGGGGACAAAGGCGTTGCGGATCGCGGCTGATATCATTTCATAAAAGGCGCAAAAGTCGACCTGGAAAATACAAGCATTTCACCATTTACAAGCTCTGCAGTGACTTCGAACTCACTTTTTCATTCTCTACTTACTCGCTAATTGGTTAGATAACGGCTGTTCTCTCACTACTTCTTCCCACTGTTCGGGTTCGAGTCACCGCTGTTGTTATTGGAGCCGGACGATCCGCCTCCAGACTTGCTGCCCGAGCTAGAGGAGCCTCCGCCGGACTGGTTCTTCTTCGCGGCTTCGGCGGCCCGCTTGGCGAAGGCTTTCTATAATGCCAAACGTGTCAGGAGTATATCCGTTGGGTTTGGGGAAACATGATTGAAGGAATAGGACTCACGTCGTGGCCCTTGGCGGCGATGCGGGCCGCGGCCCTGGCGCCCATTTTGTCGGAACCCATTTCGTGATATTTGTTAGTTAGCTGGTTTCAAGGCGTAGGTTAAAGAAGTTATAGGACACTTGTTGCTTGGTTGTATTTGAGGATGTCTACGCAGTTTGGGGTTGAGGAACACGCCAGCGATGGGCTATTTATAAAACTCTTCAATTTGTTGCAAGGGTGAATGATCAAACTGCCAATGTCTATGAATCAGTGTAATAGTAAGTTTCGAAATGCCACTATGTCATTCACCGCGGTGCTGCCACGGAAGGAAACACATGGTCAGGAACTACGAGAATGGCGAACAGCGTGTAAGATAACTGTGGCTAAATGGAACATGAGTGAATCAGATATATAGAATGGAAACTGGAACAGCTATGTAGCCCTCCGAAAGTCCTGATCCAAAGGGCACTCGTCGCAACAATATCCGGTGTGAAGAGAGACCATCGGTGACCAAATCTGTGAGCAACCAAGCGGTAGGGTTACACAGGCGGTCGAATCTTGCGGTACTCGGACCAAATCAACGGCGGCGGTGTCTCTCTCAACCACCTATCAGTCTCTTCCCATTCATCCACAGGATCTACCCAATCTCCCGGGACACTGAATTTTTGTGCTTCTATCATCTCCCAAAACTCCCCAGCGGCGTATTCATAATCATGGTCGACTATCCAGAGTTGCCACTGCGACGGCAAACTGCCATACGTGATGCCCACGATCGAAGCCCGACTGGAAATCTTGTGCCAACCGCCTCTGAAATCCTGATGTCGAGCGCAAAGTCTCTGCCGAACCGTCGAATGTCCTTCTTCCTGCATCCGCTTTTCTTCTCTTCCGTATAAGAGAAGGTCGACCCCAGCAGCAGCTACTGTTCCGATCCAAAGCCCAAAAGCCGCGCGGATATTGATCAAGGATTGCTTTGTCGAGAGCTTCGACCGCCATATAGCCCAATTTCTCTGCTCTACAAGCCAGGTTATGATGGCTGCAAGCGGTGTGCATTCGACGAACGTCTTTAAATCATAAACCCAAAACAATTCGGGATGATGCAATGTCGTAGGAGCTGCCTCGATGCAGGCAAGCAGGGTCCGCGCCCATCTCTTTTCTTCCTCATCCTCTTCTTCGTGTCTATCTTCCATGAAGGTATTGTCATTCGCCTCTGTTATAGACACTGACACCATGCCGATTGCCAGCGTGTGAAGGAGGGAGCCCCACCGTATACCCTTGGATAATTCTAAGGTTTCCGCGAGGCCTTCTGGGCTCAATATTTCGGGAAGCAAGAAACAAAGATCGTGCATTCTCCATCGAGTGCCATACTTGATGACAATCACACTCAAAGCACCAGACAGGCGCTCCGAAATGGAAAGCCATCCGTTCTGGAGCCCTGACTTGTCCAACAAAACTTGGTAACTCTCCGGAGAAATGCCGGTGTTAAAGGCCTTTTTGAAGTCGTCAGGTGTTATGGTGCGGAGATACTCACTCAGCATGGAATCGTCTAGCAGATGTATTGTCTGGAATTTGTGATAAGGGCTAGATAAGATCATAAAAAGCCATGGAGTTCTACAAAAGACATCATTAGTTAATCTCGAAGATGAGAAGCGGGGCGTTCTTGGATGACTAGGTAGACTGACGTGCTCCCGTGGAAGAGTTCCGCAGCAAAGTCCTCGAAATCATGCTGAAGTAAAAGCTTTGTCACCTCCAGAGCATCGAATACCGAAGCAATCTATTACACGTATATTAATATAAACTTCTTCAACTGTATGACATTATGATACGTTCGTAGTGGCAGAAAGTTACCATCAACATGCTGTAGCCATTTCGCTGTCGAGTGAACGGGGTCATCTTCTGTTCGTACAAATATTTAGATACGGCAGTAACGTCATCCCTTGCAAGGTGGCAACATAGTTGCTCACTAAAGCGTTCGACCACCTCAGAAGCTCTGAGGTTGACCTGCCACCCCCTACTTTCTCTTTGAGCTAAGAGCGAGTATACTGATTGGGTAAGCCAAGTTGGTGCTTGATAAGAAAGCTGAAAGCTTCCGTTCCTGCCATGCCCCAAGTGAAATCTTCCCAGCATGGTGGATCCCGCATATACAGGACGCCATGCTGTAAATTCTTTTCTTGGGAGTTTCTTCAATGTCCCGGAGGGTGTATCAGGTAGCCGTTCCCGGCTGTTCGCATCGACCATCGCGGTGAACGTCGCAACCGCGCTTTGGAGAGGTAAGCATCTTAACCAACATGGCAAGACTATAGTATCAACTCACATCCAGCGTCGCTCTTGAGCTTGAGCCAACTGAAATAACTTCAAGGCCCGGTCGAACTTCGACCTGAGGATTTTGAGGTCATCCTTGCGCAAGGCAGCCTTCGTAGCTGCTATTTTGCTTCTGAAACCTCGCGTGTTGGTGACCTGTACGTAGACGTCGTCCACTGCGTCTTTCAACTCATCTAGAGCAAAGCGACATTTCGTGATGTGCCTTTCCAGCAGGGTACGGCTTGGTGCGAATTCCGGGAGCGGACTGGTCACGAAGTCGGTTTCGACGTCGAGGGGATAGTCTTCGAGATCTCTGATCTCCTCGGTTTGGGCTCGCAGGGTTTCGGGGACTTGCTTGACTTCGTCCCAGAGCCTCGTGAGCTTCACGTAGGTGCTGCCTGCTTTGACAGTGATGTCGACCACGGCGATGACGCCCGATGCAAGACCCAGAGCTTCCGCCATCGTGGGTGAGATGACGGTTGACGCTCAGTGACAGATTTTAACCGCGACGTGAAGAGATGAGCGTTTTGGCACCTAAAGAGATGGGGTTTTCTGATGCAGGTAGGTATTGATAAATTGTGAGAAAGCCTTGGAAGAAGAAGTTGGGGATATTTCGAGAGCTGCTCTGCATGTTGGGCAGCAGATCAGGCTGTGCTGCGAAGGTCAGGTGAGCCGGCTTGAGAGCCACGTCAAATGTACGAGATGATTGGGTTGTTGGCATTCTGTTAGGGTGGCTGGGTCTGACATGCAGCAGCTCTGAGGTGACACAGCAGATGCAGAAAAGACCAGACAACCGGCATTATTGGTTAGCCAGAGGGAAATCAGGGCGCAGTTCGGCGAAGCCTTCAGCGAGTGATGGGTCGGCAAAGCTACCTGAACTTGCGATCTTGCCTGAGATTTGCCAAATTGTTCTCCGTAGAATACGGGACCATTGCTCACTAGTCTGAGACGGCTCTGATGGCGCATCTTACAGAACATGTTGACGTTTCTCGCCGTAGCAGATCTCCTCGAAGAAACATAGCTGTCAGCAGGCTTTGATGTCGACTCGTGGATTGCAACATGTCTTGAGACAAATAGTAAAGCATGCTGCCAAGCGATCTTGTCGTCTGCGTTGTCTTTGTCGCTCTAGCAGTTAATCAACCACCTTGTTCATCTTGGGATTGAATCTATCAATTATCAAAGGAACCTAACTTTGATATCAACCTCAAGATTTCCGGAAACCTTCTAACAACGTTTCGCGGAACCACTCGAAATCGCAAGTTCTGATGGGCTTAGCACGCTCCTGAGTGGTCCCCGCATCTTCCATCTCTTCATCCAATCTTAGTATGCTTCTCAAGCACCTCTGGCGTGAGGGAAATTTTTATCTCCACGTCGGCCGAGGTTCGCATTGTGGCCTCCAGCCTAAGTTTTCCCGACGTTGCGGCCTTGCTATGCTCCTCCATGATCACAATACGAGAAGTCTGTACAAATCGCCGCATGAGTATCGAAAAGCCCACAGGTTTCAGAGCCTGATCTGACTTACGCGGACATCATTCTTGTTCAGCTCCTCCTTGAAGTCCTCCACATCACCCTCAATGAGATACTCAGCCTCAATCTCCGGTCCGATGTATCCGACTGGCAGTTTGACCCGAATGATCAGCGGCGAAGGAATATCACGAAATCTCTCAGTGAAGATGTAAGTCATCGCGATGATTCCTTTTGGAACGTTGAGCTTTCGAGGAAGGAACGGGGGGCCTCCAGCTTCTCTTGCAGCTTGGCAGCTAGAGAACCCACGAAACAAGGTGTTCACAACGTCCATGGTCCTTTCTGAAAGAAATGTTACGTTGGGGAATGATAAAGAAGAAAAGCGGGATACTCGAAAGTTACAAAAGTAGCGGTTTTCTAGGTACTAAGAGAAGACTCACACTAATTTCTGCTTCACTATTTTCCTTCTTGAATGTTTATGGCCTTGTGATATTAACTACCAAATAGCCAGATACTGTGGTCTGGGGAGATATGCGGCAGAGAATTTCCTATCATCTCTTATATATTTTCTTCGCCAGAGTAAGACTGGATAGATATTAGTAGGACTTTGTTGTAGTACACAAGTATCAGTAGCACAAATGTTTGTATTCGAAGTTTGAAACGCATCGCTCAACAAGCACCACACGCGTCCGACGACACTATGACGATCCCCTGGACGGTGACGCCTCTGGCGTCGTCCACTGGGGTCTTGGTAAGGCATATCACATCACAACATAGAAGACTCTATTTAGTTACGGTATATTACAGTTTAGTAAGATAGGAGGAAAAATGAGGTTTTAAAAGGTTTTATTTGGAATTCTATATATATATTATAATATTAGTAGTAAGTAGCTTAACGTGGACGCCCTTTGCCTTATATAAGGACGTACTGGCGATTAAATATTACCACTACCACCATCAACAAAGCCTCATACCGACTATGACTCAGGCTACCGTAAAGTGAACAGGCCTTAGTGAGATATCAAGCATCTGGCCGATAACTGCATGGTCGAAGTTTCCTTTCAGCTTTACAGATTGTTGGGGCCTTCATTTGACATCCATCACCATCGAAATTCGCATTCCTTTGTGGATATTTCTTGTGACTCTGGATACACACCCCATGTTTCCGGTGATTCTAGGCCAACATACATACAAAGCTTGTCATCTAGTCCCGTCAACTCCGATGTTTTATTTGCTTTGTCTGATCGGTAAATGATTCAATCGCACGCCCAGTCTTGTAAATCTGCATCTAAACTGCTCTAAGCTTCGCAAATGGCCTTTTGGCTAACTAATATCCTGGCACTCATTCCTCAGTCTGATAAGAAGTCCTGACAAGGAGTGTCGACTGCTGTCTTGTGCCCCCACAACACTTGGACTTGTCACTCCACAGTGACAAGGTCTGGGCCTTCGCGGGTTATGAAGCCCTGTCCCAGCGGCAACCCACAACCACCAGCGGTTTGAGGATAGCTTCAAATCGCAACTGGGAGGGTGGCCGAGTTGGTTATGGCGCCAGGTTAAGGTCAGCTTAACATCTGTTTCCTGGTGGGGCAACCCGCGCGAGTTCGAGTCTCGTCCCTCTCAATACATTTTTTTGCCGGTCTTGACGGATTATATTCGGCGTCTACTGCGAGTCAAGAGTGGCGGGAGCTTCGACTATGCTGGCTAAATGGAACGTCGCATAGACTAATCTATCTGAATCTCTATAGCATCCGAGTGGAAACTAACTTTGCTTCCTTGCCTGTCTTCCTCGGCTTCCACTCCATCCGTCATGACCTTGTACTCAGTAGCCCTTTTGAAAGATTGATACGTAGTCGTAATCCAGATGACAGTGCTTTCGGCTTGAGGTGCACTTTCAAGCTGGCCAACCCTCACTGAAATGCGGCCGGATTTGAGGTTGAAGGTAAACTCCTCGATAACGCCCGCATCGATGCTGATCTCAACCCCAAGAGATCCGATAAAGATCTTTTGACGCACCGGATCACGAACTTGTACAATGGCAACGTCTCCCTCAGTCCGGAGAGACCCGCCGTAGACAACAAGTCCGAGATCAGGATCCTCTACCAGATAGGTCCCTGATCCAAGAACCATTCCTACGAAGTTCGGCCCGTAGTCGCCGCTGAAGCCGTCCCATGAAAGATGTTCTGGCCACGCATGCATGGCGCAGGAAGCGAACCCATCCTCTCGAATGTTGGAAAGTGGACCACTTGTGCCTCCGTATCCGACACGAAGCAGATAGTAGTCGGATGGATCATCTCTGAATGCCGAGAGCATCACGAGTGCATTCAGCCCGGAGCCGTAATGGTGAATTTGACGTTCAATCACTTGAAGCTTCCCAGCAACCCTGCTCATTGTCAGCTGTTGATGAAGAACCAATTTGACGGAAACCTTACACAAAGTCCCAGTATCGTCGCGCGTTTCCGTTATAGCCCCAGTGAGGAACTGTGGTCATGTAGCCAAGCACACTTTTCTTAACACGCTCAGCAAGGGCAGATTCGCCAAAGAATCTGGAGCTTCCGATCAGCCAGAAGACTAGGCAGAGAAGTTTCTCATGACCTACCTTGACCAAAAGTAAACCCCCTCTTGGCCAGTGGAGTCCCAAGACTGCTCACTACCATACGGGTAGGTTTCCGTCAACCACTTGTCGACCCTCTTTCTCATTACCGCTCTCAGACTTGCAGCTTCACAAGCTTTGCCCTCTCTCTCCAGGTCAAGCAGTATGTTTCCGAAGATGGTCTCGCCCATGAGTCCTTTGTCATTGAATCCAATGTCCGCTTCCATTCCTCTCATGACGGTCTTGTATGCTTGTCGGAGATACCATTCCCAGTTATGAGAACTCAAAAGGCCTGGCCGAGATCTTCCAGCGCGGTAAAGAGACCAGTAAGTTGCCGCAGGCCAGACATAGTTGTACGCGCGGCCAATCTGATCCGCGTAATCCTTCTTTGGGCCGGACGTGATGGTATAGTTGTAGTCCAACTCAGGATCATAGTAGAAAACGCCTCGTTTGACGGCATAGTTCTCATCTTGAACGGTTTTGAAAAGAACCTTGTCGATGAACACCTCCAGCTTGGCGATTTCCTCTGCATCTGGTTGGAAGGTTTGCTTGATGGCAGCCGCCACGTAGGCTCCTGCTCCTCCTTCGTCGCTCAGTCCAGCTGGCGCTAGCCTCTTCTCTTGTTCCACAATAGCCCCAATCTCACCGTCATAGCCCATGATAGAGGGAGAACGCCCGAACGGATCTGAGTCGTCTTCGAACCAATGCTTCGTGGTAAGAAAAGCACCCAGATCCCTGACAGCCTCTGAAGCTGGCTTTGTGACGTAGTAGTGAATGGTCTGCGTGGTATTATTGTCATAAACAACCGCCAGTCGTACACGACCCCACGCCGTCGATGATGGCTGGACTATGTACGTCTTGTCTTCCTTTTGCGTAATGCTGAGGGCATCAGAGGGTTGAGCCGAGATAGAGACGACGTTTAGAGTTGTTTGCAGCTGCAGTGTAGCCTGAGTGTCCCGTGGGATTATATACCCAGGTATGCTGATGGCATTTGGAGTCTCCGTTTCGCGAATAGCTGCGTCGATCTGCCGTACTCCCTCGGTTACTGCCTTGAAGCGGACTCCATATATGCGCGACTCTCCAGGCTTGAGGATAACGCTCGAGGGCGGATTCCATGCCTCGGCGTCTTTCCACTCGTTCTCGGACCAGGCTTTGCTGTGGACCGTCCAGTCGAAGAATCCTTCCCACATGTTTGACCCAATTCTTGTCTCGCCTTTATTATCCTCCCAAAGCCATCTATATGCCTCCAGAGGCGTCTTGTGAAGTGGCGTGATAACGAGAGCTGGGCCAACTCCGTTCAGGGGAATTACACGTAGATGGCCGGCATCCTGGCCGATGTAGGGCTCCATGAATGAACATTTCTCATTGACGTCGGTGACGTTTCTCTTGGTGAAAATGTTGTTCACCGCTGCCGCGAATCCCAGCGACCCGATTTCGATGTCGTTGTCTCCGGTGTTGGCGATAGTGAATTGTAGACCTAGATCACCAGAAACGTCGATCCATTCGCGCGTGATGTTGAGCGGACCGAGAGACATTGTCGGAGACAGGTCTGATGACGCCAATGCTTCGTTCTCAAGGTTTAGTACCGGTTTTCTCACCGTAGCCGAGCTGCTCTCGTTCCATGTTGTTGAAGAAGAGTCTCGATACCGAATCGTGATGTCGCCCCAGTGATAGCAGCCGTTTTGAACGCGGCGGTTGAGAAGCATCAAGTCGTATGGGAGAAAATCGAAGTTACTACCCTTTGGTCTAAGAGACGCGAGAGTTCCTGAATCTTTGACGATCAAGGCGTCCCAGTTCTTTGTCGTAATGGCGTTGGTACCGTTAGCGAATCCGATGTTGTCCTGGCCTAAGACTGAGGGAAGAGCCACCAGGGCGGAAGCTAGGATGGCTCTCAGGGCCATCGTGATTTAGGCAGGGAAAGAGCTTGGAGACTAACCGGCTGGGAACCAACACTACTCGAGTTCTCTTAGTCAACGTGCCGTGTTGGGACACGAGATATTTATGCTAAATGGCATCTCGCCAACTCGTCCAAGAGATAGAACGAATGCGGGGATTGCGGGGAAATATTAGTAGGCGTGCAAAGGTTGATCCTACATCTCGTTCTTAATTGAGAACAAACCCATCGCTACCCATCCTGTCATTGGTGGATTTTGTGGAAGGCCCTGCCGTGGACTACAACAGCGAGAGACTCTTTATGTCAGTATGTCATCCATTCTAAACGTGGGAGGCGAGTTTAAATTGGCGATAAAAGCTCACTGGGAGTGTGATTTGAGCGCAAATTGAAAATGATGTTGACTCCCCTTGGTATATCGTTCAATGAGCTGGCTATGAGAGACTCCGGACTTGATGCATGAGACTGGAAGAGCTACGTGGTATGTATTCTGCCATCAGACATCCTTATACGGACACAGAATTCTTCCCTTCATTTCGTGCTTGACATCTGCCCAATCATGATGCCCACAGTTAGAATACAATTTTATCAATAAGTTAGGGTATTGGTGATGGACAATCATATTATTATTTCGGCATCAACGGAGATCGCCACTGTAAGCAACAACACACTGGCGACATCATCAGGATAAGTCACGATATCCTTAGCTTCGCGTATCATGGGACGATAGCATCATTTCCATTTGCTTGCGATGCGTTGTTTGCCTAGAGGTTCCAGGTTCCATGCTCAAATTTTTCCTAACTGCCCGTTGCCTTCCAAGCCATATCAGTTCCAAGCCAGGTTCATCCTGAGCCAGATACGTTGGGAGCCACCGTATTTCCCATCTTCATGTATAGCCCTGGATCGAATGCGGGAATGTCTTGAATCATCCTAGGCAGCCTCCTCAGCAGGGTCGACCTGCTCAATGCCAGGGACTCTGAGATCGCAGGCACAGTAGCAGTCGGCCTCGCAGTCATCGTGGCTCTTGTCCTTGTCGAAGCGGCCATCGGGGCGGCAGCGGTACTTGTAGGGAGACCAGGTGCACCACCAACGGTTGAAGGGGCAGACGATCTCGCAGCTGCGCTTGTCGAGGTGGCTGGTCTCAGGGCTGGTGGCCTCGGTCTTGTCCGAGGCGACCAGGGCAGAGGCGGTGGCAGCAAGGCCGGTGACGAGAAGGGCTGCACTTTATGTCAGATGGGTTCACAACAAGATGGGAATATTGCTTACTGGAGAACTTCATCTTGGTGTCTGATGTTGGTATGAAGGGTAGTCTTGAAAATCTTTGTTTTTCTTGTGTGAAGAGCCTGAGTTTGGGGTGAACAGGAAGGTGCTGGATAGAGAGTAAAAACAATTTCCAAAGTAGGGCGGCTTTTATATCCTTTTAAAGGTCGCTTAAAACTCTGCAGGTAGTGGTCTTTTAATAAAGAGAAGGGAGGAACGATAATTTCTGAAGTGCTGGTGAAGAGATGACCTCACCTGGTGTGCATCATTTTTGGCAGATTCTTTGCTGGAAGGTGCAGGCTTCAACTAAACCAAATGAGCCCACTTCGCTCTTTCTAAGATTGAATATGGCTGCCTCAATATTTCCACTTGGTGTTAGCTGATGAGCGACTTTCAGGACTGGGATCTCTTTGATGCAACAAACTTCACATTACACAAAAGAAACAGCTGGACTGCCAAATGACCTCACTTTCGATGTTTGCCAGCCAGACTCCTTGCATGGACCGAAAACAAACAACATCAGTCTCTTATGAAGAGATCAAGATATCATTTCACTTTCTGTGGAGTTGACAGGCTTCCATCAACAGCTGACATCATTTCAGAATGGCCAGTGTGACACCGAGCAAAATCAAACCATCTTGGTATGATGCCATAATGTTTGGTCAACGCGTCATGACAAGAATCCTCAATTCAAGTCAACACCATAAACTCGTTCGAACATGGAGTGAAAACACCACCCAAGTGTGACATTGGAGAGAAGTTGAGATGATGCTTATCACCTGGATACACATTGACTCGAGGGCTTGAGTAAGGGATGGCACCGCTCGGTGCTTTGCAAACCCATAAAAGCATAGGGCCGCATGTATAGTAATGAATGGCAAGCGGGCAATCAGTTTGGCAATAGAGCCGAATTCTAGTTCAACATGTGTATATACAAGTATGCCTAAATCTATATACTTGAAACGTTCGGGTAGATCCCCTTTTTCTAATTCCTTGAATACGATGCCCTAACGCCGTGGTTGGTTTCCAGTCTTTTTCTGAGTTTTACCAAGCCATGCAGTCTGTTCGTCAAGCCGGCTGTAGTGCGCGTCTACAACCTCCTGGTTCAAGTAATCCAGCCTGTGGCCACAGCGCGTCCATTTCACATCGTGAGCCGTGGCCGAAGAATCGCAACATCCTCCCCAGCAATCTCCAATACGGTCGATCAGCGACTGGAACGGCGCGGCCTCGCTGCGCCGACTGCGGTCGATGATGTTCAGCATCGTCGGGATCGCGACTTCGTGAAACAGATCGGCGCATCCGTAGATGTACGATAGGAAGATGAAGTCCGCAAAGAAGCGGCGGGGGATGTAGTAAATGTCGGACCACCCGACGCAGAACTCGTCCTCGACGACGTCGTAGCCGCGGTTCATGCGGATGATCTCGCCGTTGACGGTGACGGCCTTCTCGTTCCACTTGTGATACCACCCCCACCACTGCGGGAACTTCTGCCAGTCCGTCATGCACATATACCGCGGACCGTCACCGTCGTATTGTCGCGTGTTGTGCGATGTCGGGTACCAGATGGACTGGCGGTTTTCGTCGACCCAGCCCATGGGGTCGATCCACGAGTCGAAGTGGAAGTACATCAGGCCCTCAATATCGGGGTGTTCGTCGAGGATGAGCTTCATCGTGTGCGCGACTTGCATGTATATCGTCTCGTGGTACTCGTACTGCGAGTGAGTAAGGTTGTGGTAGCTGCTGGGCTTGTCCTCCATCATTTCCGGCATCGAGATGTGCACCGTGTGGAAGAAGGGCTTGTATTTCAGCAGCAAGGGGACGCGCTCCATGCGCTTCGCATTCCAGCGAACCATGGCGAGCGTGTTGCTGAAGGGCGAGGCGGTGAGGTTGCCTTCGCCGGCTTCGATTTGATATGGGGCATGTTTGTCTGTGAACGGGCGGATGATATCGGCTGGCGGAGTTATGCAATGACCCTCGGTGTCGTCTCTCATCACGAGTCTGTACTCGGGGGTATGTGGTGGTTCTGCGAGGGTTGCGAAGGGGACAATGCCGGCGCCGATAAAGCTGGCCAGCGTAAGGAGACTCAACTTGAGTTTCTGCGAACGTCAGCAGTGGTCGACAAGTACTCAGGTCGAAAAGTAGACTCACTCTAGAAGAAGCCGCAGGGAAAGAGGGTTGCCTTTCGTCAGTCGGACTCGGGGCGCCGAAATCTCTGATGGGGCTGAATTTCAAGTACGCGAGCGAAGCAATGAAGATCAGTGCTGTGCCAGGGATCACGAACACACTGTATTTCATGGCCGAATAGCTCGCAGTTACCAACAACAGGATGATGGCCGTGACATCGGTTGTAAACCACCGAGCCCAAGAGTCAACATTTTTCGATGCAACCGTGCTAACAACGGCCAGAATGGCTGTCATCAAAATGACTGAGAGTCCCTTGTTGTCATAGCCAGCAAAGAAACTTGGCTCAATAGCGCTCGCGTATCGCACGAGAGCGTGTACAAGCAGGTTCAACACGGCGCCGAATGCGCCTAAGATGATGTTGGATGCATTAGATCCCAGGTCAGTGCTTCGCATCAGCTTCTCCGTGTTGATATCTGCCAGGGCGCTGAAAGCAGCTTGGCCGACCAGGACGAAGTACAGGTGCAGCTGATACGTAGATGCTCTCGTGCGGTGTTGAGGATAGTACTGCGAGAGAACCAAGCCGGACGTCTGTGATGTGTTTGTCAATATTGCGCCAAACAATGTGATTTCGACGTTTGTACCTGGATCAAGAACGCCATCCACCGTGTCTTGGGTCCTCGGAGCCCGAACGCCGGGGTAGAGAAAAGCGCAGCGCCGATTGCGATGCCGCTTTTCGTCAACTGGACCGTACCTGGATCGGCAATCAGGTAGTTGAGGAACAACTAAGAAGCAAACATGCAGTGTCAGCTCTGATGAATGCGCTTAAACCATAGATAATGCAGCTGCCCAAAAGTCCGTACCAGGTTGTTGGAGAGCATCTGCAGGAGCGCGATCCGCGCAAAAGCAAACCTGATCTCGGCGCCAGCATCGCTCCAGATGAAGCGCCACAGCGCCCTCACGCCTTCGATCTGCCCATGTCTCGACGTCTTTTCCGCCTCGAAATCGAGTGACGACCGGGCGTCGCCGTTGCTGCCGAGATCCAGTTCCTCCGACTCTCCTATCGAGGAATACTCGCCGCCGTTCGCAGCTCGTTTGCGCGCTTCTCGCCTGAACAGAATTGTCGCAACCAGAAACCTGAGAAACTCCGATATCGTCAAAGCCGAAGAAGGCGAAAACTTGAACTGTCCTCGCTCTCGGGCTGTGACTAGATTCAGCGCCGTCCCGGTTTGTAGGATGACTAGTCCGAGCGCTGTGAGACACGGGACGAGACCGGGGCCGGATCCGGTGAACGCCAACACCCGGCGCAGAGTCGGCCGGCTAACGGCCATTGTAGGGAAGCGTGGAAATCGACAAAGCGCGGCGCGGTTTCGTTGGCAAACGGGCCGTTGCTTTTTCTTCGAGGTCGATTTGCTATGCAAGCTGGCGAGCAAACATGTTTTCGCAAGATCAAGGTCGCGCGAACGAACAAAGATGAAAAGGACAGACCGCTTGGCAACGTGATACGAGTCGCGGCGGGGGGATCAGCGTGTAAAAGGGCCCCCAGCTTTCGACGGTTCGTACGGGCACTTTGAAGTGGCATGCAGAACCGGGGTCCTGACAGGGAACTGAGCTGCTGGCGGCAGCACGATGGCGCCGCAAGGGCAGTGTCAATCGTTAATAATAACTCGCGACGTGGGGGGGTGAGAATGCGCTTGTCAGGGGTAGAGAGGCGCCGTTCTGAAGAAGACCAAGGAACCCTCCATCACAGATACGGATCCCTGCTGTCAACTGCGCAACGGATTGATTGAGATCGTGCAATTGTTGTTGGTGTGATCCAAAAGAGACGTTGAAATGATAGACCAAGTGGGCCAAGAAGCTGCGAATGTCTCCGTCTGATCAAACCTTCTGCTGTGGGCGCCCGGCACTTGTTGGTACAGGCACTTTTGTTTGACCAGTCCGTGTCCGTAGGGACATGAGAAACAGGACTGTTCCGTTGGACTGGGAGTTGAATATAGCGGTTGGCGCAATGAACGGATAGATTGGAATTCGAGATCGAAGCACGATGCCGTGCCGCGCGTCCTGTGACATTTACTTCAAGTTCAACAATGCGGAGAAGCTTCACGTTCACAGTCTGCATAGTTTTCTCCCCACGATCGTGGCCTTCTCCTCATTTTGAGACTCGGAGGCACGTGTCGACTCCAACACGAATCGCAACGGCTGCCACGGAACGGCGTATCATGGGCACAGCCTGCGGCAGAAAAAGTGAAAATGACAGTCTAAATATGCTCTGGTCTAACGGAATACTCCCATTGGCCAAACCTGTCATCTGAGACCAGGATATCTGTCTGCAGATGAGGGTCTCCATGTCAAGCACGGTTCAAGTATGGCGTAGCCGTGACGGAATGCAGCCCTGAAAGTGCGAGGAAGAGTAAAATAAGGCCGGACTCGAGAGCGAAAAGTAGGGCGGCAGACTTACCGCAAGGAGGCACCGTTGGCCCGTTCCCCTTCACCCGTTGGCTGAACTATTCCTTCTGACAGAAAACACCAGAGGAACTCCGCAACGCCTCATCTCAAAACTCGGGAGTGATTGAATTGGTTGTGTGGTATCCGTCCTGTGCCGCGATGATCATGTCAGAATGTGGCAGCAGGCCGTATTCTTCGGGCGAGCAACGCCACGCTGCCAAGCCGAGACCAGCACACAACGAAACACGATAAGGGCGCGCGCATCATCTTACGCTGCATGCTGTACCTTTGTTTTCTGGGTAACGAATCGAAATGTCAAATGACGACTGAGTGTTGTGTCAGATACGGCTTAATTACTGCTTTCGACAGAGAGCTTGTCTTCGTCCACAGGCGCTAAAGCACGTTCACCCGTCTTACTGACAGGAGGAACCGATGGAGAAACACTTTCCGGTGGCTGAACGCCTTTGCAGGCTCGGAATCCTGCGCTGTTTCGCACGTGGGAATCGTTATTTTTGATGGAGCGATTTGGTCTTGATCCCACATCAGAATCATTCGCGGCCACACCAACCAACACCAGACGGTCTGGCCAAATCCTTCACCCGGAGTCCAGCCACGTCTCGGGCGCAACCGCGTGCCGCTGCTGTTCGGTGGAGACTTCCGGCGCTTGATCCTTCGGGGCCCTGCCGAGTGTGACAATCCAGTATTCCCCCACAAGCCGAGAACCACGACTCAACTACCCAGCAAAACTCTCTTTTTGTTCAGATTGGGACCCTAGATTCTATGTTTAACTTGAAAGAGTTCATTTGAAAAGAAGCCCATGTTGCGACTAGAACCACATCTCACCATTGGGCCATGAGATCGGCGTGATTGCGTTGGCATAGGTCTCGAGGGCTTTATTGGGCCCTCGCAACAAGACGACGACCAGGGTTGCAAAAGCGTTGGTTCAAGGTGAAAAAACACGGTTCCCGTCTCTTTGAACGAATGTGTTTTAGCGAGTTGAAGTCTGGCGGTGTAGTTGGTCACGAAGAAAGTGAGGGACGGCTGTATCTTCCCAGCCATCTGAGAAGAAAGGACCCATTGGTTCTGTCTACGGTCGCCAAATTGTAGATTGTCGATAAGAAGCATCATCTAATGGGGATAGTGAGTAGAAGATATGTGTATGCAGTCTATGCCGTGCGTCATAGAGTCATGGTGATACTCTGCGCTCTCGTGCGGGTGGGACGGAGGCTCGGTCTCACAAAGACCTTGTATTCGCTCAGTCATTGTTGCACAAATTGGTTGTTATGGTTCCTAAACCATTTGATCATGTTGCGGAAAATATGAAAATATCTTTGCTTCCCAGTTAAGAGATTGGGCGGAACCAGACTCAAAGATCAGTTTCTTGAACATACATGGAGAAGGACGTCCAAACAGGTGAGATTGTTTATCAACTACAGGTGGATCATCTGCCTCTTTGCTAATCTCTAGTATCTTCGCTTCTTTCATTGTTGTTGCTGGCATCCTTGTCGCTATATTGTAGCTGGTTGATGAGCGTTAAGCGGCGGGAGTACCACCTAGGCTCCCGCTACTCTCAATCTTGTTTGACAAAGATATATGCATCAGAAGCAGTCTATAATTGGTATAGAAGGGCTCAAGTCCGTTTTATTGTCTTACGATCGTAGGATCATAGGCGAGACGCTTAGTCTGGCTTGTAGTATTAAGTCGTTCAGGATTGCTTGGGACTATATCACAATCTAGAATGCTTCCAACTAAGCTATCGCGTCCTTGAGGGGAACTCCATTCGCACTAAGATCGTGAGATCTGACGTAAATCTTTGCTAGAATTAGTGAGAGCCTAAAGTCTAATGTTTCTTAAATCCTCAAATAGTTTGCAATAATATGTGAACCTCGTTTGAAAAACGTGTCAATAAGAACTTGTAACGTCTCCCCCAGAGGGAATTCAGGCTATCACGAAATCATACCGAATATTCAATTTCAGATACCTAGGTCTCATATGGCTCTTGAACGCAACCTCATTGCAGAGATTATCGAGGCCCTGGTGTTTATTCATTGTTTAAAGGGGTTTTCTGGCTGGCATCATCGATCCTATCATGTTGTGGACAACATTTACCAAGAACATTCGCAACAATCTAACAAGTCACAGTTGCCGGATTCATTGTCAAATTCTGATCTAAACCAATAACCGTGGAAAGTATTAACAGTGATCCTGCTCCAATTCATTAAGGAATGCATGTGGGTAGAAAGGCGGGAACGAGTTTTGTCGCAAGGAAGCTTCTAATTTGCTATTCGGCTTATCTTCTCTGCGTCGATAGCGTAGCGGTTATCATCCCAGTCTTCCACTCGGACTTGCATTTGGTGGGCTTATCTCCATTGGATCGGAATTGTGTACTCGTCGGGTCCGACGAGGGGTCAAATAGTGTGGAAGAGAGATTTAGATTCCACACTCTATCGCGCGGCGAATTGCAAGTATTGTAATTATCCATTAGATCAGTTGTTTATCAAGGTAACCAACCCCTTCGAAAACCGGCTTTCCATTTCACATGTAGTTTCAAATTCGCTGAGAATAATAGTTCCAGCACGCGGGGTTCTGCCTCATGATCAGGTTTCACGGTATTTGGTATTCTTCAAGGTTCCTTCCCATCCTTTCTCCTTGATCGTGCCAAGATTTTACGCCTATTCTGATCGTATGGCTTCACCTGGAACATGCGGCAACACCGTTCAGTTTCTCTTCACATGTTGACTCTGCCATTCTGAATCATCACTACGAAGTCGCTTCGAAAGTTTCGGGGTGTTCCAAAAGCAGTTATCATCATCCGTCTTGGCCATTTCAACGGTGAGGGTTGCCACATTCAGCCGAGTCTCGCCAAAGTCTGGTGCCTCACGCGGACTCATAATGTCCGCCCGATCTCACAATCTCATTACCAACAAGGTGTGGTGGAATCGGATAACTATAGGGCTGCGTCTTCTTTTTAAACTTTGGTGTCAAATCCGAGCTACAGCCAACTTGAAACCAGTCGGCAACCACTTCGAGCAGAAGGCAAAATGCGCATTCGTGGCAGCATCTCATCCCCCAAAGTCTCGAGCATAAGGTGACGCAGATCCAGTGTCCGAGCACTTTCATAGTTTCGCTTCGGATCTGGTGGTGTCGTGTCGAAAGATGCTAGAAGCATTCCAATGGCCGCTAGCTTCGGCTCAATCTCACCAGTGTCGGGAGAAGAGACAAGTCTGAAAGTCAATTTGGCCTCTTACACTGAAGCTGCCTCCATCCTGCAGTTCGGTTGATGGCCTCGCTAATCTCGAGAAGAAGGCTTTACTGGTCAACACAATAGCAGCAAGAGAGGAGCAATGAGAAACGCCGAAGGCCTTGGCGCAACTGATGACTCTGTCTGTTCACATGTTTCAATGATCGAGCATCTAAGTGACCTGATCTCCGGAAAACTGACTCAAATAATGCTCCCATCCTGGCAAATTCTTCACAAGTTCGGAATTCCTAGCATCGCTTTGGCGAACCAACACATCCTTTCCGCCCAGATCAGCTCAGATAAACTTCACCCATTTTACCGCCGCTTCACACCACCGGCTAGATCCCGAGACCTGATACCATGTCGAGAGGTCTGGACTTCCGCGCAAGATGGCCCAGTTGAGAGCTATCGCCGACCTCCGTCTGATCTCAAAGGCAATAGCCGACCGCAAATTCCTCGTTCTCTTTTTGCATTCAGTGCCTTTTGCTGTATCAGTCAGGCTTCGCCCCCGGTCACCCGTCTTTTCGGGCAGACTCAGACCGTTTCCGGCCCGCCACCGTGCGCCGCAACAAAGGCTTCATGGGGGCGGGAAGCGCGGAAGGGCGATTTGACGCCACCAAGTGCCACCAGCTTTGAGGGAATCTTATATGGTGTCCAGGGCAGCCCGGAACAAAATTCTGATAATTGCAGCGAGCTGCTGTCTGGAAGGCCAGAGGCGTGCAATCTTACCTTCAACAACGGTCGAAAACATTCAGAGCTCGACGTATTGCGCCCGCAATCGACTCGCGCTGATGTCGAGGCTACATGTCACTCGATGACCTCGCGATGACTGGGATAGAGACTCGAGGACCACTGATCGGAGGAGTTACTTGGTTTCTCTGTTTCTTCTGCGGCGCCTTCTTGGCTTTGCGCATATACGCGAAGCTGAGTCGACATCAGAAGCTATGGTGGGATGACTGGATTCTCATTTTCTCTTGGGTTAGTTCACGGCAACTCACACGTTTGGATGCTCTTATTGATGCTAGTTGCCAGACATGCCTCTTCGTCGAATCGATCATCACGCAGCTGGGAATCAACATCGGATTCGGTCGTCACTTCTACGACATCGACCCGCCGAACCTGATGACGATAGCGATGTACACGTCCATAGGAGCCTCGATCTCCTGTTTCGCCTCAACAGGAAGCAAAGTAGGATTCGGCGTAACGTTGCTTCGGTTGACGGAAGACTGGTACAGAGCGTTTGTCTGGTTCGCCGTCGTCACCTTGACCATCGTCATGTTGCCCAGTGCGACCCTGACATGGCTCAAGTGCACCCCGGTTCAAAAGAATTTCAACAGCCAGATGGAAGGGACGTGTTGGGACAAAGCCATCACTCTGAATTACGGAATCTTCAACGCAGCTTGGTGTGCGGCGATGGACTTTCTTTTGGCGCTGGTTCCGTGGAAACTGATCTGGGGGCTTCGCATGCGGAAACATGAAAAGCTTGGTATCTGCATCGCGATGAGCCTTGGTTGGCTGTAAGCAACTTCTCCACGAAACTTCTGGATTTGAGACTGATATTGAATCCATCCAGCTCAGGGGTCTGTGCAATTATCAAGGGCGTCTATCTTGTACAGTTGGAACAGGGAGACTTTTTCTGTAAGCTGATTTGTCGAACGTACACCGGTAGGAAGTCAGCAGCTGACGAATACTTGCAGTCAATGGCAAAGATGTCACAATCTGGACGGCAGTTGAGACAGCAACTGCCATCGTCGCTGGATCAATACCCGTTCTCAGAGTATTTTTCAACGAGAAGGCATCGACTTTTGGATCCAACAACAACAATAAAAGCCATAACTCTCACGATATCGAGTTGAACACATACCATACAACGGCCGACTCATCGGAAACTACCAACACAGCAGAACCTCACACTCAACCCCCAGGCGGCACTTTGATTGTTCGCCCTAAAAGTCACGGCGTTCTTGAAGATATCATCGAGATTGAAACGCCTTCAGAAGAAGTCAGATTGAAAAAGAGTTACATAATGACGGTGGACATGAAGCAATCATGTCTGACCCATGAATGAAAGTATGACATGCACGACCGGTACCAGAACGGAATGAGCGTGGTGTAATGAGAAAATAATCATCAAATATGAGTACAAATGGATACGCAAGCGTCAATGGCTTATGTTCAAGGGATCTTTCGTCCGGTGTATGAACATGAGGAACGTTATCCATGTCATCTTCCTCTCGTAAGCACCAAGTGATAACGTTACGACGACTGGGCAATGTGGGCCCAACCGGTACGACACAGGAGCGATATTTGTCAGTTACGGAGGAAACCATATTCTCTCATGCACTTTTGTTGTGATGCCCAGGTACTCGCACGCAATTCCTTATGTAAGACGGGATATCTATGTGCAGTTCGGCCGACATTCGGTCGAGTCTGAACATCTCAGGTCTCTCTTTCTAGTCCACATCACTCATGTGCTCAATCTCATATAAAATGTCTCCTGGATGAGCCTCGACAAAAGCACACTGCTAATCAAGCGTGGAAGTCCACCACAATAGAGAAGTTAACGAGACCATTACTTTGAATCAATCTTCTCATCCAGCATGTCCCAAAACATACTCATCGTGGGTGCGTCTGGTTACATGTAAGTCCTGATATTCTCATGTGAAAACATGGAAGAATTTCTGATACTAACTCCATGATATTAGTGGCGGCACGGTCCTCAACTCTTTGCTGTCCTCAGGCGTGCTGCCGACTGCCAACATACGGGGAGCGGTTCGTTCCGATGCTCAGGCAGACGAATTGAGAAATCTTGGTATTCAGGCTGTTAAGATTACTCTGACAGACCATGATGCAGTAGCTCGCGCAGTGCTGGACAATCACAGTACGAAAATTATCTCCAACTCTAGTTGATATGATGAGCTGATTGCGGTTAGTCGACATTGTACTTCATACTGCCAGCTCGATGGACTTCTCACTGGCAGAACCGTTGCTACATGCGTTGAAGAAACGAAAGGATGCCGTCGGACGGCCAGTCCATTTCATACACGTAGGGCTCATGTTTTTTCTCTGAAGGAAGCAAGCTTACTGACCGCTACAAGACTTCGGGCGTTACCGCTTTTGCCGACAAGGCAGGCTGGACACATGGTTTGGTGAAGGAGTCGGACGATATATACGATCTACAGCGCCAGGCAGCTGAATCGTACGTTGTTCGGGAGGTAAGTTTTGACTTCCGCAATCGCACTCTCTGTCTAACTCCCCAGACCGACACAGCCGTTGCGAGGGTTGGAGAAGAACTTGGAGTATTTGCGTACATTGTTGTTCCGCCGTTGGTTTGTAAGTGAAATCCTTACACCAGGTCCCATTTCGTGGAAGACTAAAACAAGATCCTCAGATGGAAACGGCACAGGCACAGGGAACACGCAATCGGTTCAGATACCCATCTTGATCCGCGCCGCAGCTGCTCATAAGCAAGTATATCAGTTCAGTGAGGACGCGGTAATGTTCAACCTGTATCCATCCCATCAGATAACCAAGCTGACTGGAGAGCAGACATGGCCTGCAGTTCATGTCATCGACCTTGCAAACTACTACGTATCACTCATCCGGCGTATCGTACAACAAGGCCCTCTAGCATCTGGCAAGAAGGGATACTACCTTGTTCGCAGCCACGACGTCACCTTTCACGAGATCGCCGAAGCTCTCGGAAAGGAGTTGTATCAACGGAAACTTGTGGACAGCCCACATCCCGCAACATGGCCTAGCGATGAGGTGGCGGTTAAGGCGTTGGGGTTGCCGCTCTATTACACACGTCTTGCGTGGAGTTCCACGTAAGTTGGCGATGATCTCTACCACAAGGAACGTTGTGAACAATGAAAGACCAACTAACCTTTGGGAAGTGCCTTGGTGCAATCCGAGCGGCACAAGGATCTAGGCTGGCACCCGGAATGGAACCACGATCGTTTCTTAGCTGAAATTGGAGAAAGCATCGATCCTGCTCTTCAGGCAGAGACTGTTGCGGGGTCTCTCGCCAGTCTTAGCACCTCCTGAAGATGCTGCTCGTGAAGAGATAGAAACGTTAGGGGGATACATCTGAGCTCGTATTTCATATTTCACGTCAAGCTGGTTGGACGGGTTCACTCAATTAGAAAGATGGCATTTGCTTATTCTCAAAACTGCACCGACGGAATGACCATTTCCATTATTAAGCAAATCTAGACGGACATGATCGGATTCAGAGCCAGCTCCTGAGTGATCACTTCTTCATCCGGGGTCTCCTTCCCAAGAAGCCAAGCAAGACCATCGAAAGTATCGAAGTGAGACTTCGTCGACAGCTTGCTCGGAAACATTATGTGCCCATGAGGCGCTCCCGGGTACACGACCAACTTCGTCTTCACTCCATGCTCCCTCAAGACCCGGTCATACACAAGCCCGTCATCCCGCAAGGGATCCGTGCCACACACTTGCAAGAATGTCGGCGGCAGGCCTTTATGCGGATTCTTTGAGTTGAACGGCGATAGATCCGGCGACTTGACGTCCGCGCCGTAAGCAGCTTTCATGTGCGCCATTCCATCCTTGTCGATGACGGGCCCGGCGGCGTTCTGCTCTCGGGAGAACCAGACATCTTTGTACTTGGGTGGCACAATCTCTTCCTCCAACAGATACGGAATGCAAAGCCACGTCCCGGTAAGAGGCGGAGTCAATCCCTCGTCAACGGACTTTTGAGCAACCACCGCAGCGAGGTTTCCCCCAGCCGAGGCTCCTCCGAGAATGAAGCCAGCGTAGGGGTCGGCGCCAAGGGTATGTGCGTTCGCCGCGATCCATTTGAGGCTGTCCCAGGCATCGTTCGGCGCCGCGGGGAACTTGTGGACCGGGGCGAGACGGTAGGAGATGTTGACCACCACGGCGTTGAACACCTTTGCCGCGATCCGTGCGTACGGGCTGAGCTGCGTGCAGTGGCCCATGACGAAGCCGCCGCCATAGATCAGGACGATGAGGGGGTGTTTGTCGCCGGAGGGGGATTCCGGTTTGTGGATGCGGGTTTCCGACTGGTAGCCGTCTCTCATGGGGATATGGATGGAGTACTCGGTGCTGGAGTCAGGGCGAGATGTTTGTTCGGCCTTGGCCTTTTCCATCATCTTTTGGACTTCATCGTCTTCGGCACCGAGCGAGGCCGCGGGGCGACCTGCGAGGAACTTGGGGGTGTGTCAGAGTGTGTTTTCTACAACTGGAACTCAACTGACCGCTGCGATCTCAGGACTGGATGTGCCGCATTAGCGTACTTCATCGACGCAGCAAGCTGCAACTTATGAGTGAACATACTCGAGAATTCCCAGAGGCTCGATTTTCTCTCTGGTATCATACTCCATCTTGTTAGGCTGCTATCGCTCAAGCGTCAATAACCGTTATGAATGTGGTGCGCTGCACTTCGTTACACCAGAATTGTCTTTCACTGTCAAAATATCGCATCAGCGAAGTTGAGGAAGGTTTGCGCAAAGCTATCTCTAAATACACCACGTTAAGACTCACATCAGTTCTCCCATCGGCCCGCCAGTACCCCGCAACATCCCGCGGTAGTTCCAAAGATGACGGTAGTTGTGTTTTAAAGGAGTCCATACTAGGGGAAGCATCCCAGCAATGTTCCATAGTTGGGTCGCTTTCGGGTCGTCGGGGTCCATAGCGTTCCCGGCAAACTCTCTTCGACGTCGCACGCAGATCACTTCCTCGACGGTTTAAGGTTTTCACACCGGATGAACCCTTGGCTTAGTCTGAGAGAGTTGCGAACAAGTATTCAACTGTTTATATTCATGGGCTTCGTCTCGGATTTTCATCAATCATGGAAGCGGTTAAGTTCACCAGCAGATCGGGGGCTCATTCGTCATATACGAACAGACGACCCCCGACTCCCGCGATCGAAGACGAAATGCCGAAAGATTGCTTTATCCTCGGCTTGAGATTCCTTTTCGAGTCCGTCTAGAGCCAAGTTCTTTGGTTTCCCCATGCTCGCAAAGTCTACCAACTCATTGAAAGAACGTTGGAAGAGCTCAGTAAAGACATTCTGAGGTTGCGCCTAGATGGTAACAACAGGCTCTTTCTTCCGCATCATGGAGATTCCGCCTGAGGTCTTTGTCCCATGATCAAGACTGCTGTCCTCCCAACAAAGTCTTTCTTTACCAATGATTTGCGTTGACTCAAGCAGCTCAGCGAGGTTGGCTTTGAGCACTTTGACTTTGACAACTCAATCAACACAATGGCTTAGTCCAGGCCGCAACTCCTTGCCTAACAGGCACTTGTCTTCGACTCAAACTATCTAACAAGAACATCTCAACTGTCTTACCTTCCGGAAAAGTCCTATATAAGCAGTTGCGGTGACTTGACTTGATACCAATCTCCTCCTCATCATCACACTCAAACAACATCAACAGCATCTTCTTCACCTTTCAATCTCACCATTCAAACCTTCCTTCTCCACACCACCAACTTTCCACCTTCAAACTCCACTTCAAGATGTGCAACTACATCGCCAACGTCACCAAGTGCCGCCAATGTGGTTCCACCATTAGCTCCTGCCAAACCGACTTTGTCTACTGCCCTTCTATGAAGAATGGCCTTGGTTGTATGACCATCGAGCGCGGCCGCAAGACCACCCTCATCTGCTGCTCCCGCTGCCAGCATGCCTATTAGTTTGGCGATTCGGAGCACAACGTCGATGGGTTTGAGTCTGCTTCTTCCCGAGATGAGCAGTTTCTTTCTCGAGACGACGGCATGGGACGAGTGGTATTAGTGAGTTGTGAGTTTCTCTTATTTTCTTGAATGCTGGCACGTTCGAAAATCGGGGTTTTCGTCTTTGAGATTGTTTTACGGCGTTTAAAATAGAATGAATTGAAATGAGATCACTGGCGCTCGAAAGTCTTCCCTTGATTCAAAGTGTCTTGGACAATCATTTGTTGTGAAGACATGCTCAATTATTTCTCTAATAATTATTTCTCAGACTCTATAGTTCGTACTGCAGCTGTTTCCGCGTACTTTGGGAAGTTCCGCGATTCTAACAAATCTCAGATAGGCAACGTCGCGTTGACAGACAAACACGTCCCGAGCTCGGCGCCCTCAATCCGGGACGTGGCGTTCACGACGTACTGCTGCAGCGGCGACGTACCGCACTTCAGACCGAGCACGAAGGCCTGCGCGAAGGTATCCGCGAGCCCCGGCGCCATGTGCGTGTTGTCCATCGGGTATCCCGCGACGGCGGCCGCGGGGCCCTGGAGCCTGAGCGCCTGCGCGCAGTAGTCCGCGTGGGGCACGTAGTAGATGCCGGCCGCGGGGCCGCCGAGGGACTCGACGACGTGCCAGGAGTACCAGGAGTAGATCCGGGGCGTCCAGGTGAAGTTCCCGGTCTGGTACGGGTTCGTCGGGGTCGACGTCGAGATGACGACCTTGGCGCCGCGGGAGAGGAAGATGGAAGAGGCGTTGCGGAGGTAGGTGGTGTAGGTCTGGACGATCTCGGTCGCGTTGCTTGGGCGGGTTAGCAGGAGCTGGATCCGAGGGGTGTTGGGATCGAGGGGCGTACTTGAAGATGGCGGTGCATGTCTCGTTGCCGATGCCGGGGCAGTCGACTCGGTTCTTGGTATCGGTGGCTGGGTTTCCGGCTAGAATTTCTCGTCAGACGAATGGATCCCAACTTGGAAGAAAGCTTGACTCACGCCCATCATTATGTCCAAACTCAATCACCACCCAGTCGCCCGGTTTGACCTCGTCGATAATCCTCTGGAAACGACCCTCCCGAGTAAACGTGCGGGCGCTCCTCCCAGCATACGCCGAGTTGTTGACCCGGATCTTGGACTGTTCCAGAGAGTACTTCAGGTACTGGCCCCAACCCTCCGTGCCATTGTGACCGCCGTCCGGCGCCATCGTGCTATCACCGGCGAGCCAGACGGTGTGCTGGGCGTCGTCGTCGTCGCATTGCGCCGAAGCGGTGAGCACGGAGCTCGCGGCGAGGAAGAGGGCACTCAGGACGGACCTCATTGTCGGAGACCTTGGTGGCGGCGCGATGAGGGACAGAAGAGACAGACCGGACAGACACGACAACACGGGCGAGGCAGATTCTCAGGGCATTCGGTCTTCTTTTATCGCGCTCTCATCGTGACCCTGTCATGACAGCGGATCTCGGCAATTAGTGCAATCTGGGGTGGCATCGTCTCCCCCGCAGCGTCTCTGCGGAGATGGCCTCTGCCCCCTGACGATTCCCCGCGAAAAGGTCGTGGTCGCGTCGACGTGCTCGAAGAGGGTTCATCTGGATGGCGGGACCGCTAACTTGATGTATGGTGGTCGTCCGCATGTCCCATGAGCTTGTTGATGTTGGCGACTGTCATTCGTGGACGAGGGTGGGTATTTCTCGGTAGAGAGGGCCCCGAATAGTGGCATGTTAAGCTTTCGGCCGATTGCGAGCCGAGTGAACCCGGGCGGATGGATCTAGCGATGAAAGGGTCCGTCTGATCCGGAGACGCTTGTTCTGTGCCGATTGGGACTGGGACTCTTCTACTACATAGTATTTTAACCTGCTGCTTCGAGAGAAGGGGAGAGAGGTCTCTCTTCAGAGGTCAAGGCTTTCCTGGGACATCAACTGGCTGGGAGAGAGATTACTGAGAGGCCGTCTAACTACACGAGAAGCTTAGCTGGTCAAGAAATCTAGATTCGTCTCACCGATCTCTTCGTTCGCTCATGATCTTGAAGTCTGCCTCATGGACAGACATATACAACTATTTGAGTTCACGGCGTTCTCGAACTCCAGAGAAGTCTTTTGAAGATCAAATTATTCACTCTCAAAGTCCACGAGAAGGGTGCCTGCCAGACGGGGGCCTCGGCTGACAGCTTCTGACACGGCCCGATGTTTGTTTACTCAAATGAGTGGCATTTGGACTTCCGCGAGGCTGATTGTCGCGTTTCAACGCACTCGTGAAATACACCCGAGTCTGAGCTGTGGCACGGATGTCATCCATCGCAGGAAAACATTGACTTTTGGTGTCCGGGCTGTGAGTTCGGCCTCGCAGGCTTGGCAGGTTATGGACATCTACCAAGCCCCTTTACATTTCGAGTCTTTTCCTCGCGGCACATGCGATCCCTCCTCATGATTTGCTCGAACAGCCAGCTGGACTGAACTGCTGGACGCGAACTGCAAAGCCACCCGGACTGCCCCTTTTGACGAGTTCGTCGTGGGCGACGCGAGAGCCTCGTAACATTACCACATCTGGCAACAAGCTCGTGCTTGCATGGACACAGACGCGTTCGCGGGGGGGCGGCATGAGTACGTAGACGGTAGGTTGGGCTTTCTTTGGACGGCATTGAAACGCGAAACTGGTGTGTGAATGCGGGGTCTCAGAAAGGCGCATTTTCACACCTGGACGGCATTACGTCCCGGACCCGGCCGGAACGCCGAACACGAGCTGAAGGGGTCGAAAGAACCGGAGGGACCCATCTCACGAACCCGATGGGCTGAGATCTCGGAAGCTCTTACACGTGGTTTGAGTTACAGTTACGCGCTTGAGTCAGCCCCCTCCCCTCCCCGCGCCTCCTCGACGTCGTCTTATTCGGAGATTTTTTAGCATTCTGGCTGACAGGACGTCCGGGCTTCTCGCGTTTCCCCAGGCTGCCCTGTGTGCTGAGTGTATCCAATGTCTACGAATGCTGTTATCAGACATTACCTGGTTACGTGTTCTGCCGGATGCTCTCAGCATTGTTCGAGGTCGAGGACAATGGACGAGATGAGACAGCCAATCATGTCGAGTAGCCATTGAAACTTTCAAAGCTCAAAGCATGGAAAACGCGTACCAGATTTGATGCAGAGAGAACAGCTCAAGCTGAAAGGAAAGCTGAGGTGCATGCCTCGGGAGGAAGATGGTGCACATGCTGTGAGAACCTGGCTGTGTCAGAAGCTTTTGTCTGGGGTTTGTGAAGCGCACAAGCACAAGATCTTGCACAGGAGCATGCAGGTCACAGATAGCCGAGTGCGACTAAGGGTTGCCCAGATGAAGCCAGCAGGGAAGAGCTAGGAACACAGAGCAGTCTGTGGTGAATAAATGTTTCTCTCAAGACCCTCCTTCATGCTTAAATGCCTATAATAGCAAGGAAGCAAATAAAGAGTGAATTCCCCCCAGACCACACCTCCTTAGAAAAGGAAAGGAATAACAACAGCAAGTCGGGTGACGTCACCAGCTTGTGATCCACATTTTCTCACCGGAGCACCGACCGAACACCATCGCAGGCACTTTCCCAAAACGAAACACTCACCTTCGCCCTCGACAATACTCGCCATCATCGTATCTTTAGAAACAGTGGCACTTGAGGAGTATATCTACTGGAACCACCGACCGCGCCGATCCTGCTTGGCGATCTAGGCCATCAACAAGGACGCAAATGGCTGCTGCGACATCCTGAACAACAGCCATGGCCACCTCAAAGACACAACCTCTCAACGCCGAGCAGACAAAGGCGCTGTTCAACATCCTCACCCACTTCGAGACATACCGCGAGGTCGAGGACTTCAAGCAGCCCGAGACCATTTCCAACTATGGCTACCCCTTCGCCGCCGTCAACCCCAAGGCCGGCGACGGCGAGGCCGTAGTCTACGCCAAGAAGTCGACGTCGCCCGTCCTCCAGTCCCTCTTCAGCAGGTTCATTCTGCCCCTGCCGGGCGTCAGCAACATCGGCCTAGAGTTCTGGAACGTCCGAGTGCAAGGGCTGCTGAGGAAGTTCGCCGAGGCCGACCTTTCCGAGAGCTACGAGAAGGGCGCGCTAGGTACTAGAAAGACCCTGGCCACCGCTTCGTCTACCGTCATCGAGCTCGTTGCCAGAGCTCAGATCGGCGGCGGACCTACCAGCGACCCGGCGACTCGGCCGAAGGAATACGACGTGCAGAATGCGGCGGATTTGGTGCGGGCTTGGGATGATGCCATGCATGGCCTCGTCTACGAGAACCTCTGCGACGAGCTGCTGGATTACCTCGCCGAGACGGAGGAGTTCGACACGCACTCCCCCATGACGAAGGCTGCTTGCGACTACATCCTCGTTCAGTAAGTGTTGAATGCCGAGGGAGATGTGACGAAGTGCTGACATGGCGCAGTCTGGCGACGCTCTGCCATCAAGTCCTCATCGTCTCTCCCGAGGGACCGTACCTCGTCAAGCTGATGGACCAGGTGCACAAGATGGTTCCGTACGGCATGGTTCGCCAGACGCTGCGCATCGGAAACGCCGCGACAATGATCGCGGGCATGATGAAGATCTTCTTGGCGAAGCTCAGCGTCGGCTCCGTGTCCAATTGGTTCGGCATCACCAGCAACGCTGCCGACGGACAGAACCTCTTGCAAAAGTACGCTCGAAAGTCTCACAAAACCTTTCGCAATTGTAGCTAACCAACTATGCAGAATCATAACCGTTATTCTCGGATGGGACTGCGCCGACTTCAAAAAGACCGTCGACAAGATCGCCAAGGACAAGAACGGCCCCAGCAAAGGCGCGCTCGTGGCCATCAACGCACACTGCCAGGCGCCCAAGAGCGAACGCGACGCGGTCAGGGGCAAGAGCCTGCGAGAGTCCAAGTCCGTCGTCGCCGTCATCCTCGAGGACGTGGACCCCGCCCTGCTGGCGGATACCAGCGAGGACGAACACAAGATGTGCCTCGAGTACTACGCGGCAATGCTTGCCATCCGCGACCGGGAAGAGATCATCACCGTCCTGTGCAAGCAAAGCCCCGACCTCCTCACGCAAGCGATCCGCGACGCTGTTGCCGGCATGGATCCCATCATCCGCGCTGTGCACAACAAGGTCGACCTGTCCGACCACGTCAAGGACTACCAGACCTTCCTCGATCAGCTCATCACCACCAGCAAGCCCAAGAAGGCGAAGTCCAAGGACGACCCTGAGGCTGTCCTACCGACTGTCGACGATTATGTCGAGCTGCTCAAGAACAACCGGCAACTGCTATACAAATGGCTGCATGCAGTCAGCAAGAACTGCCCCGAAGTCATGGACCAGTTCAGAAATTGGGCGAAGGATTCGTTGGTGGCATTCCACAAGGAGAAGAACGGTGCTAGCATCGAAGAGAGGCTTGGAGGCATCTTCAACCAGGTTCCCGAGGAGAAGAGGGCGAAGCTTATTCCCATCATTGACGCCCATGCCGCTTACCTGAAGGAGCTCGACGATCTCTCGCGCCGCCGCATGCAAGGTCTCCTCGACGGCAACTCGGCCAGCATGTCTGGACCGGGAGTCTATCTCATCCGGTGGCAGTCATTGCTGGACGAGACCCTCATTACGCCGGCGACAGCGAGCGGACCGCTGAGGCACGGAACGGACGTTGGCGGGGCGATCCCGGGAGGCAAGCGGACCTCCGTCTCGAGCGACACTGGCGAGGTCATTGAGAAGGTCCGATCTCTGACCCTCTCGTCCTTGCCCGAAGCGCCGAACGTGAGACCTGTCATCAAGGCCCTGGCGCCGCTCTTCAAGCAGATGATAACGAAGCCGTCGACGCCGCCGAAAACCAACGGTCAAGCGGCACCGACAGCGGCACCGGCACCGATTTGATGATCACGAAGAATATGGGAATACGGTTCAAGTACAAGGCGGAATGGGGTGGGGTATCCGGGGGGCTGCATGACACTCAACGATGCATGACGGGACGGTCTTTTTCTTCTTTCGCGATTCGGCCAGGCGTTTGCGGGGTATTATTATTGATCTGGTCTCGGTTGGATGGCAGGCGGGATACTTGCTGTAGATCCAAGCATAGACACTGGGCGAGCAAATGTCATTGACGAGACGGTCGGGCTCGCGATTCATCTTCAAGTCGGTGAGACTATTTGACTTCCTTGGCGACATATTGGTCTTGCGACAGAGGCAGCGGCAGCTGGCAAGCCAAGAGCTGGTGAGAATATCGAGGAAGCTCATCCCTGTCCGGTGCGGGGAGCCCTGGCAAACAGAATCTCGTTGGCGATGTACTATTTCTGCCGTGCGGAGTGGAAAGATACTTGCACATCATGATGACGCTCGCCACCTCTAAGCGCGAGGGCAAGCTGAAAAGAAGACAGATACAAAATGCCATGCCAGGTTACACGAGGCGAATGGAGTAGTACATAGCACAAAAGCAAGAACTGCACCTCCAATCTCCCAGGCGGCCTCACGTCCAGCCCACGTGGTCTCTCATCAACAGCAACTCACGGGAAGCCGGCATTCCAACGGCCCAATGATTCTGAGCACAATTTCGCTGATATCCACTGAACCCTGTCGACAAACCCGAAGAAGCCAAACGCAGGCGAGATTCTGCCTGGTCCAAACCGAAAAGGGCAGCTGTGGAAGATCTCGTCAAGAGGGATCAGAGGGAGGGAATTCTTAGATGGGGAGCAGGGGTCTCAGCTGTCAATTCGCTTAAATATCCCTCAGCTGCCGAGTTTTCGTCAATTCTTTCCACGTCTACTCGGTTTTCCCGACTCGACCTGCCCTGCTCCCACCCAGTCCCGCGTCAACTTTCCCTCACACCTCTCACCCTGTCACTCACTCATTGCCTTGATATCATCAACCATCACCAACCTCATCAACACCATCTACCTAATTCACAATCACCTCGCCATCCCTCCCTCATCATAATCTCCAATAATGTCTTCCACGTTCACAAAACAGGCCCCGAGCACGGGGATAGACCTCACCTCCCTCCCCGCCTCCGCCGTCGCCGTCGACCCCGAGTCCCGCTCCTTCTCCTCCGCCGAGATCAACGACCCCTACAACCTCACCACGCACCTCAAGTCCGACGCGGACATCACCCTCCTCAGCGGCGCCCGCCCGCGGCAGAGCGGCGCCCGCCGGCGCATCCACCACAACTTCACCCGCGGCGGCGCCAGGGAGGCCCGGCTGCAGGACTTCTACCGCGCCCAGAACGACAAGATCCGCTCCCTCCTCAAGTCCGTCGACGACCACGAGCGCGAGGCCAGGGAGACCCAGGGCGACAACAACCTCAAGTACCAGATCGCCGTCAAGGGCAGCCTCGCCGCCAACGTGGTGTTGTCTGCACTGCAGCTGTACGCCGCCATCTCGTCCGGGTCCCTGTCGCTGTTCACGACCATGGCGGACTCGGTGTTCGATCCGCTGAGCGGGATCATGCTCATGTTGTCGCATCGCGCGGTGAAGAAGGTCGACACGAGGAAGTACCCCTCCGGCCGGGCGCGGATCAGCACGGCGGGGAATATCGTGTTTTCGTTCATCATGTTCAGCGGTATGTTTTCGCTCACATGAATCGTGTTTGTGATCGAGTGAGCTGACTTCCGGGTAGTGAGCTTGGTGCTGATTGTCATGTCGGCGAGGGATCTCGCGGCCGGGTCGGATAGTGAGACGAACGAGTTTCATTTTACGAGCGTGATTGCCGTCGCGATCGCCTTCGGGACCAAGTTCTGCCTCTGGCTTTACTGTAAGCTGCCTCCTACCTTCATCACCAAAAACCGAAAAGTTACTAACGAGAACGCCAGGCTGGTCCATCAAGCACATCTACTCCCAGGTCGAGATCCTCTGGCGCGACCACCGCAACGACCTCTTCATCAACGGCTTCGGCATCTTCACCTTCTCCGCCGGCAGCAAGATCAAGTGGTGGATCGACCCCATGGGCGCCATCATCCTGTCCTTCCTCATCGCCGGGCTGTGGCTGCGGACCGCCTACGAGGAGTTCCAGCTGCTCATCGGCGTCTCGGCGGAGCCGGAGTTCCTGCAGCTCATCACCTACATCGGTACGCTTTAGATTTCACAAGATAGTATGGAGAAGGGGTTCAGCTAATGAGGATCTAGCAATGACACATTCCACCGACGTGAAGCAGATCGACACCGTCCGGGCCTACCACAGCGGGCCGCGCTACATCGTCGAGATCGACATCGTCATGGACCGCCACGAGAGGCTCGAGATCGCGCACGACGTCGCCGAGGCGCTCCAGATCAAGATCGAGAAGCTGCCCGGCGTCGAGCGGGCCTACGTACACATCGACTACGAGACGGATCACAAACCCGTGAGTTCTCGCGAGAGTTGCCCACCGCGGGTGATACCTTCTTTAATCGGACTTGAAGCTGATGATGATGCATCGTTTAGGAGCATGATCTCAAGAAAGACCTTTGAGAATACCAGGATCCCGACTTTCAGAGGCATTGGCAACGGATGTAAGGACTTAAAATGGGCATGGGTTTACCCGACTCTGTGAAGGAGTTGGTATGGAGCATAAAGCGAATAATACATACATTTCTATCGAGTGCTCGTGGATTGGCTCGGTGTGGTGTTCAGTCACTTCTGGCAAGTTCTGAAGGCGGCATCTCGTCGAGATAACACCATTCCAACACGGTACTATTTTTCGAAGATCATTCAAAATCATATCAAGCCGCCGAGGAGCTTCCACAAGAACCTGGGCTCGCATAATAGCGAAGGATCCGAGCTAGGGAACCGAACCGATCAATCATTGCTTTCCACAGGCAAAGCCACGCCCAGAAAATGATTCAATGGCGCCGTACTAAAATCTCACCCAAGGGTCCAAAAGCCGTTGCTGGGAGCGTGGCGTAGCCCGATGTGTCTCATGTCCCCCATCAAACAGCCTTTGGTACCACAACATGCATGTCCCTGGAAGAATTAAAGGCTATCTACTCGCCTTTCTCCCCGCAACCAACCACAGCCAGCTTCCAACGTCCTCCATCCTCCATCTCCAGAAACGCACTTCCGCAATACCAAACAGACGCGATGGACCGCAACACCCTCCTCGAAACCCTCTCCTCCACCCCTTCCTCCAGCCACAGACCGATCATGACGATGGTCAACGGCGACAACACCTGGCTCATCTCCATCCCCCGCCCCCCCTCCTCCTCCTCTAAAAGGACATTCTACCACATCCTCCAAGACCCCTGGCTCGCCGGCGACGCCATAGCCCTCTCCTCGTGGTTCCTCGTCATGCGGCACCCCGTCAAGGAAGCCCTCGACAGCACGGCCGCGATCGAGAGCTGGATCGCGGACGTCGAGGCCGCGGCGGGCGGGGCGAAAGACGAAAAGGGGGAGGAGAGCTGGCTCGACGCGGTGCTCGTCACGCACGTCAACACGGACCACATGCACGAGGCGACGCTGCGGACGTTCGATCCCGCGACGAGGGTGTTCGCGGCCGCGCAGCCGGCGGCGATCATGGAAGGGTGGAAGCACTTTGAGAGGATCACGCTCGTGCCGGATTTCGTCCGCGGGCGGGACGCGAGGTGGCCGGCTGCGGACGGGATGCCGGCGTGGTTATCCGTGTTTCGGCTCCCGGACGAGTGCGGCGTGGTACCGCTGCTCTACCACGCCATCGTGTTCAGCTTTGCAAGCGCGGACGGGAAGGGGGAGGAGATGACATTGTACTCGCCCCACGGTGTTGACCCGGACGTGGTGGAGGCCGCGCGGGATGCGAATCCTGGTGTGAGCGTCCTGGCGATGGTGCATCCGCTGCACAAGACCGGACTCTTCGAGAAGGGGACGACGTTGGGCGTGACGAACGGGTTGAAGATTGAGAGGCGGGTCGAGCCGCGGTACTGGCTGGGCACGCACGATGATAAGATTCGGTATTCGGGGGTGATGAGCTGGTTGTTGAGTCATGGGAAGATGACGCTGGAGCAAGGGCTCGAGGAGGAGGAGAGGGAGACGGGACGGGTGCTGAGGAGGCCTAATGTTGTTGAGGTTGGGAATGGGGAGAGTTATATCTTGGCTTGAGGTAGAATGCCATCGACTGACAGTCTGGCCAGGAGTAGATTATTTTGGTCTAAGCCTAACTAGAGTATAGCTGGCATCATCACAAGTGCGGCACCATTTGAAGCCAAGAAGGCATCGTGAAGGTCCCAATAGGCAGACTCCGCACGCTCAAAAACGACTCCGCGGTCAGGAAAACCCGAGACGCGGCATTCGCGACCAAGAGCAGCAGGATGAGGGCCACAATCACCACGGAAAGCGCCCGAAAGAAGTGAAACAGACACCGGGACAGCCACCTTGGCCGCGCGACGGCGCGGCCGAACCCGCGGTCCCACTCGGCGCCGCCGTACACCCCGAACAGCCCGACCCCGGCCAGGTACATGACGAGGCAGTACAGCGCGGAGCCGGCGACGGAGAGGACGCACGTGTAGGCGGAGACGAGCGCCCAGAGGTCGCGCTCGCGCGCGGTCGGGAACCGGGAGCGGCGCGCCGACAGGTGGACGCCGCCGTACAGGAGCGTCAGGAGGGCGGCGGCGAGGACCTGGACCGTCTCGGTGGCGTCGGATACACGGGAGGCGGGGTCCTCGACCGCGACGTAGCTGGAGGTGACGGAGAGGAGCCGGAGGGCCCTGCCGTCGTTGAGGAGCACGTTGGGCGCGTTGTCGCCCCTCCGCGCCAGGCAGTGCGCGTACTCCGATTCCGGGGAGGGGAATAGGGGCGTCTGGGTTCCGCTGGCGTCTGCGGAGGGGTGTTGCCGTTGGAGGTAGCGCATCGCTCGCTCTACTCTCAGGACGTCTGAGCTTGAGAGCTCGATGCTCTCGGGGAGCTCGTCGGAGTCGGAGTCGGCGTAGACGAGGCCGCATTCCAGGGCGTCGCCGCGGCCGAGCGTGATCACCGACGGAGGCGCCTTTTCGATATCGGTTGTAGGTTTGGGGAGGGGGGTCTCCGCGTTTTGAGGTTGCGGCGTGGCGACTGTGCCGAGGTCCGGCGAAGACCGTGTTTCCGTCTGCGGCTCGTCTTTCTGCAGGCGTAGGAATTCCGGCTTGATGCCAGGGCAGAGTTGTGCCTGGACAGCCAGAGCAACGAGACCTTTGACTTCATCCGACGTCGGCTCGAGGACCTCGGCGTCCCCGACATCCATGGGTTTCTGCGCCAAAAATGTCAGGACCTGCTTCGTTTCGCATCGAGACCGATGACATGTGTACGCACCTTGAACCAGAACACGTAGATGACGACGGCGCACAGGACGTGGACCATGACGTGGACCTCCAGGAGGGAGATCGGAAGCCCCTGCAGCTTGCGGACGAGACACTGCGTGGCCATCCAGAGGACCTGTGTGACGACGAGCACCTTCTGGAAAACGCTGCCCTTGTTCCTCACCGCGAGGGCTTTCGGGTTGTTCACCAGGCCGAAGGACTCGAGCGGGCGGTGCTCCATCATTTTGAGAAACCCTTTGGCCGAGAGCGGCAGCGACCCCGGAAGCCGTCTGCCCAGGAGTGCCGTCGGTCCAGGTCGGACGTCGTCGATGGGGACCTGGAAACCCCCCATGACCACGAAGAAGCAGAACTCCAAGTCATAGTCAGGCTGCTGCTGGTCAGCTCACCGGCCCGACGGAAGCCATGCTCGGAAGTCTGCGTAAAGACGTACCATATCCGGGTCCTTTTCGTTCTTGAGCCGTCGCAATCTAGCCCGCAGAGCCCTCGCCTCCAAAAACTGCCCCACGGCTATGACGAGGACGGTGTCCGGGAACAGCAGCGCGACGACGACCCACCTCAGCCTGTCGAAGAAGTTGGCGTATTTGCCGTCGTCCGCGGGGATGTTGAGGTGGAGGACGGAGTAGACGCATGCCACGAGCGTGACCACGCACGTCAGGAGCAGGTCGAGCGTTCCGCGCACCGTCGGGGAATTCACCCACGGGGCGGCCCCGATCTCCGCCAAGGCCGTCGAGTTATCGGTGTTCTGCCGTATCAGTTGTTGGATCTCATCCGCCGACTGCACCTCGACCGCCGCACGAGCAAACGAGGCCGCGGACACGAGATAAAAGAATGAACGCATGCTTGTTTGGCATTTGGAAAGATTGAGCGTCGCGGAGAGGAGCTTCGAAATGCAGGCTGGCGGCGCAGATTTAAAGCTCCTCCTGCCGAGATGTCGCGTTTTCTCTGTTTCTTCTTTTTTCTCCAAGAGCTGATGTTCGCCTGAACGGATCCGACTTTCCTCTGCCAATGAGAGCATCTCACTTACGGCTTCGCTCAATTTGGTCAGGGATGCTACACCCCTGGTTATCGGTCAGCGCGTCTGCAGCCTGATTCTGATTTGGGACGGGGGGAGGGCGCACTCATTCCGGGAAATTAGGCTGTCGTCCTCTAAGCTGTCGACTCGTTGTACGGTTTCTTCATTGTGCAGAGAAGGCTGTTGTTTCCAGGTTCTCATGGATACTCTTCGTGTAGCCGGAAAAAACATGTCAGAAGGGCAAGCAGGACTGTTACATCTGCAACACGTTTCCGCTGCCTAATGATTCTCTCTCAAAAACCCTTGCTTTATTCTGGGAGTGAATTTCATATATTGACTCCAGCTTCGTAAATGGTCTAGGAAAACGAAGTATGCTGCGGATGGCTCATCGCCTCCGGCGTTCGCGATCTATCAATATCTATAGCAACGCTAAACAACATGCCCAGCAACATGAAAGCATGAAAGCATGAAAGCAAGTGGGGGGATATAATGCTCGCTCGCAAAATCATTCATCATCATCATCGTCCGCCGCCGCGTCCGGCTGGACCCGTTCCTCCGACAACTTCGGATTCCTCAAAATCAACGCGAACCCAACCATGGGAATGCAAATGCACAGCGCGGCGATGCACAGCAGCCTCTGGACCCCGCTGTAGCTGCCGATCACGGCGTCCCGGATCTCCGTGCCGACGGGGAAGCCCTTGATGGTGTCGAAGGGCGAGTTGTAGATGGCCTCGGCCAGGGTGCGGTTGGGCTGGAAGGCCAGGCTCTCCCTCAGCGAGGGGTAGAGGAGCTGCGTCCAGAGGGCGCCGGAGAGGCAGTTGCCGAGGGCGCTGCCGACGTTGAAGAGGGAGAGGTAGAGGCTGGTGATGACGGCGACGTGCTCGCGGTCGGCCGAGGCCTGGATGGAGGCCTGGGTCGGGTAGGCGAAGAGGCCGCCGGCGAGGCCCATGATGACCTGGCCGACGATCAGGCCGGTCTGGGAGGATGCGGAGGCGCCGCCGGAGTAGGTGATGAGGATGAGGAAGGAGGCGGTGAAGATGCAGGCGCCGGTGACGATGATGCCCTTGAGCCTGCGGATCCTGTAGATGACGAAGCTGATGAGGACGCCGCTGAAGACGCCGAAGAAGGAGAAGAAGGACAGGATGCGGGTGGCGGTCTCGACGGAGAAGTCGAAGGCGACGATGAGGACGGTGTAGAGGTAGTTGCCCTGCGTGGACCAGGCGAAGTTGAGCAGGCTGCGCACGGCGAGGGCGGACCAGACGCCGCGGTCCCGGAGCAGACGGAAGGGTATCAGCGGGACCTGGGCCTGGCGCTCCCAGACGACGAAGGCCGGGATGCAGAGGAGGCCGAGGACGAGAGGGACGAGGATGGCGGGGGACTTCCAGTGGCTGACGGTCCCGCCGGCGAGGGTCAGGGGGGCCAGGGTGAAGGAGAAGGCGGAGATGAGGATGACGAGGCCGACGGTGTCGAGCTGGTGGAAGAGGTCGACGGCGCCCTCCTTGGAGGCCGGGCGGGCGTGTCGTGATTTTCTGGACTTCTGGCCGAGGGAGTAGAGGCTCGTGAGAAGGGGTATGGAGGAGATGGGGAGGATGATGGCCCACATTCCGATACCCCAACGCCAAGAGGTGACGTGCAGGACGGCGGCGGTGACGTTGCCGCTGATCCACGTGTTGAAGACGAAGGGGATGGCGGGGATGTAGCTGAAGAAGACGCGGGACCTCATGGACGAGAAGTCGGCGACGAGGACCTCGAGCAGCAGGACCAGACAGGTGTAGCCGATCTGGTAGAGGATGGCGCCGACGCAGAAGACCTCGACGGTGGTGGCGCTCGCCTCGAAGGCGGTGCCGACGACATAGAGGAGGATGGCGACGAGGGTGGTCTCGAAGCGGCCGTAGATGTCCGCGATCTTGGCGGCGGTGGGCTGGGATGCGACGGCGACGACGCTGCGGAGGACGTTGATGGTGGAATGGGACGAGTGCAGCTTGAGGCTGGAGGTGGCGTAGGGCTGGTATGTTCCCCGCACCTGGGAGTCGAGGCCGTAGGCGTAGCCGACCAGGAAGATGCCGACAAAGAGCCAGACGCGCTCCGCGTGGCCGATGTGGGCTGCGACGGAATCGGTGCGTGCGACACCGGACGAGGTTTGACTTTGGGTCGGGTGTAGTTGGTGTTGGAGGACGTCGGGGTCGCTGCTCGGGCGTCTCGCTCCGCCGGCGGCGTTAAGGTCGGAGGAGGAGAGGAGAGGGGAGTTCTCCTCGCCGTCGGAGGGCGTTCGTTTCGCCCATAATCTCTTCATGTCTGAGACGGCTCTTTCGAGGAGAGCATTCGGTTGTGGGGGAGGTATCGACGATCTTCTTCGTGGGGTGTCTCGTGGCGCTCCTTCTTCCTCTTTGATGCTGGAGAGAAAGGGAGACAGGACTCGTCGAGGGAGGATGTTGTCGAGAAGACGTTGCGACCGACGTGATGGTGTCAGGATTCTCGCGACATTCGTGGAAAACAACGACCGGGAAGGAAGAAAAAATCGCTCGGCTGCCTGATTATTGGGTGTGATGTTCAGGTTCCGTCCAGGGTGCGTCACAGTCAGCAGGGGCTGTGTATGGCCAGGCGACACAGGGGCATAACGCAAACGCGAGAAAGAAGGCGAGAAGAAACGGGATGGCGGATGTGGTGAAGAGAAAGAGCAGTGAACTAATTATGCAACAGTTTTGTTGGAGATGTTGGAGGTGGGTGGCAGGCAACCGGCACGAAGGATCCAGACAGGCCAGCTGCCAGGCCGCATGACTTGGGGAAAAAAAGAAATCGGAGAGGCTCAGGATCACCGGATCAGAAATCAGAATCAGGGGGGGTGGAAATCATCAGTCAGCAGGGCGAAAGTGCGAAAACCGGACTCGGGATGTGACAACTCACACTCATACTCACTCTCACTCTCACTCTCACTCTCACCCGCCTCACTCGCTTCATTCATTGGATTGGCACTCCTCACTCTCAGACTCGCGCCGCTTCACGAATCGGTCGATCAGATTAGATCATCTGATAAGATGCCCCCATAATTGCCATGCCCAATCACGACATTTCCTTTCAGGGATATCCCGCCTTAAGCGCCCGTTAAACCTGGCCGTATTTAGGAGTCGTGGCGCTCTTGTAAACCTTCTTGCGCGGGTTAAAAGGGCTCCGGCGGCCCGTTGGAAAATTCATCCTTGAAATCGAAAGTAACGAGCGATGACAGCCATTGAACAGCCTGGTACAGGGATGGGCCTTCATGAATCACGACTCACCACTGAACCGCTTTCTTGACATTACAGACCCGCCAGAAGGACCAACTCGGCTTCGGCCGGCCCTTCGGAGTTGCGGCGGACGAGCCAGACATGGAAAGTGACCGGCTTGCCTCGGTTACCTGCTGCCAGCCCCTGCGAGCCACCGATTCCCGGTGCCGTGATGTTTTGCAGCAAACGAGCCTCGAGATTTTTCTACAGAAACACAGAGTGAAGTCAAGAATGAAGTGACATACCCCGAATGACGTACATTGACAGCAGTCGCATTCCTCCATCGCACTTACACGTGTATGAATGGGACCGTGAACAAGCATTAGGGGTCGACGGATAGCACCGAACAGACGCAGCAATTCCCTCCGCGAAAATGCGCTCACCAGCTGATTGGCTCCTCTCATTTCTAGTCCAGCCCCTCTCCGACGCTACTCTGTACTTGACCATTTAATTATTCTCCAGCCGCCAGAAAATCATCAGAAAAAATGCGATAGGATTCACGTCAAAGAGCACAAGTCGCATTGGCATCTGCATTGCATACCCGTGCATAATGCCGCCAGCCACCAAAATCCCCGTCTACCGCATCGACTTGGCCCTCCCGCCAGAGCAACGATACGTCCGAGTCGCAAAGGACTTCTCCCACGAGCTGCGGGCCGTCGCGCCTCTTTACGACCTTGTCCTTGCACAGATCCTGGTCTACCCGCCGATCATCCGCGTCGCCCAGTTCCTCGTCCGCCTCTACCTGCGCCGCGTCTTCGACGACGACGAGACCCGCGAGATCCGCTCGATTGCTGAAGTCGCCGGTGTCGAGCTGCATCTGCTCGTCGCCCTCAACACGCTGCTCGACTGCCTGCTCGGATGCACTTCCGGCACCGTCCCGGTTTGCGGTGGTGGTGATGATGGAGAAGCGCGGTTGATGCATTTTAGGACCCTGGATTGGGGCATGCCGCAGCTTGGCGATCTGCTCGTGCAGCTTGATTTTGTTGATTCGCAGGCACCGGATCCTGAGCATGTCTTGGCTAGGTCTATCACGTATGCTGGGTTTGTTGGCACTCTGACGGGAGTTAGGTATGTAGAAGAATCAAAGCATGCCACTATCGCGAGTCTTCAAGTTGATGTCTGGTCACCAGGCCCGGCTTGTCCCTCTCACTCAACCACCGACCTCTGATGAACGTGAGGACGAACTCGTCCATCTTCCACCAAGTCCTCGTTCTTCTCGGCAGACGCCCTTCAATATCGTCCATCCTCCGTCAGGTCTTATTAAGCCCCAAACTACCAGGTGCGACCGAGGCTCCCGACGGCGGGCTTGTCGCGTTCGCCAAATCAATCACCGAGAAGCCGTCGCCTCCCTGCTATCTCTTATTCAGCACGCCGACAGAAGCAGTCGTCATCCAGAAAGACTTCGTCGGTGGCAACATCAAAAGCACCCGCGACTTCATCGCCCAAGCGAACCACGATACCGACCACACGTCGTGCTGCGGGGCTAAAGAGTTCCATCACCGCCAGATGGAGTCAGAAGACGCCGCAATCATCGCGCAGGATTGGATCTCGCAGTCGGCCGAGCGGCAGAACTTTGTCCGCGACAACTGGAGCGCCTTTCGCGAAAGGGCTGGGGAGAGGACCACGACTAAGGACGACTCATCAACACTCAACGGTTCGTGTATCGCTTTGGCTGTCGGCAGTCGCCAAGGGCATGAGGGCAGGACCGGTGTTACTCAGGAGATGCTGCAGAAGTGGGTGATGTCGGAGCCTGTCTTCAACGAGTTCACGCATTTCGCCACAGTCATGGATCCGTCGTCTGGGGATGTGGTGTGTCTCGAGAGAGGCAACGCATGTTAGTAACCGGCGGAAGTTATGAGCAAAGCTTTGATCCAATTCACGGTCAGCTTTCCCTATAAGCGTTATAAGGCAAGCACCTCAAAATAAATTAATGAATAATCGCCAGTCAACCTTGCTCTGCCGCGTTGGATCCGGGTAATTGACAGGGCTGAAACAGACGTCGATCATCAAATTGAACTTTTGATTTTCCCGAAATCACCTGACTGTCAGGTCGAAGAATCTATGTCACCCCTAATCTTTGAACCAACAACAACTCTCACTTTCACCACATCCGGATCCAACACTCAACACCACTTACAGTTTCTCAAACCGCACCACTCCGCACGAGTAACAGCCTCGCGATGGGCTTCAGCGCCCGCCTCACATCCCTCCTCTGCACTCTCCTCCACCTCCCCCTCCTCTCCCTCGCACTCCAAGCACAAATCGAAGTCGACCTCATCTTCCCGCAACCCAACAAAACCTACAAACCAATCTACCCCTTCCCCGTCGTCTTCGCCATCCGCAACGCCTCCCAGCTCTGGCTCCCACACGGCCAAGCCCTCCCCTTCCAGCTCTCCTGGTCCGTCACGGGCTACACCCGCCACGGCCCCAACGGCACCATCGACGACCGCAAAGCCTTCGGCGAGCAGCTCTGGACATCCAAGGACACCGACGCCCCAGACCCCGAAAACGACACCGTCATCTTCGTCGACGCGCCCCGGAACCTCGCCGACAAGACCCAAAGGGACTTCTGGCTCCACTACCACGCGATCCTCCTCGAGACCTGCGGCGCGGACACGGCGGTCGGGAAGGGCGAGGATGTAAGGTTCGCCGACGTCGTCTCCTTCAGCGTCGACCCGGACAATGGCGAGATCCCGGATTTTGAAGACACGATGATGACTTGCCCGACTTTCATCGGCAGCTACGCGATCGAAGACACTTCCAAGAATTGCGCGGCCATGGCGCCAAATGCCAGCGTACCGGCGCCGGATCCCTGTGGAATCCGAGGGGAAAGGGGAGACCTGGCGGCGTGGGTGAGGGCGAAGATGCTGCAGCGCGCTTCGTGCGAGAACGGGACGTGGCCGGACCGGGGCGGGACTTTGGCGCCGGGGGTGTGCAATGAGGTAGAAAGCCGGGGTGCCAAGGTGTTTGGGGGCGAGATGTCGGGTAGATCGGCGGGCTTGGTCGTCTTGGCTTTGTTGGTCGTTCTTGTTAGTTGAGCGTGGACAATGTTAATGGTAGTTTAGTTGGAGAATTTGGGGGTTGTGGAAATAGTAAAACTTGGTCTCTTCTGACCGTTTGATTATTCAAGGTTCATTATAGAGAAGAGAAAAGAAACCCGATATACAGAACCAGTTCCAGCCGCGAGACTTTAACATCTCCTATAACTTGCTCCGTCAACCCAGTCCAGCCTCCCCGTTCTCTGTCACAAAAAGAGCTCGGGATATCGCGCAACCATCGACACCAAGGTCCTCCCCAAAGCCAGCCTGAACCACTCCCCCGGAAGCTCGCCATCCCATCAGCAGCTCGAGATAGACCCGTACCGGTTATGCGTCGCGTGCCAGAACGCCGACTTGACCATGCCCTTGTTGCAGACGAGCGAGGTGCTGAAGTACATGTAGACGTTGTTCCCGCCGAACGGCGACCCGCAGCCGTTGGGCCGGTTCACGGTGCAACCCGGCCACCGGGCCAGGTTGTCCCACAGCAGGCCGCAGACGGCCTTGACGTCGTCGACGTCATCGATGTTGATCTCCCAGAACTTGGTGCCCGCCTTGTTGGAGCTCATGCACGCGGCCCCGGCGTGGGCTGTGCCGACGAGGTTGGTCGCGAGGAGGGCGGTGGTGCTAGTGAGGAGGGTGGAGAGCTTCATTGTGATTTGTGATGGGGAAGACTGATGGGGTTGGAGAGGTGAATAAGTGGAATTGGGATGGTGACTTAGATGCTGTGCGAGTTGAGCTCTTGAAAGACTGTGGGATAGGTGGACTGTTAGGCAGGTGAGAGCTGGTGATTGGTGATCTGGAAAACGGACGAGATGTCTAAGGTATTTATGTGCCTTGATCATGATTGCAAGTCTGGGCATCACGATGCTTTCTAACTAACACCTGATCATGTCGTTTCCGTCTCGGACCAAGGGCGGGCTACAACAAACACGATGTCGATAAACATCTCTTTGCACGGACGTGGAAGCTCTCTGGACAACGGCGTCCAGACCCCCCGTCAATCGTTCAGTCTTATCAGCGCTTGTTAGTGATACCGGCTGTATGACTTCGGTCCTTGTTCGATTCGTACCTGTCACACGCCGGAACAACGTCAGTTCCATGGCCAAGAGTAAAATCATCACTGGGATTGTGGCCTTCGGGAGACGCAAACAATGTCGGTACGACGTCGTCGTCTTTTACGTCACGTGCTGCAAACTTACTGCGTGACTGAATGCGGACTTGTTTCCTCCCTCTGTGCCCAAAGTGGAGTGTTACTGATATAAGTTTGAACAAGCAGGGGGATGGCTTTGCTGTTTTGATTATGTTGCTGCTTCGACCTTCGCATCTCCCTCAAGACCAGGAGTCAATGCATATCCCATCAACGGCTAAGTGACGTCAAAACACAGACCTAGAAAGACCCCTCGTTTTACCCTATTTCAAGCGGATTCAAATTGCTCTACTAGACCAAATATTTGGAAGAAATGGACTAGCTGTCCCCTCAGTATGTAGCTTTTGGCGTCGCTTAGCAGTCGATGAGATAAAGCACCATGCACGAATTCTCGGAATGAAAGTGCAAAACAGTTTCTTTGCAACTTTTTAATAGATCACACGAGAGAAGATGTTGGCCGGAAACGGTGGTTGGTGAGTCCGCGAGAGGTTGCACTAGGGAGTTGGGCATTAAAGTCCTCAACTATCAAGACCCTCAAGACAACGAACGATTTTGAGTTCGGCTGCTGCAAGGTGAACTTGGCGACGTCCCAGATGTAACCCTCATGTCTTGTTCTGTCGAGTGAAACGCCAAACGCCATTCTCTTGGGTGGGAGCCGAGCCGAGTTCCCTCACTATCCCGCGCGGTGCTGACTTTTCCCTCTTATCAGATCCCCTCCACCCTATCTGGTGGACCGTTCGTTAACTTGCGAAACAAGGGCGGACCACTTCATTGGAACGCAAGAGGCGGCTAACAGTCGAAATGAAGGACACATTAATCTGAGTTTGGGTAGGCGGTGAGAGTTGCGAAGCGAAGTTTCTCCCCAGCCATCGTCGCGGGCAGTCAGTCCCACTTGAGACGGACTTCAATCGGAAACCTTAATATATGAAAGCCCGGCGCAGGCTCACGTCGCTCAATTGCCAAAATCTGTTCTCAAATCTGCGCAGAACACGTCAAATCTGCGCCGGATTATCCGCTCCGGCTTGGCGCGGATATCTCCTCGGGGTGGTGATGGTGGAATCTCGCTTCATGTTCTTCCCTATCTCGGTAATCTGGATTTAGTTAGCAGATAAGGTGCTGACAAATTGCGCCTCAAAGCTTGAGCCACGACGGACGTTCATCTGATGAGAGACTCAAAGTTTCTGTCAATGAGTCTGCGAAGAAGGCCTAGCCAGCTTTACTGGTATCGGGGAGTATGGATGGAGAAGTTCATAGAGCCTCAAAACTCCGCCGTTGGAAAGAGAGTCGGCGAGGGTTAATTGTCTGAGTCGACCATGCCGAGTCAGTCATGTATCACTCGCGAAGACCGCGCTTACAGGCTTCAATTCTGTAGTTAACGAACACATTCGCCGTTCCACGAACGAATGTAATCCCACGAAATTGGCAATCTTTTGATCCTCAGTCGATTGAGCCGAGCGGCTAAATAAAGACGTTTTGCGCGATCAACATAAGCGCCACGAGAACTGGATCAACCTTGTTGGCCATGTGGTTTTCGCACATTCTCTAAAAGAGGGCGAAGAGAGATTGCAAAAAGCGACGGCATCTGACTCGTACAAAAGACGTTTTCTCTCGGGTTTCCAGGGTCTCAATCGGCATGGAGGGAGAAAACGTCCCCCACGCGGAGACGGTAAGGCAACTGTACTCCACCGAATCAAGTTAGAATGACGTGACGATCCTTGCCGGCGTACTGAGAGCTGAACCATTGTTCTGGAATTCCGGACCGTCGCGAGTCGCGAGGGAACAACACGTCGACGACGGCTCGACAGGCAGTCCCCGACTCGGTGGAAAGCTTATTGTCCGAAACGCCGCGGTTCCTCTCCGCGGAGAGCGCGAAATATTATTCAGCTCTCGGAAGAGATTATTGTGCGTTTTGCTTGTTTCGAAATGGTCCGGTCGATCCCAGCCAGGAGAAGCGCAATTCGCTTTCGTTGTCTCTCTCCTGCAGGGGAGGGCTGTTCGCGCTTGTGGTTAAAGTTTGACAACGGTCACCTCCACTCATCAAACTTTGTGAAAGTCGCGTGGCCCCTCGGACTCTGGATTTGTCCTTTGAAGGTCGTTCAAGTTACTGAACTGGGCACGAGGCGCTGATTCTGTCATTTCTCATCAGGCTTTGGCGATCCATCCTTGTGCAGGAACGTATTGAGACAGCGAGAGACTTAGGGAGAGCAAACCAAAAGCAACTTCAAGTTCCTCCTCATGATCCATCCCCATCACGATCCCCTGCTCCGCCGGCGCCGGCACCTGGGGTAGGCTTGTCGGCAGGCACAATGCCGAGTCCCAAATTGATCCTTCAGGAGGGTTAAATACACGTATCCGGTTAGTCCTCCGGGGCCGAACGATCCGGATCCCTGGCCGCGCCGACGTTGAACGAAGGCATTCATCATCTCTTGGCAGGGTCTGCGTCTTGGCACCTCGCAATACCCTCATCACTGGACCGATTTTGAGTTCAGAACATTTCGACAAACGAGAGGCTTAGATGGCACTAAGCATCGCCGACCTACCGCTTTCGAGGTTTGACAGATGATGATTGGCATGGACTTCCCGGCATCCCGCACGCCACTCCCGCCGTCCGACGTAGCTGCGCCCGTTGGGCATTCCCTGCGAGATCGTGCCCAATCCCACCTGGCGGACATCGCTTAATGGCGTTTTGCCGGCCTCGCGCGCTACTAGTAAAGAGAAGCCTTCAGCCCTTTGAAGCCAAGAAATCACACAATGTGAAAATCACTCTCGATCAACTCAATCTTCTTTTTTGTCTTGCGGACTGGCGTGGAGGAAATAATTCGTTTCATGGACCGAGTCGGCGGGCACGACGACCTGAGCAACATCAACTCCGCGATAACCTAATACCCCCCCATTCAACACCGGCTCAATCACCATGTACAGCCGAGACCACACTCTTTCACCTCTACCGACCGTCCTCCGTCACGGACTCAAAGCAGTCGTCGTCCTCTCCTTCCTCTCTCTCGTCGCGTCACTCGCTCTCTACCTTTACCTCAGCGGCAGGTTGGCCGTCTGGTACTTCCGATCCGCCCCGAAAAGCCCGGAGAGGACGATCGAAGCCGGAGATGGGGCCGGGCTACCCCACGAGATCGGGGTCCAGTATTTCGGCCCAGGCCGACGGGCCAAGGGGAGACAGGCACCGAACCAAGCCCTGATTCTCGTCCTGAATGTTCTCTTTGCCGATATCTTACAGGCCTGCGCTTTCTTCCTCAACATCGTCTGGCTTGTCGAGGATAGGATATCGGACCAGTCGCCGGCATGCTGGGCTCAGGGCTGGTTCATATCGACGGGAGACCTGGCATCCACCACATTCATTGCGACCATTGCGGTCCATACATACATCACCCTAGTCCGGGGTTACAAGATCTCTACCAAATTATTCTACGGGGTCATTTCCTTTTTATGGTTCTTCGTTCTTTTCATGTCTGTTCTGGGCGTTATGATTACGAACAATGGTAAAGACACGGGCGGATTCTACGTCCGCGATGTTTCTTGGGTAAGTCCCTTCCCATTGGCCTCGGCTTTCTACTAAAGCGGCTTAACTAATTATTCGTTGAAGTGTTGGATAACTCCCGATGAGGAAGCTATGCGGATTTACTTGCACTACCTCTGGATGGTTCTCCTCATCATCACCGGCACCATTTCCTACGTTCTCGTATTCATCCACGTCCACCGACGTGACAAGGCCCTCAGATCCTCCGAAAAGGCCGGGGAGGAAAACAGCTCCAACAACAGCGTCCTGAGCCCAACCAGCATGATGTCGCCCGCGACCGACGACGTAAAGTCTGAGGTTCATAAGCGCATGCTGTTCCTGCTATACCCCCTGATCTTCTTGATCTGCACCGCACCGCTCGCCCTCGGACGGATTCTCGGCAGCAGCGGGGTCAAGCTCTCGCCGGAATATCTCTGTTTCGCCGGCGCCATGATCACCTCGAACGGCTGGCTCGACGTGCTCGTCTTCTCCACGACCCGCCGCGCCATTCTCTTCGATGCCTCCCCCGACGAGCAGAATCTGGGTCTCGAGACCTTCAACCTCACGCCGCTGGGACAGCAGTTTGGCCACAGGGTGTGGATTACCAGCGGCGCGTCGAAGCGTGCGGAGCGGAAGCCGAGTGTGTTTCGCAAGCCCTCGCGTTGTCGGACGCGGGGGTCGGATGGCGGTCATGACCGGAGCGAGAGCCAGACGTCGCTGAACAGTGCCGATGTGGATGGTATGAAGGGGATCCAGATGGAGACTGTTACGCGGGTGTTTATCGAGGTTGAGTCACCCGCCGAACGGCACGGTTTCTCTTCTCGCACGCTGTCGTCGATGCCTTCCGTTGAGACTGTTGGACAGAGAGTTGCTCAGAGTATGGACTCTTTTAGATGATTACATGTACTGAAGTAGACGATATGATACCCCAGAAAGGCCTAGATAACATACCCAATCTTCCCACTTTCGTTAGCTGCATTTCATGATCAAGTATAACTGAAGCTTAGCCCGTATTTGCGTCGTTGATTCGCTAAGGTTTCTTGCAGGAAAATGGACAAGAAACAACACCGATGTCGACGTTTATGCCTCTGGTATGCGGAACCTTCGCAATAACTCGATGTAGTGAGAATGTCAGTGCCTATGGTTACATATCCAGAGGTCTGGGACTGGCGTTGTAACCCTTGCGTACACCTGCTGAGTCAATGTAACTGATTGGTAAAGTTCAACTCGTAACATTCATTCATTCAACTATACACTCCCAAAAGACTGAGAGAAACCATGTACATGAAGGCGTGCTGTGGGAAAAGCCGATCCCATCTTCATTTCCAGCCAGCCGCAAGCTTAAGTGCACTTGCCGGCAGAGTCAACCTTGTAGCTGCAGCAGTCGTTGGCGCCGAGAGCAGGGACAGCTAATAGAGGATTGCGTCAGACCAAACGATCACGTTAAGGGAAGTCATTAAAAGAACTTGAACTTACTGCCCTTCTCAACACAGGCTCTAGTTGAGTCGGTGCAAGTCCAGCCGGAGTAGGGGTCGCAGTAGGTGCAGCAGTCATCGCCGCTGGTGCAAGGAGCTATCGGAAAACGCCTCGAGTCAGTATTATTGCCAATTGGGCTTGATTTCAGAGAAATCTTAGAGATAACATACCGCCGGTGGTACCGCAAGCACGCTCAGCGAAACCAGGCTCCAGGGCGCGGGTGTCAACGGCACCGGCGATGGCGGTGGCGGCCATGGCAAGGTTGAGGAGAACGGTGAAGGCCTTCATTTTGGGAGATTGGGTATTGGGTATCTGGAACGACTTTGTCAAAGAAGGAAAAGACTGTGGTAAGAGGATGTTGAAGTTGTTGATGAGGCAATATTACAAGTCTGAATTGGAGTGGAAAGACTTCCGTCTTTATAGTTGTCTTTAACGGTTAGAACTTGCCGATCATATCAAGTCTTCAAATCTACTAGTCGTACGTTCTCCTCGATTAGGATACGGCCAGTGCCTAGAACCATGTCATGTCATCTGTAGTTCCGGCAGGCACGGCCTTACTGGTGGAGACATGCGGGAGGGATCACCGTGGAGCTTGTGTCTTTCCATCGGTGCTGTTCGACGAATTTAGAATCCTCCCGGGGCGCATGAACCAATAAGCATGAGATGAAGATATTGAGTGAGTCGTGCTGGGGGAACATGTTCATGAAAAGACTGGCGATCCGTGGATGTTACTTCATCTCATGTTGCCATTTGGCGGATATCGGAACAGGTGATGCGACGATGAGCCACAGGGGCTCAGCATCTGCAGACCCGAGCGATCAACCTTTGGCTATCTTAGACAGTGACACTTAAACAACAAGAAACCTTTGTTGAAGTACAATTATTCAATAATTCTATACAGCGCCTCAAGACTAATATGCTATAACTGTAATTCATCGATCACCGAATCCCTCAACGAGTTCCCAGGTTGTGGAGGGGATGATGACTCGCTCCTACACAAGAAGGCGCCGGAATGCGAGACCGAGAGTAACAGCCGCCGCGCGGTTGTCGGGCATGGCCGGGTAAATAAACCACCAGAGGCAATGACGTCGGTGACGGTCGATCAGCCGACGATAGATGGGATATATCTCAATCACACCCCGCTTCTTTGCAGCCGGAACCAGAACTCGGTAGTAAGAGCGTTAATATAAGAGAAACTGGTTGCACTGCCGTACAGGCGCACATGCCTTGATTCTTCTAGAAGGGGAGGGGGGAGCTGACTCGGCGGCACCGGCTCGGGGGAGGGGGAGGGGCCACTACCCACATCAGCCCCTTTTCCGGAATGTGCGCCGGCGGCCCCGGATATTGGCGGAGGTTAGCAGGGGAATGTTGATGCCGACAGTCAGCAGCCGCGCGATTGATGTGACGATGGACCTTGCGGCTCTCCTGGCCGCGGACTCCACGGCGTGGAGAACCTCACGATCTATCGTTCCATGTCAGGATCCAAATTTTGAGCTTGATCGTTCGTTGGGTTTGATTGGGCTGTGGGATCTTAGAAGATGATCACAAACCATTGCATGATGCGATCGAGACTCAATAGTTATCTCCTCAACAACTGCCTACTTGCTCTCTGAGACTTCCTTCAACTTCTGTACAAAAGAGCTCTCGACTGGTTGAATATTTCTCCCTTTAGACTCTTATAATGATTAATTGAGATCAGAGTCTTTCGTCCGCCACTGCAGTTCCGAGAGTAACTTGGGAAACCTCGCGATGGGTTCGGCAGTCGAAGGGTACCGGCGGAAGCCCAGCCGGGAAAGAGTGGGACACGACGGGACCGCAGCTACCTCGGATGACATGTGGATATGACCTGACTTGGATATATCGAATGACATTGCTTTTTCTCTGCGCGACTGGTGTGGGATAACTGAGCAGATGAGAGTCGAGAAAAAGGGTCGCTGCATTGAATTGAGCGACGGAGATTGAAGTTGTGGGAGGAGAGGAGCTGGAGCAACCATGTGGCTAGCAACACAGAGTCGTGTCATGCCTCAACAACAAGGATGTTCAGCAACAGCGTAAGAGCGCCACGTGAAAACCGCGTAACATGATCAATATGGACATTTCAACCCCTAAAGACTCAGCAGGAACAAGTCAAATACTATCTACTTTGCAGAAGTACGTGGTCGAGAACTCCCGCCCTGCTTTCCAGATCCTCCGCTGTTTGCTGGTTCTTTCCCCTTCGTGGAAGGCGATTTGCTGGATGCTCCTCCAGCGGTACCGAGTGTTTCTTTCTCTTTCCCCTTTCCTTTCACATTTTCACTCTTCTCTTTCTTCTTGTTGCTCTTCTTCGTCGTTGCCTTCTTGGCTTTCTTTTCCTCTGAACCACCCTTCAACTTCGGAGCATCGTCAGACACTTTGGGGGGTTGCCTTGATTTGACAACCGGCTGTTTCATCGTATCTTTTCCCTTGACATCATTTACGCTCTTTTTCTGCGTCTTCGTCGCTTTCTTCGTTTTAGAGGCTTGTTTATGCGCATCCTTGGACTCCATTTGATGAGTTGGCTGGAGCGCTTGAGTTGAAGATTCCGCTGGAGATTCGACTGAGAACTTGGCCTTCTTCATCACATTCGAACAAATCTTCTTCGCCTTTTGCTGCTTGTTTGAGCTGTTCACTTCCAGCAACGAAGGTGAACATGTTGAGGCGTTCAGTTGAGTTTCTGGGACTGAGGCAAGCTTCTGCGTTGATGCTGCCTTCTTGATCTTCTTCTTCGCTGCCTTGAAACCCATGCCGAGTCCGTATTGTTCCAGCAGGCTATGTAACACAGATTCATCGGTCTGTGTTCCTTGGGATACGGAATTTCTCGCAGGCTTTGAGTTTGTGTTGGACACTTGCTGTTTAGGTAGGGTATTTGTTTGAGGGAAGTCAGTCTGTGCTCCATCAAATACCGTCCATTGAGATGAAGATTTCGATGCTCCGCGGCTGACGGAGTCCAATTCTCCTCCCTTACAAACTTCGGTGACCTTCTTGTCTTCAATTGCAATGGTAATGTTGCTCAGAGGAAGTGCTAATCGAAGCTCTTCAGCCTCTCGACCCTCAGCTGAGGACACAGGTTTCGGGCTCTCCAGTGAGTCGGCTTTGGATAGAGCTCGGTAGGCTATGCGTCTCAACAGCATGACGATAGCCGAAATGAGATTCCCGGAAACTGCTGCGCGCATCAAAGAGAAGAAGGATGAAGTATTGACGTGGCGGGATTCTTCATCCACCGCGACGAGCCCATAAGCTGTTGCGGTCACCGCCCAGCTTGGCAGTGCTGTTCCTTGATTAGCAACCAATCTGCAGCGCAGTCTAATAGCTTGGCTTACGGATCCCCTCGTATACTTTTCTCCACTTGTTTTTTAATGCTTTGGGTGTTCCAAATGCAGCTATCCAGCTTCTTTTCTTGTCGTCAGGCCAGATCTCGTAAGGGGGAAACGTTCCGGCTTGTGCAACTGTCGGGTGTGCTGCCATGATTTGGCTGACGGCTTGAAATCCAAGAAGACCTTTGAGTACTGGCAACTCGATTTCTTGGTAAGCCGACCTCCCTGATGGATTATAGCGGATCGGCGGAGGACGTGTCAAAACTGTAGTAACGTCTTCTTGAGCAATACGCCAGGCGAAGATGAGTGAGGCGCCATTGATATATCTGCCCCACTCCTTGGACGTCTTTTGATTTTTGAGGCAGTTTGGATGTTGGGGATCCATTAAAGGTCCCATGGCACTTCTCAGTGTCTGCATCGCGTTTTCTCTGGCATATGCATCGACTAAAGCGTACAGCTGCTGGGTGCCCAGTCCAGTCCATAGAACTTGTTGATTTGGTTTCCATTGCGGTCCTGTAAATCGGTCTATTATGTCGACGGTTTCCCGGAGTGTTAGGTACTGTGGCCAAACTGTGCAAACAAGGGCGTGCAATTCTCGTGTTTCTTCGCTTGCCCAGTTGTTTGGAACATATAGCAGAGCCGATGATGATGTCAAGGCCATCGTGGTTCGTGGGCTTGGAACAAGAAAACTTTTGGCGGATCAAAATTGAACGGGGTGCAAAGCGACGATGTCTAGGGGCCGTCGACATTTTCAGGTTCTCACATCTTGAGCAATCGAGGCGGGGTAATGCTAACTCTGGCCAGTCAAGATGTAAGTGAGGCGAGCAAGATTTTGGAGTTTCCAGCCGAATCGCCCTCTGATTGAGCATAATAGGTTTTCTGCATTCCCAAGGTTCATCGTTAAGATTTGTTTTAAGGTAAGTGATGAGATAGATCGACGGATGATGCGGGGTAAAAGCTGTGCAAGTCGACATCACAATCACAATCAAAATGAACAAGTACTTTGGCTTGCTTTCCCGTCACAGTTTTCTTTGCACGTCGTTCCCCGGCTGCAGGACCGCAAGGAAATGGGAACCTGAGGCCTTAGATAAATTCCAATTCATAGATACGACTTTTGTGATCTCAGAATTGATCGGCCTCGAAGCTTCGGATCAGTGACATCGAGTCCGAACCGCCGTTCTCATACACGAATACGATTCGTATCCTTGTACTTCGGGGATTTGATTACATAAGACGCGGAAACGGGAAAGCCCGCCAAAGTCCGAACCAATTATGTGCGACCTATTAGTGTTTCTCGAACATTCCCCTCAACCTCACCGCAAGCATCCACCCATCGTCGACGACCTCGCTTGCTGCATTAAACCTACTATTGTCCTCAGCTGAGACGACGAGCCGGCACTGTCGATTTTCTTGACGTCTGCTATTTCCAAAAGAACACGCCAATCAATCCATTCCAACATCATGAGCGGCAACGCTTTAACGTCCGCCACGGCGTTCTCGCCATCGCTGGAAGCCATCAAGTTGGCTGCCAGCATGTACAATGCTGCCCGAGAGGGCAACACCAAGATCTTGGAAGAGAACATTCTTGACGGATTGCCGCCTAATCTGACGAACGAGAAGGGAGACACCTTGGTAAGTGGCAGCATGATGTTCACGAATCCTTCATCTGCAATTCCGGGCCTGCCGTGATCAGTGGATACGGTGTTGTTCAGACAGGTTCGGACTAACATCGAGAATAGCTGATGCTGGCGGCGTACTACGGCCACGCGGAAACAGTCAAGTTTCTGATTGAACACGGAGCGGATCCCAACAGATTGAACGACAAGCGCCAAAGTCCCATTGCAGGCGCTGTCTTCAAGGGGTTGGATGCTGTGATTGAGGTAAGTTTCTTGACGGCACAACTGCCAATGATTCTCACCAAAACGATAATGCCAAGATACCGGCCATAATACTGACGAAGCGCGGATAGGTCCTTCTTGATGGCGGTGCTGATCCCGATTACGGCAAGCCTTCAGCAATGCAGTGTCTGTCAATGTTTAATCAGGAGGGCAAGTGGAAGGACAAGTTTGAGGCAGCACCTGGAAGGGGCAAGGCAAAGGCTGTTACCAATGATGAGACTGCTGAGAGAGCACCGGAGACGTTCAAAAAATGAGCGAAGTGTTTTCAGTGGGCTATACTGCGCTCACATTGCACCATGGACGATGTTTTCGGGATGTGTAAGAGACGGATCATGGAACGAGGTGTTTGACACGCACCACTTTATTAGAACTACTCAGGGAACAGGGAAAGGAACGGGTATACCTAGAAAATAAGACGTCAATTTCATGTGTTAAGATGATTAAAGATTTGCTGTCTCGGGCACCTTCGATGATCAAGTAACGATGTATTGAACGCGATGAAGTTCCTAAAGCGACGGGAGGCACAGTAGGAAGATTTACCCGAGTGATGACGGAGCAGCGAGATATTACCAATAAATGCTTTCATTATCATGTCGAACGCGATTCCGAGATCCAAGAAGCCTTTTGCCATTGCCTCTCCTGCTTGCATTGAGCGACTCAATCTTTCAAATCCGATGAAACCAAAGACTCGAACACCATGCCGTGCGGGACTTCCAACCACTGCTTGTCCTCGTCGAGAAGCTTCTGACAGGCCTCCCACTCGCGTCGAACAACGTCCGCATGGGCTTCGCTTCTTGGTGTAATCTTCGCAGGGAACGGCTTGGGCTGTACCAAGAATCCAGGTGTAAGGTCGTCCGCGTCCGGCACGATCTCCTCCCCGTCCGAATCACAGGCTCTGTCAAGGTTGAATGCCCAGAGCAGTCGCGAGATGCTCAGAAATAGCGATCTGTCGGCGATGTGCATCCCTTGACAAAGGCGACGACCAGCACCAAAAACGAAGTGATCACGCTTCGAAGGGTCGCTGTTCATCGCCGATTCGGTCGAGTTCTGGTCATCCCCGACGTAACGCAAAGGCTGGAATTCTCTGGGGTCATTCCACCTCTTCTCGTCCATGTTGATTGCCCACACGTTCAACATGACTCCGGCTCCCTTAGGGATCTTGTAGCCCATGTACTCGTCGTCTTGTGTGACGGCATGCGGCAAGCCCATGATTGCCGTCGGCATCCATCGCAGGCTTTCCTTTACACATGCACGGATGTATGGCATGTCGTCCCAGTCGTCGATGTTCGGGAGCCGTTCTGTGCCGCAGATGCGATCCAGCTCTTCGCGGGCTTTTTCCTGCACAAAAGGGTGTATAACCATGGCTTGCATAAAGCCGGTCAGTGTGGCCGCTGTGGTATCTGAGCCGGCTTCGAGCGCAGATCCAGAGATGTACGCAGCAAGCTCATCGGAGAATCCTAGGCCCTTCTGGCTTTCAACGATACCCATACAGAAGCAAGGCTGTTGTCAGTCAGTATTTCAGCGGTCTTCCGGCTCAGGGTCTGCAGTCTGCCGTTACTCACCTTGGCCGTGCCCTGGAGCACACGCTTCTTCGCATCCATCCAGTGCCCGACGTATAGCTTACTCTCTTCCTTGTGCAGAGCTTCGGCGTGTCTTTTTCCGGGAGAGATGAATCCGAGATTTCTGAGACGAGGATATACGTCCAGAATTGCTGCTGTGGATGACCCAACGACTTCACTCCACTTCTCGACGCAATGATACAGCCTCTTCAAGTTCTCATCATGAATACTCGTGGTACGGAAGCCAAACACCATTTGGGTGGTGAGCGAGTTGGTAAATCGTCGTATGTGATCAATGAAGAGGTCAGGTTTGTCCAAGAATCCAGATAACATCTGCTTGCTCTCGAGATCTTGATACGGGACATAGCCCTTCGCTGCTTTGATGTGTAGAACTTGATGGAATATCTTGCGAATCATGCGCCATGTGTCTCCGTATTTCTGGCTTTTCTTAGCTTTGAACTCTTGAGCCAGCAACATTTTGTCCAATTGAGGTGGAGATGACCTACCATGAGAACGACGCGGAGATTACCACCAACCAGGTTGCCGAGATATATGTCGGTACGAGACGAATAAATGCTACTGCGTTTGTCCAAAAGATCTTTGACTGCCTGGTCGGACGAGAGAACGATCATGACCTGGGTGCCGAGAATGAGGGAGTATACGGGGCTGTGTAGCGAGTAATGTTAGCTCAGACTTTCGACGGTAGTCTTGTCAATGGCTCATTGGACTGACCCATATTCCTCTGCCCACTTCTTGAATTGATGATGCGAATCATTTGCAGGTATCTGATGTAGGTTCCCGATCAAAGGCAGCGTGGGAGGACCAGGAGGATATCCCTTAGGCCGCCGGCCGACATTACGCAGTTGAAAAACTATCACGGCAACAATTGCCAACAGGATTAGGAACAAAGACGCCATGAGATCAATTATTCCGCAAAAAGCATCACAATGGAATCACCAGAAGAACAATCTGTTGACGAAGAACGTCGGAAATCCGACCGCACATAAATAAGTAACTATGTCGGCACGCGAGGAAAGCCCCTCCTCATTTAGATGCAGCCAAGAGCACCACAGCGGCTGGTACCAACAACATCACTTCGGCAGGCTCGCGACCGGCATTCACTCCACATTGCAAACCTATCATCACCTACCGGATGTAAGCAAGTGGACAGGCAGCGTAGCGTTTTTCGTAAAGCTGCAGGATGTGCTGTGGTTTCACATGCAGCCAGCCAACGATGCGCATCGAATATTCCGCTAAGGGAAATACGCTGTAACTGTGCGATGCATGACCGTTGAAGCTCACCGTGGGTTCCTTCGGCTCATCGGAATTTGTGGTATCACATCAGCTTTGCTACAAGTGCTTACGTTGGCAGCATTGACAACGAAGCACGCGTAAGCCGGCTTTATGTAGAAAAGAAGCATCTTCGAATGAAGTTGGGAGAAAGCAAATCGTAGGTGGTATGACTTAGCCGTCTTACGTGGCGGCTATGTTTCTCAGACTCAGCTTGAAGTCATCACCAAGTGCAAGACGTTTTTAATCTACTGAATTGAGTGCCTAGACAATACGAAATATCTCAACTTTTGAAATCCCAAATCAACAACAAACCACCTTCCCAGAACTCGATTACAAATTCAGATGTTGCGTCGCCCATTGCCACTTATCCATGAGGATAGATCGCCGTGATTATTCAAAACCTCAGAACAGATTGTTTCTCCCTCCTTAGTCGATCCTGATCGGGTTGGACGAACCACCTCTTCCACCAAGTGACCGATCCCTGCTCGAGCCGCGTCGACGCTTGAGATTTTGCGACGACTCGTCTTCATCACCCTCTCTAGGACGCTTGAGGGTCTGAGAAAGATAGTTGCTGATCTTCTGTTTGATCTCGGCATCTTCGTCTTCGGTGAACAGAGCTTTGCGATTCTCGGTCTCATTCTCTTGGGACTCGTTGCCCTTGGAATGAGCAAGGAGCTGGCTATCCAAATAGGACATTGAAAAATCATCGGCCTTCGAGCCCTCGTCATCGGGCGCGTCGTGCCGAGCAACGTTCGCAAAGGTGAGTTTGTTGCTCTTGGCCACATTAGTCCCTGGACCCTGAGCATCGGGTGACTCGAACAGAAAACTCTTCGTAAAGTAGAGTCTCTCGCGCTCGGCAGCATCGGCATCGAGGAGTTCCTGCAGCTTCGTCTTGGGCGGTGAAATGTCACTTTCCTCGGTAACTTCGGAGTCGTATTCATCGTCGTCGGTCGAGTTGTCGTCGGGCTCTTCGCTTTCGTACTCTCCATCCGTCTCGGTGTCGGATTCCGATGTGAGCTCGTCGGTGTAATAGTCATCATCCGTCTCGCCCTCTTCAACCAACTCATCGTTTTCCACAATTTGGGTCGGAGGGTCAATGAGTTCGAGCCCTCGAGCAGGGGGGAAACCGTGGTTGACCGCGTTGCTGAGGCTTCGATATTGTTGATTTTCATTCCCAGATATCCAGTGCAGACTCTCCTCCCATGCCCCGTCACCGATGACGGGTCCGTCGGCACAGGCCTTGATCATCTTCTGGGCAAGGTCAAGGTCTCGAAAGCGAAGCATCTGATTTCCGGCGTGGCCGGCGAGCCTCTGGGAAATGGTGAAAAGACGCACGGCATAATCCTCGGCTGCGGCTTGGAGGGCGCGGATAGCTTCATCCGAGATTTCGATAGACGGATCGACGTTGTTCGCGTTTCGGCATTCGTGCTTGACGTAGCTTGAGAATTCTTCGAAAGGGATCATGTTATCCGTGCTTGACATTTCGCGTTGAAGCTTCTCAAGTTCGAGTGATTCGCGGCTGACAGATTCCAGAGACTGGGGCTCGTCGTCCTCGCTGGAGAATTCTTCAGAAGAGCTCGTGTATTCTGAGGCTGACACCTCGCGGTGAAGCATGTTGGCTTCGAGTAATTCGCGGCTGAGAGGTCCTACAGACTGGTGTACGCCATCCTGGCTCCAGTCTAAGACAGAGAAATCAGTTATTGTCTCCACAAGGCTAGGCAAACACGAGGGAGTTGAAGTACTGTTGAAAGGTGTCTCAAACTCTTCCTCATTACACAAAATACATTCGTCCAAATCCCCAACGTGATCATCACTGAAGGCTAAATCAGAGAAGTCAGTTACCGTCTCCAAAAAATAGACGTGGGGGAGCTGAATCACTGTTGAAAGATGTTTCAGATACTACTGGATAACAGAGGGCACATGCAAGTGCGTGAGCAGCCAGATCCATATTGAACGTCGATAAGTCTTGAATGTCAATAGATCAAAGTACCTGATTTCGTGAAGCTTTTTTCGATTGTGCAAGGTAGAGAATGTTTACTGGGACCAAATGTGTTGAAACGGATTTTATACCATCGGCAATTTCGTTTCTGTGCAGTAAGGTTTGACCGTACAGACAGTCAGGCAGTGGCTAAAAAGGTTTACGATACTGATCCACAAGAAAACTGGATCATGTCATTGGATATCAGGGCACGACAACCGTTTTATCATTGCTCTTGCTGAGGCGGTCGGAGTTGGTTGGACACAGACTGTGGCTATCAACAGAATTGGCACATCCGACCATCGTGTTCAAGTCGTGGATTGACAGAGAACTAATTGCTTCACCATTACTTCAATGATGCAGATGGTCTACAGCAAAGACTGCTGTGATCCAGCACGCCTGTGGTTCAAGGCTGAGAAAGGCCACTCAGCTCCGGACAGTAAATGAGGCTAAGTTCTAAGTTTTCATCGACGCCACGATAGAAAGCTTTGGATCACTTAGGGTATGTCGACCCTAAGCTCCACGACTGGCGTGAGACTCGTAGATTTTGTTAGACCTCGTGGACGGTGATATTGAGGGAAAACGATCGGTCTCCAGGGATACGACAAGACCAGAACAGACGCCAATTTTTATTCCCTCTTCAAATGAGGTAGTAAAACTGACCTTTCGATGTTTTCTTGTGATCGAGAGCTCATATGCATACTTCCATCTCAGTTCCAGCAAGGCTGCAGTTTGCAGTAACCGGTGTGACTCACAGGTCTAGGTGGCGTCATGGCTAAGCTATTTGTGGACTTTAAAAGCGACACAGCTCCCAAGAAAAGTTTGTGACATCCGAAGGGTTCTCAATTGACGTTTTCTATCGAATTTGCAGTTCCATGAGACCTATCAGACAATGACATTTGCAACCCAAGATGAGGAAGGCGTTTCCCCAGTACCTCTCCGACAGATTCGGGCACATCATGACAGCCAAACAATCACCGTATATCAAGCATACAACTCATCCATAGCTACGGCAGCCGTCGAGACCCAGAGACTGGATGCTTCGCCAAACTTCAAGCTTACGAGAATGACCTGGATCAAGCCCAGCTGGGCGTGGATGCTTTATCGCTCAGGGTACTCCTACAAAGACCCAGGCCAAGAAAGAATCCTCGCCCTGAAAATGACGCACGAAAGTTTCATCAGCCTGCTTCGCAAAGGTGTTCTCTCGCACAGTAACTCCAAAGGTACTGATCAGGGCGTCAGGATTCAGTGGGACCCAGAACGGAGCGTAAGGTTGGAGAAGCTTCCGTATCGCAGCATCCAGGTTGGAATTCCTGCGGCGATCAGTAAGGAGTGGGTCAGCAGTGGAATCATGCACATCGAGGATGTGACGGAGCGAGCGAGAGAGTTGAAAAGGGTTCTGGAGGAGTGTTCTGACATTAGTATCGAGGAGCTGGTGGATCGAAAGCTGGTACCTACTGAAACCGAATTTGACGTACCAGAAGATGTGAAACGTCTGCTTGACATGACTTCATTCCCGAGGTAATGGGAATGGGAGTTTTATTGCTTTCACCAAAGTAGTAATGACAATGCAAGCGCGTTACGGTCTTAGAGACCAAGCTAGACTCCAGAGGCAGTAACAACATATCATCTTCATCATCGTCAGTGTCCACGGTCGTTTTGAGGTCATTTCTATCGAGTTTGTTGTTTTTGTTATTGTTGTTGCTATCGTCGTGGTCGTCGCCGTTGTATGTTGTCAGGATGTGGGTGCGATCTGAACAGATGCTTTCCATCAACGAATGAAGCCAGGTGAGGTGATCCACATGATGATAGCGGTGGTGACAACAGAGCGACTGTTGCTCGGGACGGACTGCGTATTGACGACTGTAGTCAAAAGAAATCTAGCAACCAGAGCAAATGAATATGTTATATCTGCAATAGCTCTTCGCCTAACTCTCAGTTGGTTAGCGCTCGATATGCGTTGTGCGAGATGCCAGTAACACCACGGCGAGCAAACGCATTCACCGCTCGGTAATCGGAGTATGAGTCCACGCCGCATCGTTGCATGGCAAGACAGCCTGTCAATGTTCCGCAAACACTGGGCCAGTCAGCACGCTAGGTGCTTTTCAGCGATGCGGGTCGTGCCGCAGATATTTTGCCGAAAGATCGGCGCGTTCGCTTGGTGAGGGGAGAGACTCGAATCTTTCCTCTGCGATCAGCATTCCAGGCTGGAGGATGAGCGTAAATACAAAGTCCCTCCTCCAACTCCCAAGTCTTGCCAAGTATCTTCTAGCCCACAGGGTCCCACAGTAGACCGAGGCGACGAACGGGAAGTCCTTCGCATCGTTGGCGTCCGCTCTCGACCAGTCATTTCACCACCGCGTGCTGCACGATGGCTCGGAAAGGCAGCCGGAAGGTCAGAACCGGATGCTACACGTGCAAGTAGGTATATATCATGCCGCCCAAGCTCTTTGATTAACAGCGATACACAGAGTGCGAAAGGTCAAATGCGACGAGACCAAACCCAAATGCCTCAAATGCGCCAATACCGGCCGCAGGTGCGACGGCTACCCGGCCCCGCTCGGGTCCGAACTGCGGCCCCTCCAGCCCCAGGCAATTAGCATATTTCCCGGCGTCAACAGCCAGATCGAAAACCGCGCTATCCAGTTCTTCTGCGAGATGGCGGGGCCGAACTTACCAGGCGCGACAGATCCTTTCTTCTGGACACACCTGGTCATGCAGTTCAGCAGATTCGAGCCGGCCGTGCGACATTCTCTCATCGCGATCAGCTCTCTCTACGAAGACGTGAGCCAAACGAGAACGACACCGACTTGGCAGAGAAGTCACACGCTGCAAGATAACAACCTGGCACTGACACACTACAATTCCGCAATCAAAGAAATCGTAAACATGGAAGATCAAGGTCTGGTGCTGCTTGTGTGTGTTCTCTTCATCTGCATAGAGCTTCTGCAGTTGAATCGAGAGGCGGCCCTGCGGCACTGCACACATGGTACCGCCATACTGAAGTCGTTTGAGAACACCTCGTATCATTGGGTGAGGGAGTGGTTGACGCCACTCTTTCGGCGTCTAACGACGTTACATTATTTCTTTGGGGACAGGGTGGAGTTGCCAGATCTGAGCACTTTGTCCATAGAGCCGCCGACGCTCTTCTCCGACTTTAACGAAGCAGAAGCAATGGTGGACGATATTTTCAATCAGTCCTTCCAATTAATTCGTCGCGGCTATCCATACCGCACAGGCGATAAACGTCACCATCAGCCGACTTCCGACCTTGTTAAAGAACAAAAGAGTATTCAACATCGACTCGACAGGTGGTACACCATGTTCACCAACCTCGACAACAGGTCGACATCACCAGAAGACATGATAAGAGGTATCCCTAGAGTATTCGCTCTAGCACGATACCGCGTTTCTCGCATATGGTCTGCCATGGCCCTCAACCCTTCTGAGATGGACTACGACAACTTCGAAGACGACTTCCGCCAGTTGGTCCAAGAACTGTCAGAATGGGCCGACGAACGCATCAAGTACAGAAGTCGAAACAATTTCGAGTTCGAGATGGGATTCATACCTCTCATCTCCTTCATCGTCATGAAATGCCGTTACCTTGATCTTCGGGTGGAGGCATTGAATTGCCTCAAGGTTCTGGCCGCACCGCGAGAGGCTCTCTGGCAAAAGGACGGCATGTATGCCTTGACTCGGCGGATCATCGAAGTAGAGCACGGGTTGAGCCTGGATGCAAGCGGCAGGCTTGACTCGGATGTTGACCCAACCTACCCTGGGCTACCCCCTGAGGAGGTGAGAGTTGCTCACGTGGTCACCGAGTTTCTAGGAGCAAGGGATAACGAGTTTTACGGTAATGAGGTTTGCGGAAAGAAAGTCGTCTTTCTTCTGAGGGGGCCTGGGGATCAAGTAGTCTTCCGTCCGGATGTTCTCGAAAACGAACCAGCCGTTCCACTGCCAGCTTGGAGCCCAGCAACCACCGAGGAGGAAGTCATGTCACAGTAGGAAAGTCATGAAAAAAAACGATGATGGCGACTCATATGGAGATGAACTGTAGTCAAATATGATGGAAATTTTGACGAATCTCATAGTATTCCCTGTCCGGCGGGGGTCCCGCAGTTTTCCCGGCCCAGAGGTACAGGTGGGGCCGATGCCCCGGAGTTTAGCAGCTCATCCGAACATATCTCCATCCACAAATGCCGGATGCGTATCGGCGCAAGGATATGATGCCGTGAAGCTGTCCGCGACACGGCCTTTATGCAGGCGCACTGAGTCACACCGAACTCTTGTCAAAATGGTGGGTGAACTCAATCCCCCCGGCAAAAGCAGGTCCTTCCGGTGGAAACACCGTGAACTTGTGGGGTAAACGGATTGTTTCCACCGGAGGGGTTTGCCCATGACTTGCCAAGGTCCGGTTCGGCTGTGAACCTGTGCACGATGGGGTTGCTGAACGGTTATTCGCGTACGCATGAATCGGGACTTCTGGAGTCGCATCGCCCTCCCAACAAATCCAGACGCAGATCCAGCCCCGAGATTGGAACTCGGAGCCGCATGAGATAACTCTGTTCCCCAAATTGGGCGGCAAACTGCACCTTGGGTCGATGGGGTTGAGGGGTCCAGAACTCAATCTCGACACGAGCGGAGCTCTCCCCCGGCTCCGATCCCGCTACGGCATATGTGCTGGTGTTGCACCGCAGCTAGAAGCACACCGCTCCACGACACGTGTGATTGTTCGTAGGCTTTCCTGGCGGCAGCTGGCATCGGTCTAGATCGGGAAGTCCGCTTCCATTGCCCAGAGAGACTCTTGACACCCGAATGTAACCCCTCGAGAGGCCGTGAAACATCATGTCCAATCCCATCACCATGCCGGAAGGGTTGTGGGTCTGTCAGCTAGTTGCAGCATGCTGTGGATCACGTTGAATTGCTAGTTTGGACCACAGATGATTCAGGCTGTTGTGTTCTTCCACTTCACTTGATATTCATGTGGAAGTAGAATGAAATCACAAGCTCCTTACTCCTGATGAGAGATATAATGTTATTCTGAGTTACAGCTGTCTCGCGAATAGCTCGCAAGACACATAGTTATCAGGGTGACCGATGACGTTAACGCACATAGCTCACAGCTCGGTCCGGGAATAAGTGACGGCGGGCAGAACACCCGTTGTTTGATCAGACGGATCAGACCGAGATGCTCTCGCCATTGGCCAGAGGCCTCGAAATGCCGGTACATTGAGTCATGGGAAGATCTGTCTGTCTTAACTCCGTGTCGTGCTTCAGATGGCTTCAGATGCAAGCGCAAATTGTGTTGCTCGAAAACGATCGCCACCACGCTAATAAACGAGAGCTCGAGACGGCGCCTCCCTTGAAGCTCACGTCCGCCCCACTCCCCTTTGGAATATGGATTCCGCTGACCAGGTGCCATGACAAAGTGACCCTAGGCCCTTTGCGTATTAATAATGGCTCTCGACAGTTTGTCTTGGACGCACATGCTAGCTCCCGTTGGCTGGAACATTGTTGGGCTGTCCTGTATGTCATCATTGCAGCCGGGGCGTGCGGCTTTTCCCCGAGATAAGGGTTTTGCACCAGACCCGTCCCATCTGTTGTTTGGTCAGACATCTCTGCCACGGAGTTTGGAAGACGAATTTCTTCTAGACCCCAGTGCTCCACAGTCAACACGCGCACACCCTGCCGCTCAACTTACAATACCATTTTGCAGTATCCTCTTTGAGTAATACCGAGCATGTTAGTTTCCATCTTGCTTCGGATGACGGCCCGCGGCAGATTACAAATGGTGCTTCCGTGGAGGGCTTACTTGGCGCCGGCACCTAAATGGCAACGGCGCCATCCCGTCTGGTGTGTGACGGTGGAGTAACCTTAGTTCTCAACGAGTTGACATAATAGACAAGCTCTCCTCATTTCAATGCCCTTATCCCAACTTTCTTGTATCTTGGACCAACTGCTTTGGCCCAACCGTAATTCAGCGACAGCTCCCGAGACTCACTGGATGATAGGACCATCTCTTTGAACTGCCGGATAGACAAAATCATAGACTCGTTTGCTCAAGATACCCATTTTTCGCTCTTTTCATCTTTAGACTCAGACATCATGGAAGCTACGCCGCGGTGGGAAGGAGATGGCCGTTGGGGCGAGGGTGCCGCCGGCAACATCTCCGTCAACGCGGCATTGGAGGAATTTCACGATCTCGAGAAGGAATTATCAACATTACAGCGTCGCCATTCTACCGCAACCCGCCCCACGCAGCCGAAAGGCAACCATGCCGGCGAGAGCGACTCGACCATCGCACCGACCGAGTCCGGCGACAACTCATTCGATCTCCCCGACTTTCTTAGACGAGGCATTATGGACATGCGCACACCAACGGGAGGACCTACGAAGAAGCTTGGAGTTTCCTTCAAGAATCTGACTGTGAAGGGCATCGAATCTTCGACAAAGCAGGCCGTCACGTTTCCGCGAGATCTCCTCAACACATTCGGCCCCGACTTGTACCACTTCATCACCGGTTTCTTTCCGATGTTGAAGATTCACAAGGAGCCTACCGTAGACCTCATCAGGAACATGACGGGAACAGTACGACACGGCGAGATTATGTTGGTACTCGGAAGGCCAGGCTCAGGCTGTTCGACGTTTCTTAAGACCATCGCCAATCAACGAGATGAGTACGCCGAGGTCGACGGCGAGGTGTTCTATGGCGCCATTCCAGCTGAGGACCAGTTGCGCCTCTTCCGCGGTGAGGTCGTATATTGCGAGGAAGACGATCGCCATTTCCCATCTCTCACCGTTTGGCAGACCCTGTGGTTTGCGCTGAAGAACAAGACCAGGAAAAGGGAACAGTGGACGATACCCATCATTCTCGATTCACTCATGCAAATGTTTGGTATCGAGCACACGAAAGACACGCTTGTAGGTGACGAGCATACGCGAGGCAAGTTACGATGACCGGACCTGCTTACTTGAGGACTGCTAACACTCGCCAGGTGTCTCGGGAGGTGAACGGAAGCGTGTAAGTCTGGCAGAAACGCTAGCTACTCGAGCTTCTGTCGTCTGTTGGGACAACTCCACGCGTGGTCTTGACGCCAGCACAGCCCTCAGCTTCGCCAAGTCCCTGCGGGTTTACACCGATGTCAGCGGCCGGACAACACTCGTTACCCTCTATCAGGCCGGCGAGTCCATCTATGAGCTGATGGACAAGGTTCTGGTGATCGACGATGGGCGGATGCTGTTTCAGGGGCCAGCCAACGAGGCCAAGAAGTACTTCGAAGACATGGGATATCTGTGTCCCCCGAGACAGTAAGTCCTGATAACCCATCAGTCCGATATACATATGCTAATCTGAATGTCTTTTCAGAACAACGGCAGACTTCCTAACATCGATCGCCGACAAGAACGCCCGCCATTTCCAGCCCGGTCGCGAGGAGACAGCTCCCAAGACGCCCGAAGAGCTCGAGCAAGCATTCAAAAATAGCCAGCATTACCAACGCCTACTAGAAGACGTCGAGGAGTACGAAAGGGACAGCAAATCAGCCAACAATGAGAAGCATCGCATGTTTGAGGCGACTGTCAAGGAGGGTGAGTTGCTTAGCGAATTGCCCAGAATATTATGGTGCGTCTGCTAACCTTCAATTGCAGCCAAGAGCAAGACCGTGATCGGCGACTCCGTTTACACCGTCTCATTCCTGAAGCAAGTCGCGGCGTGCACCAAACGACAAGCCTGGCTGCTCTGGGGAGATCGCAGCTCCTTCTACACCAAACTCATCATTATCATCGCCAACAGTCTCATCGTCTCGTCGCTCTTTTACGGATCAGGCCAGGGCACATCCTCCGTCTTCGCACGAGGCGGCGTTGCCTTCTTCTCCATAGCTTTCATCGGCTGGCTTCAATTCGCTGAACTTCTTCCCGCGGTTTCTGGACGGACGACGATCGAAAGGCAGCGAGTCTTCGCGTTCTATCGGCCATCTGCTGTCGTAATTGCGCGGATGGTCCTCGACTTCCCGCTCATTCTCATCATGACGATTCTGTTCAGCATTCCAGTCTACTTCCTCGCGCAATTCGATGTCGATGCAGCCAAGTTCTGGATTTACACTCTCATTGTGTACACGGCCACCTTCTGTCTCACGACGATGTATCGAATGTTCGCATCACTGTCATCTACCGTCGACGACGCCGTTCGTTTCGTCGGAGTCAGTAAGTACACGCCGTCAATATCTTGTGATTGTGAATCTCCAATAGCTGACATATTTATCCAGTGCTGAACATCCTATTCATCTTCACCGGATACGTCATTCCGAAACCCGCTCTACTCAACGACGCCATCTGGTTTGGCTGGATCTACTACATCAACCCAGTCGCCTATGGATTCGAAGCGCTTCAGACGAACGAGTTCTTTGGTCGAGAGCTGCCGTGCAGCGAATCCCAACTTGTCCCCAGAGGGCCTGGCTCAGATCCGAGATATCAAGGTTGCAGTCTCCCTGGCTCGACACTGGGAAGCACCGTTGTCAGCGGCCCTGCATATATGCAGGCCTCCTTTGAATAGTGAGTTCTCAATTCACGGATCTGATGAAAGTTCATGAGATTGACGTTTTACAGTTCAAGATCGAACCTCTGGCGCAACTTCGGTATCATGATCGCCTTCACCATCTTCTTCCTCCTCGTCACGGTCGTCGCCGTCGACACCATCAAGTTCAAGGGATCAGGTGCGCAGTCCCTCATCTTTGCGAAGCGTCCGGGTGCAAAGAAAGAGGTACAAGAGAAAGACCAGTTGAAGGAGGAAGACTTTGAGCCCATCGGCGATGGCAAGAGCATCTTTACCTTCAAGGACATCAACTACACGGTGCCTTATGGCAACGGCAAGCGACAACTTCTCAACGGCGTGTGCGGATACGCCAAACCGGGGAAGATGATCGCGCTCATGGGCAGCTCGGGTGCCGGCAAGACGACACTTCTCAACACCATTGCCCAGAGGCAGAAGATTGGGGTTGTCTCCGGGGAGATGCTGATCAACGGAACGCCGCTGGGTGCTGAGTTCCAACGGGGCACCGGGTTCTGCGAGCAGAGAGACATTCACGAGGGGACGGCCACGATTCGCGAAGCTTTGGAGTTTTCGGCTCTTCTCCGACAAGAGCGCACAATTCCCCGGCAGGAGAAGATTGCCTACGTCGATCGTATCATTCACCTGCTGGAACTCAGCGATCTCGAAAACGCCCTCATTTCCTCGCTGACGGTCGAGCAACGCAAGCGAGTCACCATCGGAGTCGAACTGGCTGCTAAGCCGAGTCTTTTGCTGTTCCTGGATGAGCCGACGAGTGGCCTCGATAGTCAGTCCGCGTACTCTATTGTTCGCTTCCTGCGTAAGCTTTGCGATGCCGGACAAGCCATCATCTGCACCATCCACCAGCCTTCTTCCGATCTGATCGAGCAATTCGACATGATTCTCGCCTTGAACCGGGGCGGAAACACCTTCTACTTCGGTCCCGTCGGCTCCAATGGCTCCGTAGTTGTCGACTACTTCGCCCAACGCGGATTCCCCTGCCCTCCCAGCCGAAACGTTGCAGAGTTCATTCTAGAGACGGCATCGCGTCCGTCTATGAAGGATGGCAAGCGCATCGATTGGAACGAGGAGTGGCTCAAGTCGGATGAGCACCGGGCCATCGTCGCTGAGATTGACCAGATCACAGCCGAGAGGCAAGGCCCTTCGAACACCTCTTCAGCTCCGACCGAGTTTGCCTCATCGACGGCTTATCAGTGCTATCTTCTGACCAAGCGCATGTTCGTCCAACACTGGAGGGAGCCTCAGTACATGTACAGCCGTTTCTTCGTCCACACCATCATGGGCATCTTCAACGGATTCGTAAGTTGCCTCCCCGCCTTTAACCAGGACGCATCATATTGACATCGAGACAGACTTTCTGGATGCTAGGAAACGACATCGCCAGCATGCAAAACCGCATGTTCTCCTCCATCATCCTCATCTTCTTCATCCCTCCAACGGTCGTGAACTCGGTTGTCCTGAAGTTCTTCCAGAACCGAGACCTCTGGGAAGACCGGGAGCTGCCGAGTCGGACTTATGGCTGGGTGGCCTTCTGCACCGCGAACGTGGTCTGCGAGATCCCGATGGCTATTGCATCAGGCACCATCTACTGGCTCTTGTGGTACTTCCCCGTCGGCTTCCCCGCGACCGCGTCCATCTCTGGTTACACGTTCTTGATGACGATTGTCTGGTCGCTGTTCCAGTCTTCCTGGGGGCAATGGATCTCAGCATTCGGGCCGTCGTACTCCACGGTGTCCAACGTAAGTCACCCGAACCCCCAAGCCCCATCTTCGCAAAGGCTGACATTCGTGCACGCAGATCCTGCCTTTCTTCTTCGTCATGGTCGCGCTCTTCAACGGAATCCTGGTCCCCTTCGACTCGATGCCCGTGTTCTGGCGGTACTGGATGTACTTCATCAACCCGACGACCTGGTTCTCCCGAGGCGTCCTCTCGGCCGTCCTCCCCGCAGCCGCGGTGCGATGCGCGCCCACGGAATTCGCGCGCTTCAACCCGCCGCCCGGCTCGACGTGCGGCGACTATGCCCGCAGATTCGTGACCGAAGTCGCGGGGACGGGATACCTCGAGAACCCCGACGCGACGTCGAACTGCGGGTACTGCCCGTACAGCAACGGAGGCGAGTACATGCGCACGCTCAACGTGTACCTCACCGACAAGTGGCCTGCGTTTGGCATTCTGGTCGCGTTCGCGATCGCGAACTGGGCTCTGGTCTACTTGTTTGTGTACGCGGTGAGAATTCGGGGATGGACTTTTGGGATTGCGACCGTTGCGAAGGCGGGATCGATGGTGATGGAGAAGGTGAGGGGCGGGAATGCTGAGGAGGCGGCGGAGCGGATCTGAGAACGCTTCTTAGGTAGCCTAGCGAGCACTGCCGTCAACAAATCACGCCGAGCGGGGCTTTAGCCCTGTTACTCCCCTTGGTGTAGTTGGTTCATCACGTTCGACTGTAATGGGTACATTGTTATCGAAAGGTCTCTAGTTCGATTCTGGAAGGGGAGAACCGTTTCTTTTGCATTTTTTGTCCTCGATGATTGAGTGACTTGTCTTTTGCTATTTCGTGACATGGGATGAACGTGTTCAGAGTGCCAGGTCTTTTTTGCCTCAACGTTTGAGTCTGTGCCACCCACATTACCTTCGCACAACCTTTCAGGATGACTCGGCCTAAATACACCTGACTAGACCGATCCGGTCATATTCATGGACTCATTATGTCTGTTGTATCGCGCTGCGGGTACCTTTTGTTGAAAATTCGCGACGCTGCCACTGCACGGTTGGCCCTGCTTGTTGGTGACTTGGCTGTCGGCGCCTGCGTTTTCTCTGGCTGGGGCTAGATTATGCGTCAGCCGGGGCGCTCACGAGGGAACAGGATTGCATAGGTCTGCGGGTGAGTCCTACAAGCACGGGTGTGCCCAGCCAGAGCTGTCATGACGAAGGAAGCAACGATAGAAAGTCGCATTATTAAAATAGTTATAGTGACTGTAGATGAAAAACGCAATAGGGGAGGTGGTGAGGAGGAGGAATCAAGGTGGTGAATCAGCCAGACATAGTCACACAAGTATTCATACTCAACACCGATGTGACGATCTGAACCTATCGTTCGAAATTGAGTCGTTTGCCGAGCCAAATCTGTTGAAATCAGTTGACTAACCACACATGCTATAAGACCACAGCTAAAAGGATTGGTCTGGCTTCAACTGATCAATTGACGGAGGCTTGTATTGATTCTTGAAGGTTTGTCTGTCAACTAGCTACTGAAGCGCACATCATCTCGAGCCGAGTTTGGTCAATATTCTCGCAGCACGACAGCTCGGCAGACCGTCAGTTTATTACACTGTTGATACGCCATTCCCCTTTAAAGCTGAACCACTCCAAGACGACGGAATAGCATCTAACAGGGCACGTTGTTACAACACGGTCCTGCGCCGTCATCAGTACACCATGATCCTGCACAACAAGTTCCGTCGCAATGACATCTGGCTTCGATCTGATAATAGCATTAAAAATTTAGCTTTAGTCCTTGCCTCAAAGCTTCATTGTCAGGTACAAGACTTACGAAGGCCCGGGCCAAGTTCCGGTCCTCGACAGCCGCCATGGCGTTGACGGTAGCGATGGCAGCCACGAAAAGGGAGATAATGGAAGTAGTCTTCATTCTTTTTGGCGATGTGGATCTTGGTATGTTGTAATCGTGTGTTTGAATTGCGTGACTGTCTCGAGAATAGACCTCTGTCAGTGGACATGGCCTGGCCTTTATACTTCCGTTGCCGTTTCCAAAGCTACCTAGACTAGAGTGAAACATCTGGATGCTTGAACGTAATCGACTTCGTGGCTTATGGCTACTTTACTTCATGTGTGATATATCGTTCCTTCAATCCTGCGCCAGAACGAAACAAGCAGGCACGAAGCCAGTAAGCAACTGCTTCTGAAGGAAATGAATCCTTTTGACTAACCTCGACGTTGTCTTATGTCTTGGCTCTGACAGCGATCTTTGAACTAGGGCGAGATCCGGAAGGTGATTATCTTGGCATCCACGCGAAGGATTTGAGGCGCCCTGTGATACCTGCTATGATATCTCCATCTGTCGGGCAGTTGCCACCAAAGCAGAAACATATCGTAAATAAATGGTTCTCGCCAGAGCATGCATCCATTGGAGACTATGTTCAAGGATAAGACAGACCTGGAGCGATCTTCGGTAACGGTAGAAGGCGTTTCAGTCCCGCAGAGAACACACGTGGTTTAAAGATAAGGCAGTCCAGGATGATTATCCGGAAGGATTCGAAATTTCGAAAGTCCTCAATGACAAGTTCCAGGGTAGCCCACTGCTCAAGTTTGGACCTTCTTAAGCAACGTCTCAAGGATCTTTCACACCGAACCTCTTCGGATTGAGCGTCATCCTCGGAAGAATACCTCCGATGACAGGAGAGAGACTCACAGGCAGCATATCGATCCTTCATCAAGACGGGGTTAGCGGCCTTGGGAATCGACAGATGAAGTCGCGAAGGCTTTCTCTGACTACCTCTCTGTCGTAGAGAATTGAGACCAGCTAATACAAACAAAAGCGGGAAATTTTCATGTCGCCTAAGCCTTCTCAATCTCACTCACACCAACGTCGGCTTCCTTCTTGGACAATCCACTGCCCCCGGGAGTGATACCCAATTCCCGTCTGATCGTCTCCATTCTCGCCATATCTTCCGCACCTTGATTGCCGCCAAAGAGCTTGTCCATGTCCTCGATCCTGACGCCCTTGGTCTCTGGAACGAAGAAGAAGACCCAAAAGATCAGGAGCACGCAGAAAGCTGTATGATGGTTAGCTCTAGGACAGCTTGGGTATGGGCCGGACGGCCGACCAATAGTCTTTGCACTCACCGAGGAAAAAGTAGAATGTCCCGAATTTGATAGCCTCAAGCATCCTGGGCGTGATGAGAGCGACGATAAACTGTTTGGAAACCTCATGTCAGCGAAGCATAATGCCTGTGGAGATGCAAAGACACTTACGTTGCTGAGCCAGTTGGTGCCAATGGCTAGCCCGACTGCCTGGGACCGAACGCCAGGAGGGAATATCTCGGATGGCATGATCCAGTTGACACAACCAATGCTGAAAGCAAAGTTCGCGATGTAAGTCCATACAAAGACTGCAGCCGCCCAACCGGCAGCCTTGTTGCTGGCCCATGAGTCCTTGTAAACCGCGTACAGTGTACCAACGATCAGTTGTGAGACACCCATGCCAACACCGCCGATGATCAACACCTTCTTTCGACCCCAGCGATCCATGAACATGATTGCGGGGATCGTGGACTACGCAAAGTCAGTGGATGTCTCCTATCAACGGATTCCGTGGTTCTTACGAAGAAGTTGATGCAACCGACAACGCCTGTGGCCAGCAAGTCCACCGAATTACCATCGAGGCCAATGTTCTGGAAGATCTTCGGAGCGTAGTAGATAATGGCGTTGATACCTGTCAAGAAGATTCGTTAGTGGCCGATACCTCTATGCAAGGTAAGTTGGGGATGGCATACCGGTGAATTGCTGTATAATCTGGAGGAGACACGCAATGAGCAGACGCCGGTTGAGATGGCGAACGACAAACAACGACTTATATCTCGCGACGGTAAGCTTCGTGCGCGATGTGACCCCAGGGTACATCGTCTTCGTGGTCTCTCGATCGAATTGTGCAGCGGCCATGATTTCGAGCAGCTCGAGTCTGAGGCGAGGGTCACTGGAGGGCACGCGGCGGACGCGGATTAGTGTCGCAAGGGCTTCTTCCTCACGATCTGCAGACTTCACGTCAGTGAAGCACCAGATGGAGTTCTCCAAGTATTCATAACGTACCTTTCATCAATAACCAGCGAGGGGTGTATGGCAAGAAGAAGGTCCCCACTGCTAGGACGATTGATGGAACGCACTGCAAGGCCAAGGGGAGACGCCAGGCTGCTGGAGATTGACCGTCACCAGTTCCACCAATATGTTGGGTGCCGTCTGCGTGATGTTAGTGAGGTTAGAGATGGTCTTCTGGTTCACGTACAATCCAGCCAGAAGGCAACCATGATTCCGACGGTAATCCCGAGTTGTTGCAGGGCCACAAGACTGCCACGAAGATTGGGAGGAGCCAACTCGCTCAAGTACAGCGGAACAACCATAGACAACTGGCCGATGGATAAACCTGCGATGAAACGGCCGACGAAGATCATGGGAACGTTGACGGCTGCAGCCTGGATAATCGACCCGATGAGGAAGACAACGTTGGCCACGAGAATTGTCCATCGTCGGGAGAGAGCGTCGGCGATTGGCCCATTGACTAGAGCTCCGATCATTGCTCCGAGTGTCAGCACCGCCACCATCCATCCTTGGAGAGTCGCGTCGTCTGCTAAGGTCGGAAACTGCTTCGCCTGTGTCGTGAGATTAGACTCTGGTCCAAAGTTAAGACGTGTGATCGACGAACAAAGTTGTTCATGACCAAGACGCCGCTGATAACGCCCTGATCATACCTAAACGAGACGATGAGTCAAACGAGGACGTTCACGAGAGTTGATCGGCTTACCCAAAAAGCACACCTCCGATGCTAGCGAAGCACGCTAGAAAGAAGATGTAGGGCTGGCGGATGAGCCCCTTGTATCCTATTGGTGTTAGCATTTTGACTGTTGAGCTTCCAGTTGTCGTCAACTTACCGGCTTCCCCATACGATACTTCCATTGTGATGACGTGCGATTACAGCTCCAAAGTCATAACAGTCAGGTGATAACGCAAGCAGTTAAGATAGTGGTTGAGAATTCTTGTCCCGGGACACGTAGAAAAAGACAGCAGATCGGATGAAGAACATCTCCAAATCTTAGAGGACATGATCAAGGTTATAAGGACGTGTCATCGGAGAATTCTCTCCAGAAATCTAGCTCATAGTCGACTGGAGACCCCGATGTTGGCCGGGGAAACTGGGGAAAGTGGAGGTTCGTGGTGCCATGAACCTGGAACCTAGCGTCGGGACACAGTGCTCCGAAGATCTGGGGGAATGTTGGCGATGCCCTTAATAGTACACGGTAAGGTTCGTCGCATGTTGTGTCGGTCTTGTGCACTCCGAACCCCTCGTGACCAAGTTGATGGGGCATCCTCTCCTTCATATGGCACGATGCGACGACGTGACAACGTCATCGCAGGAGAGACTTAACTGGAACATGACATGGTATCAGACGATAACGATGGGCTGGACGGTACCACTGGTCTTATACAGATGAAATGTCGCGATGGAATGTCGCAAACGGGGCATTGCATACGAGGCGGAAATTCCCATTGATTACAACAGTTCATCTTGCTGACTAGTTTGCTGATGAGGGCTTCAAACAAAATATCCGAGTTCCGAGACGCCATCTCGGCCGAGATATCATGATGCGGCACGGAATTATAACCGAGACTTTAAGTCATATCCATTAACCGCTTTCTTGAAATTCGTTGTAACGGTGCGTGCACTATGGCTCGTCCCTGTGTCTGGTGTTGAAGAATCCCGAAAGTACATATATGAACTACGACACAGGCAACTCCTGCCCCTCTGTGTGCATGCGAACTTCGCCTCTCTCAAAAGGTTAAAGCAGATATAACCCACGCTGGCGTCCCTTCAAAGCGGCATTGCCCGTTTCAACAAGAGAATCTAGATAGATAGAACAACTAAGTCTCATTGCCGCTTAGGAATGATTCAAGACAAATGTCGGCAAGATCTCAGTGGCGAGTCGGAGGTCACTATCGCTCCCGGTCTGGAGCTGACTTCATTCTTGACTCTGTCCGAGCTAATCTTTCATACTTACACCACTAAAGACACAGAAGGATTTGGAAATGTTCTTTCTGACATACTCGTGACTTTCAAGCTTCTTCTCAGGGGAACGAAAATCTCATCAATTATTACAGTCATGACATGAACAACGAAGAGTGGAATCTTTTGGATCTAAACTCATTGGAAGTGAGGTTCTGGACTTGAGAAGCGTCCAATTCGCATTGTATTGTCGCTTTCGTGTCCTTTGAGCCAATGGCTGGGGCTTTAAGCGACATCAGCGTGTTCGCCATACGACCAACGCAGCAGAATGGAAGTAGACTCGCTCATGCAGACACCCTCCTAATCTAGCTTTCTCGGTCGAGAAGAAGCCTGGAAAACATAGCACTGCCCAAAAGTCGCCTACCAGCTGTCATTTTGTGAGATGAGTGCGACGGAGTGCTCATGTCTTTACTAATGCACTAATTCTCGAGTCCATCAAGTTTCCAGTGCCGATGAGAGGAACCGCCCGCTTCCGCGCCGGGGCTCTCGGCAATAGTGGAGACAGCCCTTAGCTGTAGCCGTCGGCCCCGAAACTTGCCCGGTCGGCCTGTTATTTGACTGGAGGCGGATCGAGCAGACACCAGAGTCACCAATGAGAATCCAATTTTCTTTTTTGAACCTGCAAGGAACCAATAATTTGCTGCTTGTAGGATTGACACCCCTCAACGGTTAATGTCCGCGATGTGTGGAAACTGTAGATCTATACTTGAACAGGGAAGCTGAGGAAGCTGGTTGCTGTCCTTTCTGCTGCATAAACTCTTGCAAACTTCCGGGACATTTCATGGACACTGAGATCTTTGCCAATAAGAACATCAATTGTAGGTCTAATCATGCTCGGAGAAGAATTGGACCCCGGGTTTCGTCTTACTGTAGCCTCCAAGCCTTCTTCTTGGCACGACGGCCTTGAACTATGCAGTGGATTTGCATAAGCATTGTGACATTGCAGGGTTAGTTATGCAGCCACTTAGCAGTGCACAGCGCCAATCACTCAGAAATCGTTTTCGCTGGTGCCTTGTACGGAGTAGTGGTCCGGTTTTTTGTTAGGTGAACAGCTGGACGAAGTGATTGCACATGTATTTCCCTAATTTGGCCAACAAGAGGGGGGCGCAGCAAGTCAGGAGCGAAGAGCCCAATTTGCTGCGCAGCGCTGCTAAAAGTGTTGAATGCAATTGGATACTTTTAAGTGATAGATTTAGGACAGGTCTTACGTCACTCGGGATTTCCGACTAGGCTGAGCGCTCGTGATAACACATCTGATGCAGGTGATTCATATTCTCTCAGTTTACCATAAATAAGTCGAGAGAAATCTTCACGTTCTTTCACTACACATACTACGTATAGACTACTCGTCGTCATCAATTGAATCTTCATTCTGCACACAACGCCAAACCTCAAAACAACCAGACCGCATTCATACCCTTTTACAACAACATAGACAAAATGGATTACGAGAAACGCAAATCTCATGAGGCGTATGGCGACGCCGACCCCCCACCTTATCCCGGCAACAGCGCCGAGTTGCCCACGTACCAAACGCCGACACTCAACAACTCAACTTCAGACTCCAGAGGGCTGGTCCCCGCCACAGCCCGATTCCCGCCGACACTGAATTGCTATTACCAGTGGAAGTGGAAAGAAATTTACTACCTTGGTCCCTCATCCGATGAAAGGATGTTCGCCATCACTTTCGACAAAACCATCTTTTCCAGGAAACAAACAATGCTTCTTCGCAATGGACCTTCAGATGAGGCTCCAGTCCTGGCAACTGCAAGCCGAAGTGTCAAGGGGTGGTACGAGAACGCCATCATCAACGTAAACAAGCCCCACGGTAGCGGCAACGATATCGCCTTCGAGAGACCGGCAAACACCGGGTGGAGAAAGAGTGAACAGCGCGCCTTTCACTATCGGACGGGCAAGGGCATTGTGGAAGAGTTCCAATGGCGAACGTCTCACGGAAACGAAATCAAGGAGCTCGCCGGTCACTCCGCGGGCTGGAAGCTGGTGCGCATGATGGGCCCGGAAACCATAGGAGGAAGTTCGAAGAATCCACAACTGGGATACTCGAGTGACGGACACGAGGTTGTGGCAGTTCTGGCCCACAACACGTCGTGGAGCATGACCAAAGGATACAAGTTTGCATTCATGGGAACCGGTCTTACGGGGACCTTGGGCGAGGAGTGGGAGGCAATAGCTGTGCTTACTGGATTCTGGATGTGGTGGCAGCAGCAGATGACAGCGGCATCTACGGGTGCTGCTGGTGCCGGCGCTGGATGATGGAGGAGCATCTTGTTGGGCGTGATAGTTCTATAATTACGATAAGGGCAAGTGGGTGTGAGGAGTACTAGAGGAGCTATCGGGCAATTTCATGCCAGTATTGTCAGCATTTTGTCAGCAAACAGATACCAATGAATTCACTTTAAGTCGATCATAGTCCGATGGCAGTATCTTTTGATTCAGATTGTATCAGCGATGTTTTCGATCAACATCGTCATGTTCCAATTCATGGCCCTAGTACATCGTTTTCCGATCTGGTCCTTTAAAAACCTGACATCATTGCCAATTCCATGTCCGTCTTGTACATCCTCTCATAGTTATGCACCCAACGCGGAAACTGGGAGCGTCAAATTCTCTGCAAAAGTCTTGGTGTTCTTCTTCAAAACAACGCAAGGGGGTTCGTGGCGTTGGCAGGGCGTTCCTGGATCACGTCCCAGTGCTCCACGATGCAGGTCCCGTTGAAGCGGAAGATGTCCACAATAGCTGTAGGCTGAGAGGCACCAAGGGTATCGAGGCGGTAGTGAATATAGCCCGTATTATCGTCGAAGTTGTTATGAATGATGGTCATGTTGACCCCATCCGGCGTAACGAGGGTCGCCAAGAAGTCAATGGAGGCTTGCCGACCAGAGAGCACGTTGGGATTGTGTTGGATGTAATCCTCAGCTTGGTGGTTCAGAAGAGCTTTTGTAGTGTTCTTCTCAACATAGAAGTCGTTGACGAAGTCATTGAAGATGGCTCGCTGCTCGGCTGCGTTTGCCGGACGGGGAGGGCAGTTGGGAAGGTTGGTGGCAGTGGGTTGACAGTTGGCCAAAGTCGAGACACCGAACATAGCGCTGACGCCTATAGAAAAGGAAGAAGATACGCGCATTTTGGTTGAAGTGAAACTTGGTGTAGCAGCAAAGGAGTCAACTGGAAATGTGTAGGGTCTGTGGAGGATGGTGATGTTCTGTCGAGGAGAAACTGTGTGAGTTGAGTCTTCTAGAATTGAAAGAGATATGCCTCTTTATACTCGCAATATGTCAAAGATGTAGAGATCCAAAAGACCCGTGGTGCCTTATCATCTGCAAGCATCATTGAAGTCCGTCTACCAGGTAAGAAACAGTAGTTCATCCAATTCGTTTGGTGACGACTCCACACAGCCCAGTGATCTAATCCAAATCAAGCTTTCATATTAATTGCAATGATTCGGGAAGAACAAATCTGAGTTTAGTTCTATTCTCTTTCAGCCGACCTCAGCAAACCCTGCCTGACATCTTAGATTGCCTCACGAGCATTTAATATCCCCGGCCAGTCCATAACATGGACAGCTATCATTCTCACCTAAAGTTCCAGACCAAGCCTGGATTGAATTGTATAATTTGTTTCCCGAGCCGCGCGCGTGGTGAAACACAAAACCTTGTATGTTGCCGAGACCCATTACGATCGGGTTGCCGATGAAGCCCGACTGCCGATGGTACAGCAAGGGCTCATTTAGCTGCCATTCTCACATAAGCCGGCATGAACAAGGACTTTATTTACTTCCGGCTGAGACAATTCTTTGAGTTGAAAATAATCAACATTCTGGCGAAATAACTTAGTCTCTCTACGGCCATCTAATATTGCTTACCTGGCCACCGCAACATTTGGAATATCTCTCAGCTAGCTTCAACACGACTAGACGTGTCCATCAGCTAAATTCGGGTAAGTTGAAAAGTACTGCGTGATAAAAAGCTCTCATTACGAACACAATTGATTGAAAAGCCAAGTCTTCAGCAAGCATCATAACCGCAGAACACTTTGCGTTGATAGATATCTAGAAAAGCTTTCAATCGCATGCTCGGATCTTCAAGCTTGTCAAGTCACGTTATGTCCGATTATCCCCGATGATTTGCGCCAGGATCAGTGGCCAGGGTGTGGCTTTGGGTCTTCGGGCGACAGTGCTCCGATCATCATGGCCTCTGAGGGGTAGCTTAGTTGTGGCTTCAACTACAACCAGCAGCTGGTGTGGAGGTATCAAAGAGCATCGGCATGCATGAATTTCGAAACCTACCTCAAAGTCGGAAAGCTTTATTCATGTACCAGCGGATACCGGGTTGAGTGGCACGAGTTGAATTACCTACCCTTGTGAGAATTGGTACAGCCTCCTCCAGCGGCCAAGATGCAAGCGTCGCAGTCCAGGTGCTCCAACACGGCAACCGTCCGGGCTTGCGTCAACTGTCAGAAGAGAAAGAGCCGATGCATGAGAGGCAACGCATCGAACGACCCATGCTCTTACTGCGCCAAAACGGGAAAGACATGCAGTTTCGAGAGCCCACCTGATCGGACGCCTCTCACCCGGAAGAACTTGGACGCCGCAGAGCTTCGGTGCACACAGCTCCAGAACCTGCTGCGGTCGTTGAATCCCGATCTCGATATCGAGTCTGCTCTGAACCAGACCCATTCTCGGGTGGTAGACAATGACGACACATCACATACCCCGGAAGAATCAGACGAAGTCACGCCGCACAGCTACGAATGGCACGAGGGGTCATTATCACCGGAATTCAAGTCATCTTCCCATGAAAACGATGGCATGGCTATGCTTTCAAGTCACGATTCTGGTTACCTTGGTGAGCATTCTTACTTGATGTTTCAATAACTGCATATGGGCTAATTGACGGGTCGCGTCACACAGGAAGCAGTTCTGGGTCGCAACTCCTTGGAGAAATAGACTCCGTCATCCATGTGTCAAACACATCCAAGCAGGGCCACCCCACACCACAACGAAAACGTAGACGGCAATCGTCGAGTTCAGCTGGGCTTCCTCCGCCTGAAAGTCTTGACCTGCCAGCATCATATATCACAAGCCGTCTGATAGACTCATATTTCCTCCTGTACAACACATGCTATCCAATACTGCACGAGAAAACATTCCGGGAGAGAGTTAACGCCGGACATCGACAACGACTTGCAAGTTCGCCATGGCGCGTTGTGTATCACATGGTTCTGACTATTGGTCACTGGTTATCCAGCAGTGAGCCAGAGCACCTCCAGTCAGGCTACTACAGCGCCGCGAGGTCGAGTCTTTCAATCCAGATGTTGGAGTCGGGCACGATCGAAACAGTGCAAGCATTCTTACTAATGGGCAACTACCTTCAAAAGCGAGACCGCACCAACACGGGCTACAACTTCGTTGGTCTGGCGTACAGAATGGCACTGGGACTGGGCTTGCATCGTGAACCGCCTGGGCCCGAAGATACCCTCGGCCATGAGCGCCGTCGGCAATTGTTCTGGACCATATACTGCTTTGAGAGTGGATTCAACATCACTACCGGACGACCGCCCACAATGTCCGACGAATTCATCGATACGAGGATACCGCGCAACATCGATGATAAGGTATGCCACTCAGCAAATCTCATACCAGTCCTTAATCCATGTTAACAAAGTCTCCAGGAACTCTCCTTCAAAGCGCCCGTTCCTCTGGCAGTCAATTATCCGACTACATATTCCGCGATAATCTGTCAAGCACAACTCGCGAAAACAGCCGATGCGGTCTACCACGAATTCCTTCTTGCAAAGACCGCAGGAACCAAGGTAGAATACCGAGTGGCCGAGGCCATGGAGCGAGATCTAAACCGTTGGCGACAAAACTTACCCGGATACTTCCTGGCTATGGATTGTCCAATGTGGTTTAGAGCACCAAGAGCCGTCGTATTGTGGAAAGAACAAAACCTTCGGATCCTCTTGTGGCGTGGAAGCCAGAAACACCACAGCTACCTCCCGACAAAAGTCAGTGCTGAGGAGAAATGTCTCCAAGTTGCCATGCAAAGCATACACGACATTGCAACATTCTGCATGGCTAATGAAGCCTCCCTGCATCACGGCCTCATATGGTACGCCACGTACTTCTTGTTTCAGGCTACACTGGTCCTTGAAGCCAACTACCTCACCGAGAGCAGCCGATCAGAGGAGGACAGGGTAGCTTGGCAGCATTCCGTCTCGAAATCTCGCGTCTGCTTAAAGACTCTGGAAATGAAGAGCCGCTCAGCCAAGCGATGCTTGGAGATGCTGGATCGCATTCACAGTCAGTTCCAGTTTCTCCCACCGCTGGATCTCGAGCTAGATTCGAGCGGCTTTGGAGCTATGCACGTCGGCCAGGAAGCTGTAACGGTATATCCCGATACCACCATGATGACTTCTACCCAGGAGTTCATGGAACTGCCCAGCGAGAACGATTTTGCTTTCTATGGGGAGTGTCAACCAGTCTTTGGGGATGACACGGCGGATCCTAGTCTTCGCATGCTACTGAACGAGGCATCTTTAGACTTCATGGACAACATGCCTTTGGATCTGTTGCTTGGGGACTGGACCACGTAAAGTGCAATGGCGGTGACATAGGACCTAACTGCTCATCAATCTCAAATAAATCATTCGTTCACGACGAAAAACCAAGATTCTTACGACTTCAAACTACGCAAAAGCTGGACAAATTCTCATACTGCGAGCGCAAGTGAATAAATGATAATGCATCTAGCTCTAGAGTCTATCCTATGGCAAAATCTCTTAATCTCAATGAGCGCATTCTTTTCCGACCAGTGATCCCGCTCATGGCAAGACATAACCACCATCAATGATGACATCGCTACCCGTCATGTAGGTAGACGCATCACTTGCAAGGTAAAGGTACAATCCCTTGATCTCCTTGGTGTGACCTTGTCTTCCGAGTGCCGCCATACGATACGCTTCTTGCAGGGCCTGAGGACCAGCACCCATCTTCGTGTCGAAGAAACCAGGAGACACGATGTTCACCCGCGCGAACTCGCGCCATTCTCGCGCAAGAGACTTTCCGAAGTGCGTTACGTACGCCTTGGTGGCGTTGTAGACTGGTTGGTCAACGGGAACGTTGACGATGTGTCCACTCATGCTGGATGTGATGATGAGGTTGCCAAAACCTTGACGGTGGAAGACCTCGCCGGCGTACTTTGAGCAGTAGACGATGCCGTCAACTGAAGAAAAATGAGTGAAGGCCTCTCATGGTGCATGAAACTGTGTAGACTTACCGTTTACAGACATCTGTTTCCTGTATTCGTCCAGAGTCTGCTCCAGAATTGGCTTCGAAATGGCCATGCCTGCAGAACGTGTCAGTCGGGTGTCCTAGTGCAAATACTAACGCATTGAAAAGCTCACCAGCATTGGCAATGAAGACATCAATCTTGCCAAAGTCTTTCAGAACTTTTGCAATCGTCTCTTGGACCTGTGTTGACTCGGAAACTGCGATTCAGTTAGCCATACTGATCTCTATCCTCATCTCATATCAAATCAATATTATCTTACCATCAACCTTGTAAGCCTCGGTTTTCACATTGTGTGTGCTTGCCAACTCTTCGGACCTCTTAATAGCAGCGTCATTTCTGTCCCAGATACGTCAGAAACCCCCCGCAACCAGTATGATTGAGTTGGGAACTCACGAGTTGTACCATAGAGCGACATTACCGCCAGCTTCAGCCATGGCCTCCGAAACGGCCAGGCCAATACCATCAGCAGCACCTGTCACCACAATGACCTTTCCGGTCACCTTGAGCTGGTCCAACACGTTGGACGGGGTGTTCGGGAATGGGCGGGGGAAGCCCTCCCGGGTCTTCTGGCAGTCATCCGTGGACATAGACATTTTGGCGAGTTGTTGGCAAGGTAAATTCAGGAAAGTTCTCGGTAAAAACTGTATCTTCTCTGATCAATGAAACCAGGTCAGAAGAGTTGCTTTATCGTGAATCGGAGTTGAGACGTGGCATCGGCTACTCCGCTCCGCATCGGTCTGCTGTGGTCCGAAGGCGGGACATGCTGTGGGGGCGGTGATGTCCACCAAACATTGGATCATTGGGGCGCATGTCACCATCGGCCAGACCAATCCCGGCGGGCAGTGCTCCTTAAACGGAGTGACATTCATGACGTCATGGCATTTCAAGTTCTCAAGGTTCGAAAGCGTCTGATCAAAGTTGAATAGCCTTCTTATGTACTTCACATTCAGACGCTACCTATCAGCTGAAGGGGCTTTGATGCTCACGCGGCACAAGGAGGGTTGAAGTCATGATGGAGGGGCAGCACCCACGACTGCCGAGTTGATACGAGAGCTTTTATTACCAGGCCAGTTCGTTGCAGAATGCATACATTGAGTTGAGGTTTATAGACACAAAAGTTACTCAGCGGTATTGCGTAACTCATTCCACCATCGCAAGCATGTACTTGAATATCTCATCTGAGTCGGGTCCAATAGGGTTCGCTAGGTCGAAAGCTTTCTGAGCGTCATCAGGAGGGTAGATCAACTTTTGGTTGATGAACTCCTTTACTCTTTTTGCCTTGTCCCCAGTGAACTTGACCTCCCTCTCCCACCCGCCAGTAATCACTGCACCCCAGGAACCAAGATCGAGGCAGCAGTTGTAAGCCGCCTGAGTGTACTCAGTCATCGGCTCACCGAGGACCGCGGCCGCGGCATTGTGTCCCGACACGCGTCCAAGCTGCAAGGCGTGCTGGCATGACATCAAGGCATGATGTCCTTCGGTATCTGCGAGGGCAAAGGCAGTGTCACCGGTGGCGAAGACGTTGTAATTGGCTTCGGTTTGGAGAAAGCGGTTGACATGCAATCGGCCGAGAGCGTCCTTGGGCCCGGGAATCTGCTTCGCCAACGTCGAAGCTCTCATCCCGGCAGTCCAAATAACTGTTTCGGCTGGAATGCGCTCGCCTGATGCCAGTTCTACTCCCTCTGCATCGACTGCAGATACTGGAGATCCGAGTCTGACTTCGACTCCAAGCTCTTTCAGGGCCTTCTTGATGGTTGGACGCGGGCCTGGGCCAAGTTCAGGGCCAAGCTCCTCCGCACTTTCGACCAGAATGATCTTGGGACTATTGATGTGTGTAAGTCGGCTGGGTAGCTCTGCTGCAAGCTCGATTCCAGAGAAGCCGGCACCACACACCACAAACGTGTTACGTGCTGTGCTTTCCTCGAGAGAAGGAAGAGTCTTCAGGTGACGATCGAAGACGGCTGCAGAGTCCAGAGTGTCGATGTCAAATGCATGCTCCTCGATGCCAGAAACGCTTTGAGGTCGGTTCAGAGAGCTGCCAGCTGCTAGTATGAGCTGATTGTATTCGACAACTACTGCCTGGTTATCTGTTGATCGGACTTGGACGCTCTTTGATGTGGTGTTGATAGTCTCGGCTCTGCCCTGCAGAAACTCGATTCCAGCAGATTCGAATAAAGGGCCAAGGTGATGAAACATGTTGGAAGTATTGGCTTCGTAAAGCCTGGGTCGGATGGCCAGGGACGGTTCGGGGGCGACGACAAGGACTTTGACGGCGTTCCCTTTGTCTTTGAGGTTGATGAGACGCTTGGCTGACAGAGCGCTCCAGACTCCAGCAAACCCAGCTCCAATGATTACAATTGAGACCGACATGGTTACAGATTGTGGAAGTTGTTCTCCGAAATCAACTGAATAAGTAGAAGTTTTGACTTGATACCAAAGATAATGCGCAAGATGTAAGACTGCATCTAGGCAGCTCGACAAGCTACATATGTAATAAATGGCCATACATCGTTCAGCAGAATCATCGTTTCACCAGGTAAAAACTCGTTGTATGGGTCGTGCTCTAAGACCGCCTAGTGGGAGCCCTTTGTCATCACCATCACAGGCGCTGATATCCGAGTTCCCATGCCGCTATCCCGGATCGAGTACCCGAATACCCGGATTCCCGTGTCGGATCCCCGCTCAGCTCAAAGCTTGCGATGAACCCACCAACCAAGATTTGCCCGCCCATGGCCATTCATGATGGATCCTTCCAACGCAACAACGTCTCGGACGCAGGCAGCGACTCGATCGTCTTTAGCTTGCTTGCCGTGTCGATCTAGGCACCTCAAATGCGACAACAAGCGACCACAGTGCAGTCGATGCCTGGAATTTGAGAAACAATGCAGCTACGCTCCTTCACGACGAGGAGGTTTGGATCGTGCGGCTTTGGCTGAGCGTCGCAAACGCCTTGCCGAACCTCAATGTATCACTGTTTTATCGAACGAGATATCACCACCTCCGCAGCCGTCCCAGTCCAGTCGAACAAGACTACAAGGGCCATCATCCTCGACGTCACCAGGACTCGCCGGCTTTGAGCTCCTCGATGGCATAACCGTTGGCGATGAAACCATACCATCTACGACGCCATCTACTGGCACGGAGAACATTGAGAACGACTTACTGATTAGTTCTTACTACAAGAACTTCCATCATTTTCATCCCTTTCTTTTACCACACAAACACCTGCTACGCCTTCACAAAGACCCCAGCATATCATTCAACTTTGAACCGGTCATCGCAGTAATGCGGTTGATGGGGCATATCTACGCAGCCAAAGAATGGTCCCCGGTTCTAAAAGACCATGCTGAGTCGTGCCTGTCGCAGTCGCAACCAGACGACCCGGTTCTGGTACAAAGTCGCCTTTTGTATTCCATCGCATTGTTCTGGTACAACTTCAAGGATGAGTCAAAGCAGCAAATGGACGTTGCGATACGAGTTGCGGTTGACATCAAGATGTTCCACGCCGATTTTGCGAAGAGCCACAGCTTTGGTGATCCTGTGATGGCGGAATGCTGGAGGCGAACGTGGTGGATGTTGTTCGTAATCGATGCCTACTACGCTGGGACACTGGGGACCATGAACTTTACGGTAGTGGATGTAGAGGCAACGGTTGAACTGCCATGCGATGAAGGAGAGTACGAATCAGGGGTGAGTACGGCATCTATCCAGACACCTACCGTGCAAGTCAAAACTGATGTCTCTAGGATATTCCCGAGCCACAAACTCTGGAAGACTTTGACTCCAGGGAATTCGCGCCAGAACAGACATCTTTTTCTTCCTTTGCCTATCTCATCAGCGCGGTTCGCTGTGCAGCTCAAGCGATATCCACGACACCGAAGATCGCCTCGGCCGGCGACTCTGCACACCTCATTCAGTCGGCCGACTCTATCATTGACGGATGGGTGCTTTTGTTGCCGAAGGACCGACAACAGGTCATGTCGAAGGCTGGGAAGATTGACGAGATCATGTTTCAAGCCCAGTTGTTGATCGGAGTGTAAGTGACCCTCGGTTTTGTCAGTAAGAATCTGCTCTGACCGTGATGATCACAGAGCCACCATTGGACTACACAGGCCGTTGTCAGACCTCCGATTCAATGCGGTGGAAAACGTCTCAAGCTGTGCTCGCGAGCCCCCGCGCGACAAACCGAATTCAGATCTTATCAACGTTCATACTGTGAGAGTTCTGAGAGCCATCGAGTCACAGATACGCTTATTGGCATTGCCAGTGCGGCCTTTTCATCACAGTCCTTTCACTACCTGTATGGTCAGTGAAGGGACCCTGGCGCTGCTCTCGGCTTGCAATTTTCTGCTAAAAGGTGACAAGTTGGCCATTGCAAGAAACCAGATCCGGCTCACTATTGGGTGTCTTTCGTCCTTGGGAGAAGTGTGGCCAAGGACAGCGAAAAACGTCAAGGAAATACAAACCATCGCTCGACATGTGTTGGGCATGAAGAAGAAGGAGATCATTGCTGATGGTCAGAATACTCCGAACACCAGCAGCGTACCCAGCCTGTCGGGTGACGAGGGCCAGGCAAGTCGTGGTTCAGAAACTGAAACATCAGGAGTCGATGCGGACATCATCACTTCACTCGGGTCGATGGATGATGTCTGCGGGTGGTACAGTTTGAGTGATCTAGGGCCAGAAGTCACCCACTGGATGGGAAGTGAGCTTATGGACTTTCAATAATGTCACTTTGTCTACTGGCAAACTTGTCGAGCTGTTCATGAAAGAGGACTTGCCGTAGGAAGTTGCACATGTTGCATTGGCACAAGTCCTACATAAAAGGAATTTGCGGGAAGGATAATCGGGAATCAATCAGTGGCAATACACTTGACGGAAGTCTATGTCGGGATCCCGCGCCTATGCATTCGAATGTACATAAACTTGCACGCGTACATCTGCATCCCAAAGACTAATGCTGCCAGTCAAGCCCTACATTGACAACTAAGTGTTCGGTTTCCTCTACTCAATAATCTAACCATCACAACTCAAAATGTCTGCCCACGACGTCATGTGCGCCAATCCCACCCGTTTCGCCATTGTCGCATGGCAGAACATGGATCTCTTGGACTTCGCTGGACCCTGCGAGGTCTTATCTCACTTTAAGAACATCACCGGAGAACGTCTCTGCACATTGACAGTCGCTGCAGACAAGGACAGGGTCTCTACTCCCCAGGGCATCACTATCGGTCGCGACGTTACCATCGACAAGATGATCTCCCACATTGCAGATTTCGACGTACTCCTCATCCCAGGAGGCCATGGCTTCTCCAACGATAACCCGCCGAACGTACCGAGCGTCACAAGAGTTATTGAGGCATTTCTTTCGCTCCCGTCCCGTGGGAAACAACACCAGGAGAGATTCATCTTGTCTATCTGTGCTGGTGCTTTCTTCTTGGCCCAAGCCGGCATCCTATCTGGACGAACCGCCACTGCTCATTACGGGCGGCTGACCGACTTATCGCTGTTTGCTAATCGGCACGGGACTGGCGGCACCAGGGTCGTGAGGCAGCATTACGTTGATTGCGGAGTCGACGAAGAGAGAGGTCTGCGTATTATCACTAGCGGAGGAATCACTAGCGGGCTTGATGCGACCCTTTATCTTGCAGAGTGTCTCTTTGGCAAGGATGTTGCCGAAGCAGCTTCAGCTACGCTGGATTATACTTGGAGGAGAGAGATGACCCCATTTGGATTTTCTCAGCATCTTTGAATGATAGTCAAAGCCCATTTTAGTCTGAAGTGTCATCTGTAAATCAGATGTTTTTACCCAATAAAATTACATGTATTCATTGTTCATGCTCTTAGATTCCATAAGACTATTATGTGAGGATGATGAGTCAAGCGTCAATACAGCTGAAGAACTCTATTGTATCTCAATGACCCCTTCTGGTAACATTCTGTGCAAATTACTACTTCCATTCCTCGTCAATCACCGTCAAATTCTCGTATCCCTTCTTCACAACACTAGTATCGACGATGAACACCGCATGAAGCTTCGCAACATCAACCTGGCTCGGGTTCTCTCCCACAGTGTGATGGCAGCCGGGCATTTCCATGAAACTCTCGCCGACCTCGTACACCCTTGGCGGGTTCCCGTTCATCCCGCTCAAGACCGTCCCCTCAATTACTTGAGCAACAACCGTAGCACCGGCGTGTCGATGAGGAGGGGTGAATCCATTGGGGGGATAGACTACTTCGAGGCCGACGACGGACTTGCCGGGTGCGTTGGCGAGCTCGTAGTCGTACAGGACTTTGCCGGTTTCTCTTGGGCGACCACTGTGAAAAGTCAGCAGTGCATCCGGTGCGGCATAGTGTAGCTTTTTTGAAGGTAGACCTACTGGTTGCTTTCGGCTGTGCGGTTCATGATTGTAAGAGATAATGTGTGGCAAATTGCCCACAAGCGACTTGTTGACGAGAGTGATTTCCGCTGACCTAGGCACGGAACAGGTGGAACCGGGTGTCGATAACTCAGGCGTAAATTACAACAGTCTCGAGATCTGCATTGCAGATATTTGTGCTATTTTGCGATATATGTGCCCTTCAAATAAAATCCCAAAAAGCGGGCAACATAGGCTTTGGGAGTTTCGGCGGACGGTAAATCGGGCTCTCGCCGCAAAAGCGGGTATCCGGATACCCGCGGCGGCCCCACTATGTCCGGTTTCCCGGCTTGCATTCCCGGCTTACACGACTATGACCACATCATCACATGGTGCCAAAATAAGGGGTTTGTTTCTTAAACCAGGCTCTTCAACGCAGTATAGGTATCAGGTTGCACGCATGTCCCAGTTATACAAGATCCAGTACACGAACATTAAACACGTCGACAATTCACAAGATGAAAGGCGTTCAGATTCTTGGGGACATCACTTCCCCGAAGATCACCACTACCACATCATTGACCAGGCCCGTCCCAAAGAATGCCGAGATTCTAGTTCGCGTTTATGCTGCTGGTGTCACCGGCGACGAGGTCCTATGGCCCGAACTCTACCAAACCGCGACGCGAATCCCGGGCCACGAAATATCAGGCGTCATCGCCGCCCTAGGGCCTGACTATGACGGTTCTCTGGAGATTGGTCAAGATGTCTTCGCGTTCATCTCGGCTGACCAAGGCCAAGGTCAGGCCGAGTACGCCATTTGCTCCTCAAACGAGGTTGCTCCAAAACCGAAATGGATATCTCACCAGGAAGCCTCGGCGCTGCCTATCCCCTTACTTACAGTATGGGAAGCGATGGTCGATCATTCAAGTCTCAAGCCCGGTATGAGAGTGCTGATCACCGGGGCATCGGGTGCTGTCGGTAGCATTGCCGTTCAGCTGATGACCCAGGTAGCCGGAGCCCACGTCATCGGGCTAGCTTCACCTCGGAATCACGGGAATCTGAGAGAGCTCGGGGCGCAAGAGACGTTCGACTACAACGCAGAAGGCTGGGAAACAAGCATCGACGATGTTGACGTCGTCTTTGACACCGTTGGCGGGGAAGTTCTGAAGAAGTGCTGGAAGACTGTGAAGGCCGACAGTGTCATCATTACAGTGGCGGACCCGGCACCGAACTGGGCTTTTGCGCGATGTCGACCAACAGAGTCTGCGAGCCACCCCGGGGTCCGATATGTCTATTTTATCGTCTCTCCCAACTCTGAAAGATTGTCGAGAGCATCCCAAAGGATCGATGACGCGTCTGCCAAGCCTCTCGTTGTGACGGTGTTCTCTGTTGATGAGGCGGCCGAAGCGTGGGAAGCCGCCCGACAGAGGGGACGAGGGAAGAAGGTTGTGATTTCCTTTGAATCTTAGGAAAGAACATGGCTGGTGATCGTAGAATGGAACCTAGCAACCAAGTGCAACAATTACGCGATTTAAATGCCGACAAGCATGTTCTGGAACAACATGTGCATTGGTCCAACTGCAAACACATCGTCTCTCAAGCCCTGGCTGACAACTCCCATATCTTTTATCATGTTCCTAGCTGAGACCTTCCCAATCATTATAAGAAGCCGCAGAATAATACACGTTGTTCACAACTCCATTTTTTGCAGACGAATACATATGCATGTTCTTCCGCAACCTCACAGTCTGGAACCGAGGCTGAATAGTTCACATCACGCGCCAGCATGACCGAGGAAGGCAATAAACTTACGTAGACACAGCAGGATCCTCCTACAGGACCCTGAAAATGACACCCGATAGAATTTTGTCAGTATCAAATGCCGAGGCAGGTCTTACCGGGCGGGGACCGCGGGATCCATCGTAACAAACATCTGGCCTCATACCAAGAAACCGTTTTGTTTTCCAACGAGACCAACTCGCCGACACAGTTTCGACAAACATCGTGCCAAGCCATATGTTCCATGCTATCAAACATTGGGAGGAAAGATGAATAATCGATCCTCTTTCATCCCATCTCTTACAGCAAACCGAAATGCACGTGGCCCCCTCCGAACCTTATTATCTCAATGAAACGCACAGAGGCGGGAAACATCCATCCCACTGCGTAAAACGAACAGCGGGAAGATCAAACCCGATCCGAATAAACGCTGGGAAAGTCCAGATGAAACCTCACGCGAGAAAACCTTCCCTTACCCCGGCCGACACAGCTATGTGTGAGAGTGAGTTCTCATGCAAGACATGGCCAGATCGGAGGTGAACTCTGCGGGGTGTGATGAACTCCTTGATTGAACATAAAATGCTAAGCTAACCCCCGTGAACACCTTTCCGGGTCGCAGGTTCTGTGCACGCAGCCAGGCTGTCGACGGGGCTCTCACTATATCTGGCGATACTCAACTTGATCTCTGCGAGAGCTTGCTGATATCGGCGACCCAATATGAGGGCCATCTCCCACATCCACGCCAGCGCGCTACTTTGGTTAGCCATCCTGCTAGGTCTGGCTCAGAGCTTGCCACAGAATCAGGGCGGAGAATCCCCCGCAGACAAGGCCAAAAAGGTCCCCCAAGGCATTACGAAAGCCAGAGATGGCTCCGTGATCCTCGACACGACGGAGCAAGTCAAGTAAGTCTCCACGCCCAAAGCACCTTGAAGACAAAATACGTATTGACCACAACTCTGTAGTGGTCTCGACATCCGGTTCCGCATCAGCGGCCCGGCCGGAGACTTCACGACAACAAGCAAAGTCCCAGGCGGCGGCAAAGAGCCCAACGCCAAGGGCAACCTCGGCCTGCACGTCCTTCTCCACGGCGACAGCGGCCAGTCCTTTTTCGACATGCCCAACCAGGGCGTCAAGGACGGCCTGGCCGGCGTGACGGTGCTCGCGCCCGACCGGAACCTCCACTGGGGCGGCGGGCGCGGCTTCAACCGCACCGACGGCGTCGCGCACGCGCAGGCCGTCAACGACCTCGTGCAGAAGACGCTGCCCAAGTACATGGCCTTCAACGCCTCCAAGGTCTACTTCACCGGCATCTCCGGCGGCTCGCTCATGCTGTCCGGGTACTTCATCCCGGCGCACATGGGCAACTACGCGGGCAACGGCGTGATGCTGGGGTGCGGCGCGATGGAGCCGCGGGTGACGGTGACCTCCGGGGCGCGGGACGCGATGATGAAGACGCGGATTCACTACCAGTCGACGCAGAAGGAGCTGCAGCACCTGCAGGGCTCGATCGCCGCGACGATGAAGACGTATGAGAAGCTCGCGGGGGAGAAGGGGTTGAAGACGGAGCAGATTAACAAGCTGCAGACGGCGAATAACAAGCCCGATGGCGGCCATTGTCAATTTGACGGGAAGGGGTTTGGGTCGGGGATTCAGCTTGTTGCGGATCACTATGCGGCGGTCATGCAGGGTGGGAATGGGGAGATTCCGGGGATTGGGAAGGTTGATCAGGGGGTTTCTGGGCAGGAGTTGAAGTTTACTGGCGGCGCGCCGTGATGAGATGGCGGCGATGTAGTGAATCGGTTGGAACAGTGAGTCTACGGTTGTACACCTCATACCTCACAAAGGACCTCTTGACTATCAGGCCATGTCTGTGGCAATATCCAGCGAATCGACTGAGTTCAAGGTTAAGCGACCGGCAAATACCACCACTATTGTCCATGCTCAGCGGAACCACAAATCTATGTTTGTATTTAGTACAGTTGCGGTCTTTAACAACTGAAAACCTCTTCCTATCGAGTGTGATTCCTGGCAACTTTCTGAAGTACACCAACAAACCTAGCTCTCCTCATCTCTGATATCCAACCCTACGCATTTGCGTAGTCAAATCCCCAAACACAGTCGTGTTTCCACAACCCAAGCTAATTCCCTCTCTTGAGATGACTCAAAGAACGCGATATCCAGCCTTGCACTTCGGGCAAGCTAGAAGATCGCACTGGAGACCTTTCCAGGCGAAGGTGGCTCTCTTCTGTCCACACAACCCCCAGGTCGTCTTTCCATTCTTCTTCTGCCCGTTGTACCAGAGATGGTCACAATTCATCCGACCAGGCTCTCCGTTCAGCTTCTCTTCCAGCTCAAGCTTCTCGAGACGCTCTCACGCTACCTTCTCTCGCTCCAACCTGTCTGCTTAGCCACTTGTTCTGTTCTTCTAGCGGCCTTCTCTTTCTTCTCCCGTCGGAGACGCTTAAAGACAGCTTGCTGCTGCTGCTTTCTCGCCTTGCGAGCCGCTTCTCTTAAGAGATACTCGACCATCCATCCCTCTTTTTCTTTCAAGTCGCTGCCTCTCCTCTTCCTACCATCTCTCGAAAGCTTTCGTTGCCTCTTGTTGCCTGCGAATTTCTTCTTATTCTCGGCCGACGGTCTCTCTGGCCGCTTTCTCTTCTTGCCATTCCCTGATACGGGCCTGGAAGTCTTCCATGGCCTTTCTCTTCTCTTCGGCTTCCTTTTCTGCTGCTCTCATGAGAGCTCGCTCGTAAAAGACTTTCCGCTGATCTTCCATCCGGTTGATGATCCGTTTCTCTTCAACTTTCCTTTTTCGATGAAAAGCTTTGATGTCCTCTTCCACTCTTGCGTCAAGGCGCCTGTGAACTTCGCCGATGGCCTTGGCGATGGCCTTGCGCCGTTCTTCTTCGAAGAAAGGTGCGATTTCCCTTCGAATCTCCTCTTCGCGCTTTCTCAATCTCTCGTGAGTTTGGTTCCTCACTCGTTGCGCCGCCGTATCCACCCGGACAGTTATCTTCTTGTCGCATCGGGTTCGAATATCCGTCCATTTGGCCGCGATTCTTTCCTTGATCATGCGTTCTGCCACTAGGAAAGCTTCCCACTGGTCTTGTTGAGCTTCAGTCGGGGTTCCGTTTCGCTCAGCTCTCTGGCGTGCTTCTCTCGTCCAAGAGCTTTGGCTGGCCCGTTGGCGTTCAACTTCTTCCTGGGCTTGACGTTCAGCCTCCCGACGTTTGGCTTCTTCCTCCGCCTGATGCTTTTGCCATGCTCTGTACCGATTCCATTTCTGTCGGAGGCTCTTGTAGTTGAGGTCGTACTCGTACCGCTTTGCATCGTCCCGAAGGAATTCGAAAGCTTCTTGGATCTATGTCAGACGGTTTAGCTAGGAATAGCCTTTCTCTGCGGCGGGGTAAGTGAGTTGACCTTGCGAAACTCGTGCGCGTCGCCACAATTTCCGGGGCCGAGCTTGTCCGGGTGATGCTTCAGAGCCAGGACCTTGTGAGCTCGTCTAACCTCTTCGGCAGTGGCCGTTTGCTCGACACCGAGGTCGTCGTAGTAGTCCGGAACGTCGGGAGGCTCCATCGCAAGTGTACTATGAGGAGGAAGAAATTTTTGTGGTGATGTTTGGGTCGGTGTGGTGTGGACGAGGAGGAGGTCGAGGAAGGAAGGAACTGCAGAAGGCTTGAAGACCAGATCTGCCTTTTTCTTTTCTCGCTTCGCCGGGCACCTTCCTTCGACTTCACAATATTCAACGGAGATACCGTACTAACGGTTCAAAATAAAGACTGGAAGAACCAACCTGAGATGGATCCTACCTTATGGACGACCTCTCCCATCTGGAGGAAGAGGTACGTACCATCGGACACTTCAAGGTTCCTTCGCACGACCAGCCTACCTTTTTGCCTCATCCTGCCTTCTTTCAAAGTCTGCCTACCCGACTTCTTTTCACCTCTTTTTTTTCTTCCACAGAAAACCTTTCCTCCCTCTCCTTTCCATCAACCTCGTTATCTACCTGCCATCTGCAATATGGATCTCAACCCTTCTATTGCCGTCTTAACCCTCAGTGCTCGGTTTGCCTGGGGCTTCAAAATCGCATCATTATCCCATTCCAAGTGGAAGGGCCCCGATGGCAGAACTACCTCAGGTGAGGGTAGAGTTTTCCAGTCTCGTCTTCTTTCCTTCAGTTCCTGTTTTGGCGCGCGTTGTTTCCTTTGGCTGCAAGAGCAGTGGCGCGAGTGTTATGATCAAATTTGTCGTCACTCGGCGCTTTTCCTACTGCATTCCTTTTCTCTATATGTTCCTGCTTTTCTCGCCACGCCTCTTCTGCCCCTTCCCAAGGCCGCGAGTCACATCAAAGAGCAGGACCGAAATCTGGGTCCGCTCTGGCTCCGCGTCGAGACATGACGCGCCTGGACGGGACTGGAGCATGGCACCTGGGGAAAGATCGCTGGCAAGGTAGATCACTGCACATGGGCGATGATGAGTTTTCAGCACGCAGACGGCGAAGATTCCACTGGGATCACGTCAATGGCTGTTCATGGACAAGGCTGAGCCTGGCAAAAGTGGGATACATATCAGACATTCAGATGAAATTATGTATCCGTTCATCTTCGGTGGCATGGTATTTGGGTCTCGATGGTACGCCTACCAGCCACAACGCATCTCGTCAAGTTCCTCAATGGAAGCGGTTAGTAGGGGCTGGGAACAAGACTCGATGCCCCAAACGAGTGGAATTGATCTGCCCCCATTTGGTAGAAGACCAGCATTGATTGGCTTTCTTGTAAAATTGTCGTAATGGGGGCTCTTGGGCTTGAGACTGTGATGAAGAACGACTCCTGCAAGTCGACGATCTGAGTCTCGGGGAAGAGGGGGAACACATGCATGATGGGAGGGAAGACATGATGGATGGAAGGGAATACAGAACGCTGGGGATACAGAACGCTGGTGATACAGGCTGCAGGATAAAGATAGATGGGAAGATGTGATGGTGATGATGGAAGAAGAGAAATGAAGTAGGATGGTCGAAAGAAGGGAATTCTTTAGTCTTGCAGGTACGGTGATGCAGACGGAGCAGGTGCGGTTGCGTTCCTGCTCAAGCAGGCTGAGTCCCCCTCATCTTCGGAAGGAACTTTGAAAACTCTGCATGGAAACAGTGGCAGGTGCACATGTCGGCAAGAGCACACGTCGGAAGGAAGCCTTTGGCGGCAGGTCCCTCGATCGCCATACCACGGGGCATGCGAGGCAGTTGAAGGCGATTTCAAAGCTACGAACAGCTTTTATATATGAAGTCCGGTGGAAGTTTCACCTGGCATAAATCTATTCTATCTACATGAGTTGGAATTTTTGAGCTCTTCGTTGCGTCTGGTGCGCCCCTGGATAAATTTCTCAGCATTAGTAGCCTGCCACCACGTCCTCATAGATCAGAACCTCGCCTAGTCCTGACAGCTTGCATGGCGCAGTCTTGTCGATATCAACCTTTTCGGCTGCTAGTTATCCATGGCCACGAACTTATGATTCATCTTGAGTCTGGGCCGGCTGAGAGAGCTTCATTGGTTGGGCTCATGTCACAATGGCGTTGGTAATAATCAAGAGCATTGGCTGCCACCATGATACAAACTTTCAGTTCTTCTGGGCGTACCGGAGATGGCTCGAACAAAAGATCGACCGTAGAAATAGATAGACAACCCTGTTAAGCTTCCGGAGATACATTACATCTAAGATATATTCTGTCGTCTTTTCCTGTCCTCTTCCTGCAGTCCAACTTCTGGGAGTGCTATTTAGAACCCAAAAACAACTTTCACCGCAGCTCTTCGGCTCCTCATCACTCACCCACCTTCCCCCAATTATCACACAGTCAACACAACAGTCACAGACACAATGGAAGCCATTTCCAGCAGACCGTCTACCCCATGCGGCTTTATGCCGGCAGATATGGACATCCTCCGCGCAGAAGATCGTCTTGTCCACTCCGGCAGACTTACCAGATCCTCTTCTCGGTCCTACCTACGCGTCCCGCGATCTGCGGCGGTGAATCGCCTCTTCTTGAACCGCATCCAATCTCTTGGGATCAGTAAGTCCAGAGGCCAGATGGCGTCAGTGGTGACGGTGACCTCGAGCCGACGGGATCTCCTCCAGGGAAGGTGCGCGCCGGCTCTCATCATTCACCAGAAAGACGGACGACTTCACCTCACATTCACCTCGAGCGAGAAGGCCGCTCAAAAGCTCCGTCAACACGACTTCCCTCCCGACTTCACCTCTTTCACACTTCAGAATTACCGCCCACCGAAAACCTTCCGCGACTCTCCCCGATCTCGAGACTCACCCCGGGTCCCCGCGCCTCTTATTTTCTACTCCGGACACAAATCACCAGTCAACACGGAGGGAGAATCCGACACCATGGGGCTCCTTTCTGAGAACTTACTCCCCCTCTCGCCGTTGGACCAGATCGCGCCGCGTATCTATGTCCGCACAATCTTCGCCTTTAACCTCGACGATGATCACGACTCGTTGGATACTCGAAACCATATTGCAGAGTGCTTTCGCCGGGCCCTGATCCGCTGGCCCTTTCTCGCTGGTCAGATCCGCCCTGCTGCCGATGACGAGAAGCGTCTCGAGCTTTCATACAATCTTGATCACCGGGCCCTTGATCCAGCTCGCCGCCCAGATCTCTTCAACTGCCAATACCTTGAGGAACTTGGCGGCTATACCTTCGGCGAGCTGATTGTCCTTAGCATGCCCCCTTCAGCCATGGATAAAGACAAGCTCTCACATTCACCCAACCACCCCAAGCCAGGAGAATCGTGCCCACCGGTGACTCTCAGGATCACCGAGATGGAGGGTGGTCTGTTTCTGTGTTTCTCAACGCATCACGGAATCATGGACGGTTGTTTTATCAAGACCTTTCTCGACTACTTCGCCAATAGCACAGACAATGACCTTGTTCTTTCCCAGGTCGATGGTTCATACTTATCAGAAGGCCCAGCGTGGGTGAAAGAACTCGAACAACGGCCTTGTCTGGATTCGTACCAGAATCTCGACATCAAAGGCGTCACATTCCCAGAGTACGACTTCACGAGAGACACAAAGAGCATCATTCCCAAGAACAAAGCCCCGGGAGCTGTCTGCAAGATGTTTAGCTTTGACAACTCAACTATCCAAGTCATGAAGACTCTGGCTGATGACTACGTCAAAGAACAATACGGCAGCAAGGCCTTTGTCACTACAGCAGATACCATTTCTGCCATGGTCTGGGTTCACGTTACTCGCGCACGCCTTCCTCACCTATGCTCGTCCGACAAGACAAACTTCACCTTGACCGTCGACGCGCGCCCATCTCTTTCTCCTGCCTTCCAACCCACGGCCTGGGGAAATATCTACACCCAAACCGCCGCATCAACCAACGTCGCCTCCCTCGTCCAGCTTGACGCCCTCGGCCTCATGCCCGAGGACTCCCTCACTGCCATCTTCGAGGCAGCCTGGATGGTCAGACAAGCCATCTACAAGGCCAGAGACCCCGACTACGTCCCCTCCCGCATCGCCCTCGCCGCGTCCCTCGAAGACCCCGCGATGGAAGGAGCGGCTTTCCGCAAGGCGAATCAACCAGACCACGCCGGGCTCGGCTGCAGCGTTTGGTACCACATGGGCGCCGACGTCGACTTCAAGATTCCGGGTACAGGTGGCAAGGCGGATTACGTTCGCAAGACGTGGTCTGCGAACGACGGATCGATGAACATCATGCAGAGACGCGGCATGACGAAGGGAGAGGCACCGTGGGATGTGCTGCTTGCTCTTAGGGAGGACGATATGGAGCGTATCTGCGGCGATAATGAGCTTGGTCGCTGGACAAAATCTTGGATTTCCTGAGTTGGGAAATTGGAAGGATGGGTGCATGTCATTGGGAAGAGTACATTTGGACACTATTGAGATTCACGGGATGATGGATATCGGCATGGACGGACAAGATGGACAGCAGGATACCCCAAAGCTGTCGGCGTTTTTCTCAGATTAATTACCATGATACCCGGGAAATGACAAAATGACTTCTATTTACCTTCTCTTCCGCCTATGATGCTTTCTGTGAGGTATTAGACCTACAGGTTATGGCCAAAGTCATGATGCAGTCCCAATCTAGAAACGGAAACCTCTACACTTGGTACGTGATGCAAGAACCCAAGCAAATTATATTAACAGTTTATTTACACCAAGAGTTGCTTTTGCTCTCATTGCTTTTTTTTATTTTACCCTCTAGCTCTCTGTTTGGGTTGATCTGGTTTGACTCCGTTCAACGCCTCAGGCAAGGTCTCAAAGGACAAACAGTGAGGTGAAGTTGCTGCCTCCGGACCCGCGTCCTGGGTCGCTCTTTCCTCCCACGACTTGGTCTGCTCCTTCCTTCCACGTACCGGGTTTTGTCTACTTCACTTCCAGGTTGTTCTCACGCACAGCCCACAAAACCTACTTCTACAAAATATTCAAACTTCGGGTTGTTTATTTCCACAACATCGCGAACGGCAGCCTCGCGAACATCGCGCATCTCTTCTCCCCCTTGGCCTCCATCTCCTTCGATATTCCTTTATCATCCTCTCTATTCCTCTCCCCTTCCTTCGTCCTCTTCTTTCTTCGTCCTCCCCCAGGACGCACCGGCTTTTCCAATCGAACCGGCAATACTAGCAGCGGCAAAAACAACATCAATACTGCAACCCAATGGCACAGAATCGACATGGCTTCTTCTAAGGCATCTTCTATCTCGAGCCTGTACGAGTCTTACAAGGCCTCCACCAACTGCTTCCTTCGATGGTTGTGGTGCCAGCAACGACTTCACTCACCCCGCGGCACCGCCGTAACCTTCAAGTCGACGAAAGACATCCTCGAGTCCGCGAAATTGTTGGAGAAGAAGAAGACCGCTGTGCCCTCCTCGGTCCTCGGGTTTCTCCGCGATGCAATCACGAAGCGCTTGAAGGTTTTCGAGATCTATAAGGAGCTTCACTTGGCCGACGCCGGTCATCAAGTCTTCGTTCAGAGGTACAATGAGCATTCCTCCCCTGCTGTTGTCGATGATTATACTGACGTATCCAGACTCGAGAAGACTCTCAACATTCTCTTGCCACTGGCGGGAAAGTCGCGCACCTCTGTCTCCGACGAAGCTTCCAGTATCCTTCTCAATGCGCCGAACCAATTTTCGTCTCTTGCCGTCACCGTGGAAACCATCGAAGATGAAGACATCGGCACGAACGCTCACTCGGGTCACGCCCATGGCGCTTCTTCCTCGTGTGTTTCTCCGTCCGAGGATAGCGACCATGTTGCCTCCGAAGCCCCGCGCGATTTCGTTTTGGAAGACGATCAAATGCGCGATCATATGGACGCGATCTACTATCTCATCGTAAGAGCCTTCCTGGGAGTATTTTTTTGAGTTTCAGCATGATTAACTTATAAGCAGGAGCTGACCAACGTGCACGATGTTCTGAAGGAGTCCTGGGCTGAGGCCGCCGAGGGCAAGATTCCCCTCTCTCTCGCCGCATGGCTCACGAACATGGCCGCGTACACCATCACCTCCAACATGCCCACCGGCTTTTTCTCCCTATGCAGCCATTTGTTCACGAAGTGCGGAACCCCTAATTGTGCAGGCATCGGGGCCTTTGTTACAAAACTCGTGAAAGACGACGACGATCCCGAGCTGCCTGCCAGACACGGTGATAACCTCTACAAGCTCGCCAAAAGCATCAACGAATATGGCACCAGCCTCGGCAGCTTCGTCGGACCTAAGGTCGAGGGTCGGAGTGATATTTGCATTGGGACCGGATGCAAATGCAACTTCCGGACTGACCTCGTTCGTGACTTGATACCCTGCAAGACAACATCCAGTCTCCCGGATGACGAGAACCATAAGCTCGTACAGATGTTGGACAGTGTGAGAGGCGCTTTGCTGGGCACACGCGCAATCTCTCAGATAGAGCCGCTCAAGCACAATCCTGAGCTTGACTTTCCTATCATTTCCGAGGCTTTCGTCTTTTTTGCGCAGATCTTCTTCCAACGAGAAATCCGCATTGCCCATGCTGGTCTCGTCTTCTCCGCGAATCTGCTGTTCATGACGAATGAGCAGGCCCTCATCAACGAGAAAAGATTGAGTGGCAGCAAATGCCGGCTCCAGTGCCTCCGTCTGGCACAAGAGATTCGCACCGATGTTTTGCCAGTCATTGGCCTTATCAATCAAGTTGATCCCACGGAATTGCGTTGGAAACAACGAGCTCCCGAGCTTCAGAACTTCGTCGACGGTCTCGACGAGTACCTCCGCGACAAGAGCTTCGACATCTACCATACATCGCCATGGACCACTGGGAATCACATGACTGAATTGCTCACCGGAGCGGCTCTGACAGGTCGCAATGCTTGCTGGGACTGGGCAATTATCACGTCGACTCTCCATCTGTATAACGCCCTGCGTCGCTCCAAACTAGATGTGCAGGAGATTCCGCTCTTGGAGCAACTTGCCCAAGTCCTGATCCACGACACATTTCGGGGCGTCATCCCCGAGCGGAACTTTGTTTCGCTCTATCGCCGAGTCGTGTACGACTGCAAGATCGCCAGAGTGCGCGATGGCAGCGTTTCTCGTCTCGAAGTGGGATTTACCAAGTCTACGCCCGTACGCGGACATATATTGACCTGGTTTGTGGAGCAGCACTGCAACAACCATGACGCTGCCGCTGTCGACTGGCTGGATGTGGTGCACGGGGTTGCCACTTACACCAGACGACCCTGCATTTGCTGCAAAAGAGATCACAAGAAGGACATCAAGATCAACGAGATCCACAAGGAGGTTGCGCCGTCCGAATATCTCGAAAGGGCTAAGGCTACGGTCTTGCCCGAGCTCATGGGCACCAAGTACCCCCTTGCGCGGCTCAACTTCTTTAAGCTCTTCATGTTTTGTGGCAAGATCATGAAAGCTTTCGGAGTCGATGCGCAGTCACGCCTGGCTAAGCTGGGCAAGAAGGCGAACAACTCTTTGGAAGGCGATATTCTCAGCCATCCTCTAACGGTGGCGCGCTGTGTGACGGAATTCGCGCTCGAGGATCTCGACGAACACGCCGTCAGCAGCGGCAGTAGACAGAGAAGGCGCCTTTTACAGCGCTGTTCTACCGTCACGGCTGCCATTAAGGTGTTCCAGGAGAAGGCGGATCGGGAGGCGACCTTGGATCAATTCCTCTGGGATATTTGAAGTGATGTTTGAGTATTAGATGATGAATTGTAGGATACAGAACAGAAACAAGGACACCGGAACTAAGAGAGATAAGGATGGAATTGGGAACAGACTTCGTGATGCAGGATAGGTAGAGTGAACATCGCAGGTCTTGGTTTTAGCTCTTCACGTCCATTGCTTTTCTGACAACTCGTGGGAGTGAAACTGGGTTGGTGAACAGAGTTTGATTATCACTAGCGCTGACGAAGGAGTTGCCTTCCACAGCCTTCCACCTCTTTCATTTCATTTAAAAAGAGAAAAAAGTCTTCAGCGACGAGTTGGCCGAGTTACAACCCACACCGCACTATCCAATCGGCAGCCGGCGCAATGCAATGGGCCGCATAGACACGGGATTCAGGGTCCTATTGCCCCGGGAATACCGCAAGCCTCAGGAGCCGGGGCCGAATCGGGGCAAGCCGAGTCGTGACGTAGCTGTGCTGTCAAACGGTTTTTTTGACATTTGTGGCAGGGGCACCGGCTGGATTGCGAAACCCGGCCGGAATTCCTTAGTAATTGTACTTCTTTGCTTCCTTGAGTTCGCCGAGGTACCTAAGTAATTAGAAGGGATGATTGATTTCGGGGAGGGTCCCGCTGTCCGTGGCATGCGCGTGCCCCGCCCCGATTGAACAGAGTTTATATCATGGCCCCCTTGCCCGAAGCTCGCAGACGTCACTGGCATATCTTAATCGTGACCTCACACACCTCACCTCACATTCTCACTTTCACTCTCACTCTCCTTCACGCAACTCACAGTAGAAGCATCACAAGACTCAAATCACATCGCAAACATGACCACACAACAACCCCCAACCACAATGCGCCGCTGGCAAATCGCCGCCCCGGGCCCCTTCACCAGCACAAACCTCACCCTCGCCACCGTCCCGACCCCCTCGGAACCCCTCAAGCCCAACCAACTCCTCGTCCGCGTCGCCGCCGCTGGCATCAACCCGGCCGACTACAAACTCCCCGGCCTCGGCCTCGTCGCGAAAGCCGTCGTCGCCTTCCCCAAGACGCCCGGCATGGACTTCGCGGGGCGCGCCGTGGCCGTCGGCTCCGGCGTCGCAGACATCCAGCCCGGCGACGCCGTGCTCGGCCGCATGGACCCGCTCGGCGCGCAGGGCTCGCTGGGCGAGTACGTCGTCGCGGACCGCGAGGGGTGCGCGGCGATTCCCGGGCAGGTGGACTTTGAGCAGGCGGGCGTGGTGGGCACCGCGGCGCTGACGGCGTACCAGACCATCGCGCCGTATGTCAAGGAGGGCGATCGGGTGTTTATCAACGGCGGGTCCGGCGGTACGGGGACGTACGGGATTCAGATCGCCAAGGCGCTCGGGTGCAGGGTGACGGTGTCCTGCTCGACGGCCAAGATCGAGCTGTGCAAGTCTCTCGGCGCGGACGAGATTATCGATTACAAGACGTCCGATGTCGTCGGGAAACTCAAGGAGGAGGGGAAGGTGTTTAGTCTGGTGGTCGACAACGTGGGCAACTCGCCGCCGGACCTGTACAAGGCGTCTGACGATTTTTTGAAGCCCGAGGGGCACTTCAAGTTCGTGGGGGGCGCGGTGTCGTTCGCGCAGGTGCGGAGTCTCGTGCCGAGCATGTTCCTGCCGGGGTTCCTGGGGGGCGCGCGGCACAAGTTCGAGGCGTTCATGACGAAGAACTCGCACGATGATCTGAGCGCGGTCGCGGCGTGGATGGCGGAGGGGAGGGTGAGGAGCGTGATCGACTCGAGCTTCGGGTTCGAGGAGGCGGACAAGGCGTATGAGAGGTTGAAGGAGGGGTCTGCGGCGGGGAAGATTGTCGTGAGGGTCGCGGAGAAGGTTTGAGGTTTTTGGACTGGGATCACGATGGGAGGGGGATGTCAGGCGTTTTTTGATGGATTGTCGTTTATGATAGATTGTCTTTGAGATGAGTGTAGTTTGTTTACGGAATATATACCAGATTGAACGGCTTTGAATGGATAACGGGTGTTTAATTGAGTTGGCTTGGTGGTAAGCGCTAATGTAGGCACGCCTCGGATTGCTCCGGCCGGATGGGCGGGCGGGAATCGCGGCCGATTAAAGCACGAGCCAGTTGGGTTTTCCGGGGTTCGTCTCATCCTTCGTGATGACGGGTGTCACTTTTGGACTTTGTTTCGTCCGGATCGTGTGTTGATGAGACACACGTCGTTGGCAGGTGCTCAGGGACTGGGGACATGACATGTAGCGGCTGGCCGTTGAGTACCCTGGCACCAGGCACAGCTAGAGAGGTGAGATAGTGGGATGGTCATGTTTCTTTTCCCGGTCTCACTGCTCTTCACGTGTGAAGGGCCTGTTCAGGAAACGTCGTCTAGGAGATGTCATGGTGGTCGAATGGGATGAATATGGCGCTGGGGAGTAGGATGCGAGAAAATATGATCGTGGGCAAGGCACAGTTCAAGGCCGCCAGGAATCGAACCATCGAACACGTGTGGTGTCAGGATGGCTCAGCATAGTATGGTTAACTTTATATTTTGGGTATCTTGAAGTTCATAACGGGCCCGCCCTTCCTCACCTCTCGGCTCATGATCAATCTACCGAGCTATCACGCTTCAACCATGCCTCATCCATGCCTTATATCCAACCCAGCGGTACCACCGCGGTATAGACCTCAACAACCAACCCCTCACATCAATGCCGCGCCACGCATGTGATGCCTTTGCCATACGTCCTCCGGGAATTTGGACTGCAGCATACGAAGCAGATTCTCCGCCTCATCCGTCCGCCCCAGCCGCGTCAAATGACTGACGGCATCCATGCCCATGAAAATAGCTCTCGCGACCAATCCGGCAGGATGATATATGTTCACCGCATGCGTGAAGTCGAAGCCCGTCAAGAACTTGACCGCCGGTTGGTGGTCGGGATGTGTCGGGTGGTGAAGTTGGAGATGTGCGCGGTCGACCTTCAACGGCCGCTGGATGTGGTTTGCAGTGCTTACGAAGGACTCGAACATGGGGGTTGACGGCAGCGGCCTCTTCCACGCCTCGACCGTCGACGCCCACGAGAGGACCTGCCATGGCCGGAGCAGGATTTGCGGTAGTTGCGGGTTCGCCTTCCACGTCTGGTCCGCCCTGATCATGGTCGAGAAAGCCGTGTCGAGATTCCTCTCTTCGATGCTGGACTTGGCGGCGACCAGGCTAGACATCAGCGACCCGACGACCACGCTGTTCTGATCGGCCGGTCCCTCTCCCGTCATCATCCTGCCCGCCCACTCCCACGCCACCTCCTCCAAGCCTTCGGGCACCATGAATCGCGCGAGCTCGTGCACAAAGTGTCTATCCGTGAGGAACTCCAGCGTCCTCTCCTCCCCGGACGACCTCAGCCATCGCACGACTTGCAAGCCCGCCATGGAGTCTTTAATGGCGTCGTGGACGGACAGCGCGCTCGACTGCAGGATCTGCTGGCGTTTCGCACGCAGACAGCCGGTCGCGGCCTTAATCGTCATCATGCCCTTCGCGGCGGCCTCCTCGAAGACGTCCATGGGATCCCGCGGCGCGGCGAAGGCCAGGTCGTTTGATTTCACGGCGGACTTGAAGAGCGGGTTGGAGAGGATGGAGCGGAGGTGGCGGTCGGTCGGTCTGCGGTGCGACGACTCGCGGGCGGAGTGCTTGGAGGAGGGCGTTTTGGAAGTCGGCGTGTCGGCATCTTCGGTGGTCCAGCCGTGCTCCTTGTCGAGGTTCTGGCGGAACGACGTTTTCAGGACGTTGAGCAGCTTTTGCGACTCTTTCGAGGAGAGCGGTAGGGGCTGGTGAATCGAGGGGAGGGCGTTCTTGATTGAGCTTAGGGATTTGGTGGTGAACATGGTGGGATGTGTCGGAGTTGAATCGCGGGGTGATGGTATTGCGGCGCTGGCGGCCTTTCGCAAGATGGTTGGAAATTTCAGCACTCGAGGCTGTTGTCTTGCTATCGGAGGATTCGGAGTGGTGTGAAGTGTCTTGTCGGTTGGCCGCGGTCGGAATGGTGTCACAAGTCCAGTCTGGATCAGCTTCGCATCATCGTCATGCCATGGAGTGATGTTGACCGGAGCGCCGGTCAGTCATGCCACCGGCAGGTCATGTGACCTCGAAAGTGCGGAGTCGCAGTTGACACTGGCGCTAAACGCCTCAGGCATGTAACCGTCTGAGCTCGATCAAGGCAGATTTCGGTACGTACCGAGAATGCGGGCAAAATGGTGGAGAACTCTCTCTTCTCCTTGGCCAGAAAATGGAGACTCTGACGCTGCTTTCTTCTCTCTGCTCCGGGCAATGTCTCGAGTACATGTCACGAGATCCAGATGAATGATTCAAGCCCGGAGAAGGGGACGCCGACGCCGTGCCCGGCCAATGCTACTCCAGATCTGGCGTGTACTCTTGACCTTGGGTCAGCTCGCGTCGCCCGTTGATCGATGAATGGCACGAATCGTCCCCCAGCTCCGGGGGAGGACCGCAACAGCAAAGCTTGCAGGGGTGGCATTGAGAGTGACGAATACGGCCTCGTGACTGAGCAACGCGCCAGGTCTCGGAACAGATGACACAAGAGCGACCGGGGGAGCTTCGCGAGCGTCCGTGAAGGACTGGAGGGAGCTGAGGGGGAGCCTGACTGTTGTTTGAAGGATGGCGGGCATGATATCGCATAGCATCAGATTCAACCGACGAGACGAGACGACATGGCACGCACAGAGCTCTCGTTCTCGGCCGACGTGGCAGGCTTTTTGGGAAAGCAAGCTGCAGAAACAATGGCATTCATGCTTCGAATTCAATTCGACCGGCGACGGCTTCTAGAACCAAGTGCTTCGTTCTGCTGGTTGTGGTTGAGGCGAGCTTGCGCCATTCTTGGCCCCCGGTTGCTGTGGATGTTTGCTGCATGTTGCCGTGGCCTGACAACCTGGATGTCAAGTAATGTAAGTCGGCTGATTGAGGTGAATGCTTCAGCCTCCTTCATCTCATCGCTTGTTGTAGCCGCATTTCGGGTGCTGGATGAGACTTTCTGCCTCGGAGTAACTGTGGCTGACTGTTTTCTTCCAAAGCTGAGAGCTGTCCGGGCATTGCCTCTCTATTCTCCAAGGTGCGTGACGGTCTCTTTTCTTACCTCATCCTCCACAGCCAATGAGGGAGGGCCAATGGGAGAACGGCACCGTGGAGGTCAGGTACGACGGAGGCACGGGGCGGAGGCACCTTCCTTTGGCACCAGGCGAGCCACAGCACAAACCAGCATAAAAATGTACGTGCGTGTACTTGCCATCTGGCCTCATCTTAGTGGCAAAGAGATGTACCTCTACCTCCACTCAGCCCATCGATTGAGGCAGTGGATCTGCATAAACCCGCAAAAAAACCAGCTGCGCTAACCGCATCCGGATGAAGGGGGTCGTCATTCGCTGCAGGCGGTTGCTCAGGCCCCAAAAACCTTAGCCTGACTGGAGCAAAAAAAAGAAGTAAAGGGAAAAAAAGGCGGCAAAAGGCAGCAAAAGGCAGCTCAGCAGGCAGGCAGGAGCAATTCAGTTCAATCCAGCAGCGGCGGCAAGTACCTTTTTCCGGGGTCCTGTCACTTGATGCTTGCCAGGTGCTGACTCTCTCCCCATAGGCCACAGGCCACCTCACTGACGCAGCTGCCACTGAACTGCCACTGGCTTTTAGCGTACCTTCCCACTGTGACTGACCTGGTTGACGGGGCCTCTCTTTGTGCTGTCAGCCTGGGCAAAAAAACCCCAAAAAAAACCTCCCTTTTGAACATTTTCCCCAGTGCATTTGGATCTGGCGCCTTGGTTTGCACAACATTCCACATCCACCTTTCATCCATCTCGTTTCTCCCACCTACACCACCACCACCACCAAACCTCCAAACCTGTCTCGTCTCGTCAGCCACGACCACGACGTCGTCGTTTTCCTCCCATTTTGCGGCACCTCTTTTCTTTTCCGTTTTTTCCCCTCTACGACCTCGACATCGGTCTGAATTCCGCTGAATCACGCCCCCCACCAGAGCTGTCGTGTCGATATCGGCCGGCCTTAATTGACTCCTTCCATTTTTCCACACGTGGAAAAAAAAACCCTCCCCCTCCTACAAAGAAACACACCCAGCAATGTCTGAGGTACAGACTCGGCCTGCCGCCGCGCGCGGCAGAGGTTCTGGTCGCGGTGGAAGAGGTGGATTTGCCAGCCGGGGTGGTCGCACTCAGGGCAGAACCAATGGCGATAAGTTCGACCACAAGGACGCCGAAGATGCGACTTCATTCGAGGACCAGGGCGAGCTCGGCGAGCTGAAGAAGCAGTACGGCAGCAAGGTTTCTCTCATCAGGGAGCTCTTCCCCGACTGGTCTGAGCAGGACATCCTCTACGCTCTCTCAGAGACGGATGGCGACGAGAACCTCGCCGTCACCCGCATCGCTGAAGGTACGTCCGTTGTTGGTTGGTTGGCGCACATACGCACACGCACACACGCAAACTCCAGCCTCATCAGGCTGCCATCCCCAGCCTTGCGCAATTCCCTTCCCGGCTATCGCCCAGTCTGCCTCGTTTCGGAACTCGACCGCCCCAGATTGGACTTTGCTAATTTTTCTCGTCTCCAGGCACCATCTCGCAATGGGGCGAGGTCACGAAGAAGGCCCCCCGCTCCAAGGCCAAGGAGCCCACGACTGCCAACCCGATCATCGATTCATCCAACGCTAGACCCACCCGCGGCGGACGCAACGCCTCGGATGCCGGTCGCGGTCGCGGCAGAAACACTGAAAGAGGAGGCGCTCGCGGTGGACGGGGCAGGTCCTCAAACACAGCAGCTACCAATGGCACCCGTCACACCAAGGAGAACGTCCAGCCGCTTTCAGTGCCTACCGAGGAGTCCAACGCATGGAGCACCCCATCCGAGATCAAGGACGTGCCCGCCGAGGACCCCTGGGCCCCCAAGGAGACCATCGAGAAGCCCGCTGCTGCTCCCGCTCCTGCTCCTGCTGCGGCTCCCGCTGCTGCACCTAACGCGCCGAAGCCCGCCGCCGCTCCTATTCCCAAGACGTGGGCCAGCATGCTCCGTCAGTCGACCGTTCCCAAGCCCGCCCCGAAGCCGCCCAAGGAGGAGCCCGCGCCCAAGCCTGCCGAACCCATCGAGCCTCTGCCTCCTGCCGTGCCCGCCGATGAGCCCACACCCGAGCCCGCCCCCGAGCCCGAGCAGCAGCAGCCGGAGCCCGCTGTTGAACTCCCCGCCGAACCAGCTCATGAAGAACCAGCTCCCGCAGAAGTACCAGCCGTCATTGAACCCGAAGTGGTTTTGCCGCCTTCCATGGACCAGCTCACTGAGACAAATCTCGAACAGGTAGTCGACGAATCGCATCCTCCCGCGACTGCTACCGTCGCCAGCACCACCGCCGATTCCTGGGACCCTCGTCTTAACGCTGCCAGCGCTACCGCGACTCCTCTGTCTGCTTCGCAACAGCAGCACCTTCCCATCCGTCCCGCTGTCCCCAACGTTAACAGCGGCTTCGCCGCCTCCGCCATCAAGGCCACGACCGAGAGAGGCTCTCGTACCCCGAGCTACCAGCGTCGCGTCCTGGACCAGGAGGAGGCTGTCCGCATGCCTGGCAACCGCGAAGTTGACCGTGCTGCCGTTCAGTTCGGCGCCTTCAGCTTGAACGACGAGGACGACATCGATGGCGACCGCGAAGAGCCTGAGACCAGAACTCAGCCCCCCGCCGACTCCCCCGTTGCACACCCCCGGACCTCTCTCCCTCCCGCTCCTCAACAAGCTCCCGTCCCCGAGGCAATTGGTACTCAGAAGCCCGCTCCCGGCCTGCCCCCCGCGGCTGCCGCCACCCCCACCGGTACTGATATTTTGAACGCCTACGCCCCCCTCTCTGTTGCTAACGCTTCCGCAGGCCCCGCCAGCGCCGTGCCTCAACATCCCGCTTCCAACCAGAGTACGTTAGAGCAAATGATTGACTCGCAACTGCGTTCCTCAGTTACTCACATGCCCCCAGCTCCTCAGCCTGCTGCTCAGCCGCAGCCCTACTCGCGCTTCGGTCAGCCCGGCTCCCAGGAGCCCTCTGGCTTCCCCCAACAGAAACCGATCGACCCCTTCACCCAGCAGAACCCGTCTGCCACGCAGAACCAGTTCGACAGCTTCCCCTCCCAATCGCAGCAGCAAAACCAGCAGCCCGGCGGAGCCTTCAGCTCTGCGCCTAGCGAGTACTCCTCTTACTACACCGCCGACCAACAAAACCGACCCCCTTACAATTACTACAACCAGCCTTACGGCCAGCAGGGCGCTCAGGCTCACCAGGACAACCTCTCCTCCCAGCAGCAGAGAACCTTCGGTGGCTACAACGCATCGCAGCAGGCTGACAACCTCAGCCAATACCCCCAGAGCGGCATCCAGAACCAGTCTCGCTACGGAGGCGTCACGAACGATGCCCAGAACAGCGGCCACAGCACCCCGAACCCTACCGCTCAGAGCCAGCAGCAGGCCAGCCAGGGCACTCAGCCTCAGTCTCACGCCCAGCAGAGCTACCCTTACAACAGCCACCCCTACTACAACAACGCTTACTACTCCAACTACGCGGGCTTCGGCCACTACGGTCAGGGAGGATACGGCGGCGGCCCCTACGGCAAGGGTGTCTACGGCAACCCGTACGGCATGTCGCCCCAGGGTCCTTATGACCACGCTTCTTCTCCTGCTGCTGGATTCGGCCAGTCATCTCTCCACCGTGCCGACAGCGGTATTGGCTCCGGTCTGGGTGGCGATTTCGGTGCTCGCGCCGGTTCTGCGCAGTCCAGCAACCAGCCTGGTCTTGCCGGCGCTAGCGGCTTCGGCGGCATGCAGGACACCTTCGGCCGCGGCTCTTCCTCGTTCCAGTCTCCGGCTGGACAAGGTTTCAACAGCACGGCCCAGCCTAACAACGGTGCCTCTGCTGCTGACGATCTGAAGCCCTTCGGCGACGGCAAGCCTGGCTCCGGTCCTTCGCCTTCCCTCGGCGGTGCCCGCCCTGGTTCCGCCACGAACAACACCCCCGGCCAGTCCGGACTGCCCCCTCCTCAGTCCAGCTCCCAGATGGGTGGCTACGGAGGCTACCCCAGCCATCTCCAGGGACACGGTCTCCACGGAAGCAGCGGCTACGGCATGGGCGGTGCCACCAGCGGCCAGCACGGCGGTGCTCCGTTTGGATCGTACGGCCAAGGTGGATACGGCAGCGGCTACTACGGTAGCGGCAACCAGCAGCAGCAGCGCGGCGGCTGGGGCGGAAACTACCACTAGAGAGGTAGTGGTCGTCGGCCATCCAACCCTCGATCTTACGAGGCTCATCGATCCTACGACGGGCCCCGATCCTAGGAGGATAACTGAGTGGCCATCGACCTCGGCGCCCCGGCACGCTGTCGCAAGTTGCGGTTTTGTCGGCACACGAATCTCTTTGGGCCTGCGGACGGTGTTTCACTGCAGGCGGCAAGGGTAATTCATGCTTCTCTCTCTCTCATAGGGAAAACTTTCTTCTCTCTACTCATTACTCTGTGTTATGGCCTTTGAGCGTGTGTGTACGATCTATCAAAAAAAGAATCAGGGAGGGGAAACACTTTCGGATGGTCACCTACCGCGACGGAACTGTGTTTTTTGTTTTCTTTTTCGCCATGGGGAGGTCTAATCAGGCTTGCTCAAAAGAATGATAGCCGGTGGCGGGTGGCATACGGCCTTGAAAACGCTATTGACAGACGGATTTGGACTCGGTGGGAGGTTGGTCGTTGCCCGACGGAGGGCTGATATTGAGATTGAACTCCTTGGAAAAGGGAGGTAGTAGCCAATGAAGATCTTTGGCACACACGATGATTGTCTTAGTCCCTCGCTACTTGATTGTGTGATGTGAACGTGACACGTGGATTGTGTTCCCTATTGGAGGTTTTGCTTGGGATTATCGTCGTCAGACTTAGAGTCCCACCCCAAAGAACAAAGATGGCTGTGATGATATCGTGGATTTTCCGCTGACGTTCTGCCAAGATTAGGGCACCCCTTGCCATGGCATGGTAAAACGGAAAGTTGATAGTGTGGGCGATATGCTGAGTTCCTGTGTCACATCGGTCGTGGTTTCTCACATTCTCACATTGATTAAAACGTCAGCTCCGTCGCTGAGTTCTGGTCTGATACCCCCGAACAGCATGTAGTTACGCCTCGTGATGAGAAAGATAAGCGTCAGATGGATTTTAGGGTAATGATAGAATCTATGATGGGCTTTACCTTGGTAGAATATGGCGGCATGTCGTTTTCGTGAGAGTTTCTGCATCGCGAACTTGGTTCAGGATGGGGAGACTTGAGAATGGAAACTCAACGCGCCTCTGATCAGAGGCGTGCCTTGTGATAGTACTGGATATGACATAAAGCCCGCACCGGAATCTTTATTGAGCCGAGTGAGATAAACTGAGTCCAGTTTCGTCCAATGTAAGGAATGCGTGAAGTGATGCTCTGCTGGATCACTCTGAGAAGGACGTAGTGAGTTGACAAGAATGGTCTCATAATTATGAACTCAAGCCCACGAGGGTACCATTTTTTTCTGATTCATTATGCTCGACTGCTCGATTTCACATGGTTTCATACACGTGACGGAACTTATGCCGAGACACCATTGCCGTGTACGTTGAAATCTTTCGGAAAGCCCGCGTCAGACCACCGCTTGAAGCTGATACCCCCGGCGGCTTTGGGCATCCTCACCACCAGAGGCACCTCCGCCGCCTCGTCCTTCCCGCGCGCTTCCGCCGAGTGGACGAGCTTCACGTGCGTCAGCCTCTCGAACCCTACGCTCGAGTACAACGAGAAGCCCGTATCCGAGGCCTCGGTGTATATCGGGAGCTCCAGCTGGTCCGCGACGTCGGCACCCCACTGCATGAGCTTACGACCGATTCCCTTCCTCTGGTGGTCGGGGTCCACGGCGATGGTAGACAGATCTACTCCCCTGGTCAGTCCCAAACTCCAACGAACCACACAAACATCATCGAACACTCACAGATATACCGCCGCTTGCCGAACAACTTAACTCTCATGTCCCACATGGGCACGAGGATGCGCTCGCAGCGGACCTTGTCGTCGCCGGTGAGCCAGGGGATGCCGTCGGGCTTCTGGTAGGCGTTCTCCTCGCCGGGGCGCCAGTAGATCTCCCAGGTGGCCATGCCGACGATCTCGCCCGTGTCGGTCTCGACGCACTTGACCGTGTGCCCGATCCGGTCGTGGTTCCACCACTCGACGGTGCCCTTGGTGTGGAGCTCGCGGTCGACGCCGTTGGGGTAGAGAAAGCGCATGATGGGCTCGTCTCGGAAGGCGGCGAACTGCACGTCGTAGACGCGCGGGATGTCCTCGACGAGGGCGGGGAGGACTGCGAGAGGCATCTTGGTGTGGTGAGACGGGGTGGAGGGGGAAGATTGGTGAGGATGATGCTGTTGTTTGACGTCGTGACGTTGATGTGTGGAAAAGGGTCAAGGGCGGGCTGGTGTAGTGACACGGTGAGGAGCTTTCTTCGTGAGAGACGAGCACTCGTGAGGGACACGTCGGCGAGGTCGAAGCATTTATTTCAAGCTGGATCGGCGTACATACCCGCAGTTTGCGTCCGGCCCATGCCTCGCGATGCAACAGGGAATTTCGGGAATGATGCCCGTACAAGTGGACTATTCGTACCACAAGGTGGAGAACGTCTTCCTCTGCTGGTTGAGTGACATGCTCCTTTCTGAGCTCGAAATAGTCATCGTGAGTTGTGGTTCAAATTGTAGGGAAAGCCATTTCACAGAATATCTTGGCTGTCGAATTCAACCTCTCATAATCCGTGATTTTCAATGCATCTGCTTCAGAGGCGGTGGGATAGATCTTGGTTCGGCTCGCGTGGGATACCGATAGACGATAGACGATAGACGAAATGTCGTTTCTCCCTCCCTCCCACTTACCGTTTAAGCCACGAACAAGCACGGATTTCCGACCTCGGCCGAATGGTTCGTTCCGACGGTTAGAACCAGATATAATCGAATCGGCCCTTCATGCCATATTTTGCGGGACGTTCATGAGGATGTTGAAATGTTGATTATTGAACCATCTTCCGTCATTATACGAAGACGGTTTTGAATAAGAGCACGCCATGCGAAAGCGAAGTGGTTTGGCTATCGGTAAGCTATCAGATTGCAACATGGATTTCGACCCATGTCTGACAACCACCAATCAGATCGTGTCGTATCCAGTGGAACCAACAGCCAAGGCCTTGGCGACCTAGCTTCGAAGGTGATCCGTCGAGCCGACCCAAGTTGCTGGGAGCACGTCGTGAAGCAGATCAGATCAGCTGTCGATGTGTTGTTCAGGGCAGCTGACTTTGTGCTTACTACGATGAGCTAGATCGGGTACAGCAACTCACGGAATATGCATTACGTCCTGATATGAAAGCATTATGAGATTCTTCAGATACGCATATCGAGCCTTGAGTCCAAGATGCGGAGTGGCTCTACGAGACCCATAGCATACTAGAACCCTGTATCGGCGTGCCGGATCATGATAACTCTAAATAGACACTGCCGCCGACAGGTTCCGAAGTAGCGGCAATGCATGGGACCGTCCATACAGCATGCGGAACCTCGGTGGCTTCGAGAATGATCTCAAAGCCTCGGCCATCCACTCCGTCGTTATACGTTGACTTCATAGTGGACTAGGACAAAGAGGTTCTCAAAACCGATGATGTTCAATGGGTCTACGGAACTATACACCGAAGGCCGATCAAAAACTACCTAGTTCATGCCGAGCGCGATGTTCATCCTCCGACAAAACTCCACATACCGATCCCAGTCCGTCCCGCCCGCGCTGCCCTCCGGCATCGTCGGGCCCACCAAGCTCCCGACACCGTTCGCCTCGAGCGATTTCCCGATTTCCCAGTATTTCCCGCCGTCGACGAAGATCACCTCCCCGTCCCTCGCCGCGTCGCTCATCAGCACCCCCACCGACCGCGCGACCTGCGCGGGGCTGCTGAGGGCGAACCCCGTCGGGGCCACGATCTCCTCCCTGACGATCCCGGACTCGGTCCAGTTGGGCGCGATGCAGTTGATGCGGATGGGGGAGGGGAGGGCGGAGAGGTGCGGGAGGAGGCCGCGCATGAAGCCGAGGACGGCGTGTTTGGATGTTGCTGAGTGGGGATGTTAGATCGAGTTCGGGAGACTTGGAAATACACCCAAGCGATGGTTCAAGTAGGTAAGTTTCATGGTGATAGGCAGGCCATAACAAGGAGTGGGTTTGATAGAGACTCAGAGGACTTGGACGTACTGTAATCTACTGCGCCGAATCTCGTCCACGAGCTGACGGACGCTGTGATGACGATGTTGCCCTTGATATCTTTGGCACGCATGTGGTGCACGCCGAGCTTGACGGTGGATATGACACCATAGAGATTCGTCTCCACGCAAGTCAGGTCTGGACCCTTCAGCTGACCATCAGCTGCGTCAAATTCGTCGTCGATGAATCTCGTGCGAGGATTGATTCCTGAATAACGGGTGATTAGCATACGCATCCCTCAAGAAGGTGGTCGAGAGACTGAGTATCATTACCTGCGTTCGCAAAGACCGCATCGAGCCGCCCTTCTCGCTCCACCGTTCGCTGGAACACACTGCGTAGAGCCTCCCAGTCACAGACGCTGCATGTTTCGTGAGTGAATGCAGACGCTTCCGTGAGAGACTCCTTCAGGTCGGGTGGTGGCGGGCTCAGATCGACGCTGGTTACCCGGGCGCCTCGGGAAAGAAGGAGTTTCACCGTCCCGAGACCGATCCCGGAAGAGCCGCCTATAAGAGCACAGGTTAGACGACAAGCATGTTTATGAGAGTTTAGTATGCATATGGCAAGGGTATTTGGGTGTACATAGCTTATGCTATGGCTCGCGCGAAGGAGTGAGAGAAAAGAGACAACATGACGACACACTGAGGCTGTAGAGTGACATTGAGAAAGAGAAACAGCTCCGGAGAGAGAACAAGAGAGTCGACCCAACCTGTAACAAGTACAACCTTGTCCTTCAAATTGGCAAGGTCTGCGTCGCGTATTTCAAACTGGGACATGTTGCTTGATATGTTGTCGTTTTGCTTAACAGTGTGCCGGTCCAGGCAAAGGATCAAGATATGGCTGGAAGCTCGACCTAGAACTGCCGATTTTGATCCAAAAAGACAAGTTTTTGGGTATCGTAGTTGGAATTGAGGTCGCAGAGTACGAACACCGTTGAGACCAGGAGACAAATATTGCAAAATGATGCGGCCGGTAAAATGTAGATATCCTAAGCTCGGTTGTTGTCTACCGAGGCTCTCTGCAGCAACTTGCAACTCCAAGTTGGTCTTGGCTACATTCCCTAGAGATCCTATTCGTCACGGACCAGGATGACGACTAGAGATCTCACGGGACGAACGAATCGGGGAACTTTGACGTTTGGAAAAGACCGTCTGTCACCCCGAACCCCGCACACCCCGCTCATATCCGTGCAACATGATGCGGGCTCCCGTTGTATTGATCGAGCTGCCCGTACCGCTGCTACCTTGACACGTACAGATATTTTGGACATGGAGTGCATCGATCGGGGTTCATATCTCCAGCTCTCCGTGTTCCGGCGGGTGACTCTGCCAGACACACCTATAATTAAGCCTTGATTTGCAGGTTATGATCCGTGTCCGACTCAGTCGGTTCAGTTCCCAAACTGCCTTCTTGCCTGTCTTGTCTGGCCACGAAGAACCAAGCACTAGAGACAGCGAGTAACGTTCCGCAGAGAAGACCGATGGAACATGAGTAGCTGACGCGATAGGATGGTCCAAACTTGGGCTGGTAGATTTGAGGGCCCTCGTTGCTGGTTAGCACCGATAGTCTCTCAGAAAGGAATGATCATTAACTTACAACTATACCCATCAGTTGGCACGAGGCCTAGACATTGCGTTTCATCAGTCCGGCGGTTGTCATTTTTCGAGTAGCTGAAAACGTTACTCACATTGGTGATTCCGATGGCCAGTCCGGCGGTCGTCGTACCCTTGGCTGCTCGGATGCGCTCTGATTGAATACTTTGTTAATTTTCACGTTTCCACCTGCGGGTGAGAGGGCTCCTCACCAGGCCAAATAATTGCAAAGAAGCTCTGTGATGCAGCTGTGGCAATCATGACGAAGATGTACTTCGCTATCGGATGTTTCACGGTAATAAGCAAGATGTAGCAAACGATCTGGGCTGCTTCCAGACCGAGTCCTGCAACCCAAGGACTCAGTCTTCGAGTGTGGACCAGAAAGGCTAGTGACAGAAGAATGACGAAAACTAGTGTGAAGGGGGGCTACAAAAGCCATAAGCAGTTTATACCAAAGGGTTACGGAAGACGGGTTGAGTCTCACCATGGTCATCACTTGGGAGATCGCGGTGTTTGAGATTCCCAGCTCATAGATGACTGTTGGGAGCACGAAAGAGATGCCCCAGCCACCAATACCGTGAGTTATCCAGATCATGAGAAAGGGGATGAAGGTGGGGTTGCGGAAGAGCTCTTTGACCTGTTCGACGTTGATCGTTTTGGCTTTCATGGTTGGTGCTTCTTCGGGGAGGTCTGCGAGGACCACTTCTCGTTCGGACTCCGTGAGAAACGTGACCGTCTCAGGGTCTTACTTGGGTCAGTGTTGTGGACCGGGTCGCTGATGAGACGGTGGACTTACAATTTGGCAAGAAGAAGTAGGTATATATGCCGCACAAAATGGCAGGAATACCTTCCAGGATGAAGAGCTGCATAGTTGTGTCAGTTGAACAGCACGGAGCAGTTCGAGGGCAGACGTACCCATCTCCAGCCAGCAAGTCCCCCAATACCATTCATGAATGAGATCGCGTAAGCTATGTTATGTGAGTAGGACCACGGATTCGTCGCCTGGTGTCGCCTAAACTCACCTAGTAGTCCGCTAATAGTCCCGGAAAACATGCCACAAGCATAGAAAAACCCCTAAAAAGCTCTCGTTAGTCTAACTCGGAGAAAACTTGCTGAGAAATACTTGCGATTCTTAGCGGAAGCTTATGCGTCGGATACCAAAAGCTAAGATGATACAGCACGCCCGGATAAAAGCCAGCCTGTTCAGTTGCTGTGAGCATTTATCTCATGATGAAGTTGAATAAGATGATCTTTTCATACTTCAGCAAGCCCCAGGAAGAATCGACATGCCAGGATACCAGCATAGTTCTGTGTTGCGCCTTGACACATAGATATGATGCCCTTTGCAACATGTCAGTCCTGATTCTTAAATCTCTCTCAACGTGGAAAACTTGGCGCACCCAGGTGATAATAATGCGGCTCATCCAAACGGAAGGAGAGAATCGTTTGAGTGCGAGAGTCGCAAGCGGTTCGAAGACCATGTAAGGGTAATAGAAGATGCTCAGCGCCCAAGCCCATTGTGAGCTTGAGAGGTTTCCCAGCTGTTTTCGAATGCCGGTCCCTTGCTCTAGGTTGATAATGGCAGCATTACTGATGTTGCTGACATGAATTCGCATGATCAGATATACGAACGAGTACCATATCAGAAGCCTCTTGTCAACCTTGCGGTGCGCAGTCTTCAGCAGAGGCTTGTCCTCCTCTGAAGGAGGGTGTTCGCTTGCCGGGGGCTGTTGTTGGGGCATTTCGGTGAAGGTCCCAAGTCTGTATCGACAGGGTGATTGCAGTTAGCACGCGAAGGGACGTGAGTTTTGCGATTTCTGTCGACGTGTTTCTCGATTTCTTCACGATTATGGGGAAATTCATGACCTTTGCGACCCCTGCATCACTCGACATCAGTGAGTGCCGATTACGCAGGCGAGAAGCCAGTCTTGCATCGCAAAGAGCACGTCTTACTGCGGGGCCATGTGCACAGCGGCATTCTCATGCAGCATATTCTGAATTCATCTTGGTGACATTGGCCTTGGCGTAGGCGGGTTTATCAGCGCCACGGATGAGCTTCAAGTGTCGCGAAGAACCGCAATAGCTTTCTTCAATGACCAAGCTGACTGTTTAGATTGGCCTCCCGAGATATTTGAAGCCCCAGCATACTCACAACTTTGGTACGGAACTATTGCTGTTCTTTCCATAATACTTATGATCACCGTGCTCATCGAGGTCGCCCATCCCCATCGTTAGATTCGTCCTGTTGAATCACCACACCATCTGCTTAACTCACAACCGACGTGAAGATTTAAGATTTTCAACTGGAAGTGAGTTGTCACTGAATTTGAATAGATGGCAAAAGATCCCGGAGTTGGCTGCCAGTCGGATTGGCCGGTTCATCCCAAGACCCGAAGCTTCGGGCCACTCAAACATTATTGCCGAACTCCCTCGTAGTCATTAAAAACCCCCAAAATTCGCGAGGAAAGATTGTTTGTGTGAAGACAAGAGATCTGTAGCTAATCTCAGATGGAAAAGAACGTCGGTTGGAGCGATGGAGCCCAAACTCAGCGCAGGATTCGTCTCGTCATGGCCCGAGGGTATGGCGTGCTCGAGATCCGGCGATCGGCTTCCGAAGCAGCGTGAGGTGTCGGCGCGGGGAACGGCGTGACATCAGACGGCGGGGTATTTATCATAGCAGTTCGAGACCGTGAACAAGCTCAGCATCTCATTACTGGAATGCTTCCGCACATGTCGCGTTGACGTCCGAAAAGCTCAATATGCCGTCCGCCCTATCTCCCGAAATTGCGCCGCTACCAAAATGGCAGCGGCCGGCAAAAACGACGCATCAGCTACCATGGGCAGACATCAAAGTCATTGACATCGGGAAGTTTGACCAGCCGGGTGGCAAGGTACAGCTCGCCGAGGAACTCCGTCAGGCTGTAGGTGAGGCCCGAAGTTGAACAGCAGACAGCCACTCATGAAATACGAAGGTCCACGAGACTGGCTTCTTCAGTCTTATCAACACCGGTTTCACTCCCGAGGAAGTGCAACGACAATATGATATTGGCCAGGGCTTCTTTAACTTACCCGTAGAGGACAAGGCAAGGCCGGGAAACACATGCGACTTCTCCCAGGGAAATTATTTCGGCTACAGACCGGTGCGTATCGTGGATCACCCTACTCTTAGTGACAGCAGTGACTGATGATCGAGAAGTCGCATGACAAGAAGATGCAAGGTACCGAGGTGTTGAACAACGTCGAGTCGGTGAACATCGCCAAGTTTCTACCCAGATACGCCAGTGAACCGTTTCATCCCTTCTTCGAGCCTTACGGGAAGGAAATTGAAGACTTTTCAAGGGTATGACCCTCCAAACGACCCTGGCCAGCTACTCACACGCAAATAGCGTTCGCTCGAGCTCGCGAGTAAAGTCTTCACCCTCTTCTCCATCCTACTAGAGCTCCCGGAAGATTACTTCTCATCACGCCACGCCTACGAGCTGCCCAGCGAAGACCACCTCCGCTACATGGGCTACCACCCACGATCCCTCGCAGACGACCTCAAAGTCGCCAACACCTGGTCGCGCGCTCACACCGACTTCGGCTCCCTCACGCTCCTCTGGAGCCAGGACGTGGCGGGTCTCCAGATCAAGACCTCGTCCGGCGAGTGGAAATACGTTCCGCCCGTCGACAACGGCATAGTGTGCAACGTCGGGGACACCCTCGACTTCTGGTCGGCGGGATACCTCAAGTCGACGACACACAGGGTGGTGCGGCCGCCCGAGGACCAGGCGCACCTGTTCCGCCAGGGGCTGTTTTACTTCGTGAGACCCGGCGACGACGTCGACATCAAGCCTGCCCCGTCGCCGTTGCTGAAGAGGCTTGGGCTGGTTAAGGAGGATGCGGAGAATGCTGAGAAGGTCACGGGGTTGCAGTACGTGAGAGAGCGCGTGAAGAACTATCATCACCACAACGATTACGCGGATATGAAGGGCAAGAAGTTCAAGGTCGGGAATCTTGAGATCGAGGATGAAGCGGATTGAAAAATGGAAATGTGTTCTTTTTTTGTGCCCCAACGCCGCCTCCATCTATGTAAACGCCTTCGCTTGACCCAACTAGGTGTGAAATAGACTAAAACAAACAGCTACTGGTCAAACTCCCCAGCGTACAAGATCTCACCGGGCTGACCGTTCGCAAGATCCCACACGGAGCGCTGCTCGACCTCAAGATCTCTCTTCAACAGGGAGGCCAAGTCAATACCGGTCTCCTTGGCCTGATCCTCCTTCGCAAGCCTGACATGCAAGAAAACAGCAGTCCTCTTGCCGGTGTACAGCGCGTGGGGCACGTTGGTGCTGTTATCCGAGTTGGCGTCGCCAATGGCGTAGATACCGTCGACGTTGGTCGCGAAGCCCTTGGAGACCTCGGCCGCGAGACGGCCGCCCCAGAGGGCGACGCCGGCGTCGGCGCCGACGGAGCTGCGCTGCTCGTCGGGGAAGCTGGCGAAGAAGGCGGCGCGCTCGACGGAGGGGCCCTCGGTGAAGTCGACGCGGAAGAGGTCCTTCTCGGGGGCGGTGGGGAGGGAGGGGTCGGCGGGGTGGTCGCCGCCGTCCTGGAGGCGGGTGACGCTGGCGATGGTGCGGTTCTCGACGGTGACGTTGTGGAGGGCGAGGAACTCCTCGAACTTGGGGTTCTTGGCCTCGGTCGCGTTGCGGTTCTCGGGGGTGTCGGTGCCGTTGACAAAGGCGACGAGGTCGGTGTTGAGGGTGAGGATCTCGCGGACGAGGCTGGGCACGTCGGTGAGGTCGCCGAGGAGGCCGAGGGCCTGGTCGGCGTGCTCGTGGCCGTCGCACCAGGGGCACCTTGAGAGTTGTTAGTCATGGGCGGACGACAAGGTGTGCGTCGTGAGCTTACCAGTACAGGCCCTTGCCCCAGATCTCCTCGATGCCGGGGGTGGAGGGGAGGACGTCCTGCAGACCGGTGCCGAGAACGATCTTGCGAGCCTTCACGGTGGTCGTCTGGTTGGCGCTGCAGGTGTACGAGACGACGAAGTTGTCGGCATCGCTGCCTTCGATCTTCGTGACGGTGCCGTTGATGGCGGAGACGGTCTCGTAGGACTCGATCTGCTTGCGGGCCGCGTAGCGGTACCAAGCTGGGGTGACGCCTGTTTGAATTAGCGGTTGTCATCGTGACTGAATTTTCGGGATCATTACCGTCGAAGCCGAGAACATCGTGCATGTGTCTTGTGGGTTGATTGCGGTACTCGCCCGAGTCGATGAGAAGCACGTTTCTCCTTACTCGGCCGAGGGCACTGAGCGCACTAAGACCCGACGGACCGCCTCCGACGATGATGGCATCGTAGATAGACGTCTCGTTGGCGATGGGCAGAGCGAAAGTCTGGGGCAGAAGCCCCATGAGCAACATGGAAGAAAGAGAGAACTTCATGATGGCGATAGAGACAGCTGATGCTTGATGAAAAAAGAGTGTGTTAAATAGGTTGGATGTGCTCTTATCGGAGATGCTGCAACCAAGAACTCAGAACTCCAGCTGGGCTACCGGGTGCCTTTTATCCCAACAAAAACAGGTTCCCTTCTTTTCGAGCATCCCGAGATGCGTGCCACGGCAACTTGATGGTGTGATACAGCGAGACATCTGAAATGAGCCTACTGAGACGTATATCTTAGTGACAGCGCCACGGCATGCCCGTCTGTGGGGAAGCCGGCCCGCGGCATTAGCGTCAGGTAAAGTGAGAGGTCTGGCGACGATGGGCGACGATGCCAATCGAAGGGGGGACGAGTTTGCCCAAAGAGGTAGGTCACCTCAGGGTGGTGTTCGTCGAAGTGGTATTGATCTGCTCAAGGGGGGTCCATTGATTCTTTTTTAGGTTTGATTTCAATGGTCCTTGCGGAATTACCGTCGAGCACGCCTTTGGTGGTATTCCATGGCTGTTCTGTCGCGTCGTTGAAGGGGCCGAGTCAGTACCCTTGGGAATCGCGATTGCGTGATCATCGATCTATGTAGCACTCAGAAAGGGTCACACGAGATATCGGCGAATTCGTGATAGCGTCAGGACGGGAGCCGGTGGTACGAGTCAAGAGCGGGACGGGCGGCACCTTGGCCAGATGAATTGAACAGCAGGCCGAAGAAGCTGTCAAGTGTTGAGATGTGACTTGTGATACACGCCCAATAATTCGCGGCAACTTGGAAGCGTGTCTTTGAAGTTGCAGAAACGAAATGCAAAAAAACCTGGCTGGGTATTTGATGAGTAGAGCTCATAACCCACAGATAATCCTGTGAATGCCGACATTGGGTTAGTATCAACAATGTCACGAGACTGACTATTCTAGATCTGGAACTGACTGACTTGTAATGCGAATAAGCTTAGATTGGCACGCCAAATGTCTTGCCAGAGAGGCGTTGGGACGGGGACCGAATTGTTGTTGTAAGACACATAGATGACTCAGGTGAGACCGCAAAGGTTTTCCTTAGGAGAATACGAGGTTGACCGCGCCGTGGCGGTAGACTTGACTAAAATCAACGCTTCGCGATAGCTTCACGACTCTCATTGGCGATGTAATTCGCGATGTCTCGCAACATCGGTGTTTCCGGCGAATAGCCGTTATGTTCTTGTCTCGGGTGCCACGTGAGAATGCATTCCCGAGTCCTGGATGAGAACGGTGGCGCGCTGCATCTCAGCAACGGAGCAACGTTCCACGCCAGCTCACGGAGTCAAGCCAGCCGCGGGAAGACGGGGATAAGTGCATAGTCGAGGTCACCCACTGCGCGCTTCAATTCCATTTCGCTAACTCGAGAGAATTGTTTCAGTGTCCAGGCAGAAAGCCTCTTCAAACGAATACCATATGTTGTGGGAGCAGAACATGCAACGAGGAAACCATCATACAAAATGATATTTCGCTTCAATTGAACCGCGTGTACATAAAAAGAAGGGTATCTAAGCGATTGCGAGGAACACACTCCGCCCCCGGACATGTGTCCAACCTATCCTACATCAAACTCCATGTCGTGTTCTCATGTAGTCATGTGCTCTAATTACGAATCGTTTGTGTGCTCTGCTCTCATCTCACGGGGTTTCCGCACCATTAACAACCCTCAAAGCTCGCCTAGGGCCCATCACAACCGAGAAGAAGCTCGGCTCCTGGCCCTCCAGCAACCCGTCCGCGCTCGTCACGCTCTCGTTGTCCGTGTTGGCGTGCCTGCTCGAGCTCGTGCGCGGGTCCCTGCCGCTCCTGAGATCCTCGCTCATCCTCGGCGGCATGCTTCCGCTGCCCGAGACGGTACCGGTACCACCGGACCCGGAGCCGGAACCGGGCGTGGGCTCGTCCATCATCCATTTCGGCTCGACGCCGGCGCCGACCCACGAGAAGGACTCGTTGCTGGCCGTGCTGTTGTCGCGCCGGTGGCTGCGCTTCTCGGCGCGGCCGACGCCCATGAGGCCGGCGGCGCCGCCGAAGTGCATCGAGCTGGCGCCCGAGTACCGGTTCACCTGCGAGAGGTGCTGCTTGTAGGCGGCGACCTGGCGGCGGTACAGCCAGGCGCAGAAGCCGAGGTAGAGGGCCAGTGCTCCGAAGAGCCCTGCGACGATGCCCGCCGCGATGAGCCCGGGGTTCGTGCCGGAGTCTTGTTGCTTCGCCGGGGCCCCGCCGCCGGTACTGGTGGGGCCGAATGCGGTGACGGTCGCGGTCGAGCCGTCCTGGGTGATGGTGAAGACCGGGGGTTTGCCGGTTGCGAAGGGACCACCTGTGGCGGGGCCGGCGGCCGGAGTCGTGGCCGTGGCACCGCCGTCCGAGTTGCCGCCGATCACGCTTTGGACCTTGCCCGGGACTTTGTAACCGTAGGAGCCTGCGAGGACAGAGTTGTCCGGGCTCAAGTCCGCTGGGTGGTCCGCTGCTTCGAACTTGCTCTTCCATTCGAGATTGCTCGCGTCGAAGACGTACACGGGTTGCTTGTCGCATGTCTGGCTCTGGCCGATGTAGCCTCCGACTACAATCATCTGGCCATCGCGCATGGAGCATGTATGGCCTGCCCTGGGCGTGGGGACGCCGCTACCCTCATCGACCTTGATCCAGGTGAAAGAGGGGATCGTCAGGATGTACATATCGTTATACTGTGTTTGCTCTTTCTAAATCATGGGTCAGCATCGTGCCTTGTGTGTCATTTGGACCATGACTTACGTAGGGCTGGAGGTTCTGACCTCCGAAGAAGTAGATCTGGGAGCTCGACGCATCCGGAGCGCTCGCGATCACAGCGCAAGGGTTGACGCGTACCGAAGGCTTGTCGCCTGTCGTCTTTTGATGGTACCATTCAGACGTCGCGATGTCGTAAACATCAAGCGTGCCCAAGTCGTCGACGAAAGTATCGGCAGAGCCACCGGCCATACCAATCAACACACCTCTGGGGCCCCAACCAGGCACGAAAACCAGCACGCCATCTGCGCGCTCGGGAAACGCTTCCGTATCTTGCAGACCACCCTCGGTAATGTTGCGGAAGACACCACCATCGGCAGCGCCGGCGCCGCGAAGGGAGTTGACTCCCGTGTTCATGAATCCCGGGTGGGTAAACTCCAGGAGACTCTTCAGGTAGACGCGCGGTGTGTGGATCGACCAGCCCTGTGTGGTTGACTGATCCAAGTGTCCGCCAAAGTACCAACTCAAGCCCAACTCGGGGACGGACAAACCGGCGCCTTCTGATGATCGCTGAACGGCAATGTTACTATCGGTCGAGTAGTTACCCGCTGATGTCTTGGGATCGCTGAATTCGAGCCATGAGTCGTCCTTGATGGAGTAGCGCCATAGTGACATGGGCTCGGGTGCGGCGTACTGGCCTTCTCCTCCGGCATTGTCGGCAAATTGACCTCCGTAGAGAAACAGGTAGTTGTAATCGTTCCATAGATATCCATTGGCGACAGCGGGTGGCCCATCCGGCTTATTCTTGCCCTTGAACGATGGGGAGCTGCCGTCCCAAGATTTCGTAAGATCCAGCGTCAGAAAGTTGTTATCTGCAACAAATGATCAGCGAGTTCGGATGTGTGCCTGTTACCCAAATGGACTTACTCCACGTGTTGGTAGTTTGCGAGGCATCGGTCCTCGCCTGGCCGCCATAGATGTAAAGAGTTCCGTTTAGCAACGCCACTGCGTGCTGTCAGTATGTTTCCCCGAGGAGTACATGCGAGAAGCTGACCTTGTTGGCTCCATCTCAAGCAGACATCGACGGGCGTTGTCTGTCGGTATCGAACCACACCGGCATCCGCACCGCCCTGGAGCTTCTGTCCGCCGTTGTTATAACTAAAGGCCGGGATGATGACGGCGATGAGCATTGCGATCATCCCTAACCGATGTAAGCTCGACACCGTGGGAGGCGGCGCGCTCGAGGCCGTCTGAATCCTCGGCCGCCGATAGGTCGCCAACTTGGAATACCAAGACTGCTGCTTTCCGACCTGCATCGAGCCCTGACGCTGTGGCCGGCTGGCGAGTTCGCGCTGGCCGGTCTCGGAGCGTCTGCCGTCCGTGTCGTCATCTCCGTTGCCATCGGCGTCGTCGTTTGAGCTCCGTCCGCGTTCAGGGGCCAATACGCCGACGCCAGCCTCGAATTCCTTCTCGCTCACCATCGACTCCTTGCTCCCGTGGGCATGCTGCGACGTCGGTGATGTCGGTAGATCGTCGTCGCTGAAATCGTCGTCGAGGCCCAACTCCTTAAACACCGACTTCCTGTCTTTCTTGATGTTGCTGACCATTCCGAAGGGTGGAGGGCGCAGGCGGGATCCTTCTCTTAGGCGATCGGAAGTATTCTGTGAGTTGAATCTCGGTCGTACATGTGGCGCGCTGTGTGCTCGGTGGTCGAGAGGGGGACGGGACAGATTAACAAAGGACATCGTGAGAGGTAAAAAGGCGTGGCAAAGCCAGCCAGCCGATATGGTATACGAGATAACGCTGGGGGTGGGAGGCTCTGACGTGCGAACGACGGTTGGGCGGTTTGGGATGCACAGCTATGATGTCGCCACCCTGCAGATGTGTGGTAGGGATTGTCACATCGCCCGCAAACACTGGAGCGGGATAGATGAGAGCTGTGAGGTCACGTCTGGCAGGGTACTGCTAAGTGAGAAGTAGACACAGATCAACGAGACGGAGTATGTGAGAGATGTGACTGGTGAGAGCGAACCAGCCTTGCTGTCGCATCACGAGAGGACCGAGAATGACAAGAGATGAAGAAATGAGAATAGAGAGTTGAATTAAGGATTAAGTTGAACAAAAAGGAGACGGCGTGCCTGAGCTGGCGACTTGGTCCAGGAACGAATTCTTGGTTGAGGCGACTTGTGCCATGCCCTAGATCCAAGTACATTGAAAACGCGGGGAGATGGCCCCTCCCGGGAATGAATACCAGGACCGGCCTATCGGTCCATTAGAGAGTAGCACCGCCGGCACCTCTGGATGATGGGAAACATTGACAAAGCTGATGGATGGCCACGGGAGTGCGCGCTACCGAGTGGCGGCGTGTGGAGGCGTAGACTCAAGCCGTGACAGTCGTGGACGAACTAGAAGCCTTCACGGCAAAAGAAGGAAGAAACGCCACAATGTCACGCCGTTTCCATCAGACAGACCGCCCGTTCGAAGCGAGACGGCATGTGGCACACGCCGTCAACAGAACGGCGCGAGAGCAAAACTTGGAAAAGGCTGGGCAGACGCAGCTCGTTGCTGAATTCATCCAGGAACGGTGTTGACGCGCCGCGGTGATTGGGTGCCCACTTGGGCGACTCTGGCCGCGATGACTTCACCCATCATCATCGGCAGGCCATAATCGCGACCCGGTCGCTGCACGAATGCGACCCTAGGCTGAGCGGTTGGGTCCTTTGGGTCCCTTCTCAGGGTTCCGGAGGTCTAGAGTCGGTTCCATCGAGATTCCAGGCCAGGGAGCTGATCCAGTGAAAACGCAGGGGACTGTGGCAGATCTCTGCGGTCGAGAGACGTCCCGGCGACGAACTCCATTCCCTGGCTGGGCTAGAGACGGAGACGGAGGGCCAAGACGAGGGTGTTTGTCGCGTGTGCGGATATGGGGCTGTCGAATCCTTTTGCCGGGAACCAAGGACTCAATAACGGTGGAACACACACCGACGCCAGCGCACATGAAAGCGGCCAACGGCGATGGAGAGATGGACTTGGTGGGCGCGGGAAACGGAACGAATGCGGCTTCGGGCCCCGGGCCGTGACGTCACGCCGGGCACCCTTGTTCGTCTGACCGTGCCGAGATGAATCCTTCGACTGTCTCTCGCCTGATCTTAAAGCATGACAGCACAGTGTTGTGATTCTCCAGCTGGCAATCAATTCGGTTTTGAGAGGTTACAGCTGATCGTTCTGGAAATGGTGAAATGACGGAGTGAGTCCTCCGGATTCAGCACCGGCAACTCACAACGGTTCCCGTCAACGTGTGGTGCGATTGATCTGGCGAGGAACTGACATGAATCTCGCTGTCGTTTTCATTGTTCCGAATCCCAAAATATCCGCTGATCATGGGGCCACGCTTCGAAGGTGTCGCGGGAATCCAAGACAATGTTTCTCCTGATTCAGGGGCACGCGAGCAGCCACGGTTTCCCGGGAACGCGACGCACAACGAGCGATGCAGCGTGCCTTTTCCACTCGTCACTCTAACAACTGAATGGCTCACCCACAGCTCCAGACTCGTATGCCTCCGCGATACCCTTCACAGTCACATATGTCCCAGCAACGCAGATGAATCCTCCAGCAGCAAACGTCAGAACCGACAACAGCGTCTGGAACCACTTGCGCGCCCACTGCCTCCAACCGTCGAAGTCGTGGTAGTTGTCGTGCAACCAAAAGGCTCCAGCGATGCCATACGTGTACCACGCCGCGAACAAGCTCGCCGCGATCCCAATGAGGTAATTGAAGATCGGCACCCCGACAGCCAGCACAAATGCAGCACCGTTGGAGAGCAATATTAGCACAGCCCATGTTCCCCAGCCTTTGATGGTATGGCTGTGAAGATGATGGCTCTTCCTGAAAATCCTCACAAAAATCAGCTTCGCAGCCGTGTGCGAATACAGCGACCCAGCCAGCAGGAAGTTCGGAATCGCAATGCCGTAAGCCGCCTTCGCCCACTTCGGCTCCAGACTGCTGAACGCCGGCGACGCGACCCCGTTCCCGAGGTAGACGTAGCACACGACCGCAAAGACGGCGTAGAACGTCGTCGCGAAGCCCTGGAGCACGTACGCGGCCTTCATCGCGTCCTGCGGCCGCCGCATCTCCGACATGAGTATGAAGAACATGAAGTGCCCCGCGTACGCGAAGACGGGGTTCGTGATGGCGATGAAGGCCGTGTAGAAGTCGGACGAGACCGCGACGCTGACCTGCCGGTCGGCCGCGGGGTGCAGGCCTGCGCCGATCATGCCCACGACCCCCGCGACGAGGATAGACATCACGGATGGGACGCAGAGCCACGAGAGCTGGTCCATGGTCCGCGGGAAGCTGAAGAGGAGGGTCGGGACGGCGAAGATGCCCGTGTAGAGCATGAGGCAGAGCTTGTTGTCGCTGAGGGTCGAGAGCGCGATTTGGCCCGCGAGGAGCTGTCCTCCCGTCGCGAAGACGGCGAAGACGATGGTACCGAAGGCCAGCAGTTCTCGGCCCGGCCGGCCGAAGAGGATTTGGCCGGCGTCGCCCATCGAGTGGATTTCTGGGTGCCGGAGCTTGAATTGGACCAAGAGCCAGGAGGTGTAGGTTGCGAATATGCCGAGGAAGACGATGAGGACTACCCCTGGGACGATCCCGACGACGGCCAATGACGAAGGCAGGGAGAGCATGCCGTTGCTCACGATCTCTGCGATCATGAGAACGGCAACCAGATGCCATGATAAGGTCTTATACTTGATCTGAAGGTGATTGTGTTAGCTGCATCGTGGACATCATCATTCTTGACATACCTGATGGTTTTCTTCGTGGCCGAAAGGATCAAGGTCATCGTAGACTACCGGTCGATCGGCCGGCTCGGTGATGTCCACGCCATCCCCGGCATATGTATCGCGGTATTGCTTCATTGCTGTCCTCGACTAATGAATTCTCTCGCAGTCTGCTCGATGTCCCGGCAATTCGGTTTGGCATTGAGAGGAAGCAAGTCAATCGGCGCGCTTCTATCAATATCAGGCGGGGTGATGGACTGTCGGAGGATGATGACGAGCACACAAATACGAGATGCGTGTCTTATCACAGGTCCCTGCCAAGTGTTGCAAGCGCTTATCATGCGATGATACTTTACGCTCCAGCTGCTTAACCCAATTGAACACGCATAGCCAATCTAGTTCGATAACAGAAGGTCGGCTATGCAAGGGACCTGTGTTAACCGCGCCATGTTTTCTTCATCTGACGAAGTTCTTCATTATTATTTATAATAACATTAAGCGACCGGGACAAAAGAAAGCTGATAAGCTGTAAGTGATCTTGAGGGACGGTTCCGCATCCTCAGAATCATTGACGCTCCCATCGCAGGCCTTCACCTGTGAGCATGCTCTTCTATGGAACGCGTGCTTCATGTCCACGGCGAAGACAAGCGCCCCGAAGGATTCCATCGCCGAAACTCCATCACCAGTGAGGGGAAGATACTACGCTGATGTCTCTCACATCGTACACGTCCCAGTTATCCGCCTTAGCAGGATCACCCAGAGGATTCAACGCAGCAAAGCGCATCCTGCACCATCTCATAAGCCTGTGTTCACCTTCAAGATTGCAGCGAATTACTTACGTGTAGTTGCCAGGCTTGATGTCGGTTCCGTCCCCGAGGCCACCGAGCCACCAAACATGATGCCTTGCGGTCTCGATGGAAGTACGGAAGATGTTCACCAACGGAAATGCCGCTGTCCATTTTCTGTCGTCTCGTGCGGGATCGAAGTTGGCTTGGCTTGGTGAGCCACGATACGCGGCGACAGTCCCTGCACAAAGAAAGCATTCGTCAGCTGAGTTCTCGATCTGGAACAAACTCTCGTCGACTGAGCTGGGGAGAAGGTCTACGCACCCACGAAACCGTTTTCTCCTACGACCGGAGGGTACGAGGTCCATCGAATCTCATCCCATCCACCTTCGAAGATCTGTGAAAGCATGCTTCGTCAGTGACAAGCTCCAAAACTTCACATTTAAGGAGTCACGTACATCCCATCGAAGCGTCTTAGTTCCCCATTTCATCTCGTAGGCGATGCGAGGGAAGTCTTGGGCTGCACTGGAGAGGTCAAATATGAAACTGGCAATTGTCAGTCAGGGCTATGACGAAGCAATTCTCGGTGGGTTTCGTACGATGTCGGCTTGGTTGCATCCAAAGCGGTATTCCCGTTGGGGCCCTTTGTGCCCGAGGGATAGCCGACTTCGAAGGTCTCATGCATCTCCTTTTGAAGGTCCGCAGCAAGGCCTATGGTGATTCGATTAGTCTTGCGATAATCTTGTCGAGACTGGGATAGGACTTCTTACCAAGGTATGGTACGGCAAGTTGCTCTCCTTTGCTGCTCTCGATTCGGATGTTACCACTGTATGTCGGGAGCAATGCAGCGTTCAGTGCTTCGGGGGCCTTGAAAGTGAACCTGGATGCCGGTCAGCGGCGTAGTCTGGAACACGGTCCGTCACAACTCACTCTGCTGTCTTTGTCTCTCCCGGTCCAACACTGAACCCGCTCTCCGGCAAGGCAACCTGCGGCACCATAGTCTGCGGAGTAAGAGGATACTTGGCAAGCTTGGACGGGTCGGACGCGTCGAGAGTGTCGAAGCCACCGGCGGGCTCAACTGCAAACGTGTACGTAACTGCCTCCGCAGCGTGGTTGGTGATCTCGACGGTGTGCTTCTCGATGAAGTTGGCGGTATCATTCAGAGCGAACCGCTCAAGCGACAGCTGGGTGGTGTAGTCAAGCACCTTGGAAGCATTGACAAGACCAGCGCCGACCTGAGCGACGGAAGCCGTGAAGCCCTCAACCGTGTGGATGTCATTCGACCATTGGACCCGCTCACCGCTGGAGATGATTCGCATCATGAGCTGCTCGCTGAACTTGGCGCCGTGAATCTTCTTCCCGCCGAACTTGCCGACGTACAGCGCGGCAATGCCGGCGAGGTAAGGGGTTGCCATGGATGTTCCGCTCAGGATCGTCCAGGTCGGAGGGGAGAGGTATGAGCTGTACACATCGCCACCGGGTCCCGCGATATCCGGCTTCAGGGACAAGTCGTTCAGGGCGCCGATGCTGGTGAAGTCGTTTGCGAGGTTTCCGAAGGGGTTGACGATTCCGATTGGCTTAGTCTGATCGAGGGAGAAGTCGCCGGTGACTTTGCCGCCGTTCTTGATGGCCGTGATGATCTCGTGGCCGGCATCGCCAGACACGGTACCAATGGTCGCAGTTTCGTATCCGAAGGGGACTCCCAAGACGGACTCGTCGTTGTAGGTGAGCACATACTCCGCCCCGAATGCCTTGGCGTTGCGCTGCTTCACGTAGTTCTCGCAGCCTCCAGAGCGAAGAAGGACGATGGCTTTAGCGAAAGACGGTGTTCCAGATGGGAAGGCCTGGCATCCACGAGCAATGTCGGAGGTGGCGTCGAGGGTCAGAGGGATGATTGGAAGGTTGATGGTCTCCGGGAAAGCCTCGTCGGCCATGTAACCCACGGTGATTGTTCTGGCAACACCAGAGTTGTCGGTGAATGTTGCATTGAAGGGCTTTCCGACGATGACGGAGGCTTCGGTGGATGCAACTGCGATGACGCCCTTGGCTGAAGAGCCGGAGCTACCGTGGTAAGCTCCTTCCCAGCCGGAGTTGCCTGCAGCGATGGTGATGACGATGCCGGTTGCTGCGATGCGGTCGCATACTCTTTGCCAGGCACTGTCGGGCCATCCGTCAGGACCACCGATGCTGGCAGTGATCACGTCGACCTAGGCAAGATGTTAGTAAAAGTTCCGGTACCCAGGGGTTTGGTGCTTCTTACATCCGCGTCATAAGCAGCAAGGAAAGCCTCGATCAAAGTCTCGTCATCTGTGTAGTCCTGATATCTTTCTCAGCTTATGTTCATAAAGCTACCGGAGGAAGTTTCTTACTCGGGCTCCCATCACCTTGTAACCGTAGATCTTGGCCTTGGGAGCAACTCCCTTGAATCTGGTGTTCGAGTAAGCCAATTGTTTCCACCGCGTGAAATATCGGAATTGGGCGGACGCACTCTTCGGTTTCGCCAGCGACGATGCCGGCGACATGTGTTCCGTGACCTTGGAAGTCTTCGATATCGTCGTCCGGATTCTTTGGTTCGTCAGGCCAGTCTGATTGCCGTCAGCCAGTATCGCGATCAAACATCTCACTCAACTTACACCCGTCTCCAACAAGATCACGGCCACCCTCAACCTTGAACCCGGGCCCGAATCCACCTCCGAGCTGGAAGACGTCAATTGCGAAGCCCATCAATGTTAGCGCATATGAGAGTGGCTTACTGCTTCGTGATTGTAGTAGATGCCAGTATCCACCACAGCAACCTTGGCTCCCTCGCCCAGGATGCCAGCTTCGTGAAGCCTGTAGACACCCGTCGACTTGTGAATATCTCGAATGGGGACGGCCGCTGCGTCTCTCTTGTCCAGAGAAGTCTTCGGAGAAGGATCGAGTTTGATCATGCGCGAGGGCCAGACCGAGTCCACATCGTCGATTCGGGAGAGTGAGTCCGTCGTCTCCGTGTCCGACTCAATGCTGACACCCTTGAAGACGGGGCTGTTGAACTCCTTGACAACGCGGGCGCCGGGTCTTGCTTTGATGGCAGCAGCTACGGCTGTGACATCTGCAGCCTACAGAAATCTTCAATACTCCAAGCGTGAGCGCAATGGGAAAGATAAGCTTACGTCGGAGAGCTGGACGATGAATCGGTTGGGAATCAAAGAGTCCGCCGTGGTGGAGTTGTCTCTTCGATTGATACGCTGGGCAGCACCTCCGCTTAGAAGGCAGAGGGCCGAGATGATCGTTGACGCGCGCATGACGAGGTTGCTGGGCCGTGGCTGAAGAACAGAACAGGCTGGAAGATGTGTGTTTCGCGGCGCACAATATCTTTATAAATCACAGAGCATACCGAATACAGTCACTTCGCGATCCATGTCGGGAATCGTGTGATTTGTGCATCGTCAACCAGATCAGGAAGCTCGTCCGCGTAATACTTCCCTATTCTGCAGTTCACGATGCTGCCGGCTTCGGCACGCACGGCGCCCGCGGAGAATGGCAACTCAGGTAGCATTCAACGTGCCTGCGTCCAAATTACCGCGCCATTTGTGATATTCTTGTGGGATTAGACGGAGTTGGCGATGTTCTTGGCAAGCCAAGAAAAGGGTCCTCCTCAGCTGAGTCGCCATGTTTTTCCCAGCATCCGAGATCTCGGCCTTATCGGAACCTCGGAAGGGACGTCAGGAGACGATTTTGAATGTTCCTGCATATTTCCTCAAGCAAGTTGCCGCCTACCTGACCACTAAACCCCCCCATTATTGTCCAGGAATTGGCGGGACAAGAGCTCGTATTCAATTGTCAGCCAACATCAACGGTTGCATCCTCCTATCAATTTTGGTTGCTCTGCATGATATTGCGACATTGCTTTCCGTTCAAGCCCCCCGGCAAGAGACTCGAAAGCGAAGAACTGCCAGAATCGGCAGTCAACTCCGCCCCGAATGGAATAACTCTATTTCTGCCCCTGTTTTGGGTGGGTTCTGTGGTGATCGATTCTAACCGCAATCTCCGAGGGCCCCTCCCCCAAGCGGATCTACTGATTGATAAGATCTCGACTGCCAATCGGCTGCAAGCACTCTTTGGTCCTTGAGATCTGACGATGGGGTGGGCTTTCGCTGCGAAGACGGAGTTGAAGGGTTGTTTTAGGAACCACACGTCTGTAATGGAATCAATACTATGACCGAGAGTCGTACGAGATTCTGACTGAGACCGGTTTTCGCGGGAAGCATTCATCGTTCTCAACCGCCCAGATACAACCGGCATGCATGAACGAGTCCACTCAAAAGCCTCGAGATTGCGACGCCTTGCAGTCATTGAGAAACACTAGACAGTCTGTTGATTATTGGGTTCTATCGAGCTCCTACTTGTATCCATGCGAGATCTTATTTCTATGGATGAAGGACAACCCGCTTGAAGCGACCGCAATATCTTAACTGCCGCAATTGTCGAGATGTAGCACGTGAAAGCCCTGATCTCATCTCACTCCAACACTTCTACTTTTGACAGGGTAGACTTACTGAAACTCGCCATCATTCTCTTCATGACATGGGTTTCTTGACAATGAAATATTGGATTTAGCTTCATAAACCTGCTGTTATCGTCATTGACAGCCATCACGTGAACCGCATCATCCATGGCCAATCTTGAGGACGCCAAAACGTCATGGTACTTCACGAAAACAGAGATAGCCGAGTGAGGGAAGTTGAGGCAGTGCCTAATTTCAGTAAAACGTCCACTGTCTCTTTCCAAAATCGCTCACGGTCCCTCACTCACAATCCCTCCAGCCTCAGTCATCGTTCCTTGGTTGAAGTCGAGATAGACTACACGGCGGCAAGCTCGACAAGAATGAGTGGTATTGCGGCGGTGACTTTGCTGTGAGCGTGAAAGATCAGCATAGTTCGAGTCTCACCTGCAGGCAAGGAGACCCCTATGCGGGCTTCAGACCGCACACCATCTCGACTCGTACATGTTTCTAGTTACAGGAAGCCGAAACTTTTGACTAGAGTTAGTTTATGCACCTCATACACACGTTTCGAGGTAGCACCTTCGGACGAACTGATCAGTGGAGGGGCACATTCCCAGAGAGTACAGCCAGCAATGTTCAATTGGGTTTTGCGATTGGCTGTGAGAGCTTCAAGATGGGATTGATGAACGACAGCAGAAACCTGTTCAGTGTTCCATTCAGATTGAACTTACTTCACCATCTCATGTTAGCTCCAAGTAGTGAGCATGAGATAGCCTTGTATTCCGTGACTGAACTCTACCACGTTCCACGCTAGCCCCAGCCTCTTGGACAGTTACAATATTCTTCGAAGCAAGACTCCAAATGCACCTTAATTACCAAGATGAGGCTATCATCATCTGTGGTCGCAGTAGATGTTTCGCGAGGCTCCGTCCAGTAAGGAGGGGCTGCTGATATCATAACCACATATTTGTTATGACTACATGTATGTAGGTATGTCAAATTTGAAATCCAGCACTTAGCGTTCATGTCCAAAATAGCAGTTCACTTTGACCTGTGATCTACTCCACTCAACCAGACTTCTATGTATTCGTTAAACTCACATGTTCGTCCGTAGTATGTCTGCGTTGCAATAAAGATTGACAATAATGACCTGTCAGGAAAACGCGTTAAAGCAACATGGAGCGGGGATCTGAGGTTGCAGTGAGCTGGAGATATTCATCCACGGAAAAGCAAGTGCATAGCTCCAACGGCTCATTTGCGAAAGTTTGCCAGAGTCATGCACCTCGGTAAGCCCGTCCAAAGAGGAGCCATATCGGCGATTTCAGGAACAAGTCTAAGACATGCCCACGAGACATGCATCCACGTGAAGCCCACACGTACGCCGGATCACGATGAACGACTAGAGTGAATGAATTCATTGGACCGCTTGAGAGGCAACTTGATCACCTGAATGGCGGTGGAAAAGGCCAGAGACATTCTGGCCATGCCGGTAAAGGGAAATAAGACATTCCCGTCGATCTAGAGCAGCCATCCCCGCATGCAAGGCCGGGGGATTAAAACAAGGTTCAGCCCCTCCCGCAATGAGGAGAGACAATAGGACCAGTCGGAGAGGCTCGGTGAATCTGCCGTTCCCCGCATCATGAATAGCGAGGAGGGACAAGACTCTTGGCTGGACTGGTGCCTTTGGACGTGGGGATGCCCGATGACCTACATGATGGAGAAGTGGAGTCATGGAGGGAGAGAGAGAGAGAGGAATCCGAAAGGGCCTTGATGTTTGTTTTTTTCTTTCAAAGCAGCGGTGACAGTTGACAGTTAGCCCTGGCACAAACCAGGCGAGTCTAGTCGAAGGACCTGTCGATCACTCCTTCGTCCCATCGAAACCTTCCGCTTAACAGGCTAGATATTCCTGCCTGTGGCTGCGCCCAAGCCGTCAGGTAATATCATGACCGGGGACCCTTTTGGTTAGGAGAAGAGGGAGCGCCCGGCCAGAGGCCGCGAACTCTAGACGGTCGATATTCATCGTCACTCATTTCCCCTTTTCGTCAGGGTTGCAGCTGCAGCAGATGTCAGCCCAACCATCTCGTCTCTCGAGGCTTACGAACTTCTCCTCGTAGGACCGATCTGCCCGGGTCTGGTGGCCTGCCATTCACCGTTCCCCCTCCTCCAGATGACCGCATCATGCAGCTGTTGTGTGCACCCATCGAACGACTCCACGTGCTGCCTCGTTGCACTGGAGAGCATCGCAAAGCTGGAGGACTGCTTGGTGCTTATTTCGATGTCCGTAACTCACATGCAATCCACCAATCTGCTTAAACAAGACGACGTCGTATCACTAGAGCAGACCCCTCCCGTCTCTATTCCCCTCCCATGGCCAAGAGGCCAAGACATGGGAATGTGAACAATTGCGACCACCGACTTTTTGCGAGTGCGGGGAAGCCCGCAGCCTGCACCTGCGACCGAGCACAGCACGCAACATTACATGGCACGTCACCTACGAGCCAAACCCTGGCAGAGGGAGGAATGAATGGAACTTTCGAAAAGCTTGCGCCGTTTCTCACAGTCAGCCACCAGTCTTCTTGACTCAATGCCGAGTTGTCCGGGAGGTGGGCTGTGGAGAATCCGATGAGCAGAGACTATGCGTGACGCACAAGGTACCGGATTACAAGTCAGTTGAACGTCAACGGCTCGTCCCAACGTTGAAAAAAGTTTAAATAAATAGAATTCCTCCAAGCAGGTATAGAAGCAGCATTCCCCTTACGCTGGGACCCCTCTTGTTCGTTGCTGCATCCTCCAGTCCTCTCGTTCTTCTGCCCCTTTGCTTCTCTGCTTCGTTTTCCTGCAAGTCGACTGGGACTTGTACTCACGAGTTCGTCCTCCTTCCCCCTCCAAGATGCGTCTCTCACAGACAATCTTCTCGTCCGCACTGGCGGTGCTCTCACTCTCGGGCGCAGCTTGTGCACAGAACGCGACCACAACAGCCGGAGGTTCGACGCCCACAGCTGGGACTCCCGAGCCCTACAAACTACAGACGCCGCCCTTAGACACGGACTGGACGAGCAAGGTCGGGACGAGCCCGTGGCCGCAACACCCGCGCCCGCAGCTGCGCCGAGACAAGTGGCTCAACTTGAACGGCCTGTGGACATACCAAGCCGCGGGCGGGGCCGATGATGTCAACAGCCCACCGGCCGGCGGCTCGCTCGAACGGGAGGTCCTGATCCCGTCCTGCATCGAGAGCGGACTCTCGGGTATCCAGGAGCTCGGCATTACCCACATGTGGTTTGCGACGACGTTCCAGGTGCCCAGTGACTGGGGAAACCAATCCGTGCTGCTCAACTTCGAGGCCGTCGACTACGAAGCGACCGTGTTCATCAACGGCCAGAACGCCGGATTCCACCGCGGAGGGTACTTCCGCTTCACCGTCGATGCCACGACGTACATCAACCGCAGCGGTGACAACACGATGTAAGTGCAAACTGCTCGCATAGCTGATGAGGTGCTGACACATGGTCTCCGCTCAGCTTGGTGTTTGTTCATGACCCAACGGATCTGGATGGCTACGTCATTCCCATCGGCAAGCAGACCAGAACCCCTTCGCACATTTTCTACCGAGCTTGCTCTGGCATCTGGCAAACTGTCTGGCTGGAGAGTGCGCCCGCGAACCACGTCACGCAGTTGGATGTCGCTGCCGACCACAACGGAAACGGTATGTTACATCTGATGGGAACGGAATTCAAGCCATAAGCCTAACTCCTTTGAACAGTGAACGTTCATGTCCACACCTCTTCGAACTCTTCCTCCGATGTCCAGATTGCTGTTCTGGATAAGGAGGGCAAGACTGTGGGAGAAGGAACGGGAAGCTCTGGCACTGGGTTCAACTTCACCGTGTCCTCGCCTGATGTTTGGTCACCCACAACGCCGAACTTGTACAACATCACGGTCAAGTTGGGAGATGACACTGTCCACAGCTACACTGGATTCCGAACCATCTCGACTGGTATCGTGGAGGGTGTCAAGCGCCCTCTTCTCAACGGAGAGTTCATCTTCATGTTCGGTACCCTTGACCAAGGTTACTGGCCTGATGGACTCCACACACCACCAACCTACGAGGCGATGGTGTACGACTTGCAAGTTCTCAAGAACCTTGGCATGAACATGGTCCGCAAGCACGTAAGTAGATCACCGATGCTTTCTTTCATGCAGCATCGTCTAATACCTTGCAGATCAAGATCGAGCCGGATCTGTTCTACAGGGCTGCCGATGAGATCGGTCTCCTCGTCATCCAGGATATGCCTAGCCTGACTGCCAACTCTGCGCGTCTCCCCAATGCTGAACAACAGGCCGAGTTTGAACGCCAGCTGCAGCTCATGATCGAGGAGCACAAGAGCTACACCAGCATCGTCACTTGGGTATGTCGAACGCGGCCCACCATATCTCCAACCAACTAACACATTCATAGACCATCTACAACGAGGGCTGGGGCCAGCTCCGAAACGCACCCCATCCCGAAGAGAAGCTTGTTGGAGTTGTCCGTGGTATTGACCCCACCAGACTCATCAACGCCAACAGCGGTTGGTACGACCATGGTTTCGGCGACTTCTCCGACAACCACCACTATGCAAACCCCCAATGTGGAACTCCATTCTACTCTCTTGCTTCTTCTCCTTATGACGAGGCTCGCATTGGTTTCCAGGGCGAGTTTGGCGGTATTGGTCACAATGTCTCCATTGAGCAGTAAGTCGAAATAACCGCGCAAACTACGTGGGCCGGCAATTGACATTCTACCACAGCCTCTGGAACGTCCAGCAAGCGATCGACACCATCAACGGCACGTACGAGATCGACGAGACGCTCGAGGCCTACAACTACCGCGCTCGGGTTCTGTTCAGGGAGTTCCGTGAGCAAGTTGAGATGTTCGCCTGCAGCGGCGGTGTCTGGACCCAGACCAGTGATGTGGAGGGCGAAGTCAACGGCCTGGTCACTTACGACCGCCGCATCCTCCGTCCCGACCTTGCGCAGTGGCAGGTCGACATCCAGGGTCTGTTCGACGCCGCGAAGGCTAGAAGCGGCCCCGTTAATGGCACCATGTAAGAAGCGGCACCACACTCGGATTTGACACTTCTTTTTCTTTGGTTGGAACAGTAATGCTAAGGTAGATCACCATAATGAACAGTCCTATCTCGGACGAAGGTCAGATTAGATTCGTACAATCGTCTTGACCGGTTAATGAGTAACGAACCGACCGAATCTGCGTCTCTTCTCTCTTTTTGAATCCACTAGACTTGACATCGTCGTCCAACCGCTTCCAACAAGCTGGTTCTTTCGGTGAGTGATTGATTGACATGAAGTAGCATTTGGGTCGCATCAACATGGAGAAAGGTGTGTGAACATGAAAAAAGAGGAGGAAATTGCATAATCTCGGCGGGGTATAGAAGATCTGCTGGTCAGAGGGGCATTGGTACAGGAGTTCGTCATTCATCGCATATTCTTCTAGACTTTGGTACAAAATGATATGACCCAGTAGCCTATGGCTCAGAGGAAACAGCATATAGACATTTGGGATTGTTTTCTGTTGTACCACTCTTGATTTGAGTTTTCGCCGTAGACCCATCCTGTTGCACCGCCATCTTTCACCGTTCCGGGCCTTGCCCCAGCCCTCAGCAAGATCATGCCCTTGAAAGAGGGCTTGAAGGTATTAAGATGGAGGGCTGATGCAACAAATTCCCAGTTTGAATGTAGGTCAAAGTACGTTAAGCATGACCATCAAATGTAAAAGGATGCTAAGGGCGCCTGCTTGCACACGTCAAGATGCCGGAGTACACTGCCGAACTTGCCCAATTATCGGCCCCACTACCCCATGATCCCCCTCCGTTCCGGCGCGCACATCAGACGGGCATCACGGACTGGTTTCGGCCCGCTTACTAAGTGCAAACCATATGATGTTGCTTAAAATGCGGCTTTCCATTCAAATAGAAACACTCTATTATCACCAGTGCCATATCTCTCTCTGCCTTTGTTCGAGTTCCCAATCCCTACGCTCAGAAGGCTCAGAGTTTCCAAGTACATCACAAGACCGCAAGCATCGTGTAGACATGGCGGGCACTCAAGGAACTTCCGAGGCTCGGAAGAACCAATTGGTCAAGATGACCATTGCCGCGAGAAGGCTCCCGGGCTGGGAGGACGCCAAGTTCCTGGAAGAATACGAAGGAGTCCATGCCAACATGACGCGAGGGATAGCAGCAGCCGTTCCAATCCTCCGAAAATACACACAGCTCGTTGCGATACCACACAAGCCCATCGCAGGTCTCCCAGATGGTGGCCGCGGGCCGTGGGACGCCGTATCAACACTCGAATGGACATCGCTAGCCGATCTCCACAACTCCTTCCAGGCACCTGAGTACAAAGCATCCGCAGGGAGTCACAAGTTCGCCGACGAGTCTTCCCAGGTCGGAATTCTGAGTCAGGAAGTCGCTAGTATTACTCTCGACCCTGCTGGTTTCGAGGCCCGCGGAGACTCGGCTACGCTTTTGGTGGGTTTCTTTGCAAGGGCGCGAGGCGATGGAGTGATGAGCCAAGAGGATCTGGCTGGCCGGACAGCTTTGATTGAGGGTGTAGGGCGTGGAAATACGTTACTGCGATACGTGCTCAACCGGAGTGTCACGCCGAAAGATACTGAGGCGTTCTTCGCGGGTACACCTTTTGCTGAAACGGATTGGAAGACCACGGAGGCCTTTGAGCAGTACTGGTTTCCAAGCCGCGAGGCTGCTGAGAAGTTTCTTACCGGCGAGCAGACACTCAAGAAACTGTTCACGAATCTTCCGAAAGGCTTAGATGCGGGCTTGTCTTTCGCCGTTGTTGGGAAGGAAATTCGAGTAGTTGAAAAGGCAGAACAGCATTGACTTTTTGAATAAGGACACTACAGCACAGGTTCGATTAATTGTTGAAAAGATGTTTACTGATAGCATTTTGCTTTGAATGCTGAACCTAACATCCAAATACGCAATCTCAACTGTTGCCTCTGCAGCACTTGAGGGAGCAAACTTATGGAGTCCTTTGCCTCCCTCGGCGGTTAGTCTGAAACTGAGCCTGCAGGACCATGCTTACAGCCAAGCTTAAGGACCATCCAGTTTGCATGGAAAGGACCCGTTGACTCTCCTGATGTAGATACCCAGGAGCTTCCGGGTCGATCAGTGATCCAATGCCACTGATGAAAGGCCGAAAGTCCGACGCTCCCGATATCCACTGTACCAGTATGTCTTCATCAATAGATTTGTCAAGTCTGAGTAGCGGGACTTCAAATCCTTCCACATCGTCTGGAGAGTCTTCCAGACCTTTCTCTCCAAATTCACTTGAGGGGCGTTGATTTTGCTGCGCATGTTTGCCCAGTGTCGTGAACATCCATAACGAGAGGATCGCAACAAGCAATGCCATCGTCGAATGATTGGAATTCGTCGTATGATCCCGGATTCCAGTGAATAGTTTCGCAGCGTGATACAAGATTGCTCGGCATCTCTTCTCATCTCTCTCAAGCCAACGAGCAAGGCTACGATCCACCTGTTCGCGAAATGAAGGGCTTGTACGCCAGCCAGAAAAGGCGTTGAGTTCACGCAAACAGACGTGCGTCAGAAGAGTAAGTGCATGATTGTGCTGCAATGTGAGCCATTCCATGGTATTCGAAGGCGAAATGTGGCTTTCTTTGCTGCGTAGGATATCGAGGTATTGAACGGCCAAATCTCTATCCGATATGTCGCGATAAACACCAACAGTTACAAGGAGAACGCCGAGCTCATCGAGGTCAATCGGTACTTGTTTACTCTGGTAGAGAATATTGAGCTGTTGCCGAAGATAATTGGAACTCGGGCAGTCTAGATGAGATGTTATAAGACGATTCTGGATTTTTGAACGTACCCCGTCGTACGGACTTACCAGCTAGTGATTTTCGTAAGTTTGACCATTCGATGTAAGTTTTTGCTTGCCATTGGCAATGACTGGATGGCATCGGCAGTTGGAGGAGGTCCAATGGCATCGTCGGAGGGAGATCGAAGAACGCAACAAGTTGGGAGTCGAACAGCTACTTGAAAATCAGCTCTGAGCCTGGATCGCAAGAGTTAAGTACGATGAAGGCATACCCAAGTCAGATGTACAAGTCGACGTCGGCTTTCGGTGCGGATCCAGCTTTGCCAGCTCTCGGAGGTCGCTGTACCAGCGCGTTCGTCGTCGGTAGGGTAGTTGGCCTTCTTCAATAGCGTAGGAACAAGCGACATGTTCCTTTGCGCATGCTCCGCGAATGACATATTGCCAGAAAATATCAACCCAATCTGGCTGAGCAATGCCGCTTGAGCTATGGCAAGCTCACAGTCTGGAGCAGAATCGAATTCGAGCTCAACCTGCGCGGTAATATTGTCTTCGATCAGCACTTGATTCTTCTGCCTCATTTAACGCATCCCGAGCTCACATACACAGAGGTTTATGCTTCGACGCAACAGTTCCTGGAAGATAAAGACCGTGCTTATTGAGCCTGAAGCTGAGAAGCCGCAGCCAGTGGCTGCGACTGCGAGCACCAGCACCCTATGAGCGTTTCTTGGGTCGAAAGTCGGTTGATGTAGCAATGGGAAAACGGGATGGTAATGCTCGAAGTATGCTTGAATGAAGGCGTTTACGGTCTCCAGTGGCGGTAACGATTGATCCGTGAACTGCCTGCAGAAGCCACTGTCAGTGTTGAGTTGCTTGAATAGCGACTCAATCTCGTTGAAGACGTCCATGGTAAGTCTGGGGACGTGTTGATATGCTTCAAGTCGCCAGAGCTTCTCCCTTTCTGGTGTGTTTATCGAATGCCCCTTGAGTCGAGAGACGCTTTCCAACCCTCGTGTCACAAAGTGGTCACTGCTGGATACCCGTGTCCCATTGCTTGACATCGTCTTTGAATAGTCTTTACCCATGGAACTCGAGTTGCCCAAAGCATCCTTGAAAGTGGCCGATAGCTCAGTATGATTTGTGAAATTTGGCCGCGGGGCTTCTCCTGCTGGAAATGGCCCATCTTCCCGATTGTGGGATATGCTCAAGTTGTTCCGGTTGGACATAGGATCTGTCGATACAGGGGAAACTTCGGCTGATGAGCTGGTCGTGAACTCCGACTGGGCAGATTTATAATGCTGGCTGTGAGCGATTGGAAACTGCGAATGGCTGGAAACGTCATGTATCTGCGTTGTGCCCGCCAGATCACCATACCAATCTGTAGTGCCAACCCAGCTTTGGGTCCCGGAAAACGGGAAACACCATTGGCTCGGTGAGCATGCCAACGAGCTCATTAGCTCTGGTTGAAACGTGCCATAACAGTCGATCAACGGAAAAAGTGGTTGAGCCTGGGGAAGAGTCGGCATGGCATCATGACCAAAAGTAGCTTCAGTTAAATCGTGGCATGGCGTCTCCTATTCAGACCAAATATTAGTACGGGTAAAGACAAGGTGACAGCAGCGCTAAGGTTGTCTCGTTCAAGAGTATGTTTGTGCTGTCACTTACAGGGGTCGTCCCATAGACCGTCGTTCTACCTAAGGACGAGTTCGTCCTTGGTCCACTCTCATATTCGCACAGCTGGTGTTTGTTACGACATCGTATACATGGAGCTTCTCCGTCACATCGCTGTTTTGAATGTGCACAAGCTTTGCATGCTTTGGAGACACAAAATCGTCTCGATTTCCCTCCAGTGCCGGCGTCAGATGGTGCAGGAATTGCATTGGTGTGGCCTTGCATATGACGTCGAAGAGAGTCCCTGCAGTCACAAGTTCTTAGCTCAAGTGTCGGCGAACATCTCAAGATGGTATTAGAAGGGGGAATAGATCAGAAACGGAGGCAGATCAGAGACGGAAGCATCAGCAGGGCCAGGCAGCAGGTCTGCCTCTTCAGAGTGAAAGACATCGGCTGGCACCAAGTCGGCGGGAACAGGAGGGACGCTGTACCTTCTTGAGAAACTTGTCCCACAAACTGAACATGGGAAAGGTCGCGCTCCGAGATGACGAAGGGCATGACGGTTCAGATGCTCAGTCCGACGGAACTCGGCGCCGCATACATGACATTTGACCAACATGCTGACCGGTCAGATGTCGATTCTCGGACCTCGAGGGGTAATGATCCTTCCAGCCCGCCAGTAGTTGTTTCGATAGATGTCTTCGGTAAATCAAAAGCTGCTCAAGTAAAGAGGAGACGTTTTCAACGATCTCGGAGCTTGCGGTGGTTTTGTGTCGGAGCTTGTGGGGTAAATTGGGTCTTGCGAGAGGAAACGCTGAGGGCGTTCGGAGCGCGCGGGGGATCTTCTGATCAATCCCCCCCACCTTCAGAACGGGAATTGGCAGTATATCGTACTTGCGGGGTACTAGTCTGCACTTCGGGTCGCAATGGCAAGGTCATGAAGCTGTTAGCAGCTCACGCAGGCCTTCATTTGTTGTGTCTTCATGAAACATCGGTCAGTAATTCATCCCCGAGGCCGGTTTGAGCGAAGCCGGGGAAGAGTATGGAACTGTGAGACGTTGCTCCAGAATTGCTTCCGATGGCTGTGTCTACTGTCAAAACCAGATATTGAAAATCTTCAGAGGTTTAGAGCACCCATGAGTCGACAAGCTATCATTTTCAACGACGGAATTGAACGAATCATGTTGAATGGCTATAGAAGCTACCTGATGGAGTGACAAGAGCGTTTCGCATATAAATGTAGGCATTCTCAAACAAGGCCTTTGCTTCCTGCATTCTCAACAACAGGCAGGGCAGCTTACAGAACACTTTCTCTAATCCCATCACAATCCAACTTTCCTCACTCAACCAAAATGACGCCCGACTTCACCAAACTGGGACGACTCACTTCTCAAGCGGAATCACAAGACTGGGACATCATCGTGGTTGGATCAGGTCACAATGGTCTGACTGCTGCCGCGTACCTCGCTGTTGCTGGCAAAAAGGTTCTCGTGGTTGAGCGAGCATCCTATGCCGGTGGCGGCGTGGCCAGCTTGCCCATGGCCGAGCCTGGCTACCTCAGCGAACGACACAGCGCCATCCACCAGATGATTCTGGCCAACCCGCTCATCACTCACGATGAGCTTCATCTTCAGTCCCGCTATGGTCTGAAGTACCTTCAACTCGACCCGTGCTACGCGATAGTCATGCCGGACAAGGTTCTCCCAATCTACCGCGAACGTCACCGCACCGTCGAGGCCATCCGTAATGTTGCCCCAGAGGATGCTGACGCGTACGAGAGTTTCGTCGATATCTCTCGTAAGATCACCGACCTCCTCATGCCGTCCATGTTCGAACCTCCTCGGGATGACTCGGCCAAAATCGCGGCTAGTCCTTATGCCCAGGAGATCGCGACTGTGTCGGCCAGTCCCTCGTTTGACATCATTCAGCGATACTTCAAGAACGAAATTCTCCAGGTCGCCCTGCTTCGTTTCGTCACCGAAATCCAGCTGGCACATCCTACCACTAAAGGCACTGGTCTGATGGTGTACCTGGCATTTGGTCTATTGGATAAGTACGGACTCTGTGTTCCTGAAGGGACCGGGTCGGCCTTCACAAACTCGGTCATTCGTTGCCTCAAAGATCACGGAGGGGATGTTTTATTGGACACCGAGGTTATCAAGGTTGTCACTGAAGGCGGCCGTGCCGTCGGAGTAAGGACTCGCTTCGGAGAGTTGAGGGCAAAGGAAGCGGTGATCGGCCAGATTCATCCTCACAACCTCGACCAGCTTGTCGACGGACTGGACCCGTCCATCACAGCACCTGCGTTGAATACAAGAGTCTCGGAATTCAGCCTCTTCTTAATTCATGCTGCTCTGGAACGTCCACTTCGATTCAAAGCAGGGCCTATAGCCGACAAGGCCGTCATGAACACTTGCTGCCCAGGCAACCTGAAGGACCTGATTAAGAGCTACGACGACATGGCTGAAGGCCTGCTACCAGAAAATATCATGATCGGCTCATCTTGCGTGAGCTCTGCGGACCCTACTCGCTGTCCGCCTGGAAAGTCTTTGCTTCACTGCGTGGTCATGTGTAAGGCAGAGCCGGCCGATGGTGGATGGGATGCCTGGGAACGCATCAAGGATGACTGGGCTCAGAAAGTTTTCGCCTACTTTTCCACTTATCTCGAGAACTTCACCCCTGACATTGTCCGCTCTTATCACGTCGTCACACCACCGGATCATCAGTCAGACAGTCCCAGCTTCCAACGTGGTGATATTTGCGGTCTTTCAATGGCTGCCGACCAGATGGGACTCAATCGTCCGACGCCTGCTCTTGCCCAATACCGAGTTCCCGGTGTTGATGGCTTCTATCTCGCGGGGCCTTTCATGCACCCTGGCGGTGGTGTCTGGGGAGGCGGACGCCCGGTTGCGAAGAGAGTCTTGGAGGATCTTGGCATGGACTTTGACCAGATTTTTGTCAACAAGGCAAAGTCCCAACTTTGATCTGTATTGGGGACTTGGTCTAGAAGCGATCTTTGGACTATAAGCTGCGGTTCTATCTTGATTAGCTCTAGTGCATACAAAACAGATGTTGTCGGTAAGAATACGCTTCGATCTGACTTCGATATATCTCTAAAATATGAGCCGTATGGTTCTTCTAGGTGTGGCCAGTTCTACCTTTCGCTGAAGAGTCCTCCTCTTTGGTGAGATTGCGCAGGGTTGGAAATGGGTAGTACCGCCGCACAAGATGAAGGTGGTATTTGAACCTGCAAGCCTGACTTTCCCGGTGTCTAGAACCTGCCTGCCTACCTTTTCTTTCCTGAGTGCGCTCTATCTGAGAACGAAGATCCTCGGAGCCCACCATAAGCAGCCTTTCTCCAAGTACATTCGCCACATCAGAGGATGTAACCGGTTGAGTAACGTCCATGGCATCTTATAGCGATGCACAGCATATGCAACTAGATAACTCGATTCCCAGTGCTTACAGGCTACATTAGTTGCTGATCAGATCAATGAAATACGTACGAGGGCTGGAAAACATTTCGTGGGACAAATGTCAGCCCCATAGTCGCCACAAAGACTAGGAGATCTTCTTAAGTCGAGGCACCTCCCTTCTGTCCTAGTTTGGTCCAAACTCCCTCTTATCTTTTCACTGCGTTTTACCTTTCTACACTGGACGGAACACACAGCAGCTTGCAAACGGAAACCCACGAGTATGGGACTATGGCGCCATCTACAACATACAATGCTCTTGTAGCAACACTTACCTTCCCACAGGGCCAGTTCTTGGAGACCAAAGTTTACTCTCTGGCTCCTCAAACAACGCCCTTCACTCCTCCAAGCGACCCTGCATGTTCGACCATTCCTCGCGCCCTTCGATGCCAGAGCAAGCCAGAGGACTTAACCTCCGGTGCTCTTTGCTACGCAGATCAATTCGTGCAGGAGAAAGATGCTTCTCTTCCCACTCAGTGCTTCCCGAAGCAATACCGCGACATATGGACTCCTGGGGATGAATTCGGTAAGTGCAGGTCGAACGACTCGAAGTACACCTTAGGAACGTGTGCTGATATTATCACTGTCCACAGACGATATGCCTAGTTTGGCGTACCCAGGTACCGCTTGCATCAGCGACTGGACGATAGCTTGCACTACGGACGTCTTGGGAAGCGCCGGTACTTATAAACAAGAGTGGTGTTGCCCGCCGGGCTCATGGACGTGCCTCACAGTCGGAAATGGACAAACTCCCTATCGAGACTGCGTCAGCCATCTTAGCACCCCGACCGAAGTATGGGTGAACAACATTGCAACAACCAACGGGAGAGAAACAACATATTGGAGCTCGTGGAGAAAGATTTCTCTTTCGAACCTCCCCAGGAACGGACCAATTTCGGTCAAACATCCCCCATTCCCGCTGTATGCTCGAGTGCCTAACGCTCTCACTGCCGATGAAAGCTCCGGCTTGTCTACTGGGGCAATTGCAGGTATCGTGATCGGGATTCTGGCTGTCGTCTTACTGTTTGTTGGCAGCGGAATCTTCGTTTGCCTCCGTAAGAGAAGACTGAAGAGGGAAGCTGCGGCATCTCAAACAGAGATCACTGAGAGTGAGGAAAGGGCTCACAAGGCTTTGGGTTATGACACTAAGCAGGAACTACCCGGCCATGGGCACGAGACGCGCGAGATGGATATGCTGTCACCGGACCCTGTGGAGTTGTCGCCGCAGACGAGGATTTCCGAGGTGGAGGGAAGCCGTCCCGTGGAGTTGGCTTCATGACATTTCCCTATCACTTGTTGTCGAATTCCTGACTGCGTATATCCAGAAGCCCATAGGCACACTATTACTTTACCTAATATCACAATGCTCACCCAACCCATGCGTACATAGTTGAAAGACCTTATCTGTTATCATGTAGGGGGTTCGACCTCCACGTTAACAAGATACAATGACACACCATCAGCGTATAGCTCTCCATGAGAAATCTACAAAGAAAGTACCAATCTTCAGCGGACCTGTGAGCCTCAACACCCAGCACTTCTACAACGTCATCTTCGGCTTCCAACGGTGTGAAGATGTGAGTTCAAGCCAGCCTCGGATTCTGAACAAGCGAAACTCTGACATTTGACTTCGGCAAGGAGCCTCCGTCGTAACCGTCGGAAAATCCTTACTGGGAAAGTCTTTCCACGCGAACCGGCTTCCCCTCAGTTCTGATTCCCCGTCTGATGTCGGACAAGGTTTGCGAGCACTCACATCACCACTCTCTGATCGGATCTCTCCGGCATATACAGCAGCCCGAGCCGGGCCTTTAACATGTCTCGGCGTCGCATGTTTTGGGGCGACATCCTTGGAGGTCGTCGGATTCCCGATTGAAGCCTTTTCTTTTCCCGCTCGGACTCTTCGCCCGGCGGCAAGCAGACTGTGGCCAGATCAGAAGGTTGTCGATGAGAATGCTGTGGCAATGGCCTCACTAACCATTATTCGAGACTATTCACTACACTACAGGAATTTGTTTGTAGATCTTGCAGTAGCCATTAGTTAAGAGCTAATAGTACGGTTCCTTTTCGTTGATCCCTTGCTCTCCCAACATCCCGAGGTTGTGATCTACGGCCAACCAATACGCCGCTACCTTCCAGAACTCCAAGAAACTTCACCAAGAATCAACATCCAGAAGTAGAAAGTCGAAGTAAGAAACTCAAATCCCGATGGCCTCGGGGGAGAACTCCAACTGTCTCAACTGCACCACCAGATGCCATCAAGGAAACCATTGCTAGCATCCCAGCTGACTCGCAGGCCAACCCCCCCGAAGCAGCAGTTGAGGCCCGACGCGATGGTTAGGGTTTTGTGTCTGGATTTCGCTAGTAGTAGTCTGATGCAATTGTCAGAGTTCACCGATGAAACGGCTCCTCTCGAAAAATGCGAGGCTGTTATTTTTCAAATCGCTATTTTCAGGGCTTCAAATCAGAACCAAAAAATAAAGCCTCAAAGAATCTATAGGCTCAACAAGGTAATCGTGAACGTCGCAATCAGGACCGCGAGCCTGAGCCCAGAACCAGACACGCCCTCCGTGGCGGCCGCGCTCCTCGGCAGGCCGGTGTTGTTCTGGCTCTGCCTGAAGAAGGGATCCATGGTGTTGTTCTTGGTGACGGGCGTCACGCTGTTGGCGACGCAGAACTGCTGCGGGTTGCCCCAGGTCGCGTCGACGGCGCGCTGCCAGGCCTTCTCGGGCTTGGAGAGCATCTCGCGCGTGTAGAAGATGCGGCAGTTGGCCGGCTCCCAGAGGAACTGCAGCGGCGTGCGGGCGTCGAACATGGAGAAGGCGTTCTTGCCGTTGACGGCGCCGGCGCTCTTCGGGGTCGTGGAACGCTTGATGGCGTAGCCCCGGGCCAGCTCGCCGACGTCGCTCTTCATGACTTCTTCCTTCTTGTCCTTGGGCGTGAGCGCGACGATGGCCTTGGCGTCCGAGGTGAGGTCGTTAAACGAGAAGACCTGGGCGCCCTCGACACCGGCGATGGACTGCATGATGCCTGTCTGCGGGCGGCCACCGATGACGGCGGTCTTGATGCCCATCTGGAGGATCATGAGGTAGGAGAAGAGCGTGCATGTTGAGCCGCAAGTGCCGTCGGTGAAGAGCAAGACGTTCTCCGGCTGGAAGACGCGAGGGGGCGGGTTGGCCTTGGAACCGACGCCAGTCAGGTTGAATGAGGGGTCGGTTTGGTTCAGCGGGGCTTCTTGGTAGGCCGTGAAAGTGTCACCGTTGAGGGAGACGGGTGCCAAGATCTGGTCAACCGATGTGAAGGCCTGCTCATCTGGCGTGAAGACCTGTCCGGGAAGCAGGTTGGTGATGACCGCGCTCTGCTGCAGGGCGTCGATGGCACCCTGTTCCTCCGGGCTAGAGGGCGTAAAGTTGGCCGGGATGGCATTGGCCAGACGAGACATCATGCTCATGCTGTCCGACAGACGCAGGTTGTTGGCCTGGAACCGGTTGACATCAGGGAAGAGCTGGATGAGAGGTTAACTATAGAAGGGAACTTAGATGCGGACAAACAAACCTGAGCGAAGAGTTCATAGCCAGCGACAACGAAACCCCCACCGTTGGCAGCAACATCAATGACGAGCTTCTTCTTTCCGGCCTTCTTGCTCTCCTCGAGGAACTTGGCGACGGTGTTTTGGAAGTTGGTCAGATATTCAACGGAATCGATAGCATCGGGCGGCGCGAAAGATGACACGGCAAGCACAGCCACGTCATCGTACCCAGTTCCGTTGAGGAAGTATCCAGAAGTCGTGTTAGCACCGCTGTCGCGCACGACAGGCCACGGGTAGCCCTGAATCGTGGGCTGAGGCGGCGGGGGCGGGCTGCTGGTCTTGGGAGCGTCCGGCTTCGTTCCGTTGCCCTTGGGCTGGCTGTCGGGGTTGCAGAACTTCTTGTAGAAGTCCTCACCCGAGTTGATGCCTGTGAAGTTGGCACCAGTGCGAATGATGGCGAAGCTGTCCTCGGAGCGCTCCGTGCCGTCATCATAAGTGATCGTGACCTTGGGACCCTGGAAGGCCAATGATGCAGCGACAGTCAAGGCACTCTCATTGGAAGCGTAGAACTTGAATCCGGAGTTCCATTGGGAATCGGGATCCTGGTAACCGCTGAACTTGAGGTTCAAGTCAGAAATGAGGGTGGCCGCATCACGCCCGTTAATCCTGATGATGGCGGGAGCAGAGGCGTTGGTGTCGAGTTGCTCTATTCATTTCAATTAGAGCTTCGAACTGACAAACGTTCACGCGGGTAGATCACTTACTCAAATGGTAGAGCTTGGGCACCTCAATGCCATCCCTCGACACGGAAACAATGTCGGCTGCAAGGTTGTTGCGGAAGCTGAAGCCCTTGAAAATGTCGCCGCGGAAGGCGAAGTGACCGTCGTGGGCCGAAGCGAACAACTGGAAAATCTCAAGCTGGAACTCGTACTCGCTCTTGAACCCGCCATTCCCGGCCTTCTCGCCGATCCTGTCCAGACCTCCTTCAATGTCGGTGGGAGGCAGCATGTACGACGCGGGAGGGTTCTTGAGCCAAGAGAGCGTGCTCTGCCATTGGACGTACGCCTTTAGACTCTTGATGAGGTCCTTTGCCGGTTGGGGCTTGTTGGGGACCGACTGCAAGCAATCAAACGCAAGTTGAGCGGGCACTTTCGGGGTAGCTATAGGAGGGTTTCGTCAATTACGTCGTTCTCCAAAACAGACTCGACTGGCTTCAAAGTCTCCATCGCAACCCCTCATTCTCCGCCCAGAGGTGTAAGTCGCGATGAGTTAGACAGCCAGAAAACGCTGCAAACAACGTACCTTTCGGGTTGGCCATGAGGAACTGGTTCACCATCGGCTGCACTTGACCACAAGCATTGCTTCCACTACCTCCTCCACCGCCGCCGCCAGCACTGGGAGGAGGCGTTCCCATCGGTGTCGTGCTCGTCGGAGTCGAGTTGGTCGGGGTCCCGGGCGGGCCCTGAGGGCGCGGTGCCGCGATCGCGGCAGCGGCGTAAGCCACCGTCCACCAAGTGAATCTCATCGTGTCGTCGGCGTTTCCGTTCTATGTTCTTCTTCCTCTTGTATGTACCGAACTTCTTCCCTCCGTCTACGTTTGACGAAAATCTCTTTTCTGGCTTTTGCTGCTCTCGGAAGTCGAAAAGGAAAGGAGAGAGAGAGAAGATAGCACAGCTACCCGCGAGGCCAGCTCAGAACCGAAAAGGAAAGGAAAGTATATTGGGGCCTTTGACGGACAATTCGCCGAAGCCTGAAGGGAAAGGAGAGACTTCAAGACGGCGCGCACCGGAGCATGTGCTGACGGCTGCACATGGGGTTTTAATCCGCGCTGCACTTTTGGTCCTCGTCCCGTCTTTCGTCGACTCCGACACGGAAGTGTCCAAACTCGCAAAACAAAAATGTCAGACCCGCTCGCTCTCGTTCTTCTTGGCGGGTGAATGGTGTGCTACGGCGTCTCTCTCTCACACACATACAAGGGAGGGGGGCGGCTACCTAGCCTGGGGGCTAACAAGCAAAGCCCAGAGTTGCTTGCTCCCAAATCATGAAGCCATCATGAAACACGACAACCCTCACATCTTCAGATAAGCATCCGCGCATCCTGGGCGGCGCCGGCTGCAGATTTAAACTCGGACTCCATGCAAGGTAGACCCCTCCACCTTAAAAAGGCCGCCCTGTCCCATAGCGTCTCTTACCGACGGGACACCCTAGTTTGTGGGAAGTAAGACTGACCGGCGGCCGCTGTCATTAGCCTAGCCTCTTTCTTAGTGCGCACTTTGTACGGTGGACTACCTGGATTCTGGAGACCGACATACCCGTCGTGGGGCCTTGGCGGCGTGATTGGGTTGATGTTTCGGTGTATCGGTGAATCGGGGAATGTTGTTTGAAGACCTCGATATCCATTGGAGGCTCAATTCAAAACGATTCCCCAAGAAAAGACACAGTTGTATGATTGTGATACCTCCGCCGGTCATCTACCGGCTGGGCGAGAGGTCCTAGAGCCTCTTCAGCCAAGACTGGATCTACTCATGAAAGCTGGGCATTTTCCCCCGCTCTGTTTCTTTTGTTTCCTCCCACATACAATCCCATTTGCTCCGTTCTATCTCCTTCATCTGTTGCCTCACACAGCCCATCAGATCAGACTACCTGATAACCGACAGTCCCTCTACCTGCGCCGGTCAAGCTTTCCCGCAGCCTCACCCTTGGCTCTGCCTTGGCAGCCATTCCCTGCTGTAGCAGATCTGCCGGAGGAAACGTATCCGCACCACCCACACCAGCCTGACTCTATAGCGCCAGATCTCGTCTTGCATGCTGCAAGGAAGCGACTCGCGTGCCTTTTTTTCTCTTCTCCCAGTCCCCTCGGACTCACCCGGCGCTAGTTGGCTCGATGTCTTGGTCCCTGTTTGACTTGGCCCAGCATTTTGCCGGTCTACATCTCCTCCGTACCACCGGCCAGCCCTACCATGACCCTGATCAACATGATGAGCAGCCAACCAACAGTACATAGTAGATCCTTTGAAGCAAACGCGAAGCAAACAGCCGAGGATTCGACCCATGTGCACGGATGGGGTCTCATGAAGCGCAGCCCAGCCTAACAAACTCCGCCAACATCCCGCCCTCACACATTTTTGCGCGCGCTACCTTCACTAAACTTCTCACCCATCCCCGCCCCGGCGGAGGAAGCCTTATCTACTTGACTCCCCCCTCTCACAAACAAAGACTTCAAACTTCATAGACGAGGCTCCTGGTGCGAAACTCTAGCTGGCGTCGTACGATAAGGTCTAGAAGGCGCCAAGCGAGTTGTTCGCTGATCGTTCGTCGGGTCGTCGCGTTACAAATCCTATCTTGCAGAGAGTGCGAGATGTATGGGAGAGTGCCCGATACCGTTCGTTGGGCCAACTGCCGCATCGCGCGGCATCGCTCGCGACTCACATCAGCAAACGCAGTCGCGAACACGAGGACCACATTGGTGGGTAATGGAAGATCAAATGAGGAGACCTTCGTTAGGGCCCAAAACAAAACACAGAGAGAGGGCTGGCAAACAGCAAAGCCGACTTTCAAATCATGCACGGGTATCTCAGCTTCCGTCCGCTCTCGGTCCCTTTCCGGCTCAAGCACACAACACACATACAGAAACAAACAGCCCACTCACTCCCGTCACTCACTTCCCTCATTTTCGCCTTCCGTCGAAGCTCCGTCCAGTCCACAGACAGTCGGATAATTGACTGACTAACTCTTCCGCCCGCCCCTCCTCGCCCGAACCCATCTCATCAGTCCCGTCTTGACATGACCGCTCGCTCCCCCCTGTCCGCAGTGCAGACCTCGTCCGCCTCAGACAATGACACCCATCCCCAGCACACCCACCGCCAGACCGAGTCCCATTCCCGCCGCGGCTGGAAGGCCACCAGTGCATCGTGCCGCGGCTACGCCTCCGGTGCTGGAACTGGGGCTGACCCCACCTGTCGCCGTACCGCCGGCCCCACCTCTCCCGCTGCCGCTGCTACCGGTCACGGGACAGTCCGTGGTGCACGGGAGGGCGGACGCGAATGGTGTGGGCGCGGCCGTCCCTGTCTCCGTTTCGCCGATGAGTGTGAAGACGGGAGTCTGCGTTACGGCCGACACGTTTGGTGAGGTATTGTTCGAGTTGACGTTGAGAACTGCGTCGAGGACTTGCACCACACCGTTCGCGATGAGGATGTCCGTCTGAATGATGCGCGCGGATTCGATGAAAATGTCGTTGTTGAAGAGCGTCACTTCCAAGCTCTTCCCGTTCACTCCCGTCGGCAGCTTGGTCCCGTTTGTAAGCGCCGACTTGCCCACCACCTTTGACGGAACAATGTGATAGCGCAACACGCGACGAAGATCGTCTTTGCTCAAACTAGACAGCACACCAGCGACACGCTGAAAAGCAGCATTCCGCGGCGCGAAAATGGTAACATTCTGCGTCTCCGCGAACTCGGCGACGAGATCCGTCGCGTACAGCGCGCCCAGGAACGATGTCAGATCCTGATACGCATCGCGGGCCGTCTTCTCGAGCCGCGCGGGCGCGACCATCAAGCTGTCGATGATCTGGACGAGGCCCCCGTCGAACGCAATATCCGTCTTGAGCGCCGTGGTCCGCTGCGCCACGCCCGACGTCACCACGACATCGCCGTTGGGCCCCTTGGTCACCAGGACGCTCTGCCCGCCCGTGACGTTGGAGTAGCGGTCGTCCGTGAGCAGAGTGGACTCGAGGGAGGAGTTCCCGGGGAACAGGGCGTCGAAGGGGATCCTGGAGTCGATGATGCCGTATCGCAGCGCGACGGGGACGGCGTCTGCGGCGGCGTCCCAGCCCTGGCCTTTGGTGTAAGCCTGATCGCTGGGGGCGAGGATCTGGTGAGCGCTTTTCGTCAGAACAACTTTTTATTTCGTTCCGTTTTGTTCGCTTTGCATGAAGAGCTCCAACAATAGGGTCTTATCCGCGAGTCCCTGCGTGAGCGGCGCGCGATGGGCTATGCCGCTGTCGCTATGCCGCATCGTCGAAGCTTGTTTGGAGTTTGACAGGTGGGGGCAAGAAGATTGGGATGCAGCACGTACCGTGACGCCGGATTTGGGCAGGTTCGAGAAGATGTCGCTGTTTTCCTGTGTATCATTCTCATGTCAGCTGTGCTGATTCTTCTGGCCTCGAGGTATCGTGATCGAGGGGTTCGACGTCTGAGAGTGCTTTGCGCTCGACACTCAGGCCTCGATAATCGAACGCTTCTACGTCCTGCGCGATGACTGACAGGACTCTCTGATCCCGTCGACTGACTGTGCAGTGTTTCTTACCTTTACCAGATCGCGAAAGGTGGTCAGGTTTGCTTGCTTCGCGAGAACGTCCTCCAGTTTCTGCGCCGCTACAGTGGATGCGCCAAGGATCACTGACAGCGTCGAAGCCCAGCAGGCGCAGCTTGTTGGCCTGATCATCATCTTTCCTCGTCTTCGTCCCAGCGATTCGATTAGAGTTGAGTTTTGAACAGACGGAATGAGGTGAAAGAAAAGATCGCGGGAACGAGCGGCGAATGGGGTTAAACGGAAAGTTCGCAAATGATGTATTCGATTGACCGGTACTACGTGAAGCCAATACGGTCCGATTGAATCTCGACCTCCAGCCGTTGGAAGGCCCGATGAGTAGGCAAGGGGATGGAAACAACAGGAAACGAAGAAAGAAGAGAATTACACCAAAGCAGAAATTTTCCACGGCAAGGCCAGGTCAGGCAGGCCATTATGAAGCTGAGTGATCCTTCTTTCACCCTTCCATTCCCGCCGCAAAGGCGCATTCGAGCCTGGAACTCGGACGCGTGGGGTGGCGCCCTCAAAGGGACCTGCATGTGTGGGTGGCATTGGGATCGCGGACAGTCCAGCCCGTCCAGTTTGCGCCGTGTCATTGACAGGTTGCAGCGATTGCTTCGTGGCTGCAACCCCCATGCCGCATCGAGAAAGACGAAATTGCAGGTGGATGAATTGGCGAAAGCTTCCGTTCAGCTCACCACCCGTTGGCATCAAGGGTCCCAGCAACTTGGGGGCATGACAGCAGCCACCATCTTCTACTTGTCAGGCCACTGAATCAAAACGTCGTCGAATCAAAGACTTGGGGAAGCAGATGAGAACGTGGGAAGCGGCGCGGAGGTAAAGTTAACACTGGAAGAGGAAATCTCACAATGAAAGAGGGACAAGCCGCAGAAAGAGGACAATGGCATTGGGGGTGGCTTGCTTCGGTCATCATTTAGCGGCATCTCCTGTGCCTGGCACTAGAGCCAACATGGCACTTCTTTCGTGAGTTGTACGCGCCGAGACGAACCAGGGTCCTCCGGGGATGGTTTGTTCATCAGGCAATTTAGCCGAATTCGATGCAATTGTATCTGATATGGTGCCTGAATGATTTCCTTGGGCTGACGGGAGATCTGCTGGCTCGTCCAAGACGGCCAGCGCCGGCGCCCTCCACCTCCCTCCACAAGACGCTGAATGACACGGCGACATATCGAGTCCCTTAAGTTCCAGAATGTCTGAAGGCTAAGATGTCGAGGCTTCATCCCTGTCGTTCGACATGTCAACCAGGATGTCGTGAGCAGGGCCCATGCCGTGCCAGGCAAGTCGCCATCACCGCTCCGCGTCAGGGCCTGGTTGTTCGAGGTATTTTCGGGCTTCGAAACCACCAACGGCAGGGGCGCAGGTCAGCGGCGCAGGTCAGCTGCCAAGCCAATATCCTATGCACGCTATCAATGATTGCGTTCCAGACAACTGCAATGCGACCTCAACCAACGTACCGACGAAGAGAGTCGTTTTGAATGCAAGCAATGAGTCGGCATCAAAACCATTAATACATGCCTGTCCCGGATTTCATTCTTCGGGCCTCCGTGTGGAGACCCGGCACCAACCGGCTCTGGTTGTGACCGAGGCCCACTCGACTGCCGAGATCATGGACTGCCCGAAGTCTTTCATTTCTGCCTTCACTCGCGCATTTCACCGATTGATTGAATCATCGGAAGACGTGGTAGTTGTACTTTTATTGTCTGTAGGTGTCCAAAGTGATCAACAAGACCCGGTTCGTTGTCAAATCGAGTCGTCTAGCAATCCCTCTCTCCAAAGGCTCAAAACCACATCTTCCCGAATCCTGACGCAACTGCTACCAACTCCCAAGTCTCACCCAAACTTCCGGTAGCTCCAGCCCCTAGAAAATCAAACTCGCACGTGGCAAGAACAGGTGGTATGGTCGTCTTGGCTATTAGATATCCGTCCGGGCCCGGCCTATACACAGTTTCGGGGGCCCCGTCTGTGAGGGAGATTCTCACCCCGGCCACTACCTGGCGGCTTGACAGTCGAACGAGGGTATAGTCATAACCACCAAACCTGTCAAATGATGCTTTCTTCCATCGGAACTTCTCCATTGTTGGAAATTTATCAGCTCGTTGGGCCTTGACCGGAACTTTGAAGACCTTGGGTCCCAGACACGATTCTCTGCTCAGCTTCGTAACGAACTTAGCTCGGCCAGACTCTCGTCGCGGTGGAATCGTGATCATTGCGGGGTGACTCAGTCTTTTGTGCGGTAGTTGGGTAATATATACCATGACTGGGTCGGTCTCGTTTGGTCCGTCATGAAGGAAACAGGTCGGGTTGACATGGAATCCGCGGCTACACTGAACGGCGAAGGTGCGATTATCGTCTCGAGGATTCGCGTTAGCCCCAATCTTGTACAACGATCCAATGCTCTTCAGACGACGCGGGAATATAGATACATGAGCAGCGGAAGCGGATCTGCTGTCGTGAAGGTGAGACTGATGCCGAGATTGAGTAGAAAAAGGTTCGATTGCAGATTTCTGGTGGCTCGGAAGGTAAGATGGCTTGGACGTAGTATTGCTCCACGTCTGGCTGTTTTTGGAAATTTGAGAAGCAACGGCATGCTTGTAGGTTGGTGGCGGAGTTCCATCAAGAGGTGTCGAACGATTTGTAACTGTAACGCATGGGTTTTGTTGGGTGTTATCGTTGGTACACCTGGGGTCGTTGGGTGTTAGCGGAGAACATTGATCCATCTTGTCGACCGGCGTGGGTGTTTAGGATGATGTAGCACGTTGGGTGCGTTGTGCAAAGAATGGAGAGAAACGAACGGTCGTTGATATTGTTATCGATGCAGTTGATATGCGTTTGGCTATTTGGTAATAGCCGTCATCTGTTTGCTGGGAAATGTAGGTGTTGAAGATGATGAATGATGTTGAATTTGTATGTGGAAAGGGGTGATAGAAGTAGCAGGTTCCCGTGAGCCATTCTGCTCACTTGTCTCTTTCCTCTTTGACTTGATGTCTCTCCAAGGGAATATTCTTTCCATATTCTTCGTGGAGGGCGCTCTCGCCTGCGCTCTTGCAGTAAGGAAAGAGCTTCCATCAGTCGGTGCTGATATACTGTTTTTGAATTGATATTGAAAAGGTGGCAACTTCTTCTTCTGCTCCTGGGACGTCTAGCTCTTGCTTCATCATGGGTATCTACACATGTCAGGTACGCTTGTGGCCGTACGCTTCCGTATGTCACGACTTCCCCATCACCAACCTCATCGCGAATGTCTTCAATCAAAATTGAATGGACGGTACGAATAACAGGACCTGCCTTTTACTCGAACGTCTACCACTGTTAGTTGTGGCTCCACATCTTGGCCTTGAGAAATTCAATCGCGGTTGCCCTCGTCTTGTATGTGTCGAGACACTGCCATGACAAGCAAGCTTTGAAAAACGCTGATGAGCAATTAGGTAGGGCGCCTTAAGTCCATCAGTACCGACAACTGCAAGCGGGCTCAGTAGATGTAGGGACTAAGGCGCGTATAAGATCAGGTATCCGGATTGCAACGCTCTAAGGATAGGACGTGTTTTCATAGACAAGTGTATACTTTTGATTTGGAAACACCTGAAGATATCGTTTTTTATGTTCAAGTACGTCCAACTAGAAGGTTGACGAATGTGGCGACTTCAGCCTGATGTTCATACTACATAGCTTCGTACAGGAACTGGAACATCGGTAAAGACTTCATCCCACCGGTGGTTGTGACTACAGACATATTGGTCTGGTGCCTTAGACCAGATCTTACACACACTTCTTTATTCGACAGATTTGGAACTTATCTTCAATATCTAGTGCCTTGCTTGTAAGGAAACGTTGACTCACATGCAGACGGCTACTGGCCGTGTCGAGATGAAGTATATTTCGCTACTTCAGTCATTATGTAAGTCGAGGCGCACAAGTTCCAACTTGTTGTGCCATTGCATGATTCTGACAGCTTGTAGCTTCACACATGTGCTATAGCACAGAGTGTTGACGTCGCTTCTGTCCCGATCAAGATACAGTAGTCGGATCTACTCTACAACTGCGTCTCTGGCTACATCCGGGCGTATTCAGAGTGTGCCCCGGTTACACCTGAAGCTTTGCAAGCATCTCGCCATTTGCGTACCTGCATCTCTAGTTACGTACAGATTGTCTAATGGACGGCTCTAGAGCGGGTTGTAATAGAGACTCACCAACGGATAGAAACGAACCAATGATGTCGGCAAGACAGGACATCCAATTGTGATCCTTTCCGTAAAGCCTCTCTCAAAAGCACCACCAAATGGCAGTTTGAGTATGGCCAAGAGAAACACCGTTGATCACATTGAAGCGAGCCAACCCGATGACGAAGCTGTTTCCCGCTGCGGGGTTGATCTGGAGGTGAAAACATCACGGCAACGACATCATGGGCCAAGATCACAAGCCGAAGGCGCCATGGTTTAACCGTCATGCATGCCGTGCTAGTTCTAGCGCAAGGGACGAGAAAACTCGCGTCCTCACTCATGGGCAGACTCCCCACCGTCTTTGGCGGTAAAAACGAGACCCGATATTCTTTTACGATGCGCTCGAATAGGAGCCCGCCGTCACCACCTCGGAATCCGGTACATGACGCAGTGGATCCGGGGGATATCCCGGTCCTGGCCCGGATACTCCCTCGTTTCTCTAACTTCCCCTCATTTTCCACCCCTCACCATCCCATCAAGCGCTGGCCATCTGAACTGTTCCTGATCTTTCTCCAGCTTTCCCCACATCGACGACATGGAAGTTCGCCTTTTGAGTTGAGCAGATATCACCACCACGGCAGGCCGATGTAACGGTGTCTCTCTCTCCACGGCAAGCCACCCAATCCCAACCTCTTCTTTGAACGGATCCCTGCTCTTCCACATGAGCACGCGAAAAGTCAACCGAGCCGAAGCCTGTCGCGCGTCGGACGCCGCGGGGCTAAGCTTGTCCAGAGCTCTCGTCCTCGGGGCTGAAGCCACCGACATGCGACGTTCACGATGGTGGTTCTCCCGTCTGGGCGGACAAATTCGCGGAGAGCTTACTATGGACTAGCAAGAATGCGGGGTGATCGGACTGGCGTGGGAAGACGTGCCATTACGGGATGATCTTCCAATTGAGCCGGTATGCGCACGAAAGGTGCTCGTTTGTACCTGCCGGACTCCAGCCCCGGATGCTTGGGACTGCAGGTCGTATCTGATGTTACGCGATCATGGCGATATTGACTCGGTTCCTTGAGCCCGGCGGGGAATTGGTTCATCTCGGAACCACATTGTCAAAGGTGGTATAAGTATGCTGGTCCTTCCCGGTGGTGGCTAGGTCCTGGGTCTTGCTCGACACCTTCGCGTCATTGCACCCCAACTCTCAAGCAATCGGGAAGCAAAATGGTGTCGCTCAAGTCGGCCGTTCTGGCCGCCACTTACGCCGTCTCGGCTGCTGCTGTTGACATTACCGTCAAGGCTACCGGTGGCAATGCTACCAGTGGACACCAGTATGGTTTCCTCCACGAGGTATGTGTTCACTTCTTTCTTCAGGTACTCCACGCCCAGGTCGACTTCTCTAACCTTTACTAGGATATCAACAACTCAGGTGACGGCGGCATCTATGCGGAGCTCATCCGCAACCGCGCCTTCCAATACAGCAACAGATTCCCCGTCTCCCTCGACGGCTGGCATTCCATCAACGGCGCCGTCTTGACCCTCAAGAACCTCAGCGAGCCCCTCTCCGCCGCCCTTCCTGTCTCCGTCAACGTAGCTGGCGGCAACGGCTCCGGCTCGATCGGTCTCGAGAACGACGGTTACTGGGGCATGGACGTCAGGCAACAGAAGTACACCGGCTCCTTCTGGGTGAAGGGTGCTTACGAGGGTGTCTTCACTGCCTCCCTCCAGTCCGCCCTGAACGAAGACGTCTTCGGCTCTGTCGAGATTGAGTCCAAGTCGACCGCTGACGAATGGGTCGAGCACGCCGTTGAACTCACTCCTACCAAGGATGCTCCCAACAGCAACAACACCTTCGCAATCACCTTCGACCCTGCGGGCGCTGCCGACGGCTCGCTGGACTTCAACCTGATCAGCCTGTTCCCTCCCACCTACAAGGGCCGCAAGAACGGTCTCCGAGTCGACATCGCCGAGGCTCTTGCTGAGCTGCACCCCAGCCTGCTCCGCTTCCCCGGCGGCAACATGCTCGAGGGTATCGACAACAAGACCTACTGGGACTGGAAGGACACCCTTGGCCCTCTCAAGGACCGTCCCGGCTTCCAGGGTGTCTGGAACTACCAGCAGACGCACGGCTTGGGTCTCATGGAGTACCTCGAGTGGGCTGAGGACATGGGCCTGACCGTCGTCATCGGCGTCTGGGCCGGTCTCGCCCTGAACGGCGATGTCACTCCCAAGGAGGACCTCCAGCCGTTCATCGACGACGCCCTCAACCAGATTGAGTTCATCCGTGGCCCCGTCGACTCCGAGTGGGGAGCTCGCCGTGTCGAGCTTGGCCACCCCGAGCCTTTCGACCTCCAAATGGTCGAGATCGGCAACGAGGACTGGCTCGCCGGCTACCCCCTCGGATGGACTTCCTACAAGGAGTACCGCTTCCCCATGTTCATGGAAGCCATCAACGCCAAGTACCCCGACATCACCGTCATCTCCTCCGGTGCCACTTCCGACGGCGACGGCTTCGACATCCCCGCTCCCGGCATCGGAGACTACCACCCCTACCGCACCCCGGATGCCCTCGTTGACGAGTTCGATCGGTTCGACAACGACATCGCCCACATCGTTGGTGAAGTTGCGGCCACCCACCCCAACGGCGGCACCGGCTGGGACGGAGACCTGATGCCCTTCCCTTGGTGGATCGGTACCGTCGGTGAGGCCGTGTCTCTCATCGGCTATGAGCGCAACGCCGACCGCATTCCTGGCACCTTCTACGCCCCCGTCCTGCGCAACATGAACCGCTGGCAGTGGGCTGTCACCATTGTCCAATTTGCCGCCGACCCCAAGCTCACCACGCGTTCCACGAGCTGGTTCGTGTGGGAGCTCTTCGCCGCCCACCCACTGTCGCACACACTCGAGGCGTCTGCTGACTTCGGTCCCGTTTACTACGTCTCTGGCAAGAACGAGGCCAAGGGCAACTTCGTCTGGAAGGGAGCTGCGTACAACACCACCAACAGTGAGGATGTTCCCGTTACCGTCAAGTTCGAGGGCGTCGAGGCTGGTACCAAGGCTGAGCTCACGCTCCTGACCAACCCTGGCGGCGACCCCTTCGCCTACAACGACCCTCACACCGGTGTCAACATTGTTGATAGCCAGAAGCTTGTCTTGACTGCCAACGAGGATGGTGCTTTCAACTTCACCCTCCCTGAGCTTAGTGTTGCTGTTTTGGACACTGATGTTGCGGCAGAGGGAGGCCAAAAGGCGCGTGGAATCTCGAAGTCATTCCGAGCTTAAGATATGAAGGCCCTGCAATGATTCTAGATCTCTAGTGAAATATCAATAAATATCACAAACGATAAATATGTAGTTTTGGGTATCTCAGAGATATATGTTACAGCCTATCCCACTCATCTCACAGCCTCAAAGTCTGTGCATATTTTTGATGTGTTACTTTGACTCATATTCATTGAGGAAACACCGTCATGCGGCAGTGGTGATAATTAGTATAGGTGGCTTGGAGAATTAAGAAAATGGTAAAGGGCAAAAATCAAAAAGCCCCAGCGTTAGAATACGACTTTTCTTTGAAATCTCCTGCAGATAGTGAGGCGATACACGACACTTGCCACCACATTGGCTACATGTATCCTCATGTACCTTATGTATCAAGAGGCTTCGCGTTCATGTGATAGTACATGTACTGACGCCCCGTCATGCGAGGATTGCATTGGATGGTAGGCGTGACGTGTCCGTACGACAACGAGGCAGTGATGCTGACAGCATACGCCGCAGCTCATAATCAAGACAACCCCGCACCTCCCACCTGAGAAAGTTTTACATCTCTTTGCCTTGTATCAACAGTTGCTGACTATCACTGCGAGTACCGAGACATCTATCCTCTTCCTCTTCCAACGGCGTCATGTCAAGGTGGCATGAGCGACATTGTACGCAACCCGAAGTACAGGTTCTGGGTGGGCTTCCTTGCTGCTGCTCATGTTACGCTGTTGCTTCAATCGACGACATCAGAGTCGACACAGCGCCATATGAACCTCATCTCGCTCCCAGCGAATCAGACACCTCTTTTAATTTGCGGTGGCCATCTAGCGTGAATTATGGCCATCCTTACGATCTTCACCGTTCGGGCGGCGTTCGAAACCTGGAACCCATTGCTCCGTCTGTTCTAGATGGATCAAGACGCTCCGAAGGTGGCACCGAGACGAATGGAAATATCCCAAAAAGATCAAGAGTAAGCAGTCAGAGAAAGCACCATACCGCATCCAATACCAAGATAAGGGATCACCTCAGTCGATTCGAAGCTCCTCTTTGCTATCCAATACTCGTGGATAGTGATGATGTCCGGCTTCTGGTACTGGACTCTGGTGAAGTTGACAGCCTACTGCACGCAACATTCACAACAACATCACTTGGCTCCAAATCCTCGCAATATGACGCCCTTTCTTACACATGGGCTGATGAAAACGGAAGTTCCGACCCATGCAGGCCATTATTTATTGGGCCGTTTTGGGACGTCATACCCATCACAAGAAATTGCGAAAACGCTCTTCGCAACATCCGGCCGCTACGAGGAGGTCCACGAAGCATATGGGTTGATTCTGTTTGTATTAATCAGACAGATGAAGGGGAAAGATCAGAACAAGTTGCTCTGATGTCAAAAATCTATTCACGTGCCTCGAACACACTGGCATACCTCGGACCGGCCTCTTGGGACAGCGATGCGGCCCTCGACGTGGTTGCAAATTCGTTTCTGGAATGGACGTGTTCTCATCATGGGAATGAGGAGGCGTGTGAAGACTGCAAAATGGCAGTTAACAGATTCCTATCTCGTCCCTATTTTCGTCGTTTGTGGGTGGTACAGGAAGTTATTCTGAGCGAACAAGTCACTATTCATTGTGGTTTCAAATCTATTCTGTGGCCATATATTGGAGTAATACGGAAGCTTGTGTTGACTTCCTGGGCCAAGCACAGAGAGAGCTCACCGCGTCTTTCTCCTGCCCCGGGTCCGGCGGCGAAGCTGATATCCCTGCTTTTGGACACGAGCATCTGTTCGTGTCGTGATCCTAGAGACAAACTATTCGCTCTTCTAGGACTAGCACCATGGAACGAAGTGAAGGAAGAACCGATCACGGCTGACTACAGCCTTACGTTAGAAGAAGTTTGCATCGGAATTGCTGCATATTTCATTACTAGGAACCAAGGAAAGAAGGTACTACTTCTCTCTGGAATTAGTAGTCAACCTAGACTACGGTCCCTACCTTCCTGGGTCCCTGACATTGGTCACCTTCCGCCAATTTTTGAAAGCACATTCCTATTTGACAGGGTCTTCGAAGGACCGTCAGTCAGATCGATTTTTAACACAAGGACTCCTACCACGCTTGGAATCGCCGCTCCCGACATATCCCGTCTGTACTTTGATCCACATACAGCTAGCCTCCAGACCTGGGGGGTTCGAATCTGTAACTTGCTTAGTTCTTTCACCGTACTTCGGAAAGCCCCCGGGAGATGTCTTTTACCAAAAGGAAACTTCATCCAGCACAGCATATGCCCGGTGATGCATCTACCTGAACTCACACAGATGAGTCAGGGCAATGCGAATTGGTTCGAAGATATCTTTACCGCAGACGATAATCTCTACTGGCTACACGGAGTCAAATCCCATGCCATTCTTCGACAAGATTCAACCACTGGCTTTCAGCAGTTAGTGTGTGCCTGCGACTTCGTACTCGAAAACCTGTGGGGAAATAGCACGATTACCTACGACATTCTGTATGTTGACGCTATACATGCGGACGCGGAGACGTTCATGCGCAAGCGGTTGGAGAAGCTTTTGAAACGAATAACTAAATCAGTCGGCGCATTTGACCCTCAGCCTTTCGTGAATAAGGCAACTGCAGAAGTGGTTGTTAGGCTTCGCATCGTGGACCAACTCCCAGCGTGCTACTTATCACGAGGAAAGAAGCTTCTGGCATAGTTGGTTGAAGCTTGAGGCAATTCTCATACCAACGCTTACGAACGGTCCCGGAATTACGGCTTTTATGAAAGCCGTTGAAAACGCAGCTCTGTCATTGAATATCACCTACGGTGGCACACAGACCTTCAATGGGGTTAAGCTGCCCTGGGAAGATGAAGTGGCAACTAGGGAGAGCGTCTCGCAACCTAGGCTGAGGCTTCTATGGTCAGTCCTGGCAAGATGTCAAGGAAAGAAGTTCGGTACTACAAATACAGAGATCGGCGTTGTGCCCGAAAACAAGTTGGTGTTAGCATTTCAGCACTGGGCCAACGTCACGGAAATGCTGTTTAAGACGTTGAGACAGTCCGAATCGCCCGGTGACGGCTTGTGTCAGGCAATTATCGGGAATCATCTTCGGAACTCATGGGAGCAGAGGTGGGCTGATTTCGCCGACAAGGTACTTCCCGAGCGATCCAGTACTCTGGACTCCGAAGAGAGCATACGGCACCTCCTTAGTCTGTTTCCCCGAAATTCAGAAGACTCCGGAGGGACGAATGACCCGGGGCCCAGAATGAGGGATTATACATGGGCCATGCTGACAGAAGACTTGTTGTGGGACTGGGATGAAGCTAGACGATATTTAGAAAAGCGATGGAAGTTCTGGGAATGCTTAGAGAATGACAAATGGATGGCTCGCTGGAAGTCAGGTATGGCAGAATACGGCAAGGATCTTGAAAGTCAGTTGGCTCTACGGCTTCACCTCCGACCATTTGACTTCAACTTAGAAGATCATACCAAGGTCACCATTGTCTAGCATTGTTCGGAAGCATAACTCCCAAGTTCGCACATCAAGCTAAATAGTGGTAGTATAGTAAAACTGCCAGTGGCCAGTACGGTTTGAATAACATGCGGCATATCAGGAGGCTTCCGTCGGAGTGTCTGTTATGCCGCGTCGTGCTTCGTATCTAGACCCGGTGGACAATGCCTAGCAAATGCCGAGCTCTGGTACCCTCAGACTACAGTTCTCTCTACCTTTAGCCTCGCATAAGACCCCATCTTTTCAATTAAGTGTTGCTAGGTTTTCCACCTTGGTGTCATCTGTTTAAATTGATATGCTCTATATTCAGTCTTGTGGTTCCTGAAAACTCTACGCGAGTTGGTCGGTGGGTTGAGTAATCTCGCCGAACTGCTACGACAGACGTACGGACTACTCCACGATCGATGTTGAAGAGTTCAGACTGGGTTTGCGGCAGGCTACATTTGCCGTCTTTGCCCAGACCTTCCAAACATGGGTATCCAAGTTTCGCACTGGATAGTAATTCTTTTTGACTTTATTGACATTGCAGTACGTTTTGCTACTCAATACCATAGACCGCTTCAACGCGTATAAAAGGCTCCCCATACCGGCAGAGATCAGACGAATGATCCAAAAAGGTACTTGTTTCTCAGTTCATTGATCAACAAAATCTTGTTCCGACCAAGTCAAAAATACATCTTCACGCAGTACCACAATGCCAGACTCATGGGAAGACCAGATTGCCCACTTCCAGACCATCCCCTGGTGCGCCAAAGTGCTTTCCGAGCCAGGCATTCTAGTCGCTCCCACTGTCAGCCGGCGATTCGACCCTGATAACCGTATCTTTGAGTACTGGGGCGTGACGCTCTTCAGTGCGGCCACCGTCCCATACTTCATCGGTTGTTTTTACATGCCATCCGAGCCATCCGAAACCGACAACCAGAAACCCGATGAACGACCGTTACATGAAAGATTTGTATCTAAAGCACGATTCTTTCTCACTCTTGGTCATGGACTGAGTACTCTGAAAAAGGAGTGGTGCCACGGCGGGGTGGTTGCCTCCATCTTCGACGAGTGCTTAGGCGCTATCGGATTTGTCAACAAATTTCATGGGTTCATGCCGATGCTTCCTCAAGTTACACAAACGCTCAAAGTCTCGTACATCAAACCAGTACCAACGATGTCAACAATCTCTTGTACGACCATGTTGAAGCGTATGGAAGGGCCGACGAAGTTTGTTGTGGAGGGAGAGATCACGGATGAAAATGGCACGGTGCTGGCGAAAGCGGAAGCCCTGTTCGTTGGCATTGAGAAACGACGGAACAGAGAGAAACTTTGAAATAAGCGTCCGGGGTATTCGGTACATTTGCATGTCAACTGTTACATGTAGTAATAAGTTTATCGATGACCCGAAACCGACGACAGCCTTAGGTTCAGACATTATGAAGGCATCTATCTACTGCTGCCTTTGGCTGTTCTATGCAGAGTCACCGCAAGCAGTATTGTCATATCTGACGTTTATAAATCCCTTTTCATTTCAAGCCAAGCCCAAAGTCCACCATATTGATAATAGAATCCATAGCCATCAAAGATGGCTCTAACTATGCAGTACCTATTCTTGATTTCTTGCATCTCAGACAAGCTGCCATGTCGCACTTGGGGCAACGAAGACAGAACCTGGCTAACTTCTTGTCGCAGAAACCGCAAACCGTCTCTTCCCAGCTTTGAGGCCACCTAGATCGGGTATGTTCGCACTTGGCGTTATTATGAACAGGGCCGGACGCCTTTGGAACCCTCATCCGGGCCCAGTGGTTGCGAATGACCTCCTGCTTTTCCTCGACCTCCAACATCTTCAGCCTCTCACGCGCAGCCTTCTCTCTCTCGGCTGCCGCCTTCTTCGCAGCTTGCAAAGATCGCCTCTCAGCTTCTGCTTCTTTCTGCTGGCGAAGCCGTTGCTTTGCCGCTTGCTCCAAGAGCTCTCTGGCCCTACTGGCTGCCTCCCGGGAGCGTCTCTCTGCAAGCTGCTCCCTCAATTCCCTCAATCTCTCCTTTTCCTCCCTCTCTCGGGCTGCTCTCTCTCGTTCAGCAGTACGGCGCGCAAACTCGGTTGCGGCCGTCTTCTGGGCAGCAACTCTTTCGCGTTCCTCCCGACGAAGCTGTTCTGCCTTTTCAGCTCGTCTTTGCTTTTCACATTCCTCTTTTCTTAGTGTTTCCTTCTTTTCGATTTCCTCTTGCTCCCATGCTCTGTACTGAGCCCACTCCACTCGTACTTGCGAATAGTATGTGTCGTATCTCGCTCGTTTGCACTCATCCCGAAGATACTCATAGGCCTCTTGGATCTGAACAAGTTAGTTGGGTTATTCAGAATCCAGGGATAAGCCGGAAAGTCAGAATTTTGCCAGGGGCAAGTACCTGTCTGAACTCCCGTGCATCTGTGCAGGTTCCGGGCACCTGTTTATCAGGGTGATGCTTCCTAGCCAAAGCGCGATGTGCCCCTTTTATTTCCGCCAGTGTCGCTGTATGTATGACTTGAAGATCTCCGTAATAGTCTCGTATCGATGGCGGCTCCATGGTCTTTGGCTGTCGGGCGCAAATAAAAGGCCATTGACTGATCTTCCACGCAATCTCAACACAATAAGGCTAGAAAAGACATGTCTGCCATTCTACAGCAAGAATAGAAGACCTTCGGCCGTATATAAATGTTTTGAATCCTACTTGAAGGGGTTTCTCAATTCTTGTCCCTATGAACGACGAGGTAGGTGCCTTATTGAATGTGGGTGGATCTTGTCGGCCTCCTGCTTTAAAGCCAAAACATGTCTCAGGCTACTTCGGCCACCACAAGGACTCAAGCATTGGAGATAAACCTTCTGTCATTGAGCTGAAGAAACATTCTACTCATGAAACTGTTGTGAAAATGCTTAGAAGATGGCGAATCAGGCCGGTGGTGGGAAGCGGAGTTTCTCTCTATGTATCAAGCTATTGTCAAACAGTTAGGCGACTGATGACTGAAAAGAAAAGCAGCGACAATAGTAGTTCAGTAAGGGTTTATATTTGAGAATACTCTCACATTCCTGTATTCTTAATATACGGAGACCCAGACGACGTGCTTGAAGGACTTCACTCTCATTTGAAAAGGTCAAAATGCTCGCCCTTCATATATATAGGCGAAAAAAAAGAACGGAAAAGAAATTGTGCTAGCACGACCTGGTTTCGATCCAGGGACCTCTGGGTTATGAGCCCAGCGCTCTACCCCTGAGCTACCGTGCTGTTTGCTTGTTGAAAATTGGGAACTACAATCAGAATAAGAGCCGGCACAGTGGAGCGTGTCGTGTGACTCACTCGTGGGTCTGCATCATTCACTTATTGACCCACTGGCTATGCGGTCGAACCAGCCGACAAAGCCAGTTCAGTCTTTGGAGATGGTAGTCGACGCTTCAGATGGTGTTGTTCTGCTGAGCTCAAATGTTTAGAATAGGCTATCGTGACTGGATGTTCATGGTGTTGACGGCCCAAGTGGAGCAGCAGGTCTCGGATCGGCGCAGAACCGGCTGTTTGGTCCGGGGAAAAGCACCCGGGAACAAGGAACCCGGACTGCTCTCACCCGTCGGGGGCATTCTCAAAGAAATGATTGCCGAGTATTTACCTAATTACCATCTCATCTTTATCAATGTGCCGAACCACCTTTGATTTCGGGGGTGTGGGTTTGCGGGGTTTCCAAGCCGACGCTTATCTTCCGCGGGTCTAGATCATCCTCTCTGTCGAAAAGGCCGATCGAATTCCCCGATGCCGTCGGGAAATGCCCAGGATGACGGACGATGACCGGAGCCACCCGCAAGAACGCCATGTCAAATGCAGGGTCAACTTTGATGGCTTTCTCGAGTTTATATCCGCTAATAGGATGTGGCAGAGTTACCTTCATTGTACACACATTTATTTGTTAGACTGCTGTTCTCTTGAACCTTCTGCGTCGACCGACTCAGCACCCTTGAGCATCCCTAAAAGACATTAACACTCATCAAGATGATCACACCTGTAAGATAACCAACCGCATATGCATCTCGATTATGGCTTAACTCTGCCCTCAGAAATGGAGCCGTTTGGTGCGGTTTATCGCCGAAGATGATTGGAGGGAGTATATCGGTGAGCCGGTTGACGATAGCGTTGACGGTATGACATCCCAACACCCAGGAGTGCCAAGATACTCACATCCTTGCAGTCGGAGCCGCCCTCACAGCATCTGTTCCCGTGCCTGTCCGGGTGTTCACCGGCACATCCGCGCTTGACGCCTCAGCAGAGCCAACATCAAAGATCCTCAACATTCAGAAGCTCTTGCCGCCCCTGAGTCGCAAGGAAGTAGGCACAATCCGTTGCATAGGCCTCAACTACCGCAAACATGCCAAAGAGATGAATCTCGAGTTGCCAGAGCATCCTACGCTCTTCTTCAAGCCGGCAAGCTGCTTGAACGCCTCAAATTCGCCACTTGTCATTCCCCATCAAGCAACAGACTCTCAAGCGGACTATGAGGCCGAACTGGCAGTGGTCATCGGCCGTGACGCGAGGAATGTTAGCACTGAAGAGGCCATGGACTATGTGCTCGGCTACATGTGCTCCAACGACGTCACGGGAAGAAAACACCAGTTCGCCGGCGCGCAGTGGGGCTTCGGCAAGGGTTTCGACGGCTTCGCTCCCATGGGGCCCTGTCTTGTCAGCACGAGCAGCATCCCAGATCCGTCGGTTATTGAATTGAAGACCGTTCTCAACGGCGAGGTCATGCAGGAGGGCAGAGGAGACGACATGATCTTCTCTATCGCGGAGATCGTGGCGTATCTGTCTCAAGGCACGACACTGGAAGCAGGTACAGTCATCATGACGGGTACACCTCATGGTATCGGTGTCAGCAGAACCCCTCCGGTATTCCTCGCTCCAGGAGATGACCTTCGGATTGTGATGAGCCACGGTTTGGGCAGTCTTGTCAACCGAGTGGAGTACGAGGAGAAGCCGAAACAGGCGGCTACGAATGGCGTCAACGGGGTCAAGGCGGTTAATGGTGTTAACGGGGTAAAAGAAGTCAAAGTTAACGGGATTCATTGAGGGAAAGAAGGAGTCTTTATACACGTGGGATAGTATGGTTCCAGCCGATGGCGTATCCGTTTTATAAGGAACTTCAGCTGGATTTGAGACAACAAACGACCTGGTTTCCGGTTGATCAGATATACACACAAGAAGTCAAGACCTTTGTAGCCATGTCGGCGGCGCCCCTGTGCTCTTCCCCGAAACGGCGGCTTGAACACACATCTCCAAACTCCCAAAGCAGAACTTCCGACCGGTCAGACCGGGGCCGTAGTGGATGTACTTTCCAGAGTTTGTCATGATCACCTGGGTGGGTTTCGGAATGACTGGCTCCTCAATAGAGCACCAGCAGGTGTCCGTGAGGAATTGCGCTCCGAATCTTTCCAGCTCTTCAACATAGCCTGCCTGAGTAGCCAATGCATGTTGCGCCCGACCACACGTGATAATCACCGACACGTCCTCGTGCTTGGTCTTGCCACGGCACAACTTGGCGACGTCCCTGATCTCGCGAGAGGAGAAGTGTGGGTTTCCGAACGAGATGAGGTCGACCTGCCTCTCCGTCGACCCGTGATTGAACTCGTCCCAGCATTCGTGTAGCTCCTTCCAGCCAACATCAACGCGTTCGGGTAAGATACCACCAGAGCAAACGGCTTCCAGTGTTGGAGCTTCTGGTGTCAAGTTGACCATATGAAACATCGGCGCGCTCGAAGAAGTAGCGAAGGCTGCCGAAAAGGCTTTGAAGTCATCGTTGGAGGGTTTGAGGCCTTCAAGACCCGTGATAGCTGGGATACGACCTCCAGCAATAGCGCCGAAACAGAATCCTGATATAGGCCAGAAGGAGTCGTCAATTCCATCGGGTACCTCAACCTTGATCCATACAGAGGCAACTCGGTTCGCGTCGACGTAGGCACCCGACTTCGGCGCACGCCCCGTTAACGCGATGAGTACCTCCAACATGTTTGGATTCTTCAAGGTTCTTGCACCGAGAACGCTGTTTGCGTAAACCACGGCGTTGGACTCTCCCCAGGCGATCGAGTCTCCCAACTTCGGAGCGGTTTCAAGAAGATACGGCGCGCAAGTAAAAGACACCTGGCCGCCCATGTCGACGAAAGCCTTGGTCAACTCGTCGCACGTAGTCCCAAGCTCAGAGTCGATGCCGAGCGTCCGCCATCGCTTTTGGTCAACGTTGAGAGAGTTTATGGTGGCTGGAACTCGGAACTTCCCACCCCAATCCCGGAGTCTTTTGCCGAAGGCGACAGATCCGGGGCCGTACCAAGCCGCGTCAACGTGAGCTTGACTTACATCCATCAGCTCGGTGGCTCCCATTAGATGTGCCTGTCGGATAATTGTTCGCATCGAAATTCTGGCCGCCTCGCCGTTGGCTCCTTCCAAGGTGGCTAAGTCGAAATTGGAAAGCCGAATCCCCAGGTTCGTAAGGTCTTCAGAAGGCTTCTGAACTCCGTTTGCGACGATTCCAGTGAGGGAGGTGAGAGGACCATCCGATACAGCACCACCATCGATATGGACTGTCTTCTCGCCCCATTGGAGTAACTGCCGAAATTCCTCAGGCTTAACAGTTACCACTGGTACTGTTTTACCGAAGAACTCATCCGCCACAAGAACGCCAAGTGTTATGAGCTCCTCGCGACGTTCGAGAATGAGCGCTTTGGGACCAAGCCCGTTGAGAATGAGTTCCATCATGACAACACTGCCGCCGCATGATCCTCGACTTGCGGGGATTGCTAAGACGGTGTCCTTCAAGAAATGTCCGCTCAATGGGTGAAACCGGTCGATGACCTCGCCGGTCTTTTGATTTACACCGCCCCATAGACTGAGTTCGAGGTCAGCTGCCAGAAGCGTGGCCGAAGCATGGCCGTTGACGTAAGGTGTGCCGTGGAATACGGCTGGTTCTGTTGCTTCCATTGGTACTGACATTGGCGATGTCTGGTGCTGAAAGGGCGTTGAGGATGTAAACCTGCGATCCGTTGTGTTCTATAGAGAACAGAGTGCAATGATTGATAATATGTAGTGCTTCGTTGGTCAGGAGGAGGACGTAGATTATGTGTCCATCTTGTAAAGAAACCGAACCCTGCTCGGATGAGATTCCGAGTCCACAATATTTGCAGTTCCATGCGCATGTCTTCCAAGTTCATCCCTTCTTATCGGGAAATAAAATAAACAGCGATTCGTCTCCAGTAGTTGACGCTTCTCCCCGCGCCGTCATGCAACGGGATTGCGGGGTAGAATGTGCCTCACTTCTCATACCCAATGTGGAAGTTCGACGTGCCTGTTCAAGGAACATCAATAACCTTGTCGGATCGGATGCGGAACCAAGGCTAAACTGTTGCATGAGAAAGGTCTGAAAGATTGATAGAGAAAATGCCATAGGTTATCGCCGTAACGATAAACCCTATGGGCAAGATCGTTTCGGAATGATGAAGTAATTGAGACAGGCAGCACCATGGATAAGAGAACAGATCCAGATGCGAGTCCATGTTGTGTCAGTATGCGTTTGTCCTCGCTGCTTTCTATGTTGGCCAGCTCATGACATACCCCATACTCCTTGATAGCAATCATCGAGACGTTGTAGGTTATCGATGGGGCGAATCCGATCCCGGTTGGTACAGGAGGTTCTCTCCAAATTTGCCATGTTGGGAAAGCAAGATACCAGCAATTGGTCGAGCCGCAGGAAGCTTTGTTGGAATATGCTGTATTAGATGATAATATTACTCGCTTTGAGACTGGGCGCGTTAATTAAATACTTAAGCCAGTAAATTTCAGCCTATTCCAACCTAAACTGATCACGACAGCTAGTTTACATCGCTTTACCAATCCGTCCTCTGCCGAAAACCGCAAGCCAAAGCCATGGCCGAAGTTAAGATCAAGCGCATCGACGTCTTTCAGGCTGATTTGCCTTACTCAGGCGGGGTTTACTACCTGTCCGGAGGGCGTGAGTACCCCAGTTTCGACGGCACCTTCGTACGTATCACCACCGAGTGCGGCATCGAGGGCTGGGGGGAGAGCACGCCCTTCGGATCGACCTTCATAGCTTCACACGCTCTGGGAGTTCGAGCCGGTATTGCGGAAATCGCCCCAAGCTTGATTGGACTTGATCCACGAAGAGTCGATCGGATTAATGAAGCTATGGATGCGGCGCTCCTCGGTCACGAACACGCCAAAGCCGCCCTGGATGTTGCATGCTGGGACATCTTCGGCAAATGGGCAGGTCTTCCTGTATGTGAACTTCTTGGAGGCCGCACAGACTACAAGATACCCATCATCACCTCTCTCCCGGTTCGCGGACCGGAAGGCATGCGGGCCCTCGTCCAGGAGTACCGGGATAAGGGATCGATCGGATTCTCGGTCAAGATCGGCGGAGACCCTGTCGTTGATGCCGCCCGCATCGTCGAGGCTTTTAAGGACAAGAAGCCTGGCGAGTTTTTCATTGTCGATGCCAACGGCGGGCTGACCGTGGAGGGAGCTTTGAGAATGTTGAGGCTTCTACCCGAGGGCCTTGACTTCGTTCTGGAAGCACCATGTCAGACTTGGAGGGAGTGCACGTCGCTACGACGCAGGACGAACGTGCCGATCATATTCGACGAACTCGCCCTGACGGATGTGTCAATGATTCAGATGATTGCGGACGACGCGGGTGAAGGTATCAACTTCAAGCCTCAGAAGTTTGGCGGTCTTACTCGGTCACGCCGTGTGAGGGACATTTGCGTCGCGGCAGGGTATATCATGAGCGTGCAAGAGACGTGTGCTTCTGATATTGGGTTCGCGGTTCTCGTTCACCTGAGCCAGTCTATTCCGGAGAGGAACCTGCGCTGCGTACTTGCTAGTCGCGACATGGTCACGTTGAAAACGGCGGATGGCGCATTTGAGATTCGCGATGGACATATTCAGGCACCCACTGAGCCAGGACTCGGCATAACGCCTCGGATGGACGCTTTGGGGCAGTCTGTTGCTAGTTACTTCTAAGATGAAGCTTCTGTTAGACTTGTTCAAATACCGCACTGTTTCCAACCCATTACCTCCTTCACGTCTCAGCAACTCATGTGGCTTTGCCACGATATGTGTAAGCAAGTTTTGCAATATGTATGTGCCGACCACATTTCTGTAACAAGACAATTCATTGTTTAATGATGACGAACTTGAGGCTGCTGCTTGACAGTCAGGATGAAAGGGTCAGCGCCATAAAGAGACGCATAACGCCATGACAATAGGTGTCCTATTGTGGTGGCCACAATTTGACATCTGACTGTACACTCTCGGGCAGCTAGCGAATCTCAGATATATAAACTACTAATGTTCTCTCGTCTTGCTGCAAAACTCGCGGCATCAAAGGCTTCTTGCAGTTTCGTGGCTGGGTCTGCTGTGAACTGTGAACCTGTAGCTTCACAGTCTCAAACGTTAGGTCTCTTCAACCGCCCGCCAGCAACATGGAAGAACTCCCAAACCTTTCGTCTTGGCAATTGCTCTTGTTCGGCCGATCGTTTCCAGTAGCTACTGGGAGCCTTTTAACGACACTTGGAGGTCCTTCACACAAAAGCTGCCCCGACATGCCAACTTGCGTCTGGTTCGGCAGCCGGATCGTGTTCTCTCTGCCCTGCAACGGCGCCCGCCACCAAAGGCCGTGCTCATCATAGATGACGCCCTCGTTCTACCCGATATGGGCTATGTGTGGTACGCCGTACTGTCATACGTGCATCAAGGCGGTATTGCGGTTGCCATGGGTAAGTTTGAGGACGCTGCGTATTGGAACGAAAGCCTCATAGATTCCTTCTTCGCCAAGGCCGGTCTCGGTTCGACAGCTCGTGGCCTCGGACATTTTGCTAACCTCAATCACGATGCATTCAACCTCCCAGCAGGGCTACCGAAGACACGGAACCAAGTAACTGTGCACTTGACGAAAGTCGAGGACAAGGACTCATGGTATGCTGGAACACTTCAAACCCCTAACCACATTTTTTTGAGACAGCCCGTCCAGCATGACTGGAGGACGTCAGTGGCAGTGGCTTTTGGCCGAGTTGGAAACGGAAAGGTTGGGTATATCGGAGGCAATGACCTTGCCCGGGAATCCACGGGAAATATCATTCTTGCAATGTGTGGATTTGCATTGTAGGAGCGAAAGATTATCATACGGAATGAGTGGTCAACCCATCCTAATGATCGCTTCCTTTAGTCGTATTTCGTCAAGGATGTCTCTTGGAAACCTCACAACTCCTGTTCATGTACATGTATGATGTGCTGTGATGCTGCATTTGCTATTTCAATGGATTAATTCGATGCTCTAGATATTCGTTTGATCATGCATTATCGTGTTGATGACATGTTCCCACTGAGATAAATCTCCGCTTTCCGGAAGAAAGAAGCCCGGATCGTCCCACGTCATCTGCGCGCTTGAGGTGCTGTAGGGAAGTCCAAGACCGACCAACAGCGGATCAAATTCGGGACTCTCGACCGGTAATTGTGGTTGTGTAGGCATCAGATTTGGCTGGCCTACGGATTGCAACGGACGTTCGGCCGGGGATGCCAAAGCCAAGGGAACCATTGGGTTCGGCGCCGGTGGTTGAGACTGCCTCGCCTTCTTCACACACAACTCGACAATTTTCACTTCAGCCAAGGCGAACTCGTTGAGCCAAACGTCGTTCCGCTGCATCTCGCAGTACGCTGCCAGATCTTCAAGAATGGCCTGCGACCTCCGTGTATGGGGGTCTCGCACGGCGATGATTCCCAGCACCAACGCGCTGTTGAAAAGGTTGTGTGGGCCGAGACTCCATTTCAGCCGGTCCGTCAGGGGTTGGCTGAACAGCTTCAGGCCCATCTCGAGGTCGGCGCAGGCGGACGCTATGCAGACATCGTGGCTGTGTTTGTAGCGGTTGGTGATGGACTGACGAAGAAGAAACGGGCGATGGAGGGTGACGCGAGCAAAGTGGTACATGCTGTGGAGATGGAGTCTTTGCCACGGCAGAAAAGGGAGCCTCTCGTCTTTGGAGGTGTCGGCGTCTTCGACCTCGAAGTACGGCGGTAGCCTGCTCCTCCAGGTATCAATCTCCTTGTCTAAGGTCAAGACCGTTTCGTAGGACACGGTGAACAATCCGAAACATCTTTCCTGGATCTTGCCGACCACAACGGCCAGCTCATGGGCAAGTCGGCTGAAGACGCTTGGTGTTGGCTCTGACAGAGGTGCCTCGGGAACCTTTGACGCTTCTTCGTCATCAAGGTCATCCAGCCAGACGTTGGATGCTTGCTTGACCAGACATTGCTGATCAACAATCGCAAACGGCCTTCCGAGGGCAAGGGCGATGGTCTTATCCAGCATGTAAAGGTTACTCCACAGCCGCCTTCTGGTCTCCATCTCCTTTCTGGGTAACCTCCACCTCTCGCCGTCGATATGCATACCCTGGGCCTGAGCCATGCGCATCGCGAAGCTAGTAGTTAGCCACGATTCCGGGACGCGGCGAGTGTAGATGAGGTATCGCGTCACCAGCACCCCAGCCCTGACGAGATCCGTCGATTCGCCGTAGAAGGTCGGCGCAATGACGATGGCGCGTCGGGCAGCCCAGTAGAACCGTTGCGACGTCTCGTGGACTTCCCTCTGAACCTCCTTGTTCCGGGGCTTCGGACAATCCAAGAGCACGCCGTAGGCCATTACGATGAACAGCAGCGCCAACCAGCGGAGATCGATCGTTGCAAAATCATCGAAGCCAAACTTCCTTGACCAGAAGTTATCGTACTTGGCCTTGAACGAGTTCGGCTGGACGGCATCAATAGCCCAGTTCAGCTCGTTCAGGAAGCAGTCCGTCAACCTATCAACAGTCGACTTCTTTCTCGGAAGCAGCCCCAGGAGTTCCCAAATCTGGGAGAAAGGCCCTCCTTCGTCTCGGAAGGAATGTGTTGAGCCCGCTTGAGCCTTTTGTGAAAGTCCGGAAGAGAGCTCGGGCGCGGGAGCTTGTATGATTTTCGCAGCCGCTTGGGGGCCGAAGTAGGACGAGCCGAAGAAGGACGGCGCATCGCGGCTTTTGAAGAGATTGCCGACAGCGTATTCCCCTTGTTGGTCTTGTCCGCTTTCGCCCTGCCTTCTCCCTCCGCTGCTAGATGATCGCGAGGGTATCGGTCCGGACCCTGAAGAGGACTCATCTTGTCGTTCGGGCTCCTGATTCGGTATTGAGGAGGCGGTGGCCGGCGAGATGGGCGTTGCGAAGTTGACTGCAGGAGAAGTCAGGACCGGTGGCCGCGACCGTTGTCTCGGTCTTTCGCCGCCATCTTCTAGATGGCTGTAGGAACACGATGATCCTACTCCGCGACGCTCGCAGTTGAAGCATGGTTTCGATCCGTTGCACTAGACCCTGTATCAGCAGGTCCGAAGGATGGATGGACGAATTTGCGAAGAAGAAAAGGCATCCTCTCTATTGCCGACCACGTAAAAGATGACTTGAGCGCGCCTGTAGCTGCAATTCCCGTCCGCCCGAGATCCAAGTGGCAAACATCCGATCAACGGCATCACCTTTCGCCAAGCTGCAAACAAACAATACATGCCAAGACAGTAGCTGAGAGACCTATCACTCACTCGTTGCTTTCGCCGATGACACGACTCGCACGCGACCGCGTGCCTCCCTCGCTTCCTCTTCCGAGCTATCGGACTTTTCGCACTCGAGGCGTCAGCAGTGGGCGATGTCGAATCCATTGAGCCGCGGGTTGCCGGAGAGAATGCCGAAAGCGACAAACTGGTTTGCGAGATCGGGGAATTGGCCAAGAGGACACGACAGGCGAGGCGATGTCGGCCTTTTTCATAATCCCAGAGAGGCGCCCTCGTGTTATCAAGATCCCCCACATTTGACCGAGGGGAATCTTGGCTCCCCTAAGCCCTTTCAGGGACGTCCGGATGATAAGAAGTCCTGGCTCGTTTCCCCGGCTTTTTGGGCGCACCCCGCTGTATTGCATGGATCATCAGCCGACGTTGTGATAAGTGCGCGCATTTCCCGACGCGGAGGAGGGGCGGGAGGGAACGATAGATTGGCGTCGGCAAATTCTGGGGTTGGCTAGATAGGTGAATCCGGTGACCTCACCTTGCCTTTGCATTTTCTTGGTGATGCAGGCTGAATAGATATATCACCAATGCAGGGCCTGTGGATTATTGTAATGTCGGTAGAGTTAGACTATCTGCATCGTTAGTTGAGCTTTGTCGATCAGCCAACTCGACACGACTTTCGAATATGTCTTCGGAAAAGATGCCCAGCGAGACGAAGGATGGCGACGTCGACTCGCCCTATGAGGGTGTTGCGAGCACGCACCTGACAATCGACCCGGTGGCTGAGAAGAAGTTGGTGAGGAAACTGGACGGATGGCTATCTCCGATGATGATTATCTGCTTTCTGGTGGCGTACTTGGATCGTAGCAACATTGGTATGTGGCTCTTTCAAGCTTTTCCACGACTTTGAATACTGACGGATACTCTATAGGAAATGCAGCAATTGCGGGTATGAACGAAGACCTCAACCTGACTGGCAATCGACTCAATGTCGCAGTCACGGTCTTTTATGGCAAGTTCCCTCAGTCTCTTCTGAGAGACAACAACTGACATATCACGCAGTGACCTACATCGTCTTCGAAATCCCGGCCTCCCTAATCCTCAAGAAAGCCCGCCCGAGCCGACTCATCCCCTTCTTCATCCTCGCATGGAGCGCAACCGTCGTGGGCTCCGCCTTCGTAACAAACTACGCCGGCCTCCTCGCCACAAGACTCCTCATCGGCATGTTCGAGTCCGGCCTTTTCCCCTGCTTGACGCTGTACCTGAGCACATTCTACAAGCGCGAAGAACAAGCCCGCCGAATCTCGTACCTGTTCGTCGCCGCCGCGCTCTCCGGCGCCTTCGGCGGTCTCCTGGCCTACGGTCTGACCAGCCTTCACGGCGCGAGCGGTCTGGCCGGTTGGAGGTGGCTCTTCCTCATCGAGGGGGTCATTTCCCTCGCCGTTGGCCTTGCCGTCATTCTGCTTCTTCCCGATAGTTTCGAGTCGGCGAAGTGGCTCACCGAAGACGACAAGGCTCTCATGCGCATCCGCGCCGAGCAGGCTAGGGTCTACCAGGGCGAGTCCGAGACCTTCGACAAGGCGGAGGTGAAGCTCGCGTTCCAGGACCCCAAGGTGTGGCTCTCTGCGGGATGCCAGTTCTGCGCGAACACGTGCTCGTTCGGTTTCGGTACCTTCTTGCCCGTGATCATCAGGGGGTTCGGGTATAGCAGCATCAAGACTCAGCTCCTTACCGTTCCCGTGTACATCTGGGCATCGGCGGTTTACCTCACTATTGCCTACATCTCGGACAAGATCAACAAGCGCGCCGTCTTCATGGTGCCTATGGCTCTGGTAACTGCGACGGGATACGCCCTGATGCTGGGTGTTAGTATGAAGGCTACGAGCGTGCAATACTTCGCGACCTTCGTCACAGCTACGGGTATCTACTGCGTCGTCGGTCTCAACGTCACCTGGGTCAGCAATAGCAACGCTGGTTACTTCAAGCGCGCAACGGCTATCGGTCTCCAGCAGACGATCGGTAACAGTGCCGGTCTCATGGCTGGACAGATTTACCGCATCACGGCTTCTGACGGGAGGTACACGATTGGCCATGCTGTGTCGCTAGGCACCATCACGGTTGCGTCGGTTGGATACTTCACAATGTGGACTATCCTGAACAGGATCAACAACAGGAGAGAGAACATGAGCATCGATGAGAGGTCGCGCGAAATCGATCAGGGCAAGAAGGGAGATAGACACCCCGACTTCCGCTACACTCTGTAGATGGGGGGTCTAGTTGTTAGATTAAGAGTCGTCATAATATTACCATATTTCGTTTCAATCGTCGTGGCTTTTCCCATCATGGATGCTTCACATCCCCCTAGCTCACTGTCTCGAATTCATTCGTGGCCCAGAACGAGGCGTCCATCAAGTCCCACCGTCCATCGTCCAAAGGGTCCTCGTCACCAAATTCCAAGCCAGGGGGATCGAAGAAGTCGGTTGGTGGCGGAGCCGTCACTGCATTCCTGGCCTTGTCGTTCAGCTCCTTACAGGCACTGTGGATCTTCTTCAGTCGGTAGTCATCAGTTGCCTTGATGAGTCTCTCGAGTAGTAGTAAAGCCGACTCTACGTTGCTCTGGTCGGTAAATCGACATGAGTGATCAGGGTTGGCCAGGTTGTTGACCGTGATGAACATGATGCTCGTCAAGTAACCACACGATACTAGCCTAAAAGCGCAGTTAGATACTTTCAACCCGACGAATGAATGCGTCGCCACTTACCAAGTAAGAGCAGAGTCATTTTCCGGCGTTGCGGCATAGAGATGCATACAAGTCCTCGCCTCCTCGACAAGCTTCTCCCAGCATGTCGGAAGCTGTTCTGCAAAGGCCTCCGGAAGAATCTGCGGAGCCTGTCTCTTGCTGCAATTCAAAATCTCCTGGAGCCACTCCAAATGATGCGAGTCCGCGTAGTGCGTCGTCGCGATCAGCTGCAGATGCGTGTAGTGCAGCAGACACAGATATCTCAGGTATTCCGTCGACACAATCGCGGCGACCGTCTGCACTTTAAACTCTTCGGGGATCGTCTTCTCCCAGTTCTCGAGCATCTGTCGCAGTCGTTCCATGTTTTGTTGCCGTTCGGCCTCGGGAAGCTTCATGGCTCGCACCGATATCAGCATCGAGTAGATCTTGCCTTGGATGTATGCGAGCTGCACCCGGCAGCGGAAGTAGTTGAAGACCTGGCCCGAGAACCCGACGATGATGCCTGCGTTGTCAGGGGGTGTTTGGTCTGGTAGGTCCACGTCGATGTCGACGTCCTGGTGAATCGCCGGCTGGCTCGTCCGCATCGCACAGTCACGGTCCAGGATGTACGCGATCCAGAACACCCTTTGCCTCTGGATAATCTCCGCCGGTTCGTATTCATCATCTGGATGTGTATTCTTGGTGTAGAGTCTGAGACCATGGACGAGGCGCATGGCGGTGGCGACGATCATCGAAGCTGGGCGGGGGTCCGAAGATCCGTGGAAGACGAGAACGAGTCCGAGGACGACCTGCAGCGCCAGGAGATCCGGTTCGCCGATGACGAGCTCGTTCAGGGCTGACTGGACATTGTTGATGTAGCGCTGCATATTCTGCGTCTCTTGGGGACTCGAGGCGTAGGAATGCCGTTGAGCGAGTGCGAGGACGATGTTCACGGCTGCCCAGGCGTCTGTTTTCCGATATGCTGGGTAGGTATACCACCCGCGCAGCATCTTCATGAAGACTTGCTTGTCGAACAGGGGTAGCACCTGGTTCGACTTTTCGAAGTAGTCCTCGACGACGGGTAAGACCACCCGCAGAGGAGGCAAGGTCTTGGAGTTGTTGCCCGCCACGTGAATGCTATCCTGGTCTGTTGAGTAAGCTGGTGACTCTGTAGTTGCTGAATCGCCTCCAAGTCCCCAAAGCTGCTCTTCCTCCGAGCTGGAGAAGGTCTGCAGCGCCGAACTCGGGCGAATCCCCGAGCTTGGAGACGTCTGTTGTAGAGACTGTCCCTGACTGTTTTGCGCCTCAAGCTGCGCCAAACGAGCTTCCAGCATCTCGATCTTTTTCACACTGGAGGTCCTTAGCAAGGACATGCGCGTCTCGTCATGGGAGCGACTCACTGGTTGGGCTTCACAGCAGTGGCCCTTGTGGGCCCGGTGTAAGTGCATTCGGAGTTGTACAACTTGCAACCTGAACAGCGAGGCTGTTTCGCGTCGCACTTGATTTTCTTATTGTAACAAAGATCGCAGGCCTAGTTGTTGTCGATCGAGACATCGTGAGTCCTTTGTTCGGATGGCTCACTGTCGGATTCAGGGGCACTGACCTTCCTGCGTCTAACCCGCTTCGGCTTATTCGTTTCCATACTGATGAGAATGGAAGAGGTTCTCAACCTGCGTCTGTGCGACTTATTTCTTTCCTCTTCTAAATTATGATACGGTATTCAAGCAAGCCGATCGCTTCGAATAGGAATGTTACGTGTTGTTGGGCGCGAGAGAGAGATCAGTGTCAGCAAGACGTGGAGTTTCGGCATCATAGGCCTGCATGTGGGGACGTCAGCTTATTAATGCATCAGCAAACGGCTCGAAAAGGAAAAGTTGCATCCGTCGGAGGCAGCAGCGCCCATCCTGACATAAGCAGCTCGGCAAGAAGCAAAATCCTTCAAAATCATCTTGACTCCAAGTCGAGGCAGAGATCTTGCAACGCCTTGCAAGTCATTCTCGTCACCCATCAGCTATGAAAATCAAAAAATCGACGTTGGCCTGATTCGAACAGACGCTCCCGAAGGAACAAGATTTCTAGTCTTGCGCATTAGACCACTCTGCCACAACGCCAGCTGACCAACCACTGAATTGTGGGGTCCATGCTCAGCTTCGATGTCAATCAGTTCATGATGGGAACCGGAGGAATGAGAATCGGTCCCGGGGATTGATGATGTCGCGAACAAGAAATATCAAACTGGAATCGCCCAAGCTTTTGTCAAGTTATCAGACAGAAGTCTAAACTTCAGACTCTGGCGCACTTGCCGGACGGAAAGGCCCTGGAGATCGGATGAGTGTGGGGCGCCGGTCTCCTGCAGCATCCCGTCTCGGCGCCGCGGAGTTGGCGCAGATCTAACTCCGCGGAATTAAGCTACACATGAGCATCACTCGAGATAATTTAGTCGAGACAGCGCAGCAAATTCCATATCAATCATACTTGCAAACAAAATCAAGAAAGACAAGTCATCGTTCTTCATTATGTCGATGTACTGAATTGTCGCGGCCCATCGCCGGACCACGAAGTGCGTCATCTGAACCCCTGATTCCCGAATACCCCTCCATCAGTCCAATAAGCCTTGTTCTTGCGGGTTGAAAGCCTGATGGGTGGTTCTCGACTCGGCGTCGCATATAGTTTCGATTCGTTCCGCGTGAGGCTTTCCCGTCCTCTTTCCGGCGTTTGCGGTGGCACTACATACGATAGTTAGCACGGCAGAACACGTTGAGAGAAGCGTATGTGGTGAGAAAATACTGACTTGTCAGCACGACGTTCATCATCCTTTCCCTGCGCTTCAAGCGCGCTGTTGAGCACATCGATGGCCAGCAGCAAGTTGCTTCGAGTGCAGTTTCGTTGGTTGGCTTCAGCCGCATCCTGGCTCTCTCGAATCTGCTGGTAGAGGGAGACTGCCTCTATGGCATGGGCGATGTATTCGTGTGGATCTCTGGACAGACCCTGGGAAGATCTGGCAAGGAGAAGGCTCATGCTTGCCTTGTGCTCCAGGCTCAGGCGCGGCTCAGACAGAATATTCGTCGCCATGGTCTGGGAGACCTCCTTGAGGTCTTCGAGGTAGGCCTCCCAAGCCGAGTCACAGACGTGGCCGAACAGTCCTGTGAGAGAGTTAGTGCAAGTCTTGGGGTCATTTGGCCTGAACATACCACCCGCGTCGCTGGGCTTGGGCTGCTCGGGCGTAGATGTCTGCTGGTCGGCAACCATTTGCGCAAGATTCTCCGCCACGGCAAGCACAAACTCGCGTTCGTTCTTGATCCTGTATGTGAAGTCGGCGTATCTCTTCATTGGCAGCTATCGGACGAAAGCGCGCGCTATGTAGCTGCGCAACCTCGCTTCCTTTTCCGCAACCGGACTCAAGGCATGGAAAGCGAAGCTCAGGGTGTCCACCCAGAAACTCATCAGCTCGCTGTTGCTGATGTCCTCTTCAGACCACTTCAAGTCATCGTTTGTCGTGAGCCAAGCCACAAGGTCGTTGTAGATAGTGATCTCCAACTCGCTATTGTCGAACTTCGCGGAGAGCTGGTAGACTTTGACGTAACCGGTCAACCAGCGGCAATCTGTGGGAGTACCACATTTGGGGAGACGCGTTGTTTCTCCCATACTCTGGACGTACGCCAGGTGCAGATAAACTCCCAAAAAGAAAGGGTCGATGTCGTCTTTGAAGTCGATAATCTTCGGCTGAGACTTCTCTTCGCAAGGGCCGCTCAAAAGCTTCTTGAAATAGGTGGACGCTGACGTCAAAACGTTCTCGTCGGCAGAGAGAACTCTGCCTCCAGCCCTGAGGATTACTTCTCCCGGGCCCGGCTCATTGGTTGTGCTGATAATGTGATTGCGTTAGATGAAGATTCAAATAAATCCGGGCTTCCTGGTTTAAGGTATTTATACTTACTCAACGAGAAAGGGCTGAGCCTTCTTTGCCATAGCTTGGAAGAACTCGTCGGTAAATTTGGCTCTGGAGTTTCCAGAATCATCTTTGACCTCGTGCTTGGCCATGCCAGGCTTTTCGTCGCAGGTATTGCTGCTGTCCTTCATCTTCTGTTCCCTGAGCGCGCCAGTGCCAGAAAGGGGTTTTGTTGATGAGGATCGCACACTCTGCTGCTGGTTTTGTTGGCGGGTGATGATGAGACCGAGTTGTGTGAAGATTTGCTGGCATGAAGAGCCTCACCTGGGGTGTTGAGTAAAGAAAGAAACGGATAATGGAGGGTGAAAGGAAACGGGTGAGGTTGTTCAGCTAAGGGCTCAGCCAATGAAAGAGCACAAAACATACAAGAGATAAACATCAGTCAAGATTCAGATGGAAGGAGCAGGTTGGCATGTGGTCGCGCAAGTTCCTTCCTTCTAATATCGACTGAATTACAGACACTCCCAAAAAAGGATTTTCAGTTGGTGCAAATTTCGAGATAAACCTCTTTTCTTGGGTGTTCTAGATCTAGTATCAACAAGATATGCATTAAATGTCTCGCTATTTTAGCTTCAGCTTCATGGAATAGATGTAAGGTTGATAGCCCACCACATCTCGACTTTTTATCGCACGCTGACTTTGCATCTTGCGAGACAGAGGACACTGCTTCTAAATTTTGAGTACATAGAGACATCATGGAAGGTCCCCTCATATTTACATACTAAGTACGTCCTTCACAGCCGTCGAGGCAGCACTTTGCACAGCCTAAGGACGCTGGAGATGGACATGGTCATAAATAGCTCTATGTCAGAATGTGAGAAAGGCAATTGAGATTGATCTGCGTATTTTACTTCTGGCGACCATATTCATACTCAGATCCCCTCACGACCTAGCGAGACCCGTCCCAATTTTCAACCTTCCACCATCTAGGGTCCCCCCAAAACGCCAGGTTCAGACTTTTTACTTCACACAGAGTTTTCTTGACAAAAAAGCGAGAGATCTCTCTAGGTTGTTGCGCCTTCCTTCTTCGCTTACTTGGGACGCGTTCCTCATTTTTTTCTTCACCTCACTTCTTCACCTTTCCCACAACCATCACCGCGCCTCCACCTTGAGGTATAAAATCCCACCACCCTGCCCTCTTCGACGTTGTCTTGCCCACAACACAACTAGATCACAACAGCTAGTCTATTCACAAACAACAACAATCCATCTTCGCCCAAGACAGTCGATCTCATCTCTCCATCGACAACATGAGCATCGCTTGGGGAAATGTCGGCAATGCCGAAGACCACTCGCCCGGTCCCACCCAAAAGAACCGACAGTCACCGAAGTCCAACCTTCAGGCCTCTCGCCTGTTTTGGCAGTCGTAAGTTTCCGACCCTACGCCGCGATTGTTCGCCGTATACAATGATTCACAGTTCTGACTCGTTTGTTTCCAGGGATCCTTACAACTTCGTCATTCTGCAGGCCGGTGGCGAGAGGTTTCACTTTCCCAAGTCCATTCTCGTCAAGAACTCGCAGAAGCTAGCCTCCATGATCAGTAGCTCCACGAACGAGAAGAACAAGCCCGCGACTATCGACTTCCCCGGCATCGATCAAATCATCCTTGGCACTTACCTTCACCTTACCTACTGCTCTGAGACCAACGTCCTCAATGACGACACTGAATTCATGGACAACCCCAATGACCTCCAGCTCGTTATTCGGCTGTATCAGTTCACTGAGCGATTCGAGGACTACAAACTGGCCGACTGGCTGTACGACAGGATACGATTCATTACGCCTAAGCTCGATGACGGCGATGTCCTTCAGGGCCCGTCCAAGCTTGAATGGATCAAGATCTACAAGGATGCTTTCAACGCTCTTGACCAAAAATATGACGAGCATTGTGAGTTGGCTTGGATAATTTCTGGGGGTTTCTGCCGGTTCATCTCTCTCCACGACATGGAACGCGACATCCGTCTCATCGATGACAGCCCCGCCTTGGTTCGCGCTCTCTTCCTGCGCCTGGCCAGGGAAAACTCCCACGAGCCTCTTCCTTCTTTTGAGTCTGAAGCTGCGTCCACTGATCGCGAGACGCTTGCGGGCTCTACCTGGGGCGTCAAGGCTGCCTCTGCTCCTGCCGCCAAGCAGACTGGCGATGACTGGAACGTCTACCAAGAGTCTTCTAGTGCCGACATGTGGCCTGCTGCTTGCTACGAGTCCGTTGGTACTGACAAGGCTGCCCCCGGCCAGGCTTCGAGTTCCGCCACTGTGCACTCCACGAACGATGATTGGGGCACGGGCGTTGCGACCCCATCTTCTTCGACCTCCTCTGAGTACAACGAATTCTCTTGGCTTCCTGTTCGTTCCGCCAAGAAGGTCTCCAACGACGGCTGGGGTCCTCCTTCGACTGAGAACCAGGACATTCCCAAGAAGGTCTCCAACGGCGGCTGGGGTACCACCGCGACTGAGGACGAGGACAGCACTTGGAAGCCTGCCTCCGGTGCCACCTGGGGTGCTTCAGGCAGCGGTTATGCTGCAGACAGCTGGTAGAAAGCTGCAGCTCTTGGATCTGGAATATGGAACTCCTGGACATGGACATTTTGGTCCCATAGAGAATATTGGTAGATGATGGAAGCAAAGTGGTAGACAGACTACAGAATAGAGAAGACTTTTGCTTTCATTTCTCGCGGAATTCTTTGACCTTACTTATGATACTGATCAGCCTAGTTCAAACGTCTTCCTTGTTCCGCCTGTCAAAGCCGCAGCTAAGTTGGATGATGCCAGACGTGCCGTCTTTCTTTGTTTGCTCTCGTCCTTGTCAATTTGATGGACACATACAGAAGGCCGCAGTCAAGTCCTCTCTCCATATAGATATTCTCAAAATTCCAACGGGAGCTCCCATTTTCCATCGGCATTTCTGACCCACTTCAAAAAGCTGGCGACAATCCTCCATCCACATTCATCCCATTTCCTCCTCGGCATCATTCTCACAGAAGTCTTGAGACACCGAATAATCCCGTGAAAACGAAAACGCCATCAGCGAAGATTTCCAAGACCACGGCCACGACGACCACGACCACGGTGCCAACGGCAATACCAACGAATACCCCAAGACCGACTAAGTCGGACCACAGCTGCCACGAAGATACCCGAGTCAACGTAATCATGGATTCCACTTCTGGTTCCCTTCCAGCTGGCTGGTTCGAGGAGGTTCGCAAGGCTGCTCGAGCTAACAATGATGCTCGAACTGACAAGGCTGCTCGAGCCGACAAGGCTACTCGAGCTGACAAGGCTCCTCAAAAGGAGAAAGTCAGCGCTGCTTGGCTCTTTCTTGCACCGTGAGCAGTCACCGTGTGCATCTAGTTGAAGCCCCAGTCCCACTAACACACAGAACCAGCGAACCCTCCGACCTCGTCACCCTGAACTGCGGCGGCAAGACCTTCCGCTTCAACAAGGCCATGCTCACCAAGAACTCCGAGTACTTCCGCGCCTGCCTCACCAACGCCTCCTTCACCGAGGGCCAGACCTCCACCATCGACTTCGACGACGACATCGACCCCGAGCACCTGGGCATCTACCTCCACCTCGTCTACTCCAAGGCCACCGGCTTCGAGGTCCACCTCGCCAGCCTCCAGAACCTGAGCGAGCCCAGAGACCTCCGCGCCCTCGTCAAGGTCTACCAGCTCGCCGACCGCTTCCTCAACGAAGACCTCCGTCTCGACATGGCCAACCTCATCCTGAACACCGCCGACAAGCTCGCGCACAAGGACGCGGGCGGACTTTTGATGACGGAGGAGAAGCGGATCTGGTGGCTCAAGAACTTCAAGAACGGCTTCGAGGCTTTGGACAAGCACAACCCCGACCAGATCCGACTCCGCTGCGATCTCGCCGCCGCCTTCGCTCGGGGATTCCCGTCCGAGCACTTGAGACCCATCGTCTACCTCATTGAGGACAATCAGGAGTTCTTGCGCGAGCTGTTTCTAGCCATGGCGGAGAGAGTCTCCTTGCTGCAGGATGAGGCCTCCAAGAACTTGAAGTCGATACAGAGGGGCATTGGCTTGTTCGGCCGCTCTTTGGACAATAGCGATTATACTGCGTATGCTTGAAGGGTGCAGGTGTGTAAGATACTAGCTTGCTTGTAAAGTTTGGTCATTGAGATTTGGTACTGGATGGAGTGTTTCCTGGGTGGCTGGTGTGGTGTGTCTACTGTACATACCAGCCCGCGGCAAAACTCCTGGAAACTCAAAATGCCTAGAGAGGGCCCTTCTCAGAGAAGTGAATGTGAAAAAGAAGATTCGGACAGGTATTCGCATGATAAGAAGCCCTCTCACATGCTTAGTTAGAGAGGACCATTATCAATTCATACTACAGTCTCTTACCTCGATCGAAATTCCAGCATTATTGCGCCTGTGCCTTCCTTTAGTGATACATAGTTTGGCTCAGTTTATGCGGCGGATCGGCCCCAATCTGTTCAAAAGAGAGAAGTTCCCGAGCTGGGGGCCAATCTTAGCCCTAAGCGCCTTATTGTCGGTCAGAACCTTTTTCCATATGACCAGATTGTAAGGGCGGCATTGTATTGCGCGGCATATTTCATTTGTTTGTTGGCCTCCACGAGCTTCTTGTTCTTAGCTTGGAGGTCGGCGTTGGCAGAAATGAGGTGATCAAGAACCGCCAATCTGAACGCTTCATCGACAAGTCGCACATTGGCCCCGCTGTCGTCTTCCAAAAACAGTCGACAGAAGGTCTCAACAATGTCTCCGCGAAGCTCTTTCTCTTCGTCAACATTATCATTCAACGCGTGATAACCATCCAGAAAGTTTCCGATCCACCAGCTGCTGTTGTTGACAACGTTATGCTTTTCGTCGCCGGCGGGCACTGTCATTGCGGCCTTGATTGCGGCCTTGATTGCGGCCTTGATCGCGCCGTTGAGGGCGTGTCTGACGTTCTTGTTTATGAATCGATGGGCCAACTGGTAGGCGTCGACCAGCAGCGGGAGATCGTTGGGTTCTGGTAGGGCTTGACGGTCGATGCATGGCATTGATCGCGTGGACACCTGGAGGTCAAACCACAGGTAGACGCCGAGGCTCCCTGGATTGACATTGTGGAGTTCGATGGAGGTTGATAATGTCTCGCTAGATTGGCTCAGGGGTTTTTCGAGGCAGGAGGCAAAGTACTCCGAGTTCCTGACAACCATGTCCTTCGGGACGACGAAGGTTTTTGCGCCCCCGCAGTGAAGAATTACGTCGCTCCTGGGGCTCAGATCAGCCAGGTACATTTCTAAGAGGCCATCAAGGCTGGTGTTGGAGTATGGAAGGGGACGTGAGGGCGACTGACTGTTGTAGGAAGAGCGTAGTCACGTCAAAACTCCCCTTCGCAGCCGAGACTGCAGCTGACGCTGTGGGAGAATCCGCATTGCTCATTTTGACCCAGTTTCGGTGGCCTGTGTTGTGGGAAGAAGAAGGCGAAAGCAAGGCAGAAGGACGGGACGATTTAGGTTCATATGTTGGCGGGTGAGGGTGGGGAGTCTATAGCGAAAATTCAAACTAAGCAGCCCGAAGTCATAAAAGTAAGAGAAAGCACGTATGAAACCTTCTGAGCTCCCCGCGACTGAATCTTCTATTGCAAGCCATAGAGATGTAGACGAGCTTATAGAAGATCTCAGCCAGAACTCGAATACCAAGATAGAAAATGGAATTCGCCAGCTCAAGCGATACCTATTCGGTGCAACACCAGGCCTACAGATATCCTAGGCTTCGACTTTGTGTTTGATCATGAGGAAATTAACTTTGCTTCAGACCCAGCATTCTTACCTTGATAACTGACAGTCTTTCTACGTTAGGAATCGACTTTTTCTTTAAGACATTTGCCAACCGCGTATTTTCCCATCTTCTCTCTTCTCTACAATCTCCTCTTTTAAACCGCCAGCATGAGTAAACCTCAAAGCCAAGCCGAACTGCCATGGTACAGGTACTCGAACGTCTTCAATATCGAAAACACCGGCCATACCGTTATTGTCAATTGCAAAGGAACCCGGTTCAGCCTTCACCTTGGCATCATCGGTGAACACTCAGAGTACTTTCAAAGATGCTTCAAACACCCTTTCAAAGAAAGGGCTTCCGCAGAAGTCACGATCGACCACCTCGACCCGCAGACACTGGGCGTGTACTTTAATCTAGTCTACCGCCTCGCCTCGCAGCCCGCCACGACGACAACAACAACAAGCAAAGGCGATCGCGCAGCCGCTCCGCATCTCGTCATCCCGACCTCCTTCTGGTACGACGGCACCCTGTCACAGATCATCAACCTCCACGACACGTGCGATTACCTCCTGGACGCCCGGCTGATGCATTACGTCCGGGAGACCATCTATAATTTCCTCAACTACTGGCGCCATCGCAGCCAGAACTCCCAGCGCTCCGGCAAACTCATGACTTTCCGCAGCTTTGCGGAGGCGTACGACCTTTGCGACGGCGCGGGAGCTCTTCCAGGAACGGATTCTCAAGGCGTTCACTTCTGGTGTCACTCCGAGCGAGTGGAAGTCGGAGGCGGATACCATCATAGGCCACCCAAAATTCGTGCTCGAGGTCAGCAAGTTATTTATCTCGAAGCTGGTACAGCTGGGCAGATTGAAGGATATGAATTGACGGATGATTTCTGTTCGAGATAAACCGCAAAGTTTTGTCTAGGGGAGGAGACATAATCCAAGCCGGATGAAACTAAATACGGTCTCATCGTAAGAAGTCCAGGGGCTCTACATAGATTTATCCTTATAAACTAAAATAAGTATGCGTTTAGAAGTCCACGAAAGGTATAAAACTGCTCGTAACTCCAGAGTTTCTGCGACTTCCATAGTGAAGGACCAGCCCAGGAAGTACGTTTTCATGATCATTTCATGGCTATAGAAGTGTAGATTTGGTTCCGTTATACAACGTACTCCTCGGCGCGTCAGAATATCATTAAAGTGTTTGCTTTGTAAAGTTTTCTGACCAAAACTTTGATGTCAATTTTTTGGATTAGCTGGTTCTTCTGAATTTGATTCATATCTCCGATTCAACGTCCAACAAGGTGGCGGCTCTTGCATTATTGCAGCTTGGTTTTCCCGGTTCGCGGCAAAAGCAACCGGGTAAGTAATAGGTAATAAGGTGGCTTTCCTTCATCTATCTCCGAAGGCGAGTGATTGAGTGAAAGTTTGTTGCCTAGATATCCTATATAAGGAGTCCCGGTCTCTCCTCAGATGTTTCTTCTCGATACAAACAAACCATACATGTTCTTCATCGCCTGTCAATACATTCAGACACATACACACGTACAAAACCATTTCGAGTCTCGCATTCTCGCACTATACTTTTCGACGAAGACCTTTTACACAACCACTTACACGACCATACTTCATTTTCAACATGAATCGCAACAATACCCACAACAACATTGTCCAGGCTGAATATGCCGAGGCCTTTGCCATACAAAACCAAAACGACATGGTGCAGATATACTGCGGACTCCAAGGCAAACGCTTCGGTGCCAACAAAAGAAATTTGATGAGGCACTCTCTCTATTTCTATTCAGCATTGGATGGGGTCGATTCCGGAACACCGATCTATCTCGAGGACCAGGACACAACCATCTTCGGCCTGTACTTGCTTTTCGACCACCGGCTGTGCCTCGACTTGACTCCGGAACGTTCTACCCCTTTCTACGACAACAGGAAAGACTCTTGGGAAAGAACCGCCACTCTCACGCAGATGATCCAGCTTTTCGAGATGTGCCAGGATCTGGAGAACGAAATCCTCGGTACACACACCTACGAGCTGATCATGACGGTTTGCCAGCAATGGCCGTCGATGTACAAGAAGCCAGTTAACATCGATTCACAAAGAGATTTCGATACCGCAAACTGGTGTCTACGGTCCTTTTCTGAAGCCTACGAGCACTGCCTGCAGAATGAAGATCTCAGAGACATCTTTTGTGCCAACATCATCGAGGGCTTCGCCGAAGGCCTTCACGAGAGAGACGGGCACTCCTGGTGCATCTTCGTCTTGGACTTCCCCAGCTTCTCCTCCCAGGTCGACAGACAGTACTTCAACCATGATTCTGGGTGCTGGTGCTCGTGGTGCATGGAGGACAGAGATGCGCGCCATTCTCGCCAGACAGCTGGTATGGGAGGTTGGGCGCCACAACCGAATCGATATCGCGGTAGTGACTCTTCATATGATGTCTGGCACACCGGAGGGGAGCCCTTTGACTACCAGGCCCTGTACTCGTACTGGTAGGGCAGGGACCTCTGTGTCGGGTATGGTATGGGCGGCGAGGGCGGATTTGCTTCTGGCTTGGATATCGCTGGTAGGATGAGAAGATCATGTAGACCGGTGTGTACGTTATTGGCGAGTTGGAGGAGTTGGTGCACATACTTGTTACGGTATGGTTGTTCATAATATTTCTTTCGAATCCAAATCTAGATACAAAAAGATTTCGCTGTTACCTTGAAATTGAGGAACCTTTCTGGGAGAGAGGACGGCAGGGCGTCTTTTTCTCTTCTGGATTATTCCTTCCTCTTTATTCCGACAAAAGTGAGGAAGGTGCTGGGAAGACCCGTCCCCATCAGTTCCTTCCTTCCCCTCCACTCTGGACTTTCATTCCTCCTCAACGTCAACACCAGAAAATCCTGCGTGATACTTCCACAACAACTACAACAATGTCGACAGAGTCGGCGGCGAACATGGAAGACGAAGTCGAGAAAGACATCAACGACACCAGCGGCGTCGCAGAGGACAGCAATGCATCGACTGCTGCTGTTGCTCCTAAGAAGCCACGACCTCGCATCGACACTGTGGACGTCGATTGGCTGTTCTCTGACCAGTGAGCTTGCCGTTATTCCCCACGCATGTGTACTAAACTGACATGTGACGAAACAGAGGCGATAGCCCGTTTGTTACCATCAAGTGCGGCGATGACCACAAGTCCTTCGTGGTACTGAAGTCGATCTTGACGAGGAACTCCGACTTCTTCCAGAAGTGCCTCAATGAGCCCTGGACCGAGTCGCGGTCGTCAACTGTCCACCTCCCCGACGTCAAACCCGAATACATGGAGCTCTACCTCAGACTTGCGACGCGGCAAGCACTCCTGAATACCGCCTTGCAGACCGAATCTCTCGTACAGCTTCACGACTTTTTATGCAACAACCGCCTCGTTCATTTTCTGATGTTCTACAAGACTTGCGATTATTTGCAAAACAGAGAGTTGGCCAAGGGCGTTCAAGATTTGTTCTTCGAATTCATGCGTAATCATACGAGTCCCAAGGTCGAAGAAAGGTGGAAGCCCTACTTCCAAACCTTCGCTCATTGCTTCGATTTGCTGGAGCCCGGTCACACCATACAACGCCGACTGCAACGCTTCTTGGTCAAGATTTTCTGCGATCGGGTTTCCTCTGAAATCTACTTCACACACTGCAAGGTCCTTAAAAACCGTCACGCTTTCGTCTTCGAGGTCACTCAGCAGTTCGCACTCAACGCCATGTGGAAAGATGCATCGACCAAAGCAAAGGCAGACAAACACAAGACGCAGCGTATGAGTGTGGATGACGATTCAGAGGCGGAGGAGTAAGTAGGGCTTCGTGAATACACACTGGGAAGTCGAGACAGGAAGACACAACTGCGGCGAGGTTGGGCGCCCAGATCCATCAAGGACAGCTATAGCAGAGATTCGGGAGATCAACAGACACAGGTCTTGGCAGGCCTTCATCATACTTCGTGCCAGTTCTTACGTGAATAAATACCCAAACTCCTGTCTTCTTCGGTAGGTATATCTGCGAGCTACAGCCTGATCCAAACTAGAGTGTCCATTTGCGCCAAGACATCACTCGCAAATCCTTGCCTGAATGTCAGCTGAGAGGCACAGCTGATATCCTGCAGCCAAATGGATATGTAGAAATGAACCGAGGTATCATTGGATAATTCCCAGGCAGTGCAACCACACCCACATGAAGTCCTTGGTAAGCCAGGCCGCAACTATGGTCTTGAATTCGCCCAAGGCTTTCCTGGTACTTCCGGGTAGCATATGAGACCCACGCGAACTTTCCCCTCTTTTTGTTTTCTTCTCATTTCATTTCCTTTCCTCTTATCCTATTGCGTATTTGAATTCTCGGGTAGAAAGGTACCTCGATCTGTTTCCTTACGATTATTGAAAGCCCCTCGCTCCATTTGCAAGCGACAGCACTTCTTTTGATTATTCCGATATTACTGCCAATTATCGGCAGAAGTCAGAGCATATGGGAAAGCTCATAACACTTGTCGACCCTACGGAGGCACAAGTCGAGTACGTCTTCTCCTGCCCATGATTTGAAGTTCGCGTAGCCAAGACTAACCTTCCATGGGGCATGTCCAGCATAGTCGCTGTTCATGGATGGTATCCTGGAACGGACCCCAACTCTGGGGCCTACACAGCAGAAGAGAATGCTTTCGAAAGGTGGACCAAAGATGGAAAGCTATGGCTCAGAGACTTTCTCCCGTTGAAAGTGCCTACGGCCAGAGTCATGATTTACGCCTATGACCCATGCGCCTTAGACTTCGATGCACTCTCCTGTGTGTATCAATTGCTAGATTCACTGCTTAGCAAGCGAATGGTAGTGAAACCAATGGATGAACTGCTTCGAAGTACAATTAGGCTGACCAGTCTAGTATGGTTCCAAACGCCCACTCATATATATTGCTCATAGCTTGGGGGGTGTCCTTGTCGAACATGTAAGTTAATAATTATGCTCAAATGTAGTTTGGTGGCTGATCTCAGACGTATTCATAAGGCAATCATCATTTCACGGGTTTACCATCAAAGTAAAGACCTCTTTGAAGCAACTCACAGATTCGTTTTCTTCGCAACTCCCCAGAAAGGAGACCTAACAGTTGTCGCGAGAAAACTGTCACTACCTGAATGTTCACTTTCTGAACTTCATCAATTGCCTCAATTTCACGGGGCAATAGAGGAAGAATTGAAAGGCTTTTTGAGAGGTTCTAGAGTCTTGAGCGTATGTGAGGCTGAAGGGTCGTCCGCATTCCTTTCACAGTCTCGTGATGTGGTAATTACTAATGTCCCCCTTCAGACACTTGGGTATTGGGTACTTCTGCTAACAATTCTAGGTTGTTCGCGAGATACACAGCGCATTCCACGACACGACGATAACAGAGACAATCCTGCGATTTCCCCTCGCACATGAAGATATCTGCAGGTTCTCTAATGCAGATGATCCGAATTACGAGGTCATAGAAGCAGAAATCATCAGCATGTGCAATGCTGTCCTTCCAAACGAGTTGGATCAACTGCTGGAATTAGACGATCTTAATCGACTCAAACGGCTTATGGAGAGCAACATCGGTCGGTTTGCAGTTGGAAAATGGGCATGGATAGCCGACCTTCAACGAGCGGGCTGCAAGCCCACAGAGATTGCCGGTCTCATCTACGAAGGGATTCGTGATGCACCTTGGATATTCTTCGAGCCTTCGGTTCCTCCCCAGGTGGAAATCAAAGTTGGACATCATCTGGAAGGATGTTCGCATTCACTCGAGGAGCGCATCAAAGCCTTGCCACTGGACCGAAAAGGGAAACAGAGCGGTGATCCTACTTACGCAGAGAGGGCTATCGAGGCACTTCTCTCTATAGCCAAGACACAAGACGTGCCTGAGTCGCAAAGCACTGAAACAAAATCTTTCGTCAGAAACAAACGACGAATAGACAAGTCCACCATTGCAAACTACAATCAGGTGGAAGCTCGGTTGTCGGAGTCTGCGCGAAGGCTTGGGTTGAACTCAAGCACAGCGATCAAGTCCATGGAACAAACCTCGTATACTAGCCCTACAACATCTCGGCCCATTGATTTGCCAACTGGCGACGACACTATCCGAAGGCTTCTTGAAGAACTCTGTGGTCTAGGTGGCATTGCCCCAAGGTCTCGAGACCGGAGCTCTTGGCACGGAAAAGTTGTTTTCGAAGACGCGAATTCAGTGGCTACCGTTTCGTACTCCTTATCCAGCTCCAGCTTTGCGGCATTGTCTGTGATGGCCGAGAGACTGGAAACTGCTATTGCGGCTCTTCAAACTTATGGATTCTGCTGCGATTCCTTCACTGTTCTTTCCTCCCATGATGAGAGAGAAGCGGCGTTGAATCTCGTCAAAATCGAAGTCTCCGACGTGAAACAGCTGACCAGCAAGCTTCGAACAGGATCCGACTTCCAACTATGGGAGGCTGCTCACTTCGCTGCGATCATATTCTCGAAGATCTGGCCAAAATTCACTTTCTTTAGGAGGTGGAACAAGCCTAGCTCTATGCGAGAACGCCTCCATGCTTGTTCTCTTGCTCTTCAGGTCCTTCATGTCGGTGTTCTCTCATACTTCCAAGCGCATATCGGCGAGCTTCGGCCCTTTTTTCTCGACACGCCGCTCCAGCATGTACATCTTCAAGGCGGTGCAGATCTCTCGTCTCAAGAAGAACTTGACATTTCCGTTACGGCCGCCCAATCCAACCTGACGTGCCTTTCTGGCATGACGCAAGATACTGTCGTGGCCTTTTCTCTCATCTCGAATTGGGAGCCCACACACACGGGTTCGTTCATGTTCGATGTTCTTGCCACGCCAGAAAACATTTTGGATACATGGGGGCCTGGAGAACTAGTTTGTGGGTCAAATAACATGCCAGTGGCTATCGGAGTTGGTGGTGGCTATATTAATCCTCGAGAGAAGGCGCGAACTTACCACTGGGACCGTAGTCTGCAGCTGGTGAACATCAACACTTCATTACAACTGCGGGACGACATCTTAGTGGGTTCGAGTGTGCGGCATAACGAGCGATGCCAGAACAACTCGTTGCAAGCGCTCCAAAACTCATCTAATCAACTGGAACCGCTCGGCTCATATCCAAGCTACATGGAAATTGCTGAGGACCAGATCGGCGCCCAGGGCGGACCGGAGTTCATAAACTTCGTTGCTACTCAGACGAGAGTGAAACGACGAGGACGCACCATCAAAGACGATCTCCTTGAGGAGCCCCAGAGACTCCTTGAGAACCTCAACTCCTACTTGGCTGTGAGGGTCAGTCTCTGCACCGGAGTTTCCCAAAGAGTGCCGTTGCGAGCACTGTTCGGAGACTTGTTTCCGGCATACGCAAGTACTCTGAGCTCCCGAGAAGCTGTCGCTATATGGAACGAACTGCAAGCAGATCATCGAATTAGTGATCGCCTCATAAACGCCTACAAAAGTGAGGGAGAGCCTTCGCCGCTGCGTGAATGGCTACTATCATTGAGCCATGCACAGCTCACGTTCATCTTCAGCGCGATGGAGCAGATGCTCAAGACGCTCAAGTTTACCGGCCTGTCACCCAACGGGAAGGTGTTCTCAGTGGCATGTCCTCGAGACGCCTTCAGTAGGTGCTTCGAGATTCCGCTCGGAGAGGAAACAAAGTGGGCGTCGCTGCTCGCAGACTCGCAAAAATGCGCCACATTCGCCTACGTAACAACCGTATGTCTTGTGACGGATGAGGTGAGCTGCCAATGTCCTGGATCCTGGACCAACAGCATGCCTCTACTCGAGACGTCCGTTCTGGCGCCGACAGCGAGGCAGTGGAATCTCTCAGACGGCAGCTTCTACTTTTTCATCAACCTCGAGAACGACATGAACTGGGTTGAAGCCCGACAACACACCGACGGCTCGAACAGGTGGAACACCCTAATTACTGTTCATCAGGTGACAGGTGTGGCGTTGAGTTGGCGAGTGAGAATCATGGGAAAGTCGTGGGGAAACCAGATTCGAGAGAGACGTGACCACTGGGAAACGGCTTTGGCAGTTTCTATCTCATCTACGAGGAACAGGTTGCGGAGGCAGCTAGATTGAATGGGCGTCTTTTTCTTTTGGTATTTGGCATTTTGTGCTTTCTCTTCTGCCTTCTCTTTTCTGATTTACGTTGTCATTTGCCTGATTGTCGAACTGTCATGTGTACTTTCAATCTCATAGCTATTGAACACCCTTTTACTTGAAAAAGGCAAACAGGTATTTGTTGAACAATTAGGTTGTGGATGCATGTATGCACTTCAGATAAGCAAAGCAAGACCTTGCACTTGAATTTCGAAACTTCAGGCTTTTCCATCTCCAGTGATACGTAAGTCGAAGGGTAAGGAGATACGCGGGCGCCCTCCGGCAAGTTACGATATCGTCTTTTCCCTTGATGCTTATGCTGGATGGGCGGTTTCATCTAAACCTGGCCCACAACAGGCTGGTTAAGAGTAACATACGACTTGTTTACAAGAGAGTGATTGTGAAGCATACGCCCTGAGCGCTAGATCCGCAAGGAAGAGGGATCTCGCCGTTGATAGAAGGAAGGCCATATCATAATGAGAGCGTTTATAATGTCAAGATTCAGAGAAGCTATGTGAGTATCGGGGTTGCTTTTCTCTGCCTCATAAGCTCACCAGATATTGTCGAAATCGTCGGCGTTAGGGGAAGATGCAGGTTTCTGCAGCTGAGCAGATCGCAGATGGCGTGCAGGAGCTTGGACGTGGTTCATGGATTTTGCTGCTTTTCATTGGCTTAAAAAGATGGAAGCGGAGAATAGCCGATCAAAAGCAGCCAATCACAAGAGCTTCCCCGCATCAGGACTGCGACACTCTGCAGCTTGCCCTGCCACCTCACTTGACCAGCTCAGATCAAGCAGGAAGCAGAAAGAATACCGGAGGAAGCTCCTCCACAGTGCCACACACGGTCACACCTTCCGCGGCAGAGAGAGAGAGCAAACGGGCAGGCGCAAGATCTGGTGTCGAGGTTGAGACGGACCTGCTACACCTTCACCGCATTCCTGCTACCACCCAACGACCGGAAGGCTCTGTGCCATTGTTGCGTCCTCAATTTTCTTCTACATTCGAACATAGGTACAAGAGGTCACGGATTCTTTGTTTTTCAACGTCGAAAATGGCCAGCAAGACCATCGACCAACAGCGACGTGGAAACCCAGCTTCTCACCAGCCAGCTCTCGCCACTAAGCTTCATTCGGATTAACCGGCTCTTAACCGGGGCTTAGCTCCAGCCCTGCACCTCAACGTCCAAGATGGCAGGCTTGTCGTGGAGCTGTTGGAGGTTGTCACGTCAGATTGACATGACGCTTCGCCAGATGTCACTCTCCACCCAATTTGCCTTCAAAGGAACATCGCACTGGATGTCGTTTCCCTGTAACCTCACAGCTTCACTTCTGGCGCTCGAGGCCCGCTCCCTGTTCTGTTAGCTGGAGCTGGCTAGAGAAAGAGGAAAAGATTGGACTGGACCGAGCCCACGAGCAACACACCCAACGCACAAACAGCCGATGGGAATGGCGAGTCCCGAGCCGCTCCTTGCCTCTCAGCTCTGATTCCGAATGCTGATTCGTTCCGTGGAACCCCAGCAGGGCCCAGGTTACAGTTCCTGCTCCCCAACCCCATGTTTCTGTGCGATGACCTGCTGCCGATGCTCTGCAGTAGCAGCGGACCATTTGGTGAGGAGGAGCTCCAATGCTCCTGCTCTTGCTCTTGCTGCTGCTCTCGCTCCGACTCCGACCTCACTTCTTCCCTCTTCTCTCACCTTTCCCACCACACAACTCCATCTCCATTCTTCCAGCTATTCCATCATCAATCGAAACTACAACATTCATCAGCATCGAAATTTACGCCTCCTGGCACTCGAGTACGGCCATTGAGCACCTTTTACCCTTCGACCACGACCATAGCTATCGCGCACTGTGCGCTCACACCACGCCCGTTACGTCATCGCAATGGACCCCATTCCCGCTCCCGGAGCTGTCCCTGCCGTTGCTGGCATCGACAAAGGTGAGTGTCTTTGAGCTCCCTCGCCAGGTCGAGCTTCATATCACGGTCGCGTCGGGTCAAGCAGCCCGGCCGTCATTTGCGCTGTGCGCTGGCCCGACACTGCCGCCTGCACGATTGACGCCGCGAGCCGTCGCCGTACACCCATCATATCCCGAGGCCGATGCGCTGACATCCTCTTCTTGTCGCTGCAGTTGAGACAGAACCCAAAGTTGCGGACACACCTGCTGTCCCGGCTGTAGAAAAGCCCGTCGAAAAGCCAGTTGAAGAGAAGCCAGTCGAGGAGAAGCCCGTCGACGAAAAGCCGGTAGCCGAGAAGCCCGTCGAGGAAAAGAAGGACGATCCTGCGCCTCCTGCAGAGACGGCAGCCGTTCCAGTTCCGAAGCCGGCTACTGAGCCAGTCGCAGAGCCAGCCAAGCTGGAGGAGCCTCCCGCCCTCGCTCCCCCGGCTGATGCGCCTGTCGAAAATGCGTCTACTACTCATGCGCCGAAGCCAGCTTCTGTCGAGGAGGTCCCCGACAAGGACGGGCCCATTGCGACAACTGGAGTCGAGGAGCCAAAGGCTGTGCCTTCGGAACAACCAGCTGCCACAGCCGCCCCGGTCACGACAAATGCGCCCACTACCGACACTGTAAAGGAGTCGGTCGAAGAGCCAATTGCGCAGAAGCCTGTCAAGGAACCCGTTGTCGAGGAAGAGCCAGTGAAGGAGCCGGTCATTGAGAAGCCCGATGCTGTTAACGGCGCTCCTACCAAGGATGTCGAGATGACTGGTGCCCTTAACGAGGCTGAACCTTCCGGCGCTGGGGAGCGGGAGGCGGCGCCGCAAGCCATCCCGCCGGAAGCCAAGACAGGCAACAAGCGCAAGGCCGATGACCTCGACGCGGCGAACGGCACGAATGGCACCGCTGAGGAGAAGGCCGAGCCCGAGGAGAAGCCTATCGAGAAGAAGATCAAGACCGGGAAACCCGGCCGCCCTCCTACCAACGGTGCGAAGAAAGACGCACCGAAGAAGGAAAAGGAGTCTCTGGGCCATAAGGTCGCTAGAAACGTCAAAAAGGTTCTGCCGCCCGTTGGGAAGACCGCCCGTAAGACCCGATCACAGGGCCCTGCCTAACGGCAAAATGAATACATGAAACCACGAGTTTTGTTTTACGATTATCTAGGTACACTCGGTCTAACAGACCAGAAACACGAGCCCTTGATAGTCAATGACGGGGTTTTGGCCGGCCAGGCGGGTTTGCTCTCTTTGTCCCGCGTTTATGGACAGGCAAAAAGGAGGCGCGGGATTATGGTTGTTTGGTTTTGTTCTTTCACGCTTTTCTGAATCGGCATTCGATGGAAACGGGAGGAACCTGTATATATCACGGCGTTGCTCATGCAGCTCCCCAGACATGATTCAATCATTTCACTTTGATGTTGACAGCCTCTTTGACTCTGGTGGGGAGACAGCCAGGCGGAGATCAGCACAGGAACGGACTCGATCTCTGAGGCATACTTTGATCCGCCTCGTTCACAGTCTCAACATTTGCATCTCTCGATGGACGGGATGTGGGATCATCAGTCCCTGCAGCGAGAATGACGTATTCCAGGACCCTCTCCCGGTCCAGACCGCAGCTTCTCCACCACGCTCCGCGTCACCAAAACCCGTCGATCGAAGAGAACGGCCAAGAAACCTCTCAACATGTGAACTCGAGACAGCGCACTTCAAGCAATTGTCAGCCCAGGGACGTACGCAAGACACACGCTCAGGAATGCAAAGGCCCTGAAGATCTTCTTTCCAGAGTGTGCTCGGTTCACCACGGGAGGAAAAAAGTCTCAGAGTCTCAGAGTCTCAGAGATTGCGAGACAATGGCGCATGCTGGGAAGAAACACAATGTTTATCCGAGGCCCATATGAGACGAAACGGCAATAACGCCGACCCGCGATGTACTGGAAAGGGGATAGACCGCTGCGAGGAGGCGCGCTAGATTGGGAGGTTTGAGAAGCGCGGCGTACACTGCACTGGCGATGGCGGCGAAGACACGCGAGAGTACGAAGAGGCCGCCGCTCTGACGGGCGACGATGGTGACGTAGGGAGAAATGTGAACGGGGCGGCGAGGTAAGGTAAGCCACGGGAGAGCCGGCGATGGCGCCAGACCGTACGCGGTAGAGTACGGTACGGTTCGGTCGGCTTACCGTCAGGACGTCCGCCCGTTTTTTGCCCCGTTGGGGGTAAGTCCCGTTTTCCGTTTTTCTTCTGTGCGCCTTGGTATCGTGAATCCGTGCTTTGAGTTTTCTATCGTTCTGGAAGCGGAAGGGGTGGGATCGGTGGTCTTGGCGATGGGCGGCGGCGGAGGGGTCTTGTTGGTCGAATCAATCAACGCCTTTTTTTTTACGATGATGACGGTGCGCTGCGCTGCGATGATACACTGCTGGATGCAAGGTACGCAGGGAAGTTGTGATGGCTTGAGTAAGGGACTTGCTTTGGTAGCGCTACGGATAATGCGAGAGAGTGGTTGAACGGAAAAAGAAAATGCTTATTTCAGTTGATATGGGCGGGTCGAGTGAAGTCTGAGCCTTCGCGGAAGAGGACGGCGTGGCTGTGTTTTTGGCTTAATCATTAATATTCCGACGGAGGGATAATTTGGTGCCTTTTACGGATATCCTGTGTCTGGTTTCATAAGGGATTGATGATGTCCAGGCGGATTGTGGCAATGACATAAGATAGGCTATTACCTATTACCGTCATCTCCAATTGACTTGAGTGAACCATCTGAACCCCAAGTCTCTCGATGTCGATTTCCTTCCCGGCCCCGTTATCCAGACGGACACCGAGATAAAAGCCCCCAAAGGACTCCCCCTCAATGCATCGCCCTGTCTCGGTATGGGGGCAGAACTGCATAGTCCGGGGGTGCTGCTTGTCAAAAGAGGTCTTTTCCGGCATTGGTTCTTTGCGGGGGTTGAGGCGATGCTGCTGTCCACCCCGGGCCCCCTTTTCTACTCTATCTGAATCGCGGCAGGGTGTCGCCTGACTTTGTTTTATGAGAATGATTAGAGACGTGGATTGAGCGTCGGGATGCGGTCTGGAGAGGATGAGGAAGAGGCGGGAGGATGATTTGACAGACGCTGTGCAGAGTTAAGGTAGGGCGTGCGTGATATGCAAGTCAAAAAAGTTGTGTCGATGCGTGGAATGATGGGCGTGTTTTCCCGTTCGCCTCCTCTAGTATAGTAAGGTACTGGTAAGAGTCAACAGTACGCACGCGCACGCGACCACCCCTTCATCTTTTTTTGGGCCGTGGACCCGAGCTGGAATCGAGAGTTTTGTAGATCTGGGTCCGTTCCTGGGCAGAGCTGCAGTTTTGACAACAACGCATCGGGGAGGCGAAAATGTAGGCGTACGGCGCATTTCTCGCATAAAACGTTTAAACAGCAGTTAAAAAATGGCGAAAATGCAGCACGCTGCAGAAACGGAAGCTGAGAAGGGAAGAAAACGGGGACGCCCTCCATCCATCTCGCCTCGTATTCAGCAGAAACCGGCCGTTCCTTCTTCGAGTTCGATGGACCAAAGGCCTGTGGGGCCCTTTATTGGCAAAGAATTGTGAAAAAATGGTTGCAAAAATAGCCACAGCCACTGCTGCAGCCTGCACCTGGACGATGGCGGCGGCGGCCCTGCCGATTTTCCCATTCGTGCAGGGCCCATGCTCCTTTTCTGTGTGTGGTTCCTTCCATCTTTTTTTTCCCCAAGCTTGCGGGTCGGCCAAGTACCGGTGGAGCAACTCTTCGCTTGGGATGGCAGGTCGCTTGGGCCAATGAGAGCAGGGTTCTCTGGGCTTCCGTCAATGGGAGGGCTCCGTTTTGGAGTATCGGGTACGTATCTTCGCAGGTGTTGGAGGTACCGGGACAGAACGTTTGGAAAGCAGCACATTCCACGTTCCTGCAGCTGCTTATTTTTGAGACATGCATCATATGGAGGAAGTGGATGAGGAGAGAAAATCGAAGATGGTGTGTTCTAGAGATACGAATAGCTTTGAACCCGAGTTTTTAGCGATCCTTTGGCACTAATTTCTCTCGACATACTGAGGTGAGCAGACCGTTCAACTGAGCAGCGGCGGCAGCCACCACGAGAAAAGCAGTGAATGACATGACCAGCAGGTAGGCGGTACGTATCTCCGCGACGTCTTGGTGGTGGTGGGCCGGGTAAGGTGGGTCTGCGCCTTGAGACTTCCCATTAGCGCAGAATTGCAGGGACCTGAAGCCAGCCAATCCCCTAAACTGGGTTTTATTCATTTTTTGTTCTATTTTTTTGATGTTGTGGTTTTCTTTCGCCCGCGGCCGGTACTCGTAGAGTCGTAGCTCGCTGCTAGCCAGACGCCAGACCACCAGCAGCTCCCGTCTACTGCGGTAGGCGAATGATGACCCGGCTGTAGGCGGCACCCTGAGACCGGGATGCCCAGGAGTGACATACGCAATCCTGTGATCCGGGCTCAACAAACTTCCCATTCGCGCTTCCCTTCTTCGGCCGCTACGAATACTCGCTCCCCCGACTATTCCAAACCCCTACATCCCCTAGTGTACTACCTTACAATTAACTCACATTCGCTTCAAATCAATTTCTCCGATTTCCTTCTTTCTCTCCTCTCTCCTCCTCCTCTCCCCTCTTCCCCTCCTCCGTGATCCCGACCGCCGACTTCCCACAGTCGTTCCTCTCGTTCAAACCCCTTCGATATTGGAGACCGCTTCGGATACTGCTCCACTAATTCAGGACTCCCCTCCCCGACGATCCAGCAGTTCCTCTGACCTGAGTGTCTCTCGCCGCGGCAGTTCGCGTCATTCGCTTGTCGTCTGCCACCCTCTTTTCTTTGATACGCCTACCGTCGACCTTTGTGCGCCTGGCATTGTTGTACGAAAAGGCCGGAAGCGAAACGGAGAGCCTTAATCGCGAGGACTAGATAATACGGCCTACGATCTCGTATCACGACCACGATCGACTCTCCCGCTTCCAAAGCCAACTCCTCGAGCAAACCTACCTACCTCGTGCCAAGATAACATCTGTAACGAGAGCCGCGGACACCTCTACTCCGACCGCGAACACCTAGAGAACGTCCCTCAACCCCCCCGCCCCAAGGGGTTCGACAGCCACCATGAGTGACGACGCGGGAAAGAAGATCCTGGACCTGCTCGCCAGTCCATTTAGAGCAACGGTAAGCCGCTCTGGAAGACGATGGGCGAGATGGGTTGCCAGACGCAGGCACTGACAGTTCGCTCGTACAGTTGCAAAACGACGCCATCTGGTCCGCTCTAGGTACTTCGCTCGGCGTCACATTCGGCATCGCCATCACATTCTCCTTCCTCAGACCGTATAACCAGTCCGTCTACGCCCCAAAGACCAAGCATGCCGACGAGAAGCACGCCCCTCCGCCCATCGGCAAGAAGGTATGGTCGTGGATTCCGCCGTTATGGAACACGGGCGAAGCCGAGCTCGTCCACCACGTGGGCATGGACGCCACCATCTTCCTGCGATTCGTCCGCATGTGCATCTTCATCTTCTCCACCATCTCCGTTTTCGCCCTCGCCATCCTGATTCCCGTCTACCTGAACAACGCGGACAAGAGTTCTCTCAAGGATGCCAAGTGGGTCGAGGTCATCACCCCTATCGCAGTTTGGGGCGAGAAGGCGTACTGGGCCCAGGTCGCTGTGGCCTACTTGATTACGTTCACCGTCATGGGCTTTCTGTGGTGGAACTACCGCAAGGTCATGTTGCTGCGCCGTCGTTATTTCGAGTCCGAGGAGTACCAGAACAGCCTGCACGCGCGCACGCTGATGGTGAGCAGCACGAGTATTTGGAGATTTACCGCTGTACTTCAGCTAACGGACGTTCCAGATGTATGATATTCCCAAGGACCGATGCTCCGACGAAGGCATTGCAAGAATCGTCGACGAGATTGTGCCGAGCTCCTCTTTCGCCCGAACCGCCATTGCCCGCAACGTCAAGGACCTTCCCGATCTGATTGAGCAGCACGACCATACCGTGCGGAAGCTGGAGTCGGTCTTGGCTAAGTACCTCAAGAAGCCGGACCAGCTTCCCGCCGGGCGCCCGATGTGCAAGCCCTCGAAGAAGGACCCCTCGTTTGCCACGTACCCCAAGGGACAAAAGGTCGACGCCATTGAATACCTGACGCAGCGCATCAAGGAGCTCGAGACGGAGATCAAGGAGGTCAGGGCCAGCGTCGACAAGCGCAGCACCATGCCTTACGGCTTCGCCAGTTACTCGGACATCGCAGAGGCCCACAACATCGCCTACGCTACCCGCAAGAAGCATCCCCATGGCACCAAAATCACCTTGGCCCCGAGACCGAACGACATCATCTGGGACAACCTTGTTCTTAGCGCTGCAAGTAGGCGTTGGAGACGCTTGGTCAACAATTTGTGGATCGCCCTGTTAACCTTCGTCTGGGTTGTTCCCAACGCCATGATCGCTCTGTTCCTCGTCGACCTGAACAATCTCGGAAACGTGTGGCCAGCTTTTCAACAGTCGCTCATCGAAAGCCCTAAGTGGTGGGCTCTCGTCCAGGGTATTGCGTCCCCCGCGATCACATCGCTGGTGTTTCTGGTTCTCCCGATGATCTTCCGTCAATTGTCGATGAAGGCCGGAGACCAGACCAAGACCGGTCGCGAGAGACACGTCTTGGCCAAGCTCTATGCCTTCTTCGTCTTCAACAACCTTATCGTCTTCTCTCTTTTCAGCACCATCTGGTCGGTGGTGTCGGCTATCGTCCAAGAGACGGGAGAGAAAGAGGACGCCTGGAAGGCCATTGTTGACCAGGATATCGCGGCTGCTCTCTTTGCGGCTCTTTGCAAGGTCGGCCCTTGGTGGATTACCTTCCTTCTCCAACGCAACTTGGGTGCCGCCATCGACCTCGCCCAGCTCTGGAAACTCATCTACAGCTTTTTCGTCCGCAAGTTCGCGAGCCCGACCCCCAGAGAGTTGATTGAGCTCACAGCTCCCCCGGCGTTCGAGTTCGCTTCTTACTACAACTACTTCCTCTACTACGCAACGATTGCGCTTACCTTCTCCGGCATCCAGCCTCTGGTTCTGCCGGCCGTCACCTTGTACTACGCCATCGACTACTGGCTGAAGAAGTACCTGCTCCTCTACATCTTCGTCACCAAGACCGAATCTGGAGGCATGTACTGGCGCGTCCTCTTCAACCGCTTCCTTTTTGCCGTATTCTTGTCGCACTGCACCTTCTTCCTCGGCGCCTGGGCCAGATCAGACTGGGCCAACCACAGCGTGGCGATCGGCATGATCCCGCTGCCGTTCATCCTGATCATCTTCAAGATCGTATGTGCCCGCATGTTTGACGCCAAGATCCACTACTACTCGACGACGAATGTCCGCAAGCACCCCGAGGCCGGCATGCAGAAGGAGACTCGCCTCCGAAGCGAGAGATTGGCGTCCCGTTTTGGCCACCCTGCCCTGTACAAGCCGCTCATTACGCCCATGGTCCATCAGAAGGCGCAATCCATCTTGCCCGCTGTCTACAAGGGTCGTCTGACGGACGGAAGAGAGGCTGGTGGTGCCGATCTCATGAGTGTCTCCGGATACTCTGATGCGTACGTTCTGGATCCCATGAGCAAGGGCAGGCTTGGAAAGTCAGCACCGTCCGGTGTGCCTGGTTTTGAGTTCGTCTCCGAGTCCCACATGGACTTCGAGTACTACAAGAACAGAGCCGAGTTCGCGGAGGAGCATGGCCAAGGCGATCTCTTCGGCCGTAACAACGACATCATCCGCCCTGGAACACCCGGCTCGATGACCGAATACGGATCCGACAACGGCTCTCGCCCGGGAACGCCAACTGGTCGACCTTTGCAAGGTGGCATGACCGGTGCTCAAGTCAACAACGGTGGATTCTCAGCATTCACTCCCCCATCGGGCTACATGTCTCCCAACACTGGGCGCTCGTCCCCTACGGGAGGACTTCCCACACCGCAGGCAGCATTTGCCCAACAACCGATCATGGGCGACAGATCACGCAGTCCCTTGTACAACATGGACAACGGCAGCGATTCCGCGCTCGTGCGCAACGCGGCGGGGATGCCGATGGCTCCGCCCACACCGGGTCCCACGGTAGGTGCTCTCGGCGGCGGTCCTCGAGGGTATAGCGGACTCCCCCAGGCCGACGCTGACCAACCTGAACCAGACCCAACTCAATACGACTACTTTCGTGGATCGAGGCGGCGCAACGACGGGTGGTAAGACCGCGCGATCAGGATAATGAGGGTTTTCTTTGTGTGTTTTGAGCGATAATAGAGCGAAAGATCGACTCACGGTCCGGTATCTGGTCTCGATGTGACGGCATTGCATTCGGCGTTGAAACTGTGAAGAGAAGGTCGCCTCGAGAGAAGAGAGGCCCGATGAGAAGTGTGAATGGGTTTAGAGACGCCGGCGGGCTTTCCCGACCGGTTTTCTTTTTTCATCAAACCATAATGACCAAAGATATGAGACATAGACTGATACTGTATGGGGCTGAGGCTTCCCAGATGCCTTGGCAATAGTGCTGATGGCTACAAAATACACTTCTAATGAGTATCCGTTAATCAGTATCTAACCAGTCTCTTTTGGAATATTGGTTCCAAAGATCGTGACTTATTCGACTGCTGGACTTTTTCCGCGCCGGTTCAATGACCTGAGTGACATGTTCCCATCCCTGCGGCCCACCCCTGGAATTCAGGGGCTAGACTGCGCTTAGTCATCCCGGACCACTCAAGGTACCTCAGCCAAACCGGCATTCCACCAGCCAAAGGACAGCATCGCCGCAAAAGCAGCTTCAACAACGCGCGTAGCCAACTTCACCACGCTCCTTTTTTCCCCAACCCACCGTCCTCGATCCCGATACCTTTCGACGTCCACCTTCGATAACCCCCTCGAGTCCTCCCCGATCGACGTCGCAAAAGACACAATGGCGGCCAACAAGTACTCGGTCATCCTCCCGACCTACAATGAGCGCCACAACCTCCCCATCGTCACTTGGTTGCTGAACCGCACCTTCACCGAGAAGTAAGCCCGCCCCTCGTCTCTCCTCCTCCGACAGCCGCAACGCCATCAATCGGCCAGATCACAACCCCAAAATGACCAACATCTCGCTAACCACCGCCCCCGTCTCGAACAGCAACCTCGATTGGGAACTCATCATCGTCGACGACGGCTCCCCGGACGGCACGCAAGATGTCGCGAACCAGCTCGTCAAGGCCTACAGCCCGCACGTGATCCTCAAGCCGCGCGCGGGCAAGCTGGGCCTCGGCACCGCCTACGTCCACGGCCTGCAGTTCGCCACGGGCAACTTCGTCATCATCATGGACGCCGACTTCAGCCACCACCCCAAGTTCATCCCGCGCATGGTCGCCCGCCAGCGCGAGGGCAACTTCGACATCGTCACGGGCACGCGCTACGCCGGCGACGGCGGCGTCTACGGGTGGGACCTCAAGCGCAAGTTCGTCTCCCGCGGGGCCAACCTCTTCGCCGACACGGTGCTGCGTCCGGGGGTCAGCGACCTGACGGGCAGTTTCCGGCTGTACAAGAAGAGCGTGCTGGAGAAGGTCATCAGCAGCACCGAGAGCAAGGGGTACACGTTCCAGATGGAGATGATGGTGCGGGCGAAGGCGATGGGGTGTTCGGTCGCCGAGGTGCCGATTACGTTTGTCGATCGGATTTATGGTGATAGCAAGCTCGGTGGTGATGAGATTGTGGAGTACGCCAAGGGCGTGCTGTCTCTCTGGCTCAAGGTTTAGAGGCAGTAGGGGAATGTGTGTGCGTGTGTTATGATATTGGAAGGTTTGGCTTTTGGTGTGTTGTTTGCTTTTGCGCGTTGCGCGGATGGACGCGTGGCTGCCGGCATACGGGCGTTGGGGGAACGGGAAATCACGCAGAGTACCGATACCTAATCATTTGCGAGTCTGATGGAGAGAGAGCGCAGAAAGAAGAGAAAAATTTACATCCTGTTCCAGTCATTCGTTTTGTCACATTACGTATATTACATGTTTCGGCCGCCCGTCACCATGATCGTCTGCCCCGTCACGTAGCTGAACAGCGGGCTGGCGACGGCCAACACGGCCGACGCGGCCTCGGTGGGCGTCCCGGGCCTGCGGAGCGGGATATCCGCGTGCGCCTGCTCTTCTGCGGCGGCGGCGGCGGCGCCCTTCTGCGCCTGCGGGATCCCGAGCGCGATCTTCTCCCCGCCGGGACCAACCACAAAAGCGCCCTTCTCCTTGGCGTCCGTCAGCCGCGTCTTGATGTGGCCGAAGGCGACGGTGTTGGCGCGGACGCCGAAGGCCGGGCCCCACTCCTTGGCGATGGTCTTTGTGAGGCCGGTGACGCCGGCCTTGGCGAGGGCGTAGTTGGCCTGGCCGGCGTTGCCGTGGACGCCCGAGGTGGAGCTGATGTTGACGATGGACCTGTTCTCGCCGTCCTTGACGCGGAAGTAGGGGGCGGCGGCGCGGACGAGGCGGAAGGGCGCGGTGGAGTGCAGGGCGAGGATGGTGTCCCACTGCTTGTCGGACATTTTGTGGATGACGCCGTCCCAGGTGTAGCCGGCGTTGTTGACGATGTGGTGGATCTTGCCGCCGCCGAAGGAGGCGGCCTTGGAGACGAGGGTGGTGATGTAGTCCGCCGACAGCATGTCTCCGGGGACGGCGAGGGCGCGGTTGGGGCCTCCTGTGGCAGAGTTGATGGCGTCGGCGACGGATTGGGCTTTGGCGGCGTCGATGTCGGAGATGATTACTTTGGCGCCCTCGTTGGCGAAGAGGCGGGCCGTCTCGGCGCCGATGCCCTGGCCCGAGCCGGTTATGATGGCGAGCTGGCCGGCGAGCATGCCCTTTGGGTAGTTCAGGTGGGAGGCGATTTGGGAGATGCGGTCTGTCATGTTCGCGGCTTCTTTCGTGGCGCTGGGTTAAGTGGTGTTTGCGTTTCAAGTGGGTGAAGAGGTGACCTCCGGGCGTGAGATTTACTTATATGATGTCGAGAATTGGAGGTGAGCTTCGAGTTGGAGCTTCAACACACCCCTGGCTGCCGAGGTTCCCCGCGGCTTCGCGTTCCCGCCCCCGGACGAGGTTGCGGTGGTGGGGTAGCTGTGGTGTGTCGGCATTGGGCAACCAGATCGCGGACATGGCATGTTTGTCTGAGGAAGAAGCGTTCAGCCGTTGATGGCGTGAAGTGTCGGTCCATTGAGTTTCCTCTATTGAATTCAAGACATTGTAAGATGGAAAGAGTACCCTGACTGTGTTTCCACGGCCAGGAGCTCTGGGGCGCCCGCTCTTGGCACCCGTCGGCGATTAGATAAGATAGCAAAAGGTGGGATGGACCTCCCGTCTCTGTTTTGACGACATGTCATCCGTCCCCCCCGCCATCACACACCCCCGCCAACCCTTGATCAGTTCGAACATCCCGTACCCGCAACCATGTCGAACCGCGGCGGACGAGGGGCCCGAGGCTTCAGCAGAGGACCTGGCGTCGGCGGCGGCGGCGGTGGTGGCAGAGGGAATCGCTCGCATTCCGGGCCGTGGGGGAGGTTGAAGCCGGTTGATCTGGATCCGCTCGAGAGCATCGGGTTGCCGTCCAAGGGTGACACGAGGTACGTCTTTCGCATTCTCTTCGCCCTTGCTACCGAGGCAATTGACTAATCAGTTGTTGCGCGGCTTAGATTGCTCGACTTCAAGACCCAGGAACGGTACTACACAAAGATCGTCGAGCGGTACATGACATTCTGCTCCGACGCGGGCGAACGCGACGAACTCCTCCGCCGCTTCGCATCCCTCGACATCAAAGACGGACCAGGCCTCTCGGCCGCCTCCTCCCCGCGCCTGCCCCCCGACGACCCCGCGAACACGAAAGCGCTCTCCGACGTGATGATGGCGCTGCGCAAACTCCGGGAGGGCATCGTGGCCTCCAAGCGCACCGACGACTTCGCGATCCAGGCGTACCTGTTTAACATCCGGCTCTCCGTCCTCGTGAAGCACCCGGAGTCGTACCACCCGGCGATCCTGCACGTGCTGCGGGCGATCCACCCGGCGCGGAACCTGACGAGCGTGGAGCTGCAGGAGGTGCTGGGGTACCTGGTCCTCGACGCGGCGTGCCGGCGCGGGGACCTGGCGGAGGCGTACGCGATACGGCACCGGCACGGGCTGCGGGACGCCAAGGTGGACGCGGTGCTGGGCGCGCTGGCGCACGACAACTTCGTCGCGTTCCGGAGGGTGCAGAGGAACGTGGACGGGCACCGGGCCAAGCTGATGGAGTTCGCGGAGACGGAGATGCGCACGCACGTGTTGAAGTGTTTCGGGAGGACGTATCTGGGCGTCGATCAGGAGTGGCTGGAGAGGTGCGCCGGGGAGAGCTGGGATGTGTTGGTGAGGGAGCGCGGCGTCGGGTGGGAGCTTGATGGGAAGAGGGTTGTTATTCGTAAGGTTAGGGCGAAGTGAGCGGGACTGGTGCATTTGATACCCCTGAATTCAAGAGCGTTCATCTGTGTTTGCATTCTGGATTTTATTGACACTGCCTATGTTCTCATTCTGGGGCTGTCCTCGGGATTGTTTGATTCCCGTTGTCGATGTTGCTAATCCCAAGCTCAGACTTCCTCCTCACTGCTTTAGTCCATGTTGAGGAATTTGGCTACCTCGATGACCACAGCTAACCGCCCCAAGACCACTGTTCCCCTCGTCGCCATTGCTCTCCGTCTAAGTTACCTTTGCCAACTAATCCCCCGTACAATTGTGAGCTGGAGCTCTTGTGGCAGATTCTCATCCAACGAGTCCCTCAACTGTTGTTTAAGAAACTTAAATCGGCCCCAGTCTGTCTCCAATACCTTGACGCAGATGCTGCAAAGCGCCGCCATGTCCGCTTTTGATACTGAGTCCCATTGTTCATGCTCTGTCAGATAAGTGACCAGATCAACCATGCGAGTAACGTGAATCTCTCTGTAGTAGGGTCTGTAGTTTCCAAATCTCTTCAGAACCTTCTGAAGGGACACCAATAACTCGTGAAGGCAGGACACATTGCCATTCCTTGGATTCACCCCAAGATGTAGAAGAAACCAAATCTTCTCGGGTTGAGGTGACCAGCATATGGACATGACAAGTCTATTCAATGCTTCAAATCCCAGGGCTACCAATTCGTCGTTGTTGAAGGGATACTGGCAGTTGAAAAGCTCTTTGAGGTGTTTGGTTTTGGTGATTCTGTCCAGGATAAAATCCGCAATCGCGCTTTGGATCTGCGTTCTGAGAGATTTGTGTTCGTCTTCGTCTGACTCATAGCTCATGATCGCATGTCGAAGAACCTTCACAATTGCGTTCGCCTTCTCCTGTGGGCCGTTGTGGAAGAGTTGGGGAGATTCAAGATGGCCCCAATGGCTCGGAAAGTTGTCTTCTCCAGAATACGAGCCCCAACTGAGTCCGTAGTGATCGACGAACCGTCCACTGATCAATGACGACTTGCGCCTGCCGGGCTCGCCATACCATGTACTGGCCCCCAGTTCCAGAAGATGGCCAGCAGACTTATAAAGTCCTTTCATCATAGCCCATCCCAGAGGCGTCTCAGTCAAATTTGCCCACCGATTGCGGCCGCCATAATTCAGGTCTGCTCCCAGATTGGCGAGATGAGCAATCATGCCTTGATCGGAAGACAGCATGGCGTAGAAAATTGCCGTGCAACCGTCGCTATCGGGTTTGTTGATGTCGACCTGCCGATCCCGAACCATGTGTTCGACGAGTGATCTTTGTCCCAATTCCGACGCAGTATGCAAAGCTGTGACGCTTCCTGACCCGCAGTTGCATGTACAATGCCAGTCAAACTCAACAAGCTGGTCGACTCGTTGTTGCAGTGACTGGTTAACAATCCGGTCAAAATCGATGTCGCGGATGTCGATCATGGTGTCCGTTGATGCGCCTTCGCGAAGCAGTAGTCTGGCTATGGCGTCTTGATTCCGACAGATGGCGAAGTGTAGGGAAGTCCAGCAAGGATGATTTTCAATAAAGGGTTCTTTCTCATAATCCTCGATTCCCTTGCAGCGGCAAAGTAGGTGACCGGGTGTTTCAATATCCACTCCATGTGATATCAGCCAGTCGACCATTTCGTAAAACCCGTGATAGACGGCGAGGTGAAGCGGAGCTGCCCAGTTCACGTATTTGTATTCTTCTTCCGAGAATTGGCAAAGAGAAGTCTCGTAACGCATCTCATCTAGCATGGGAACGGGATGGATGACATGGAGATCTGCCCCAAAAAATGCCGCTCTTTTGAGCATTTGTAGGTTGCCGGCCGCTGCTGCGCGAGCAGTCATCTCGGTGAAGGATTCAGCATCATCGATGCCCAGGCGCCATAGGATCGGATTTGTGATGTTGTGAAGTCGCTTATTGGTTCTTGCCAGACCGCTCAAGTCGGGGCCGCAAAAGTTGACGATAATCTGCAAGAGTTCGGTCGGAAGGTTCGATAGCGACATTTTGGCGCTGCGATGGAAGGCAACTGTGATCGTACACCATGAATAATGTCCTCAAAAAAGAGTGACAGAGCGAGGTAGAGGTAAGGAAGTCGTCGTGGAAGGAAATGGGGGTAATAAGGGAAGGAAGAAATTGGTGATAGGTGTCGGGTGGTGTTGATTGGAAAGTCACCTCACGCAAGTGCTGTCGGGAGAAATATCTGGTAGACTGTTGCCCGTAGTAGACGCAATTATTGAAGATGAGGTGGTGGTTGGAGAAAATACGGAAGGAGAGGCTGAAAGAAAATTGCCGCTCAAGGTAAAGGTGGATTGGATTGTAAGGCAGGAAGGAGCTCTTTGGTTGATCGCTCTTGCCTTGTCCAAAATCAAGGTGGTGAAAGGTGAAGTGTCTTGAGACCGAAAGTCTCCCATTGTCGTTCCGTTTGTTGTCTAAATTTTCCTTTTGTCTTTCATCTATCATCGTCAGTCGGCACCACTGCCTTCTTCGCCTTTCGTCACCACTTCCGGGTTCGCTTTTCGCAACCACATCTATCTTCGCTTTTCATCACCACTACTCTCTTCCCTTCCTGATCAACGAATTCTTCGCATTCCACCGCGGTCCCGCCATTGGTGTGCTACACTCAAACACCGCGAAGATGGCAACGCCAACGCCAACCCCAACGCTAGAGTCAGCACCAACCGAGATCCTCTGCGCAATTGCAGGACTTCTGCGTCGGTCTTCGCTCTGCGCCCTTGCCAAAGTCAACAAGCGCCTGAACGGCATAGCCAACAGAACACTCTACACGAAAGCAATTGACAAAGGCCTGCCCGACATCACTGTGCTTGCAGCCTTGAACGGAAACATCCATACACTCAAAACCGCTGCTGCCTTCGGGGCCGATCTGAATCGCCCCAACTGGGTCCGCCTCCCGTCTTGGGCGAGGTACAAGGACTATGACGACGATGAATACTGGAGATACGTTCCAATGCACAATGGCTATGATGAGGGTGATGATAGTGACGAGGACAACACCGACGTGGGCGGCCTTGAGGAGTACTATGAGGACACGAGCGAGGACAGCGAGGACAACGACGACAGCGACGACAGCCATGACGATGATGGTGATGAAAAGGACAAGAACAACGAAGAGGATAATGGCGAGGGCGTCGATGAAGAATACGCAGAGCACGACGGCAGTGCCGACGGCGGCAGCGGCCGAGAAGATGAGGACGAAGAAGACGATGACGAAGAAGTCCAGGACGAAGAAGACGAGGATAACGAAGATCAATACGAAGAAGAGGACAGCGAGGAATGGGACGAGCAATACATCGAGGAATACAGAGAGGATGACGACGCAAATCAATACGAAGAAGAGGACAACGACGAATGGGACGAGGAAGACCACGGCATCGAGGAATATAGAGAGGATGACGACGACGACGATGGGAGCGAAGAGAATTATCAGAACGGTGACCACGAGAAGAAAGAGGACTGCAAGAAAATGGCGGCCAAGAAGGGTCACGGCTGGGCTACCCCCCTCCATGCAGCTGCATCTGCGGGTCACGACTCCATAGTCAAGTGGCTGGTTTCACACGGCGTCGACTTGAACTCCAAGGGCCAGCTTTTTTGCTCATGTCATTCGTTAGCCGAACTGGCAGTGCGGGAGGCCGATGAGGAACTGGGCACCATCGATTTTGATATCATACAAATTGGTATCTGGACGCCTCTCCACTATGCCATCTGTCGCGGTCATGAATCCATCGCCTGTTACCTGGTCAAGTGCGGTGCTTCGATGCACGTTCGCTACACGAGTTGGGACGATGAATTATTCACGGACGAATACCTCGGAGCCAGAAGCGACAGAAACCACCCACGACGCAAGAAATGGAGAATGATGGCGATACACAGCGCCGCCTCTTCGTGTCAGCAAGAACTTCTTCGGCATTTTGTGGATCTCGGCGTTGATGTCAACACTCAGGATGGCTGCGGTGCCAACATTCTGCATTACGCTATCCAGGCCTCCAGTATCAGTATGGTCAAATACTGTTTATCTCTGGGAGTCGATACCGATACGAGCATCAGCGTCAAGATATATGAAGAGCACGAGGATTCCAAGCAGTACGGAAGTGCAGCATCCTGGACTCTTTCTCTTTGCCGGTCGGGCAAATATCTCGATGCTGTGCTCCAGTCACTCGCAGACCACGGGGCCTCCTTCTGGATGCGCAGAAGATTCCAGGGACAAATACAAAGATTGAAGTCGATGGTTGTGCTGACTGATATGGCTTACATCGAAGAAGACGGCATGAACTCGCGTCTTGCTACACGCCCCCTCAATGGCTGGATTCCTAAGTTCCTCCGAGGAGCCGTCGCCGAGTACCGCCCGGACGCCGACTTCAAGAACCTCAGGAAAGAGATGAGGAGATTCTTCTTTGCTGCGGTCCGCGACCCGACAATTGGCCCAGACGTCCTCGACATGATTCTGGATTCATTTCCACAACTGGGCGTGAAGAAGCCTATGCATTGGAGCACACTCATCGGTTGTCATGAGGAAGCCAGTCAATTCGGTGCTCTTGCCTTGAAATGGATCCTATTTGATGCAAGGATTTGTCGGGGTCGGAAAACGAAAGATAAGGAGTGCAACACAACGGCAAAAGTAAGATGGCTCTTGCGCAACGGAGCGGAGACTATCAGTAACCTTGATGGCCACGACCGCTTCTTTGCGATGCGGGAGTTTGTCTCCCGTCTCAAGCACGAGTGTGGCCCATCACCATTTGGAAGAATCATTCATTCTGTGGAAAGTTTGAATGACGTTGCAGAGATTTTGGCACTTTTGGGGGAGCATGGAGGTTGGAATCTGGAACCTTTTGGGGAGATGAAGGAGACGGCGAAGGATTTTGTCGAGTTCTTCACGGTGCTGAAGCGCAAGAACGCGAACTGGGCGAAGATCCTGATTGATCGCATTGGAGTTCCCCCGGAGGTCTCGGAGTTGATCGATCAAGGGGAGGCAAACTGATGGGAAACTGCGACGAAAAGTCTGGGAAGCAGTCGCAAGAATCAAGAGTGGAACACGATGGCAAGAGTTGTTCACCCTGCGGCACTGTTATGCCTGCCATGCCGGTATTCATTATGCGGCTTAGATGTAGGGCCAGCGATATACTGACGGGAACCATGGACATGGGGTCTGCGGAAAATGCGGGTGTTATTTCCAGAAACTGTGGGCGTTATGAGGGGACATGAAGGAAAGAATTTGAGGCTTGATGGGCTCATAGGCGACATGGCGAGGTTGTATGGTGATATCGTCGTGTCAAGTAGACGAATCAACACCGAATGGGCGAAGGTCATGAACGTATCGTGTGCGACTCCAGCCCAAAGTCGCAATACTAATCGAGACGAGGTCCCCATAGGAAACTGGGGGGTTCGGGGTGAAAACAAAGAGGGCACTCGGGCAAGTAACGCGTTTCGGTTGGGCATTCTTGGAGCCCGCAAGAGGTCACAGATAGTTAGAGGCCTTTCCACCCGTAAAGCAGGCCACTAATACTAACTTCGGTTGCATCGTTTATGTCTTAATTCTTGCTGATCCGTCAAATCTTACCGTGAAGGCTTCTTCAATCTTGAATTGCTGGGCGAAAGACACAAAAGGCTGTATAGATCCGGATCAATTCGCTGCTACGAGGCTGACGATTTGTTTAAAAAGAATGAGGATTTGCTTCGGTCAAGATTGGCGTTGGGCATGAACTTTCGACCAAGTTTTCTTCTCTTTGGGCCTGAAGCTGAGCTCAAAGTGATGTTGAGCAGAATGATCGCAGGAGGCGAACGATCGTCGCCACATTCATCGGGCATGGATTTACTTATGTTGGAACTCCAAACTCCTGGTTTCTGTCTGAAAAGAAGTTGAGTTGCCTGACGCACCGGGATTTGGCCCGAGTGACATCTCTTATCCATGTTATATGAAATTATGCGGATTCTTTTGCAGATTCATTGCTTGCTTTATTCCATCGAAAGACACGGCTGTGTGTGCCAGTCCCCGGCTTCGCAACCGAGAGTCGGAGACCGAAACCAACGACGGACGTAACATAGAACCACCCACAAAGGAGGCTGTCCAATCGCAAAGGACATCCGTCGGACGTTGTTTGGGGGCCGTGGATAACATCCTCCCTGCATCAGGCAACCCGTTTCCCTCCATCCTCAAGCCCGCGCCGCGGGAAAAAGAAAGTCGGCGTGGCCGGGGTACTGTCACACCCACCGACTCCTCATTATAAATTGGCATCCAGGCATTCGGGGTCGAGAATCTCCAATTAAATCAGAGAGGTGACCTCCCCTCAAACCTCCCTGCCATCAACTTGACGCCATCTGATGGACACATGTGCGCGTCAGTTCGGTTCATTGCCACGCCATGGATTGCTATCAATTCACCTCCAACCTCTACCCCGCCTTTCGATCGACACGCGATTCTCGGGCTTAACACGCTGCTGGTATATTAAAAGTAGGATTATGCCTGCTTTAGCGCTTAGGCCCGGGCCGCATGTCAATCGATCTGGACTGGCCTAGTTTGGGGCGTTGTCTCGAACTCCCATCCACCGTTGGCAATGTCATTGGCCGCCCTGCCGTTCCGGTCTGCCATACTCGAAACGACTGCCGATCGGTGATTAACATGCTCCAGCCACCCAGACCAGTGCGCCAATTTCGACGTCCTTTGCGAAATGTCGTTACATTCGCGAATGTTTGCTGCCTGTTCGTCTGTGTGGATTCGTGACGACAACACCATCGCTTCTTGGGCTCGTGACGCTCGAAGCTCTTTCTTTCTCGGGCAATTTTGTCCACTTTTTCATATCGGCACTACTTCAGCTCGTGGAGCAAGTGACACGAAGGATTGATCTTCTTGTGCAAAAGCATAGTCAAGTGGCCGTTAAATTGGGCATCTGGAGACGAGTCTCGAGTTGCTCGACGTCAACCACGTTGACGAGTGCGACAAACGCCAGCCATGCGGACTACTCTCGGTGATAACTCACGGCGGACAAGACCATCTGAGAAACGTTTCGTACGTAGGTCTGACCGGTGATACCGACCTAGTAGCCGTTGGGCAAGAATCCGAACCGCATGCCCGCAGCAGTTGCGGGCGCGGCAAACTTGGAAAAAGTGCATGTTTGCCAAAAGGCTTATCCTTGAATTGGCCAATCATACATACGAATATTCGAAACAAGTCTGTCTTTCCCTCACTCAACGCCATCCCAGGTGGTGATCCGTCTGCCGCATGTGAACCCGGCCAATGAGATCAACGCCTTGTGCAGTAGCAACACATGCAGACTACAAGCATACCATCGGAACTATCTGCCAGTCAGAGGGATGGGAAGCTCAGAGACTGCTGCAAAACATACGATGACAAGACATGCAGAGCTACCCATTACCGGCAGCTGCAGTGATCTGTGACGATTCCCACGACCTCCTTGAGTCCAGATTGTCAGCGTCGAGTCCAGCCCGGTCCGGTCGAGGACAGGCGCCAAGATCGAGCCTCACGATCGGAGCTCATCGTCCGTCTGAAGTTGGGCATCTAGTAGGATCGCAAGATCAGCATCGACGTGGAGATACCGAGACACAAGCATACGGATTCAGCATTGGATATGCTTGCCCGCCTGATTACTTATCCCCTTTCAGACGGGCAGCGCAGTGTACACGGAGGGCTACACGGTGTAGAACCATCATCGTGAGTTCATGGCCAGACATGTCATTGAGCATTTTGAGAGAAGATCAACACTGAGGTTGCGAGACATGCATATTGAAGCCCAATTCTGGAGAGTCTGAAAGGTGAAGGAGCCCAACCGTGAGATACGTTCATGGTCGAAGGGATTATCGTGGTAGAAGATATCACAACATCTCGATCGATTGAGGCCTGACATCGAACAGTCCGGCCATCGGGAAGTGCCCTTCCCTGGTATTGGGAGGCGGAAACAGTCGCCTCGTCCAGATGTCAAGGGCAAACCAGCGTATCGCGACATGCTCCCTGCGGCAACTTGACGAGCAGTCTCGGAGTAGACTTATCTGACCTTACAAGTACTTAAATCAAGCTTCGAACTCACCTCGACGACATCCATCTATCTCATCTCAGTCAAGCCAACATTACAATCCCATTGTCACATCTCCCACGATCACCTGTCTCAAGACAACCCATCAAACCCCCTCCCTCCCACCGCACAAAGATGACACCCCACGCCACCCACACGCCCGTCCGGCAGGCCGTCGACGCGGTGCACGCCGCCCAGGCTCCCCTCGAGAAGAGGGCCTACCCCATGTCCCTCCCCTCACGGAACCTCCTCGTCATCGTCCTCGGCGAGTTCTGCGGAACATTCATGTTCCTCCTCCTCTCCTTCATCGGAGCGCAGACCGCCATCGTCACCAACGCCGCCGCCGACCCCGACGCCCCCATGGGCCCGGATAGCCTGCTCTACATCGCCTGCTCCTTCGGCACCGCCATCGCCATCAACGTGTGGATCTTCTACCGCGTCAGCGGCGGCATGTTCAACCCTGCGGTATGTACCGCCCCCCAAAAGCCCTCATCCGTCCGTTACATCCGCGTGTACTAACACCCGTCGAAAAGGTCACATTGGGCCTCGTGCTCGTCGGCGCCGTCAAACCCCTCCGAGGCCTCTGCATTGTCCCAGCCCAGCTGCTTGCCAGCATCGCCGCCGCCGGCGTGGTCTACGGGGTCCTCCCTGGACCGCTCAAGGTGGCCAACACGCTCGGGAACGGCGCCACCATCCCGCAGGGGTTCTTCATCGAGATGCTGCTCACCGCCCAGCTGGTGCTGACGGTGTACTTCCTCGCCGTCGAGAAGCACCGCGCCACCTTCCTGGCCCCGATCGGGGTCGGTATCTCCGTCTTCATCGCCCACATCACGGCCACCAACTGGACCGGTACTTCCATCAACCCCGCTCGCTCCTTCGGGCCTGCGGTCATTATCGGTTTCGTCAACTACCACTGGATCTACTGGCTGGGTCCCTTCGCCGGTGCGTTCTTGTCTTTCTTGGTCTATGCCCTCTTCAAGTGGCTTGAGTACCAGACTGCAAACCCCGGGCAGGACGATGATATGGAGAAGGCTTTGGGGCCTGCTTCACCTCGTCCCATTGACTCTTCTCTTGGTGACGGACCTCAGTCTCTGAAGGCTTAGACGGAGGCGTATCAGGGTCTCTACTCTTGGGTCGGGTCGTGAAACCGAGTAACTTCTCAGTCCCCAGGTCCCAAGAGAATTCATTTCTGTTGATTGGAAGTGTTGGGAAAGGTGATGGAGATGAAGACAGGGGGTTTGGCTGAATGATTCACGCCCACGATGTACATAGTACGCACGCCGATTAATTCAATGACGTTCCTTTGACTTCCCAGATTCCCCCTTTTCCGAATGTGACTAATCTGGCTCTCAGTCTTATCTGCCATCTGTGACCTTCCACAATCACCGTTGTTCTCTGCATGTACTGCTTATTAGCATAGGTCAGAGTCATAATTCATAACTGCATTTGCTGCGGCGTTGTTCAATGGGTACCTGGGAGAGGACTCTAGGCTGCGCAACAAATCAAGCAAACGACGGGTGACTCAATTGGACCACAGGATCAATTGAAGTAGCCGAGCATTCGGGACAAGAACAGTTTGTCGTCTGGCAGAAAAGAGGCCGTGGGAATGATAGTAGTGGCCTTGGCATAGTCTTCAATTCACTGGACATGTGTTACGGGCAAGCCTTCTTGCTTTTCGAAGTGATCTCTCGGATTCTATGTTTATTTGATGGGGAGCTAGGCAGGATGTAATACAATGAGAAACCCCCTAAAAGAAAATATCGACTCGCTCTAATTATCTACTTTTACATGGCCAAAAACAAAACTCCATACACTCTGAAACGGTATTCCAACTAAAATGTTACAAGCCCGGAAGCTTAGAAATGAGCCCGCGAGGCATCGATTGCTTGGTTCGCTTGCCAAGCCCGTGCTTCACCAGATGCGGGAGATCTGCGAACAGCTCCACCACCTTTGGGATGTCTTTGCCCTTGCCGTTCTTGAGAGGCAACCATCCACCGTTCCTCCCAAGAGCATTCACAATGTGGCAAATGTGCTCCATGTCCTTGGGTCCGTTTGGCCCAGTACGTTCAGCCACCTGCATTGTGCGAATGAAATACTGAGGCAAGAGACGGTTTTGATGTTCGTTGTGGTAGGTCGCCTCTACCCTGCGGAGGTACGTGTGAAGAGGCGTAGCGTCGACGAGGTTGAGACGGGTGACGGAGACCGGCATGCCGCCGTTCTGTTGGAGGAGCCAGTTGACCTTGTTCAGCAGCTCCTCCGTGTGGGGCCAGAGCGGCGCGAACCACATGAGGAAGCACAGGGCGAAGTTGTGGAAGCGCGGCTGCTTCGAGAGGCTCGTCAGCTCCCTGATCTCCTTGTCGTCCAGCCTGAGGTCCCTGCGGCCGAACGTGCGAAGGAACCGCGGGAACTCGGTCTCGTCTACCGGGAGGTAGAGGCTAAAGATCGAGCAGGTGCTGATCAGGAAACGGTCCATGTCTTTCGCCGAGAAGTGGGGGTTGATGAGGGCGAGAAGGAACGAGATCTGCATCTCGGACTCGGTCAGGTCACGCCTCTTCGGACCGGCGTGTTCCGCGGTGGATCGGACAAAGCTGGGTAGCAATCTGCAGACGTTCATTCCCATATTTTCCTTGTCATCCTTGTCGACGTATGTTGATGTCCAATACTGAAGCAGCTTCAAGCTGGAGTGCGGGTACGCGATACCTTCGGTGGCTGCGAAAGGATCTGTGTCAACCCAGCTTGCGCCTCCATGATCCAGGATCACCTTGGCACAAGGATAATTTTCCTCTTCGTCATCGTCGTCATGGCGGTCTCCATCGTCGTCATCGCGGTCGTCATCGTCATCGGAGCTGTCAGAGTCATCGTCGTCATCATCATCGTCGTGGTGTTCGTGATGGCATGGGCAGCACTGGTGCTCTCCGTGTTCCTCGTGCTCCTCGTGCTCCTCATCCTCATCCTCCTCCCCTGCATCGAAGTTGACGGCGATTTTGTCCTTGATGTTGTTGGAGATGAAGTCGTTGTTGACGGCATAGTCAAGAGCGTTGAAGTAGGCTTCTGCCGGCACATTGACGACCGTGTCCTCTCCGAGTAGGGCGGCGCTAATAGTGAATGGCGGCGTACCCCGTCCACTGAGAGGTCGGGTCGGGTCAGCACCGAGAGAAAGCAGCTGCTTGACAGTGGCGTGTTCGGCCGACATAATCGCGTAGTACAACGGTGTTGCGCCGCTTCCGTCAGGGGTGTCGACATCCTGCCCGCGATTCGTGACGAGTTCTTTCACTAGCGATTCATCCCCAGAAGCTGCAGCGTCGTGGATCAGTCTCACGGGCAGATGATTGACGTCGGCAGCAATCTCGCCGTGCGGATCGTTCATCGCGATGCCCACGGCCCCGGTCAGTGTGTCGCCGTCAAACTTGCTCAGGATGACGGCGGGGTAATCTGGGGAGTCTGTAGTTCTGACCAGGTTTTCATCGGCGCCGGCTGAGAGAAGAAGTCGGGCGACGGACGTCTGGCCGCCGCAATTGGCGAAATGCAGAGGAGTCCACGCAGGGTATATGCACAACGGATGTTCCGCGTTCTCTTGATTCCCCGCCATATCGAATTCCACGGATGTACAATCGCAAACAAATCTGCCGGGAGTGTTGATGTTCACTCCCCTCGCAAGAAGCCACTTGACGACGTCGTAATGCCCGTTGAAGGCAGCCATGCAAAGAGGCGTGGCAAAAGCTGCCCATTTGGGCGGTCCGATGTCATTGTCATCGTCGCTGTCGTCGCTGTCGTACCCAGCCAAACGATTCAATGCCTCGCTGTCGTACCACACGTCGCTGATTTCTTGGGTGGTCTCCGCATCGTAAATGGTGTCGAAGTCGGCGCCGAATTCCGCCGCGACCTTGAGCGTGTCCAGATTGCCATCGGCGGCGGCATCGAACGTGATGTCGCTCATCTCGTCCCGGACGGCCGCGCGGTAGAGCTCTCCGCGAAAGATTTCGTGAAGTTGGCGATTGACGCGCGCGAGCGCTCCAAGCGGGTAGTGAGTCCCTTCGAAGTCGACATAACGGCCGATTTCCAGCCAGATCTCGGGGGCGAGTTTTAGATCGACATCGTGAGTTCCTGTGGTTCCGGCGCACCCTGCGGAATGCCGTGACTGTGGTTTCGGTCAGTGAATGAGACTCAGGTTGAGGCCGACCGCGAACTTACTATGCTGGGTGAGCTCAGCGACACTGGGTTCTTGGTATGATGAGTGGTCGGTTTCTTCTGGCCAAAATTATGTGTGAGAGATCGAGTGGTTGTAAAAGGGGTTGCTGCGATGCGTGAACTTATGAGAGGTTGATTGCGAGGTGGTGGATCCGACTTTAATTAAAATCTGCTGCTACAGCAACTCTTGCGAGCGTGGAGACGCGTCGCGCTGAGAAGACCGCGTTTCGCTCGTGTCAAGACACATTGAACCCCGGCCATCACACGAAATTCTCCACCCTCCCAATTTCTCTTCGCGATTATACTTTCTTTTTTCCCCCTTTTCACGAGTCTCATAAACTTTTGAAGTGGTCGGCGTGAATTCCTTACTTGCGGGGGAAATCTCAGCGCTGCAGGGGGTTGGACCCCAATTTCACCCCGAACCAATAGCGGGCCAATCTCGGTTCGGCATTTGAGGCCCAGTTTTATTTTAAGCATCGGCAGCGGTGACCAATGATAGCGCAGTCCGGTCGCCCCGCCCGGGCCGCGGATCGATTCCTCCGGCTCTCCTCCGAGCCGGCTCCATTTGCGCCGGACCTCCATCAACGACCGCTTTTGCTGCCTTTGCCAACACCTGCTGCAATTCGGATGCATAATCGTTGTCAAGTCAGGAAACCTCCACTCCAAGACTTGAAAGGGCGCGGTTTAATGCGTCGGTGCGGTTGCCTCTGTACGGTCTCATAGGCTACCAGAGTACGATGCCACCGTGGCCCAGCTGGATCCTGATCTTCTACTAGCCTTATTTGGCCCCTAATCGGTTCTGTTTTCAATAGCTCTGGCTGGAACAATAAAACTTACGGGAGAAGTTTGAACCTATACGAAAGAACCAAGGCTGCAGCCTTAGCACTTCAGTGCTGGACTCAAAACAATGATGATTGAAGTCTGGGAAGATATTGAGTATGATTATTGATCTGTCAGGCTTGGTTCTTTTTCTTTAAATAGGGAGCACAAGTGCGTCGAACCTTGGTATATTAAGCTTTACCTGCTATGATGTGGGATACCGCGCCTGTGTCACGAGACTGGGCTCGGTATTGTGGCAGGTATCATCTCACCGATGGGATGAACTATGAAGCAGGCCCAACCTTTCATAGAAGACTTGGCATTGGAGATTGTGCGGTCCGAAAGACCCCGTCGACGAGTATAAAGAGATGTTGGAGTATGAACTGGGACAACTGAACTTCAAAGTCCAGCACCATTTTCAACATTCTACACTCTTGCGCCCTATCTCTTTTCCATCCCGCATTACGTATCCAAGTTTCGAGAAAGATGCAATACAAGATTATTCTCGTTAGTTTCCTCGTGTCTCTGGCTTGGGCTAGTCCAACCAACGAGACGCCTGACCTCATTGCACGGCAACGAGGTGGTGGAGGCGGCTCCGGGGCAAGCTGCTGTACGTCGGGTGGCGGCTGCCAGGCTTCTTGCGTAAGTGATACTCACTCTGCCCATACGGATCTTATGCGAAATTGACCTGAACCCGCAGTGCCCAATTGGCTGTCCGTGAGAGCATTGATTTTGGGAAAGTGAGTCGGAGGGAGACTTGAGGATGTTTCAGAAACGCGTGGCTATTTAGACGGCAAGACTTGTCGCCCACAGGCTTTTGGCTCAAATACAGCATCGTGATAAACGCAAAATGCCAAACATGAGATAAGACGTTGCTGTTGAAGTATACTATGGTTTGAAGGACCGTTAACTTTGAATGTGTTTCTTCTCTACTTCGATTTGCCACCAAGTTAGAATGTATTCAACTCAAATCCAACTTGTTGTAAAACGGAGTATCAGGGGACTCTTTACCGAATGTTTTTCGCGCGGCTGTTTACAGTCGCATAGGACTGACAGCATCGGCCGAGATCATGCTGTGTTTGATTTGCAAGTTGCCGGTGTCATAGTAGAGCAGACTAAAGTTTGACTTGGCTGGACAATATTCTCAAGTCAGAACTACTATGGCTACTCAGAAAGAGGGGACATACCCAAATGCTCTCACCAGATAGAAACCTAGAGCCGGTTCATCCGAACCAGTGGGATGCGCGTAGACGAAACAACTGGCACTATTGTTAGCGCGGCATTCTTTTCAAATCCCATGCGGACGGCACCAAGCAAGAAGGAATGACCAGGCTCATCCCATCATTCGACGAGGACAATGTTGGCCTTCGCTTACTGTCCAGCGCAACTGAGAAAAGTCTGATACCGTCCAGCGGAAGACGCGGAAGTAGCGACAATCTTATTACATTAACCAAAGTCTTGCAGTGAGCCCATGCGGTGACATTGTGGGATACCGGGTCATTGATTGCACCCGCGTCATTGCCCATCGAACACCGATGGGATGAGTCCAAGAGACCTCACTTTCGTTGGTTGGGCTATTTTGAGCTGAGAATGGCTTTGTCTGGCAATCGCAAAGAAGTATAAGACAACTCACCTGCGTCCAAAGCATCTGAATGAGAGCACAGCATCACCTCCCAACACTCTTCCTACCTTCTTTCTGTGAATTCAAGACAACAAATCTCACCTCCTTCAACATGCAATACAAGATTTTTATTGTTACATTCCTGGCCTCGATGGCTTGGGCTAGCCCAGTCAACGATGCCCCCGAGATTTTCGCCCGCCAAAGGCCCTCTGGCCTGAGTTGTTGCTCATTTGCTGGCGACTGCCAGCCCTCTTGCGTAGGTTACATCAACAACCAGAAATCTGAGATGCTAATGCTCGCTATAGTGCCGCAGCGGCTGCCCTTGAGCTTCGAGAAAAGACTTGATTGGACACGGTGTAGGGGCGGCATACTTATAGCGTCTCACATAAGGACATCTGGCGGATTCTCAAGATTAGGCTGCAGTGTTATTGCATTTTGTATTCGAGTCTCTTCTTTCTCTCAGTCTACTTTGTGTTGGATTCTTCAAGCTCTTCCTGAATCAAATATAGAACGCTCCATTCATTCTGGTTGAGGCTGTGTTGTGTGGCTATGGTTGTGAAAATCATTATTCATATTACTCAAGCACTATTTTTCCGCCGTGGCTGCAACTCGACATCTTCCAACGACTTTAAGATCGTGCACTAGCGGATCCGGACGAAGTCTTTTGATACTAGCTCTACCCGGACGGACTCTGGTCAAATCTGACTGTCTAGTCGGGGCCAACGCACGGAGTGTAGGGGTTGCAATAGATTAGAAACGAAAATCGCCATCAACCATGGTTCAGCAAAGCTTAGTGAAGCCCCAGCAACATAGTTCTATTTGACATAGCCATTCGAAATTTAGTACGAGCTAGAGTACCCTTGAATTGTGGCTTATTTGTGGCTTTGCCCGCTGTATGAGTCTATGGCGAAAGTTCAAATCAAGCAATGGAGGAACATGGAAACTATAGAGAACTCGCTTGGCAGGGCACCTGTGTTTTGAAGAATCTCCCCAGAATTTGAAAACTCAACTGTCGACTTTGGCCGAGTCGCCCCAGCGGCATATGAGAGGTACAGTCTCTTAGGTATCTGTACCTAAGATACAGTCAGGCCGAATTTCTTCGTGGGAAGGTCAGAGGCAACTTGCCTGCATTAGGTAAGATACCTGCATTATGTCATTTCCAGCTCATCAAGCCCGGCAAGTTTCGTCTTCAGCAGACTCTGAATTTCATGTTCCCATGGTCGTCGGAAAGAAAGGAGCAAATATGGACACCTAGTGGAAAAAGTAAGAAAGCCCCTTCATCGGAGATTCAAAGTGGCGAGGCGAAAGGGTGCCTAGTCAACATCATAAAATAGTCCCATTGCCTCAGTCAGCCGGTGCCATGTGTAGACAAACCGAGGAAAAACAAAGGGAAAGAAACGTCGCCTTCTAATTTTCCAATCTCCCTCACAAGGCGAAGGCAGCTACAGAAAGAAAGAAAAAGAACGACACCACAAGTCCGGTGAACACACAAATACAGGCTTTTACGAGCGAGTACAAATTCTTACACTTATCCCAATGGACGAATTAATCGACACGGTCGTCGCTGCCAACCGCCTCATCCACACTGTCTGCAAGACGAGGCTAGTGTCTCCCTATCTGGAAAATCTGCCGACCGACCTCGTTCTCGCCATTGTTGATCAACTGCTCACGACTGACGAAACGAACTCGTACGAGCAGGAAGCGACGTTCGATTGGGGCTACACGCCAAAGCCGGAGGAATGCGACCCCCTCTTCGACGGCGTGAGGGCGGCAACACGTCTCGCCTCGACTTGCAAACGCATACGCGCCGTCGCTGACCGGGCCATCATACACCACGACATACGACATCACCACTCGTCATGCCTGCTCCTGTCCTCGAAGAGGGGGTGCGCGGGCGGCGTGGCCAAGGCGCTGCGCTACGGCGCCGACATCAACGCTCTCGACCGCACCGTGTTCGAGTTCTGGTTCGTCGACAAGGACTCTTACGAGTACATGTGCAGGTCGCCGACGCGATCGACACTCACGGCGCTGCACTGGGCCGCCTTTTACGGCCACGAAGATCTGGTGGGGTACCTGCTAGAGCACGGCGCGGACGTCGATGCGCGGGCGAATATCGCAGTAGAGGCGGAAGGGCCCGATGCGCGTTGGGGGGTCTGCAACCTCGGCGAGTCACACATCCAATACGCCATGTTGTCTCACACGCAGGAGGACTACGAGTCCGGGAACAACTTCGTCGAATTCGACCTGGACCAGGAAGCGCCCGTCTCCCCGGACAACCCGCGCGGAGAAGACAGAATCACCGTCACCGGCGACGCCATGAAGACCCTCGGCGTGGGCGCGAGCCCTCTCTTCCTCGCCCTCAAAGCCTGCACGAAAGACACCGCCCGGCGGCGGTACGGACCCGCGAAGTGGAACTGGGAGGAGCACACGCCCATCGTGACGGACGACGACACGGGCTGTAGAGCAGCCATCGTCCGCAAACTGGTCGGCGCCGGCGCGTCGCTGATCACGGGGACGAAGAGCAGGACCCACGCCCTGCACCAGGCGTGCGCTTACCGAGACTTTGACGTTGTTGACTTCCTCGTCTCCGAGATGGGTGTGGATGCGAACGTCGCGGACGAAAAGGGTGCTACGGCTGCTCATTACATGGCGATGCACACCACGTACGCGCTCGGCTGGGGTGAACGGGGCCGGATCGACTTTTCCGACCAGAACCAGGCTCTCATCTTGCAGCTGCTCTTGAGTCGGGGGCTGAATCTGCATCACCTCAACAGTGATGGTCTGACTGCGATGGACATGGGGCTTGACATCGCTGGCGTTGACCTCACGAGCTGCTCACCAACGAAATGCGTAACGATCAGTTCTTCGCCGATGAGCTCCCCGCTGAAGAGCTTCTCGCCGACGAGTTCCTCACCGACGAGCTCACCATCAACGAGTTTCTCGCCTACAAATCGCTCAACAACGTACTGAGCGGAGCAAAAACAACAAAGCCATTCCTCTTGAAGATGGTTGGAGTTTTCTCACGAGGGAGAGACACTACGTTCCCAAGCCGATGTCACTTGGTTCATGGCCGGGGGAACAGAACGTCAGTGCCGAGTCAGAGGAACACTGGCAACGCTCAGAATGCCCACTTCACGTGGTGAAAGCTTCGGATGGATAATGGACGTGGGGTGTTAGGTAATCCTCGGGTTAGTGAGCGGTTGAGCGCTGGCGACGAGTTGGCATCTCTGGCAGAGCTTGGATTCCATCGATTCATCAGTCACAGCAGGACCAGCTTCACTCATGCCACACATCTGGAGCAAGCTTTATTTTTCCCATATGATCGAATAAAGATACGGCCGAAGTCGTGGCCACCGATTAGCGCAGAACACACCAGAAACCCATGAAGTGACTGCAATAATGTAATTACTAACGGAGCCGTCCGCTCCTCAAGGCCATATCCAGCGTGCTAATCCCCGTAAGCAAGCTTGGCGTAGATATTTTACACAGGTATAATGATGTACAGTAGCCAGAGAGTGAGTATGCATTACCTCCTCACAACGCCTCGTCGCCCCCCATGCTCTCGTCCTCCTCGCTGATGTCGTACCCCATCTCCCTCGCGTCGTGCACCCTCTCGCTGGCCACCCGGGCCTTGTGCCACGCGTCCCACTTGACCCTGTCCTCGGCCGACTCGGCAGGCCGCTTCGCGAGCCCCTTCTTGCGGAGCCGGCGGCGGAGCTGGCGCTTTCCGTAAAAGTCGAGGCTGCGGATGTCGATGGTCCTGATGTCTGTGCCGCTGAGGTAGTCCTGCGCGTCGGCCCAGAGGTCGGAGACGTCTTCGGAGAGCTGGTGGGCGACCCGGCGACCGCGTCCGTTGGTGGCCCACTCGTCGAGTTTGACGGGGAGAGCCACGCCCCAGGTGGGATCCGTCGGCGACCAGACGCAGGGCGTGGTGGAGCAGGTCGTCGGGCGGCAGTAGAGCTCGCACATGGCGGATTCGGCGGCGTACCAGATCGACGCGAGCATGACGAGCACGCCGAGGAACGTGACGCGGAAGGGGTTGCGCTGGATGAGCCGCGGGATGGGGAGTTGAATGACGTTGACCTTCTCGGCTGAAGCTTGGGTCGTGCGTTCGGATGTCTGGTGGGAGGTTTCGGATGGGCGACGAGACTTCTTGGTCTGTTGTCGCAGCACCTCAACCTCCAACTCTTCTGAAGAGTTCATGTCGCCGTACTTGGCCTCCGAATGAGACACCTTGTCCTCCAACCGTTCGATGCCTTGCTTAGCACTGCGGATGTTGAGAAGGCCGTCCTGAAGCGCTTTGTTCATCCTGTCGATCTGCTGAAGTGTGTGATCCCGCTCGGCATGAGACAAGTCAGGCGTGGTCGCGATTTTCTCACGCTTGACATTCATTTCGTCAATGATAGACTCGATCTCAGGCGCGGGAAGCTGAAGTTCTTGCATCTTAAAAAAGTCCTCCAAATCGTCCAGAGTTGAGTCCTCGATCTGGTGAACACGCTGGAGCTCAAGCAGGTCGTCCTTCACTGTAGGCGGCTTGACCGAGTTGGTCAACGGTCGCTGCAATCGAGGGATAGATCTTCGCCGGCGAAGTGAGGAACTTGTGGTCGTTCCGGCGGTCGGCTTGCTCCTCGCTTTGTCGTCGCTGTTCTCGGATCCGGACTCGCTGGCCTTCGAGATCGATCTAGGCCTCGATGAGGCCCGCGAGCTTCTCCTGCTGGGTGGCTGACTGTCGCTGGCGTTTTTTGACTTTTCCTCCGACTTGATGGCCGGCTTGATGCTTTTCTCCTGGAGCTTATCGACGCGAACCGTTGCGGGCGTGTCTACGTAGGCGCCCGTGACTTTTGGCGTTGGCAGGGAGAGCGGGTCCACCTTGAGCGGCCGAGGGGTTTCGTCGGCGAAGAGGCTCTTATCCTCATCGGACTCGGGTTCAACTGACGTGGCTCTCGATGTTCCTCTTTCGGATTGTCCATCTGTAGGCGCGAATAGGTTGATCTCCCCCTCGATCCGTTCAGTCGGGTCACTATCCGACATGGCAACGCTCTTCCTCCCATCCTTGGCTGCCTCGCCCGAGCGATTCTGGCGTTCTCGGCGTAGTCCAGCCGATTTCGGTCTGTCAGATTCCGAGGCTGTCTTTGCCTCGTCCGTGGGGCTAGGCTTCGGATCCTCTGATTTGGGCGCGGGATCCAAAGCTTTCAAGGCGTCTATGCGGTTGCGCCTGGTATTGTTCACTTTCTCATCGAGTGCCGAACTTCGGGGCTGATCTTCGCTTCTGCGGCGCAAGGTGTACGGCTTACTGGCTTCTTCTTCCGTTTGCTTCTCTGGCTCCTTGGCGTTCAGCACAGTGCTTGCAGGCCGCGTCACCGCCGTCTTCTCTGCGCTCGGTTTCTCAGCATCAGACTTCTCAGACGTCTTCTCAGAGGCCTCTGCCTCGCGCATCGCGAGCCTCTCCTCCTTGTGTTGTCTGAATCGCTCCTCAATACTGGGCCTTCTTCTGTCCTCGATGCGTGGTTTGGGCCTCTCCTCGACGGGCTTGAAAGTCTCCTCAGCTGGCTTAGGTATCTCTTCGACGGTCTTGGTTCTCTCGACGGGCTGGGCGGGTTGCTTCTGGGTATCCTTCTCCATCTTCTCCTCAACCTTCTCGTTCACTTCGGCGGGTCGATTTTGGGTCTCGGGGGCGGGACTGCTCGCAGGACTACTGCTAGTAGCCCTGGCAAGTCGTTGCAGTAGGTCGCGGGAATCTGTTCGCGTATGCTGCAAATGAGGTCTCGCGGGCGATTCTCGTTTCGTGAAGTCCTTCTGCGACCCGTTCAACTGGGGCGATGGTGCCTTTTTGTAGATGGTAACAGGTGTGTAGGCAATGCGTTCGCCCTCGTCGCCGTGTGCTGGTTGCCAGGGCTCTCTGACGTTTTCGCGGGCGGGCGTCGATTCTTTGTCGTTGCCGCGCTCAACATCCGGTGACAAATCCCTGGACATTGAGTTCTGTTCTCGAATTTCCTCCAAGCGGCTTTCGGCCATGGCCTTCTTCGACAAAGAATCCGCTTCCCGCGCTCTTATCTGATCAAGTTTGGTATTCTTCGGTCTGGGTTGTTCCCTCACTGGCGGCGCCACGTCATCCTCGTCTAGAATTGGCAAGTCGTCAGGTGTTGGGTAGTATGAGCGAGACTGAGCCCTCGTCTTGGCCAGCTCCTCTTCGGCCTCAGCTTCTCTTTCGCGGATCTCTTCCAACCTGGTATTCCTAGCGGTTGACTGGCTCCTTCGTCGCTCTGCCAGTTGCTCGTTGGCCAAGTCTTCGCGCCGGCGAATCTCGTCAATCTTAGTGTTGGACCGGATGGTTCGAGGTGTGTTTGGCGCAACAGATGCCTCTCTTCGGAAAGGGCTTGACTCGGGGTCCTCCGCAAAGGCGCCGCCGCCGGAATGCCGCTGATTGGGAACTTCGTCAAACGCCGTGCCACGCGTTCTTATACGCGGACTATCCGAAATCTGCAAGTCGCCAGCCGTGAAATCTGCATCCATATCCCAGGCGAAGCTCTTCTCCGGGGATCGAGCCTCTGGCTTCGCAGATGTCGGCCGAGAAGTCGGAGGGGTGGGTTCCATTGCCTCGATAGAGGGTAGCGGTGTCTCGGCGGCGGTCTCCCAATCCGATCTCGACATGCTCCGGCGCTTGATGCCCTTCTCGTCCTGATCAAGGAGATGCTTAATCCAGCCTTCGGGAACCGAGCTCTTGGCGAACATTCTCTGTCCAGGGCTAGTGCTCAGACTGCCGTAACTCGTCTTTCGACCCAAGCTTTGGCTGCTGCCGTTCAAGCTGCTGTTGCTCGTCCTCCGGCCGAGACCCTGACTTCCATTGAGACTGCTGTTGCTTGTTCTTCTCGCCAGCGTACGGCCTGTCTCCGCAATGTTAGGCCCTATCCTTGATTTGCTAAAGAGACTTTCCGGGTCGCGGCCTGCGCTAGGTGATCGATCCATTTCGCGTTCGTACTCCTTGAGACGGTGAGTGAAGCTACCGGAGCTGGAGCTCTGTTGCGATGCGGGGCTTCCACCGTTGCGCGCCATGTAATTGTCGCGCAAGGAGTCGTTGGAAATGCGTGAGAGAGGTCGCGCGCGGCTGTAGTCGACTGCATCCTTGCCCAAAGCATGACGGCCCTTGGCATCATCCAAAGCGTGTCGGTTGGCATGGAGGCGCGGAGCGGGGCTCGGAGAAGCGTCAACGGCAGGGGAAGTTCTTCGCGCCCTGTCTACTGGGCTTGATTCTCCCGCCAGCTGCCATGCGTCTGCAACCGACGGTATCTTTCCTTTTCCGAATACTCCGATCGTGGACTTAGGGCGGGGAAGCTTGGATCCGGAGGCGATTTCGGCCGAGTGGTTGGATCCCATCGAAGGTGTCTGGGACATTGAGCTCGAGGGTCTGGGAATAGCTCCTGCTCGTGAAGGTGGTCGTGCGGAAGCAGAGCTTGGGGGTCGAGGGGGACCTGCTGCGCGAGAAGATGGGCGCGCGGTCGTGGGGGAATAGCCATATCTGTTCGTGCCGGGCGCCGATTGCGCCGCGTCTCTGGGTTGGAGAGTCTCTTGCGACGGTTTGGAGAACAACGGCTTTCGTCCTTCTTGGTTGATGGTTAAATGGGTGGAGGCACGGCGGTTTGATTGCACTCCGAATCGATTGAGGGTAGGTTTGTCGTGATCCATGGCGACACGGCTTTCGGGCCACTTTCGTCTTGTTTTCGGTCTTGTTCAGGGTCAAGCTGCAGGAAGCTGCATGGTTTTGCGATGCGAATAGGCAACAGGTCGCGTCATGTCACTTTTTGACGCGACGCAAACTGAAAAAATCTTGTCGCAAGATGGCTATGCGTCGGTGAAGGTCATCGTAGTTGTAGCCATTCGCAGTCATCAGGGGAAATGGTGTTCGCGCAAAGGAGAAGGATAATATTTGGACGGGATAGCGAGAGTGGTGAACCGCGTCGCCCACTGGGAAGCGACCGGGGTCCCCTGGACCTCTTTCCTCCTTAAGCTAAACCCCACACGGCCCCTCCTAAATCTCGGCGCGGAAGAACAGTCACGGAGATGACTAATCGGAAGGTGCCGGACTAAGTGGGTCCCCAGATGCCGTTCCTGGGTCTGGACCCCGAGTGCAGATTCGAAAACGGTTGAGGCCGTTGACAAACATTGAACGGGCCGTTTCCTCTTTGTTCCTCCGTTTCTCCAACGGCTGTTGCCTTATCTTTCATCCGCAACATCCGGACCTCCGAAGGATCTCTGGGTACGATGTCAACATCCTGGCTTTCAGCTGGCGAGGTGAGGCCTCCACAGCTCATTGCAGCTCATATCCGAAGCGAGGATTGCGCGTCAGAGCAGATGGATTTTCCCCTGAACCAGATTTCTTATCAAATCACGATACAACAATGAGCTATGCCTCTTCGGGCAAGGGCTCCCCTGCATGAAGACATGGGCGTGCACAATTGCTTTGTGCAGGATCTCCTGTGAATCGCCATAAAATGGGGGAATATCCGCGTTTTATTTCCTTCCTTGCACTTGGGCATTGACCAATTGCGTTTTGGCCTCCATTCCAATTACCACGTCCCTGGGATCACCTTACGCATATCACGAACTCTTAGCTAGCTATGAAGCCTCAACCTACCGTGGTCCGGCCATGCGGCTTCATGTATGAGACATTGCGAGCCGTTGCTAAACTCTATGAACGCCTCTGACTTCCACAGGGAAAAGTACTCCACGGCCCGGCACTCTCTGAATCTCTACCACTGCGTGTCAATCACAGGTCGCTACGCAGTCCCACCAGGAACTGGCGATGAAGAACATCTTCGAGCGGCTCTTCAGCGGGCGGTCGCACAAGTCGTTTCGGAGCAGCCTTTGATGCGCGTCGGAATCATCGACGAAGACAAACAAAACACCAGCTATGTCCACGTTCCGCGCATTGATCTCTTGGAACAAACCCAGTTGTTTGGGCCATCCCAGCCGGATGAAGTGGACGCCACTCTCGGCAGACATCTGTCATACCAGCACAGCCAGCTTTGGCCAGACATTGAACAGCGCCCACCGTGGAAGATTGCTGTCATACCGATTGCGAGCGGCAAAGATGCACCAGCCGAGATTGAGGTCGTCTACTCTTTCCACCATGCCGTCAGCGATGGTACCAGCGGCTCCATTTTTCACACTCGACTTCTCGAGGCACTCAGAAACCCTGTGAAGGACATTCAAGGCTTCAACGGAAAGCTTCTTGAACTGCCGAATCCACCAATTCTGCCACCTCCGCAGAATGAGCTCATCAATACCCGGATCAGCTGGTCGTTTTTTCTTGCGACCCTTTGGGACGCTTTCGGTCCATCCTGGTTGAAAAGCAAACCTGCCGTGGTGCCATGGACGTCTCGTCAAATTGACCTCTCGCTGTCGAGCCACACAAGCGTCCGCATATTGCGGATTTCTTCACTGATTGCAGCAAAGCTGCTAACCGCCGCTCGAGGCCATTCTTTGACGCTGACGTCGCTTCTTCATGCCCTCATCACTGCGTCCGTCTCGCGAAGGCTTCCAGCAACCGAGGCATCGGCGTTCAAGCCCTGCTCTCCCGTTAGCTTGCGGCGATACCTTCCTGCCGGCGCCGAGCTCCACGCAAAGAAGGATATGCTGGTCCTCGTGACTTCAGCCGATCACTCGATACCGAGTTCCCTCGTCACCAAGCTTCGCGACTCATCAGGCCCAGACTACGAGAGCGCGATATGGGAGGTCGCTGCCTGCGTCAAGACCAGCCTCGAGGAGAAACTCGCCACGCTTCCCCACGACGACGCAGGGGCCATGCTGAAATACGTCGGCGACTACCACGAGTACTTCCGAGAGAAGAACGGAGGAGAACGCGGCAACAGCTGGGAACTGAGCAACTTGGGAGCCATCAGAGGCGGCGAGGATGACGGGAATTGGAAGTTGGTGCGTGCTGTGTTCTCGCAGAGCGCCTCGCTCCTGGGTCCTGCGTTCAGCGCCAACGTGGCCGGCGTAGCTGGCGGCGAGGTCACCATCACACTCTGCTGGAACACATCCGTTGTTGATGGCAGTCTGTTTGACGGCCTGGCTGCTGATTTGGGCGCATGGGTATCGGAGATAGCCAACGGCGTTCCACTCACGACATGAAGTATCAGTCACGATCTGAGAAACCATGGCTGTACAATAACTTTCTAAAACCTAATGTCGCCACGAAAATTACATACATAAAGAGCTGAACTTGATAACGGTACTTTTCCCGAAGCTCGGTCACCAACTCCTTCGTTCTCTGTTCAGAATCCCACCTCTTCGCCGTTGTCTTTCACGATTTCTTCATCGCCCAAGTTGCAAAATGAATCAATCCGATGTTAAACGCACATCAATATGCGACCTTCCCACAGAGCTTCTCGACATGATTGGTGATGGCATCGAAAATGACGTCCTCGCCTTTCACAATGCGGCCTTGGTCAACCGCAGGTTCCACCAAATATTCAATCCTTTCCTTTACAAAGCCGCCGTCGCACAAAACCACCACGGACCGACCGTCAACGCCGCGAGAGCCGGAAATCTCGCCTCTCTCAAGCTGGCCGCCGACCACGGCGCCGATCTCGACTACATCCATTGCGTCCCGCTTACGGACGACGACGTCGCTCGGATGGGCGTTCCATTCGCACCCTCGCCGTTCGCTCGTTGGGGAACGCTACTGCATTTCGCAATCATGGCCGGACACGAAGGTGTGGTGTCGTTCCTGCTCACGAAGGGCGTCAACATGGAGGCACCAGGAAGACTATACTGCGGATGTGATGATCGGGTTGATGATCTTCTTCCATGGAAGAAGGGCGGCGTGTATGATCCCCGGCGGTGGGTCGACAAGGATAGAATGATTTGGACGCCTTTACACTATTCGATATGCCAGGAGAAAACACACATCGCAGAGATACTGTTGTCTGCGGGTGCTTCGCCCGACTGCAGAGTCTGCAGAAGCATCCCCAATCCCAGCCATCCGAACCTGACGAACATATATGATGTGTACAGGGAATATGAGACTAGGCCATGCCACGCACAGTACGCCCTCTGCGGTATCGGAAGTTACTTCGGGGACTCGGAACATGAGATCACAGCGTTACACGCAGCTGCTGCTTCAGGAAACAGACTGATGGCCACTCGCCTGGTGCGAGAATTCGGCGTAGATCCAAACGGGGATGGCATGAACGAACTCTTTCACTACGCAGCGGCCTCTACAGGCAGTTCGATGGTTTGTCATCTCCTCTCGCTGGGCGCCGATCCCGGACGCTGGCCGATGTGCAATTTCGTCTCCAGCGCGGCGGTGTCGACGGCATTCAGGTTACAGAACGCCGAAGCGGCGGTTCACTTGCTGCAGGCCGGCGCGCCGGTCTGGTACGGCTCGTTTTGCCGCCCGCATGACCGAGACCATCTCTACGGGACTATTCTCTCTAAAGTACTCGACTTGTGGAAACAGAAGGAGCACGATGGACGACAAATACCACACGCGAGGGGTGTTGATGAGGAAGTCAAGAAAGCGTTCATTCTTGTGGCGCAACAAGCAATCAACAGTGTCCCCAAAGTGATATCTGTTGACCTTCTGGACCATGTCCTCCTCGACGGGTTCTTTATCATGCTCACGCAACCTGCCTTTGATGAGGGGGACTTTGAAGAATACATGAAGCTGACTGGGTTCAGTTTTGAGGGCAAAGACCAGGAGCGGGACGAGCTCAGGTTTGATATGCTTCACCTGTTTCGTGGGTGGCTGCCTTACAGAGCGTGGGACTCGGACGAATACGTCAAGGTCGATTGGGTACCGGGGCTGCCGTTTTTCTCTTTGGGGGAAGTTCTGGAATTGAGGCGGATCGTTTTCTCGATGAGGGCTATCGATGAGCGCCGGCAACGGGAACAAGATGCGAGGATGCGTGAAAAGTATTGGTGGTATTATCTATGAGATTGAGAGTATATCGATCATCTCATGTTGAGTGAGAAAAAGGGGCTGCCATGTTTTTGAGTTGAATAGACACGTCAAATCGATTGTTATTTCCAGAGAGACACAGGTGACTTTGGCTTGCCTGCGCATATCGGACTTGACATTCTGTGAGAGTACTTCTCGCCCATACTCAACTCATGGAACGCGGTCATGGGATCTATTCTTTTCATTCATATCACGGGCTGACAATCAGGTGTCAAAATTCAGTGCAGAATGAGGGAAAACGCCATTGTTGGGAGCAGTTGTGGACGTTTCCACTCTTGCGGGATGATTTCGAGCGAGTTTCTGTTGCTGTTAGCTGTATGGATGTAATTCCGTGGATTCTACAGGTGCTGATTCAAAGTTGCAGCAGCAGACCTTGTCGGACATCGGCGACCCCCGCAGCCTTTTGGGTCTGAGTAATCCTGCAACGTATTTTGCCTCATACCCCTACTCACGATCAAGAAGCCTCCATTCATTATTCTTATTACCATCACCAACACGATCTCTCAGAAATGGCGCAACCCACCAAACTACAGCAGTTCCAAACCGAGCTCAACAGAAAGTCATGGTTCGGATTTGACCTCGATGACACTCTACACGAGTTCCGCCGCGCCTCATCCGCCGCAACAAACCAAGTCATCCAATCCATTTCTCAACGTCACGGAACTCCAGTCCAGTCTTTGAAGGATGAATATTCCACAATTCTCCGGGAGAAAACGTCGAGCGCGTTTGCAGATGGCAAGACATCGATTGAATATAGACGGGAACGATTTTCAACCTTGTTAGAGCGATTTTTCCTTCCTCTGGATGCTGCTTTCATCGAGCAACTCCTTGATACGTATGAGAAAACCTTGGCGGAATCCTTGAAACTCAAGGATGGGGCGTTGAGTCTGCTGTCGATGCTGAAGAAGTCGGGCAAGAAGGTGGCGGTCATAACAGAGGGACCGCAGGACGCGCAGGAGAGGACGGTCAAGCACCTAGGCATCGCTGATCACATTGACCTTCTCGCCACGACGAACTTCTTCGGAGTTTCCAAGACTGAAGGGCTGTTTCCGAAGGTTTTGGACCACCTTGGTATCTCGGCTGCGGATATGGTTTATGTTGGGGACAACGCCGCCAGGGACGTGGTACCCGCGGAGAAGGCCGGTATTCTTTGCATACATTACAATGAGCAGGCTAGGACTTCGTTTGATGAGTTTCCCGCCCGCCTGTGTGCTCTGGGAGATATTGAGAGCATGTTATTATAGAATATGTTGACAAAATGACGCGCCAAGGCACGCAGAACTAAAGTAAACCATTAAGACAAATTTGAACCCAAGCGTCCTAACGAAAACTTTGCTATTGTCCTATTCATAATTATACCCGTGAAGTTGATGAAGCTGAGACCATTCGTGCCGGGTCTGTTTCCAGCGCTCCCTCAATGAAACTATCCAAAAAGGAGAAGTCAAAACTTTCCAAGGCCCAGTCATTCCCACTTGCATTTTGCCCGAGCACGAGCGCTTCTGCATCGTGCTCATTCGAACCTAAGCACTCCTGAGATTGGTTGTTCTCACCGGTTACCGACATGACCTGATCTAGATGAGAGACTCCGCTGTTTGGCTGGTTCTCGTCAGCGACTACGGCTGAGGGCGCTATTGCTGGAATTTTTCCCTCGGTATTTTCATGCTGAATCCGCAAATTAAAAAAGTGCGGCAGACAGATCTCCAAGGCTCGGCCATTATCGACTAATTCGACGAGATAACCAAGCTCGTCCCTGCCCCCGCGAGACTCGGGGACGAAATAGGCGTTGTACTTACTCCCTGCTGCCGCGTCTTCCTCGATGACCAGGAGATACTGAAGTAGCCCGACAACCCTCTTCGAGATGGTATCGTTCTTCGACTGCGAAATACTTTGCATAGTCTCTAAAACCTGCTCCAAAATGCCGCGATCGCTCAACCGCTGGTGCGCGAGGAAATGAAACCCGTTGTCATCGGCCTTAGTCTGACTCCGATCACAGACATGCGCCAAGCATAAAGCCGTTGAAGCTAGAAAAGTGATCAAATCGATTCCTCGGCAGTAAAAGCGCGCAGCTTGTAACGTGCGAAAGGACATGAACCTCGACAGCATCTCGCGACTTGCCGTCACGGCGGTCATCCTGTTGTAGTCATACTGTTGTTCGCTTCTCGGTCGCAGCAGGTATGGTAGATGGAGTTGTAAGAGGAGATGATAATGCATAAAGTGATAATTGAAACGTAGCGTTTCACGGATTTTGCTGACTTCGTTTGATGACGGAATCGTGGGGATCACCCAGAACTGAGCCGGCATACCGGTCGAAGCGTCTTGGAGTAACTTGTCTATCTCCTTGGTAGTTTCGGGATCGTACATGTCGGCATAGCTCCTCTGTAGTATTCGGCCGCAGGCGACGCAACAAAGACGCAGCAAGCGTTCTAAGGCGGTGTGGTTTTCGAGAACCTCTGGGGTGGCGAAGCTGTCTCGAACAGATGTGTGAGGCAGACCCAGCATGAGAGCGATGTAGCGGTCGAACTGAACCAGCCGGAACCACATGTCTTCGGGTTCGATCGTAGAGCCGGACAGAGACAAGGGGGTCACGCCCCGATCCATGCCCAGCATCTGCGCGATTGTAATGGCGCGACGGGCGGCAAGCCAAGACTGTCGCAGATCTCCCGCGTAATTCTTGTACAAGGCCTCGAGCAAGATACACTCGATGCCCTCGAGCGAGGTTACCAATTCGTCATTGCTCGTTACCAGTTTGTGGACTGTTTTCACAGCTTGGCTCATGATCTCTTCGTATGAAGTGCTGAGATTGTTCAAATGATGGGCGAGCGACTCCGGTATACCTTGGAGAAAAGTGGCGAGTACGAGAAGCTTTCTGGCGATCAGAGTCGGATGTGACCCAGGCGGCGGTAGTTGAAGGAGGGCTTTTGGTGACGGGAGCTCCGAGCCGTTTGTGTCCACTCTAGTGCAAGTTACGGCTCGAATGATCTGCGATGTCTGTACTGGTATCCCCAGGATAATGTCCAAGTCCTTTTGTTTTGGCCATGCCTTGAGGAGCCCCTTAGACAGATCATCATGTGATTCTGGATTTTTGGCGTCGTCTTGGGACGGAACAGAAGTTTGTGAAGTGTCTTTCTCCGAAGAATGTTGATGGAGATCAACCTAGAATTGGTCAGTCAGATCACGACAAGGCATGCTGAGAGACATACTGATCCGCTTAAACTCGATTGCGAGGAGTGATGATCGCAACTGCCAGATGGATCAACTGGCGACTCCGGCGAGCTTGGTTCTTCTCTAGAACCCCATGGACGAGTTCTTTGCAGGTCAAGACTGCCGGTCTGACGTGCGGCCTTGACTAATTGTCCGACTAGAGCCTCTACATGGCCAAGTCTGTCCACGATGTGTTTGTTGCTTCCAGCAGGAGGCGGTGGTTCGTCTGTGGTCTCCTGACTGACGCAGTCGCTTCCGCGGCGCTTGCATCCATCACAAGTGTCCGGGGTGTCAATGGAGAAAGTACATCGGGCCTTCCGCCGCTTGCACTCCCAGCAGCTCTGGGTGCCCTTGCGGAGCTTCCGGCGTTTCTGTGCTGGAGCGGCCGTGTCGGCCAATGGTGGCTCTCGCAGCAAAGTGATCGTTTGCTCCATCATACCCTAGTGCTTCGAGTTGGCGTGGAATTGAATGAGGGTGAAGGTGGGATGAGCGTAGTCAGCCCATCTTCTGTCGACCGCCGATTTGACGGAGGTGAGATCGCATTTGTCATCCCTTTGTGCTCCACTACTCCGCGCCCCAGTGCTTCCGCCGTCGGATCGGCGGCGGAATTGATGGGTATTATCCCGAAAGCGTCTTGGCGCCGGCTCTCCAACATGTACCCTTCTTCACACGGGAAATCATGGCGATGAACTTGCAGCCGCAGGACCGGCGGGGATATCATTGTTGCAATCGAAAAATGGTTTTCAATTCTCATATATAACTACTGCAAGATCCTTTCGAGAAGGATTTTCATCGAGCTGACTTACAAGCTTAGGGCACAAATCAAATCACTACATCTCTTATTCAAATCAATTTCACTTGAGCCAAAATGGTCAACATTGCAATTGCTGGAGGCTCTGGTGGTAAGTCCTTCGATATTATTCTCATGATTCTTGACTAAATGACCATTTCTAGACGTAGGTCAGGAGGTCCTCAGTGCTCTTGTCGCCAGAGGCAAACACGACATTCTGCTTCTATCTAGAAAGGTTTGTGATCACGTCAAACAGAAAATTCACGGGAAGATGCTGACTTTTTCAGGACGTCCCTGCAACTGAGCTTCCTTCCAGTGTCAAATGGGTCAAAACCAATTACTCCGTTGAAGAATTGACGACTATCTTCAAGGGCGAGGGCGTGGAAACAGTGCTTTCCTTCGTCGCCGGCGATCCATCCAGCGGCGCTCACGGAGATACCCAGAAGAACTTGGTCGATGCCTGTATTCGAGCTGGAGTCAAGCGTTTCGCTCCCAGCGAATTGGCCGCGTAAGCTTTTCGAGGACCAGTCAGCCTATACTTTCTAATAATGGCGGTATCCCAGATCCAAGTTTGAGCACATGCCCTGGTACACTTTCAAGCAAGCCGCCCGCGACTACCTGTCAGAGGTGAACAAAGACAAGAAGGTACATGGTTTCCCGGTCCTCACCAGCAAATTCTTTGCTGATACGGGCTCCCCAGGTTCTCGAGTACACCCTGTTTCACCCGGGTCTATTCACGAACTACATGACATTCCCTTTCAGCTCGTCGAAGCATGTCCAGTTATTCGAGACACCCATCGACTTCTACAACCGCCGTGTCTTGGTAATTGACAGCGCGGAAGACGTACCCATCACCCTCACAACTGCGCAGGATACCGCCAAGGTTATCGCGCTGGCTGTGGAGTACGAGGGGGAGTGGCCTCTGATAAGCGGCATCAAGGGCTCCGAGGCCACCATAAGACAGCTCATTGCACTGGGAGAGAAGATTCGCGGTTCGTCTTGTCACTTGCGCTCCCCATGCTTTTTAACCGCTAATCCCATATTCAGGTGGACCTTTCGCTGTGGAGAAGCTCAAGAAGAGCGACCTTCTGGCTGGCACTGTGAACGCGTCCTGGATGCCCAAGATAACCCATCAGTCGATGTCTCCGGAAGCAGCCGAAGCTCTTGCTCCCGTCTTGCTTTCTGGCATCCTGCTTGGATTTGAAAATGGGAATTTCAGCACCACCGACGAGTGGAACAAACTTCTGCCTGAGTACGAGTTCACTCAACCCGAGGAGTTTCTGAGCAAGGCCTGGTCTGCCATTGACGCGGGTGCGAAGAGTGTTTTCGATGATTATTAGATATTATGTCGTCTGCAGATTGTGTTTCAGTCCACATGTGTTAGTTGGTAGATTTACATTGAATTCCGAGCTGTGGTGTCTATTAATCTGGGAAGATTTCTTTCTACGTAGATGTCTATGATCCATTGTTTCACGATTTTACTAGACCAAGTTTCCCTCACTTACGCTCGAATTGACAATAGAAACCATGAACACTGTTCAGCTTAGCTTGAAATCCTGTATTCTTTTCTGTTCCTATGAGATCCCTCCCATCTTACGATTATTTCGCGTGAACTACAGGAAAAGTGTGCCTCAAACCTGTAAGCTAGGTATCCAGTTGTAGCGCCATTGTGATACCCTCATTTCCACGGCAACATTACCTGGGCCTTTAGACCAAACAGACGCTCAATGCCTTCTGAAGATTTCGGACGTCAAACTGTTCTGGGACACATCTTCCATTTCTACTGCAATTGTCTTACAAATACAGCGTAGACAGATACGCGCTAGACATCCACATGTGCTCGCAACATAACGTGTAACACTATTCGCTAGTTCGGCAATCGAAAACATGACATGTAAGCTTACATGCCTCAAACCAATTAGACTCTGGGACAAGGCGGCTTACTAAAACATTTAGGTCGTCGTTTTGCCTTCTTGCAATGTAAGTAAGTTACACTGAATGCAGGCATCTGAGCGCCCGATTTCAACCCCGCAACATCCCGCGTGGCTTATTACAAATCCAACACATCACATCATCGATCGCCTACCCTTTCGCCATACAGCAGCCTTTCCAAGTCAACGAGTATAAATAAGACATCGATAGTCTCACTGATCAATATCAGGCCACCAACATGAACCAAACACATCCATCTACATAACACTTACTCCTTTCACAATGGCACCAATTCGCGTCGGTATTATCGGTCTGTCCTCCAACTCCGGATCAGGATGGGCCGTCAACGCCCACCTCCCATACTTCCTCTCTCCCCTCGGTCGCGCCAAGTACCAGATTACCGCACTGCTCAACACATCCGTTGAGTCAGCAAAGCGCGCAATCAAGGAATACAATCTGCCCGCCGAGACCAAGGCATACGGCAACGCCGAGGACCTTGCCAACGATCCCGATGTGGACCTTGTCATCGTCTCGGTGCGAGTCGACTTGCACCACGACACGGCTCTTCCGAGTGTGAAAGCCGGTAAGGACGTGTACGTGGAATGGCCGCTCGCACAGGATGTGCGGCACGCGAGATCGCTGGCCGAAGCCGCTAAGAAGGCCGGTGGGAAGACTATTGTGGGCATCCAAGGACGAACAGTACCGCTGTATCTCAAGATCAGCGAGTTGTTGCGCGAGGGGCGGATCGGCAAGGTTTTGAGCAGCGAAGTCAAGGCCGGAGGAGGTTTGAACGATCGGGGTGTGATCCCCGCCAGCTTGAAGTACTTCACGGACAAGTCTGTCGGCGGAAATGTCTTGACTATTGGATTTGCCCATCGTAAGGTTTCTCCCCAGACCATGAAAAGAGACACATTTGATAACAATTCCTGCAGTGTTCGACCAGATTCAGCATGTCTTGGGCGACGCAACTGACTTGCAAAGCCGTACCCAAATCCAACGTCCCAATGTTCAAATCAAGGATCCCAAGACTCAGAAGGTCATTGAGACGGTCAAGTCTGACACTCCGGACCTGATCATCACGACTGGCACGCTCCCCGCTTCGGGTGCTGTGGCCGAAGGCGCGACTCTGCTCGTCCGCTACCGTAAGGGTCAGGCTTTCAAGGGCGAGGCGCCTTTGGTCTGGACCATCAACGGCGAAAAGGGAGAGATCCGAGTCACTTCTAGCAACGGTACAGCATTGCAGGCGTTTGCCGATACCAAGAGCGTCCGTATCGAGGTGCATAACTTCGAGAAGGACGAGGTTGAGGAGGTTGCTTGGGATTGGAACGATTGGGAGGCCGAGCTACCCGGGCCAGCAAGAAGCATTGGCGCCGTCTTTGAGGCTTTTGCGAAAGGGGAGCAGGAGCATTTAGCGACGTTTGAGGATGCTGTTAAACGGCACGAGCAGCTTGAGAAGATCTTCCCGCTCTCTGGCTAGGAACGCGGGTAGTGAAGCTGGAAGGAAGCCCTATGCAAACCAAGCCAACTCGTGCTGAGTATAATACAGAAATTGAAATTGGCATCGTCGATCAAAGCTCCAGGAGCCGTCTTCGTCTCACGTCTCATCATAAGTGAAGCAACGGAGCGAGCGGGGGAGGGTACTCGTTTTCCGAGGGGGAGGAGAATTCTAGACCCGCAATCATCCGTGGGGGGCGCGTTTCGGCCCCACTAAGCCGATCCTATCGCCGGATGGCAACGTCTCATTGAGGTCGCGGGCTCTTCCTCCGCGCCTGCGCTCATTCTATGATCCATGTTTGTTCGTCACGTAATTTCTCGTTATCTGTAATGAATTAGGTTTGAGGCAAACTGTGCGTAAGAGCTGTTGAGAATGATCGGATTTCAATTTCTATGTTTTAACTAACAGCATACAACGCGAGCAAATAGCTTCTTGAGCTACCTCTTTCTTGACACACGCTCTGCTTCAGCGCCGAACATCATTTAATCAAAATATGACCCTTGAATGTGGCACCAAACCTGTCCTCTTCTGTCTAAGTACCCGGCGCTGTCTCAAGAACACCGCAAGTGGGTGTTGTTGGAGAACATCGAAGTTACGAAACCCTGAGCTTTCTAGGCGCAGTAAGCGTCAAAGTGAGCTGTAGGGTTCTGAGAGGTCGTGGTTCCATTCACAGTGACTGCCTTGCCATCTTGCTGAAGGCCTCCTCCCGGAATGTAGACCCGACCACCAACCGCGGCAGCTTGGGTTCCATGACGAGGAGTTGGCATCAGCTCAAGCTCGGCCCATTGCTGCGTTTCAACATTGTAAACCTCCGACTGATTAAAGACACCGGTGACAGAGTTCACGTTGCCCTCGCCGCCGAAGACATAGAACTTGGATCCCACAGCACCACCATTCAAACCCCCTCGCGCAGTGGGCATGTGTCCGGGGCTAGTCTGCCATCCTGATGTCATGTTTCTCAAGTCAAGAGAGAAGACTGTATCCCGGTGGTTGAGCTGGCCGTAGCGTCTTCCGCCCACAACGTAGAAAGTGTCGTCCACCACCGTGCCGGAGGAGTGCTGTCGGCTCTCCGGCAGCTCCGCGGCCGCCATCGGCAGTCTCTGCCAACTGTCCGAGGTGGTGTTGTAGGCGATTACGCTGTCGACGGCGTCCTGGTAGCCTGTCATGAGCACCGTCATGCCTCCGGCGAGGATGATCAAGTCGTCGTAAACTCCAACGACAGAGCTTCCCCTCTCGGTTCCGTTGGGCATTGGGGCAGCCTCGGTCCAAGAGTCCGCAGAAACATCGTAGACATAGGAAGACTTGGTGGCGACCCAGTTCATTGTCAAGCCCTCCACGACGGGACCCACGACGAGGCCACCGAGCAGATAGACCTTGTTGTTGACGGCAGCAATGTTGGGGTGGTTGATCTTCACAGGCGCCGGCGATGCTGTACGCCAGGTGTCCGTCGCGATGTCGTAGAGCTGGAAAAGGTCGGTGGTATCGGTGCCGTTACCGCTTGGGGTGATTCCACCGAGAATGGCAATGGTAGTGTTACCGATGGCGGTAGTACCATGCTCCTGTCGCGGGGAAGGGATCGAAGCTAGATTGACCCATTGCCCGGGCTCGCAAGTAGGAGCGGTGGCCGCAAGTTTCGCCGCGCAGAATACGGCTAAAGCCACGATTTGCCGATACATGATGTCGAGAGAATTCTTTTGCGGATAAGAATACAAAAACGAGTGTAGGTTGGAGAAGAACAAAAGTCAAAGTGCTTTCTTCTGTGTCCTCTTTGTGGGAAGTCGGAAACAAGAAGACTTTTCTGCGTTGTCGTAATTGAATTCGAACAGCCGTCGACGAGAGCTTATGTATTGCTCGAAACACTGGAACCAGCAGAGGAATGATATGATCTGAGAAGCATAACCCTGCAGGACCGTTGAGCCACCTGCCATACAAGGACAGGCATCTACAGGCACTAAAATTACCGGATCAAAGGCCGCTGATCAATCTTGGCTAGCAAGTGTACCACGAAAGGAGATATCACTGTCGTAACTTGATTACCGCCGTCATCCGACATCAAGGGTCAGTTTCTGCTTGAGAAAGGTCAAAACCATTGTGTATGATTCTTCTGTAGCCCTGTACTTGCAGTGACCTGGTCGAAGATTGCCTTGAATTTGGGGATTCACCAAGACTGAGGGCTTGAGAAGAGCGAAACGCAATGACTCCATGTGTGATCATGATGGTTGCGGTTAATCTTGTTCGGGCTCGCTGGCGAATTTTTGACACCCGCCGCAGAGTCTCTTCAAATTTGACGGATGGCACCTCATGCAAGCAAATATGGACTCGAGTCACGATGAGAGGCGGAAGAGGCATTGATGAGGAGTCCTACTTTAATCAAACTCGCTTTCGGGATTGCCGTTAGAGCTTAACGGAGGAGCTACGGTAGGGGAATTCAAGAAAGTGAACAAGTGATGGGAAAGCTTACGTATTGACATTTTCATTTCAGGAAATATGCCCGCGTCCTTGCCCCTCACATCCATGGCGTCGGAGGGCTTAGAATCCAACCCAACGATATCCGAAAACGGAATGTAGTCTCGGCGATACTAGTCGGGATGGCCAGTCTTCTCGGCATTGGAAGTCTGAGTCGTCAGCAGATGGATCATGAAGGACATGGTATATCGTTATGAGGGCAAAGAAAAAGTCTTCACTGAAGTGGATGTGAGGTAAAATCCGAGCACGTCCGAAGAAACAGTTTGAGTACACTGAGCATACGAAGCATATAAAGGACTTGATCAACTCCCGAAAGAATGTCGTCTCTCTTTCTCACCACACCACGCTCGTTATTCGTGTTCGCTGCCTCTCGTTGCAAATCACCGCCATGTCTTCTGCCAAGCTTCTTGTTTACGCCTCTCTGGCTGCCACGGTCTTTTCCGCTGCGCTGCCTTCCTCGAACGGAACTTCCATCGGAGCCGTCAAGGACTTCCCGGAATGTACCACGCTGAACCAGAGGAAGTCTTGGTACGCCGGTCCGGAGTTCTGCAGCGAGCCATGCTAACGCGATGCCCAGGGCCGCCATGACTGACGTCGAGAAAAAGGCTTACATCGACGCCGAGGTCTGCCTAATGGGCAAAGCGCCAAAGCTTGGCGTCGCTGGATCTCAGAATCTCTGGGACGACATGATGTACGCTCATATCTACCAGGCCAATGTCATTCACAACGACGGGCCTTTCTTGCCTTGGCACAGGCTCTACAGTAAGTAATTGCGTTTGCTCGTCCGGGCAATCAGAAAACTGACTAGTTGCTCGCAGTGCGTGTTCACGAGGTTTACCTGCAGACCGAGTGTGGTTACGAAGGCGGCCAGCCGTACTGGAACGAGCTGGAGGACGCTGAAGCCGGATTCTTGAACCAGTCCACGGTTTTCGATGCCGAGACCGGCTTCGGAAGCTTCAAGAATGGCAAGGACGGCTGTGTTGCTGACGGTCCCTTCGTCAACTTGACAATGCATCTGAACCAGACCAGCAGCGACGCCAACTTCTGCCTCACTCGCGACCTGGACCAAGACAGCTTCTACCAGGCCAACTCAACCTACGTCAACGAATGCATGGAGTTCGACACCTACGAGGACTCCTGGAACTGTTGGGGCACTGCACCCCATCTTGCCGGCCACATGGGAGTCGGCGGCACCGTAAGTTCACCAACCCTGGCCCATCTCACGAATGCAAACTAATTATTGGCGGAACCACAGATGCTCGACGTCGTTTCCAGCCCAGGTGACCCGTTGTTCTTCCTCCACCACACCAACCTCGATCGCCTCTGGTGGAACTGGCAGTCCGTCAACCTTACTGCCCGCCTGAACGACATCGGAGGTCCCGTCGTGGCTTCCGACGCGTTCCTGCAGATGTCCAACCTTGACTACCCCGGTGCCGATCTCCTGGACTACAACGGCGAGAATGGCGGCAATGTAACTACCATGGCCCACAATCTTTGGACTTCTGGTCTGCTGCCGAATGTCACCATTGCGGATCTCATGGATGTCCGCGGTCCCATCAGCTGCGCCATCTACGTCTAGAGGTACTAGGCTCTTCCACGACTGCATCTTTCGTATGAGTTTGTTGCATCGGGCAAAAGAATTGGACATGGAAGGCTTTTAATCGAGTTTCCAGACTTGAACACATGGGAAGCAGGCGGAGTGAAGTTGGGAAATTTGTTGTTCGCAACATACTGTACATAGCTTAATAAATCTTGGGGAGAAACTGCGCCTCCAGTGGTTGACGGAGCAATCTGACGTCCTCAAAATGGAGCACAACAGTCAACTTCTCCAAACTCTCTGCGAATCTCACATGGTAGTGTTACCCGAACGTGTCGTCCCTAGCACGAGCAACATGGGTCTATTATCCCCCACGGAATTCACGAGACCCGCACCGAACATAGCGCTCTGCAAGTTTTCTAGTCGACGTTACGGAACGGAAATATTGGGTCTGGTGCATATCGAAATCGTCTTGTGGTAAAAGTTACTTTGGGCTTGGTGCAACATTCCCTCTAGTGATCCGAGGAGGAAAAACCACAGATGTCTTCAGCAACGCCGACCCGGCCCGGACCCGATTTCCCGAGGACGGAACATGCCCCACCCCCACTCGGTCCGAAGGTTCGCTGGTTGGTCGGGCGAAACAAAGTTCTTCCCGCCAACTCCAGCTTCCATCTCTACGACACCTGATCAACTCCGAGCATTGTCAGAAAAGCAATTTCAACGCATACCGGCGTAAGTTCTGGTAACTTCTTGGTTCCGAGGGCCAAAGGCACCCATGGCTATCCCCCGCGGAAATGACGATCCCATCTCCGAGAGTGATGCAGCCAACGCATCCTCCTCTCGGCCACAACAGGGATACGAGTGCAGTATCTGCCACAAGAGATACGAGCGTTCAGACCATCTGAAGCGTCATACAGCAACGCGTAAGTCGCTCTCCGCGAATTTCGTCTCCGGCAGCAGGGGAAACGGGGCACTCACGACATATTCCAGACCAAAACTCTCGCCCCCATGCCTGCCATCGATGCGGCCGCAGATTCAACCGAAAGTAAGCTTTTAGCCCATTTTCGGCCTCCGAACTTGTCAATGTATTCTTACATGACTGACTACTTACACAGAGACCTTCTCACGCGCCATCTCGCCAATCACAACCCCGACGATGGGCACGATGTCGAGCTTGAGCGTGCCTTACAAGCCTGTGCGGCCTGTATCTCGTCAAAGACCAAGTGCAGCAATCAAAGACCCTGTCGCCGGTGCCAGGTTCGGGGCATTGTATGCAGGGAGGGCAAGTCCAAGAAGCCATCGACCGTGCAGGCCGTTACGACTACCGCCGCAGTCCCGACGGAACAGCCCGATGTGTCCACGACTGCTCAACAAGAAGCTTCTTCACAGCTGGACACATTGAACAGAGGTCAGCTTCATGGACCAACGAACCTGAACACGGAGTTTGACCCTTTGCAACTCGCCGCGACTGAAGGTTTCCTAGAGCAAACGGCTCCGGTAACCGCATACGAGCCTCTGGGCCTGAATTTAGAAGCCAGTTGGGAAAGCTACAGGCTTCCTGCTGGCCTATTGCAGCTCTACCAAGATGCAAATTTCTTATTAGACGATGTTTTAAACGACCAACCCCCAGAACCAATAGCCTGTCTTTCTGATGGACAGACGATACACCACATGGCAGTAGATCGCGCAGGGGTCAGGCGTGGTCTCGGGGGTAGCCATCCCAGAGAAATATCCCAGGCTATCCCAACCAACACTCTACCAGACATACCCGTATCAGGTTACCAAGCTTTTCAGAAATCTCCATGGCTTTGGGTTCCTGTCCGCCAAAGACAGCTGATGTTGACGGCCGAGGCAGAAGGGACTGCCCATTGGTATCCGACGACGCCAAAGATGACAGATTCAGGCACAAGAGACGAACTGTTGTCTTTAGTCCTGAAATTCTCGCAAACTAACTTCAAGGTTCGATCATTTCCTTCATTCGATCTGCTCAACATTCTACTTCAGGCCTTCTTCTTGCGACAAGACACCTTGGTCGATACCTGGATTCATACCGCCAGCTTTGATGCAGACCATGTCTCCAGTCAGCTGCTAGCGGGGGTTGTTGCCGCGGGTTCCACGTTGTTTGCTGCACCAAATGTGTGGAAAATGGGGCTGGTTCTTCAGGACGTCGTCAGGTTGGCAAGCTGTGATGCAGTGGATCGGGACCATGAGCGGACAAGAGACCTGCAGACCATTCAGGCACATGTTCTGTGGAATATTGTCGGGCTTTGGAGTGGCTTCAAGCGTAAAATGGAAGTTGGGGAGCGCTATGCTAATACAATTCCTACGGTAGACCAACCTATTTCCGAGTATCCGTTTTGAACTGACATGGAACGCAGATGTTAAGCCAAGCTGGTGTTCTCCGAAAGAATTATTACACCGCTCTCACTGCCCCGACACTTGATGATGATGACGATAGCCTCCGAGAAAAGTGGCTTGCATGGGTGAAGCAACAGTCCTTTAAGCGGTAGATGAAAGATGTAGACCTACTTGATTGGAAGCCCAGCTAACACATTGATGTCAGGCTTGTACTGCAGGTTTTCTTTAACGACATAAGAAGGTCCATAGCATTCAACAGAATCCCGCTCGTATCCCCAGCAGAGCTAACGTTCTCCTTGCCTGCTTCCCGGGACCTGTGGGATGCCCGGAATCCGCTAGAATGGCGAACGAGATACCTGTCGAAACCTCATGTGGAAGACGATATGTCGCTCATCGATGGGATGCACCACCCTTCACATCTCGAAACACACATTGATTCCATCGATATCGCACTAAGCACTAACGCCATTCTGTACGGTCTGTGGACACACATTCATTCTTTTCAGAACACCAGAGCGTTTGCTCGTGGTGAGCCATCATCAGCACCCAGTCCGGCACCAGGGGAATGGGTAGAAGCTCAGCGTCAGGATCTAATCCAAAGGATTCGAACTGTTCAAACTAATTTAAGCTGGGTCCATCCTCTGGCTCCAGAAGCAAACCTCATCTATCACTACCTGATGATGTCTCTTCACGTCTCATGCGAGGATATCCAAGCTTTCGCCGGGAGATACGGAGAGGAAGAGCTTCACCAGGCGGTGCCACGCCTTAGAGAATGGAGCCAAAGTGCCGATCGGTACGTTTCTATCTGGCATGCAGGCCAGGTCATACGGGCAGCAAGATCATACCCTCCGACACTTCTTTGCGGGTTTCACGCGATTGCGGTGTATCATGCCTGCCTTGTGCTTTGGATGTTTAGCATCATGTTCAAGAACAAGAATTCCGGCTCTGATCCTGTGGTTCTCGATGGCGATGAGACGTCTGAGATTCACCATTTCATTGCTACGGGCCGAGGGAAGCCTTGTTTACATGGGGTTGACGGCTTGCGCAGTCTCGAAGATCCCGGCATGATTTCAACCTTGATTTTGGATGTTTTCACGGGCAACTTCCCTTCTAGGCCAGTATCGATTCCTCCATTGCTGGAGAATCTGGAAAGTTTGATGGGAGACATCAGTCGCATGCACACGCGGGCGTCTGACGATGCGAGGGTAGATGGGCATTCAACCTAGACTAAACGACATTGTTTATCTTTCCAAATTCAGGACATGGGCTTCTTATACTTTCTTACTAGTGTTATATCTCCCTAAAGAGAAACCATCTTTGTCTGTTGTCGACTTTTAACACCGGCCACCCGACAGTCTTAACCGGCCTAATGTCGTATTACTTACTCCACATTCACCTGAACCCATCCCGCGTCCCGGTGCAATGCGATCCCCCTCTTTCGCCGAAATCCCCCACTCGATCCGACATCAGATTTTGAAAGGTGGGGGGAACCTTGGTATTTGCGGTAAGGGCAATGGAGATTAGCAGCTGGCCTCGGCCCTCGGTGACTCGTTGAGACTCTCTAATCCGCACCACCAGTCCACGCTGCATGATTGTCAGCACTACTTGGGAATGCACGATATGCAGAAGCGCCTGCGGCAACGAGCCTGCGACGAATGTTTCCGTCGTAAAGTCCGCTGCGACAGAGGTCGGCCATGCCATCCATGTATGTCTCGTGGCATCGGCTCTTCGTGCCTTCAGGCGCAGTTTCCAGCCCCTACTGTTCCAGTTTCGTCTGGTGGACGCCAGTGAGTCCGCAGTCCCGAAGCCTTTGTAAGATAATTATCTGCCAATACGCATACTAACGAAACCTGTCTGCACTAGAAGCTATGCAAGTGGAGGGCTAGGTTCTGGTTTCGCTGCATCTGTCAGCCCAGAAGTAGCTGCCTTGCACGCGCACATCACCAAGTTAGAGGAGCAGCTTGCCGATTGTAGAAGACGCGCTGCTTCGGTGCAAACTCCAAACCCTACTCCAGAGAACTCTCACTCCAGGGAGGTGGACTATGATAGTCTCGAAACATCATTTGAAAAGCTTAATCTTGGGCTTGGAGGAGATGGCAGTCTCGCTGCCGCTGCCACGGCACCGGAAGCGTCAAGCACGGTATCGCACCCAAGCACTCGTCTGCAACTCCCGTCACGTCATGTGAGTACCATAGTCGTGCGATATGCCATGATTCATCTGGGATGGATTCACTGTGCTCTCAGGGCCGACGTATTTATGGCAGACCATGAGCGGTTTTGGGGCGAGTTTGGGGCTGAAGAGAGGCGTCTTGCTCTCAACACACCCTTCGCCGCCGTCTACTTCGCCGTATTGTCGGTAAGAACATGCTCCATTGTGGGAGATACTCGACTGTTGCTGAATGTGTTCAAGATAGGATTTTACTACATCGAACCGCACATCATCGGTGCCCAGTCAGGATTTGATCCCCATTTATACGATGGAGATATGTTGGTCGACTTTGCGAAACATTGGCATCGACAGGCACTTGTATCTCTCGAACGAAATGATTTTCTCGGGAAACCTAGACTGGAGACGCTTCAGGTCATCGCAATTTTGACCCTAGTGAACTCAGCCTTTGGAGAAAAGGCAAGGGAGGACCTTCTCATCGGCGTGGCGCTGAGAATAGGACGCATGCTTCATATGCACCTATTGTCAAGCGAAGATTCGCTCCGCCCAGAGATTGAAAGAATCGCCATGTGGTCCAGTTTTGCACAACGGTCTTTGGGTAGGAGGCTTTGGTGGACATTCGTGATTTGCGATTGGTGAGTGTCTCGAATCCCTTAATCTTCAACCCCAAGCAAGTGGTTAACGACCCAAGGCTTGGTATGAGGAACCATGATCTAACGGTTGTGCCCACTTCTTTCGACAACGTTCTCGATCCCTCCGCCTCGTACGAAGATGCATGTCTGAAAACTGAGGATGACCCGACAGTTTCAGGCGAGATCTCATATCTTCATTATCACCACTTGATGACAAAGCTAGCCAGCACTATTCGCTCCAGCAACTTGAAGAAGGGTGAGCAACTTGATAGTTGGAGATTGGCTGCAACTATGAGAGACATCGAAAGTGCATACATGGAATCTCCAGTACACATGCGTACAATAGAGTCAAATCTGCAAACCCAGCAACCTCTATGGATGCGCACGCAACAATGTTTGGCCAGTCATACGGTTCAGTTCCTGAGGCTTACAATAACGAGACCAATGATCATAAGCTGGATGCAGGGACAACCGGATACAGATGGATTGCGCGCAAAGGCACGGGAAGCTGCGGAAATTATTGTTCGGGAGAAATATTACACGGTTCCTCCTCTCTTGAAGAAAAGCTGGTATGATCAACTGGTTTTCATTCTATACAAAGACACGTCTAACATTCGTCAATCTAGGATCGTTCAGGCGTCAACAATAGCGGCCGGTGTTTTCCTGTGCCTGGACCTGTTGTTTCTCAGTGCCGGTGAAGGCCCTGAACAGCTTCAACACTGCCGCAGATCCGTTGAGACCTGCATCGGTGCACTGGAGGTCATGGGTCACGGCAGCCTCATCTCAAAAAGGGGACCCATGATACTCAGGACTTTGCTCGGCTTCGAGTCTCAGATCAACCCCCGAACAATCCCGGACGAGCAGCTTCTGAGAAACATCGTCACTCAAGTGTCTAAGCTCGTCAGCTCGGCATCCGCGTTTGAGTCCGAGCTCGACATGACAATGCCGACGCCCCGCGGCGTCATTCAGAGTGAGAGGTGGCAGTCTCAGAATTTGGACATCACGCTGAACCCGTGCAATCACCAAGCTCAAGTGTTTGCTCCGCTCGCCACTGAGGGTGACGATTCAACGAATGCATCACCTGAAGCCTTGTTCGATGGGTCCTCTCAAACTCCCTACGGAACCGGTACGGCAGGCGTTGGACTTTTCGGGCCTGGCTCAGTGGAAGGGATTGCCCGAGACCCTTTCGGATACATCATGGCCAGGGCTGCAGGGAACAGTTGCGACGACGACACAGCGACTCATGCGATTGAGTCGTTTGAGAACCCTTTCGAGTTTACGGATGAGATGTACTTCAAGAACCAAAGTTGATGGGCTACGGCCGTGAAGTTGTTGGTCTAGTCGATTCGTCTGATTGATTAAGAACTTTCAATCAGCAAGCTAGTTGTTGGCGGACAACCGAATGGAATGAGACGAAGCAAGCCGACCAACCAAGATCAAGAATTACTCTCAAATTCACAAGCTCAGCGCCAGACCTGCTGGTGAGATGTGAATCGGGTCGCCCAGACTGACCAGCCTTAGAATTAGCGTTGTGTCACGCTGTCTGACTCATCCGGCGGCTACGCTGACAGTCGCCTAGGCAGACGTCGAGTCTTCTGCCTTGTTGGGACGCCTCAACTGATGAACATATATAGAATCACCCTTCTGATTCAAATTGATTCACAAACTGACACTAAATACCCACTACCATTCAATATTCACAATGTACACCACACCGATCTACTTCTGGCGCGAGACTGGTCAAGGCGGCTACCTATCTCAATGGTGGCATGCCGACCCTTTCAAGTCGGCATCTTCCCCCGATTCTTCGCCAATCACATTCAAGACGGCAGAACACTACATGATGCACGGAAAAGCGGTCCTATTCAATGATTTTGAGATCGCCCTTGATATCCTCAAAGCAGATCATCCCCGAAAGGTGAAGGCTCTGGGTCGCAAAGTCGCCAATTTCGACGAGAAGATCTGGAATGAGAACAGAGAACGCATTGTCCTCGAAGGGAGTCTACTCAAGTTTAGGAGCAGCCCTGAGCTGAGAGCCCAGCTCTTAGCGACGGGCGATCGCGAGCTCGTTGAGGCTAGCCCGATGGATCGCATCTGGGGTATCGGGTTCAGCCCACAGAAAGCGCCCGCGTCAGATCGAAGTCGATGGGGGCTAAACTTGCTTGGGAAAATACTGATGAAAGTCAGGGCTCAGTTGAGAGATGAAGAGAATGGCGAGGACTGGAAAGAGCTTTGAACGGAGTTTAGCTAGGGCGAGGGCATGCATCATGTATTTTTAAAGTATTATTTCATAAAAGCATACAATTTTACAACGAAGCCATGTTGGATAATCTTGTTGCTTGGGGAATTGCCCAACTGGTCATTGCATCGAATTCTTCATCAAACGTGATTCAAATCTCTTCCTTATGATTAACGTGCTCATTCTCTCGAGACATGATCTTATGGCATGAGCTGCTGTCCATTTGACTGACGGAAAAATGAACGCATCAGACGTCATCCTTTTCATTGTCGGAAGATACCGCACAAGCGATGAAAATTCTCGGCGGTCACGGACTGGCGGGCGAATATTGACGTTGAAAGCCCCCGGCTACCGCGATGCCAGATGTGGAGGCTCGCCCGAAGATGGATACTCAACCTGATCCATCAAGCTCCCCTATGACCGGTGACCCAATCACCAATTGCCAATGCAACGGGTAAAACGGGACTCTGCGGGTCTGATGTAACCTTGTGTTGGTTCTAAAAAACATTCTAGGCTGCTGGTGGGGTCACCTTAAACATCCTGTGAAGTTCAGATGGTAACCTGTGCCTGTGTATAATGGGCCGAACTGCTTTGCCCAGCTGCGAAGGTGAGATCTGTTTCCCTGTCAGTACTCTTTTCAACTGAGTCAAATGACTCTGGGTGGTAAAGAGTGAGACCGGATTTCCAGGACCGCTTATCGTTCAATGCCTTCTCGACCAGAGTCTCCTTCACCTTCTCCGTTGCCAACTCATCGAAGTTCGATTGACATGAGGCAACTTGCCACGAAGTCTTGCGCCGCAATATCATCCCATTTCCCAAACTGGAAGCTGTCCGAGAATGCCAAGGAGAGCGGTCTAGGCTACCGGGCCGTCTCATTTTATTCATGTTCTGGCTCGCCCCGATTCCAAGAATCAAAGACTAGATTATCAGCTCACGTAACATGGATGTTGAGTTTAAGCGAGTACCTTGCACCAACATGCATATTCCAATCGTCGACTAGTGGCTTCTGCTTGTAGGGGTCCTCCGCAAGCGAACGTATCAAGTTCCTTTACACAGAAGTTCTGCGATGACATGTGAGATATGAGGTATAAACAAGCGTAATTCAGAGAAGCCACAACCGTTGACGGTCCGGAACTACCGACTCCCGCGGGCCGCGCTGGCATTCGCCACGACCAACTCATCCCTCGGACAATGACAATGAGGAGAAGCTAGTCCATCTTGGATCCATGTTGCCTACCCTTGCCTGCATGGTTGAATCGGCTCAGACGGATAGTTTAACTTAGCCTTACCGTTCTGGGGGGCTCTTCGCAAGACGAGACCAATAGGAATGCTCGAGAGGTTCAACACGAGAACATCGTGAGTGAATTGCTTCGTGAGGAAAAGGGACTTTGGTATTAGCCTGCCCAGGCGAGGAAGACTTCGAAAATAAGGTCACATCAGGAAGGAGGTTGATGTTATCGAGGGTTTTCGTGAGTATATAAGACTGGCAAAAAGCCCGGAACTTCAACACTTATTCTTCTCTCCAGCAGCAGCAGGTTCAAGACAAGTTCTCCAGCTTCAATCCTCTTTCAATCAAAATGGTCAACTTCGCCCTCCCCGCCCTCGCCACCCTGGCCTTGGCCTCCATCGCCGGAGCCGCCCCTACTGCCGCCGCCGCCGAGGTCTTCACCTTCTCCGCCTGGGTTGAGGGTATCATCGCCAACCCCGATGGTGACAACCTGACCCCCGAGGAGGCCGTCGAGGCCTGGCGTGCATCGAAGAACATCACCGACGTCGCCGCTGGTACCTCCCTCGAGAAGCGTGCCTCTTGCAACACCATGCCTGGCCGCGAGGCCTGGGTAAGTCCCATCGTTCATGTGACAGTAGATTTCGGTTGCTGATATGACTGGAACCAAGATCCCCGATGCCGTTTACTGCATCAACTACCTCGCCGGCAAGGGTAGCACCCGGTGTGAAGTCAGGTACGATGTCGACTTCTGCACTGCCGCCCGCGCCAAGATCTTTGGCCGTGGCCCCGGCACTGCCACCGTTGCTTCGTCTTGGTAAGTGCATCTTCAAGAAAAGCGATCTAGCACCAGGATTTCGAGGCTAACGATGGTGACTTGTACAGCAATGATGTTGCTCGTGGCGCTGGCTACATCATGGACTCCTGCTCTCGCGCTGACAACACCGTCATGGGGTCCGAGTATGCTCACGGCAACGGCGATCTGCTCGTCTGGATTGTTAACTAAAGACGGGATAATGATGGAATGACTGTACGGTGACCTGTTTATATGATCCTAAGATCAAGAGAGACAACAAACAGATGATTAATTGTTAATATATTCTGAAGCTCCTCTGAAGAGCATGTTGTCCCGCGCTTAGTCGTTATTCATTATCTTTGCCGACATTCTCATAGTGAAAGCTGCTTAAGCGTTTATGATTCATTTATAGTTCATTTCAAGCTATTTGATATTGATCCGATGGATATTCAAGAGACTTGTAGCGATATAAGCAATAAGTTGAGACTTGGCTATTACACGGGCTACACTTGAATATGCACTCTTTCGCACGAATGGAATACTGCTTTTGAGTCATTTCAAATCAGAAGTGACCTAAAACCTAAAGAACATCTTATTGAAAACTACAAATGAGGAAGCATCTGCAACCATGCGGGTATTGAGTACGCCCCGACAGGAAGCCCCCGTATGCTTGCAAAGGAGTCAACAGTAAGAAAAGCCCGTGCGCTAATGTTAGCAACAAAGACAACAGATAGAAACCAGGTTATTACATATACCTTTCGGTCATCGTCATCCGTCACTGCAACAATAAAACCGCCAACGACGAGTGATGTTGGAATTAGGGCACAGCTGATTATGGCTGCAGCCTTCCACAGTAAGCCCTCGACGGTCGAGGGAAAAATGAAGTTCCATGCCACCAGATGTATCCCACCGTACATACTTGACAGAACTGCCGCAGCGGCGAGCGGAGCAAAAGTGATAGAGCTTTGTTTTTTCCAGAAGTCTTCCATGATGAATGCAGTCCACATACTGGTTCCAAACAATACTGTGTCTTGAAGGTGTAGTCGAAGGCTGGATGTGTACCGATTGTAAATCCCTATATCGACGTTTCCTCTCTCCGAAAAAAGTCCCTCGTAGCCTTCATCGTAGAGGGTTTTCCCGTCGTTGGCTTCAAACTCGACTAAGGATCGCTTGAAATTAGAGGCACGCTCCACGCGGACGAGGTCTGATGGCGTGAACTTCAGAATATACTCTTGCTGGCCAGGCTCAAGCATTCGTAGACCGGCACCGCATGGAAGAGCCTCGCCAGACCTCAATCCTTTAGCAGCCTGGCCATGATCCACCCATCTGACTGTATTGTTGAGGGTCGAAACACAAGGCTCATGTGGTTTACGCTGCTGACCGTCGGTGGAAATCGCCGTAATCAATGGCTTTGACTGTTCGGCCTCCACGAGACCCGTTTCTTCAGCGCTACTCTCCTCGACAGCCATTGGCTTTCTTTCGTAGAGCATCATATTTTCGTCGACCCATTCGTTGCATAGTTGCGATTGAACAGCAAGAGCTGCGAAGCCCCGTAAAGATTCGGATTGTATGGTGATAATTTCTGGAAAGCCAATGTCCAGGGGTTTCTGGATATAGATCATTTTGTCAGATACTTTGATTGTTGTTTATGGAGGAATAGGCAAGCCAGTGAGTTCCTTACATGTAGCCAAAATAGGTAGATAAACACTGTGCAGACAACGTGGACCAGGATATGGATCTCTAGCAATGAGATCGGAAGGCCTTGTGCTTTTCGCACGATGCACTGGAGTGCCATCCAGACGACTTGCGTTAGCACTAGGGCTTTTTGGAAGACGTTGGCCTTGCTTCTATCCTCAAGCCTCAGCAACCTTTTCATGCTTTCGCCATCCACCTCACCCATTTTTACAAGCTTCAAGAAGCCCTTCGTTGATAGCGGCAGTGGATTCGGATATGCAGTACTTTGAAATATTTCAAAGTCCGGGCCGGGCTGGATATCGTCAATGGGGATTTGAAAACCCTTCATCACGACGAAAAAGCAGAACTGAAGGTCGAATTCCGGCTGTTCCTGAGTTAAAATCATTCTCGAATTCGAGACGAGAGTAACCTGCCGGGAAGACATGATCAAGACTTTGACCTGGTCCTCCGGTGCAAAAAATACTCACAACTTTTGCATCTTTAGCCCTCAACTCACTCAACTCTCGTCTCAAAGCGCGAGCCTTTATAAACTGGGCGACGGCAAGGACCAGAACAGTTTCTGGCGCCAAGATGGCAATGACAACCCAACGAAGTTTATCGCTAATGCTGGCCCAAAGGCCGCTTTTAGGTGGGACATTCAGATGAAGAGCTGTGTAGACGCAAGCGAATAGAGTGACGATGCAAGTCCAAAGGATGTCCGTACTGCCGCGAACAGTCGGGGCGTCGACCCAGGATGCCGCCCGCGTCGTCCCCAAAGCCGTAGAGTTGCCGTCGAGACCACGGATGACCTGCTGGATCTCCTCCGCCGTCTGAGAGCTGGCCGCCGCGACTCGAGACGAGAGCCAGGTAAGGCATAGAAAAGAGTAATGGCGCATAGCTAACGTTTTCTTTTCGTCTGAACCAAAGAGTCATATGCTCAAGAATCGAGGAAACGGAAGTGAGGATGGGTCGCCTGGAGCCTAAATATGCGTGCTGCCCAAGGGGGGTTCAGCTCAGCCTTGTCGTAGACCGGAAATAGAGGCTGCATATCTTTCCTCCCAATCACACCGAGACGCGTGACCAGTGGCGCGCATGAGATTGCGTAGATCTGTCAGCATGCTGCGCGGAGGGAACCAACGAGAGAACACAGCCAAGGCAGCCTGCTTGCCTGCCCGTCAACTTTCCCTTTGCATGCGCCAGTCTGCGCCTGCCCATCAAGACTTCTCAAAATGATCGACCGCCTGTTGATCGCCGCTTCTACCTTTCATATTGCTGCGCAGGCGGGCGCCGCCTTGGGAGACTGCGGCGAAAATTCAAATCAAGCAGTCCGGGTGTGAGCGGGATGCGGTCCGGAGCCCGGGCCGAAGACTACAGTTCGTGGCCACTGATGACACCCGACACGCCCTTGGAGTTGAGAAAAGGCAGCAAATACGCCAAAATGACTGGCCGCTATTCTGAGTGACCATATCCCCACAACGGGCATTTATTGTCATAAGAAAGTGGTCGGTTCTGAATGAGAAGAGAAGATTTCTATGAGTTGTCCCGGTCGGCACACTGGGGCCGATGGACGTGCCATGCTGTCGGCGTCCTGAGCGTGGGTTGGAGCCTTCCGGTGGTTCACGGACGTATCCTCCTCCTGCCAACCGCCTTTGGAAAGGTGGCGACGTCAGCTTTTGAACCGGTAGCTTTCTCACACACTTTTCACTGACTGAAGATAGAGACCATAGTGTGTGGTGTGAGGACGTTTCAGTTCTCGTAATATTACATCGCAAATATGGTGGTAGCTTGCCTCCCAGACAGGGAAGGCCATCATCCTCGTCTTCTACACGTACACATACAGCCTCCCAAGAGCGGTGTTGGTTTTTTCAGTAGGTAGTGGCTCGTTCCAGCCACCAGCATAGCATGCCCCTCCTCCCATTGCAGCAGTCGACACAAGTCGCCCCAATGTTTCGCCGGTCCCATATGCCCCCGTTCTATTTTTTTGTACAGGTAATAAAAACACTTTTTTGCGGCTTGTAAGAATATTTCCTTTTCGAGGGGAGGAGTTCAGGAGTTCAGGAGGGGAGAGGGCATGTGATCCAAACCAGATCCTCTCGCCTGCCTTCGCGTGCGTTTCTTTTTGTGAATAGTCATCTTCTCGGGTTTTCTCCATACATCATATCGGGTGGGTAGGTGATGGATGGTTTTAGTAGTAGTCCTTTCCGCTCTTCTGCATCTCGATGAGACGCCATCCCCTCGTCTCGGGGTTGCTGACGTCGTCCGGCACGCGGGTGATGCCGATAGCGTACGTGACAAGCTGGACCTTATCCTCCATGCCGGCCGCGAGCTCGCCGCTCTTGGCGTTGCGGTAGACGTGCACCTCCTGCGTCCTGCAGGTGATGACGAAGACGGGGATTTCGCCGGGGTCGAGCATGCGCGCGCGCACGATGTCGACGTGGCGGATGTCGAGGATCTTGCCGTCCGACTTGAGGCCGGCCTGGAGGTACTGCTTGGTGAGGGCCTCGTAGACGGAGTACTGGGCCTCGGAGAGCCAGAGCTTGAGGGTCGGGACGTCGCCCTTGACGTAGGCGTCGAGGACCTCGGGCAGGATGTACTCGCGGAGCTCCTTCAGGAAGGGCTCGGTCTGGAAGTTGGGGTCCATGGAGCGGAACCTCTTGATGACCTGCGCCGTCTCGTTCTCGGCGAAGAAGCCGCCGATCTTGTCCGTGACAAGTCGCGCCGTCTCGATGAGGGGGTTCTCGGACTCGCGGTAGACCTTGCCGGCGTTGAAGAAACCTTGGGCGAACTTGTTGGAGTCCTTGAAATCCCTCCAGGCTTCCTTCCAGGCGGCGTCCTTGTGGAGGGTAACGTTGGTGCCAGCGCTTCGAGCTGTTAGTGGGTTGTCAGAAACGATGTGAACATATAACTTACTTGGGGTCTTCTTCAAAGACCTCGGGCTGGCCGCCGTTCTTGGACTGCTCGGCCTCGCGCTTCTTCCTACGCTCCTCCTTCTCAACCCAGCCGCCGTAGCGCGAGCTGCTGCCGTCATCAATGACATCCTTGACGTTCTTGTACGCCTCAGTGTCACGGATAGGCTTGGTCGCCTTGTCAAGCGCCTCTCCCGTAACGTTGGCGACTTTGCGGACTCCCTTCATAGCGCTGGTATCCCATGTCCACGCAGCACCCTTGCCGATGGCTCCGGCGGTAGACTTGACCGCAGTGGTGGCAGCAGACGACAGAGCTCCGGTAGACTTCTCGTAAGCCTCGCGGGCTTTTCTCACGCGCTCGCTCTCGGTGAAGTCCTGGATCTCACCAGACAAGGCCTTGGTCGACTCGTTCCATTCCTTGGACTTGCTGAACTCGGCCTGCATGGTCTCCGTGAAAACCTGCCATGGTGTCTTATCGCCGTGGGGCGGTGGCGGAGGGAGGTCCTCCTTCTTTTCCTTCTTCTTCTCGCCTTCCTGCTCTCCCTCGGTCTTCTCGCCCTCCTCTTGCTTCTTCTCGGAAGACTCCTCCTTGGCCTCCGACTCGGCCTCCTTGGGCTTGGCCTCCTCGGTAGGCTTTGCGCTTTCTTCGGGGGCCTTGGGCTTCTCGGTCTGCTGTTGCTGAAGCTGTCGTGCTGTCAAGTGGAACGAGCGCGCCTGCATCGAGCTTGTGATGAATCGCACATCTTCGGGGAGGAACTGTGATCGGAGGGGTGTAGGTCGGAAGGTGGATTGTTGTCGTGAAAAGGCCAGGGCGGCATTGCCACTGAGCTCTGTCGAGAGTAACCGGGAATGCGCGGGTGTCCTGCCGTGGCTCTGAACCGCCCGCGCGGAAGCTCTGAGAAGAGAAGCGCTCTGAGGATTTCTCCTCGCCGACTGTACGAGGGAGTTCATTGTGTATAAATCCAAGCTTACCGCCTCCCGACGATGAGCGGAGTTGAAAAAAAGGCAGGGAGGGCCGAGGCGGGAGATATAGATGACGATTGGGGGGGGGCGGAGGACGGGAAGCAGAGAAATTTTGGCTCGCGCCGGAGACTAATTGGTCGGGGTCCAGAATTGGCATGGAAGCTCTGCGATTTCGGTTGAAGGCGGAGGGCGGAAAAAATCTGGGCCCTTGTTCACCCGAGGACAACCCGGCGCTCATTGAGCCAATGAGAAGCTGGGGAACGTCTCCAGACTTTGCGAATTCGAACCGCCGTTTTTCCCACCCAAAAACTTCACGGGTCATCGTCACCAACCAGTCCGATCCTACCCCCTCAATTCGCGACCGAGAGGGGACGATACAGCGATGAGTTCCGCACCAACAGCTCGCCTCCTGGCGAGATCCTTCTTCCAAAATGCCGTCCGTCCCGCGACGGTAACCCGAACCTCGCCTGTCCTCCTCCGATCCTTTGCCCAGACCGCAGCGCCACGCGCCGAAGAGACCGATACGAAGAAGAACGGCCAAGCTCTCCTCAATGCCATGTACGGCAGCTCAAAGACGCCCTCTGCACCGGGTCAGAGGAGGTCGGCATTAGAATCAGCTGGCCTGTCCAAGGACAGCATGCTCCAAGAACTCGATATTGCCTCGGGCGGTACCTCTGACCTCAGCGGCCTCGGCGGCCTCGATGGCCTAATGCCCGATCGAGAGGACCTCCTCGAGCCCTACCACATCCACATCATGTCCCACAAGCACAACACGCACGTCACCGTCACGAAGCCCGACCGTGGCGCCATCATCTCCCTGTCGACCGGCAACATCGGTTTTAAGAAGTCCAAGAGGAAATCATACGACGCCGCGTACCAGTTGATGGCCTACGTCCTCGAGAAACTGCAGTACCAGGGATGGCACAAGAAGATCACCGATATCGAGGTCGTGCTGAGAGGATTCGGCCAGGGAAGAGACGCGGCTGTCAAGGTTCTCATGGCCCCCGAGGGCAAGATCTGGAGGCAGAAGGTGGTTCGCGTGGCGGATTCGACGAGGTTGAAGTTTGGTGGAACAAGGAGCAAGAACCCGAGACGTGTCTAGAGCAAGCAGTGGAGGAGAAGGCACCAAATGCCAAATGCATGTACAACAGGTGTACAACTGTATCATATATCACAACGAGCAACTTTCCTTGCATTCTGTGGATGGAGATGCAGATGTCCAATCCCTATGGTATCGAGTGCTAAACGCCGCCCAAAAATCAAACGCCAAGCCAACAACGCCAGAACTGCCTCCCACGTTTCGTTTGTACAATGCCCCATCCGCCTCACTTGCGATCAGGGGCCCTCTCGGCTGCGGGCAGATCGCGACCGCTCGTGTCTCGTACGGCTTTCTTGCCCTTGCCATTCCCACCTCGTCTCCGCTCCTCTTCGCTATCCCAGTCGACGTCATCGGAACTCTTGGAATTCTCCGTGAGGAATCTGGGAGGCGATTGCTTCAGCATCCTGGAGCCTTCGTGAGCATGGTCGTCTTCCTCCTCCAAAAGCGCGCCGTCCGCGGTATCGTATTCTGGTGGGTCGATCCAGTCCCGGGGAACGACACAGGGCAACGCGACGCCGATGCTGGCGGCCCGGTTCAGCCAGCCGGGTCCGGGTCGGCCGGTCAACTTCTTGCACAAATATGACGTGAAGTGATTGCAATTCTTGGTCAAGAGGTTATAGGAGGTTCCGAGGAACTCTTTGGACGCTTCTTCGAGGATCTGGTCGATTTCGGCCTGGGTCGCGAAGGTGAAACCGTGGAGGATCTCCGACTTGAAGGTGCCGCCGGGTGGCTCGGTCCTGGGCTTCGTCCAGTACACCCCCGTCACGCCGCGCCTCTCGTGCCCGCCGTATGCGTATTCCTTGCCATTGATCACGACGCCTGAATGAAGGAGCGAGGCGCCGACCGTCCAAAGAACAGAAGACAATCTTCCCGGCTGTGAGGTAGCGATCGGTTAGCAAGGCCGCAGCGACGATCGGCAAACGGGTGGGTCTCTCGACTTACAGGCAGCAGATCGTAGACATGAATCGTGACTTCGGTCTTTGAAAGCGACAAAGTTGATCTGTGATTGCTGGAACGAGGAGGCATTTTCGACCACCAGGGTGCGGCGTTTCCGGCGGTTGCGGTTGCTGTTGGTGTATTACGTCGTACTACAGCAGCGCGAGTCGTTAATCAGAGGAGGGGCGGTTGGGAACGTGATGAGACGAAGACCAGTTCGAATGAATCCACGGCGCGGGATGCGATAAATATACTAGGACGAGCTCTAGGATAATGAAAGACCTGCGGACGTTTCAGAGGCGAAAGGAGCTGTTCTGCGACTGAAAGCTGCAAGTTGAGGGAATTGGCGAAAGGGAAACATGCACAATGCAGTCGAAGAAAGGCCCTCAAGGCATGTCGCAGCTACTAACCTTGGGCTTGGCTCGGGCGGTGCTCGGCGCAGAAGCGGGCGTCAGCAATGTAAGTTGGATGGTGTAACTGGGTACAATGCAGGCTGATAGCATCACAAGGGCGAAGCGAGGTGCCTCGAGGTGCCTTGGAGGTACTTTGAAGAGCAGCTGTTTTAGCGTACAAAATGCGTGGCATTGCGCGGCCCGAACAAGTCACTCTGCGCCGCAAGCGGGCTAAATGCAATGCGATCCAATGAGGTGAAAGGAATGAAGTCAGCGACTCCCAGCCCCGCGCCTTCCTTCGAGCTCCCCCTTCCCACAGCTGCACCTTCCACCTCAGTCCAGGTCCCGGATTGGAAGGTGGAGCCTTGGAAGCTTCTCCCGGCGTTTAGTTCCGCCGTCGCGCCGAGAAGCCCTCCGGGAACCCCCCCGCCCCCGTTTTTGGTGGGGCAATTAAAATTCATCTTACCAAAGGCCACAGCCGCCCAGCGCAAACGAGTATTTCTTCTCTCATCATCAACAGCTTCGCGCTTTTCCTCCTTCCTTCCTCTTTTTTCTCTCTCTACCGCCTATTCTCCCACTCCTCGGGCAATCCCGCAAGCGATTGAGGCTGGTCGCAGCGCCAGTGTCGCAATCACGACGTCCTTCCTCGTGATCCCTTCCTCCTTCGCTTCTCGCACCTCTTCTTTCCTCCCCCGCGCAGCTAGTTCTGCTTTTCGCCCAGCTGCTGCAGTGCTTAAGTGCACCGTACTCTACACTCCCACTCGTCAGTACGCCAAGAGCCGCCGCAACAAGATGCCTCCCAAGAAGCAAGTCGTGGAAGAGAAGATTCTCCTGGGCAGGCCCGGTAACAACCTGAAGAGTGGAATTGTGGGTGCTACGCCTTAGAACCTGTGTGCGGGATCAGGCTGACCCCTCTTCAGGTTGGCCTTGCAAACGTTGGAAAGTCCACTCTCTTCCAGGCCATCACCAAGTGCAACCTTGGTAACCCTGCCAACTTCCCCTATGCCACCATCGACCCCGAGGAGGCTCGCGTCATCGTCCCCGACGACCGCTATGACTGGCTTTGCGAAAAGTACAACCCCAAGTCGCGCGTCCCCGCCAACTTGACGGTCTACGATATCGCCGGTCTTACCAGAGGTGCCTCCACCGGCGCCGGTCTCGGTAACTCTTTCTTGTCCCACATTCGCGCCGTCGACGCCATCTTCCAGGTCGTCCGTTGCTTCGACGATGCCGAGATTATCCACGTCGAGGGTGACGTCAACCCCACTCGTGATCTCGACATCATCAGCGACGAGCTGCGTCTGAAGGATATCGAGTTCACCGAGAAGGCGTTGGAGAACCAAAAGAAGAAGACTCGCTCTGGCGGCAAGGGTCTGGAGCACAAGAAGGCCATGGAGGAGCAGGCCACCATGGAGAAGATTCTCCAGCACCTCAAGGACGGCAATGAAGTCCGAAAGGGCACTTGGGGTCCCAAGGAGGTAAGACTCAATTTTTTATGCTCGCTCCCACACCACCCCGCGTCTTTTATGATGATCAAGGGCCTCAGGCCCGACTTTATAAACCCAGCTCTTCGAGTGCCAAGTGCACACTGAGACAAAAAACCATTCTGACTCGACACCTTGTCAAATCATTCTTTATTTGCCACATGTTTGCAAAATCAGTTCTGACAAAACGTCTAGGTCGAGGTCATCAACCCTCTCTTCCTTTTGACTGCCAAGCCTGTCGTCTACCTCGTCAACCTCTCTGAGAAGGACTTCATTCGCAAGAAGAACAAGAACCTTCCCAAGATCGTTGAGTGGGTTAAGGAGCACGCCAACGGCGACCCCATCATCCCCATCTCCGTCTCCTTCGAGGAGCGCCTGACCCGCTACGAGACTGAGAAGGAGTCTTTGGAGGAGCAGAAGAACGTCGGTGCCGAGTCGTCTCTGCCCAAGATCATTCTGCAGATGCGTAAGGCCCTGAACCTTGGCAGCTTCTTCACCACTGGTACCGATGAAGTGCGCCAGTGGACCATCCGCAACGGCACCAAGGCGCCGCAAGCCGCCGGTGTCATTCACACGGACTTCGAGAAGACGTTCATCCAGGCCCTGGTCTACAACTTCAGCACGCTCAAGGAGCTTGGCAGCGAAGCCGAGGTCAAGGCCAAGGGCAAGGTTATGACGAAGGGCAAGGATTACGTCGTGGAGGACGGTGACATTCTGCTCATTAAGGCCGGTGCGGCCAAGGGCTAAAGAATGAATATCTGATGGAAAATTTAGATATGAGGATTGGTCAAAAGCTCTGCTTTCGGTTTAGATATCACCGGCTAATAGAGATTTTCGCCGCATTTCTTGCAATTACCCCTTGGGATTTATGCATCGACTGAACGTACTGAACGTGATGTGCTCGGAATGCGTGATTTGTCGCGGACGATGAGGAAGGTGGTGCACGTCTCTACGGCGTCATTGTACCTCATTTATCCGATGATTTTCCGCCATTCGTTCTGCTTCAGCACGGACCAGTGACATACCACTTCGTACCTTCCACTGAGTGACTTCAAGATCAGGCCCATGAACTTGCAACAAGACATTGCGAGACATCCACATACATCATGAGCCAGCCTCCAACAAATCGCGGCCACGGCCGTAACATATCGGTGACAAGACGTATGTTCATTCCATCGGCTGAGCCTTCCGCCTTCTCCGCCATGTGTCCCCTAGCCCACCACGGCCAGTCTCTTGACGTAAAAGCAGTGGGAGGACGGCAACACATAGATGATGGATGATGACTTCAAGAGATACTGACACGGCGGCAGCGGTTCGTCCACGATCTTCGACTAAAGGTCCTCTTGACCTGGATGAGTGAGCGACCTCCTCTCCGTGATGTGGCATCTCGACTGACAGCTTTCAGCACCCCTCTGAACGACCCCTTGTCGCCGAAGTCCGCTGCGACAGAAGAACCAAAGCAGCGACCGTTATCAGGTCAACGGTCTCCTGCGCCCCTTCACTCTCCTGTACCGCCCGTGAAGACCACCGTCACCAAAGACTTCAGCTTCCTCCTCCGCCCAGAGATCTACCACAGCGTCAACACAATCAACATCCCCGTCGCGTTCAAGACCAACCCGAAGCAGCCCACCCCAGATGCCTCACTAGAAGATCTGCTGGCCATGGGCCATTTCCGAGCGGCCGCCATCGCCGCTGTCCAGGAACTCACCGCCACCGGCGGCCCAGAACGGCCTCGCGTTGACCCTTCAGACCACCAGAGAATCTTCACCCTCCTGTATACTCGTCTGGCGTGCCTGACCCTCATCGACGCCACGTCGACCGCGGCACAGGAAGTCCGAGCGCTCGAGGACCTCAACGCGGCCATCTACATCGACGAGACCACGGGAGAACACCTCGTTCCATGGGAGCTACGTGTCCTCAACATCCGCCTGCAGGCGCTGGGCTTCGGCGACTTTAGGAGATCCGTCATGAGCTACCACGACCTGGCGAGAGAGGCACGCGAGCAGATCAGCAAGGCGACAGCGCGGCATGACAACTCGACGCGGGAGCTCTGGAAAGCACGGCTCCACGACCTGGGTATCGACGTCGCCGGCGCTCTGATTGAGATGGACGACCTCTCCGGCGCGGCGCATCACCTCTCGACTTTGAAGGATAGAGGAGACGGCAAGATGGCCCTTTCCCGGGCGCTCATGTGGCTGCATCTAGGCGACGCAGACGCTGCGCGGCGGTGCGTGCAGGACTCCGGAGGGGACGGCAGACACGCCGAGATGGTCGTCGCCGCGCTCTGCCAGATGGCCGACGGCGAGTATGATGCTGCACTGCAGTCGTGGCGGGGCTTGAAGGAAGAGCTGATGGACGAAATGATTGGTGTCAACATGGCGGTGTGCCTTCTCTACACTGGTAAACTGACAGAGGTCAGCTTCCCTCCCCCTCCACCCACGATCATCGCATTCCTGCATATGACAAAGTGCTGACAAGACATTGCAAACCAGGCGCGCGCTCTCCTCGAGGACCTGGTCAGCAACGGCTACTCGTCGCACACGCTCCTCTTCAACCTCAGCACGACGTACGAGCTTTGCACAGAGCGGAACCGCAACCTCAAGCTGAGACTCGTCGAGAAGGTCGCCGAATTGGACGAGACGGTCAAGGGCTGGGAGAAAACTAACGCCGATTTCAAGCTATAGGCGAAACTGAAAAATAAAACCCGAAATTCACAGCTGTTAAAACTAAACCAAATGATGCCCGGACAAGGGTGCTGGCCGCATCCGTGTGGCCCGGAAGAGGGGGGGTTCGGCCCAATCAAAGCGGCGTCACCTCATAATAAACTTGCCAATGACGGTGTCCCGCGGCGCATGCACAATCGGACGGCGCTGCTTACCAAGATGCTTAGTTAGGGGACATGCATGTTGTGGCAGAATGACAAACACACGACACAACGGACGACGGGCTAATCAAGATTCAGGGCGAGAACAGAGCCAAGAAACATCAGGCTGAGAGAGAGGGGCTAAAGAGAGGGCTGGTGATATTTTGGGATCGTCTGGCGAAAGCAAAAACCCCCGCGGCACCCGACCGGTCGCATGGAGGCTCGCAGTCCCTCTAGGCGGTATGGCTTCTTTATCTGGTCTTCTTCCCCGAGGTTTCCATAGCCGTTCAAGCTGTCTTTCATCGCCATCCGTTGTCGCCGAGCATCTTCGCGAAACCGAGCAGTCGATAAATTCGGCCTGACCGCCGCCAAGCCACAAGCCCGCGGCGGATGCCTCTTCAAGATGTTTGAACCGAGCGACGAGGAGCAATCGGCTCAAGTTTTCGAAATGTCGACTCGGGACCTGCAGCTTCGGACAATCGCCCTTCTGGAGAAGATCGCGCACTCACAGAGCATCCTCGAGGGGCGCGTCGACTCGATGGAGAAGATGCTCTCTCAGCCCGTCGTCTCATCTCACTCTCCGTCATCGCAACCCACCAGTTTTCCCCAGTTCCGACGACTACCGCCGGAGATTCGGCACCGCGTCTGGTCGCTCGCCCTGCCGACGCGGGCCTTGCGGCTGCGCAAATCGACAGAAAGCGCGTTTGTTCCCGCGCTGCTACCGCCAGCCGTCGCCGAGACGTGTCGCGAAGCGCGGGACGTGGCGACGCTTCACGGAGGGATGGTTTCTTTGACGAACCTCTCATGCAGTTCACAGAAGCATGTAAGGACGTACTGGACATGGTTCGACGGGCGGCACGACGTGCTGGAGCTGGAACGATGGGTCTCGCTCGAGGCGGACGAACCGCGCGGCATCAGGAGCCTCGTCAGCAAGGCGCGGTACATCCTCGCGCCGAGGGCGACCTCGGAATGGTTCAAAAATTTATTTCAACAGACGACTTCGCTGAGACAAGTCGGTCTGAAGTTCGACAGTTCGGTGGCGAGTCGCTGCGCGTGGGATCCGAAGACCCTGAGGGAGCTATTCGGCAGCGTCGACACGGTCGCGATCCTGGACCTCGAGGACGCGACGGAGATCACGCGGTTCAAGGCCGCGTTGAGGCAGCATTGGCGGTGTCCGTTCTTCTGCGAGTTCGATATCGAAGGGTGGGCTGCGACGAGGACGACGACGTCGGGGGGTGAGCGGGACGAGGGGTGGATGCGCCGACTGGATAGGACTTGGATGAGCGAGGTCGCTAGAGGCTGGGTCATGGCCAGGAGGCCGGCGGAGGACTCTGCGGCTCTGTTGGATGTGGGAGACGAGGACGTCAGGACTGCGCTGAAGGCTATGCCTGAGGTGAAGCTCGTGAGGGCGTATCTGCTGGCTGATGTCCATAGCAGCCGTTGAACAGTTCAATACACCCATCAAGAGAAGACGGAGATCTCACGCGGTTGTCCTGTGAGAAGCCTCAGCTGAGGTTGATCAACACGCCGTTTGTCAAAGCATGTTGCGCCATCGCCCGTGTGGTTGCTGTCGATCTACCGCAGTGCGCTCGAACCCCCGAAGTCATGTAGGTCTTTTCGAGGGCATACAGTCGGGCTGAATTATCAGCAGGACTTAATCGTCCATGCTATCAGATGGTCGCTAGGCAGGTGTGTTCTTGTCATTTCAAAGGTCCTGATCCTTCGCCAGTCCTGGGGCCGGGGGCAGCCGCAGACCGACTCCGCCACCACGGGCCGAGCGGGCTATTGAAGTCCTAGAGCTTGCTCCAACCACAATAACCATCAGTCTTCTAGATATCATGGAAACATAGTCTTATAAGTAGGCTTTTGGCAATATCGGTTCAAATGAGGAAATGATCTTGTCAATTGACAGCATCACACGATGGAGAGCAGATCGTACCTAACTCGCAAGCCCGTCGCCGGCATGGATAGTACGAGCATGTCGGAAACATCTTTCACAGATCAAAAGTGAACCTCCCTCCCGTGAATATTCCATGACATTCACTTCCTAACAACTAGCTGCCAGCACGACCAAAGTAAAAGACTTCGGCGCCCCGACCCCAAAACCCCGTCCACCCATCGCACCAAACGGCGACCTAACTCTCCTCGTCGGCCCCGAACCCAACCATCATCCACTCCGCGTGCACTCCCTCGTCCTCAAAAACGCATCCCCCGTCTTCGCCTCGATGCTCCAGCCCCCCTACCTCGAATCCGCCACCCTCTTCACGGCGACCCCGTCCTCCCCGGCACGCATCTCCCTGCCCGAAGACGACCCCCTCGCCGTCGAAACGATCTGCCGCGTCCTGCACAACCGCGCCGACGCCGCCGTGTACGAGCTCTCCGCGGAGGAAGTGCTGAGGGTCGCCGTCGCGGCGGACAAGTACGACTGCGCGGGGGCGATGGCGCTGGCGGCAGAGTACTGGCTGAGCCCGGGCAAGTTGGAGGGGCTGATGAACGCGGCGAGGGACGGGTGTATCGGGTTCCGGAGGTGCGATTTGTTGTTGGCTAGTTATTGGTTTAAGCACGAGAGGGTGTTTGGGGAGGTGACGAGGGCGTTGGTTGTGAATGTGGTTGGGGGGTTTGAGGGGTTGGTTGAGGGACGGGAGGGCGTTGAGGAGGTGCTTGCTTGGAGACTTGCGCGTAAGAGTTTCTTCTCTTGTCTTGTTAGTTCTTTTCTTTTGGAATGGATGTTTGCTAACTGGAGTAGTGGCCCTCGAACAACAAAGAAACAACCTCCGCCTCTCCCTCTACACGATAATCATGGACCGCACAACCGTCTCTTCAAGCCTCCGCCCACGCATCTTCCTCGGCTTACACTGGCCAGAAAGACAGACCCAGAACAGCGTCATCTCGAATGTCCTCCGCAGCATCGACCGGGGCATCTTCTCCCACGGAATCATGTACATGTCCATCGACGAAGCCCTCCGACGCGCCTTGGAGATCCCGATGGGCGCTTATAACCGCATGATGAGCCTCGTCAAGGTGACTGATCAGAAGGAGCTGTACGGTTGTCGAGAGAAGAGATCGAGTTACAAGGAGCACATCATTGCTGGTGTGAGTCGGTGGAGGAAGGATAAGTTGATGGGGCTGTGTTTGGCGTGTTTGCATGAGCAGATGGAGTGCAGCGTCGAGCACGTGGGTGATGGGAAGGAGAGGAGGGAGTGGGAGGAGATGGCTGCGGAGTTGAAGTAGTGACGGTTTAGTCGAGGGGCAATTGCTAGCTACACTTTGCCGTATGTTAAGGTTCGCGGTTTTCGCTCATTTTCTCTTTGTATCATAGACAGCCGTACTCTGTATGAGTGGTCTGACACCTGTTGTTGCCACATACTCAGACATTGAAGACGGCAAATTGGGAGACCGACTAGTAGAATACGTGTCCCTCGCCCTTCTGTCTCGCGAGTAAACAGTGTGAGCAACATGTATCAGGGAATGATCTGCTGTTGTTAAGGTGACAATGAACCCAAGGATGTCCAACCACTGTTTCACAGTTTTTTCAATGAGATCTACTACTGCATCGTTCCAAGATAGTCAAACCTTGGTACAGTCTACAAGTCACAACTGCCGGGCCAGACATCATCTGTATAACATGTCTCTTCTGCTTGCCAGAACGTAGTGCATGCTGAGCTCAGTGGCCGTACGACAGTTGAAACTCGAGCACTGAATGCCATTGACTGGCGTCTGGTAATCATGCCCGTACACCTGTATTGCATTGTGGTCGGCGTAGCAGCTGACCTTCCTAGAACGACATCGGCTCGCTGCATGAGAGTCTCACACGATCAGGTTGGTCCGCTAGGTTGATAGATTAGTAGTAAACCAAGGAAATCCGTATAAATGAGACTTTCCAGTCCTCTGGCTCGTTGTACTGACAGGTGGATGAAAGATGAACGGTCTCAAATATCTGCAGTACGCTTGTGTGACGTTATTGATCCTGGGTCGACTGTGTCTTCTCGCGGATGTCGCAGAAGAGAATAGCGAACCACTTACTTTCCATTTACAGCAGCCTCTGCACGTTACCAAAACGGCTACAACTTACCTATAACGTGTATAGAAGGGTGATGTGCCCTCGCAGGTGGCCTGGCCTACTCGCCGCGCAGGCCACTCACCCTGATCTCTCAACTAAACTCAACATTGACACCCGAATTCGATGACGAATCCCAACATGCAGACCAAGCTCATTATCTCCTTTCTTGCCATTCTCGGCTTTAGAGAGGCTTTTGTCAGTATTATTCTTGTGACAGCTAAGCCCTTATTAACACTTCAGCGTGACTTCTCAGATTCAGGCCACGACCGTTCCCAACCAAGTCTCCAAAACGAGCCAACTATTCGACGCTCTGCCTGAGTGGAACATCAAGACGTCACCAGGCGGCCCCGTGGTTTCCTTCAACGGCACGGTCGAGGCCCTATTTGCCTACATGGATAGCGAGTACCCGGAGCATCTCTCGGATGTCTTCGACCTCGACGTCGTTTTCGGGTCCGGCGAACGTGGACAGAAGTTGGACACACCGATGCTAGAGAAACGCACCGACTTCAGCGAATCCGACGCAGTCTGCTACTCCGGCGCTGTCGCGGACGGGCGGGCCATCACCGACGGCATCGAGTACCTGCGCGGCGTCAGGGGCCAGCCTTCCCTTCCCGTAGATGGCTCTTACCTTGTCAGCTGTTCGCAAAACTCTGGCATCAAATGGCATAATCACGTAAGTTGGTCCCCTTCCCTTCCGCACTCTTCATATTTGCACCGACTGGCCTCATCAGCTGAGTGCTTGCTTGGATAGTCGAAACAGCAAATAACCCTGGAGTCGTTCGGATCCATCGCCGACGGTGCGCAGCACATTGTGAAGTTTTGCCGCAAGGAAGACAAGGTTGGCGGGGTCGTCTTTCATCACACGCAGTGGGGGGTGGAAATACGTAAGGCCACGTGCTAGACGGGAAACGCACGTAGTTCTGTTGACGCGAGTGTGAATCAGGTCGTCGGAGACCGGAGCACTTGAGAAGAACTAGTTTCATCATTTTATTGAATACCTAATCAAGTTGATTGAGCTGTCCATATGCATTCCACAACTACATGCCATATAGATTTGGTGTTTCGAGATAGGGTAGGCAAGTTTTTGACCTATGCCACGGGTGCAATGCGGAAGCCTTCAAGTCTCCAACAGGTTCAATGAGAATGGAAGAGTCGATTCTTCTTTGCGATCGTCTAATAGCTCGATAAAATATACAGGTTGTTGCCAAAACCTCTTCAGTAACATCATGAGGCCCCTCAAACCTGGACATGCTCCTTAAGCTCCTCTTGCATCCACTCCCACAGCTTCTCCTGCATCTCCCGGTTCTGACTAGCCGCAGATCCCTTATTCGGCAGTCCCACGGGGCCGTAGAAAACACCAGGCTTAGCATCCGGGCTCACGGCGGCCCAGATCTGGGAAAGAGCCCCTTTCTCGATGGGCGTGCCGAAGGGCACAGCCGCGAAGAGGAAGAGGCGAAGGAAGAAACCAGTCGAGTTGTGGTGGAGGTTCGTCACCACCATGCCCGGATGGACGCAGATGCACTTGACGTCCGGAAAGCGCTCCGCCAGAGCGAAGGTGTAGTGGACGATGCCGAGCTTGGACAGACCGTAGCGCGTCGTCGTGTGCAGCTCGGACATGGTCGTCTTCAGCTTGGCAAAGTCGTAGCCGGTTGCAGGGGCGACCTTTTCGGAGGCGGAGGAGAGGTTGACCACGCGAGCCTGGGGATTGGTGCGGGCAGTCTGCCGCAGCAGCGGCATCAGAAGTTGAGTGAACAGCGCAGTGCCGACGGTGTTGGTCCCGAACTGGATCTCGTAGCCGTCCTCGGTGAGTCCCTCGGGGGTCATCATAATGCCGGCGTTGTTCATAAGGATGTCGAGGCGAGACTCGGAACGCAGGAAGGTCTTGGCAGCCTCCTTGATGCTTGCGAATGAGGCAAGGTCGAGCTTGAGGAACTCAATGGGCGCGGCTTCTGGATTGGATTCTCTCAGCTGCTTGATAGCTGCCTCGGCCTTCTCCTCAGATCTCGCGGCGAGGTAGATTCTGGCCGGGGGATTCTTTGCTGAGGAGATCTGGCGAATGCTTTCATATCCGAGACCAACGTTTCCGCCGGTGACGATGATGACTTGTCCTGTCAAATCGGGGATGTCTTCAGTCTTGAAATCGGCCCCGGCGGAGCTGGAGCATGGGGACATGATGGCTGAACTTCTGAAGTGAGGAGTTGTGGTTGTGACGTGTAGAAGACTTATTGAGTGTTTTGGATGAGGTTAAGTTCCAGTCATTTTGAGATTATTTAGAGACATTTATATATCTTTCGTCCTCGTGTTCAACGCTGCTGCCTCGGCGGAAGTTCAAGCAAACCACTTTCAACCGGCACGAGACAACGAGAGGAAGATCAGGTACAAGCCCCCTACTCACTTACAGTCACGCATTTGAGGATATACTGCCCAATCAGTCTAGCGGCACTCTAGTTCACTCCCAAAGCTCCATACTCTTCTTCTTTCTAATTTGATTAACGCTTTTTGGGGGATGTTTAGCTTGAAAGCTCGAGGGCCTCGCCAGACAAAGAGACTGACCACCTCAGGTCACCCGCAAATGAACGAATCACAACGGCTGTAGCGCACGTTTTGCGCTAAAACGACAGGGGAGTAAGCAGTCCACAGATCTCTCCATTCCATCCCGGGCGATCGGGCTTGCAGGGAACATGGCTACGGGATCATGCCGATACGCCCTACGGCTGTCAGGGGAGTAAGCACCGTACTTAATCCCTCCGTCTCCTTTGATCTTATTGAGCCGCGAGCACAATCGACTTTTCATTCATCTGGAGAGGCAGCAGGCGACGCGTATTCATTCTTTCGAAATCATGGCCGCGCCGCAAATGGCCGAGGCATGGGATGCCGAGGATAGCTGGACCGGGGTGTCGAGTGCCACCGAGAGAAGGAAGTTGCAGAACCGCATCCACCAGAGGGCGTATCGCAAGTCACATCTTCCGAGGCATCGTCGATATTGTGCTAATACTCGCAATTCAGGCAAAAAGAGACACTTGAAACGGGTTGCCGCGAGTACTGCGCCGGCCGCTAGCTCTCAGTCCGAAAACCCAGTCCCCTCCGTCATGGCCGTTGCGAATATCGCAGACCCGGTGACAGAGCAAGCCCTCGCTCTACTGGAAACCCTCCCAATCTTCTATGTACTGAGATGCCACGGAATTCATCAAAGCGTCAAAGAGTTTCTGCGGAGAGCCTCGGCCAATTGGTCATTGAAAGTTCCGTCGCCGAGAGACCTACCGACCATCACTCGAATTAACGCCTTCGACGCCCTGGCCAGGAATGCGTTGATCCTGGGCATACCCGTCGAGCTCCTGGAGAGTGACCACGGCGACTCTCTCTTCATGCTGCACGGCCCTCCGCGGCCGTCAGCCGTCGATCCAAAATACCCGGGTCAACTCTCGCCGACGGCACTTCAGAGGATGGTAAAGCACCACCCGTGGCTGGATCTCTTGCCGATTCCGGGAATGAGGGATAACATACTCCGAGGGATCCAGGATGGAGTCATTGATGAGGACGAGCTCTGTAACGAACTGGTCTGCGGGATGCTGAATATGGATGACACTTCTGAAGCCGGGTTGATTATCTGGGGTGACGCTTGGGATGTGAAGGGATGGGAACTGAGCCCTGACTTTTTCAGAAGATATGCCTCATTGTTACACGGTTGTCCTGAGGTGTTACAGGCTACAAATCACTGGCGGGAGAAAAGGGGAGAAATGAAAATTGAATTCCTAGTGGAGTAAATCAGGGTTCAAGGGCAAAGCAATGCATGGCTCTGTGAGCCGCAAACGTATTTGATCATGTCTACTCGCCTCAGCTGCTTACTCCCTGGTCCTGGAACTGCTGTCTCGTAATCAGAAGCTGTTATAATTAGCTCAGTCAGGTGAGATATCAATCGAGATTTACGAGCTCAGATGGTTGAGCGAAAGATGATACGGCATACTTTCAGTCTCATGTTTCCAGCTATTAGATATTAGATATGGCATATTACTGCCAGATAATCGTGATACAAACCTGCTTTATGACTTTCATGGCTTAACTCTGTCTCTCCGGTGTTGAACGATAAATACGTGCAGTCCGATCCAGACGAACCTTCATCGGCTATCGACCAGCATGGATGAAATTTTGAGCCCTGAACCGAAAGGACGAATGAACCAATGTCAACCATAAAGGCACAGGATCAATTAATCGACCTCCCTTTATATTCTTGTATGTTGCATTCGGAACACCGGGTTTCGTTGTTTGATCTTCGTAGTTGAATGCGGTCTCGTGCCTGAATTTCCGGAGATATTGAATTAGGATACGGGAGGTGCCAGCCTACTACGGGCGAACAAATGTGAGAAATATGACGTTATAGTAGCAGAGAACTTAATAGTGTTCAAATCTCAATGAGAAGATAACGAGAGAAATGAGAGAAACACAGATATGTGAATGAGATGTGATCTTCCGGCGGCTGTGATGGCCTTTACGATTTCATGATTTGAGAGCTTTCGGGCAGTTTGATGATTCCGACGCATCGGCACTGTATTTATGACAAGCGAAGGCGCTGTATCCCGCAGTTTTTGGGAATAGTTGCCCACTAATATCGCTTCTGAACACCTGAGAGGGACAGTGCTCCCCCCACAATCCACACTCCTTCCCACTCAAGCCGAACGAACATTTTCATTCACTCACTCTTGACTTCATAAAACACTTCTCAACGTCAACCACCTTCACCGAGGACCAAAATGGTGCGAACGCGCCCCCGCAACAAATCACGACGCGTAGCCGTCATAGACTACGACTCCGAGGGCGAACCCCCGGAGGCCCACGACGACTCCGAAGACGACAACTTCGAGGCGCCCCCGCCAGACCCGGAGGACGATGAGGACGACCCGATGGACCTCGACGGCGGCGACGGGGACGACTTCGAAGCCGACGACCCGTCATCCCTCGCCCTCGACGCCTTCAACAACGAATTCGACGAAGACGACGAGCAGCCCGCGTACACCAGCTCGGCCGGCCTGCGCAAACGGCCCGCCGACATGGGCGCGCTGGAGAAGTACCACGCCGACGGCCGCCCGACGCGCTACTACACCGGCGTGCTGAAGCGAGGGCAGAGAATCCAGGTTCTGGACTTCTTTTACGGGCCGGAGGAGGATGCGATCGGCATCGCGGGGTGGATTCTGAGTCGGTGGGCTGGGTACGGGGTTCTGCCGAGTAAAGTGGTTGATGGGGCTGCGTGTCCCATACCGAGTCCTTGGATCGAGGAGGGGCATCAGGAGAAGCAGAGGAAGGCGGCTGACGCATGGTTCGCGAGGGTCAAGGATGATGAGGGGGTGAAGGAGGGCGAACGGGTGATGAGTACAGGGGAGGCGGAGGAGTATCGGGTGAGTTCTGGGAGTGGGCTGAGAATGCTGCTGGGGCCGTATCCAGAGCAAAAGGAGGTTCGGATCGCGCCTTCTGGGAGCATCGTTTTGTCTAATTCAGGTCTACCTCTTGAGGAGACAACGGACGAGCAGGTTGCCGGGCTGATGTTCGACGTTGGTGGGCTTGTGGTTGGTATGGACTGGGCTATCAGGGAAGAGGGAGAGTCACAAATTCTTGCGCTCGCAGTTATCCCACACTCTGACCAACAGCTTGGCGCCGATTCCTCTTATGACGAAGAGAAGGGCATCATTCAGCTATGGGAGATGCACAGCCGGACAGACGATAACGGCATGACGTATCCACAGAACCGCCCAGCCCGACTCGCTCGAACAATTTGCGCGGACTGGGGGAGAATTAAGAGAGTCAAGTGGTGCCCCGTGCCGTTTACAGATAATGGCTTGCTGGGGCTCGTGGCACTATTATGCGGTGACGGCCAGGTCCACGTCGTATCTATCAAAGAACTGGACGACAGCCAAGACTCGTTTAGTAAGTCTTCAATCTTCAGCCCTTTTTCAACAGCTAACGTGTGCAGCCAAACTCGAAAACGAAGTCGTTTGCCTCGGCCTCCCCTTCGAAACAAACGTCACAGTAACCTGCTTCGCCTGGGTCAACACAAACCGCATCGTAACAGGCCACTCCGACGGCTCACTAGCCCTCTGGTCCATCGCCCCGCGCGTCTGCCTTGCGCGTCATGACGTGCACTCGACATACGTGATGCACATCGACACCGCGTATCCCTCAAACCCGTATCTCGTTGCGTCAACCCCGATCGCGGGCTACACCACCCTCGTCGACCTGTCCGACCCGTCTTGCGAGCGTACCAGCTTCCCCTGCTTCACGATCAGCCCGCAGCCGAACCTCTTGCAGTGGAACGACCACCTGCGGGGATTCTTCAGCGCGGTGCCGTCGGCGAACCCGCTGAATTCTTCAGTCGGGTTCATCCATTCCAGGTGGTACGCTGCGCAGGTGCGCAAGGTCATGGACGGTGACAGATTACCGACGTGTCTCGCCGTGGGCTTCCACCACCCGTTCGCGTTGGTGGGCTACCTCGATGGGACCGTGTGGGCGGCGAACCCGTCGAACCGAATATTCGCGTCGAAGCATCACTTCGGGCACAAGGTGAAGTTGTTCGAGCACGAGTACGTTCCACGAGAGAGGCTACCGCAGTCCACCGCGGAGACGAACGGAGACGGGAATGAGTTCCGTGGCGTGGTGAGGATACTGCAAGGTTTCCGACCCGTGCCCAATGTTTATCCGAAGATGGACGCGGGGAGAGCGAAGGCGGCGGCGAACAAGAAGAAGGACAAGAAGGGCAAGAAGTCAAAGGCGAAAGCTAAGGGCAAGGCCAAGGCGGATGCGGCTGAGGACGACGATGCGGACGTGCAGGGCGGGCAGGAGGAGGGCGACGGGCACTTTGCGGATCCCAAGAGAGCCGTGCTATCGGAGCCTCTGACGCGGGTCATGACTATGGCGTGGAATCCGAACAGGGACGTCTCGTGCTGGGCTGCTGTGGCGATGGCATCCGGATTGGTGAGGGTCCTGGATCTCGGTGTAGAGGTGTAAACGCGGCTCACGGCAGCATGCGAGCTGTACAAATAAATGATACCCTGAATTAAACAATACTTTTATTCTACTTTACGGGCCAGTCCCTACTCTGTCATGCCTAGCACTGCGAGCCCATGACACTGTGGTGATAATCAAACGCCTTCGCCATGCCGTACAAGTGCGTCGCGGCAGCGAGGACCACGAAGAAGTGGAAAATCTGATGCGAGCTGCCCCAGATGTCAAAGGTCCCCGGCGAGCTCCTCTCGGGCCAGCGGAAGGCGTACAGGAACGCCCCGAATATGTACATCAGGCCGTGGAGGGCGACCCAGCTGAGGCTCATGCGGTTCTCGAGCTCGGCGCGGCCGTAGACGGTCAGGCCGTGGACGACCGGCACGACGCCCGAGGTGCCGAGGGCGACGAACATGCAGGCGCGGAACGTGCGCCATTCGGGGGCGCGGAAGAACTCGACCCACGAGACCATGCCGCAGCCGAGACCCAAGAGGACGATCTGTGTGTGAGGTTAGTGTTTGCGACTTACACCCGAGAGGACGGAGGGGCTTACGGTGTTTAGGTAGACTGTCATCAGGCCCGGGTGGCAGTAGAACCCGTAGTACAACGCCGGGACGTAGCTGCCGACGATGAGGAAGACGATGCCCGAGTAGTCGAGCTTGTTGCCCCATTTCGCGACCTCGGGCGAGTGGTTGCAGAGGGCGTGGTAGGTCGCGCTCATGCCGAGGCACGCGACGGCGCCGGCGAAGAAGCAGGAGAAGACGAGGAGGTCGGTGGACGAGGCGGAGGCGTAGCGGGGCGCGACGACGGTGTACAGGAAGGCGCCGCCGAGGAGGAAGGCGACGGCGCCGAGGAGGTGCGACCAGATGTTGACGGACTCGTTGTGCAGGTAGCCCAGGCTCTTGAAGGAGCCGAGGTAGGAGTTGGAGTCCGGGCGGTAGCCGGAGAGGATGTAGGCGTTGTCGCGGCGCCAGTGGGGGAGGTCGTCCCAGAGGACGAGGAGGGCGCGCTCGATCTTCCGTTCGAGGTCGTGGGCTTTGTGTTCTGCGGCTGCGAGGAGGGATTCGTCTTGAGAGGCATCGTCGTCGTGCTTGGGTCTGGGGCGGTTTCTGAGGCCGGACGGGTCGGCGTTTGAGGTGGCTGTCATGATATCGTGATGTGAGAGGAACTGGTCCTCTGGTTTATGAGATGGGAGGTGGAGTGGATGAGATAAATGAGTCTTTAATGTTCAAGATTTGAAAATCATCATGAGCGACGCGGACGTGTGGACGTTATTATGGACATATGATGCTGCTCCCTAGCGGCCGTTCAGCGGGTGAGCGGCGGGTCGGGCCAGGGATGGCAACGTACGGGCATTGAGCTGGTGGGATGCTGGACGGGAATTGTTGGGATTTCCACATGCTGAAAAGTTCACGGAGCCGCTCCGAGGACCCTTCGACACCGCTCCGGTTGGGGCTTCTTGCAGCTGGTGCCAAGTGGAAGGACGGCACCGAAGGCACACATCGTCGGTCCGTCGGTGAGACTGACCACCGCGGCGGAGCAGCTCCTCCTTTTTTATTTTTCCAACGGCTGTGAGGCCGTGAGACACACTGAGACGGGTACTGGATGGAGACGAGCACCTGTGCGAAGGGTCCTGTGGGTAAAGGATCAGCATCGGCATGCGGATGTTTCGCACGAGAAACATTCACCACCTAAACCACCTCATGCTCACCTGACTGCTGGAAAGCCACGAAAGCCCAGGTTCGGTTGATTATTTCTCGCACGTCAACTCAAGTCAGAAAACTTGCGACCGAGTCAAAACCGCCCGAGGATTCAGGTGGTTGCACTTCAAGGCATGAAAAGCAAGGGCAGGACTGCCAGCATCACCCATGTCCCCGTGGCGCATCGCGCGAGTTTCCAGTTAATTTTCTTATTCGCAGAATTCGTCAAGTCATTTCCCTGCATGCTCGTGGTAGGTATGTAAAAGAAGACGCTCTGCTTGTGACGCCTGGTGGTAAAACGGGGTAAGGAAAAATACGGCAGGCAAGCCGTCTCTATGCTGTCGACACCAGCGCCCCGACCCTTTCGCAAGAACTCCTTTTGTCGTTCATTCGGCTGGGCCAGCGAAGGCCGCTTATTTCTTGCCGCTCTTCTTGATGCCCTGGGCGCCCGTGTTCAGAGGTCCCTTGCCGCCGGCCTTGGAGGCCATCTCCTTGCGAGCCTTCTCCTCTGTGCGGCTGTCAGCAGTTGGTTGTGCAGTCGTTCGTGGTAAGACGTACCAGCGCGCTTCTTCTCGAGGTAGGCCATGTCGTCCTCGTCGAGGTCCTTGTTCTGCTTCTTCGCGGCCTTGAGAGGCTTGGCCTTGCCACCTAGAGAAGGTCTGTCAGCAAGCGCCGGGTAGATTGAAGAGACGGGGAGAAGACGACGGACCTTCGCGGTTTGCGCCACCCATTTTCGGAGTTGGTCGTGGGTATCTGGGACGTGGATCAACTTGGGCGTAGAGTGCTGAGGATAGCAAGGCTGGCGTCGCAGAGTTGCAGAGTCGTGAAAGTCTAAAGAAAGGAGAGAGAGAAGAATGCGGCGCAACTGACCGTGGGGTGAAAATTGCCCCTCCTGGTCAGCAGCGGCTAACAGGGTCCTCTGATACAGCAATTACATGCTTGATAACGCAGTGCTCAACTGATATGCACATATGCGAAGAACAACGCATAACCCCACTAGTGGATCTTTCGGAACATTCCACGCCACACTTCACGGCCTGACGTCCAGCTGCCTCCGTGTGCCACCCAATTTCTCCGACAGCGCTGTCTCGTCACCCCAAAATTCGTCTCGTCGCATTTCATCATCCCAGCCAGTCGACCGGCATCCTCAGCGCAAGACAGGGCCACAACCTCGTTTCGACCCTTGACCGCTGGAATCCACCGTCGACAAACAAAACAACACTTATACCTACCACCCCAGCGTTTTGCTACCGAGCTCCTCTACTCTGGCTTCTCTGTCGCCTGCTTGTTCCCTTCTTCCCCCATGAGCTGAGTCGACACAGTCATCCGGTTCGCAAACTATTTCCGCACAAACAATCATCTAGTGATCTCTGCTGACACGTCGCTGCTGCGCGCACAAAGACCTAGGGGAACTTCCCTGTGGCGGATAACTGCTTTTTGCATACACAACACACACTCAGTAGAGAAGGAGCAAGCCTCTTGCGCAGAAACCAACACTTCCGCAAGCAATGGCGTCGAGTTCGGACGAGGGCGAGATCGTCGAGAACGACGCTGTGGATTTGAAGGCAACTTCACTGCCGAAGAAGTTTGAAGGAAACGGTGTTGACCGTCAAGACAGAACCCGAGACAGATACTCGGCCTCCAAATCTCCCGAATACGACTCCCACCGCAACTCCCACAACCACACGTCATCGAGACGTAGCCGGTCGCCCCGCGGATTCAAGCGCTCTCGCGATGAGCGGGACTACGCCGGCGGTGGCGGAGGAGGACGACAAGATACGCGCCGCTTCCGCGTTCATTACGAGGACGGACCGCGCGATGATTATCGGCGCGCGCGTGTTTCCTACGAGGATCTAGACCGCCCGGTATCGCGCGGCTCGAACCACAGCTACGACGGTCGCGACAGAGAACGGAGCCGCGACAGAGACAGGGACAGATTCCGCGAGCGAGAGAGGGACCGCGACAGGGACAGATACCCGGACAAGAGAGCGCGCAACCGTACACGCTCACCCTACCGCCCTCCACGCGGCGACCGGGGTCGCGACGATCGCCATGCCAGAGACGGCGGACGCGACCGGCTTTCCGACTCGTTCCGCGGCCTGAAGTACGACGACCACAGAGATCGAGATGCCCGAAACGGAGACTCGACGGATGGGGCCGCTGTAGGGAAGGACTCACGTGCTTCCAGAGGAGATGCTAAACCTGTGAAAGAATATACAGACCAAAGGAATGGCAATGCAGGGCCCTCTCAGAATCAGAAGTACGTTGGCCACGCAAAGGACGATGGGACACAGTTGCTGACGCCACATCGTAGCGCTCCTCCGCCCGAACCAGAGCAGGACTTCGAGGAACCCATGGTTGTGGACGAGGAAGCCGAGATTGAACGTCGACGTCGACGTCGTGATGAGTTACTTGCTAAGTCCAGCTCCGCTACTCCACTGCTCGTACACGCGCTGCATGCGGTCGACAAGTCGGTGGTCGCATCACCAGCGCGCCAAGCCACACCTGGCACGCCTGGCCGTGATGTCGATACGCCAGTTTCAGACGTAGCATCACCAGCACAAGATGGAAGCTCTCCGGGTGCGATTGACATCATGAGCGAGAAGGACCTGATGAACACGCACGGCGGTGGCAAGACCACGGAAGAAGATGGCCCATCCGCAGCAGACTACGACCCGACGGTTGACATGAAGGAGGACGAGATGCGCGACGAAATGCGACACGGCATTGTGGGTATGCATGGCGAGGCTCTCGGACAGCAACCAGAAGCACAGCAGGAAGAGCCGCCCCAGGAAGCCCCCGCGAAGAAAGCGTCCGGCGATGAAGACGACGATGACTTCGACATGTTCGCTGAAGACTTCGACGACGACAAGTACGCCGCGCCCAACCCCGCCAAGGTCGCCGTGGTAGACGAAACCAAGGCGTCACCCGCCGTCGGCCAACCGAACGGTGCCATTCTCGAAGGTGACGACAAGGACGGATACTACAAGCTTCGCATCGGCGAGATCATGAACGGCCGCTACCAGGTGCAGTCGGCTCTCGGTAAGGGTATGTTCTCTGGTGTCGCTCGGGCGGTGGACATCACGAACAAGAAACTGGTTGCCATCAAGATTATGCGAAACAACGACGCGCTGAGGAAGGGAGGCTTTACCGAGATCGCCATCCTGCAGAAGCTCAACGATGCCGACCCGGAGAATCGCAAGCACATCGTCAAGTTCGAGCGCCACTTCGACCACAAGGGCCATCTGTGCATGGCATTCGAAAACCTGAGTCTGAACCTGCGAGAAGTCTTGAAGAAATTCGGCAACAACGTCGGCATCAACTTGAGCGCGACGCGAGCCTACGCCCACCAAATCTTCATCGGCCTTGCTCACATGCGGAAATGCAGCATTATCCACGCAGATCTCAAGCCTGACAACATTCTGGTTAGACACCCCGGCCTCAGACCCGAACAAGAAGACAATGCTTACCATTCACAGGTGAACGAAAGTCGCAACGTCCTGAAGATCTGCGATCTGGGAACCGGTATCGACAAGTCCGATGCTGCCACCGCGCACAACGAGATCACCCCGTACCTCGTCAGTCGCTTCTACAGAGCGCCGGAGGTCATGCTGGGCATGCCCTACGACTACGCCATCGACATGTGGTCCATCGGCTGCACTCTGTATGAGCTGTATACTGGCAAAATCCTCTTCGCCGGCGACAGCAACAACCAGATGCTCAAGGCCATCATGGAGATCCGCGGCAAGATCACCCCGAAGTTGTACAAGCGAGGCCAGCTGGCGCCTATGCACTTCGACGAGCAGGGCAACTTTGTGAGCATGGAGAGGGACAAGATTCTTGGAAAGGTACGTTGTATCGGTTGCAGCTTGTTTCTTGTTTCTCTGATTCCCCGTCACATCCCCCCCTTTCCCCATATTCCCAACGCCTCTGCATCGCATCGCATGTTTCATGCCCGCCTCACGTGGCCCAATCACCGCACGCGATGCTATTTTTGCAGAACCGAGCTGGTTAGCAACGAGGCGGAGTGCGGCTGTAAGCGCTGAGGCGCGGTTTGCACTTGCGTATGCATCCGCATCCACTTTAGATCCCAAATCTGGGGCCGGCCTTCAGGTCCGAGCGCCCCGGGAACCGCACGACACGGCGGGTGGCCCGGTGGCCGCGGCCTGCTTTGGCGACCAGCCACCGCGTCGAGCGACCTCACTTCGGACCCATTCGGACTCGCATGACTTGCTAGGTCTCTCTGCGTCCCAGTCGGGAAAGGTCTCAAAGACACGATCCCATCTTCGGAGGCATGCATATGGCGTGCGAAGCTCGAGAGCTCGTTGTCACGGCCGCATCATCTCATCTTTTGCCGCCAATGCACCTTCGCCCCTGTTTCGCCTCTATTCTGTTCTGCACGAAGGGTCCAACACGAGGTTCAAGCTCGATTTGTCACCCTGTTTGACAAGCAGCTGAGCGCGCCTCTACCGCCACTCGTCTAAACACACGTCACCCCTTTCCCCCGGCCGCCATCTTTCATCATCATCGCACTCGTTTCTTTTTTGGGTTACGTGACAGAGATGCTGACATGCCTTCTGAACACACAGACTACCGCCAGGGTCCTGCCCGTCGTCAAACCGACGCGTGACCTGCGAACCCGTCTCTTCGCCGCCTCGACGGGCATGAACGACGCCGAGACAAGGGATCTCAACCACTTTGTCGACCTGCTCGAGCACTGCCTGACGCTGAACCCCGAGAAGCGGATCAAGCCCGCCGACGCGCTGAAGCATCCCTTCTTCACGGCGAGGATCGCTGCTGCGAAGCGCTGATGCGGTCGTGCGCTGTCGTTGGTAGGAGACCAATGGATGTGGGTGTGGAAGTCGTTGTCAACATCGTGTACACTATATGTTGATAGCAGGGAGTTGTTACGTAGGGGAGGACATGGTGGGCCTGCATCTTTAGCGCTTCTAGAGGGTATTCTAGACATAGAAGCAAGCAATCGCAACGTGTGATTCCTCTCCCCCTAGGTTTAGGTGTTTTGTGAGGTGCATATCACGCGTACGGTGCTCAAACTACATGATGCATGCAGCTCATTCGGGGCAAGAGCCGCGACATGCGCGTCTCTCCGTTCGTCTGGAGTTTCTGCATCGCCGACGACCCGAATAATACGACAATTCTCTTGTGGCTAGACATCGAACGGGCATGGAATCAGGTAACGCTCGTGCCGGGCTTATTCCCAGGGGTGATTTCTCGTGAGGAGGGCATAATGCCACTTCCAGGACAATGCAACCCCCTTTTGATATCCTCCCATCTGATGACGAGCGGAGGGTCGATGACACGGACTTGGAGTATTCTACGTGGACCCCCTACGCCTTTCTGGTGAATATTTGAGTCATCCTGATTCTATGTCTTCAATGCCTTCGTGATCCGATGAGAATGGACGAGAGCAGCTCGAAAAAACACACCCTGATATCCGAGTTGAAAACAGTCCCCCCCTTATCTCGCCATTGCAAAAAGATACGTCGATCCGATCAAGAGTGAGACTACAACATACCCTGCGCCGAACTCCATCCCCCCCCCGTGCGCCTGTCTCATCGATTTGTCAGTTCTCTCCGCTGATGTCGCTCACGTCGGTGCGCTTCGGGTAGACAATGTAACGAGTTTGATAGGAGGACTAGACTTCTCTGAACCCCCAGTCAAAAATCGTCCCCGGGCCATCTCTCTTGCGCGGTATGCATCATACGACCATGCCGTGAGAATAGACTCCTTCCCGCGTCATCGTCTGGTCGTGATGGTCCTTTACTCGGTGGACGCCTTGGTTTGACGTACAGCGGGATATGAGATACCTAAGCGCGAAGGGGGGCGAAGGAGAGAATGAGGGGGGATTGTGATTTAGGAACACTTGATGTAGGTCTAGTCCGAGTCTGTGTGCTGCTGTTGACGCGCGTGGGGGGTGATGTTGGTCTCCCGTTGATGGGACGGGGTTTGCCTCCTTCGGCCGGTCAGCCCAGAGAGGCCGTGGTTTCTGAGTCCGCGTATCGTGAGATGTCTGGCGAGACTTTATCATGCGTTAAGTTGTATCTGGCTTCGTGGGCTTCTGTTGGGTCTCAAGCGCGGGCATGGCATGCCCTTCTCAGGAGCACGATGTTGCCACGCGGTCACCGGACGACCGATCGCAATCGCTTCGGGGGCGTTTTCTTGATCTACTGCATACAGGATACCGAGCCTCACCATTAAGACTGCGAGAGCGCAGGTTGGAGCAAGGTCAGTTGAGATAATAGATGTAGTGATTTTGAGTTTCCTCAGTTCATATGTTGTTGTATTACATATCGCATGGCATGACGCAAAATATAATTTTGTAACTAGATTCAAGGTGCTAAAGTATCATAGCAATCCCTACTGCATAATCAAACCAAATATGCATTCAAGTCTTCATATATCACGCAGTTAGAAGTGCCTGCTTTCTCCAAGCAAGTTTAAGGCGACGGAAATAGATACGACCAGTGTGATTCGCAAGAGGAGGTATTAACATTGCACATCTGAACAACTTCACTCCAACATATCGCAACAAACCAACTCATCACAATCTAGGCAAGAGGCCTTTCGAAGTTTGCATATAGTCACGAAAATCCCCGCGAAAGGTAGTCCACAGTTCAGCCCGCCGTCCATCACGTCGTCAACTAACGCGCCATAATCATACGCCCCCAGCAGCAATCACGACCACCCAAATCAGCCAGGCGAAACGCCCGTCCCTCCCTCCTCCCCCGCAGAGAGAAAGGAAGGGAAAGTCGCGGCGGGCTGCATACAGGAGCTATTCCTCCGCTGACAGCTCCCGTCTGGACTTCTCGTACATCGATCCCCAAAGTGAGCAACGGGGGGGGAGTGGATGATGCGGTGCTTCGGCGTCTGTGTTGCATATTCTCGTTATTGTTGCTGTACCACACGCACGTATAAGCAAAGAGAAGAAAGAAGCTGTCACCTTTCCCTACAAGCGGTTGCTCGTTGGGTCGCCTCGGTGCGAGGCCGTCGAATCCAGTGGGAGCTGCAGCCTGGCGGCGAGGCTGGTGGACAAGAACTGCTTCAAAGGCAAAGGATTGCGGACCCGGCGGCTGGGTTTGGCAAGCGAAGCCATGCGTTGGTGGTGGCATGCAAAGTCCCAACGGCTGCCTTGTTGGCGCGTCCCCATTTTAGAGATGGAAGTCTGCCTGCGGCGTAGTTACGTACGAATACAGTACATGTTTGCTTGGTTTCCGTTTCCAGGCTGCCGCTTGATTGAATCCAGGCGGCTGCGCAATCTCTTGTTGGTGCTCGTCGTATGCTCTTTAGTCCATTGCGACGACGACGACTCATTCGGGGGTGCGGCGTATTCGGGACATGACTGGATTCGGATGTCACCTAAACATCCTTCGCACAAAGGAAAAGCACTCGTTGCTGACCCCCCCTCGAGATGACGCGCAGCTTTTTCAGGTGAGTGTGTCCCAGTGGGCGGCAGGATTCAGGTTTGAGCGACGTGCGTAACGGGATGGATGATTGCGGTGACACGGGGGGGACGATGGTGGGGGTTGAGGGCGTTGTCATATTGCGCCGTTGGGAGCCGGTTTGCTTGCGATCCCGTCTCGCGGCTGTTTGGTGGGCGGCTGGACGGAGGTGACTTTTGCTCCGACCTGCATATTTTTGTTGCCGCCCGTCAGATCTCCAGTAGGACTACTGATGCAGAGAAATTCCACTTCACGCGATTTGGAAATGTTGCCCCCAATTTTACGAGGCGGAAAGGCAGATTATTGTCTCGAGACAGAGAGCGGCGGCGCTCATGTTGCACAATACGGCGCCCGACGATGGGAGTCGCAAGTTGGGAGATGCGGATTCCCGTCGGGCTGCGTCCCACGGCGGATGATGTTTCTTTCCCCAGCTGCTTGTGGGAATTGGTTGGCCGTACTGGAGCTGAATGCAAAGCACGAGAGGGAAGGAAATATCACGATGCCGTCGTCGTACTGCATCGAAGGGGGCCGGCTTGCAGCATGATGCTACATAGTATGCGGCCTTCCGACGGGTGTGCGACGGCGACGACGACGACGGCGCCGGTGGGTCGTGGGCCGCCCGGAGGCGCCGAACGGGGGCACGGCGGGGGAGCCTTAATCAACGAGGCGGGGTGAAGGGAGCCGGGGGCCACCGTTGAGACGACTCGCCTTATCCTTCCTTGACTCGCCCCGTGTTCAGGCGTACTATGGAGTTCCCCGATGATTAACCAAGGACCATGATCCAAGGACGATGAGAGATACAGCCGCTGGTTGGTTGGTGTCACGGTGACATTCCCCTGAAGCCTTGCTTTTGCTTGCTTGGTACGGGAATGTAAGTGGCTGGACCCAATTGAGTTCTGGGCCTGCGGGGAAAGAAAAGTGATGGGCATGATTGTGACGGATGGTCGTTGGATCGACCCCAATTAGACCCCGAAATTCCCAGATCCAACTTTCTCCTTCGCTTGCCCTGTTTCCAAGAAAAGAATGCGCAGATCCCCTTCAACTCGGGGCTTGCCATTCTGCGCCATTGGCATTGAGAAAGCGAGGGGGATGATCATCTGACGGCTTCTCTCATTTTCAGGAGGTCAGGCAGGTCTCCCATTCCCCAGGGGGTGGGAGGCCACGTTAGCTCGTGTCTGTTGGAATGTTGGACCCTGAAAGGATTCCCCTCTGGCGTCGACGCCATTTCACGTTTTGTGTTGGTTTGCGTGTCTCGGAAGAGAGGACGAGATGGCAGAAAGGGACGGCCGTTGTGATATCACGCTTGACGCAAGGGATGAGGTCATATGAGCGGCCGTGGCGCACGCCGCGCCGTTTGTATGGCGTTCGTAGCGTAACTCGTCGATTGTTGTTGTTGATGGACCATCGTCAACGCGACCCGTGCTGTTGGATCCAGAGGATTTACGGAACGACGGTTTGAGCGCCTCGCTGTTGGTTGTTGACGGGCGGTTGTGGACTTTGACATGATCACAGACAGACCGACAGGACTGGTGGGATGGTGGGATGTGGTTGATCTGCGGGATGGATCCAATGATGGATTGACGGCCGTCTGAAGGCGCCGCCGTCGAGACACTGGCACGACTGGCCGGCTCACTGGGCCGGTCGAATCGAATCGCGGAACTTTGACGATCGATGAGCTCGTGCCGGTGCTGAGGTACCGCGAATTCCAGCGGGCCGGTGATGCAAGGTATGAGATCACGGCGAGGGCGAAGATCATTTCCATCGAGATGGCTTCAATTCCTCCTTCCCCGTTTGGCTTTAGTCTGCGGGGGTGTTCTCATCAAGGGTGTCTTTATCAAACTAATAGTCTAAGGTATATAAGTAAAGCGTATTTATATGCTATATAACTAGTATTCTAACTTAATATAGTAATAAAGTTAGTACTATTCTTAATACTATAAATAAGTAGGTTCCCTCCTAATTTAACTTAAGAGTAAATTATTAAAATCTAAACTTTAAGTATATAATCTACCTAAAAGGTAGTTATAAATAGCTTTATTTATTTAGATCTTTATACTCTATTTAATAAAATTATTAAGTAGTAAAGCTTAATTAACTTCTTTTTTTATCCCTCTTCTTTAAGCTTTTTTAACTCCTTTAAAATAATACTTATTACTTCTATCTTAATAGCTATTTAGGCTCTCTATTAGAACTTTAAAAATAGCTTTTATAACCCCTAAGTAACTACTAAATAAAATAAAACCTCTTTTAAATTCTTCCTTAAGAATAAAGGTATTATAGTATATTAAAGGCTTAGCTATTCTAAAGGTATATTAGTTTAGTTTTTCCTCTATAATATATAGCTCTAAAAG